AGGCTATTATAGACTAGGTTAGTTCCTTACCTAGTATTCTATATATTTAGCCTCTTAGTTTAGGTAGTTCTACTCTATATAGTAGAGGATCTTAAGTAGTTCTTTATAGGTTATTAATAAAGGGTCTTAAGGCTCTTAACTAGCTTATTATAGCCTAGTTATAGGTCCTCTAACTAGTTAATAGCTAGTTATAGACTTTTTTAGCTAAGTATAGCTAGTTATAGGGTTATAGTAAAGATTAGGTTCTATTAGAATGTAAGAGAGTTATATAAGTAGGAGATATAAAGAAGTTTTAAAAAGGCTAAAGTACTATATTAGTAGTACTATGCTATCTAGTCCTTTTATAAAAAGGGATATCCTTTTTATATTAATTAGAGTTTTTTTAGCTAGAAAGACTATTTAGATCTATCTTATAACTCTTTATAGATATATATTTATCTTTAGTAAAATAGAAAGCTATAAGCTTAGCTTAAAGATAAATGCCTTACTACTCTTATCCTTAAAGTTATAGGGATTATAGCTAATTATAAGAAAAGTATAGTTATAGACTAAGAAAAGCTAATATTAGCTTACTTTTATAACTATATTATATCCTTATAACTCCTATAAGTTAACTAATAAGAAGTATAATAGTAATACTAGTATTATATAAAGTTAAGATAGTTATAAGTCTACCTTTTAAGGACTATAGAGGGCACCCTAGGCTATAGAGGCCTTCTAGAGCTTAGCTACTAGATATAATTACTAAAGGAACTTGATTTCTTTAGACTACTAGCACACGGCACGGTTATATACTAAATCCGCCAAGTAATGGCTTACTCCGGCTTCGCAATAATAGCCCGAAGTCACTTGTTGAGGGTACGACCCTGGCTCAAAATGACAGCGCGTATGGTTGCTACCGACGGCCATCTGTATTCTCCCATTCGTCTATATATGCTTCATGGGAATCTTCTGGCTGCATACATGTCATTTTGATACTTTTTTTGGTCAATGTGATGCTCATCGGGACCGCTGATCTAGAAGCAGCGAAGTTGCGAAATCAATCAAGCAAGCAAACGAGAAACCATCGCACAACTTGATGTCAACGAAGCACATAGAATTGCATACTAGAGTTGATTTTCCAAATTTGTATTTCCTGCATATAAAGTAGTTCTGACCAGGTATATCATTCCCCTTACTTCGTTCGCCATCAACAGAGTGGTATTATGCCCTCCAAAACCAAGACTCCATAGAAAACGCCTCTCACCAGCCCCATGTCATGTACTGTACTCCCTTGTTCCCGTTCATGCGCGTTAGCAACCAATCGTCCTTCTGTAAATTCACGTTAAACAGCATCTCATCATAAACCAGATCTTAGTCTCCATACTCATCTCAGCCCTGGACCCAACTAGGCAAGATCAGAGCGTCGAATCCACTCAAGCACCAACTCCAACGCTCGAGGCAATGCTGAACAACTTGGACTTTCTGAATCCCAGACCGCTTTTGCCAGCTTCGCGCGCGCAAGCTGTGGCTCCGTCGCCGGTGCCAGTCAAGCCAGCTTCGAATCTGCCGGCTTCTTTGCCCATGGAGTAACCGGCGGAGAAGCTGATGGCGCTGAACACAACTACTACGCCCACGCTGACGACCCATGTGAAGAGCGTTGGACTGACAGTCATGTCGTCGGCACCATAGACGGCGCCAGAGTTGCGGCGTTTCTTGATCATTCTTCGTTCCTTGGATGAGCCGCGACCAGAAGTGCCTTTCCGTTTACCCTCCGATTTGGAGGAACGGCCTTCGGCAGAAGCGGAAGTAGAGGTAGATGCACGGCGGATGGTCGGCTTGAATGTCGGCTCGGTAACGGGAGCTAAAAGGGGCGAGTTGTTCTCGAGAGCAGAGGCAGGCACCATGCGCAGTGTGTTTGGCTGGATTCTGTTTGACGCTGGAGGAGGGGCATCAGCTGCAGCGCGAGTGTTCGACTTGGGGAGTCCGCGAGCAGCCGCAGCAAAAGACTGCAAAGTGGAAAGACTGGCGCGGAGGGCAGCTTCGTGGTCAGCAGCTGCGTTGTGGTTTGGGGAGAGCATGTTGAAGGGCGAGTGTTGAACTCTGGCCTCTGCACGAGATGGGTATGAGTGCCTAGCCGAATGACGACGTTCGGGTTGAGCGGGAAAGTACGAGCCTGGCACAGGCTGACTCGCATGTCTGACAGGATGGCTCGAAGGGTGAGAGAAGGCATTCGGCTGGGGTGTGAAGACGTTGTCGTTGTTGATAGGGTAGTTGACGGCTGTCCTGTTCTCATCATCATCCGAGGACTCGACCATGGCATCTCTGACGTGCGTCGCTGGTAGCCTGAGCCCTTCACCAGACGAAGTTATAACATGATCGTCGTCGCTCTCGCTCTCTTCATATTCTTCTTGACTGCTGGCAGCGCCAGCACTTGCGGCACGACTGGCGATGTTGAGTCGCGAGGGTCGACCGGGTCTTTGGCGTCTTCGACGGTATGAAGCTGGCGTTTGATGAACACGAAGACCTGTGGTTACGATCTCGTCGGCAGCAGAGGAGAGTGACGACGACGAGGGTTGAGATGAAATCTCAATCCACGAATCTGCACGACTGGCGTCAGCACTGCCTTGATGATGCCTGTCCATGCCAGCCATGAAGGAACAACAGGAAGAAAGGTAACAAGCCAGACAACAAGCACCGCAAGTATGCGTAAAGGCAGGAGGTGAATAGGTACGAAGACGCATTCGAGTCACACGTTTGCTTCTTACCTTCTGACCGAGTCCGGCCTGTGTCGGCGGTCAGCCCATGACCTCTGTTTTCAGGATTCAAGTGGTTTGACATGGTAGATGACGGCGCGTATGGGCTATGACGTGTCTGAGTTCAAAGTCTTATGTAGTTTGCGTGGAAGCCAGAGAACGGATGGTAAGTGGTACGAGGGGAGGGGAGGGGTGAGTGGCTGGTTCTGGAGACGACCCTGAGAGAGGGAGAGAAAGGTAGGATAGAGTAGTGCAGCCAAATGTTCCTAAGCAAACAGGCACCAACGAATCATGCGGCAGCGACTGCAGTCCGTCAAGGCCCAAGAAATGAGGGTGCAAGTCGTTGGCAGGAGACGAAGTGATCGTTGTCGATGATGCTATCCGAGTCGGTGTATGAGTACTCCTACCCCACCTCCGCGGGTCACGCAACGGTCCGATCAAGTGGCCACTCTTTAAGCTTCGCTACTCTTGGTCCTTGGTTTCATATGTCTGCTCCTTGAATAACACGTCTGCAACTCGACAAAAGAGCAGGATATACCTTGTTGTGATTGGCCTGGCCTTCTATGGCTGCATAAGGATTCTACATGCATACCTGATACTGCCTTCAAAGGCTGACCGGTGCCCAACCACCTGCATGCTGTATATCACCTGCAGGACCCTGAGTCGTGTATCCGCTATAATCATTGCACATGTGACCTAAGGTGATCCTTTGTTGTCGGGGTATATCTTTTGACATAACATGCTATAAAACTACTACGCTATCGAATAGCTACTACAACTCACCTAGCGCCGTGATTGTACAAAGCACCCATTTCCCAGCAATCGTGTCTTTCGCTGCCGTATAATCGACCGAATGATCATCATGCTACCCCAGATATCCGTGAACGCCAAACTTTTTGTGATAAAGGACATGAACCGATTAGATGTAGAGCGAACCGCTTAGTCGAAAGACACACGGTTGCCCTGGAAGTCGCCGAAGCCGCCGCGGTTGGTAGATCCACCACGACCGCCACCACGGCCACCGCGACCACCACGATCGCCAAAGCCGCCACGGCCACCGCGGCCACCGCCACGACCACCACGGTCGTTGAAGCCGCCGCGACCTCCGCGACCGCCACCGCGGCCGCCGAAGCCACCGCCGCCACCGTTGTTGTCACGGGGAGCAGCGAAGTCCAGACGGATGTTGCGGCCGTCGACATCAGCGCCGTTCAGGCCCTCGAGAGCGGCCTTGGCCTCCTCGACGGAGCCGAACTCGACGTAACCGAAGCCCTTGGGGGCGCCAGTCTCGCGGTCGGTAGGGAGACGGATGCTGTTGATGCTACCGTACTCGGAGAAGTAGCCAGTAAGGCTGTCGGTGGTGGTGTTGAACGAAACGTTACCAACGAAGAGAGTGGTAGAAGGAGTGCTTTGCTGCTTGTCACCGAAAGCGTTGGCGCGGGCACCAACCTGGCTCTTGTCGTAGCTACGGTTGCTGTTGTCTCTGGGAGTGCTGAAGTCGCACTTGAGGGTACGGCCATCAAGGTCGGTACCGTGCTTGGCGTTGAGAGCCTGGGTGGCGGCATCAACGTCGGCGAACTCTACGTAAGAGAAACCCTTGGAGCGGCCGGAGTCGGCGTGGGTGATGACTCTGACGGAGACAGGAGAGAACTCCTCGAACTCCTTGGAGAGCCAGTCCTCGTCGACGTTCCATGAGAGACCACCAACGAAGAGAACCTTGCTGGGCTCACCGAACTGACCCTCAGCGGTGACCTTGACCTTCTTGGAAGAAGCGTCAGGGGCCTCCTCGGCCTTGCGCTTCTTGCTAGGCTCCTCGGCCTTCTTGACCTCCTCTTCAGAGTCAGAGTCGGATGAGTCGCTGTCGGAGTCGGAGTCGGAAGAGTCCTTCAGGAAGATGTTAGCCATATGATACGGATGTATAAGAATGTGAGATGAGCATACCTTGGCAGCGGGCTTCTCGTCCTCAGACTCAGAGTCGGAGCTGTCAGAGCTGTCAGAGTCGCTGGAATCGGCCTTCTTGGCGGCAGGCTTCTCGTCCTCAGACTCGGAGTCAGAGCTGTCAGAGTCAGAGTCAGATGACTCGGCCTTAGCAGCAGGCTTCTCGTCCTCAGAGTCGGAGCTGTCCGAGTCAGAAGAGTCGGAGGACTCCTCCTTCTTAGCCTTCTTAGAGACGGGCTTAGCCTCAGCCTCAGACTCGGACTCGGAGTCGGAAGAGCTGGAGCTGTCGGAGTCCATCTCCTCGTCAGAGTCGCTGGAGGGCTCAGGAGTGGGCTCCTTCTTGCTCTTCTTGGACTTCTTAGCGGCCTCGACGACCTTCTTTGCGACGTCCTTGCTCTTCTTGGGGTCCTCGGCCTTGGTGACGCGGCCAGACTTGACCTTGGTGGCCTCGACCTTAGGGGCGGCGGCCTTCTTGGTGCTCTTGTCCTTGGCCATTGTGATGTGTTGGTATTCTATAGAGGTCGAGGTTAGTCAGGTTCCGGACCGTGAGAGGTGGCAGGTAAGGCGGTTCGCGTGTGGTGGCGTGCATGGTCGATCGGTCAATCTATCGCAAATTGCAACAGCGACAGCAGATACGACGAGCGAGTATGGTGTGAGCGACCAGTGATGGTCGCAGTGTGCGGCAAAGCCCTCAGTAACCCATTATCACATGGAGTGATGGAAGCCAACAAGCCCTCAAGCCCACTGCTCTCGCACGCATGTCACGGCGATGTGTTCCCACAAGAGCCAGGAGTCTGCGCGCGAGATGGTCTGATGAAAAGCCGTCCTGATTGCGCATGTGCCCACTACCCACGTTAAAGAGATGGTGACATCTCAGTCTGCTTCACGCAAAACCAACAACGCGAAGAGAAGACTTGAACCCACTAATGAGAGGAGCGACGAACCCACTTGTTATGATAAAAAGTCGAATATAAAGAGTTGAGATGAAGATTCCAGGAAAAATATCGAGGAAAGTTCTGGTGAAGGAGGATGCAGAAGGAAAAACACTGGCAGTCCGACGTGCTAGTTATACCGCAGGCAACGCTAGCCGCTAGGACTTTCTGCCATTTTTTTGCGACTTTTTTTGTTGCGCACGGCTTCGAACGCTTCTCGGCCCGCTTCCCGGTGACCGCCCTCCGCATTAAGCCTGTGCCACAAACGACGGGTCTCGGACTTGCCAGCGTGGACAGTCGAGAACCGAGATGGTTCCCTAATAAGAGATAAACATGGCTCCCACCTCACATCGCCCTCGCAAGAAGAGAAGGGAAGATCAGGTCTCTGGTCCCCGCAGCAATGCCTTGATCGTTACAGATGCAGAGACAAAGCAGCAGAAGCCAGCTTTCCCCCTGGTATCTTTCTTACTGCCTGCCAGGGGAACAGTGTCACAATGGGTGGTGATGCCGCTCATCCTCATGGCTGTAGGACTCTTCAGGTGGGCCACTGGTTTCTGGGGCTATTCTGGTAAGTCCTGGATTCGATAGGCTCTCTTATATCCTGGAACTCATTTTCGATTGTCTAGGCCTTGACAAACCCCCTATGCACGGTGACTTTGAGGCACAGCGTCACTGGATGGAATTGACCAACCACCTACCTGTCTCACACTGGTACTTTCACGACCTGCAGTGGTGGGGCCTTGACTATCCTCCATTGACAGCTTACCACAGTTGGGTTTTGGGTAAAGTGTAAGCATCGCCTTCGACCGTGCTGTTTGGTCACTTGCTGACTTGAACAGGGGCAACTATATTAACCCATCATGGTTCGCTCTGAAGAGTTCACGTGGGCTCGATGATCCTGATTTGAAGATCTTCATGCGTGCTACAGTCATCGTCTCAGAGTATCTCATCCTGGTGCCAGCGGCGGTCATCTTCACCCGTCACATGAGCAAGCTGTGCGGCATTACAACATGGGAATCTTCAGTTGCCCTCACTGCCGTACTTATGCAGCCAGCGACAATGCTCATCGATCACGGACACTTCCAGTATAACACCGTTATGCTTGGTTTGATGCTTGCGTCCATGTCAAGTATGCTTGCAGGCCGCCATCTGTGGAGTTGCGTGTACTTTGTTGCTGCGCTTGGCTTCAAGCAAATGGCGCTCTTCTATGCACCGTCTGTGTTCGCTTACCTACTGGGAATCTGTGTCTTTCCTCGTATCAACATCGGTAGGCTGATGAGCATAGCTATCATCACGATTGCCTCCTTTGCAGCTCTTTTCTTGCCATTCCTTCTTGGCATCGCTTACGATTCTTGGAAAGGTGTGTTCTTGCCATTTGATGCACAAGCTCCTCCGCTTCTGGACAATCTTCCGATCCAGATTTCGACCAAGGCATGGTACTACCCATTTGTTTTCCAGCTTGCACAATCTATTCACCGTATCTTCCCTTTCGCGCGCGGACTTTTCGAAGACAAGGTGGCAAATGTCTGGTGTGCCGTGCATGCATCGGGACTGCACAAGCTACATCGATACGATTCGAGTCTTCTGTCGAGGGCAGCACTAGGGCTTACTAGCCTGTCAATCCTCCCACCATGCCTGGTTGTGTTCATCAAGCCGAAGAAGGAGCTTGTGCCATGGGCACTGGCAACCACAGCATGGGGCTTCTTCCTTTGCAGCTACCAAGTACACGAAAAGAACGTCTTGCTGCCTTTGTTACCAATGACGATGCTCATGGCTGGACATGGTGGACTTAGACCGGATCTGCGAGCGTGGATTGGATTTGCTAACACCTTGGCTTGCTGGACCATGTTCCCTCTACTTAAAAGGGACGAACTCAGAATTCCTTACTTCGTCTTGACACTTCTCTGGGCATACCTCATGGGTCTTCCACCAACATCGCTTGCGGCGTACATTGGAGAGCAAGGTGTCTGGTTGTCATTACCCATCAAGGCAGTGCACCTTCTGTTCTACGTCGCAATGATGGGTTGGCATGTTGCCGAGGCATTTGTGCAGGCGCCAGCGAACATGCCTGATCTTTGGGTTGTAGGCAATGTCTGTGTAGGAGCTGCAGGATTCGGCCTGTGCTATCTCTGGTGTCTGTGGCACCTCGTAGCAGAAAGTGGATTGTTGCAATTTGGCAAGTCACTAGACGACAAGCAGAAGACGCTATAATTGGCAGCCAACAGGGTTGAGTGAAGTGGTGTTATTGTACACTATTTATACATAGATTCAAAAGTCTAGAGGTGTAATTGATTTTCCTGTAACGCCGGTCGCAATGCTGAAGGGGAAGACGAAGATTCGAGCCGAGTGTTTATGGCAAGCTGAAGCCGTAGCCCTGCATGCAGGTTCTGTACTTTTGGATCATGCTCTGGCAGTCGGCTTGGGGATCAGCGGCGGTAGAGAAGAGCATGCATTCGTCGCGAGCGGCCTTTTCATCCTTGCAGACGCAGCATGGCTGTAACCAGTGGTCAGGCAGTGTATTGGAATAAGGTTGTGCAGCGAATAAGTACCTTTGCCTTTGCGGCGGCTTCGCCTTTGGGCTTGAGGTCGGCAGCGAGGTTGTTGGTAGTTGTGACAGTGGACGATGCTGTAATTGGGTCAGAAATGGGTAGGCGCGAGTCGCAAAGCATAGAAGAACCCACGCTGAGACATTTTGGCAGAACTCGAGATAGGGAAAGAGCAGGAAGTGAATTGCGACAGATCAAGTTCAGATATTCAAGTATGAGGCAATCGCAGGGCAATATGTCAGCAGCGAACGGGCATTCACATTCAAGCGGCGAGGCGAGTCATTGCCAAGCTCTTTCTAGAACCTTAAAGGCCCGAGCAATAAACAAATGCCTGTGACCATGTGAAACACCAATTTCTTGTCGCAACCCCTCTCTGCCTCTCTATACCACTCCCCCTCTCTGCATTCCTTCTGTTCATCCGCTCAAACAACCGCCATGGCAAACATTTTTTCGCTCGAGGGCAGAGCCCTGAAACTCGACTCGGCTGCCGACATGGACAAGCACATCGCTGACCTCAAGGCCAACAACGACGTTGAGGAGGTCGTCTTTGTCGGAAACACACTGGGTGTTGAGGCTTGTGAAGCCCTGGCTAAAGTGCTCGAGACCAAGAAAAAGCTCAAGGTACGCCGTCAGATCGTAACTGATTAATCTGCAACGGTCAAATCTGACCCATCCATCCAGGTCGCCAACTTTGCCGACATTTTCACTTCGCGTCTCGTCGATGAGATCCCTGATGCACTCAGTCACCTGCTTACTTCTCTGCTTGCTCTCCCCGAACTCCACACCGTCAACCTCTCCGACAATGCCTTTGGTCTTATGACCGTCGCTCCTCTTCAGCCCTTCCTCTCCCAGCACGTGCCTCTGCAGCACCTGATCTTGAACAACAACGGTCTCGGTCCTGCTGCCGGAACCCTCGTCGCTGAAGCCCTCACCACTCTTGCTGAGAAGAAAGAGCAAGCTCGCAAGAATGGCAAGACAGTCCCTGACCTTGAGACTGTTATTTGCGGTCGCAACAGATTGGAGAATGGCTCCATGGACGCCTGGGTAAAGGCATACTCGGCCAACAACAAGATCAAGACTATCCGCATGGTACAGAACGGGATCCGTCAAGAAGGAATCTCTGCCCTGTTGCAGAACGGTTTGAGCAAGTGCAGTGCTCTCGAGGTCTTGGACTTGCAAGACAACACCTTCACTGCCATGGGTGGTCGTGCACTTGCAGATGTCATCGCAAACTGGTCCGTTATCAAAGAGCTTGGTGTCGGTGACTGCCTGCTAAGCGCTCGTGGCGCTGTCATGCTCGCAGAAGCTCTCAAGGCTGGCAAGAACAAGACTCTTCAGACACTTCGCCTCCAGTACAACGAGATTGATGTGAAGGGTATCGAAGCCCTGTGCAAGGTCGCCCAGACAAGTGAGCTGCCTGCTCTCCAGCGTGTTGAACTGAACGGCAACAAGTTCTCAGAGGACGACAGCAACGTTGAGGCCTTGAAGACTCTGCTCGACGAGCGCAGAGAGGAGAACGCTCCGGACGCTGACGAGGACGATGAGACTTGGGGTATCGACGAGCTTGATGACCTGGAAGAGGACAGTGACGATGAAGATGAAGACGAAGACGACGAAGATGCAGAGGAAGAGCGCGTCATCAAGCAGGCCGACCAAGCCGAATCAGAAACCGTCGCCCAAGAGAAGGACAACTCAGTGGACGAGCTCGCAGATCTTATGGGTAAGACGGAGCTCAAGTAACGCCTTTCTTTCTCTACACATGCATTGGGTTTCTGGATTAGCGATTTCCTTTCCCCTCTTTTTGGCCACCATTTTGGATCTGCCACCATTCCCCCCTTCCCTATCGTCTTACTTTCAAGATAAATGATACCACACGCAAGCACATTGCACATGACTATACACCATACTTCTCGTCCCACCATCAAGCATACGTCTTTTCACACGTGAACATCACCATGCCAGAACTACCGTTCAATGTCTTACTTCTTGTGCACTCATATCATTGCCGTTTGCACCAAAGTCCATTCTACATCTCTTGCACTGAATTTTGCCAACAAGCTATGCATAGACGACATCTGATGCCCAAGAAATTCCTATCGCACTTTCCTATGCTCTCAAAATCTTCTGAGTAGTCTCATCACCACAATCAAATTTACCGGCACCGATTGACCCCATCTGCCCTGCTCAACAAGTACTTCCCCCCTTTTTTCAGATCACTTCTGCTACCAAACCTGCTCATAATCCAGTAACCCTCCCAATCCTTACGGGAAAACTCCAAACACCTGGTTCCTCATCGAGCGTGACGGGCTATAAGGCTGACTTATCGCCAGACTCAAGCATAGTCTTTGACCGCTTTCGATCTTTAGACGTTATATGGCATTACACCTTCTGGCTAGGCATATACGCATCCATGATTACAGAGACTTGGATTCCAGGCGTTATTGTTCTGTTGGTGCTGGTCGCGGTAACTCTATCTTAGAAGAGTAAGAAAAGAACAACAAGAAAGAAAAAGAACAAGATGTAAAAGAAAGATGGAAAGATGATAGAATAATGTTGAGAGATGGAGAAAAAGAAATACACTAGAAAGACAAGAAAAAGACAGAAGAAAGACAAAAGCTTTACGGACACTTGATCAAGATAGAGGAGACGATGAAATGATATACTGACGATAACCAATTGGATTGATGCTCTTAGAAGCGGGTGACTCCCCTGTCACAACATCGTTGAGTTATGCTATCTAAATGCATGATGCTTACACGAATCAAGGCGATCCCGGCGAGAGACCGTGCTATGAGTTGCTCTCACTGGACCGTGTTGAGATCGGTACATCACTGTGCATTTGGAGAGCAGTATCGGGTAGATCCACTAAACAGGGAGTTGGTCAATCAGAGGCGCCTGCTGTGTATGTGTCAGAGTCGTGCCTTCCCTGCTTCTTCTCTTGTGAGTAGCTGCCGAATCTAGGTCGACGTAGAACCAAAAGGCTCATATGGGGTGTGGCAAAAACATCGGAGGTGACCAGATTCACATGTTTGAGAAAAACGAAGATTATACACTTTGTCATTGAAAGATTTGGAAGAAAAACTCAATGAGACGCTACTTTCGCTCTACTATACACACGGCTTCTTCGGCCATCCCGCAATTTTCCCCGTTATAAATTTTTAATGAGAAATTTACGAGAAGCTGGAGGTGAAGCTCTTGATGACATCCTTAAGCTTGGCCTCGAGGTCCTTGCTGAGGGCACCCTCCTTGTCAATCTGGTCAAGGATAGCCTTCTCGTTGGTGCGGAGGTGGTTAAGGAAGTCAGCCTCCCACTGGAGGATCTTGGCGACGGGGACGCTGTCGAGGTGACCGTTGATACCAGCGTAGATGAGAGGAACCATCTCGTTGACGGCCATGGGGCTGTACTGCTTCTGCTTGAGGAGCTCGGTAAGACGCTCACCACGGGACAGGGTCTGCTTGGTGGCGGCATCAAGATCGGAACCGAACTGGGCGAAGGCAGCGACCTCACGGTACTGGGCCAAGAAGAGCTTGAGCGAACCGGCGACTTGCTTCATGGCCTTGAGCTGAGCGGCGGAACCGACACGCGAGACGGAAAGACCGACGTTAATGGCGGGACGGATACCCTTGTAGAAGAGCTCAGACTCCAAGAAGATTTGACCGTCAGTGATGGAAATGACGTTGGTGGGAATGTAAGCGGAGACATCACCACCCTGGGTCTCAATGATGGGCAGGGCAGTGAGCGAACCACCGCCGAGCTTGTCGTTCATCTTGGCAGCACGCTCGAGGAGACGAGAGTGGAGGTAGAAAACGTCACCGGGGTAAGCCTCACGACCGGGAGGACGACGGAGAAGGAGCGACATTTGACGGTAAGCAACAGCCTGTTACAAAAAGTCAGTACAAATTCGTTTGTAGGATAAGATTATTACATACCTGCTTGCTCAAGTCATCATAGATGATAACAGCATGCTTTCCATTGTCGCGGAAGTACTCTCCCATGGTGCCTTCGAGTAACATGTTAGTAAGAATAACGGTTAGATGCTTGAGGGTGACCCCTGAAATGAAGAATTGATGCTTGAGAGTGACTCGTAAGATGACAGGTGGATGCTTGAGAGTGACTCCGAAGATGACAGGTGGAAGAATATTGGACAGCGTCCAGAGGGGTCTAGGAAGAAGCAGCGACCGCCTGACGAGCGACGGCAGCGGCGTGCTTCGCAGTGTTGTTGTGCTTTGCAAGTGCGCTCGGAGAATCGTAGGAGCGACCGCAAGGCCCACAAGGGTATTTGGCAGCAGTCTTGGTAGCAGACTTGCGAGTGCGTTGTTTGGCTGCTCCAGCAACGGAGTCTTTGTTGTAGTGCTTCATAGCTGATGCGGCTTTCTTCTGGCGGAAGGCAACAGGGTTCTTTGCGAGCTGGCGGGCAGTGTGTGTTCGACCATAACCAAGTGACTTGATGTGACGACGAGCTTTGCGTTTCGAGTTGATGTCCTCAAGCTGGTCAGGCGTCAAGGTGTGTTGACCACGAACATCTTCTTTCAAGGCGCTTTGGCTGCATAGTGGAGAGTACTCGACGTCTTTGCGGTCCCAGGGAAAGATGTGCTTCTAGTACATCTCTTCGATGTGCTCGGTTTGGACGAAGAACATACAAGTCAGGGTAGCCTCGAGAGCCAAGAAAAAAGCACGGACTTGGGGAACGTCACGTGGGCGTGGCATAGGAGCCCAGCAGAGAAGCCCAGTGTGTGTGATCTTGTAGCCCTGACGGAAAGCCTTGCGAACCATTTTCGGCAACCGACGACCATTCGGCTTGTATCCGCGGATTCGTTTGCGGACGCCTTCGTCAATGTCGGTGCCAGAGCCAAAGTAGACTTTGTAGCCTTTGACACCACGCTTCCTCATGACATGAGCGTAGAGTGCCCACAGCTTGCCTTTGGGATATGGCAGCTTCTTGAAGAAGGATTCGACAGGAGGTTTGAGCGAGTAGAGCTGACGCGTCAAGCCAGGTGCAGTGGTCAGACGCACCAAACGAGTGACTCGATCGAAAGCAGGTCGGTCATGGAAGATGGCGCCGAAGACAGGATTCTTGAACCAGCCGGGCGCTTCGACGTCAAGCAAGCTCCAGGTGTAATCTTCGAGAAGCTCACGAGCGGCGGTATGCATTCTGGACAATGTCCAAAGAAAGTGTGATGGAACATGGTGAAGAAGTTCGCAAGCCACAGATTTGTTTTGAATGCGAGCCAGCTCATGGTTGAGGGAAGGTGCAAGTGGTAGATGGTTGAGGGAAGGTGTGGATGCTGACAGTGCATGTGATGACACAACGGAAGCTTCGTTGAGGGAAGGTGCAAAGCAAGAAGCTGCGTAGCGCCGACAAGAATGTGAGAGCACGTGAAGCCTTCTTTCAGGGCAGGTGCGAAAGAAGAACCCGCACAGCTCGCACCGTGTGAAGAGACAACGAAGCCTTGGTTGAGGGTAGGTGGAGGAATGTTGGAGGAAGGTGCAGGAAGGAAGGTGGCTTGATAAGAGGGAAGTTGGGAGTCACTCTCAACTCTCAACAAGTCACTCTCGTAAAGCCACTCTCGTAAAGTCACTCTCGTAGAGTCACTCTCAAGTTAGCATCTAACAAAAGAAATTTTTTTTACTTACAGCCAGTGAACGGGGCAATGTATTGAAGGGGCTATTTTCTCTAAGTCAGCAAAGTTCAAAAATGCAGAATCGCCAATCGCAAAAACGTAAGGTAAGAAAATGACTGAAGCAAGACACAGTAACGCTCAGGTTATGGTTGTGCCCTCCGAGAGACGACACACAAAGTGGCATCTCCAAGTGCAATGTAGGGCAAAAATGTGACTGAAGCACAGCACAATAGCGATCAGAAACAGAGCATTGTCCACTGAGAGACGACTCGTTTCTGAGCTATCCCCGGCTGCAAAGTAGGGCACAAGTGTGACTGAAGCACAACACAATGGTGCCCAGAAACACTGGCGGAGAGAGGGGATGAGGTATCCCCAAGTGCGATGCAGGGCAAAAATGTAGTTGTGAAAAGGCAGGATAGTGTTCAGAAACAGAGTAGTGTCCACTGAGAGAGGACACGTGTCTGCAACTGGTGGGGAGGGAAAAGTGAAGTTTGTGCAAGAGAGGATGGATGAACTTACAGCAGCCTCGGAGGCGGTGGCGGCAACGACGATGGAGTACTTCATGGCGTCGTTCTCCTCAAGGGTCTGAACGAGCTGAGCGACGGTGGAACGCTTCTGACCGACGGCGACGTAGACGCAGTAAAGCTTCTTGGACTCATCGGAGGTGTTGTTCCAACGCTTCTGGTTGAGCATGGCGTCAAGAGCGACGGCAGTCTTACCGGTCTGACGGTCACCAATGATCAACTCACGCTGACCACGGCCGATGGGAACCATGGCGTCGACGGACTTGAGACCAGTCTGGACGGGCTGGGAGACGGACTGGCGGGGAAGAATACCGGGAGCCTTGAGCTGAGCACGGCGTCTCTCGGAGGACTTGATGGGGCCCTTGCCATCGATGGGGTTACCGAGAGCGTCGACGACACGGCCGAGAAGCTCCATACCGACGGGAATGTCGACAATCTCTCCGGTACGCTTGACGGTCTCACCCTCCTTGACGAGACGGTCAGAACCGAACAGGACGACACCGACCTGGCCGGCCTCGAGGTTCATGCACATGCCCTTGACACCGGAGGCGAACTCGACGAGCTCCTCGGCCTGGACGTTGGCCATACCGTGAACACGAGCGATACCATCACTGTTGATTATGTGTCAGTATATCCCATGCGTCTTGTTTGATGATGCTAGGATTGTTGTAGACGTACCCGACGGAAAGGACACGGCCGGTCTCGGCGAGACCAGACTCCTCCTGGACACCACGGATTCTCTGCTCGAGGATGGAAGAGACCTCAGTGGGGGAGGCCTTGTCGGCATAGCCGCGGAAAGAGTTGGCGACGGGAGCGACAGCGCGGGCCTGTAGGTAGGGAACATGTCAGTGAGGTGTTGCAAGACTTGGCAAAGGCGAGCAAGCTTCGACGTCGCCAGCGACAGCTCCAGCGCGCAACCGGCCAACACGACGCGCAGACAGCACCCATTGGGCGTGGCGACAGGTCCAATGATGGTTGTCTGACCCAATGTTGGCCAGACATAGCGTATTTCTCGAGCTTGTAGTCGCAGGCGAGGTGTCGGCGAGTAGTTGGAGCTTGTTGAAACGTACAGCTGAAATTCTCGACGAAGCAGCGGCGACGGTGGCCACGCGGGCGCTCTGGCGAAGGGCGCTTCTGAACATGATGACAGAAATTTCTCAGAAGCCCGATGGGTGTGACGGGTCCCAATGAAATGGAGGATGGAGTGGAGATAGAGGGTGATGAGAGGTCGGTTCTAGGAGGAGGGTGAGGTTGAACGAGATTTGCCGCAACGAAGCACTCGGATTGGGTGGTCAAAGCGCCCCACTGGCCACTCCTTTTGGCAGCTTTTTGAATTTCGTAGCTTGCTGAGCCCTGCTTATATCATGTATCTACACCTCTGTCTGTCCTTTGTACAGTGAAGCAAAACAGCCTGTCTTGCTCTTTCCTTGTTACTACAGCTTGTCCAGCTCTCAATGGTTTTCAGCTGAGCTTTGTTCCTTCTCGCCGAGCGATAGTGTGCCAGCTGTTTTGTCACCCCAGACAGAAGTTCCGACCGAGTCCTCCTTCCTTGTCCCGACCGATTCCGGGGACCAGCGGCTCCTCTCCACGATTTCCATGTTCACTCCTCGTTGCCAATCAACGAATGCTTTGTGTCAAACAGTATCTTGTCTCATACCTGCCAGAGGTTGAGCTTGTGTGTGTATCTAATCTAATCTTCTTAAATAATAACTACTCGTCATCACTCCAATGCACGCTGTCCTCATCGCTGAAATGGTCCAGTAAATCATCTCCCACTGACTGTGAGGTCTCTTCCACCTTAGCCCTTTTTTCAGTTGCTTCTGACTCTCGTCGGATGTTAGCAGCATCGAGGTTGTCCATGTCGTTCTTCACCCAGTCATCCAGGAATCGACTGATTTCGAATCTGACTGCTCGCAATGGATCAGCCCATGAAGCTTCTTGAGCTAGCTTCGCGGCAAGCTCATCCGCGCACAAGTAGTCATCCACATCTCTGAGTGATGTCCTGGCTCCAGCCCATAGCAAACCCTTGACCGTCTCGATGTTTCCTACGGCCACAGCGAGATGCAATGGCGTTCTGTGCAACGCGTCGGTAAGATCGAGAGTGGCTCCCTTCTTACAAAACAAGTCAACCAAGTCACCGTTACCATATATCGCAGCCCAGTGCAGCATGCTCTTGCCGCCATCCCATTCTCGACGATCGATGTTCAGTTTAGTATCGGTCTCCTCCAAGATCAAAAAAACGTCCCGTAGGCAGTTCTCTCTTGCTGCCTTCTCAAGGATCGAAATGTCTTGTCGATTCACCCAGGGATCTGCACCGCTTTCGAGAAGAAGACGGATGATGGGTACATCTCGTGAGCGAACAGCCATGGAAAGAGCACAATCACGGATTTCCTCGGTCCCAAATGGACAGCCAAGTTCTTCATACTGTTCGTCCTTTGGCGTATGTGTCTTTTGGTCAGACCCATAAAAGCTCAATAGTCTTTTGCTCGGCTTATAATAACACCATTCGTGAATGTCAGTTTCATCCCGATGGATTAGTGTCCTGCACCAATGCTCGTTCTGAAACTTTGCTGCCAATATGAGTGGGCTAGGGATTGGGTTGTAAACTTTCGACTCCCATGCCAGAGTGTCCTCAGCAATTGCTTGTACGCTGCTAGGCTCTGTTGGCTCTGTTGGCTCTGGTGGTTCGGGTGGTTCGGGTCTGCGCGCCACAGGGAAGCTGAGCAAAAGATTCACCATGTCGTCTTGTTGGTGATATATCGCGAGACTGAGCAAGTATTCATCAGGTAGCGTTTCGACCGTGGTGAACCTGACGCTGTCGTGGAGCAGCTCAACGCCATACTGGTTCTGAGTGAGAATCATCATCTCCAAAAGCCGACAATAATACAGTTCAGACAATCGGCCCCCAGCTTCGAGAAGCACATCGACGATACGTCTTCGAGACTCTTCTCGATTTTTTAGTACTTCTGGTATCGTTGGTTCAATCTCGCTGTTTGTGCTCCTGGAAGAATGACTGGAGGTTCTCGAGAGATAGGGCTTGTATATCTGTGCAGGTCGTAGCCAGATGAACATTGCTTTCTCCAGCGCGGTCGAAAGTTCTGCCTGACTGGCTGCAAGGTCTCGAACCAAAAGTTCTGTCGCTGCAAGATGACTTCTCTGGATTGCGAAGGTCAGTGCTTCAAAGCCATGAGCACCCTTGTGAGCACCTCTGTTCATAAGTGTCTCCATGATACCAGTGTCGCCAACCCGAGCTGCTGCCGCAAGTCCTGTCGATAGTTTGTCTTTCGTGTATCTGAATCTGCTGATAAGGTGACGCACAACTTCCGTGTGAGAGAACTTCGCAGCTCTAGCCAGTGCAGCGCCTGTTTCATCTTCTGCTCCTTGTTCAATGAGTAAGAGAATAGATGGCATGTGTCCGCCACCAGCTGCCGAAGTCAATGGATCAACCAGCTCCTCAGGTTCGAATGTATGATTGTTCAGAAAATATTCCAGAGGTTCGAACTGATGATATTCGGCTGCAGTGCATATGGCTTCGACTCTGTTTTCAGCACCCATACCGAGGAAGTACTTGACTGAGCGCATATCGCCCGCAGCACATGCTGCAAGAAGCCCAGAATCGACAGCTTTGTCGAACTCTGTGACTCTTGAACGGAAAACCTTGAGAACCTCGGCGGTTTCGCTGCGACCCCTCCTGGTTGTGCCGACCAGAATTGAGGCAAGATCTCCACGCCATTTCCTGGACATGCCCGAAGTTGTCAACTGAGCTTTGATGGGTTCGAGGAGAAGTTGCAACATGGGCTGATCTCCTTCGAAAGCAGCTGTTCGCAGTGCTGCTGCATTGACAGTCGCACCACCATGGTCGAGCAGGAAGCGCACCAGAGGTATGGAACCTGTCTTAGCCGCATGATTCAAAGCGTAATCCAACTGGCCAGGGGGACCGATAATCTTGTTGACATGCGCATTTTGCTCCTGGACTAGGCGTTTGACCTGTGGCAAGTCTGCTGTGATGCAAGCTCGATATAGCGCATCGTCGAGTTGTGTAGTGTCTTCCATGGTCGCAGAAGAGGACGGGATGGAGAATGTTGATGGAAGAAAGACAAATTCGATGCGACATATGCATCTGACGATAATAATTGCTTGCTTACCTACCTTTGTCGTGCAGACCCTGCCCAAGAGTCGTTCTGGTTCTCCCTTGGTCTGCCGATTTGGCGTCTGGCCAGATCCGCGGCACGATGGGCAGCAGGCCATTGCTACCCCGGTCTGCATGAATCGAGGCATGAAGCAAGTCTAGCCTACCTGCGGTAAAACGGGTCTTGCACCGCTGTCACTGGATTTGAGAATACGAGCAAATACTATAACAGTTGGGCAAACATTGATCCTTCGCCTATCCAAATCCATATGGTCTGGGGTTGGCGCGAGAGTGAAGAGTAGAGAACTGGCATCATTGATCGAACCCGATGGTCGGCAGTCTGGTCGGCATGACTTTCGCTGCCCTGTGCTTTCCGTGGCCGTGCCCTACACCTTGACCTCTGCTTCCGAGGTTCCCCTATAACACGAGCAACTAAATGCGATGATACAATACCGATCAACCTAGCCCTGCCATCAAATTGTCATGTAGAAACCGATCGGATTCCCCTGGATGTTTCATGACCAACTGTGTCTAGTCACTTTTTCCTGCTACGAACAATGACTCCCTCCTCGTTCACCTTCACTGGAGCCAACCATCTGAAGGATACACAGACATCTGACGTGCGATTCAGAGGCACGCATCGTTCATGAGCTCTGAAGACTTCTCTAGCACACTGCACAATCTCTCGCAACGGCTTGTCGTGTGTGATTAGTCTGTGACTCCAGAGTGTGGTGGCCACAGCAGGAGTAAACGCGCCACGATCGCCATGCAAATCTTGTTCGAGTTGTCGACAGTCACAGTCAATCCAGACCTCTCAAGATAACAAGGATGGTGGCATATCGGAAAGCTTCATTTCTGCCCAACTGCCCACAACGTCGGAGTCATGCGGGTCGTGGCCTTCTCGAAGAAAGTGTATGTCGACGATCATGCGATGTTTTGGTTGCTTGATGATGTTCTCATCCCACTCTTGCTTAAGCGGGAGTACGATATCCTTGGTGATATGTATAGGGCATGTCAGACAGTGAGCGAATGGGATGCAGCAAGTGTCACTGTCATTGAGCTCATCTGCAGGCTTGAAAGGAAGAGGCGCGAGATGTAGTTGAGCCGCCGAGGACAGTTGCACTGCATGACGAAGTGTACGGGAGGTTTCCAGGCATCTCATGAGTTCTGTACGATTGAGATTGCTAAGGATGGCATCTCCCAGCTCGCTGATACTGAAGATGCGGTCGAATGTCGTGTTTGCAGGTCGATCCCAAGTATGAGGAGGGTCCCAGTAATTTGCCAGTAACTCCAGAAAAGTTGTGCTCTGAGCTAGAGGTTGTCTTGCAGGCCTGGTTTGGTTCCCTACGAACTCAGGATGGTAGCGATTGTGCTGTATCTTACAGGACTGGATTCTTGTGGCACGATCCTGGCTTTCCTTTCTTAGATTCCATGTCGTCACGACCGTCTTGTTCGCTGCTGTTTCGAATTGGAGGTTCACAGGAGGATGGCCGAACGATACAAGGCCCGAGTGATTCTCCAGGTCAGAGACCGATTGGATGTTGGCCATTTTTGGAATCTGCAGGAGGATGGAGAAGCGACAATCTAGGGAGTGGAGCAACTGCTGGCTCGTCGGAAGAGTTGCAACAATTGCTACAACGGACAAGAGCTTAAAAGCTCGACAGTCAGTGTTGTGTGAAAGTCAGCTTGTCAAACACACGAAGGCTGCCTACATATGAGACAGTTGGTGACGAGACATAAGCACACCCAGCAATCAGGAGAGACATGTTGCGCTAGCGGAAGTAGGATAGACAAGGCTCTGTGAGATTTTAATGACAAGAATGAAATATATTTTGTACAATGATCTTGGTATACAAGGCTGGACGCCTACACCCAACCAGTCTTCCCTTCCATGTGTCAGCCCAGCTTGAAGTGTCATGGCTCATAACCGGGTAGCTTCACGAAGTAGATTTAAGCATCAACACCGCTCTCGATCTCGTCCAAGCCCTTTATCCTCAGTTCCTTGATCTTGAGCACAGTAAAGCGGTGCTTGCTCTTGACCGTCTCGACCCTCCTTTGTCTACGCTTTGTCTTCTCCTTAATACGCATGGGTTCAGCCTCGGTGCCCATGACAGTGGCTCTGCATACAAATAGTCTGTCGTCGATGTAGACGTGCTTGCCCTTTGCCAAGTGTGGCACAAAGTGGCCTCCATCAGGCATTCTTCTGCTTTCGGTGGCCAAGACGCTACCAGGTGTGGGATCGACGACCGAGATAGTAGATGCAGTGGGTGAACGAGAGTTGGCAGGTTGTGCGCCGGCCTTTAAAGTCAGGTCTCGCGAACCAAGTGACGAGGCGTGGGTCAAGCGCAGAATGTCGCCGGGCTGAACGCCATGCATGAGGAATGGCACACGCAGAGTGTCACCCTCAGTCAGGAGGTAAGGTCGATCATAGATGTGTGCGGTAATGTAATGGGGACCCTGAGCGCGGAGTACGGGCAATAATTCACGGACAGAATCGCTCAAGGCCGGAGGCGATTGAGAGGGTGTGGGTAGTTTAGGTGCGGATGCTGGGGCATGGTTGGCCGAAGGAGGAGCAGTTGCGGTGGCTGTGGACTTGGGAGGAGAGTCGACTTTTGCGGCGGAGGAGTTGAGAAGAACTTCTGGAGTGTTTGATGCGTCGGTCGTGTGCGAAACGCTGCTCAATTGTGCGGTAAAGGGAAGCAGGAAGGTCGGTGGCAGAAGACGCGAGTCCAGGCAGCACGCCCGTTTGGCAGCGCGAGAGAGAAACATGTTGTGTATTTGGCTACCAGTTCGAGACTCGGTCGCTGATTGAATCGACGCTCAGAAGATTATCGAGCCTGCCTTGAGAAATGCCAAGCCCCGAGAAATCCAGACGCAGGCAAGCAGGGACTTTGCCTCTCGCTCCTTCCCCGCAAGAAGCCCGTCTTTTTTCTGGCCGTGGTTCTCAATTCTTTACACCAACCCACGCCAAATTACCACACATAATCAACCGCCGCCATGCCTCAGAATGAGTATATGGAACGCTTTGCCAAGCAACATGGCAAGCGTCTCGACCACGATGAGCGCAAGCGCAAGAGACAGGCCAGAGAGGGCCACGCTGGCTCTGAGAAGGCTCAGAACTACCGCGGTCTGCGCGCAAAGCTGTACCAGGAGAAGCGCCGCAAGGAGAAGATCCAGATGAAGAAGCAGATCAGAGCCCACGAGGAGCGCAATGTAAAGTCAAGCGAAGCCGCAGAGCCCTCCAACACCCCTCTGCCCGCCTACCTGCTCGACCGCAGCAACGAGCAGAACGCAAAGGCTCTCTCCTCAGCCATCAAGAACAAGAGAGCCGAGAAGGCCGCCAAGTTCAGCGTACCCCTGCCCAAGGTCAGAGGTATCGCCGAGGAGGAGATGTTCAAGGTTGTCAAGACCGGAAAGAAGACTGCAAAGAAGAGCTGGAAGAGAATGATCACCAAGCCTACTTTTGTCGGTCCCGACTTTACTCGTCGTCCTGTCAAATACGAGAGGTTTGTTTCTGCCATCTTCAATTACTTTGACACATTCGTACTCACACAATCCTCAGATTCATCCGTCCCATGGGTCTCCGTTACAAGAAGGCAAACGTCACTCACCCCGAACTCGGTGTCACTGTCCAGCTCCCCATCATCTCCGTCAAGAAGAACCCCCAGAACCCCATGTACACTCAGCTCGGTGTCTTGACCAAGGGTACAATCATCGAGGTCAACGTTTCGGAACTTGGTCTTGTTACCGCTGGTGGAAAGGTCGTCTGGGGTCGTTGGGCCCAGGTTACCAACAACCCCGAGAACGATGGCTGCTTGAACGCTGTTTTGCTCGTTTAAGTGCAGGTCTTGTTCTCAGATGAACCTTTTTCGTTTCTTTGTGCATGGCGCCGGTGTTGGCGGAGTTCTATCAACCTGATTGGGGAGGTAGGGAGGAAATCTATTTGTGTTTCTAATCATTTCAAAAGAGCTGAGGAGGGCCGGAAAATGCGATACGGATATCTCGCAGAGGACTAGAGAATACCCTGGGACCATGAGAAAAGATGGGAGAAACATGCGAAATAGAATAGCATCGCATTGGAGCAAACAATGAAAATATTCATAAGCATTCAGATTCGAATCTCGCAAGATGTATCAAGGACCACCACCCAACGCCTTGCCTGATGCCAAAAAGTCACAGATAACATAATTTACAGTGCCTGGACGGCAGTCTGTAACAGACCACCAAGATCGTTCAATCCACCCTCCTCAGCCGTGATGATCCTCTTCGGAATTTCAAATTCGACCACTGGCGTCTTTTTCATCTCCTTGCCCAGCTCAGCATCGATCAAACCTTGGTAGTTGTGGTCCAAGAAATCTTCCATGTTGTAGTTCTTCTTTGTGAACTGCTCCTGAATGATTCTCGCCAGTGTTGCGACGTTGGGATGGTAGTGCGAGGCCAAAGTCTCAAGTTCCCAGAGCGATGAGTCAATGGCACCGGTCTCCATGGGGTCCATTTCGTCCATGGAGAAACAGTCGTCCATGCCTTCTGCCTCGAGCTTCTTCAGTTGTGATGCACCACGAACTTCGCGGTGGATCATGAATGTGCAAGTACGATGACGCAGCAACATGTTGTAAACCCAGGGCACTACTACGACGATGGCGGCAGGAGGTGCGTGCAGCGCTAGCCTTGACAATCTCTTGATGAAACTGGCGACCAGGGCTGATGGCAAATGGGTAGAGCTCATGAAGGTGTCGAGGAGGCGGAAGAAGCGACTGCGGTGTTTCGAGTGCAGTAGCGTGTCGTCGAGCAGAGAGTAGAGTTTCGTGTAGAAGGCAGGGTAATCGAGGTTCTTCTCAGCGATGAGGTAGAAGAGACCAGATAGCGCGAGCAGAGAAGTGGCACCACCAGCGTTGTAGCTGTCTGTCAAGAAATCCATGAGCGACTCGGGCTTAGTGAACCAGGGTACAATGCGGGTGGTCAGGTGGTGAAGAATGGATTTGCGCTCATCCTTAGTCAGAGCAGAGCGGAAGATAGCAAGCCACGCCTCTTGTGCTGTCTTGCGATGTGACGACAAGGACAGAAGAGCGTGCTTGCGACCTTCGGGAGTTTGTCCGTACCAATCCTCGAGTTGGGAGTCTGAGTCGGGAGCGTTCTCAATCAGGAGAAGCAGCGAGAGAGCGTTCGAGACCAGAGTTTGGCGGTCGTAGCCCTCGGGCGAGCGAGCCAGAATGTTTGCGACAGCGTAGAAGGTGAAGTAACGGACGTCGTCGTGCTCCTCGACAAACTTCTCGATGAATTCCTCGCGTGCACCAGAGGCATCTGGCGATGCCACAAGGCCCAAAATCAAATCCGCAAAGATACCAGTTCTCCAAGCCTGCTCAGCACGGCGACCATCCTGCGATGTCTCTTCCTTGACCAGGCGCATGAACAGGGTCAGGGCAGTGCTTTGGAGCTCCTCGCTCGCCAGCAGACGACCTAGCTGTCGGCCGTATTCCTTGTACTGTGTCTTGAGCCAGTCGACCTGTCCAATCTCTTCCTCGTCCATGGTCTTCTGCTTGACCATTCTCTCTGCAGCCATCAAGCGGCAGAAGGTACGGCAGAGAGCGACGGCAGCCGTGATTTTTTGAGTTGCATCTTTTGACTTGAGAAACTTGAGCAGACTGGTAATATTTGGGTAGTTTGACGGCGACTCGAGGACTTGTTGTTCCAGCAGGAGCATCTGGGCTTGCGGGTCGTCGTCGCCATCGTTGGTGGTAGCCTTTACTTTCTTGGACTTTGTAGGTTTTGCGACGGCGGTGGCATCGGTGCGCTTGCGTTTCTTCTCGACAAGTCCAGGCATCTCGAGATATTCAGTTGAATTGGAACTCCCTTTCGTGATCTCTGAAAAGTCGTCAATACGAAAAGTGGTCGTTCCTGCCTGTATAAAATAAATTCTTTGGCAGTTGCCCAATCGGGAAGATTCAGGGCTCGTCGCCGGAAATCGCCGCGGTCAGAGCTTGACAACGACCGACGACTGAGCGCGCTGCGGCAGGGCTGCCAAAGAGACCAGTGAATTGCTATCCGTACACCTCTCCGCTCTCTCCACATCCACATTCAACACAATGGCCTCTCGTGTTGCTCGCTCCGTCATGGGCGCCGCCCGCGCCCGTCCCACCGCCGCCGTCTCCTCCCTGCACAAGGCCGCCGTGCCCGCCGTCCAGGCCCGCCTGCAGAGCAACCAGCCCTCGCCCGAGCAGAAGGCCAAGAGCATCCTCGACTCCCTGCCCGGCAGCAACCTCTTGAGCAAGACCGCCATCCTCTCCGCCGGTGCCGGTGTCTCAATTGCCGCCATCAGCAACGAGCTTTACGTCGTCAACGAGGAGTCCATCGTCATGCTGTGTCTGCTTTCCGTCTACACCGGTATCGCCGTCTACGGAGGTCCCGCCTACAAGGAGTGGGCCGAGAACCAGACCAACAAGATCAAGAACATCCTCAACGCTGCCCGCAAGGACCACACCGATGCCGTCCAGAAGCGCATTGCCAGCGTCCAGGACCTCGGTGGTGTCGTTGACATTACCAAGTCGCTCTTTGCCGTTTCCAAGGTACTATCCACTCATGTTGCGAAACATCGATGTCACATATACTGACATGTTCAATCAGGAAACCGCTCAGCTCGAGGCCCAGGCTTACGAGCTCGAGCAAAAGGTCAACCTCGCCCACGAGGCCAAGTCCGTCCTCGACTCTTGGGTCCGCTACGAGGGTGCCGTCAAGGCCCGCCAGCAGAAGGAGCTCGCCGACTCCATCATCGCCAAGATTGACAAGGAGCTCGAGAACCCCAAGACCCTTAAGCAGATCCTCGACCAGGCTGTTGCTGACGTCGACCGCATCGTCTCCAAGGCTTAAATTTAGTCCATCGAACTCATTAGTTTGAGGTTGAGGGTTCTGTAAGCTGAGTTGACGAGGATGCAGGGCGATTTGGAGAAGTGGAACGAGGAATAAAAGACAAAAAGCACATGAGACTCTTTCGTTTTTGCGGAGTCTCGACCTGTGTAAATAGATCTATCTGTGCTATAGCGGAAACACCATTTTCTTTTTCTTCTTCCCGCCTCTTCTACTGTAATGCCAAGTTGCGTTCATCACGTCCATGAAATGTTCGAGAAGTCATCCGTACGACCGGATGAATCTGCCGAGCCATAGTCTTTGTGACGCGCATGATTTACATCAAAATGCACAAAGAGAACCTGCAAGTGAACAGCTCGAGGAAAATGATAGTAGAATGAATAACGAAAGAAGACTATATACACACTCTGGGCCGCAAGACCTATTAAGCTCTTCCACCAATGGTGTAGACACAAACAAACCCCCCTGAATTCAAGACATGCCACCCATACATTTCAATCCTTCCGCAATGCCCACGTATCGGATTTTCAGTGCTCCTAGAAACCAAAGGGGTTCTGTGGAGTCGCCTTCGACAGGTTGGCCCTACCTGTTGGCTGTGGCGTAAGTCTGGCAGCGGGCTGGACGCCAAAGCGAACTGGTGGAGCAGGACCGGTCTTTTGAGGCACAAGAGGCTGCAGGCCGGTAGGCTGAGCTGGCATGGGAGGCATAGGAGGTGGTGCTTGCTGTCCATAACTGCCAAAGCCGTTCTGTTGCTGAGCGTAACTCTGACCGAATTGGCTCTGAGGTGTGAAGCCTGTACGCTGGGGTTGAAGGGCTGGTGGAAGTCCTGTCTGCTGGGGCTGCAGGGGTTGGGGCATTCCGAACCCTGTTTGTTGGGGTTGCATGGTGTAAGATTGTGCCATACCAGTAGGCTGGGACTGGAAAATGGGACGAGGGGTAGGGTCGGCGAAAGGTGATCCCGTGGCCTGACCGTTGAGGAATGGCTGTTGCTGGCCATAGCCCGTGGCCTGTGGCATCTGATACTGTGCTTGGAAGCCTCCCTGCTGAGGGTGCTGCATGTAACCTGTTGCTTGAGGCATGAGACCTTGATAGCCAGGTTGCTGAGGGAATCCAGTCATTTGCTGTTGCTGGAATTGTTGCTGTTGTTGCAAACTCTGGAGGCTTTGACCAGGAGGTGCCTGGTAACCAGTCATTTGAGGTTGCAGAGCTGGCGGAGCAAAGCCTTGTTGAGGCAGGCCAGGAGCGGAAGCTGCACGTTGCGGCGGTGGTGCAATCATCGAATTGCCAGTCTGCATCTGTGCTGGAGCTGCAGGGCGCTGTCTCATGCCTGTCACTTGTGACTGCAATGGAGCTGGAGCAGCAAGTTTGTCGAAGAACGAAGGATCGGCACCGGTTCTTGCGGGCTGTTGTGGGGGCGCAGGAGGTGCCTGAGGAGCGGGTTGAGGTGCGGGCGTTGGTTGCAGTGCGGGAGAAAGTAAAGATAGATCCGACATGTTCTGAGTGAGCTTTGGAGGCTCGGGAGCGGGAGGTGCTGGCGGAGGTGAAGGAGCCTTTGCGGGCGTGGCAGCAGCGACTGGTGCTTCAACAGCTGGTACAGTCTTCGACGGCTTGACGTCCCACGCATCGTCATCGAATCCAGCAGAGGCAACCGCTCTAGCAGGAGCAGAAGCAAGGGGGGTCTCAACCTTGGGTGTTTCATCTTTCTGCTTGAATGCATCGGCGTCAACGACATCGTTTGTCTGGATGGCGGGAGCGGGCCTTCCCTTGCGTGTGTTGTTTCGCAAAGCGCCGCCAGGTCCAGAGAAGAGACCACCTTCACCATTGGTCGCACCATCAGCATCATCTTCACCAAAGCTCACATTCTTCTTCTGCCCAGTGCGACCAAATTTGTTGTCCAGATACTTCATCACACGGAGGATGTCGCCTTCTTTGAGACCGAGTGTGCGCAGCAGCTGGGTGTCGACATCAGGTAAAATTTCTTCGCCCATTTGATCGCGACTGAAGGCGGCAGCATAACGCTCGCAGATTTGTGGGTTCACACCAGCCCCGAGGAAGAAATCGAACCAGTCGTACTCGGGCTTCTGTTCGATGACAGCACCTGCTGTACCAGATTGCTGTAGTCGATCCGGTCGCTCCTTTCTCTTTTCAGTGCTTCTGCGTTTAATCTCCGAGAGCGGCTTGTCCTCGTCGAGGGAGACACCAGTCGCTCTTTCCACGTATTCGAGGTCTTCGATAGCCATCTTGCTAACGGGAACAGCAATCTTGACACCGTTCTGTTTGTGAAGATGGATTTTGCCGTCCTTCAAGCCGATAAATTCAGCCTCGACTTTGAAAGAACCAGATCTATCTGTCCAGGTGCGCACTCTTGCAGCGTTTGGCTCTGAATGTCGTTAGATTAATGCATGATGTGCCAAATTGCAAAACTTACTCGGTTTGTCGCTCTTGTCGCTCTTGCTGTGCCTACTCTTACGGTGGTCCTCTTTGGCCAAACTGCTGTGACGCTCGGGTCTGCTTCCATCATCTGAGTCGCGTACTGTCGAAGATCTAGCTGCTTCCCTCGTAAGGCGCTGTTCTTCGAGTCTGTTCTGCTCGACGGTGGAACGAGCGGAGTTAATGCCAGTGTAGGCTGACGATGGCTCGGGAAGAGTTCCAGTAACCTCGACATAGCTGCTAGGAACAACTCCTTCCTTTCCGTTCTTCAGGCGTTTGACCATCCACCACTCCTCGCTCTTGGTGTCATCCAAGATGACAACCTCGTCACCAATGACCACAGTGACTTCATCGTCTCCTTGCGCCATGAAATCATATAACATTGTACCCTTCTTTTTTCCGCCGGCACCCGTGCCAGAGCTGGCAGCCCAAACCTCGCGAAGTCCCTCAGCTTTCGAGGCACCAGCTAATTCGCTCAGAATACCAATAATTTCCTGGGCAGTGTCTTTTGCGCCAGCATGGAGATCAACACTCTTACTAGGGCGGACCAAGTCCAGGAAAACATGTTTGCCCTCAATCGAGTAGTTTGAAAGTCGATCGGCTGACCACTCTTGAGATGGACCATCTCGCGCCTTAGCAGGAGAGAGCGAAACCAGACCCTTGGCAAGGTTGATACCCAGAGTGATGGGCATCTTCTTGTTCTTTCCCATGTGCGAAACCACCTCTGATATATTATAGAGTCGGAAACCACCAGGCGACCTTAGAGCAGCCTCCTCGTCCTCAATAGCCATCGCTCTGTTGTAAGGAAGTGAAGTGCTGACGCCTTGTGGCTCGCGCTCAACTGGAGAGTAGATGGGTGAAGAAACAGGTTCGCGCGAAACGTTGGAGACTGGCCGTGGAGGCATACTAGGAGCCGGTTCATCTTCAGATTCGTCGGGAGTGTACTGAGGTCGGGAAGGTAAAGGTGGCGAAGCGAGACCGCGATCCACAGGTGCTTGATATGAGCGTGCCTGGTTTTGCGATTGGCCAGTCTTTTGTGCAATGATACCTGCGAGGGCAGCAGCCGGGTTCTGTACTGGACTCTCGGGCGGAGACTCGTTCCACTCGGCCTCCTCAGGCTCGGGCGAGGCGATTTGTGGGCGTGCGGGCATAGCAGGTGCAGCGGGAGCGACAGATGAAGCGGCACCAGCTGAAGCCTTTTCGATATAGATGGCTGGAGCAAATCCGTACTCGCCGTTCAAGCCAACAAGTGTCCAGTCGTCGTCCGACGTGTCGTAGACATCCAAACGGGCTTCTTCAGGAAATGAGATCTCCTCGTCAGTCTGCTTGGTGTAGTCATACAAGGCTTTTGCTTGGTAGAGAGGTTGCGCCTGAAGAGAAGTCAGCACAGACTAGCCAGAGGGGATTGGCAACGCGACAGACTTGTTCAATGTAGTTGTTTGGGATCAAGCCTTCTGGCTCATCTTCGTCGTCAGACATGGCCTTCTTCTTTGCTTTCCACCAGTCATCATCGGAATTGTTGTCCAAAACAAAAAGCAAGTCTCCCTCGCTCAGAGCCAATTCGCCCTCACTCTGGGGGACATAGTCGTAGATGGCTCGGTATACTCCGAGAAATGCCATGATGAACGGTAGGCCGTAATGCTAGAAGAATGGAGAGACGTGTTCACGACGAACGGCAGGAGCGTGTGAGGCGCAACGACTTGACGGCGTGTCAAGAAGTGATTAAGGGAGGCCGGCAAGATCGAGACGCCGAACAACAAGAAAGCGACGCGAATGCGTGAGTGGATGGCGCGTCCGAGAAGATCGAAGATGTCTTGCAGACAGTCGACGTTCAGACTGGGATGCCGTTCTGGCGTAGGAAACAGAGATGAACTGTAGTATCCAACGTCCAGCCAAATGCCATATGACGCTGTTGCTCCCGCGGCCGCTCAACCGACTTGGTAGCCAACGTCAAAGCTTTCTTATGCAACAAAGCTCTATTTTTGATTTATGCATACTGCAACCATTGCGTAGGCTTGACAACAGAGGTTTCGAATTTTATGGAAGTGCTCAACGGGCTCTTCGATTCGATTTGTCTATGAACTCAGCTGCTTCTCAGAGGTCTATGATTAGCTGTGACCAGAGCATTCGAAATAAAATGAATCTGCAGGTGCTCGATAAGGAACTCTGGACGTTTGGTTACCGGCTCCATACGCCAGCCGTCCATAGCCGGCAACCTATGCCAACTGAGTCGCTTGGCTCCCCTCGTTCCTTCCAAGAATCCTTGACGTGAATCTTAACCTGTGCCACACTGCATGCTTAGAACCACATGTGATAATTCTCCGAACGCTGTCCTCCCTGACATGTACCCATCTCCTTCCAATGTGAGCTTGCCATGTCGACATACCGCCATCCCGAGCTGGTATTGCCAGATACCCAACCGAGGCTTACACCTCGCAACCAACTCCTTGCCGAGAACATGCTGAAGACGACAAGATTACATGTGAGGCGCCGTATTCAATTATCAGTGCAACAAGCAAACAAGAAGTCCATATCGTATTGGCTTGATCAGAAACAACAGCACTCGACGCCTGGGAATCCTGCCTGCGATCGACTCTTTGCCGTACAAGAACTCGCTGATGCCATATTCGCCCTTCTTGATGATTTCCATGACATTGCATGTTGCTTGGCCGTCAATCGCACTATTCGACATGCCGTGCAGCAATCGGTCGCATCCGCGAGGATGTCCCTGCCCTTCGAGGAGTGCGAAGACCCACATCTGCTCTACATGGAGAAACAGCTCGACCTTGCTACCGCAACACCGCATTGGCAAAGACACTCTCAAAGGTTCTTCATGAACTCTGGTAATATTGTCTTCCCGAAAAATGCTCCAATGCCAATGCTGGTTTCGATCTACGATGTCGTCAATACTATTGGCGAACTTCGAAGAGGTCGTGTTGCCGTCGATATGTGGTTCTCGGCCACTGGACATAGTCCCAAGGATTTTGCGCTTGATGGCAGTTGGCTGAATTTGTCGTTACCTTTGCCGGATACTGTTGTTTGGATGGTCAGCATAACTTGCGATTGTCACAGGACTGTTTCGTTTCTCAATCGTCTGGACTACAGCGGAGAAGTAGATCCACGCACTTACAAAGATGGCACGCCGCTCGTCTTCCCATACAAGCTTGTCACTGAGTACGGTGACCACCTAAGGCAAATCGCTATGTATGCAAAGAAGGCGTATCGGATGCATCGCCACTGTCGGAATGATTCTGGTGACATTCCATCTGGACTGTCTTCTATCACCTTTGAGGCACTCAAACGTAAGCAGTCTGGCTTTGACTTGATAGATCCGTCGACATATTCAACTCGCCCCTCACCAAAGTTTCGAGCGAGGTTACCAAATTTGTGGAGTTCCCAAGAAATTCCACGCGAGAAGACCAGGAGAGAAATACTCGATGCTATAATGATAGAGCTTACAGCCCTTCCGTCAAGCCTCAGCTGGGATAAAGTGATGGGAAGTATATCGTCTGACGACGAACTTCTCGGGGTTGTCGTTCGAAGATCAGAACACATTCCATCCGAGGAGTTCGTATATACTCTGAAGAAACTTGGTCGGCTCTCGGCTTGGGATAAGTTGATGGGTCGTACTGAGGTGAAGCTAGGCTACTAATCATAATAAAGAATACAGCTATTGCAACGTGTCGATTGATTTACCACTGAAAGAACTCGAGATCCCTTGTACCAAGTCCTAACAAATCGAAGCTCATTTGCAGTTCCACAACCAAGCGAGACCCTGTATAGTCGCAGTGGAGATTTTCTTGAGATGTGAATTGGCCGTTGGGAAATGTGGCACGAAATCATGAACGTTTCTCGCGAAAGTGTGTTGGTTTGTGATATGTTGATTAGACGAGGAGACTGCGTCAAGATGGTACGACATTGCTTCAAGGTTTCTCCATCTCTACATCTATTGCGTGACTTCCTCCTCACCCTCCTGACTCTTGGGCTCATCTTCGACACCCTTCCAACCGGTCGCCGCTTGCACGAGCACCATGATGAGTCCAAGGCCAGCAGCGGCCAAGAACAGCCCTCTCAAGGCATCTTCGTAACCAGCAACAGCCTTGGCTTTCTTCGCTCCCTTCAACATACTGACCATAGCTGGGCTGCCCAAAAGCCGGCGAATAAGGTCAGCATCGCTGTCGTCAAACTTGTCTTCCAACGACTTTCTCAACAGGCGGGTAAACAATCCACCACCAATGGCTGAGCCGAAAGATCCAGCGAAGCCTCTAAAGGTGGCAATGAGTGAGGTAGCAATGTAATGCGTCGAAGCTGGTGTCAGATGCAGAAGATGAGCAAGTGTGTAGTTCATCGCCGCGCCAACGGTGAGACCATTCAAGAACAGCAGCAGAATGTACAGAGCCGAAGACGCTGCAGCAGTTGAAAGCATGGCGATGCCCACAAGAGTGATAGGGAACAAGAGGTATACCGTCACACAGGCAATGTAGAAACTACCCGGACGCCGAATGTGGAAGACACCAACAAGAATGCCTCCAAGTGCAAAACCGCCGTTCGTAGCGATCAGTATGCTGCCTGCAGCGGCAGGAGCCCAGCCACGTACTGCGAGAGTGTAGGTAGGTGTAAAGAAAAGGACACTCCAGCGAGCCATCATGAAGCCAACCGTACCCAAGCAAGTAAATGCCATGCCTCGAGACTTGAGCAGTGTGACCGGAATGATAGGATCGCCAGCCAGATACAATTCGTTGAGGACGAACGTCGCAAGAGCGATGACACTAAAGACAATAGGCAAGACAGGAATGCGGCGAGGGTTCGACAGTGCTGCGAGAAGCAGAACGATACCCACAGTCAAGGTAAGAGCACCAAGATAGTCCAATGCTCCTAGCTTCTTCCAGCTGCTCTCTTTACTGTTGCCTCTAGCAGCAGAGAATTGAGTCGGGATTGCCAAGTAGAGCGCTGTACCAGCGACAATAGCAAGCGGCGTTTGCATCCAGAAAAGCGCTCTCCAACCAACTTTGTTCACTAATGCACCTGCCACAGTCGCTCCAACCGCAACACCAACAGTAAATCCAGAGTTCAAGAGCCCAATTACAGCTCCACGCTTGGTGGGACCACTGAGCTCGAGCACAACAATGATGGAAACTGTAAAGACTCCAGCAGCCCCGATACCGGTAATGATACGTCCAATGATAAAGCTGGCGAAGGTTTGCGCGAAACTAGTAAACAGGGCACCTAATCCAAGGATGATAGCACTGCCGCTGATACAGTTTCTCGGGCTGAAGAGTTGACTGAGCTTTCCAGTCAATGGCGATGTAGACGATACAGCGATAAGATATGCTGATGTGAACCAGCTTGTTTTCTCAAAAGCATCAAGATCGGCTGCAATAGTAGATTGTGTTGTGGTAAGAAGCGAGATATTTGTAGCTGAGGCGTGTCAATGCTCTTCTCGATCTGAATTCAAGCATAAATTGTGATACATACCTTGTAAAAAGATCAATGATCCCAATGCGACGACACATATCGCCGCTCTTACTACGGAGATACGGCCCGAGTCATCCTCGACCTCGCTTTCGGGGAGGTACTCATTGCCTGCATCTACGGTACTTGGTTGTGGACCGAGTAGCGGCGCCCGCTCGTCCGCTGGTTTGGTGGTAGCACTCATTCAGAATTATGGCTCTTGGGACTCTGTTTGGTAAACAATCGATGCGAGAGTCTGGCGAATGTCGATGACGCAAGGAAACGTAGGAATTCAGCCGTAGAAATAATTCTTAGAGCACCTCGAGATGCGTGAAAAATCTGAATACAAATCGATGTTTGTGTCGTATGCTTTCCCTATCTTGATACAAAAGGGACTTGCATCAAGTTCTTGAGAAGCAGGTACGTGGATGGATATGGCAACAAGTTGATTTGTCAGATCAGGAAGGAGACCAGACGGACACGGCGGACTCTTCGGGCCGAGAGTGCCGATACGGATCTGTTTGACCTCACCTCCTTCGTTCCTGCCTCGACAACATTGTAAATTCGCAAAACTTCATTGAGTAAGCTATATTCGAATTGTCTCTGATGATATATCTCAAACAGAGCAACGTCCTGCAATGAAGTACCATGTCCTCTTGACTGTTGCAATCTCAATCCTCTAGGGCAACATATACAGCAAGCAGTTGTTCAAACACCTCCACCTTGGATGAGACAGATGTGCGCTGCCAACTCCGGTATATCCCTGATCCAATTCCTGAACTTTCCATTGGTATGTTTGAGTTGTCCATCAACATCGACATATAGAGCATCTGTAGCGAAGCACTTTCGCGCATTCATATCGGCAAGCACTTTTGCCAGTACGAGCTGCAGGCCTTGAATCTCGAAAAGCTCGTCATCAGGATTGGCGTAGACGTATCTCAGTGTTGCCTCAAAGTTGTCATTCATACAGTCGTGTGTCGTCAAACTCTCACGAAACGCGTTGGCGATACCCTCGAACAGCGTCATTATATACTTCTTCAATTCTTCAACGAAGTATTTGTCGGCAATCGTCCACATTCGCGCCAGGAAGAAGAGATCGCAGGCCTTTGGAGTTGTCTTGATCTTGTTGATGTCGGAGAATTCGAGGTGATAGAAAAAGTGTATCATTTCTCGAACCATTTCGGGGTCATCGCCTTCGTTCGGGTCGTGATTTTTCTTTTGATACGGGTTGGGATGTAGTATGAGCTGTCCGGATTTGCCTTCCTGGACCGAGTCAACTAAACTGTAAAACAATGGGCAGCTATAGCGGCCTACCTTGAACGATTCGTTGTCGGCAACTCGAGCGAGCGCGTCAGAGTAGTTTCGGAGCAATAGTTTATGCACCTTGAGTCTGTACGCTCCGCAAACTATCTCGAAGTCTGCATTGGTGCGATCGTGCCAAAGCCTATGTTTCTTTAGTCTCCGAGCCCACGCGCCGACGCGACCAACTTACGTTGACAGTAAATTCGTTGACGTTTTGAGCTTCAAATTTGTCGATAGCTCGGTCTGCATCTCGCTGATGTTGTTCTTACGGTTTGTCGGGTTAGGAGCGTAGGCGTGGTAGAGTGTCATGGCAGAAGACAAGTGAATGTTGAACAAATCAACGAGGATGGACGGGTGAAAGGCTTAAATGGATTGGCCTGCTGAACCCAGGGAAGCACCTGCGCAGAGAGAAGAGGAAGGAGCCAAGCGAATCGGAAGTTCAGAGCATATTGAACAACCCTCATAACGTGTGATACACTCACAGTAAAAACAAAACTGCTCCTACTCGTGCTGGCCTTTGTAAGTATAGCTTGGGAGAAGTATTCGCAGTTGATAGATGAGGTTAGTTAAGCGACTTTCCAAGTGAAAATGTGGTATTCGTATCGCGTCTTGTCTGAGCATTTTATTCGTCTGAACCAAGAGCCTGACTTTGCAGGTATTCCATCTCTCGACGCTTTCCTCTTGTTGTTGATCCTCTTCCGTCCAAGCCTCAGACATAGAATGACCGCGCCAGATCAAGACATGCTTGAGCAAGCTTGGAACCCAAGAATTACTTTGACAAGTTACACATCGATCCTTCTTAATAAGTCCATGGGTAATCATGATTCATCAATACGTAATGGTAGGCAAGGTAACATTACACCTGTATCTAAGGGCTAATGCGGAGTGCGTAGTTGCAACTATCTTCGAAAAGGAGGTAAATACTCATCCGAATTTTCTCCTGTCGAAGACCATCTCCTTCCCATATCTGAGCCTGGGATCAGCCAGCCACCCATGAGGCCATCCACGGGAAACACTGCCCTTATTTCAATCGAACAGACCAAAGAGGCCACCTATGGAACTAGATGAACGACGGGAATTGCAGGAGTTGGGCAATTTAGAGACCTCTTTCAGAACACTAAGGGTCAGCTCAGGGATCTCTGAGAACAGCTCGTCGTGCATCCTAGACCTCATGACCTCTCCCAACTCATATGCCAAAGCCTTTGCCACGATGGTCTTCAAGCCTATCTCGCTAGCTGGCTCCACAGTCTTCTTGTAGATGATCAGGCAAGCCTCCACGAGCTCTGGATGGAACACGTTGCTTGTCAGACTGTTACGAAAATCGCATATGACTGTTGCTTTCAAGCCTTCAATGAAGTACTTCTCGGCTAGCACGTATACCCTAGCGAGATAGACAAGAGACAGCTCGATCCGGGCGCCCTTGCGAGGTCTAGCTGAGATCACTCTGGCTTTGGAGGACAGCTCAAGATGATAGAAGTAATGAATCATCTCTTCGACGATCTCGGGGTCGTCTCCATCACCCAGATTGTCAAGGTTGCCTTCGTAGGAATTGGCCTTGAGCTGAAGCACTCCAGCAATAGCTTCCTACGCAGGAGTTAGGTCACTCGTATAGTAGATCCTGATGATGTGGGACGTACCTTGAAGGAGCGATTGTCGCAGGTTTTAGCGAGCACTTCAGAGTGAGCGCGAAGGATCGTCTTGTGTACTTTTGTTTTCTGGTCTGCGCAGTGGATCTCGAAGTCGGCATTTTCGCGGTCATCCCACAATCTGGTGCCATTCAGTAATGAGTCAAAACAGTCGTGACTGGGCACTTACTGCTGGAGAACTGATTTTCCGAAATGAGCTTTGAAGAGGTTGATGCTCCACGTTGACATGTCATGAGCTGTGCTGTTGGGTCTAGCTTCGTCCCATAAATGAGAGGCGCAGCGTGAGATAGGCGATGGTGGAGATGCCATAGCTCTAAATCGAAGGCAGCAAATTTTTGGGTGATGTCAAGTTCGAAAGGAAGAATTGAAGCAGAGGCAAAAGCACCGAAGTTTGTCTAGGACGAGCTCCAAGGCAGACGATTGAAAGAGATGTAGTGAAAGTGAGAGCGGGAGCGGGAGCAGTGAGATATTTGGAGAAGTCAGGAGGCAAGCGGATCGTGGAAAGATGTACAGAGGTCGGAAAACAAGGTTTAGGCGGAGGAAGTTGATGGAGAAGGTAATCTAAAGACTAGTGATGAAGCACCAATGCCGAACTGACCCAGGCCCCGACATCGACTCACTTTCTCGAAGAAACCTGCAACTAAGTTTATCCTCCAAAGGGATCCCCACTGCGCACCGAGTTCAACATCCGTCTCATGAATATTTCTCTCAATACATGGTGCAGCTTCAGAATGAAGCGCTAGTTGGTGACAGACTCGCTGACCATGTCTTCACTGTTCAGACCACCAAAGATGCAGTCACGCAGCATCTCACACATCTCCTTCGACTGAAGCAAGAAGGCGATGTGTGCCTTCAAGTACTCGATGAGGTACAGCTTCAGCTGCCAAACATGACCAGGGAAGTCTGGCTGGTCGAAGACCCAGCGGCAAAGCTTGGCAAAATCGTTCAAGAAGGGACCACTGACCTGCTGTTTGTTGCCGTTGAATTGAGGAAGACAGTCGCCCATGATGGCGGTCAAGGCCTTCACCACGTCAGGAGCGCGGAACTGGGTAGCGGTGCGGTGGACTTTGGCGAGGAAGCAGAGACGCTCGTATGCAGGCAACTGCGTGACGCGTTGAGAGATGCTGAACTTGTAGAAGAAGTGGATGACTTCTTCGATGTACTTGGGATCGTAGCGGTCAATGCGACCTGCATCGCTGTCATCGTGGCAGCGCTCGAGCTCGATCATGGTGAGATAAGTGCCCTGTGCTTGTCAGCGCTTTCTTCGTATTGTATCAGTGCGTTACTTACCTTGGGCTGAGGAGCAGAGAAGAGCTCTGCAAAGTACTCGCTGTTTGCAGCCAGGACTGAACGATGAACTTTCCAAGCGCATCCGTTGCACTTGATGCGGAAGTCGACGTCGCCTTGCTCGCGATTTTCCCACATCCTGACAACAAAATCAGTCGGTTGTGTCGAGTGTTTGTGTGTGGACTTCGTTGGTCGGTACTCACTTTTTGAGTAAAGCCAGGCTTGAGGCTTGCTTGTATTCTCTGCCCAGGGCGAGAGTGGTGGTGGACAACATATAGGTCTGTCCGTGACTGAGAGGCCTAGGAGACCACTCGAACCCGTAAGGTAGAGAGGCGTGGAGTGGCGCAGGACTGCTGGGAGTGTTGGGAGTGTTGCTGGAAGAGCGTAGGAGCTGGGCAGTGTCGTCGGACGTTTGGCTCGAAGAAGGCCTGCCGGCGATCTTGTCGCTGAGTCGATTTAGCAGTTTCATGGTTGTCGCACCGATGGCTGTTTGCGAGTAAACGAAGGTGTATTGACGTTGACGGGAACGACACAGAGAGCTCGACGAAGGACGACGCCTGAGTACTGATGCAACATCGCTCCCGCGAGTAACTCTGCTCGAGTGACTGAAGAAAGATCTCACTATGTTTCTGACCATCCTTCCCTCACTTCGTTGTTATCTGTCGTTTCAGCTGACTTACGAGTGATCCCAGAAGAAACTACCTACCTTACCGTACGTATACATGCGATGTCTCTTTGAATATATTCATACTGTACATCGTTGTCTCTGGACTCCAGACTTAATTGAAAGTCTTCAATAGGGATGCTCTACCTCAACGATTGGTCTAATCAAATGGATATGACTATTCTTAACAAAGGGGCAGTGGAGAAAAGATCGAAGAAATAAAAACTTAGTATGCTTGCCTTACTATGAGCCTACTGTTTGATAAGAGAGATTTGGTAATCTAGTAGCCATATTGCTGTCGACAGATAATTGAGAATCCGGTGACTATGTCAAAAGGGGAAGAAGTGAAAGTAAAGAGCAAGCTGAAGTGACGATTCTCAGCGGTTAAACTTCGGATGAAATGGTGAGCTCGCGGAAGCTGGTAGGTATCAAACGTTGTCTGTTTGTATGCAAGTGACTGTCCTTCTTAAGACTATCCTCCCTGTACTATGCGTACTAGGATTTGTACCATCAGAGCGTGGTCAAAGCAATTATCATTGGTGTACAAAGCTGATGTACCAAGCTACACATGATACAAGTATAGTCGATCGTCTCATTGTCCCTTTGCTCATTTCGCAAGCAGATCCCGGTCTTTCCTACAGTCTTCCCTGTTTTCCCTCGGTACAGCTTGTCGCGAGTCGGTCTTTGGAATAGGTGAGTTCTTTCTGGGTATCAGGAGCTTCGTGGTGGCCGACCGAGGTTGGTTCGTGGTTGTGCCAGTCCTTCTTGCCTTTCAATCTTCTTCGTTGTCTGATTGCTCATCTCCTGTATCTGGAAGACAAGTCTCTTCTCCACTTGAGGCTTCTTGAAGTCTGGGATTGGCCACGTCTGCTGAAGCTTCGACACTCAGGTGATAGTCGTAGAGCCACACAGGCTCCAGTATCTCCAGCTCTTGGAGATTTGTAGCCAGACCAGGAGAGTCATCCTCCGTGGCTTCAGTCATGGCATTTCTCAGCCTCATCATCTCGGGATCGTATTCTTTGAGAAGCTTCAACCATGCCGAATACTGTGTCACCCTGTACTTTTCCTCTGGTGCTCTCTCGACGACCCATCTACAGAAGGATGGGTTTGCGAAGCATTTCGGGCTCCAGGCATTCAAACGGACTTCTGCATACCAGTCGTACGCCGCTCTTTGAAGCTTAGGGCATCTTATCGCGAGACCCAGGTCGAAGAGTGTTGCCGCAGCGGATAGCTGGCCCCTGTCAGGGAAAAGCTTGGAGAGTTCTCTGAATCTCTCACCGACATCCCACTTCTGATCAATGGAGTAGGTCGCCATGGTAGGTTGCTTGCCATTGCGGAGAAAGAGCCAAGCTGTGTGTAGAGTTGCTTCGGTGAACCTATCTGTGTTTAGGCAAGCGGTCGGCGTTTTTGCCTCCTGAGCCCTCCAAACGTCTTCATCTTCGGTGTCGAGCTCGCCGTTGCTGTTCACGAGCAGGTGCAAGGTGTGAGATTCGTCGAGGTCTTTCTGCTCGAACATGGCAGAGTATCTCCCGACCTTGAAGCAACCGACCTTCTCACCATGCTGGCGCTTTTTGGGGCCTTCTCTCGGTGTTGATGGACTTGCGCTATCGGCGCGCTTGCGCTTGCGAGTCGGATTCATGAACCTGACATCAGGCATAGTGGCACCCTTGTCGGTCCTGTTGGTGGCAAGAACTTCGTTGCGAGCATCCTTTTCTTCTTCTCGCATCAGTCGTGATGGCTTTTGGTCACCCCTCATGCTGACAGACAACGCCTTGGATATGTCCGTGCTGTTTATCAACTTCTGATCGAGTGAAGAATGTCGGTTGGAGCAGAAGAGTCGTTGCACTTTCAACAGGAAACGGCACAAGGTCAGGAAAGAAATACAGTCGCAGACAGCGTTCACAGAGCTCGTGGGCCACTGCTGACCAGCACATGATTGTTGCGTCACGCGTCTCTCTAGCCGGGTTATGACATGAGCAGGCACAACTTCTCAGAACATTGCTGACAGCACATCTGGACGAACAGCAGGCCTTTCAGTAGGCAATGACCGTGTTCATGTCGCTGAGCCCCTGAAAAGACTCTCGTATTGGCTGTCTACATCGAAGAACCGATGAGCAAGCAAAAGTATAGTCTAGGCATGTATGATGCATCTGAATCTCACCGTTCGACACTCTGGGGTATATGCTGCTGTCAAGCATAAACTTGAAAGGGCGACAGCATCGAAGCTCGAAGCTCGAAGAGCATATTCACAAACAACCTACCTGGTGGAAATGATAAGGACTGATTGACACACACACACAATGCAGCAAGCATATAATAATCAACGAAGAGGAGAAAAGATTCAACAAAGCTACCATTTCTGCAAAGCGATAACCTTCTTCCAGATCGCGTTTCGATCATCCGTCACAGTGGTGCCTACGCATTCAGTCAGATATGTTTCCCAACCTTCTTCTTTCGAAGTCGCAAGTCCCTGACTGATCTCTTCGTTGCACTGCGTGGCCAGAAACCACGCCGCCGACGCGAAACTCCAGCGATTGCCGTTCACGAGCGCCAGAACTTCGACAGAACCTTCTTTTTCCGCCTCTTGCACCTGCTGCATCGATATGCCCGAATCGGTCATGTTTGCGGCTAGCCACTCGGCGTACTTGAGGTTGAAGGCTGGACTTTGCATGTTGCGAGTGCCTTGGCCTGGCACACCTGGAAAGTGGTTGATGTTGTACTTGAAAGAGCCAGACTCGTAGAGCATGAGCGAGAGCAGAGCGGCCTGTGTGCCAAAGGCATGTATTCCAAAAGAGTGGAAGGCCACGTTGATCCAGGGTGCTGCGTCGTCGGCATTTGCGCATTCTGAAGGATAAGGTGCTCTAGTGCAAGACGCGCTAATCGGTGCGATGGCTGTGATGTCTGCACTCGTGAGAGGCCTCATGTTACAGGGAGGAACAGGTGTGGCCGTGCAGGCAGGCAGTGCCAGTGAGAAGATAACGAACAATGCTTTGAGTCTCATGATGGTGAGTTTGAGTGATTTGATCTGGAGCTGAAGATCGTGAGAAAACGAGCGAAACACAAGGAAGGATATCTGAACTTGTAAGGACAAGATGATGGCGACAACAAAGAGCCAGGAAGATCATTAGAACATACAAGATCCTATCAGTGCGACATGTCGACTCTGAGAACAATCATCCAGCAAACCTCTCGACCGTGACTCTGTACTGTCCCACCTAACGACGGGGCCTTGGGGCAGCCAGCAGAGACACGGACGCTCTTAAACCGAGCCACAACGTTGTTTCATCTTCCCATCCAAGCGCGCATCACGCCGTAACCTCGCGCGCAAGGAGAAACCTGCCTAGCTCTTGGTGCAACGTTCAACTACGCGCCTGGTATCTTGCCCGCTCTCCATCACGACACAGCAATTCGAGACGTCGACGCACGCAGGTTGCGACCAAGCAAACTGTTGTCCACCGTGGTCAATAGCGAGACATGGACAATCATGCATGTCGCTCATCACCATCCTTCGTCAAGTCCGTGCACTTTCACCTAGTACGACTACCAGCAAGGAAGAACCGGTACGACATGTTTGATGGACTGCAGGTGGTCTCAGAACCAAATCTTTCCGCAATGAAGGCTGTCAAGACAGAAACCTTTTGTGCAATATCGTACCCAGCAAGGGGTATAGTCAAAGCTGAGACAGGGTTGTCCCTACGACAGGGATAATGAGACATGAAGATCTGCTGTGGATGCGAACTATGCTCCTTGGTAACCCTGCCTACATATGAGCTGCATATTCGAGCCGAGTTAGGTTGGTGTTCATGTAGAAAGCTAAACGTACGCTTCCGTTGGGTTAACTTGGCTGTTTTTGTTGTTGAAGCGCGAATTCACCAGGGGTTTATCGATGTCATGTACGAGCCCTCTTCACGACTACGATTACAAGAGCATACCGACACTCTTTTGGAACACGCTTCGTGGATGTGCATCAAGTCTGCAGAAAAGAATCCAAGTGATATCAAATCTCATATACGAGTATCGATCACTGGCCCAACTTGTCTCTTGCTTCTAGTAATTGGTTCGAAGGAAGATGAATGGCATTGTGTACAGCTTCCTGCATGATATCACGTACCGCCCACTTTTGCTGGAAAGAAAGACATGTTGGACAGAGATTTGAGAAAAACCTTTTACCTAGAACTTCTTTTGCCCAAAACGCCATCGCTAAGAGAAAGGGGTATATCAGTCGCCACGATCGTTTAACTCTCGCCTAGAGCTCATCGCAATCAATCACGCTTCTGCGCAGCTTGCGCCTGTAAGTTTTCTTACAATTGTCATCGCCCCAGAGCAGAACCGATGCGTCAGGGTTGACCAATGCACGCGGGTCATACGATGGTGTTTCGTCAACGATTGTAGCCATGATGCTCTCAATGTGGTTTTGCACATCATACAGCTTGTTCGGAAAATAGCAAAGTGCTTTGGTTGTAGGGCTGATACGATGGTGGAAGAGGGGTGTAAGGACCGTAACTCGTGGCTGTTCTTCTGGGAAGTCGAAGGGGAAGTGTAGGCGAACATTGACGATTGCGCCCGAAAGGTCAGTATCGTAGGGACCGAAGAAAGTGAGAGTCCAGACGAACGGATTGCCGTCAACGAGACCGAGTTCGAGAGAGGGGCCGTCGCTTGCAGCGTAGTAAGAGCGCAGCGAATCAAATTGATGTTGGAGGTTCATGGCTGTGCCGTGCTGATCGGTGAGTAACTGCTTGCCGTTCTTCGTCCAAGTGTTCTTTTCAGCTTCAAGAGCCTGCCAGACGCGCTCAAAGCGTGTTCTGAGGGAAGTATAGGCGTATTTGCCACGCATCTCATTACTGCTGTACTCGAACGGTGCATGCTCGAACTGCTTGCCATCCTTGACTTTTGTTGAGGCGCTGTCGATTGACTTGATGTAAGCATCGTAGTACCAGAGGAAGCGACGCTTGAAGAGGTCCGTGAAAGGGCTGAACTCGAGATCCGTGCCGTCCTCTTTCCCATCAGTTGAAGAGTGATGCTCTTTGACACCATCGTCATCGGAGTCGGCAGGTGCAGTATTCAGGGCTACGACAGTCGTTGTGTGATCATCGTCATCGATTTGGAGCAGCTGCTCGAGGCGCTGGAGCACCGTGATTCTGAGAGTCTCATGGTGTATCTGCCCAGTGACGATCAGCACTGTAATTGCTCGACAGGACACGATTCTCGGCCAACACGAGATGTTTGAGCAGTCGAGATGTGGATAAGCATATGAGACAAACCTTTTGCGCATACTCTCCAGCCTCCTTGTCAGAGATTTTGGTGGTCTCGAAGCCGGGCTCGTTTTCGTAAGGATTACAAGACATCAAAGACTGTATACTGATGAGCACGCTCTCCAGCCCTTGGGCGATACTCCATTGTTCGCCTCGTTCACCGCGCCATGTGCCTTGATTTGGTCAGTCTTGGAAGGAGGTTGGCAATGACGACGACAAGATATACCGAGAATACTGAGACAAACTTTCCCGCAAGCGTAGATGTTGGGGTTGAACCGACAACGACCTGAATTAGTTGTCAAGCATCTCACGGTTGGCGGTTGTGAAGGATAGGCGGGGCCAACTTTGACTTTGAACTCGAAGAGGCCAAACTCGTAGGGGGTTTCGGGAGGGCCGATGATTAGGCAGCGCAGATTACTGACATCTTGGTCAAGGTGAGCGACGGCAAGTGCTATTGCAATCAGTTGAGATAATTCGAATGAAAAGTGAAGGCAGGCGTACAAAGATCTGAGCCAGTTTGGAGTTCTTTGATCTCCTAGAAAACTGTCAGAAGTGAGGAATAAGCGACATTTGTATACTTGCTCTCAAGATGCGGATGGTAGATGTGTTGTTGACCATTTTGAGCAAGGTCAGTAGCGTGAAGGCTAGGTAGAGGTTGGTCGTGCTAACAAAAAGGCATGTCAAATGGCAAGGTTGAAGGGCCAAGAGAGACGTCGAATGCAAACTAGCAGTTGTAATGCTGCAGAGGAGAGAGAGAGAGTGTGTGTGTGTGTTGGTTGGTAGGGATGGGATGATTACTACTGCAAGCTAAAGATTCAAGACGCAGGCGGGGCAGGTACGGCGCTTGCTCAGCCAGACACGAGTGTGAGTGAGATTGAGGTTGAGAGTGAGACTGAGAGCGAGACGTCCACGTCTCTTGCATATGTCCACATTAGCAGGCTGGATTTCTTTGTGTCAAGATTGCGACAAGAGAAGAGAGTCAATGTCGGATGGGATGATTCGTGCTTTGAGATGGGCTGGCGCAGGCGTCCGTTGGTCGTCAACCGACGGGCTCCACACCGCCCTCGGTCTCCACGATTGTCGTAGACAGCGTCGAGAGAGCTTGAGCTTGAACCGCTGGTGATGATAGACAGTCGCGCGCATTCACCATGTTCGTACAGAAGAATATCGCGACCTGATTGAATATCGCTGACTTAGTCACCGCAGGGTCGTCTTTGCTCTGCTCGTCATCAACAAGGCTGGTGGACTCATTTACAATCGCACCTTTGCACCTGGTCTGCAGCAACTCAACTCGAACGACTATCTCATCCTGGCCGGCACCTTTCACGGCATCCATGCCATCTCACGCTCTCTATCCCCCGTCGCTCCCCCGTCCGCACCGCCAGGCAATCGCGCAAACCAAGCCACCGGCATTCAGTCGCTCGAGTCGTCGCATTTCCGTCTGACCTGCTTCCAAACTCCCACCGGCACAAAGTTCCTGCTCTTCACCAGCCCCGAGCAACCCAACACAGATCAGATCGCTCGCAGATGCTATGACATCTATGCCGACTTTGTCATGGCCAACCCCTTTTACAGTCTCGAGATGCCTATCCGCGTCGACAAGTTCGACAGAGCTCTGGCTGCCTATCTCATCCGCCCTTGACCACCTGTCACGAGCCATTTGACCCCCCTGACCGCCTGATTCTCGACCTGCGCACCAACTCCTTGTCTCTCGTCGAAGTTTACACTTCGCCCACCACCGTCATCTTGGCTGCAGGTCGCCTGTTGACATACCCACAATCTCGAGAGTACGGTCCTTTGCCCGGGCTCCTCACCCACTGCCACCATGAACTCGCTCAAACAAATGCGAGATTAACAAAGTCCATGTCGCGGTCCGTTCCGCTCTGAATGATGCTTCTTCTGCACGTCAGTGTCATGTCACGAACCCACATGTGTAACAACCAGTGTATCACTATCAACAAGACAGCAGAAACGTGTGGGTGGCCTGGCCATAAGGCTGCCTGTCCTGCTGTAGCCTAATCTCCACCCAACGACTCCGTGTTTGAAGGAACCAAGAGACCCCTGTCGCTCTACGGTTGTGCGATGAATCACGAGTCAGCCCGATCATGCCCGAATCACTGTCGTCTTGACTCAACGGCGCTGCTTAAGCTTGAGTTCACCATCTGTAATCAGAAACAACCATAGCGGTAGTCTAACTACCTGTATGTACTTATCTTACCTGCCCATGTGGCCACAACGAGCAATACATACGTGTAAGCTAAGCCAGTTGAATCTTGAGCTAGTGACTCGATCGTTCAAACGGCATAAACGTCATAAACTCGTGTCTATTCATAACCATAACATTTTACCTTCAACTTGCCCGTTGTGACCCTGCTGAATGGTACGTGAAAAGCATGAGCATGTGTTTGATTCTATCAGAGACTAGGCTGATCTCAGATGTGGAGTCCGGCCTTGACCGACAATTTTTGGCCAGCCTGAGCCATGTGCTGCGGGTGTGGCTTTGGTTGTCTCCTAGAAGTCCAAAATGATTTTATCGCCTTCTGATTTGGGAAAAACAGACTGCATCAATCTGTAAGGGTAGAAACGCTTAGTGGCGGAAGTAAAGACGCCAGGTTGTGTTTGACCGAGCTGATGAGAGCAGAGGTGTGAGGATGAAGAGAGTTGACGATCTCGAGTTTCCGCCGGGCTTGTTCTCGGACATGTGGCTGTAGCCTGTTCCGCCAGCCCCTCTCGCCGCGTGCGGCCCACGTTGTCCATCACCTAGATCGTAACTCCGTACTTTCAAGGTGTTTGCTGATCTCTTGCTCAAACGTGACTGCTTGTATCATCATACACACGAGCCGTTTCTGCCGCCTCGATCACGTCAAGGGTGAAGGATCAAAAAGCATATACTTTCTCTCGTGCATATTTCCCAGAACACAAGGGGCCTGTTTGCACGTCCATCAGATTCCTCCGCCGAGATCATGTTGAGGCGCGCCACTCGAAGGTCCACACGATAGTTGTGCGACATGACCGGAGAAAATGCTCAAGAATCAGCGCTCAGACGTCCACAGACTCGAATTGCTTTGGTAACTTTAACCACCCCATGATCTCTTGAATCATAAGCTTTGCCGTGACTGGCCGAAGAATCTCAACACCACAAGACTGATTGCAGTCTTGCAGATGACGTGCATTAGCCCGCCGCAGATATCTCCATGTATCTGTAACACAGGCAAGGTGGGGATGCCTCACCAGAAAGTCTGCAAAGGCTCAGCAGCATAGCGCACGGTTTATGCTGCTCTCTTTGCTCTGCTCTGTGACACGCTGTTTTTTTTTTCTTCCGGCTACCAGGATGACGAGGGAGAGTCTGCAATGCGTCCTGTTGTGACCACACAGGCGCACAAGAGTGATCCGTCGCGCTCCCTCACCTCAATCTGCAACCCCTGGCGTGCGTTGGGCCAGAACCGGGCTGTATCCTCATGCATTTAGGCACTGCTAACGGGCAGAAGGACAACAAAGACGATTGATGAACTGATTTCCATTATTCAATCTGCTCGGCACACGCGGAAGTAGATCTGGTTGCGCAACCCTGCCGATTGGTTCCCCATTTCCAACGCTGGGGAAGGCGTCCAGTCTGCGAGTGAGAGGGCGAATGGTGTCCCTGTACTCTGATGCTCTGTTCCTTCTTGGGCCTTCGGATAGGTAGAGCCGTCTGATCGGCAACAGGCAGTAGCAGCATCAGCAGTAAAAAATCTCCGCTGCACCACTCGAGACTCTCATTTCCTGACACCGCGAGGACTTGCCATGCTGCATCGTGTGTCGGCTGCAACCAGCGCCAACTTACATGTACACAGGCCATGTACACACAGCAAAATATCCGGATGTATATTCATCGTGCACTATAGAGTACTTTCAAGTGTAGTTATGGAGTTGATGTTTGGAGGAACAAAAAGACGCCCCCTTCCAAATCGCCAGTCTTGTCCTTGTCATGTAGATCCCGTGCACATCGCGGCAATGAGACATGGAAAGCGGAGCCTCGATATGTGTACGGCCGAATGGTTTTAGGAGCCCAAGAAACCCACCTGGCCCTTTTGGTTCCCGCTATTTTTCGCGGGCGCAGGGCTAGAGCAAAATCCACGTGCTGTGAGTTTCGTTGCCGATCCCAGACAGTGACCATTCCGAGGTCTGCATAGTTTCCTCTTTTCACGCGATACTCGTTGCAACTCTTGCTCTCATCTCTCCCGGCGTAACTCTTGTGAACCATTTCTCCCTCTTTCCCCTCCACAGGAACTCCTAGTCGCCCCTTCCATCCACGAAATTAACCGGACTCCGCAGCCTCTGACGGTTGCGCTTGCTTCTCGCACATTTCGAGACTCAATTGTTTCAGCTTCCGCAACTCTCAACTCTCTTCTTTGGCGCGTTGCGCAGGTCGGACCAGCGTCGAATGCAAGGCACGCTCTGACGGACAAAGGCAGCACCCCCTCACACCACGCTCTAGTCATCCCAGCACCTGGCCAAACATTTGACAGCACGACGGACTCCCGTCTCCCGTGTATCCAATCGCCTCTCCTCGTCAGACAGAAACCGGAGTCTGATGCTCTTGCTGCCGCTTCTGCTGCAATCTTCTTTTCAAACTCGGGTCAGCGCTCTGTGTGGATCAATTGCACCTCTCGTTTGTCTCTAATTTCGAGACCTTTCATCGAGGCGGTTTTCGTTTTATTTTTCTTCTTTTGTTCTAATTTTTTCGCTCCACGATCCACCCGAGCAACAGCGAAGGATTCGAAAAGGCATTGAATCAACTAGCTGAACACCACCACATCGGATTTGAATCAAGCGTTGGCCTTCTTCTCGTGAACGCCTATTGCAGCACCGTTGAAAAACCGCCGCATACATTTCTCTTTCCGCCAGCACACGCCATCTCTGCAGCCACATCCGCTTTCGAGGATCCTCATCGACATCTCCACGTTGTTGGCGCCTCCACAACTCTTCCTCATCCTCCTGTCCGCACCTCTTATTCTTTGGACTTTCCACAAAGGTATGCATTTTCTGTCTTCCCAATCAGTCAATCGTTCTTTTTGTTTTTTGGGCGGAGCACGTGAGCGTTGATTTGAGCAGACCACTTACGTTCTCCAGGATTTCTACTGGACAGCTTCGAATCTGCCTTTGCTTCGTGACCTCGCTACCGGAGTCACTCTCAAACTACCTCAAGCAGGTGACCCAAGGCTCCACTGCACAAAAGCAGATTTCGAATTCGTTGTTCTTTCTTTTGCGCGCTGCTCGTGAGCTCCATCCTTTTTAACCGTCGCTCGTGAACTCGTGAACACCATCCTCTTTCTCTCACGCTTCGACGTTGAACACGAACTTACCATACGACTTGCTCCTGGCATAAACATGGTCGACCAAAAAACGGACAATCAGCAACCTCAGCAACCCTCGCCATCTCAGATGCTACCTTCCATTGCAGCTCTGACGAACGGTCTGCCCAGCTCTAACCAGTACTCTCCTCCAAACCGACAGCCTTCTCATCTTCCCTCGAGGGACTCGGGCACTTGGCCGCCGATACATCCTCAGATGAAGCGTAAGTCAATTACTAGTCTCCTCCATGTCTACATCCCCAGCCAGGGATGTAGCTTCAGCTTTAGCGACGTTTTTGGTATCTGTCGATCTGGTCCGAACAGAGCTAACCTCTCTCAGCGGTCGAGTCTCACATGAACAACCAGTCTCTTCAAGTAGCAACCTTGCTGAACCCAGATGATGGTCAATCGAGGAACTCGATACCAAACACACCAACTTCGAACAGACTCTCTCAGCACCAACAGCAATCGAGTACAATCTTGCCGTCAATCAACCAGACCTTCGATGCAGGCAACCGTGGAAGTGTAGACTACCATCAGTCCTTCGACTCGCGCAGAAGTAGCATTGACAGCCGTGTCCATAATGGTATCTCTAACCTAGGTCTCAACAACCCTACGTCTCCTTACGAAAGCCAGAATGGCTCTCAAGTCTCATTGGCTGCCAGTCTCCGCCGGCCAAATAACGCAGGCCCTATGTCACCTATGAGTGGTCGTGGTAGCATTCGCGGCCAAGGTCCGAGAGTTGCGCCCCCAATCGTCGGTGCCTCTCGAGTTCCAGGCGGTCCTGACCCAATGGCTTCCAAGCCAACACCTGGTCATGCTTGGGCTTTCCCTGATGATCCTATCGCTGAAGAATCAAGGCGCGAGTCAAGCAGCGATGACTCTCAACGTCACAGCATCTCGAGGACCAACAGTTACGCCGCATCTTCTATCAGAAGCAGCATATTCTCCCAGAATGACGGCCTTCCCTACGGCCAGAGGCGATTTGATGAGGACGCACCAACCCACCACCACCACAGCATGAGCCAGCACAGAGTTTCTGCTCTTCAGAACGAGGCCAACATTTCGGGCGGTGGAAACTACAGCCGTACGCCAGAGTTGCGAATCAGCCACAAGCTTGCAGAGCGCAAGCGCCGCAGTGAGATGAAAGATCTCTTCGAAGAGCTCAACAGAGTCGTCCCAACCAATGGGGGCGCAAAAGCCAGCAAATGGGAGATTTTGACAAAGGGTGAGTTCAGCTGGATCATATTGTTCCAAGGAGCTATACTAACATAAAGCGTAGCGATTGATTACATCAAGAACACCCAGACTCAGGAAAGAGGGCTTATGAACGAGGTTCATCGCCTTCGTGATGCTTCGGAATACGCTCGCGAGGCGCAATCGACGATCGACAATCTTCAAACAGAAATTGCAGTCATGCAAGAACGTCTTAGAATGTTGGAGCCTGGCAATCCACACATCTACGGTGCATACACGTCGAAGATGTCACAAGCCCACGCTCAAGCCCAAGCCAATGGACAGCCTCGTCAGTTCTCCCTGCCTGCCATGAACGCTGTTCCTCCACCTCCGCAGCACTACAACGCAGCTAGTGCTGCCTCCCAGGGAATGCAAGGTGTAGAGTACGGCAATGCTCCCAGACATCACTAGGCTGATTTGCCTACAATCTCGAGACTAGCGGCAGATTCGAACTCAGACGAGACACTACGATGAACAACGACGATAATAGGGCGCAAAATGGAGTCTAATGCTTTTCGGATGGGATGCATCTGGTGTCGACAACGGGATCAACATACGGAGTTTTTCGCATACTGAGTGTATTCCTATCTAACATACGGGTGGTATCAGCAGCGCACTAAGCCTCTGAGGTAGACTTTCTCTTTTTTCTTTCTTCACGCTGTTTTTGTCGCCTACTTACAATTGACGGACTTGACAGGAGTTCTCGGCGATCACTTACTCTCTTTCATGTTTTAGTGGAAATACTTTGGGCGGAGTCTCACGACAGTCTTACTTGTGGATCAAGATGGTAAATCGATTAGCGTTCTGTTCATTCTAGCTATGATAATATCTCCATAAAAATTACCTCTCCACGCCCATCTTGATCCATTCAAAATGTCACATAGGTTCAGACATATAGTAGTAGGGCTACAGAAGATGGAGCACGGATAATGCGTGTACCTGCGGCGGCCGCGGGTACCGACTGCGAGACCTGGGGGAATCCTCAAGGAAGTGAACGTGTCTGACGAACAGGTTCGAGCACATGTTTCTTCTGGCGTTTGGAGAAAGGTCTGGGAGGGTCGATGTGGCTTGGTGGGCGCAGCTGGGTGGCTCAGCATGTACACAAGGTATTCGTCATTTGTCAATGAAACGAGCGGGCTGGCAGATAACGAGGCATTTTCGACGGCCTGTGTATATATCGTGAGGTGCCCTTGGACTTCGATTCAATTTCAACCAACCTTCACATCGATTGAGTGATATCACAGCAAAGGGTTACAAGCACTGCAAGCTTTCTTGACTCAAAGCCACAGCTGCGAACAAGCGTCATACCCAAGACCCTTAGTGCCTATCACAGCTGGATCGCGTCTCCGCACAGGTCCCAGGTCAGCAGACAAGTCGGCGATCACTTTTCATCCAGAAATCGCATCGTCCTTGAGATCGGACTCTCTCACCTACCTCTTTCTTGACCGTCAGTTCGGAAAGGCATTCCAAAGGTGAGTCGCGCAAGATTGTGGCGCCAAGGGGGATATCGGGTAGCGGCGTCCAAGACCGTATTGGCCAGCACAGCAATACGATACGCCGGTCGGACGCGTACTCAAACCATCTAAAATCAGGCGGACCGAAGGCTGACGAGAGTTTCGACTTTCTTTGCGCCACAGATCTTCTTGCTCTTAATATTCTCACTTGATCCTCACACCACAACCATCTCCCTACGCCCGTCGCATCCAAAATGTCCAACTACTACCCCCAGCAGCCCCAGCAGGCGTAAGTCGTAGCAAGACATCGCTCGAGATCGACCGCCAGCTGACCGAGTCATAGCTACTATGGTCCTCCTCAGGGTCAATATGGACCTCCCCAAGGCCAGTACGGTCCTCCTCAGGGCCAGTACTACCCTCCTCAACAACAAGTATGCATTGACTCTTCGAGTTATTCCACAACATCCTGACTCGATCTGCAGATGGGCTACCAGCAGGGACCTCCTCCCATGCAGCAAGCACCACCACAGAAGGATCGCGGCTGCCTGTCTTCCTGGTAAGAATCAAGAGCCGACAAGGACGACAAACCACGGACTAACACTCTACCACAGCTTGGCAGTATTGTGCTGTTGTTTCGTTTGCGAGGAAGGCTGCGAGTGTTGCGCCGACTGCTGTAAGTTTTCATCGAGCGACGACGAGGCAAAGGACACAGAACTGACAATACGGGCACAGGCGAATGCGCAGAGGACTGCTGTTAAACACGCAACAACACCGAGCCGGTCGAGCATGTCAGAAAATGGCGACATAAACAACCTGGACTCCAAGTCCGTCCATCACGAGGAAAAAGCAGTGGGCATGAGATGGAGCAGCCTGAGGAGACACGGCATACACACGTCTTGTCATCTAAGAGGTTGACTTGTTCTCTGCGATTCCCTTTTTCAATTCCGTCTACAGTCAGCGGCCTACAGCAAGGTCCCCTCATTTTCCTTTGTCCTTGACGAACTTATGCTTCTTCAGTAATTGGTTTAGTAGCAGCCACCGCTTCACGCGTCGAGGCGTCGTTTATACAATTTTGTTTTGCTTTGCATCCGACTTCGGCCAAGTGTGTCATTAGGTGTCGAACAGGATATTGTCAACAGATACACAAGAAAGTATCTAGCCAAGCGGTATGATGCGGGAAAATGGGACGGGTATTATGGCGTGTCCACTCAGGTGATGGTCGCGCCGCCGTGTGGAGAAGAGCCGTCAAGCTGCTGGACCCTCGAATCAACTTTTTTTTTGTATCTGCTTTTAACACCATCTTTCCATATTGCACTTGTCACCATGGTCAAGAGAAAGCACGAAACCACCGAGGCCGACTCGAACGGATCGGCCAGGAAGACAGCAAAGTCGCAGAGCGACGTCCACGCAAACTTTGGCGACAAGCTGTTCGACCGTAATGTCGTCACAAAGTACCGCGACGACTATGCGAAAAGCGGACCGTACGTAGCATAGACTGCTTGTATACAGCCTGCCTCTGACGCTCCGCAGCTACTTGCATACCGTTGTGTCTGGCCTGATCAACGACTCCCTCCTTCGTTCTGTCCGCCGCGAAATTATCGACAATGTCCACTTTACACCAAAAGAAACCGACATCTACAAGATTCACCAGTCTGGCGACCTTGCCAACCTCTCCGGTCTCGATCCCTCTGCACTCAAGCTGTTGCCCTCGCTGCTCACCTTGCGCGACTCGCTCTACTCTTCTGAATTCCGCGCATGGGTTTCGGAAGTCTCGGGCGCAGGCCCTCTGTCGGGAAAGAAGACGGACATGGCTGTCAACGTATACGCTCCTGGTTGCCATTTGCTGTGCCATGACGATGTCATTGGTACCAGACGTGTCAGCTACATCCTCTACTTGACCGATCCGGATACGCCATGGCAGCCCAACTGGGGCGGCGCATTGCGTTTGTACCCCACCGAGGAAAAGACAGACAGTGATGGCAAAAAGGTAAGAGTGCCACACTACGATTTCACAAAGGTCATCCCGCCAGCCTGGAACCAATTGTCCTTCTTCACGGTCCAGCCTGGTCAGAGTTTCCACGACGTTGAGGAGGTCTTCAAGCGCAAGGAGGGCGAAAGCGAGCATGATAATGGTCGTATTCGCATGGCCATCTCTGGCTGGTTCCACATTCCGCAAGAGGGAGAAGAGGGCTTTGAGCCAGGACTTGAAGAGAAGCTGGCTGAGCGCAGTTCGCTGCAACAGCTGCAGAGCAAGAACGACGAGTTTGACTTGCCTCAAGAACAGTGGATCGACCACGACGAGACGGCAGACAAGGCCGAGGGCGCAGAAGAGGAAGAGGTCGAGTTCGACGAGAAGGATATGGACTTCCTGATCCAGTACATGACGCCGCAATACCTCACACCGGATACAGTCGAGGAACTCTCCGAATTATTTGCCGAAGAGTCAAGTCTGCAGCTCGCCAACTTCCTCTCCAAGAAGTTCAGCGCGCGTCTGCGCGAAGACATCGAAGCTCACGACGGCAAAGATGAGCCCGCAACCGATGGTTGGGCCACAGCAACTCCTCCTCACAAGCACCGCTACCGTTTCAAGCACGCCAACCCTTCTGCTACCAACAACTCCGCTTACGACGAGCTTCTCAACAAATTCTTGCCCTCCCTCGCTTTCCGCAAATGGCTGAGTCTGGCTACCGGACTCACCCTAGCGAAGAGCAGCATTTTGGCGCGTCGCTTCCGCAAGAGCTTGGACTACACATTGGCAACTGGCTACAACAAGTCTGAAGCACAACTCGAATACTGCCTCAACGTCACACCTTCAAAAGGGTGGGGCGCCGATGAGGAGGAAGAGGAAGAAGAGGCTGCCAACGAAGCTGAGAAGAAAGGATCAAAAGAAAAGGGCAAAGCCAAGACCGCTACATCGAAAGAAGAGGAGGACGACAATGTAGGCGGCTACGAGCTATACATGGCTGGCGACGATGATGACGATGAAGATGAAGACGACGACGACGATGCTCACTCGGACCACGGCGTCAACATCCCTCCCAATGCTGCTTCAGCAACAGGCGCTGGCAATCGTCGCATCGCCAAGCACAAGAAGAAGGCAGCTGACCCTGCAATCTATCAAGCTGGCAACGAAGAAGACGACGGCATCCTTTTCTCGAATCCAGCAAACTGGAACACACTGTCTGTTGTTCTCAGAGATCGGGGCGTGCTGAGATTCGTCAAGTATGTCAGCGAGAGCGCCAAGGGTGACAGATGGGATGTCGTTGGCGCTGTCGAGGTGATTGATGACGATGATGACGAGGATGAGGATGGTGCTGAGGAGTAGAGCGATACTGTTCCGGATGTCCTGGAATTTATGTACATATATGTCTGATGATACGAACAGGCTACAATTGATAAACACCTAAAGGTGCTTCGTATTCGTACTTCCTGGTGTTCACACATTCGTGCTTCGATGCGATCGTGCTGCATGCAGATCTCCACAGATCTCGGAAACTCAAACACACCACGGTTCGGCGATCACAACTCACCGGTTCATGTCGTGCTCTGAGCATATCGTCAATCAACAGGACGCTGTGCTCGCCGGACCAGTTCGCATGTGCGAGCTGAGTAATCGCTCAAGAGCGTTCCATGTGGTGAGCTCGGCGGGGTAGAGACAATCGAACCAACCAATGCTCCCGTCCTGAGAGGATTCGCAACGCTATCATCTGTTGAATTCGGAAGGCTTAAGATCCGTAGTGGGATTAATAATGGCTGACAAGGCTATCGTAACTATATAAGTGCGAAGTAGCTTGACTTCTGAATCTTTCGTCTTTGGCACAACAACTCTTGTACTATCACATCCAACTACCAATATAGTCTCAAGCATAAGAGATGTCTCCCACAAGTGTTCCTGCCTCTGCAATCCTCAAACCGGGTTCTCTTATTCTCATCACTGGTGTGACCGGCTACATCGGTTCCCACCTAGCAGACCAACTACTACTCCGAGGATACAAGGTTCGCGGTGTGGTTAGAAAACCAGCTGAATGGTTATCCCAAACCTTCGATTCGAGATACGGAAAAGGCAACTTTGAAACATGCTTCGTGGCTGATTTGACCGATGAGGAAGCTCTGTCGAAAGCTATGCAAGGTACGGCTCTCTTACGATGGAGATTTGCACCTCCGGACATAATTCAGAGCAATCAATACTAAATAGCAAATTCAGGTGTCAGCGGTGTAGCCCACGTGGCCAGCGATGTCAGCTTCTCTCCAGACCCAAATGTCGTCATCCCCATTGCCGTCAACCTCGCAACCACTGCTCTCAAATCAGCAGCAAAAACTTCCTCTGTCCAGAGATTTGTCCTCACATCTTCATCAGCTGCAGCGTCGGTTTACGTACCCAAAACTCGTCGTACCATAACTGCTTCTTCTTGGGCTGATGGCGCCATCGAACAAGCCAAACAACCAGGCCCTTACACCCCAGACAGAGGTATTTCAACGTATGGCGCCTCTAAAGCGCTAGCCGAACAAGCCGTTTGGAACTGGGCCAAGGAAAACCCATCCAGTGATTTGGTCGTCAATACCGTGCTCCCTGACTTCAATCTTGGCCTACCTGTCTCGCCAGAACATCAAGGCTGGCCCAGTAGTGTAAACTTTGCAGTTGCACTCTTCAATGGTAATGTGCAATATGGAAGAATGCTTCCTCCGCAACATTACATTTCTGTGCAGGACACGGCATTGTTGCACATTGCTGCTTTGCTACACCCTGATGTGAAGAACGAGCGTATCTTTGGATTCGCAGAACCCAAGAGTGCAAACACCATCTTGAAGATGTACAAGGAGTTGTACCCGAGCAGAGAGTTTGCGGACCAAGATCCAGAGGAAGAAGAAGATGATTCAGTGGTCGAGGAGAAAGACAGAGCTGAAGAGTTGCTGAAATGGCTAGCGGGCAAAGAGTGGACGAAAATGAAGGACAGTCTGAAGGAGGTTGGAGACTATCTCGTGGAGCATGAGAAGGCTGGTTGATCAGGTACACCGTGTCAAGGAACCCAAAGGGTCTTTTGTTTTGTCATGAATTGAGTATGATTGAACGCGAGTATGACTACATTGATTGCCCTCTTCAACACGTAGCCCACGCAGTGATAAAGTCTCAGTTGGTATTTGTGGTGTAAGGACCACAGTAGGGCTCAAGACAAGCGGCACCCTCAGCACGGCACTCACTAGCACCATAAATAGCGTCGCATCGGTATTGGCAGCCATCGCAGAAGTAGTATTGAGGTGCAGCCAGAGTAGTTTGCTTGAGTGTGACCTCAAGACGAACGCAGTAGGGATAGCTATCTCCATCTCCAACTGTAATGTCGTAGAGCTTGAGTGGCTGGCTCAGATTGACATCAGTGTAGGAGTCGGGCTCTGGGAAAGGAAGAGGGTCTGGGCAAGCCATCCATGTGTACTTGCGAGTCTCATATTTGGTACGGATGGTAGGAGCTCCTAAGGTGCCGACAGTAGTGTTGTCGAGAATCATTTTGGTTCCTGTGTTGCGAGACACGTCCCAGACACCGATGCCTCTCTCTGCAGCACCTACAGCGGCGTACTTGAGTGATATACCACCGAACGAGTCGTCGAGACCCGCAGGCGACACTTGTTGGCCACCTTGCTGAAGGATGCCCATGAACCAGTATGTATTCGACGCAGCTGACCCACTGCCGTAGACTGGTCCTGATATGATCGTGGTGTTAGAAGCCGGACAATCAGGGTCGTAGTCAGGGCAGACGGCTGCAGCATCCTTGTTGATCCAGAAGAAACCACTGTCGGCATTGATGGGCTTGCCATGAATCTCAGGCACGCTCTCGTTGTAAGCGTACATGGTCCAGGCGGGTGCTGCCATGGCTGTGAGAGGAGCGGCCAATAGGCCAGCCAGAGTAAAAGTCTTCATGATTTGTTGCTTGAATGTTGAGTTCAAGAGAATCAATTAGCAGAAAAACACGACCAAAACACTCTTTATAAATCCGCAGTGATGATCTGCACTGCCAGAACCCGCCGCTCAAAATAGCCCATCTCAATTATCGTTATGACGCTCCACTGCGTGCGGCCTGAATCGCTACACATGCAGTCTCCCTTTCTAGCTTCGTATTTTCAACGAAAAGGATTGGAAGAAGCTTTGACTGCCCAACAATCGCTTCCGCGGGATATGTTTAGCAGCCAGAACGAGACTTGAACAGGTCCGCCATAATTGCACGACTGTGCAATCGAATGTCTGTATGCTCTATCAATTTCCCCATGTTGGCGGGTTGTCTCAGAGATCGAAAGTAGGAACGCCAACTTTGTGAGCCTGTGGCCCAAAGCTTGTGCCGGAGGCAGTGACATCTGAACCTCGGTTAAAGTAGCCTATAATATGGTCGTCTCATACGGTCGATGCTACTAACAAACAATATCAACAATCACTTCGCGTGCTCAAGCCCTCAACATCCAATACATGGCTCGCGTGACCAGCGCATGCTTAATAATTGCCTATGCAGCTATGCAGGGATGAGCATTCAAGTCCGGACACGGAGGAATTCGATGCTCTTCCTCCGGACGTGATCAATAGACACTCGTATTGAGGAAGAGATAAGAAGACAGGAAGTAGATCAACGAAATGGTGGACCTCTCGGAGAACTTCGAATACTCTTGCTTGATTCCAGTGACCTAGTATAATGGCAACATACCTCATCACCGGTGCTTCTAGAGGCATTGGACTTGAGCTTACCAAGCAACTGCTCAAGCTACCAGCCTCCCGAGTGTCTAAAGTCTTCGCTGTCGCTCGCAACTCTGAAGTCGATGCCATCAAGCAGCTTGTGCAAGAATATCCTGATCGCGTCTGCCCTGTCTCTGCTTCCATCGACGACGATACCAGTATCCAGAAGGCAGCTGAAATCGTCAAGACCAAGCTAGCTGGCCATGGACTCGATGTTCTGGTTAACAATGCTGGAATTGCTGGCACGACCTCTGGTTCAATAAAAGATATGGATCTCGACCAGCTGACCCAGATCTTGAACGTCAATGTGATAGGGACACAGAGGGTGTCTGCTGCTTTCATGTCTTTGCTCGAACAAGGCACACAAAAGAAGATCGTCAACATGTCTGTAAATCGTAACTAACCAGAAGTATCGGGAGAGCTGACAAGAAGATTAGGTCTTCCGGACTCGGCTCCTTTGCCTTTGCCGCTCGCACTGCTACAATGCCTACCGACGCATATATCATCTCGAAGACTGCGCTCAATATGCTTACTCTGAGATGGGCGAATCAGTACGCAGATGCTGGATTTACTATCGTTGCAATCTCTCCTGGTGTAAGCAACTTTTAAAAGATTTATGTGACGTTTGTTTACTGACGCTTCTTTCTAGTGGTTAAAGACAGATATGGGCCATGAACATGCAGACCTTAGCGTGGAGATGGGTGTGGCCGAAGTCAAGAGGCTCATATTGGAAAGCGGTAAAGAACAAAATGGAAAGTTCCTAAATATAAGAGTGCCCAAGACCGAAGGAATGGTCTTTGAGTACGATGGTAAAGGAATTGCTTGGTAGAGTGGGTGATGTTCTGCAGATTCGAAGGCTCAAGCAGTTTTCGTCCTACAGAATAAACCCTGATAAGTTGACCAAAGCAATTTCGACTTCGCTTCCAGACATAGCCATAGCATTCTTGACAAGACCGAGAGTCAAGGCTGGTTCATTGTATGCTCTCACCTTCAAATCTCTCAAACTCGACTGATCTTCGATGTACTCCTGCTGGTACTGGCGCTCTTGCTGTGGTTCTTTGTCCGTCCATTCTGCCCAGGGTTGCTTATTGAACCTCAGCTGAGATTTGTGCGATATGTCATGCACCGCTGATCCATTCATTAGTGATGTTAAGATGTGCTAACCATTGATGTGTGTAAGTCCGGTGAGAAGGTCAGGCCTCGGATCTTTGTACGAGGCCCTCTCGGCGAGCAAATCAATATCGCGAACTCAAGGGTCTCGAATGTAGAATCTCTCGCTCCCTTCTATATCGCAGCATAGCAGTGACTGGATAACAAGCGGCACAACAATCCGTCCGTATATGAGTCGTTATAAACTCATGTAGCACGCTAGTCCCAGAAGAGTAATGCTTGCGAGGCTTCCAGAAGCATGTTTTGTCAACACTGTAGCGTTAGTTACCAAAAAGTGACATGGTCAATGGTATAAGTTGTTTGATGTCCCGTGAAGATGTAAAAACTTATCCATTGAGAGGAACATAGCCACAGATACAATGACCGAAGTCGGGGAAGTGGCAGAACGCTTAACACTGCCTTCAGGGCTGGTCTTACAGAACAGACTGGTCAAGGCGGCCATGGCCGAGAAGCTTGCAAAGAATGGACAAGTCAGTGAGCAGCTCGAAAAACCATACCAGCAGTGGGGACGAGGCGGATGGGGAGCGATCATGACCGGCAAGCACCTACATGCTATACTATGCATAGCGCAAACTGACAACGACACTTAGGAAACGTGATGGTCGATGAAAGATACATGGGTTCACCACAAGACGCCGCTGTCCACCTAGGAACCAACGCGGAGACTGAGAAGTGGCGAAGAATTGCCCGCGCCATCAAAGCTCAAGGTGCACTCGCTATCATGCAAATCAACCACCCCGGACGTCAGTCTCCTGTTGGCGCAGGATCCCGTGGATTCTTGGATAAAAACATAGCCCCTAGTGCGGTACCACTCAATTTTGGGCAAAGTGTTGTCGTGAAGACACTGGTGAAGCTGCTATTTGGAACTCCTGCCGAGATGTCTACCACACAGATCCAGACGGTAATCAATCAGTTCGTGGATGCTGCCAAGTTAGCTCAGCAGACTGGCTTCGATGGTGTTACCATTCATGCAGCACACGGATACCTTCTCAGCGATTTCCTCTCGCCCAAATCAAACACCAGAACAGATGCTTACGGTGGTACACCGGAGAAAAGAGCAAAGATCATCGTGGACATCATCAGGGCCACCCGAGAGAGTTTAGGGGCGAAGTTCAGCATCAGTGTCAAGATGAACTCGTCTGATCAACAGTACGATGTCGAGTCTGATGCAGTTTTAAGACAGATTGACGTACTTGTCGCTCAGGACATCGATTTTCTTGAGGTTAGTGGAGGATCGTATGAGAACCCAAGGGTAAGCCATGCCTATAGTCCTTGTACCGATACAAAACTGACAAGAGTAGATGATTGGGGGTGATGAGCTACCAGCCAAATCAGAACGGACACAAAGGCGAGAAGCCTTCTTTCTCGATTTCGCGCTTGCAGTCCGCGAAAGACATCCTACGCTCTGTCTCATGCTTACGGGCGGATTCCGCACGCGAGCCGCCATGAACTCCGCACTGAATTCAAAAGGCTGCGATATGATTGGCATTGGAAGACCAGCTGTCCCAGTTCCAGACTTTCCTCGCTCAGTGATTGGTATTGGTGCCAGTAAGGAGATTAGTGAAGCAGAAGCTGGTTTGCAACTTCAAAAAGTCAAGGAGCCTTGGTTACTAAAGCATCTGCCGTTTCCCCAACTGCAAAGAACTTTGGCAGGAGGTGCTGAGACAGGTCACTATAGTGCAAAAATCGGACAGATGGGCAGCGCATAGATAAACACCATCAAGGAGTTTTACATACGAGGCCAAGCAAAGGTAGCTTCGACTGGCAGCGCGCGATTCTCCCATGCTTTTGCACGACGTCTTGAATTCCTATCTCAGCATCATCGAGCTGTTGACGGCTGTACTTTCATGGTGTAACGGCAACATTGTGCGAGTGCAATTGTGTTGGTTCAAAGAACTCGAGAAGTGCAGAGCGAAATGGGATGAGCGTCGCGTCAATTGCGGAGTGGGGCGGATGTGCCGAATTTTCTCCATGATCCATCCATCCCTTCAAACACGATCAATCTCGCTAGAAACGCAATCACGTCCAGCTGCTCCACTCTAACTCTGATCGATGCTGGGCTGCTGCTGCAAAGCCCTCGATGTTCTTGAAGGTGGCCTGAGGCCGTACTGCCCGGGGAAATCGTTCTTCAGGTGAATCGCGCGTTTGGCTCGGCCGCCAAGCTTGTCTTTGTTGTCGTCGCGTTTCACTATGACCAATCTTGACTCATATAAACAGCTCTAGGCTCGTGAGCAAAGCAGGATCTTCAAACTAGTAGGGAGAACGGCTATACCACAGTAGGTCCTCCAGAGGTAAGATTGGTTGACACGCGGCGTCGTCCATACAAAGGAGTACCGGCGCAGCCTTGTGTCGATCATACCTCGACATTATGCACTTACCTTGTTGTCATCTCAACTTCAAACATTCGAGAAACACTCTTGGCTTGCGAAATCTGGAGTGTTGACGCATGCTCGACTGAAGTGAAGTGCAGCACGTTCCAACCATGACTTGACACAGCCCTCCTTGCTCTGGTCTTAAAGTTTTAGGCATTGCCAACGATAGTCTCTGATCAGCCTGGTCGCTCCTGCTGTACTCACCACACTCTTTCCTTCTGGGCCAAGCCATTCCATTCATTTGATCACAATGCAATACAAAAGCCTCATCGCTCTTTCATCGCTTCTGTCGCTGGCGACAGCTGCTCCCAGAGGCTTTCTCTCCAAACGCATCGACCAGGATGAAATTACTTGGGGTCCCTTGATTGGTCTTGGGCCCACTGTTGATGGTGTCGAAATTGTAGGCGTTGTCGCCACGATCTACCCCGGAAATATGCCCAAGACACAAGCCGGTGGTCTTTACAACTGGATTGGAATCAACAACGAGACCGAGACGGGAGATTTGGTTCAAGGTATCGTCGGCTCATACAGCCATGGTGAAAGTGAATGCAAGGGTGCAAAGGCAGACTCATTATGGTATGAAGTTTAGACACGCCACAGTGGAGCGAAGTACTAACGAACGCCGAAGGTGTATCTCAGCAGAAGTTTATGGATGGGACACCAAATTGAATGACTGGAACCAATATGTTGGTGACGAACGTACGCTGGCCGCGACTCCTGAAGACGGAATCACTTTCAACTACACTCTGATCAACCAGAAGACCGGATTGTGGTATCAGACTGCTCGCAATGCCCGCACTGGAGCACTGTACGCCCAATACAACAAGACTTCACCAACCATGACGATGGTCAACACTGCCGTTGAGTGCCAGTCGTGCACGCCTCCAATCGATGTTCAATACTGGAAAGATATCACCATCAAACTATCTGGGGCCGACAAGAACTTTGGCAGTACACTCTATCAATCGAACAATGCGACCAACACGGAGCCCTTCACCAACGATCACGGCAAGATTTGGAGAATTCAGAATGTCACCATTCCAGTGGTTCCGCCGGTCGCTGACGTTGTCGCATAAAGCTGTGGTATACGAACTAGAACTAAATTCTGTATATAACCCGGATCCTTGTAGGGTTCGCTGAAATACTACATAAGACAGAAAGAATTTTCTAATCTCATATTCCAGTCGCCGTGCAAAGCAATACGAATTGGCACTTCCTGGTACCTTCCGGAAGATCATCAGCATCCGAATGTCGATACAATCGCCAGAAAAAGTATGAGAGTCTTGCGGCTTTTGATGTGCTTCAGGGAATGTTTGAGAGCATAATGATTCGGCGAGAGAATCAGAAAGGAGTAATGGACGACTTCCCCGCAGCGGGACCGACTTGCCCGGCTCAAGCTGATAACTAAGCCCTAATCTCTCCTTGGCCTCGCCGACCTTCTTGACCGATATCGTTCGGCCAGACAAAGGAGAGATATGAGCAGATCAGAGGATCTTATGACTCACTGGAGGAAGGCCATTGGAAACTCATAACCTTGTATAACCTTCATGGGATCAAAGTTGCTTTCCGCCTTTTGTATATTGATATATACTGCTGGAATAAAGTGGCGAGATGGCACTCGGATTACCGATCTTCGCACTAATTGTTGTCGTCCTTCTGATCTTGAGATTCCGGTCTCGTCCCAAAGAACAACGTGGTCAAATCAAAGACAATGGTAAGGCATCATGAAGGAGTAGCGCTTTACGCAAAACATCGTTTACAAGCTAGCAGAACCCACTACGATCGATCTCTCAGGTGTCCAACCATGCGCGGCTGACTTCGACTGGCGGACAAGCGAACCGATTGCTTATAGACCGTGGCATAATGGCCCATACCATGTCACTATGGGTAAGAGAAGCCTCAACTACTGCCCAAGCGGCACGATATTGATCGAACTCATCAGGCATCAAACGCACTGCCGTTCAAGACTGGATCGAAATTGATAACACATATCTGGACAAAATAGCTTTGAAAAGAGAGCTGTTCGAGAAGCAAAGAGATGTGGTAACGCAAGTTCTACCAGGATGTGAAGAAGCGGCATTCGAGGGATTGTACCTGCTTGCTGAGTACCTTCCACGCCGGTATCCCACCATGTTCAAGTGGACGGAGAAAAAGACCATCGAGAATTTGGCGACCAAAGAGAAATGGGATCTGACCAGGAGTGCTCCAACATGGAACCACTATCATCCTCTTGAAGTTATGGCATTGCTTGCACCAGAAGATTTCGTCATTCTGCAAACGGACCCGGCAACAGGCGTATCTTCGCTGAAGGCCGGAGCAGTCTGCTTTCCAGGCAAGTCAATCACGTAAATGGATCTAACAACATCTGACTGTAAGACAGCCGGATGGAGAATGCAGGATCGAATTGGACACAGTCTGTGGCAGATCCATGCGGGCAGGGTACCTCAATACGAGACCAAACTCGCCAAATCGATGGATCGTTTCTTCATGCGTATGCAGGTCGGTTCTGCGATCACAAGGTTCAACTACGCGATCGACGACTCGGACGAGCTCTACCATCCACACTCACACCATAATCTCAGTGTAGACAAGAAGGTCCGCCTGGAAGACTTACATCTCCGAGTAGAGAGACAATTCCTTCAACGTCTGCCGAAAACAAGAGCTCTGCTCTTCTCTATTCGGACATATATCACACCCATTACCGAAGTGACGAAAGACAAAGAAGTTGCAGCCGCTTTACGGACCAGTGTTGGAAGCTTTACAGAGGATGTGGCTGGGTACAAAAACAAGGCACTGTGGGACTCAGTCTTGTCTGAACATCTCAAGCAGGTATTGGAGGGCGAGAAGGGAGTGTCTGATTCATGATACAATGAACTTAGACTAATCTGATACTATCAATGCACTGATCGGATTACCGAATCTCTAGCGGTGAAAGAAGTAAAAACGAAGTCTGGCATGAGAGTTCCCCAGTTCTTGGCTATGTATCGAGCATGGCAGAGTGACCATATCAACAAAATTGATCAAATAAAACCGGAGCTGTGGTATGGTAGACAATCCTGTATCGATCTAGACTTGCCGTCGGTCTACAGACGTGCGTCTGCCAACGCGGTTGATCGGAAACGAATTCCGGTGTTAATTAGCTTGTGCCCTTTCACCCAGATCTAATGATATGAACCCGTGCCCAAGCCACTCAACATCAACTGATGTCTGATCAAAGAGACTCTAGCTACTGTGCAGCCTATCAACATACCCGACCAAAGAATTTACGCCACGTCAAATTATGATTGACGCTTAGTGACATGCACATCAGCCCTTAATTACGTTCTCCACAAGTTTAGCTGCTCTCAAAACATCCTCATCGTGGAAATGCTTGCCAGCAAGCTGAAGAGTGATGGGGAAACCATCAAAGAGCTCAGGGTCATCTATGGTATCACGTTAGCATTGACCCACTCAGTCATTCTATCGCCAACTTACAAGCTTCGAATTCAGCCTTGTCCTTCTCGTTCAAGGGCGAGTAACCCTCTTCGATGATATCAATATTCTTGTCGACAGACATACCTGTTGGGAATACCACAGCCGGCTGGTCAAGGATATTCCACAGACTCGTGTAGCCCCAGTACTTTGCACCATGCTGCTTGACACCTGCGCCCACGTATGCAGGACACAAGATAACATCCACACCACGCTCTTTCATTAAAGCATGATACTCGCGCCTGTAGTTCTCACGCATCACGTTAAGATCCCAATTCTCAGAGATGGAGATCGCCTTGGAGTAATTCAAGGCATGGCGTGTGAGCGGTAGCATGGGTTCGCCAGAAGCTGCGAGAGCATCTTCGATACGTTTGCCGCCATCAGGGAAGTATAGAGCCGAGACGATGTCCCAAGCATGATCATGCTTGTAGTTTTCCCAGTCAACAACTTTGACTCCGGCGGCGTGGAGCTTGGACTTGGCAGTCTCTAGTGCGCGGATGAGAGGAGGGTGAGGTTTGACTATCCCATCGGTCATCATGATACCGACGGTGATGTTTTTAGGCGTCTCAAGCTCGCCCCTCCATGGCACAGGAGCCAATGTCGTGTCAATATCATGAGGGTTGAGATCAATCAATGCCTTCTGAAACAGCCAAAGATCATCAATGCTCTGACCAAGAGGGCCTATCACACCCTTGATACTCTCCTGTCCACCGAGTACACCATGGAGACCAAGACCAGAATTACGGAGAGTGGTGGGTCGGAGTCCATAAGAATTGTTGAATGCAGCAGGAGCACGGATACTACCACCGATATCTGTGCCGACACCAAGCACAGCACATTTGAAGCCCATTGATGCTCCTTCGCCGCCTGACGATCCACCAGGAGAGAGCTTGAGGTTATAGGGGTTGAGCGTTGTTCCAGTGATGTTGTTCTCACAGTCCAAGTGCATCAAAGATTGTGGCTGATTGGTCCGTACGGTGCATACCGCACCTGCCTTCTTGAGTAGTTGAACAAGCAACGCGTCTTCCTTGGCTATGTTGTCAATTTCACTCACGAAGCCAGCGTGGGTGATCTTGCCACCATACGAGACATGTTCTTTGACACTGACAGGAATGCCATGAAGTGGACCGATGAGTTTACCCGTGGATTCGAAATGCTTGTCCAGGGCTTTTGCGGTTTCCAACGCTTCTTCGGTGAGGAACTCAGTAGCAAAGTTGAGCTGTTCGTTTTAGTTAAAAACTGCTTGCAATGTTGAGAGAGCTAGCGAACTTACAAGTTGTTGTCCGATTGTAGCTCGTTTGAGAAATGCAACGGTGACATCCTCGACCTTCCACGCACCAGACTGATACTTGCTCAAAAGCCCAGCAGCAGTTTGTTCGGTCATGTCAAGCTCCTCAGCAGAAAGAATGCCGCATGTGTAAGGGACTTTGGTAACATTGAGCTGTTGCTTGGTGGGAAGCTTATCTGCAGGAAGAAGCCATTGCTTGGAGATTGAATTCTCAAGAATATCACGGCAAATTTGAGCCTTGCTTTCCCAGTCTTTTGCTGCAGGCATATTGTACGATGTGCGATTGTGTTTTTGAACAAAAAACTCAGACAAGTTTGATTTTCATACGTTAGAGAAAGAGAGGAGGAAAGAAGAGTGGGAAAGATAACTGACCACGAGTAGTCCTACACTATCAGGGCTGACCGTCCACATCAGGCAAGTTGATGCGAACAGGTCGATTGATAAGCTCTACTCCACTCACATTTTGATGCATACATATGCGATAACCGTCTCATGATAGGCCTGTGCCCGGCCAACACTACCAGAGAATACCAGTTGATAATAAAATGATAAGAGTGTAGATCGAACGTAGGAGAGGGGGCGGAGGTTGGAGAATGTGGGCCTAGGTCTTGGCGTCGGCGTTCGACTTCTTGCGGCGACGAGCAGGATATCCGCGAGGAAGGGGCCTCCGAATGCTATCCTCGTGCTGAACCCCATTTTGATGGATGACAGTAAAATTGCATAATGACGGGTGTTACCAGATCTCTGTTGCATCGATGTGTCTTGGCATCTGCATGTCTGCAGTCGGCCTATCTCGCTAAGAAGCAAAAGGTGAATGCTGCATTGAGACATGATAGGCAAACATCGGGGTAGGCCCTTCCAGTAGTGAAGCACGAGATATGAGAAGGTCGTCGATCCTCGTAAGTTCACCTTCCGTTTGAACATTGTTTGACCTTCAACTTCCAAGATGTCCAGCAATGTCCACGACGATAGTATCGCACCAGGTACTGTCAGGCTTATCGATGCCAATGGGGAACTCAATGTCAAGCACTCCGAGGGCCATGGCGACATCATCCTTGTGCCGACACCATCTGGTCAGCATTCTATCTGGTCATTTTATTGTGCCTGAAGCTGACTTCCTGGGCAGAGGATCCAGAAGATCCACTCAACTGGACAAAGAAGCGCAAGTTATTGCATACTGCTTGTATGGTTATGTACACTGTGATGATGGTATTTCCCTCGGCCGCTGTCTACTCGGTCGCCAAGCCCATATCTACCTCTACTGGCATCTCCATCACGACAATCAACAGAGGCACCGGTGTCATGTTCCTCTTATACGGATGGTCGACAGTCTTTTGGCAAGCAGTTGCGTTGCAATACGGAAAGCGCCCAATCTACCTGATTTCTGCAGCTGCATCGGTTGTAGTCATGGCGGTTGCACCAATGTGTCGTTCTTCTGAAACATATCTGGCAATCAGAATCCTCCAGGTAATTTGCCCTCTTCTCTGGCCGAGGAGAACATATTGTACTGATTAACTAAGGGATTCTTTGGCGGTCCGGTCGAGAGTCTTTGTGAAATCAGTATGACCGACATTGTAAGTGCGGTTGACATCATGGTCGTACCAAAAAGCCACGACTAACAAGTTACAGTGGTTCGCCCACGAGCGACCTCTCTATATCGCCCTCTATGGCGTCTCACTTGGTGCTTCTGGCAAGCTGGCCCCCGTTTTCAGTGCATTCATCAACAGTGGCATGGGCTGGGAATGGACCTTGGTCAGTGTCTACCCATGGTGCATCAATTCTTGCCTAATGCTGACATTTAATAGTGGTGGTGTGCTATAGGTATTGGTATCGCTTTCGTCTTCTGCCTTCTGCTCATGGAAGAGACAAACTACGACCGTCACACCACACAATCGTCATCGCCCAACTCACAGGCTATTTTTGAAGGCGTCAGCGAGCTTGGGCTATCTGAAAACGAGAAGGCCACCGCCAAGGATGATGTCCAAGTCAGCAATTCACCGCTCTCGAACGAGAAAAGGTCTTCCGAAGATCAACATGCTGCAGACGTGGTAGCCGCAGAGTTGGGACATGTCACGTACCCACGAAAAACATACCGGCAGAAACTGAGTGTCATTGACAAAAAACGACCAAACCGCATGCTGGATATCATGTGGGCACCTTTCAAATTCTTTACTTTTCCGGTTGTTGTCTGGGCAGGCTTCATGTGAGTAGCCAACAAACAGATAACACAAGTCAACAGGCATCAGATGGCGTTTCGACCCTTTCAAGAGGCTCAAGATCTCTCACATTGCCGAGGTATCCGAGAAGTCTTGGATAGTACTTGCAACGTGGTGAGCAAGCCATTTGTGTCTGTTGAGACCGTGTTACAGTGTACCGTTACCCTCACAGGAATCATGCTAATCGTACTCTCATCTTATAGGTATGGTCTACAAGGACTGGTGTACCCAGGAATCTTGAACGCCACAGCGAGTGTCATCTACACCAACAGCTACTACCACTTTTCGAGCGATGCAGTAGGCTTTGCTTACTTTGCGGCCGTTGTTGGTATGATCTTGGGTTCTCTTTGGGTGACGCTTGTAGGCCCATGGCTAGTCATCAGGCTGGCTCGTCGCAGAGGTGGTATCTCCGAACCTGAAGACATTCTGTGGCTCTTCCTAGCCTCAGCCGTCGTTGTGCCATTCGCACTGATCCTATGGGGAGTTGGGAGCCAGCATCATGTACACTGGTTCGGACTTGTTTTTGCTCAAGCAATTCTAGCCATCTCCAGTACACTTTGCTTATCCACAGCCATTCAGTATGCCACGAGCGCCTATAGAGACTTGAGTGGCGAGCTAATCACAACCATTATTCTTATACGGAATACTTTGAGGTAAGTACCTTTGTTTGACACGTATAAGATGGAGGCTGATACAAAGGCTCAAGTTTCGCCATCAATTATGGTATCAACCCATGGCTCGACGCCATGGGGACACGAGACACGTTTATCACGGCAGCGATGATAGCTCTTGTTTTGAACAGTTCCATGTTCATTGTGATCCCACTTGGTCGCCGGCTCCGCGAACATAGCGCAAGAAGATATTGGACATATGTTGAACAGGCAAGAGCTAAGGGACTAGGGCATTAAGTATTTGTGTAACTCAGTCATACTTGTACTATCCTCTGAAAATTCCTTCAAGCTCATTTGACGGACTTCGGTCCGTCATGTATTTGTTCCCTTTCTGTCGAAGACCTCGGTTGCGGGTTGATCGTGGGGACGGACATTACTGCGGAGCCATACCAATCGTCCACTTCCGATCTGAGGTCCACTTCCGACTTGAGGCCAATGGACACGCGAACAAGATTTTGACAAAGGCGCGTGACTGCAGATGTAGTGAGCTCCGCGGACCGAAACGGTAATGATTAGCGAGGGGTTCGCAGGAAACGTGAGCAGGGTTTTGTGATGATCAGCAGCGTCAACAGCTCTGTACCACTGCAATCTTCACAAGTTGTGTGACAGTCATGCACCATCTTTGTTTTTTGTTTTTTTTTTTTCGTCTGACGCTACCAACCGCCAACAAATCTACACTCGCCTACAAAGAGGCAATGTATTGGAGCTTTTGGGTTTGCCATGCACTACAACAGTTGCAAGTTGCAAGTTGAGGTGGAGTAAGAAAGAACAAAGGCGATCATGCGCTAACAAAAGTAGCATGTTGATCCTTCGGAAGACCCCTCATTGTCACCCGCATTGACACAAACTCTAACAACTAGTGGGATGGGGATAGGGATTGGGCTCTGGGGTTGCCTCAGCGCCCTCAAGAATTATAAGTAGGTAGCCATGGATCGCTCCCAGGCTGTCGGTTCAGTTTGCTCTCTCATGCAAGCTCCACTGCTGTTCTGATCTCATTATTCTCTTCAACCATCACAGTTCAACCTCACGTATACGCTACAATTCACACTTCACAACACCAAATCCTTGCGAAACATTATGCATATCGATCAAATCATGTTCGGCACAACCACAAACTCGAAGCCCACGGTCATTTTCGTGACAGGAGCATGGCACAAACCTCATCTTTACGCAGGCCTTCTTGAGGATCTCAGGAAGATCAGCTTCCCTGTTGTAGCACCCTCCCTTCCATCTGTCGGCGGAACTTGCGAAAATTTTGATGACGATGTCCACGTCGTCCGCAAAGCCATCGCCGATGAGATATCTCAGGGACATGAGATTGTTATGCTGATGCACTCATACGGTGGCCTGGTGGGCAGCGAAGCAGTCCAAGGCTATTCGAAGCAAGAAGTGCCCAGAGGAGGCGGTGTGGTCAAGATGATCTACATGGCTGCGTTTGCGCTCGAGGTTGGACGCAGTTTGATGGACGCATTGAACAACAAACCGCTACCATGGTGGCAATCGGCAAACGAGAAACAATGGCAAGCCACGAACTCGACCTACGTCTTCTACAACGATGTGGACCCCCAGATGGCGGAAACGTGTGTTGGTCAGCTGGATCTGCAAGCAAAAGGAAGCTTCGAAAGCAAGCAGACATATGCTGCATGGAAGTACATCGATTCGACGTTCATTGTCTGCTCACGTGACAATGCGATTCCGAAGGAGGCGCAGATTGCCATGGCAAATCAACCTGGAGGCAGGTTTACGATCGAATATCTGGATGCTGGTCATAGTCCGTTCTTGTCGGTACCGCATCAAACGGTCGAAATGGTTCGCAAGACAATCTGGGAACCGGGGACCCGCTCATAGGTCGGAATGAGCAGTGATTGTTTTTGACATGTGCAGTATGTAGAAGGGTATTTTCAAGTTGTCAATGATACACACTCTTGGTCTAGCATGCAGTGCATTTGCGTCTCTCCCGCTTACTGAAGTCCACAAGGTACAGCTGTCTGATGACGATGCGGCGCTACGTTTGCACCGTGGAAGTCCGCAGCTCGCAGCTGGGTCTTGGTCGAGGACAGGATCGAGGCGTGCCATCAGTCGTGGCGACGAGCTAAAGGATGGGTCTGTGAGGCACAAGCTCTAGACTGATGGGCTTCTGTGCAAAGATGAGAGCTGATAATAATAGCCAGAGGGGTTGGTTGTTGTAGTTAGACGTGGAGTTGGCTATCGGAGACTTGGAACTCGGGGCAGTCGCGGTAAGTGACGGCGGTCACGGGAAGTGGGGCAGGATTGTGGTGGAGAAGCAGCTTCCAACAAGGGCAAGCACAAGCACAAGCACAAGCACATGTTTCGGGCGACCGGACTTGGATTTCGGAATTCAAGACGTCCAACACTGCAATCCACTGGTCCTCGGGCAGGGGAAACTGCGTCTAGCGTCTTTGACTTGCACATGTCGTACCTCTGAAAGTCGCTCCCAAATTATTCCTTTCCCACATCAAGACCTCGCACCTCACAGCAAACCATGTCGACCAGCATCGTCACCCCTCCCGAGCCACGGACCTTGTTCCCACCACTGCTGGCATGTCTTCCTACCGCCTTCATGTCGCCGCGCCCTCCACCGGCACTGCTTCCTCTTCTCTCGCCCATCTTGCGCCAACGAGTCAACCTCCTCGCTGGTAACACTTCCTCAGGTCAAGGCGGCTGGCTGAACCTGCTCTCTTGGTCCTCGTCCCGCTCCTCAAAACTCGGCGGTAAAGTCGAGGCCCTGCAATTGGAAGCTCATCCTGTATCTGGCGAGCTCGAGCTTGAGGACATCGACAAGATCAGCTACAGAAGAGTCGACGAAGAAACACTACAATGCTGCTTGCAAGTTGAAGAGTTTGGACTGTTGCCGGTATACGTCTGGTGCGAGAATGATGCAGATGGTGGACAACTTGGCGGAGCATCAGGCTGGAGATTGGCTGAATTGCGCGCTCTCGAAGATCTCAGCGACGATGTCTCCCAATGGACAGACTCCATCGCTGCCGCAAACGACGCTTTCGAGAGCAAATCTCACCCCAACGCTCCTACCTTCACCATCCCTCAACAAGCGACGGCAGAAGATGACGACGACGATGATGATGATTACTGGGCCAGCTACGACAGAACACCCAACAATAGGACTCCTGCCCGCACCCCTAAACGCGCCAGTCCCGCTCCTGCCACTGCTTCTTCGAACCTCGCCCCCACAAACGACGAACTCGAATACTTTGCTCGCTATGCTGCCGAAGTCCAGCCTGCTCTCGATGACCACGATCCCGATGAGGAGCATCCCGAGACTGCAGACTCGACCCTGCGCGGCGGCGAATTGAGCGCAAAACAAATAGGAGAGCCAAACACCAATCCTGCGCCACCCATGTTCGCTGCCGATAGCAACGAATTGAACAATACGTTCCAAGCACAGACTCAGAACCAAGAGCTGGAAGCACCAAGGCCCACATCTCCGGGCAGCAGTGTCGATGTTCTCGAACGTGGAGCTGAAGACATGACGAGAGCTGAGATCGGTGTCAAACAGTTCATCAGCACAGAAATGAAGAGCATGTTCCGTCTTGCCCGAAGCGTGGGCATGGGGAGAGAAGAGTTCGAAAGGATCATCAAGACCGAGATTGATGTCTTGAGCATGCTTGAAGCTGATGACTAAGTGGGAAGGAGGGCCTCTCTTTTTTCGAAGATGTGCATTTTCTGTTCATAGCGGGAGTTCTTTGCGGGTCAAAGGGCATGCATGCGTTCGGAGAGCACCAACATTTTGCGGGACGAGCTCGTTTTTGTTCTGTTTTTTCTTTAGGATACCACTTCTTCGTTAGACGTTTGGAAAGCAATATTCTCGATCATCTCGCACGCATTCCCACCGCTCAGATCAACAGTCTGACTTCAATTCCATTTTTACCTCCGTAAAGCAGTTTCGCATCATCTATCCAATGAAAAAGACAACTGCCGCATCTGCTGTCCACTCCAAATGGATTCACCTCTACCAGCTGCACACGCCCACCCCTCTTGATCACAATATCAAACGTGAAACTCCAAGCCTTGAGTTCTTGGAGAGTACCTCGAGCAGTCGCCGTGCTCAAGATCTGGCCTAGGATCTCCTCAGCAGAAGTAAGAGCAACGTCAACAGTGTCTCTAGGCTCAAAAGCAGCGACTGGGAACGACCTATGCCAGTAATACTGACTCGCAGCCACCATCCTTGGTCTGCTGTCATTAAAGCGCGCAACAGGCGGCACAAAACAACGAAACTCCACTCCTCGTGCCATTTCATCATCCCATACATGCAAATAGATATGCACTTGCCTATTTTCCATAACATGAGCTTCAAAATCTCCTCTTGCGCGATTTGAAGTTAGTAGACAAAGCACCAATTGGCGAAGAGAGGAGATGGGCATTTTTGCTTTTTCAGAGTCTTTTGGTAAGTAATCGTTTAGTCGGATGAAGTAGCGCTTAGTGTTGAAGATGTCGGGCTGTACGAATGGAGATAGAGCATCTTCGATTTCGTAGATGGCGGTTTCGCTGACGACTCCAGTGATCTGGTAAGAGTTCTGGTAGGAAAGTATCTCGACTGCAAGCCAGAGAGGTAGCTTTACTGTGTGTGGGTCTTCACTCTTCATGTCCTGATTTTGGCGCACTAAGGCGGCAAAGTAAGAGAAAGTGTATATGTTGCGAGGTGGTGCACCTAGGGGTGTGTCGGGCGGCAAGACTTTACGTAGTCTGGCTATCTCTTCGGCAGTGGCAGATACAGTGTTGTACCTTCCATGTGAATTTCCAGACTCTAATATCGACGCAGGCAACATCGTGATAGTCTTGTCGTTGGCGTGACAGACGGTGAGAATCGATTCCATGTTGTAAGGTCAATATGACTCAGATTCTTGCTATTGCAGATATTTGATTAGAGGTTCGACACGAAATACAAAAGCGAAATGGTGTCGCGATGGTGTGCATAATTTCATATTGTAGCAAAAATGACTCACTCTGGAATAACTCACTAACCTGCAAAAACGTGTCAACTATGAGGCTGCGAAGAACGTGGATCCTAGCAAGGCCTTTTCTGACTTGACGAAGGCACAGATTGTCTCCTACTGCACAGTCATGATCATTTCCATGGCTTTGGTCGCATCGGCAGTTCTAGATTACCGGGACGTATCGTTCTGGTGAAGACAAAATGGAGGAATCGAAGTCGCATGTCGCTATGTACGAAACGGAGGTTCTGAAAGGTCATGTATATCGTTTATGTGCTAGAAAAGCACTAGGCAGATGCGGACGACATAGGAGAATCTTTCGAGTGCTTCGACGGTTTCTGTACCATCTGAACACCATTGCGAGCAATGACGCGATTGATCAGGACACCAGGGTGTAAAATGTTGAAAGCGATGACAAGGGCAGCCATAGGTGCACCATCAAGGGCGATGAAGTATCTCTCGGTCTCGATGACGCGTCCAGTCCAGCCGCCAGCAAGTTCAATGGTACGATAGATGCTTCTCATGATGATGAGAAGAATTGAGAAGGATGTGACGAGGACGAGAAGCTTCATGTTCTTGTCATTCATGAAGGCGGGAAGTCTTAGCTTGACAGCTGCTCTGTAGAGGAAGAGGAAGAAGAGAATGCTGAAGACGATGACCGAGGCCAGTTGAAAGTCGATACCAGCTACCATGATGTCGGTTCCGACCTTTGTGTTGCCAGGGGGAGTCGAGTTGAATGCGACAGCTGCTGAACCGCCACCAACAGCTTGGATGACAAGAGAGATGATGTCAACAGTACAGAAGATCCAGAGGTACCAGACGGGTCCGATGGGTGACACTCCAGGCCCAGCGATAGCAATCATGCGTCCGAGGATGACATAGATTCCAGCAGTGAAGAAGGTGGGTGCTGTCCAGGTCAGCACAGTGTCAAGAAGTGATGAAGTCTTGGTGCCTTACCGATGATCAGTGTGCAAATCTGCATCAAGAAGGCGTTGGCATTGTAGGGACATTCGCTTGACCAAGTTCGGGCAGCCCAGCCCAGTATTTCAGCTGCCGGAGTCAATTAGCATGCTGCAATAACATGAATAGTCTTTGACATACTCAGACAGCCAACGGCGAAAACGAGGTTCCATAGTGCTCTTGTCTTGATGGCTTGGAAGGTATGCGCGATCATTGAGAGTCCAAAGAGGACGCAATAGACGATGCCAGCAGCCAGTGAAGGCACATAGCCATATGCTGTTCTTTGCGCCGGGTTATACGCCACGCAACCAGTCGATCCGATGGCCATGACTGGGCTGATCAAATATTTATTTCTGCAGCGAGCCGATGACCTGGGGACGAATGGCAATGAGCGAAAAATTGATGTGGCGGGAGAGCAGTGTCTATTGCTGTGGATAGCAACGACGAGAAAGTTGAGAAAGAGAAACAACAAGAATTATCACGGTGGCCATCTTACATTTGCCATGGCACTTGGCTGCTTTTCTAATATCAGGGCCGGGCTCCGTATTAATTGCTCCCTCGCCGAGAAGCATGGCATGGGAAGTGACGATTGCTCTGCCCTGCCCGGCGGAACATCGAAAAATGGCATCGCTTGCGAGCGACTAGGCCAAATCGGTGACTAGCGCTGCCTTTGACACTTGACACCTTCCTTCGTACATCGTACACTCGCTTTCGTGTTTCTTGACATTTATAAGAATTGATTCTTCTTATAGCTCAAGGTGATCGCAGGATCGTGCGCCTGTCGAGAATGGCACTGTCTGCACTACCTGTATCATCGAGAGTAGAAGCTTTTGTGTTCAAACAACAAGATTGGAGGGCCGACACCTCGTATCTGTGTTCCTTTAATTGATCCTTCTGTGTCTGACTTGACCACTCGGCACAAAGAACGCCCGACAAGAAAAGCATATCAGATCTCCTGCTGCGAAGCTTAGTCTCGAGGGACAATGTGACAACGTGACAATGGAGGAGGCTGAAGCGACACAGCCGTTCTTGCCTTGTACTTGTACCAGTCACACTGCATCGCCTCGAAAGACCTTGTCTGTGTATTCTGTCCGGGGCTCAGTATGCACATACACGCACTTCGCAAGTAATACCCTATCTGCAGTATCCGTTGGCTTTCTTGGTTCAACGTGCCGTGCGTAGTTAACAATGGTATTGAGCTTCTGTACATTCAGCCAAGCACGACAAACCAATGAAGCGATCGAGAATGTACAATTAAGTTGTTAATTTCTAATTACAGAAAGGCTAGTCGTCTCTTTTTTCGACGCCCATCTCTTTCCTGAGCTTTCTGATAGCCTCGCGGATCATATCCGATTCCTTCTGGACGCGCTTCAGCTCCTCGAGATCCTTCTTGATCTGTGCATGAGGATCATCGACCACTTTGCCAGTAGTCATGTCGATAGCACCAAGTCCTGGGTCCCTCAGAGCATCAGCAGCTTGCTGGGAAAGCATGTCCATCTCGGCACGAGCAACTTCGTTCTCGTGGTCAAAGTCATCGAGCAAGCGGCGAGCATGCTGAGGTTTTGACTGATTTTCGGGCTTCTGGGGCAACCATTGTTGGCCGTTCTCCAGAGCCTTAAGCTGCAGCCTTGTCTTTTGTGAATCGGCAATGCACCAGTCGAGCCGTGAAATTTCTAGGTAGGTCTGGGTGGGAAGGTGACCCATGAGCTCAGCATCGACACGACGCTGCTCCTTCTCCCAATCATCCTTGTCGGTAAGATAGAAGGCGTTCTGCTTGGAAGCAAGCTCGTAAAACAACATAGATGCTTCTTCTGCCAGGCGAGATCGCCTCTCCTTCAGCTTTTGAATGTGAGACTCGATCTGTTCAACGCCTTCAGAACCAGGCTGCCATTTGTAGTTTGGTTCAGGGAAGAAGACGCGCTCTCCTTCACGCATTTCACTGAAGTGTGGTTGCGGGTCTTGTTCGTCTACGTCCTCCTCTTGAGCGACCTGAGCAGCCTTTTCAGCAGCGGCGTGCATTTCCTTGATCATTGCATTGTGTGCGCCGCCGACGCTCTTGAGCATGTCGGCCATTGAGGTCATGCCAGGTTGTTGAACAGCATCGGGAGTGAGACCGGCGTCTTGAATAGCCTTGTTCTCGATGAAGCGCTTGACATCTTCCCTCCACATGTTGCGTTGAGATTGCTGTCTCGCAATGGTCTCGGCAATTGTGGCGGAAGTGTTGAAATGGTAGGCCTGGTTGAAGGATGCGCCAGCGAAGGCGCCACAGCTAAAGGCACCTAGCCAGCGCTGCCAACCAGTGATGGCCCATGGCTTGCGCACAGAGGCGGCGCAACCAATACCGATGAGACCACCAGCGAGAATATAGTTGTCAGCATCGATGCTGAAAGGGCGATCGATAATTTTGGACTTGGGAATTTCGAGACCCTTGCTCTCGAGGTAGGGTCTGGCGATGAGATGGCCGGCGTAGCGTTCGATACCGACGGAGGGAATGCCAAAAAGGATGGTGGTCCAGGCAGCAGTCTTGAGGCCTTGAGCAGGCGAGCGCTTTGTGAGTAAAGCAAGACCGGCGGCAATGGCACCGGCGCCACCAGCCCAGAAGGGGGCTTTCGTCAAGGCGGACTCATTGAAGGGGGCGGGTCTGCTGGGGTAGGCGGGATGGATCCCTTCCCAGTTGGGCGGTAGTATTCTCATGGGTTATGTTGAGACATGGAATCAATGTCGACGAAAACAATTCGAGACAGCATCTCGGCCTCGATGATGGAATTGCTGTTGCGCACTGACGCGCGCGTGAACGCACACGCCAAGCGCCCTTCACGTGGCATGCTCCAGCGGGTAACATGTCCCTCCGAATGATTCAGTTCTACAGTATATCGGCATGTGGTCAAGCTCGTCTCTGTTGGATGATACTCAAGGAGATATATGGAAGTATGCAACCTTTTCGCAGCTTGCTTAGGTCTTGCCGCGAGAATGTAAGGGCGTTTTCCGATGCGGCTAGCGAGCGTTCCTGCCACCTCGGCTAGATCCGAGATGTAGATCCGTCGAGTCTCCAAGCTGCTGCCCTTGTCGCATTCTTCCAAAAAGTTACCTCGACGTCACCATTCTCACCACAGCCATCCGCGACGAGTCGCAACCATGTCTGGAGACAGTCACAGTCGTGGTCAGAAGCGCAAGCTTGACCAGCAAGAAGGCAGAGAATTGCTCAGCACAGGCGCCACCCTCGCCCGACTCAATGGCGACAGCGACCCCGACTCGATCAAGAATGCCGCCGACTCTCCTGCTGCCACGACACAAGGTGCTAGCGACGACGGTGGAGAGTGGACTACAGTCGACCGTAGCTCAAAGCGCCAAAAGAAGGCCAACCAGAACTATCCCCAAATTATTCATGCCCCAACCGCTCGCCTTCAATCTTTCGTCAAAATCTCCGATCTGCAAAATCTCGTCCTCTATCTATTAGCCGATGGCAGTGGCCCTCAATGGATTAGTGTGCGCCATAAAAAAGACATTGAGCGTGTCGTCTGCCTCATGGTACCTGGCCTTGAAGCCGACATGTTCAACGCCAACATTAGTCTGGACCCAAGTCAAGACACTGTTGCCAAAGGCCCGTTTCAACAGGCGAACGCTGGCGCAGAAGCCACGCCTCCTTCGAAAAAGTTGAAAATCACACCCGACGACTACTATCCTGTCAAGCTCGTCGCTCCAAAACTGCCTGCCCCGTTACAGCCTTTCGCCGAAATGTTCCCTCACATCTGGCCGGTGAAGACTCCTGGAGAATTCAACCGCATGCACTCGCCGCTACAAGCTTTATTGACATCACCTCTGCCCAAAGCAAAAGACGAAAAGAAGATAAAGGGCCCTAAGCCGCCAAGAGAAGGTGCAAGATGGCAGAACCAGAGAACTCCCATAACTGAGTTCTTAGCGACCAGAGAAGAGCTGATGGACAATGGATATGCTATACACCCTGCCTACCTACGGACAGATGCCGAGCGTGCGGCCGAGAAGGCAAGACGTCACAAGTTCTGTCAATCAGAAGAGGACGGCTGGATAAACCTGCCCGAAATCTCGTCTCTTGATGAAGGTATTGTGCCATCAGAGGAGATTGAACAGGGCAGCATTCTACAGGGTCGTAATGTCTTGACAGTCGACTGTGAAATGATCTCCACAACAGAAGAGAAGTTCGCTCTTGCTCGTGTATCCTTCATAGACTGGGACGGCAACATTGTGCTTGATGAGCTTGTCAAGCCTCCTGGCACAGTGAAAGATTATCTGACACAGTACTCGGGCATCACCAAGGAAATGATGGAGCCGGTCACACAAACCCTCGCCGAACTACAGGCAAAGCTCAAAGACGTACTCACCCCTCGCACAATTTTGCTGGGCCACTCTCTCGACTCCGATCTTCGCGCTCTTCGCATTTCTTTTCCCTTCATTGTCGACACTACCCTTATCTATCCTCACCCCAAAGGTCCTCCGCAAAAGTCATCTCTCAAATGGCTCTCCCAGAAATACCTCTCCCGCGAGATTCAAAATCGTGGTCCACAAGGTCACGACAGTGTCGAGGACGCAAAAGCATGTCTTGACCTTGTCAAACAAAAGTGTGAGAAGGGAAAGACATGGGGTACTTCTGAAGCAACGAGCGAAAGTATCTTCAAGCGTCTCAGTCGCGTTGGCGTAGAAGATGAGAAAGACGAAGGTGGCATGTTGTCTGAAGAGAAAGAGGTACAGGCAAAGACTGGCCGTACAGGCGCTGTCGTAGACTGGGGTGACCCGAAGCGCGGATTTGGTGCTGCTGCCACTTGCACTGTCGCCTGCGAGAGTGACGCAGATGTAGTCGCCGGTGTTCAACACGTCCTCGCTGGCCCTCAGACAACCGAAGAGGCCGATGCCCCTGGCCAACACATCCCCGTCGGCGGCTGCGATTTCGTTTGGGCACGTTTTCGCGAACTCGAAGCCCTTCGTGGCTGGTGGACCCGCACAACCTCTGCGGATGCAGCTGCTCGTCTCGCCAACACTCTTGCCGACAACAACGCCTCCGAAGGTCAAGAGATCAGCACTTCGGCCCTTGCAGACGCTGTAACACGTACCACTGTATCCGTCAAAGCCATCTATGATTCTCTACCGCCAAAGACTGCCTTTATCGTCTACTCGGGCGGTGGCGATCCAACTGAGATGCGCCGTCTTCAATCCATGCAACAACAATACAAACGCGATTTCCAGACCATGAAGTGGGATGAGTTGCCCATCAAGTGGACGGATGTTGAAGAGCAAGAGCTCAAGAAGGCTGCTATGAAGGCTAGATCTGGTGTTGGTTTTGTTGTGTGTAAATAGATTAGGGACCGTAGTCATGAGATGAAGAGTCAACTGGTGTGGTCATTGCTACAGTTGAAGAAGATGAAGCAAGGCAAGCTTTGTACATGACTGAAGAAATGAACGAATGGGAGCTTCATTGCTCCAATGCGGATGCCGCACATCAGCAATTATTGCAAATTACAGTGGAATACGCATTCATGCCTCAATTGATCCACGTCTCTCTGAGACGATGCTTTTCGAAGGACACCCTGTCTCGCATCTGACTAGGGTCACCCCGGAAACAACATTCTGCCTTTTGACCGACTCCCGAGGACTTCGATACAATCACAACTGACGCGTCTCGACTTTGTATATGCTTAATGGTCGTACTTTTAAAGTTGGGTCATAAGGCTTGTAGCGCTACTCTTGAAAATCTTGACGCCATGTATAAGTTGTGGATCTCTTGATCTGGATCTGTCGATCACAAAATGCCGCACGGAGATATACGGATACGATATACACCTTCGCAAAAACTGTCATGCTCTCGTGTACGGAGGAGACGAGTGAAGAAGAAAATGATAGATGGACAATTTTTGAACATTTGTACATGCCCTCGGCACCGATCTGCATTACAAGAGAAGGTCTGGATACCGATGATGACTGTTCGAAAGAAAGGGACACCCCCATTCCTGCTGCTTGTTACATCAATCAGGGCACAGGGAGTAGAATGTTTTGAAAAAGTGATTGTACTCGTCTATCAAGATCATAAATATCTCCAATAACTACAAGTCGTAATCCGTCATCTCAATCTCCCATTACAAAATCAAACAACAAGGAGAGAGGTATCCAGTGAATGAGAAAGAAGAACGCCACACCCAATTTTATGGTTCCATATACCCGCATAAGTTCGCTAAACCGCTCAAGACAAAAAAGGAAGACGAAAGAGTGAGAAAGTAATGTTTTACTTCTTCTCGTTCAAGGCCTCGTCGGACTCATCTTCTTCTTTGACTTGGCCGCGAATCATGGGGCTGGGCATGGGGCTTCTCTTGTCCATACCGCGCATCATGGGTGAAGGCAAGGTACTGCCAGTCTTTTCGTTACCGCGAACCATGGGGGAGATGAGAGGAGACTGAGCACCACGGGGACCGTTCTTGGTGCGAGCGAAGAAGCTGGAGATATCGCTGTGCCAGTCCTCGTCGTCGAGAACATCGGGGTCCATATTGTTTTCCTTCTCGGCAGCCTTGGAGGCCATGGCCTGCTCCCACTCGTGACGCATTTCCTCAACACGCTGTTGGTAGTCGAGCTCGGCGTCGTAGTTCTTGCCAACGCCACGGAAGCGCTCCCAGACGGACAAGTGCTTGGGGTGGACAGCAACACCGTGGTATTCGTCACCCTTGCCAACACGAATGAATGCCCAGCGACGCTCCTGCTCCTTGAGATCGAGACCGGTGGTGTCAGGAAGGAAGAGCCAGGTAACAAGGGCACCGGCGAGACCGAACCAGGGGACGACATAGAACTTCTGTTGAGTGGTGATGTAGTTGTAGAGGACAGCGGCGAGAAGAGCACCGAGCTTGCCGACGGCGGCACTGAAACCGTGAGCGGTAGCACGGATGGGAGTGGGGAAGACCTCGGCAGCAACAAGGAAAGAGACCGAGTTGGGACCAAACTGGTTGAAGAAGGAGGACAAGAAGTACATGGCCTGGAAAGAGTGGACTCCAGCTAAGCTGGTGTAATGCTTGAAGTTAAAAGCAGGGACAACGAAGAGAATGAAGTCGAGCAGGAAACCGATGATCTGCATCCACTTGCGCCCGTAAAGCTTGTTGTCAATCAAGAAAGAGGCAAGGTAGTAACCGCAGAGCGAGACACCGACGTTGATCAAGTTGTAAAGCCAGCCGACCATGACGGACTTGTTGTGAGGAAGCAGGACGGCGATGAATTCAGATTGGAAAAGCTTGTTTCCGTAGAAGAAGACATCGTTGAAGAACCAGCCACCAGCAGTTGCGATAAGACGAGGACCGAAGTGGGTAAGAGTAAGCTTGAGCGACTGGGTGTCGTAACCAGTAACGTTGGACTTCTTCTTGGCAGCAGCGAGCACTCTCGAGGCAGAACGCATCTTGAAGGTACGGAAGTAGACAAGCCAGAGAGTTCCAACAGCGGGGATAGCGAAAGAGACGCGGTAGGTCCACTGAGTCGAGGTCTTGCCGTAAGGAGGGTTTCCAGAACCGTGGAAGATGAGCAAAAGGATGATCAGAATGACCTGGTTGAAGAATTGACCCCAACCTTGCATCAGGAAAGCCGAGGTGACCTTGCGACCACGGTGGAGACGATCTTCCTTGGTTGAGACCTTTCCAGCACCGACGGCGTTTTCCATACCAGAAGTGGCGGTCATGGGGTATTCACCACCGACACCGACACCGTAGAAGAAGAGCGACCAAACGTAGCAGATGACCCAGCCGTTCTGGGTGACACCCCAGGAGGCAGTGAGCATGAGAAGACCGATAAACATGATAGTGGCGTCTTGAATCAGACCCCAACGACGACCGAGCCAATCACCAATGACACCGACAAGGATTTGACCGACAATGATACCAACAATCTCGAGGTAGTCGAGGGCAGCGATCCAAGTCGAGTTGCAAATCTTGTGGTTCTTCCAGCACCTGGGGAAAGCGGCTTGAAGAAGAGGCTTGACGTTTCCGATAGAGAAAAGGACGTAACCTTCGAGGAGCAGACCTGCACCAGGAATGACCATGTTGCGGAAGTAGTAACCGATAGGACTGAGAGGATCCTTCTTGATCATGGCCCAAGTTGCGTTGATTTCCTTCTTAGCCTCGGCGTTGTTGACCTTGTTGACGAACTTGATTCTCTTCATAAGAGGCAAGTCAGCCCAGTATGTGCCGTTCTCATCGTAGCTGTCATCGGGCTTGAGGATGGTTTGGAAGACACCTTGCTCGTTCTGGCTCATGGCGTAGAGCTGCTCAGTAGCGACGTGGTGGCCGTCCATGTTGGGCCCGTGAGGGGCGGCGAGGCCGTAGTTGCGTAACGACGACATTGTGGTGATGTCCTGGGGCTGTAGGACTGCAGTTGTGTGGATGTGCGGATATTAAGTAGGCGAAGCGTCAAGAGCTTCCCTTAAAAAGAATATGGTTTGGGCTAGGAGATGGCGACTGATGACGGAGGTGCAGGCGGCTGAGTTTCTTTTGCAAGCCCTGAGGAGGTTAGAGGCCGAGCGGTAGTAGGAACCAGCGCTGCACGAGGTGCTTGTGGAAGAATCGACTGGAGCAGGATGCACGATGCCGTATTTGAAGAAGGCAGAGGTGGGTATGAATTTTGCGAGGTACCGGAATAGACGGAAGCCCCGACGAAGAACGTGCAAAGCAACGGATCGTGAGTGGTCGAGAGGAAGAGAGAAAGCACGGCGCGGATCTACATTTGTAGGGAAAACAGCTCGTCCATGTCAGGCCGCGGGTTGTGTCCATGCACCCTCAACCCGAGCTCCAATTTTTCTTCTTTGCGCCAGAACGCTCGCCTACCACGTACCACTGGCGGGCACGCGAGCACTTGCCAACTTCAGTTGCCCAAAGCGCCTGTCTGGTGGGCCGAACAAGCGCCAAACAGCCCAGCGGCCATTGGAAAATTGGGGCATCCGAATGGCCGTGGGGCAATCGCGTTGAATTCTAACACACAAAGTGGAAATCCAAAGTCAACTGCTGCTGCAAATCCATGTCGGCGATTTGAGTCGTCCAACCTCCGACTCTTCATCTCACGTCGAACAACACTCGCCTTTGAATGCTTTTCCAATCAAAATCATGATGCAGACAAGCGTTTACTACCGACGCCAAAAAGCCTTGGTCATGACGAACACAAGAGCGACCGACGCGCCATCCTCAAGCCTCAACTGCCAAGTGAGTTGAGAAAATCAGATTTCGACGTCTAAGGACAGAGGTCGCCAACAGCCAATGAGAGGGCGTTGTTGAAACAACGTGCTCGAGTCCTTGGTCCAAAAGGCTTCCAGGCCTGTGGTAAGACTTCTCGGCCCTGCATGTGGGGTCAACGCCGATCGCTCGTCTGGAGACATCATCCCTACTTTTTTTTTGCTTCCAGACAGACGAGCAGCCATAGCCTTTATCGATCTCCACGGTTGTTCCTCTTCGTACCGGCATATCTGGTGTTGCAAACCTCGGCATGTGCATCATGCCATCGCTATCGTCCGTGATCGAGCACATAACGTCGCTCTACACCCCAGAGGTTTGTCATTGCGAACAGACGAACGCGTGGAGGAAGAACCCTCGGTCAGCTCCGCCTAATATCTGATGTCTCCGGGGCCTCCCTAGTGAGATTGAGGGGAAACGAGTTGGTGTTCGGCAGATCAAACCCTGACCCTTGAGTGACATCCTCGCTCGGACCCGACTTGCTCAGGTTCGAAATTGATATCCACCTCACTGCAGAAACGCTGTTGGCTGCTTTCGGTTGAGCTTGAACCCTCATCTCGTATGTCGCAGGCTCGGGGCAACAGCGACATGCTCAGACGAGCACTTTCCTGGCTGAAGCCTGAAGGATGAACTATTGTCGGAGGTAAAGCGAACGGTCCGGAAACCTTCTCTCAACAATAGCCCACGTGTTTGCGGCAGAGGCTTATGGCGTCTCGTCTGGCATGGGATCACGAACAGAACTGCCCTTTTGCAATAATACTCCGGCAAGGACGGCAAAGGCACAGAAAGTCGATATACCCCTTACGGCAGATAAGTGAGGGCCTGGAAAGGTATCCATCCTCGTCTGGTTCGATTTCGCGAGGATCGGGTTCGCGAATCGATCAACAAGCAGCTATGCGAGTTGTCGATGGGTCAGGGCTTTGCGAAGACTTGTTCGAATCATTTCCCGGCTGAGGCGTCGCAAGGTGTGAGTCGCTCTTCAGCATGATCTTCGGGTCTAGAGCACCTGCACATTCCTCTTTCTGCTGTCCAAGTACTCGCAGCATACATGATACCGCGCCCACCTCGATCTACCAAAGATTCAATCCAAAAGCAGATACCATGACGTTCCATAACCGCCGCGCAGGTCGCATCCTCCTCGTAACAGGTCTCGAGGTGTCTCGAAATGTCGTGTTGCAGGTGTTAAGCCCCAGAAGCCAATGACAAGCCAGAAAACGCCCACCTGTCCGGGCAGACAACAAGCCTCGAAGGAAGCAACCTACACATTTCTTCTCGCGGGAGTCGTCAACAATGCAAGGCTTGACGATTTATTGGCACGGCGCCCAGAAGCTTATCTTCGACCAGTCAATCGTTCTGCGGCCCTCCTTGGCAGAAGGGAAACAAGCAATGCGGCGCGTACAGTTGCTGATGGTGGCGGTAGTAGGCGCCCGGCAGGCGGCAGAAGCGGCAATGTTGGTCATTCTGCTTGTCCGGCGCTTGTTTCGACTTCACTTCATGATCTGCCGTGCGCTGAACATCTTTGAACCTTTTTTATTAGGTTCGATTTGTCAACTTCGCTTATGCAGAGCTCAGGAGGAGTGCATACACGCAATCACAGACGTACTGTTGATGGTGTCAGCCGTGCTTATATACTTATACACCACGTTGTGGTTGCTGGCTGACAGATCCCATGCAAGCGTGGAACGTTCTTTGAACGAAGAGCCTGCTACAACATAATCGATCTCAAGCTGTCCGTGTGTGTAGATAAGCTGTCTACACGATCAGTTAGGCAATGTGAACCTCCTTACCGTGACCTTTGTCCTAGCATACTGTGATTGTTCAGATCAAACTCTTTTTGTCCATGCAATTGTCTTCTTTGACATGTCCTGAAAGCGCACCTGGTGGTGCGGAGTAAGAATACAATAAGTCTGAGCTTTTCGTATCTCGATATTTTGCACTTCACTGTACATCCGCACAAAAATCATCCGAACAATGACACATTCTCAAATTCGATTTTGCCTCATGGGGGTTGTTTCCAATATCACGTAGAGCATGCGCATGTTGGTTGTTCAGATGTTCTTAGACAAATTCAATCCATGATTTCCTTTTTCCACTTTTCTGTATTTAGTGTGTTCTCTTTTTCCTCCCCTGATTGCTTCTGAGATCGAACTCTGCCACGAGTGTTTCTTGAATACCAAATGTGCGGATTACATTCGTTAGCAGCAAGACGAGCATCTCGAACTTTTAGTAAGACCTGTGCTGATATAGCATGTCTCAAATCACACACAAGATTCACCCATAGCGAGACTCTTTAAATGTTGGTCTTACACCTCAACCACTGACTACTATCATCTCTGCTACCTTTGCAAAACTTCGGTATGTCTCTGCCAGATCCCTAGCTCTTATGTGTAATGACAAAGGTCTGCCTCTGCTCATGCGTTCACAACCAAGTCTGGCAGTAGATGCTTGATGGAAGGCGGCATCGGCTAAGATGATGTTCTTCACGATGGCATGGTCAGAGTTATCAGAAGGGGAGACGAAAAGAAAGTTGGTGTCAGTGTTGCTAGGTGGGCTTTGCTTACGTGTGAAGCAGGAACAAATCGACGTGACGAAAACTTGGTTCTTTGTCGAATCTTCCGTATGGTTCTTTTGTTATACTTGGCACAGCACTTTCTGGATGAGATATTCGTTCCTCCTACTTGCCTGAGAAGAAAGACGCAACGCGCAGTCAACAAACGCCGGCATGTCTTCTGCGCTTCCAGATATCTTCGAAGATGTTGACATCACCCAAGGTGATTTGCCTAGCGAGGTACGTTATTTGCTCTTTTTCATCTACGCGTGCTGACTCTATGTTTAGTGGTGGGAAAGTGGCTATGCATTCTGCACATCACCCACAGAACCCGAGGGCCAGGCCGCTCGCTTCCAGTTCGTGATCCGCAAGTGGACCCAATTAGCCAGCGCAGCATCAAGACAGTCAGATTTTGAGGACAACACGTACGCACTCAACTCAAAGGTATCCAGAACCCTGGTCGAGGAGGCGAATGGGTTAGCTTGTCGTACAGCAACAGGCAAGCGCAAGGCAATCGATACCGGAAATCCAAATTCCAGAAAGACCACAAAGAACAGCGCAACCGTCCTCGTCACTCCAGAACCTGCCAATGTTCCCAAGGGGATTCTGCCGCTTGCACCACCTACTTCTCAACTCGACAATCGACCTCTTGATCAGTCAAACAAGCAGAACATGTGCGATGAGACAACATTACCGATCGCAGAGGCCGTTCTATCCAATGAGACACGCTGTAGAACCAACTCGCTTGTCCGTCTCTCACCATCAGGAAAGGGGGACAACTGGCTGGATATATGGGCGGACGTCGTGAGTGTTTTACCCATCAACAAGAACACCGGAGACAATCCCCGCTGGATATCTCTACTCACCAAGGTCCTCGGCCATACATTTGGTTACGACGGTGTCAACAATGTTCTCCATATGGCAGAGCAAGTATACAACAACCTTGACTTGCTGGAGCTTGACTCGACTACTTCTCTTGACGGGGCTCAAGACTCCCCTTTCCGATCTGCTGCTGTCTGCGTGAAGAATATCTGGGCTAGATCCAAAGGAGATGCTCTGATGACTGTGGAAGTTATGGTCTACTATACGGAATTGGCCGAAAATTTTAGTCGTCTCGAAAGAGACACCTATCACTCAGAGACGAGCATAGGCCAGGATTGGCTCGAGTATTCTCAAAACCGTACAAAGTCGCTACAAGTCCGTCAGAACTTTGTCTTCGATCGAATTCTTGAATGCATCACTCCTTCCAGCACGTCCGGACGCAAGAAAAAGGATAATAAAGACAACACCAGGGGCGCAAAGAAGCAGAAGAAGGACAAGACCTTTGAGGAAATGAAGCAGGACAGAGACAGGATTAAATTACAAAAGGAACGTATCATGGCTCGCAACATCGCTCTTATGGTACGGCTGTTCGGTCATGGAATCCTGCCATTGATGGGCAGTTCGACATGGAGAGAAACGTGAGTTCTGTCAGTTTTCATGTTCTGTCTTCCTTCTAATCTATCCACAGACTTTCACAATACGCCGCAGCTACCGCCGAGCCGTTGCTCACAGAGTTGTTGGCAAAGTGTCCTATACTCCGCCAAATTTGCGACAGTGTCGACAAGAACTTCTATCAATATGTCAGAATTAGAGGCAAGATCGTTGACCTGCCTGAGAACTGTCTGATTGGCTGTAATGTCAGCCTTGAGCTACGTGAAAAGTACACTTTGGCCTATCTTCTTGCGGCGCCTGGAGAGTTGGGCGAGCAGCCTGTGGATTTCGTGAACAAAGAAATGCATGTCACTCTAGATGAGAATGATGAGAGATCGAGCAATGAGAGACCTGCCGAGGTTAGAGAGTTGCGTGGCATTGGAGAAGAGCTGTATTTCGATTTCTGAGAAGCAAAGACAGATGCTAGCTGTATAGCTAGCTAGCTGTGGAGATCACTCTATAAGCCAATCGCAGACACTTTTTTAAATATGCAGCGATGCTGAGCTCCCTGCTTCCTGGACCTCTAAGTTAGTGGTCTTTGCCACTGAATTGCTAGGGCTCATGACGCATTCAACGACGATCTTGAAGACGCTCTCGGAGAGCTAGTCGGTAACAGCTCGTGGCCTAAGGCCGTCACTGATCGTGTCAACGACAATGGATGGAAATACTTCACGCATTCGGAGCAGTGGGGCCATATGCCTGCTCAGCACCCTAGAGTCGAGGCCATCGATGAGACCCAGCACCGCGTCACCTCGATGTTGGCGCTCGTCTCTTTGGAGGATCAGGACGACGACGACTCTAAGCCCATGTTCTGAAGTCGTTACAGGGGCATGGGGCATCCGACTGATCACGAGGTCTTAGAATTCTGCGACAGTTAACCATCGTGGTTTGTCCTACCTTGATGAGAGACACAAGTTGAAGCAGAAAGATGTAGCACAAAGAAGAGATAGTGGAATGAGTGAAAGCAGCGCCGGTAGCCTGAGACCTTGTCGCTGAGGTGGTTACGAAGACCACCGACGTGCTCTTCATAAATCGCCTTTACAGACTTCTCGACGAGGTGGAGCCTGTAGGACTCTTTGTTGTCTTTGGAACCATAGCGATGATTAGGCTGAGCAGTCGCGGCTTCGTAACCATGATAGAGTGCAGTGGTACGAGTGTCCAGTTCGTCCACGTATTGCTCGAGTATGTGTGCGACTTGGGCATGGGCGGTGATCGAGTCGACTTGCGCAACAGCGACTGCACTGCGTCGCTTCTGGAGGTACTCGATACCATTGGCGAGCGCACGGAACTCAGAGGGCGTATGCTTGGAGTCGAGGCCAAGTGCAATGGTCGACTTGAGTGTGGCTGCAGTGTCGCGAGCGTGCTGTGCTGTGCTAGTGACGTTATCGACGCCAGTATTAGAGAACATCAAGAGCAGTAGCTCCTGTACTGCCATGACACGCTTGTTGAGCACATCTGTACCGATGCCTCTCATGTGAGTAGCTAGCTTGATTGCCCAGTCACTGTCTTTGCCCGAGGTAGTAGGGGGCCAGATAGTGGCTTTTTCTAGAGCGCATAGCTTTCGGAGACCCTTGCCCTTGGGTTTGTCGGGGATCTCATCCTTCTTCGGGTACTCGATGGGAACGCACTCTTCACCTTTGGGGACATGCCAGATGTTGTCATCATCATCCTTGACGACGAAGCCACCAAGATCATTACCACCGCGTTTGATGGTCTTGTTGATCGTTGTGTGAATCACCTTGGGAACTTCTGTGGTCGATGGTGCGGCTGGCTTGACGCTAGACTGAGTTTTGAGAGCCTGGGCGACGTGGTCGAAGGCTTGACGAAGGTGGGTCATTCCATTGACTGGTCCTATACTACACAACATGCTTGTGGAATACATCTGTACTGATGCCTCTCATGTGAGTAGCCATCTTGATGACTGAGTTGCTTCTCTTGCCTGCGGTAGTGGGGGCCAGGTAGTGGCCTTCTCCAAAGCGCACAGCTTTCCATGACCCTTGCGCTTTCCGATATCGTGCTCTTCGTACTGAACGACGTATAAACGGCACGAAGATGGAGTGTTGTTGGTTCTGAGTTTGTGGCCATTGCGGGATGTGGCTGGTCGAGGATGTTGGCAACTTTGGCTTGTATAATGATAGACTCAACTTGCATGAGTGAGCCGTTGCAAGACGTGGTATTGGAGTGTGTGGTGAAGGGCGTGGTTCGCCTGTAGCTGAGAGTATGCAGAAATGATAGAAGTAGCGGAGAACCTCTGGATTTGTCAGTGGCTGCCGTTTTCTCTCCTTGGACACATCTACGATCTGGTCATGTTTGTGCATAAAATCAAGTGCATCATGAGGCTTTGATCTACTGGGAAGAGACACGTTGCAAGTTCAAGGCCTGATCCTGCCTGTTCAGCTCCTTGTCATCAGCCTGGTGGTCTTGATAAACATGTCGTCTGATATATGCACACTTCTCGTGCACATTGTGGACCTTTTGCTTTCGCGCTTGCGATCAGTTTCTACATGCTTACAGTACTTGATCCGGAGATGCTTACTGTGCTAAAGAGGCCTTGTCGCTCCTTATCACTCAATATTGAGTCGTGTTAGTATCTTTACTTCTAATGTTGTTGTTTTATGAAGGTCACTGCCAGTGTTCGAGCTTGATCAGAGAGATAAGAGGTTGGTAATAGGCTTTGTCAACACAACTTAGTCGAATACTAAGTAACCCAAAGCTGGAGTCTGAAAGCATAGGCAAAAGAAGCAATGTGTATCATTTCGTAGTATACTTAGCGTTGCATCAAAGGGCGCACGCTTTTCCTTTAGGGTTTTTGTTGGTCATGATCTCGTATCATTCAGATATCCATCCTGCACAAGCCGTGGGCGGGTATGTCTTCATGCTTGTCGTGATGATCGCCCTTCTTCTAGAACTTGGTCTCCTTGTCCTTGATGGGGAATTCAGAACCAGTGGTGGACTGCCATTGCTTGCGGATGAAGTCAGAGATTTGCTCGTCCTTGGCCTGCTCGATGGCGGACTCGTTATTCTGGTGGAGAAGAGTCAGTCGTGTGATACAAAAGCAAAGAACACGGGTATATATACCTGAGGGCCTTGACCAAGGAACTTCTCTTGGACAAAGTCGACACCTGATGTTGTGTTAGTAACGATGATGGCAACAGTAGAGAAAGAATGCCAAGCTTACCCTTGTCAAGGTAGTCCTCATTCTTCTCGCTCTCGGGACCACCGCCAGCAGCTGCGTTGAGCTTGTTGCCAATGCCACCAAGGAAACCACCAGACGACTCGCTTTGTTGAGCGGGGACTTGCTGCACGCTACCCTGCTGACCAGACTGCTCCTCGCCGGCGAATTTCTTGACAAAGTCCATGGTTGATGAGTTGGTAGTGATTTTGTTTGGTTTGTGTAAGTTGATGGATGATAGAAGGAGAGATCTTCAAGTACAACGAAAAGTGGTCGTGTGCTTATAAGCAAGAAGTGTATGTTTATAGTGACGTACAAGGAGCTTGAGCTGGCAAGGAGGACCCCGCTATGATCGAAGAGGATTGTGGCAGTGCTCATGTCGTTTCATCTTATGCACTTGGCGCTGCTGCATCGTCTGGGCATGCAACACTGGGTCGTTCTTGCAGCCCCAGAAGAGTTGGGAGACAATGCCACTGTCAATTAGGACTCTGTTTAGCGCCATTCTCTCGGTCAAGCAGACTTGCTGTGAGAGACTTGTGCGATGATGTTCCAACAATCATATTCGAACTATGTAGTGAGTGATGATCATGCTTATTCAGAACAGCCATAAGCGAGTGCAATGTACTGTACCCAAAGTTTATTTCCTTGCTTGTAGACACCAAAGTTGGACAGACCATCTGAAGAGATCCTGTCCATGATGGTTTGGTACGACAAATCATGGTAGACCGTCCGACAAGCGCCTGAGTGACGAAAGATGCCACGTCAGGACAAGAACAAATATGGATACATTTTATGTTCACGCTCTACAAAATGGCCTGGCCATTATGGTTTAGTCACTTTTGTACAAGCAGGGTCCAATGTCCGTTGCAGGGTTCTTGATCACTGCAGGGAGTCTCGCCGGCATCCACCTTGACCATATGAACCCAAATATCCTTGTTGGTATCAACAGACGCCTCGATACGCCAGCCTCCTGCCTCGCAAACAGAGTCATCTTGGAAGGTGCCATTCACTTCTTCTGAGGTGATAGTGGTGCGGCATAACGTCCCAGCGCTGCCTTCTTGCAGCCACGCTGGCAATCGATCATGAGGGCTCGCAAAGTGGAAGAATGCCAAAATTTCAGCACCTTCGTCTGGCATACGCGCGAGAAGTGCCTTGTTCTTGTCCGATGCAATCCATGCGTGGTGTGCGGCTAAGCTGGACCACACGCCTGTAAGCAAATACGTATCTCGTTGTGTCACTCTCCGCAGCACTGCGAATGTGTCGGATTGCTTGCCGTCTGTTGATGCGAGCGAGCAATGCTCTGCCGCATCCTTCAGAAAGACGGGCATTGATTGATCGTCTGTCGGAGTTTTTGCAAATTTGAAAATGGTAAACTCCTGTATCGGTCCGTCCGCTAGTGATGCGCCTCGAGGAGAGAACTGCGTCATGATGATGATTTTTTTATTTGTTCTCAAAGCAGCGTGAGACGCAGAGTGAGAGAGAACAGAAGGGCAAGCAAGACGATTCGATGCGTGCTCGGTCTAGAAGCTTGCACAGCCATGACAGCTGTCAGCCACATGACATGACAAGAACCACTTCATCGTCGCGCCATGCCAACAAAATATCGATCATAGCCCTTTCCCGACCGCATGGAGAATGCTTCGCTATGGGTCACTGTCCGTCTTACTGCAGACGAAATTGCATTGAGAAGGAGAGAACGAAGATGACATGTGCTTGCTCATGACGCAGCGTTCAAACAAGACAAACACAAAAACATTCAACCTCATGCTTGAAGTCTGGTGAGGAAGAGAAGCATTAGATCGTATACAATTCATACCGAGAGAGAAATAATCCCGTACACGCGCTTCAACCAAGAATACCGTCTGCCCACCGTATCGTGACCGTCTGATTCCTATCAAGTTGCACACCAACTCGACAATCGCAACCATGTCAACGCCCAAGATCCCCATCACAGTAATAACTGGCTTCGTCGGCTCAGGAAAGACAACAATGATCTTGAACCTACTCCCTCAACTCCGCGCAGAGAACCCGTCCTACAAACTCGCTTTGATCAAGAATGAAATCGGCGACTTGAATGTCGACTCTCAACTCGCATCCGCTGCCGAGATGACCGGAGTGTCGGAACTGCTGGGAGCATGCATTTGCTGCACGAATGTTGGACAGATTGGCGATGCATTGAAAGAATTGGACGAGACATATGCGCCAAACAGAGTCATCATCGAGACTTCAGGAAGTGCAGAACCGATCAAGTTAATGGTGGAATTGAAGAGATTGGCAGCCGAAACTGGAAGATATGCGTTGGATGGTGTGGTCAGTGTGATTGACGTTGAGAACTGGGATGGCTACGCTTCCACTTCATACACGGCGAAACTGCAGGCTCAGCAGACCGACTTGATTGTTTTGAATAAATGGGAAAACCTTTCGGAGATGGCATTCGAGAGGACGCTGGATAAGCTCGGGGACATGGATGTGAATACACCGCACATCAAGAGCGACAAGGGTTGGATCAGCAAAGACTTGCTGTTTGGTATCGATGAGAGAATGGCGAGGGATTGGGTTGCTCTGAATCAACAACATGGACACGACCACAAGCATGAACATGGAGATGGACACAAACACGACCACAACGAGGAAATGGAGGCTTTGAGCATCACTGTCACCTCCGCCTCGCCTTCAACCGCATCGCTCGACACAACCAAGCTTGCCAACCTCCTCAAATCAGCGCCCAAAGACGAAGTCTACCGCATCAAGGCCGTCCTGCGCACCACACAAATACCCACAAACAGCGATGGCACACCTGCAGATGAAGGTGCTGAGTCTACGACACCCAAGAGATACATTCTCAACTGGAGCTTTGGCCGCTGGATGTGGACGTTAGATGAGACCGAGACGAAAGAGGAGCCTGTCTTGAGAATGAGCATCTTCACTGGCCGCTATGAGAGTAACAAGTGGCTCAAGAGGATTGAGTCCAAGACCCACACTGCTTTGACTGATGGATCCGATTATGAGCTCGAGGTCAAGCGTGTGTTGTAGAGCTGAAAGAACTGGTCATTGTTGATTGGAAGCTATAGACTTGGTGCACAGCAGCAGAAAAAGATACCCCTTTTTGCGTCATCCTGATCTTCCCTCTCTTCTCATTTCAAACATACATGGCCGACCGAAGTAACGAATAGAGAATCCCAGCTTCTCTGACACCTCGTCGGAGCTATACTTTGGTAGCCTTTCTCCGAAAACTCCACAGCTTCTTTTGATATAGAACGTACATTCTTTTGACTTCCAGCATCTCTTGGAGTCCGACGAGACGCTACAGAGAAGGCTCTCTGACTTCGATTCTCGACTTTGACTTTTCGTAGCGCTGGTAAGGACCTGTAAAGCTTGTTAGAGAAGCAGGAATGTCAGATAGTGACCAACTTACGAATCGAGGTCCGACAATCAGGGGACCTTCGTTGAAAGAAACCCGAGCCACAGTCTCCACCATGCCAACGGGACCTCTTGATGGGACTGCTGATCTGCCATACGTTCGAACACACTGCTCGTCTTAGCGGATTACTGCTGCTCATTCGATTCCCAGATCTTCTTGAGACACAAGACTCCCTGGCGCAAACGCATTACCTCCATCTGATCTTCTTCGACTACCTCATCGAGATAGGTGATGGTTCTCCACAGAGCCTCGTTCTTGCGCTCGAGTTCATCGTACTCGGCTTTGAAGGCTTGAGCCTTGATCTTCTTGGTGGTGAGACGTTCTTCGAGATCCTCGTTTCGTTCTGTGAGGTTGTCGTTGCATGCTTCAAGATCTTTGACGCGGGCGCCGAGCTCTGCAGCCTCGATCTCTTTGCTCTGTAACTGGCTTTCGACTTTGTCGGTGTATAGATTGAGCTTGTCAAGTTGATCTGTTTCCTCGGACGCGTGTTTTGCCCACTGCTCCACATTTGCGCTCATAGCGGCGACATTGTTACGAAGAGTGCTGTTGATGATGTATAGTTCACCGATATTGTCGCGTAGAGTCTCATTGTCAGCCTCGAGCTCGTTGATCTTTCGACGGAGTTGACTGCTTGCGCTCTCCTGGCGTAGATAGATGACTCTAAGGTCGCCATTCTTCTTGTCAGCTGCTGCTTTCTCACTTTCAAGAGCGTTGATCACGTTTTGAAGCGCAGTGACTTTCTCTTCGAGTTGTTGCATGGTTTTGTCCTCAGTTGCCATTGCGAAACGCTTCTGATTTTGAGATGTGGTCGATCGCCAAGGTAGAGAGATCAAAGGATGCAGTCGAGGTTGAAAAGTGAAGGTCTTGTCGGGCAGTCGAGCTAGAGAGTTTCGTTAGGGAAGCTGCGACGCAGTGAACGTTAGTGGATGCGCCTTCCGTATGTTGTTGTCGTCCGAGGGAAAGGCAAGAGGAACGAGCGGTCGAGGGTGAGAAGTAATGACCAAGGAGAAGGTGTAGAGGTTGTCAAACAGGAAGAGCATGTAACGATTTTTTGATGCTAAGAAGTGTTAGATAATTGACAGAGTTCTAAGAAGAGGTGAGGAGATCCGAGCTCCAAGGTGAGAGGTGAAAGAACAAACAGAAGGGACCTTACGATGATGATAGACGCAGAATGGATGAGGTGCAAACCAAGCCTCTCGTTCGCATGCATGCAAGACAAACACCAGATATTCTACAGAGGGAGGATCGAGATTTGTTCTTTGTGACAGTGAATCTTGTTTATCTTCCCTCTTGAGCTATTCTATACACTGAGCGGAGTTGGTTTGTACTGTTTCTCCCGATGGAACGACGATGCCCATGACATCCTTGCGATACCCATCCGCTATCCGTCGAATTCATGAAGCTGCTACACTAGTTATTGAAACGCTTTTTGACACGCTTGAGCAAGGAGTCTCTGGTATCAAAGCGTCCCACTGTACCTTGTTAGTGATCAGTCTTATGAATGCAGACGCATGAATGACATACTGAAGGAGGAGTACCATGAGGCTTGGCCGTGTGAGACGCAACATTTCAAGTCCCACTTTGTGTTGAACGAGAGATGATTCCAGTAGTCATCGTGCTCGTCCAGGAACTTTGGCTGGGTATGGTCGATGCAGTCAAGACATAAGCCGTTGAAATATTCCTGGATACTCTCAACAGCATGTGCAACAACACCTGTCCAGTCCTTGGCGCAGCTTGCACAGCTCTTGCTGGATTGAGGCAACTGGAAGTGTTTCTCAAAGGATCCTAGTTCGTGACAGATGGCAGTGACTGACTTGCGACCCTGCTGATCGACGGGGTAGCCTCCGGTCTTTGCGAGTGCCTTAAGATACAGATAGACAGTTTTTTCCTTGCAATCACAACTGGCCGTCATCATGTTCTCCAAAGGGGCCCAGAGCCATCTAGCGAGAACGACTCTGAGATGGCCACGAGCTCCGTTGAGTGCACCTTTGTCTCGATTAGTAGGTGAAGACAGTCGAAATCATGTAAAACCTACCAATGATGCGAGGTGGAACGTGCAAGTCAGGGTGGTTCTCGTTCTTGTACTCCTTGATATGAGGGTGGTCGTAAACCAATCTTTTGGTAATCGACAGGAAGGCCTCGATGTGGTTGAACTGAAAGCAGGGATATAACAGATCCGATTTCTTCACGGTGCGGTTCTTCTCATACCATAGGCGAAACCAAGTGTCAAGGTTGGGGAACTCAATCATGAAGAAACGGGTGGAAGCCACGACATCCCACAGATACTCCCAGTGGAGTCTCAGAGTGCGCGCAGTCGGGATTTGAAAAAGATCAATGTTATCGTGTCATCATCAAAGATTGAATTGGAAAGGTTATGCTACCTGTACAGCCCCATGCCAGCAGAGCTTGTTGTGCTCAACGCCCAAACGCCATCCATGCATGAGAAATGACCGCTCACGGGCAAGCGACAGGCTCGTCGTCCTTGTACTCCTCCTCGCGAATGCCATCTTTGGTGACGACCTTGACGATCATGCCCTTGAAATCGATAGGCAATCTTCTCTTGAGCTCATCTGTGCACATTCTGAGAATCTTCATGCCTTGCTCGAAGGAAATGTCGGGGTGGTGGTGCTTGTCAAGCGTTGAGAGACAGTAGTACTGTGCGTAACCGTGGGCAGCATATGGGACAGGGGCGGATGAAGCCAGGTAGTCGATCCAGTGCAAAGTGGGCTTGTCGTTGATTGTGTCGTAGCCACCAAGCAGGAGGTTGACAGTGTATGGACGTCTTGATCTGAGGGCCTTTGCGAGCTCTGTGCGGATGAAGGAAGCAGTGGCTGATGGGTTGAGCTCGATGTCGTTGCGCATGCCGTAGAGCTGGACGTTTGCCTGGACGTATTCGGCGAATTGGACTGCAGGCAATGAATTAGAAGGGCAAGGTGACAGGATGGAGAGGTGCTGAGTGGTAACATACTGGTGTCACCAGCCTCGCCGGTCAGGGCCATCAGGATGTGCTTGCTCAGCGGGCGGGTCTTGTCGTCCGAGGCCTTGAGGACGGTTGCGCCGCGCATGGCCGCCTTGGAAGCGGCGATGATGGTGAAGTCCTTGCCAGTGATGCCGAGTAGCACGTCCCTGTCATGGCGTTAGTGTCGAGTGAGGAACAGAACATGCAGCATTTACTCACATGATGAGATTAGTATGTAGTGTGTATTTGATGGAGCGGTCTGATTGTTGTATGAGCTTCCAGCCAGGTCGAAGCTCTTGGACGAGCGAGCGCCGGCGGGCGATGATGCGCTGTCGGTGCTTGTGCTTTGACCTCCGACCTTGCGCTTGGCACCGCCGGCTTTTTGGTTTGCTTCCTCCGCATTATTATCAACTTTTTGCGATCAAGGTCAATTCTTTTTTTTTTTTTTTGGTCCCTCAATAATTCGACTAGAGTCTGTCTGACTCTTTTCTGGATCCAACATGGCATACAAGGCCGAATATAAGACCACCTTCGAGCCTGGACGTGTCATTCAGCCTATCTATACCGGAGGAAGTGTCGCCCTTAGCCAGGATGGTCGCATTCTCGCATCGTGCTTGGGAGAGGATGCTCTGCTGAGTGATCTTGCTACCGGTGAACATCTGGCTAGAATCGAAGGTGTAAGTTGCACTGCCGGGCCCTCTCAGCGTGGCACTGACGAGTTGACACAAGACTTTTGCAGGACGGTGAATCCATTACCACTCTTGCCATGACCCCCGATGCAAAGTACCTGGTCCTGTGTTCGCGAAACCTTTCCATGCGCATCTTCTCCCTGAGGACGTCTCCCACCGCCGATCGATCCATAGATGCCACTCTCCTCAGAACGCTCAAGCCGCATACCGCTCCAGTCGTTGTCGCAGCAGTCGATCCTACCTCTACTCTTCTGGCAACTGGTGGTGCTGATGGTATTGTCAAAGTTTGGGATATCAAGGGAGGCTTCACAACACACACTTTCCACGGCCACAGCGGCATCATCTCTGCCCTTCATTTCTTCCACGTCGACACAACAGCATCCCCCACCGAGAACAAGTCGCGCAAGCGAAAGAGCAGGTCAGGTGACGAGGACGCTGCCGATGCAACCGCTGGTTACCGTCTAGCATCAGGAGGCGAAGATGGAAAAGTCAGAATTTGGGATCTTCACAAGCGCAAGCCTGTTGCCACTCTGGACTCGCATGTTTCGGTTGTTCGCAGTCTGGACTTCTCTTCTGAGCGTCAACTTCTTCTGTCTGCCAGTAGAGACAAGACGGTCATCACCTGGGATGCAAAGACATGGCAGTCCAAGTTGACTGCGCCCATTCTGGAGACTGTCGAAAGAGCAGGCTTCGTCGCAAACGGCGATTTCTTCTTTACTGGTGGAGAGAATGCAAGAGTTCGTATTTGGGACATGGCAGGCCATGAGAGGACCGAAGAGCAGGAGCCTGGAGTGGAAACCGAGGCCATCCTAGACATTATCCACCATTCCGATCTCCCTTTCTTGCTCTCTGTCCACGTTGATCAAACACTGGTTCTGCACTCACTGGAGCCACTCATTCAGACAAATGTGGATGTCACAATCCCTCCGCTCCCCATCATCCGCCGCATCTCCGGTACGCACGACGAGATTATCGACATGGCCTACGTAGGCACAGACAACTCGATGCTTGCCTTGGCTACCAACTTGGAAGATATTCGCCTGATCACTCTCAACACCGAAAGCAAGAACGAAGGTTCAAGCATTGCAGATGCCGCGTACTTTGGTGCCGATGTAGCTCTTCTCAAGGGTCATACCGATATCATCATCACCATTGACACAGACTGGTCAGGCCACTGGCTCGCAACTGGTGCCAAGGACAACACTGCGAAACTCTGGCGTTTGGATCCTGCAAACAACTCGTACACTTGCTATGCTACCTTCACTGGTCATGCTGAGTCTATCAGCGCTGTTGCCCTTCCCCATGCCATCCCTGTCGTTGGCTCAAATGCTCACAGCAAGCCCCTTGAGCACCCGCCGACATACCTCATTACTGGCAGTCAAGATAAGACCATCAAGCGCTGGGATATTAGCTCAGGCAAGTCAGGCTTAGAGGCGAAGGCTGTTCGCGCAACCTATACACGCAAGGCTCATGACAAGGATATCAACGCTATCGACACGTCTTACGCTCAACAAGGTACTCTCTTCGCTTCAGCTTCTCAGGACCGCACAGTAAAGATCTGGGACTTGGAGACCGGTGAGTCTGTTGGTGTGCTTCGTGGTCACAAGCGTGGTGTCTGGTCTGTAGCGTTCGCTCCTCCTGGTACACCAGCCATTGCAGGCGATTCTGGATCTAGCAGCGGGACAAGAGGCATGGCTGTTACTGGAAGTGGTGATAAGACCGTCAAGATCTGGAGCTTGAACGACTACTCATGTCTGAGAACATTCGAAGGCCATACCAACAGTATCCTGAAAGTCATCTGGCTTCCTGTTTCCAAGAACCCAGGAAAGCGTGGCGAACGTAACTTGCAAGTTGCCAGTGCAGCAGGCGATGGTCTTGTCAAGGTTTGGGATGCTCAGAGCGGTGAGTGCGCTGCTACCCTGGACAACCACATTGACAGAGTCTGGGCTCTGGCTGTCAAGTCTAACCGATCTGGAACTGCCAAGGCTACCTCGACAGAGGACGATGAGGAAGCACCTGAACCTCCTGTTGAGCTCATCTCCGGTTCTGCAGATGCCACTCTTACGTTCTGGACTGACACCACTTTGATGACATCGCAAGCTTCGGCATCTCGTGCTACGGCTCGTGTGGAGCAAGACCAGGAGTTGCAAAATCACATCTACGCCAAGAACTACCGCGAAGCCATCGTGCTAGCTCTGCAACTCAATCATCCTAAGCGCCTACTCGATCTTTTCACTCGTGTTCTTGAGTCAGAGGACAAGGACGAAGACAGTTTGACTGGTGCGAAGGGCGTTGACGAGGTTTTGGGCTCATTGTCGGAAGAGCAGCTTTGGAAGCTTCTGCTCAGATGCCGCGACTGGAACGCCAACGCTCGAACAGCCCATGTCAGTCAACGCATCCTCTACACACTCTTCCGCTTGTACCCCAAGGAGAAGTTCGTCCAGCTTAGGCGAAAGAGAGCACCCAAGCCACCCGTGGCTGAAGAAGACGAATTGGCCCAGGGTATGGGTGCACTCGAAGTCAAGGACAAGGTCAAGAAGAATGAAAACGTCAAGGATGTGTTGGAGGGCCTCAAGGCATATACTGAACGACATTACGGACGTCTAGAAAAGATGGCAGAGGAGAGATGGGTTTTGCTCTGGACTCTGCAGCAGATGGATTCATGATGGACTTGTGTTTTTATCTTCTGCAAGGTGTTTGGAGTTCGGGGCATATCTAGGATATCATGCATCGTAAGGGAGTATATGTCAAAAGCATTCTTCTTTCTATCACCAATGTTCACCATTTCGTCAAAGCTAAAATCTCGCAAAGTTTTCGAAAGGTCGTGCCCAAGTACTATGGTGTCGGTCGGTGGCTTCCTGGCGAGAAACGAATCTCTTGGACTCTTCGTGACTTAGGTCATGCTTTCCTTTGACAATTTGTGTTGTGACAAGGCAGCAAACGGAAGGTTCTCGTCTGTTTGAAGCAAGCGCTACAACACATCGCCGGCGTTAGCTCCTTCCAGAAACAATACAACAGCTCCGTCTCACTTAAAGGCGTCAAAGCTGCGCTTTTGCAAGCGCGTCTTTTTCAATCACAACCATCAACATGTCGCACGACCTTCACAAGATCGTCGGCCAACGCTTTGATGGCCATTACATGGCCACCACCAACCCCTTCAGTCTACCCACACGTCCAGCTTCTCAATGGGAAGACGCTCGCGATCGCACCAGCGAGCAGCTTCATGAGACCGCCATGTACCAGCTGGGTCTCGTGAACGTCCCGGGCACTTCCACTTCTACTTCTGTCACGTCCAAGACGCGTACCACTCATACCTCTAATCCTTTTGAGGCTATGCAGCAGAAGTGGGAGGAGCGTGGCTGGCTTATCCAGAAGCACGAGCGTCGCCTCAAGGACAGCAATGAGCTGCTATCCAAGATGTGGCGTCGTCTTGACCCCTACGGCCGCGTGCTCGAGCTTCTGGACAACAATACCACTGTTCGGCGCCATGCTGAACGCCACGCTGAGCCTGCGTTCAGCGAGAATGCCTCCATGCAGGAACACTTCTGTCGCCTGGCTGCATACGACTACCTCTACACCATTGATCCGGGCTTTGCTATGCCATCGCCTGCACCCCAGGCAGATCCTGCGCTGAACGAGAAGCGTCTCAACAGTCTGGCTAGTACTGTCAAGATTCAGAGTGGTCTACTGCAGGAGAAGAACGACACGATTGAGAAGCTACGCACTCAGCTCGAGACCCAGCGTCGTTCTCATTTCCAGCAGTTCAGTGCGTACCAGAAAGACAGGGACGACACTGTCGATCGTCTGGAGAAGCAATTGCAGAAGGCCAACACCAAGTATTCACGCCTCAAGAGTGCCGCTCAGGCGCCACTCAAGCCAAAGGCTATCGTGCCTCTTGCCCCACGCTCACATCTCTCCCATGCTCCAATTGCGAAGCCTTCTGTAGCTAAGGCTCCTGTTGTGAAAGTATGTCAACCAGTAATTGAATCTGTGCAGTACTGATCGATCACAGCTTCCAGAAACTGCATTTGGCGGCGTCCCCGAGAACCACACCTCTCTGACCTTCGAGGGATTCTCTGAGCACAACACCTTCAACCCTGCGCGCCTCTTGATGCTGACTGCAGTCAATCCTCCAGCCGAGCACACTTCTTCGTTGGTCGAAGAGGACTTCAACGTCGGTCCGCTTTCTTCAGGGGCAAACTGTGCTCCTCTTGGCCCCTCCAAGAGACGTTACGACTCTGCCATGCAGAGTTCACGCAATAGTCAGGCACCTATTCCCATGTCCTCTCACTGGTCGTCCAATGGTGACAAGTACGAAGAACACATTCACATTGCCTCAAAGAGAGATGTCACCTTCCTCGATTACGACGACCCGGAGGACAAACCTGAGGAGAATCCCAAGGACCCTAAGCGCTTGAAGTCTGGCGTTCTCACCCCTCCCTTGCCGGAAGACCTTGTCATGGCATCCACCGCTGAGTCCGGTGGCGGAGTTTCTGTCAAACACGAGACTGATCTGGAGATGGGTGAGATCAAAGGAGGTGGTGATGGCAACAAGTTTGCCTACGAGGATTTGGATGAGATGATCAATCAGGCTCAGAAGGAGGCTATGAATTAGAGGCTGATACAAGCCTGTGATCGAAGAGTCCACATTCAGGCACAGTTTCAGCTAGCAGTGTATGTTTACAGACGCGCTAATCTAGGCATTTGCTCTATGCCATGATTTGTTCAAAGTCGGTCAATGCTCTAAACTTTTTCACTTCCCAATTGCTCGCAGTTGAAAAACCTCAGATGTGGAAACTGACCATCAAGATATCAATACCTCTTCCAAATCCCTTTGAATAGTCCAACAGAATACTTTGTGTTTTCGCAGCGGCAGAACATGACATGTAAGAAAACAGGCTGAAGAACGTGACGGTCGTCAGGGTCACACAAGCAACATCAATCTGAGGCAAGTTGGAGCGAAGCGCGCTGCGTTCGTGTACCATCGCGTGTTCCAACAACATTTTATTCGTGACAATCGCAAGTATACGACGCGACCTTTGATCATGCATCATGAAACGAAAGAGAGGCAAGAAAGATGCCTCCGGGGCTTTCAAACGTACCAAGATAAGCAGTAGTACCATCATCCGCAACCCTCAACCTACTCCTAGCATCCTCCGGCTATACTATCCTCAAGTCTTGACGTTACGAGAATATCTTCTACAAGCCAAGACATCTAAGAACAAGAGACGATCGATCACGACCTATGGATACGACACGGCCAGAAGCTTTCAAGATACTGATTTGGAGCTGGTCAAACTTCTGGATACCGTTCTTGTTGGCTGCCACGATGTGAAAATAGAGAAGCATGATACTTCCGACTACCAGAACGACCTCAGCATATTCTCGACGCAAGCGTCTGGTTCTACAGCCAAATCTGGTGGTTCACAGGTACATCTTTCCTTTGCCGAGATTGTAGAGTTCGTCATCTGGCGGCTCTTCCGTCAACATACTTCTGGGCATCGTCCTCCGCATGTCCTTTGTCATGGCTACTACCATGACGGTCTGGGAGATGTAAGGACCCTGACGAAAGTGAATGCAGAAGATAACTGTCATGTTGCCTCACCGGATCGAAATGAACATGTCGATAGGTTGAAGGGAAGTGCCTGGGCCGGTTTGACAAAATTGGTTGGTAATAACGGTGTGGTCACACTGATCCAGCTTTTGCAGAATTGCGGCATGTTCGCGCCTCTTGAGGGTGGAAGAGACAATTTTCTGCAAATCAGTGGCATTGATCTGTCTGAGCTGCAGACTGTTGACAAGAATCATCCTACAGGTGGGCCAAGGTCAGACAGTGGTGCAACCTTGGTGGCCTCTGATGCCATGAAGGTTGACAGTCAACCCAGCTACGAGCTTAACACTCTAAACACGATCCGATTTGTACGACACCGTATCCTGTACAGAAAGTCTGACTTGAATGCGCAAGGAGAGGCATATTTTGGTCTGCCACACATCCGTACGTCCCACGAACTTTGTAAATGGTATCCAAATTTGACGTGCGACAGATATACTGAATCGTATCAGGTGTTGCGAAGAGGCAGACAAGAATGCTCACCTGCTAAAGTACATCTTTCCACGACAGTTTGGACTTCACAATGTTTTCACCCATGCAATTAACACGAAGAACTCGGCCCAACCCTTCAAGGACTATACCCTCCGTGAGCAGGAGATAAAATCGACATCTCGAAACAAGCAACGATCCCTGCCAAAGCGGTTACGTGGAGAATGCGAGACTTTAGTTGGCAATCTTCGAATCCGGCATGAGAGATGTGCTTACTCGGCACTGCTGCAGTATTATTGTCGTGATCCATCGAAACAAGAGAACGATGTAGAAGGTGGGGACTACAGCATCATGCGAATGGCTACATCCTCTTCTCAGGTATCTGCGTTCTGCAGATCTGTGATAGCCAAAGTGTTTCCAGGCAGACTCTGGGGCGAGGGCGAAGGCGGAACCGCGAACAAAGCCCATATCATGCATCAGATCGATCGGTTTATCAGATTGGGTCGTTACGAAAGTTTGATGCTGCATGAAGTGGCTCAAGGCATCAAGGTATGTGAAGCAGAGATCCGGTCAACCAAACACTGACCGCCAAACAGATCTCCAACGTTACCTGGCTCAGACCACCAAAAGAGCCAGCAGGCCGCAAAATGTCAGCTTCTGACTTCGCCAAACGCAAGGAGTTGTTTGCTGAGCTTCTCTACTATCTTTTCGACTCCTTCCTCATCCCTCTGATCAGCAACAACTTCTACGTTACTGAATCTTCTACCTTCAGGAATCGTCTCTTGTATTTCCGTCATGATGTGTGGCAAAGAATGTCAGAGCCGGCCCTATCTAGCTTGAGAACCTCCATGTTCGAAGAAGTCAGCCAGAGCAGGGTGAAAAAGACACTCTCCAACATATCGATCGGAACTGGCCGTGTGCGATTACTACCCAAAGACTCAGGCCTTCGACCTATCATCAACTTGAAGCGCAGAGTAATGTCGAAGAGAAACGGTAGATTGGTACTCGGCAAGAGCGTCAACAAGATCTTGACCCCAGCATTTCACGTTTTGAATCTAGAAAAGGTACGTTTCATGTTGATCAACTCAAACTTGTTTACCTGACAAGATGCAGTCCACTACACCGGAAAGGCTTGGGTCTTCGATGTTCTCTTCAGATGAAATCTACCAGCGCTTACATCGCTTCCGAAACCAACTGCAAGAGACCGGGAAGGCCAATAAGCCACTTTACTTTGCGAAGGTCGACGTACAGTCTTGCTTTGACAGTATACCTCAAAAGCCACTGCTAAGATTGCTGAATGCCTTGATCAGTGCAGAAGGATACACAATCACAAGATATGCACAGGCCAAAGCTCTAGGGGACTTTGGGTCCACCGAAGACCAGCCAACAATCATCCCAAAAGCTTCATGGAAGTTCAAAGGCAAGGCACGAACTACTGATCAGAACGAGATATTCTCCGATCATGCCCAAAAAGAAGCAGATGCTGCATTGGGAACTGTCTTTGTGGATCTCGAAGGCAAGACACACAGGAGCCGTGCTGGTATCCTTGCGTTGCTCAGAGAACACATTGAACGCAATGTCGTCCAGATTGGTAAGAAGTTTTACCGACAGACTACTGGTATACCACAAGGCTCGATCGTGTCGAGTCTGTTGTGCAACTTCTTCTACGCCGAATTGGAACAGAGAGTGTTGGCCTTCTTGCAAGATGGCGAAAGTCTGCTCTTGAGGTTGATTGATGACTTCTTGCTTATCACCACTAATCGCGACACTGCAACTCGCTTCGTTCAGGTCATGCATCGCGGAATTCCAGAGTATGGACTCAAGGTAAAGGAGGACAAGTCGAAGGTCAATTTCGACGTACAGGTCGATGGAAAAGTTGTGTCCAGGCTACCTGCAGCTACCAACTTCCCATACTGCGGTAATGCTATTAACACGGTCAACCTCAATATCACCAGAGACGAGACTCGACGACAGCAAAACAGTAGGCGCTTGTACAGCATGAGGCACTAATCTGATACTAACGAGCTCATAGACACGGCGGCAGCCACGACAGTTGACTTTTCAAGATGTCCAGGACAAAACTTTTACCGCAAGACCTTTAGGTGAGTTTCGCAGTGCACATGTCACATGTTGCACAGGGCGGCAGCGGAAGAGACGTTGGGGACTGACGTTCGTGTGATAGCATGCTGAAACTGCATATGCAGACCATGCATTTGTGCACTCGGCACAATCACATCAGTACCGTGGTTGCCAATGTATCCCGCATGTTTGCAGATACGGCGGAACGGTGTTTTAATTACATCCGATGTCTCTCTCAGACGAAGAAGCCATCCACTGCTCTGATAATCAGTAAGTCTGTTGTTGACATTGTGTCTGAGCCAAACATCACATTTTGTCCATGGCTATCTTTTCGCGGTTGTTGACCGCCGAGAGATCTTCGAAAACTAAGCGTTGATCGGCACGTCCAACCATGGCATCGTTGATCTTATTATGCCTTGACTCAATAACACATTACTGATTCGAGCCGCACCGCAGAAACCATCGACGACTTGATACATGTTAGCTATGGTCTCATGAAACGCAAGCGAGAGAAGAAGAATAGCGACGTTGAGTATGCTTGCGCTTTGAGTAAGACACAAATTCGTTGGTAAGTTATCCAGTTTTTCTTTGCAACGGCGATCACGGTGAATGATGGAGGAGAGAGTCCGATAGGGCCCAGTGTGAGCTTGGACACCATCTTCGTTGCTCTTTCCTCCTCTATCTTCGTTCAATCCCGCCGCGGGAAGAGGGCCACCCCACTGATCGCTCAGGCTTGTGATTTCTTGAAAATCTTGATGTGCTGATGATTTGAACCACGACCAAACAGGCTGGCTTGTCACTCGTTCCAAAAGACATTTGCAAGACGTCAGACTGGCTTTTGTGGCTTGCTGTCTTGGCTACAGCGGGAGATGGCGGAAGCGGGATTGGCTTTGATGGCTCATGAAAGACAGGCGCTTGAGAAAGCGCATTTTTAGATACAATGTCACCAACCACGCGCACTTGCCTCGGAGTACGGACTCCTACTTTGCAAGGATGAGGCCGAGGACCAGATGAGCAGACTGTGCATGGTGTGAAGACAGCGCAGGGGAAGAAGACTGCACCTGGTTGCATGGAGTCAAAGACACCAAGCCCCGCGTTTCGAAAGACGGGTCGCGCGATCGCGATAGCACACGATCAAACAAACGGTGGGTACGGTGGTTACCTTTTTTTGCGGGTGCAAGTTTCCTTGATAAAAAAAAAAATGGCGGGAAACTTGGCTTTGGTGGTGGAGGGCGCTTCGCATCATAGACGTGACAGCGGGATTCATGCCACCCATGCCAGGATTGTTGGCAGCATGCACGATGCTTGAACCCGGATTTCGTGACAGAGGCAATAAAGGTTAACAGTTTCAGATTCGAACAGTCAAAAGACGTGGTTCCCCTCTTCCCCTGACAGAAGAGCTATAGTTGTAGCAACCCACAACAAGCAGTGACCGTTATTCATCTAAGGAGATTCATCAATATCAGGTGTGCAGCGGTCTCGGCACAAGATTCATAAAAAGATCCGCTCCTTTTTGGCGCCAGGAACCAAACGGCCGAGCCCTCACCTAAGGATGGCTAGCGCTTTGACTGTTGATGATCCATGCCGCCGTCTGGAGGCAGTCGACGAAGCCTCTGGACCAGACGTCTTTCTTTTCAACAACCCGCACTATCGTCACCACCATTCTTCAGCTTTTCCTTCATCACCCAGATCTTTGACAGTGAATTCTCTGCATCATTTCCATCTGCCCATTGCAGAGCCCCAGCATGATTATTGGGCTTTCTTGAAGCATACCCAGATTCCATCAACAATAGCAACGCCCCGGCCTTGCGTCCATTCGTTTCACCCTTGCGCCAGCGACAACAAGACAATGACGACCCATGTAAATACCACCTCAATTGCAACCACCACCACCACCATCAACACCGAGCGAGATCCCAGCCCCGGCTCCCCACCAGATTTGACTGGCTCAAAATCCTCAAAGTCGTCGGGTTCGTTCCGTTCTACCTGCCTGACCAGTCAGCCGAGTCACGACAACCTGTCGCATTTCGAAGACATCGCTCTGGCCGACTCTGGCAGAGACGAGGCCGATGACCTGCATATTCGAATCACCCCAAGGAAGCTCTCAAACACGTGTGCTCCTCCCCCTCAACGTCGAACCGTGTCCGCCGCTCCAAAAAATGGACGCAGTCCTTCGGTTCCTGAAGTCTTGCGCGATGCCACCAACACCCACCGCCCTCGCTATCCTAGTCTGAAGTCGCATGTCAGTGCTGCCAATCTTAATGCTCGTCCCATCCGTCGAGGCTTTACTAGTCCCTCCACGCCATCGCTCGTCATGGGAGCAAGGACTCGTACCTCGAGGTCAGTCTCTCCCACCAGCCAGGCTCTTAGCGACGGGGGCCGTTCTCCCACATCCGTAGCACCCAAGACACTGGCTCCTAGGCCGCCTTTGAGACCAAGAAAATCAGTAAAAGAGCTCGAAGCCGAATATCACGATTCCGACGAGGAAGTGCCCGAAGATGCCGTCATCTGGAATGTTCCCATCTCCCCACGCCCTCCCATGCAATCGACTCCCTCGAGTCCTACCAGAACCGTTTCTACCAAGATAACCCCAGAACTCAAGCCGGTACACAGCAACGGATCAGCGAAAGAAGAAGCTCCTCGTTCTGCCACACGGCCACCTATGCCCCACAGCGCAACCATTGCCGCATTCCCTCCAGATCCCGCCTCGCCCAGACTCCAACGTGGCAGAACTTGGAACGAAGACCTAAGCGAGGAAGCACGAGAAGTTGCCGCTGCTTTGGAAGAGCATGCCGAGCGCGTATCGCAAGAAAGACGTCGTTCCACCCGCAACAGCACCAATGGAAGCCCTCCGCGCCCATCGATGAAGCTGAGAACGAAGACAAGCGTTATGGAATTGCCACCGCTGCAAAAAGGAAACGTTATGATTGACCCGCTGCCAATCAGCAAGGAGAAAGAGGCTGTACTCACCAGGACACGTCCATCGTGGCTTCCACCCAAAAGCAAAAAAGAGGAGAAGAAGCATATGAAGGAGTGGGAGAGGATGATGGCTGCAGCCGAGGCCGCCGAGAAGAAGCGTGTTGCTAGAGAAGCCGAAAAACAGCAACAACGCAGACACGTCGAATCGAACATTGCACGAATTTGGGAACAACACGTTATTCCCAATTGGGATGATGTGGTCAAAGAACCAAGAACTCGCGAGCTTTGGTGGCGTGGTGTCACCCCTAGAGACAGAGGCACTGTCTGGAGCAAGGCTATTGGTAACGAGCTATCGCTTACCGAGACCTCATATGCCAACGCTCTCAAGCGCGCCCGCACTCTACAGTCTTCGGTCAACAAGCTCCCAGAAGAAGAGCGCTCTAAGCACGCCGATGCAGCTTGGTTGGCTGCAATCGCACGCGATGTCCCAACCGTCTTCCCTGAACTCGGTATCTTCGGTCCTGGTGCACCACTTCACTCCACCCTGGAAGATGTGCTTCTTGCCTATTCTGCCTACCGTAGTGATGTGGGCTATGTTTACGGTGTTCATACGATTGCAGGCCTTCTTGTGCTAAACATGAGTGCATCAGCTGCATTCATTGCTCTTGCAAACATGCTGAACCGACCACTGGCTCTTGCTTTCCTGATCAATGATCAAGCAACCGTCTCGCGCGTCTACTCCACTGTACTTTCTACGCTCAAGTACAAGATGCCCCGCTTGCATGAACACCTTACAAGCCCCGAGATTGGCTTCAAGGGCCCTGAAGAATGGCTGCACCCCTTCCTCGCTACGCTAGGCACGCAGATCCTCAGTCCCGATTCTTGCAGTCGTCTGTGGGATATTGCCGTCTTTGAAGGTGACAAGACGTTCATCCGTGCGGCTGTTGGCGTGCTAGCACTGCTTGAGAGCAGACTATATGGACCCAGAGAGGAACTACTATCTCTAATTGGCTGGGGTGCTCGCCCGCTTGATTTCGAGGAAGAACAAGTCATTGTCGCCATCCGCGAAGCTGGCAAGATTTCTCCTCATAATTCGACTCCCGATCTCACTGGCAACAAGCGATAGTGCGCTGATGCTCTCCACAAGAGACGAAGACTTTTCACACGAAAGAGGAGGCTGGTTCTTTCCCTATGGTAATGTGTTTTATGAAATGGCAAAAGGGTATTTGGGGTGTTTTTCGATGTTTTGTTTGTGTTGCTGTTGTCTCTTTTTCTTTTCATGTTTATTCTTTTTTCTCCTCTGACCCTGCTCCACGACCACTTCGCAAGAAGTGGCTGGACGTGGCCAAAGGTAGATCAACAACCCTATCATTACTCGGTCTTTCCTTTGTTGCTCATCATCATCACTAACTTATCATCATCATCAGCACTACTGCGGTATCGTCGCTTGTTCTTTTTGCTTTGTTGTTACTCATAAACGGTTGTTGTGTGGGTGGGGATCCGAAGAGTTGCGGATCTCCCTGGCTGTTTTTGTGTCCAATTGCGGGTAACTTGTAATGGAAAGGTGCGAGATTCCTGGAGAAGGAAAAGACTGTACATAATTCCTTTCTGTCTGCAAAGACGAATAAGGACATTATTGTTCCCTCAAGAGCTTCATGTCACCGGCCAATATGAATTGTGAAATTGCAAAAGTGATATATAGCTACGCAGTCACATGCATGCATGTAGTCAGAATAGAGTCAACAGATCAAGCTTCCAAGTTTGGATCTTGAAGGTCTCAATGCATGTGCGATGGTAGAGTTTCTGCTTGCACGTCGTGAAGTCAAAGCATACACTAACATCCATCTCTCCAATGTCTCCGACAAGCTGCATGGCAGTGCATGATGCTCTATCATAGTCTAGATACTGGAGCACCTGACAAAATCTTAGAAGCATCATTCCGCACCTCTCGTGTGATGGCCTCCGCGCTCATGACTGACTTGACAAGACCAATTCCTGTGCCTGCATAAGTGGTCAACCTTGCCTTATCGCCCTCCCAACCTTTGTCTCCTGATGCCACTGCCTCGTCATACAGCTTTTTGTTATCTTCGAAGCTCAAGCCGGCCTCGTGGTCTCTATAACTAGCGTTCAACACGCCGCGGCCTCCGTAGCCAGTGGGCCATTCTGTGGTACCGCGGAGCTGGTCATAAACTGATGAGCGGATTGTAGTGCTTCCTCCATCAGAAGCACGAAGCACGGCATCTCGGTATCCGGAGGCAATGGTCGCCTCATTCGCCGCAAGATATCGGGTTCCCAAACAGATACCTTGGGCACCCAGACAGATCGCGGCTGCTGCACCTCTTCCTTCGCTGATCCCGCCGGCCGCCACGAAAAACGGCAATGGTGTAGATGAAGAGGAATTGCAGTAGTCTGTCACAGCATCGATGGTCTCAGGTACCAGGGAAATAATGCCGGCACCTTGAGCTGCGCCATGGCCTCCAGCGTCAGTACCTTGAACCACCAAGACATCAGGGCTTGCGAACTTGGTAGCTTCCAGAGCTTCACGGACGCTGGTCACTTGAATCCAGATCTTTGTCTTGTTGCTCGAAGCCTTGCGTACACCGTCTGCCCAGTCTTTAAGTTGGTTTGGATGTCTTGGAGCAAAGAGCCATACTGCAGCAGGAATGTTCTCAGGTTTACTGAGGATGGCCAAGGTGTCTGCCAGTGGAGCGCCCCAGATGAGGAAGCCAACGCCTACAGGTAGAACACCGGTGTTTGTAGACACTTTGGCTTTGTTTAGAATGTCACGACTCTTGGAGAGTTCGGAGGATAGGGTGCTGATGTCACTGCCTGCACCTATGAAGCCGAGACCGCCAGCTATAGAAACTGCGGTTGCAAGAGATGCATTGGCTATCAGGCGCATCGGAGCGCAGCTGATGAGTGGAGAGGTGGTCCATGGATATGCGGCAGTCAGAGAGGACGCCATAGTGGCAATTTCAAGATACGGTACGGTGTCTGGATATGAGTAGAACACAGACACCTTACTTGCCTTCTGTCTTCTGTTGTTCTCAAGTCTACCTGCCTCTCAACCGTGCCTCGGGAATGTCGCTGCTTCTCCGCAAAAGTCCTAATGATGTCGGCGAGCGGGAAGGCACTGATAGGGCACAACCGCCCCTACCGAAGACCGCCCGGCAGTATCTTTCGCGATTGTCGGCGCCGAGCTTCACTTGGTTGCGACTGAGAGATGTCAAGTAACACAAAGTATTCCATACCAACGACTACTGCCACCATCCGCCAGTCTCTTACGCGTTTGCATACTTAATAGTGGGCATACTTATCCCAATACGCGACAAAGGACCTCTTCTCGAAGAGTCGACATATCCCTCCCGATAGCAGCTTCCCTGTGTTACTGCAAACATGAACGCACCAGACAGGTATGCGCTGCTCTTTCCTGTTACTCGCTCCTTCCTTGATTGAACGAACTACGCTGTTTCTCGTCGGAAAACTTGTCACGCGCGACTCGTTCGTTTCTTGCCTTCACTTCTCACTCCCTGGTCGCATTCCCATAAAATGGCTCCTTCACAATCTCTCCTCTGTCACAATCGCAACCACCATCCATCATTTCGCAATCAAGATCCTTGGTTGCTCTGCACACACAACTCATTTTGTCATACTCCACTGCACTTCACATCCACTCCAAGATGGCTCCCGACGATTATCATTTCATGGGCACCCCCGTCACCACTCTTTACGTCCACAAGCCAGAACGCGGCGATGTCGCTAACGATGTTCCTCCAAGATTCGAGCTCTTCCTCCTCGGCGACGGCGAGAAGAAAGTAACCTGGGCTCCCGAAACCCGTAAGCAACCACTTTCCTACACTAGCCCTTCGTCCATCTCTGACAATCTGCTGTTACAGGTGTCCCCGATGCAGCCGTCTTTACCTTCAACAAGGAAGACCACACCCTCGCCAACCTTCTCCGCGCCAAACTTGCAAAGTCACCAAACATCTTGTTCTCCGCCTACAAAGTCCCTCACCCTCTGTTCGCAACCTTTGAACTGCGTGTCCAGACCGATGGATCCCTCACTCCCAAGGACGCCGTCATCAGAGCTTGTGGAGATCTGATTCAAGAGCTGCAGAGATTGGACCAGGAGTTCACAAAGGAGTGGGAGCTCAAGAAGATTGCTGGTCAAGGTCGCGATGGACTTTGAAATCGCATCGAAAGATGGGGCTGCAACATCAAAGCCGAACAAAAGAGGGAATCTGAGGAATTAGCGCTGAAGTCTGCGCTCTGAGCATGACAAACTGGAGTTATCGGCGTTCTTTGCTGCAATCAAAATGGTAACGAAGGGAAGCACATTACACTTTCAAGCATGGCACAGAAGAGGAGGTTCAGGTCTGGAATTTATGCTTCGAAAGAAGGCCATTCGAGCTGATGAGTTATTATTTTTATCCTTGCTCACACTTCACAAAAAGATACCCACGACACAAATATCAAGAATCTGCAACGATCCCTGTAATCTCGTATGCTCTTTGGCGTAGGGTGAGCACTTGCTCCCGTTCGTAGTGGGGCTAGGTGGAGGTCACTTACACAAAAGTTGTCTTTTAGGATATCACATGCATGGAAAGATAGAGAGAAACTTAGGCAATCTCAACGACAGGAAATCAATCTACTCTATAGGAAAGAGCCAATGACTGAGCTGTAAGTAGGAGAGCTGCAGCAAGCCTGTCAACAAAACGTCATCCTTTGGCAAAGATGAGCTCAGATGATATGAACCGAAGGGCGTCAATCAACCATCTCACTTCTCGTCTCTCTCCGAGTCCGAAGCCCAAGAAGGAGCCCAGCTGGTCTGAGTCCAATCAGAGTCATTTCCGTCATCCTCGCTGTCCTCCTCCTTCTTGCCCATAGGCGGCTTTGCATTCTCAAGATTGCGTGCAAGTTTTCTGGCCTTCTTGGCTGCCTTCTTGGCTGCCTTCTTCTTTGCAGCTGCTGCATCGACCGTAGCCTGCTCTCCATCTGCTTCGTTCGACATATCGTTGAGCTTGACGCCGCCAGCCTTCTCATCGTCTTCCATGTCCTCGAGCGCTTCTTTTTCGTCTTGCTTGGCGATTCTCTTCTTGCCAACTACCTCACAGGCACTGCGCTGGTGATCGGAAGTCTTCTTAGAACCAGGGCTTGTTTCGAGCTTGACCTCCTGGGCACCACCGCTGCCCCAGGTATACACCAGGACAGGTTCATCACGCTTGATGGTGTGGCGTTGCTGGTGTCTAGCAGCATCTTCGGCAGTGAGTCCACTACAGATATTGTTCAGCACATGTTCGGTGCAAAACTTGGTATAAACTTACTCCATAGCACGCAGTTCGTCAAGAACTTTGGGAGCAAGACGCTTGATTTCCTTGGAACGGAGACCGGGCTTGAGGGCGATGATCCACTTGGTCATCAAATCCACGTCAAGATCTTCGGCGCCTGGGAGGTTGGGTTCAGAATTGAGGTGGCATGCGATTCTCTCGGCGGTGATGTCGTTTTTGGAGCTTTGGGATAGCGGAGCAGTCATTCTGATGTGGTCTGGTGGCACGGCGGTTGTCAGATGGGTAGTGTTGATAGTATGATGAGTTCAGGGATCTGAGATTAGATGGTTTGGGTCGCTTGGAGTAAGAGGTTGGTGAGGAAGATGAGGAAAGAGAAGACCGTTCGAAGTGTCTTCGAGAACTGTGTGTTGGTCGAGCACAGAAGTTGTGAAAGAGGGTTGTGGCTTCCGGATTTTTCTGGTGTTGTCTGCATGTGAATGCTTAAGATGAGAAGGCGCAACAAGAAACAGGTCCTTCTACAGAAGTTGATGGATCAACATGTCGTTTGTCCATTCTTCAATTGCGGCGGTCTCAGTTGCAAAACGTACATAATCTTCTGTCCATTTGTAAACAGTCTATTGTATAGTATTGGCATAATGTCTCAATGGCTCTAATCTTTCATCGGCTATTTAACACCATTGTTTCAAGCCTTTCCACCAACCTTCTTTGCTCCGGCAGGTCGGACCATAACCATAAATTCATGCGGAGGGTCATCCTTCGCCGCTGGTGCATACTTGACAACATCAAAATCCATGTATTCTTTATCCTCAAACCCATACCTGGCGTACAAAGGTCTGCCCACCTTGGTAGCTTCCAGATAAGCCTGTATACCACAACGATCCGCGATCGCCAATCCTTCATCCAAGAGCAAAGATCCAACGCCCCTACGTTGATAGGCAGGATCGATAGCGAGAACCCTGAGATACAGATATGGCTCCAAGCCAATCCACTTCTTCTTACTGGCCGTCATGGCCGCATCCATAGCATCCAGTAAAGCGCCGTTAGCACCGGGAGCATGGGCATGAGGTTCTTCCTTGGCGGCTTCCTTGTCGATTTGCTCTTGCGTACGTGCAGAAGGCTGTAACACCCAGATCGCAACACCCACCACCTTCTTTGCATTCTTCTTCTCTTCCTCGCTCAGCTCAGCCTCTGCTTTGTGTTCCCATGCCTCTGGAAACACAAGATCAGAAGGGTCGGCAGGGGTGTCTGTGTCATAGGCCACAAAAGCACGCTGGCCAGCTTCAGAGTCCGAAGTGCTCATCTTGGTCTTGAGACCATTGAGGTTTTCGCTGAAGCTGTGGATAAGGTCTGCCTCGGACATGCCATTGGGAAAAATGTGAGGCCTCAGGCCAGAAGAGAAGGCGCCACTGAAGACGCGTTCGCGGGCTGGCAGATCCGATGGTCGCACCTGGCGAACCTGAATGGGCATGCTTGCTGAGTGTGATGCTGGTTTTGCTCCTTCTCTTTCCGGTATCGTTTATCGTTGATGACAACTTTCGCAAGGCCTAGGTAGGCTTCAGAATCGAAAACTTGTTTTCTGAATAATCTCTGGTTGTTTCTGGGAGCTTAGGTCTGCGTTCAATGCAGCTTTGACATCCGATGGAGGGCCAGATATTGAAGAATCAAAATGGTGATCAATGATTATCCTTCTAGAACAATGCAAGTCTAATATATACTGGCTTGCAGCTCACAGAAGAGTAAGAAAAGTGAGTGAGTCACGAAAGGCAGAAATGTTGCTGCCTCTAAAAGTCCACAGATCGAGGGGATGAGGTTGCTTCTTCTCGCCTACACTTGCCGCATACAGCCCTGTCCGCCGCAATTTAGCACAAACATGTCACCTTCCTATTGTGTGCACCGCGGCGCTAGGGAAGCGTTGCTGCATCGAAAGCTCTTTCTCTAGATCTACAGCAACAACAAGCGTCAAAAGCACAATGATCATCTCAAGAGTTGACTTTGTAATGTCATCGATTCATCACTGTATTGATTTTGCCTGTATGATACAAAAAACTGTTTGGCTATAACGTTAAAGGACTTTGATGCTGAAAGAAAGAACAGAAAAAGCGTCTGGCCGTCATATAAAAAGGTAAGGGCAAGAAGAAGGAAAATTGCCCAAACGGCAGAGAAAGAAAAAAGGTTGTTACAGTGAAATGCCATCAAGAGAGACCATCTCGAGAAAGGGAAATACGAAAAACGCCTCGCCAATGAAATGACATGTTCGTCAAGAACAACAACGCCGCTTCTCAATGAAATGGATGACTACCAATCGCTCATGTAAACATCTGCTACACCAAAAAGGGTAGCAAGAAAACTCCTCAGAAAATATGATAAACGAGAATCGAACGTGAAAAACGGAGCCGGTCCAGTATGGTTTATGGTAACAATGGTGAAGAGAAATATGCAGAAAGGGCGAGTTCAACCCAGCGAGTCAAAAGGCTGATACGACCTCAGTAATATGCATGAGTATCCTTCAGACAACGGTAGGGATCAGGACGTCCAATGTATCCGGGCTTGGGCTTGACTGGTGATGATCTCTTAGGCGGTTGGTGATCGCAGAAAAAATCAGGCTGGAAGCAGTCCTTACGCTGGCCTCTCGACGACCAGACGATGCGCTTTCCTCGTGCATGCACCTGCTCATACATCCAATTAGGTATCCAGGTTGGCCTTCTGGCAGAATCTACCTAAGATTCTTGTGAGAGGATAACAAAGTGCTGTTCCCAAATCCATCCAAGTGAATTGGTGGGATCATCCTGGTTCTTTGCAAGCCAAAGTTCGCCCTTTTGTGCGACAACGTCAAACACTTCGCCTTCAACGTAGGTCAAGTATGGGTAACCTGCTTCGCGTCTGGCTCGATCAATGTTGAACTCAAAAAGACTAGCAGCCACGAACATCACAGGAGTATCCATTGGTGCATGCTGCGGCGACATTGGACCAGGACTAACAGGAGCATCAGACATAGGCATAGCCGAGTTGAACATTCCAGAAAAGCGCGGTTCTTGTTGCTGAGTTTGCGAGCTCACCGCGGAACCAGGTCGTACACTAGGGCTACGCTTTGCCGTGTCGAAGCTCATGCGCGAAGACATGCTCTTCAAATCTGCAGGACGCTGGGCAGTTGAAGGTCTGCTGGCTGAGAACGAAGCTTTGGGTACGACGCTCGGCATACGAGACGGGGGAAGACTGTTGTTCTGGCTCGCACCCACACTAGGAGTGCGACCACGAGTAGACAGGGACGAGCTGGATCGCATCCTACCGTAATAGCCGGGCTGACCTGAGTCAGGCAGTACTGGAGATGCCATTGCTGAATTGAAAGACTTGTTGAAGTCACTAGGAGTGAATAGTGGCTGATTTTCGCTGCCGATAGACATGGTTCTATGACCGTTTGGCAGAATCGAAGGACGTCTTGTGGAAGCTTGAGAGGAGACGGTCTCATCGCCAACCAGGGTGGTCTGTGGTGACAGGAAGTTGAAAGTGTCGGCAAGCAATGCACCATTACAGACACCAAGCGACAATACCTGCGAGTGAACAAACTCATACTCTCCAGCGAATTCCGGCTCGATGTCAGCATAACGAGCATAGGCAAAGTCAACAACAGGTGCGAGCTTCTCCTTCCACAACCACCACCATTGAGACTGGAGGTAGACATGAGTGTTTAGACATGCTCTCACCAGCTCCGACTGCAACGTGTAAAGTCGGGGCAAGTCGAGCTTGAGTTGTTCGTTGAGCGCTTCGTAGACTTCTGCGGCTTCGGCGGTTTTGGCATCAGGCTTCTGACCTTTTTGCTGCATCGCCTGAAGGCGGGCGTAATCTGCGACGCGCTTCTTGCGCTTGGCTATCAAGTGTTGAGGGCCAGCATAGAGCTTGAGACACTCGAGCATTGGGTTGACGACATGTGTTTGCACGCGGGCTTTGTGGTCTGGCAGTGCAACGGTGCAGAGTTCGTTGATGGCAAGGATAAATTTGCGGAACTTGCTCTCGATCTCTGGACAGTTGTTTGTGTCGCATTCGACGTACTTTTGCAATGCGTCAGCAAATCTCATGAAGTGAGCGACAGGCTTTTCAAGCTCTTCTAAAGTGTGCTGAATATCTCGCATGCAAATTTGCAGCTTGAGATAGTGCCCGTTGAGTGCTTGAACTGCCTGGTCGAACTCAGGGTCCTTGTGAGCTTCCTCTGCGCCGACACGGTCCTTGACAGTATCCTTCTTTGCGAGGAAGACGGCCAGAGCACTGCGAGCATTGGATTTGGCACGTTTCCTGTGCACTTCTTGCACATATTCCGAACGCTTTTTGGATTCGTTGATTCTCTTGCAAACTGCAAGAATGCCCTCGAGTGAGTGATCCAACGCCTTTCGGTCGGGGTGGTTCTCGGGGGTGCGTCCGACCAAATCTCCAAGCAGAAGACCGTATTTGAGAATGCGTTGCGTGGGCTTCACCAACAACGAGTCCAGATTCCAGGCACCAGTGATGTCGCTGGCCATCTTTTGACACTCCGTAAGCCAAGAGGTAACAAGAGGCTCTGTTTGGATTCTCTTCAAACAATTGTTGGCGTTCTCGTGATTTTTCAGATAGACCTCATAGACGTGCTCCATGCGAGCCATGTGCTTGGCAAAGACGGCACCAATTGTGGTCATTCGATCTTTGTCATCATCTATGACCACACTTGATGAATTGCCATCGCTGTTCGAAGTCGAAAAGCTGCCCCTCTTGGGTTGCCAGCGTGAAGACTTGGGAGGAACATAGATAGGTGCGGCAGCCTTGCGCAGTGCATCGTAGAACTCGAGCGAGAACTTCTCGACTTGATCGACGTTGCCGAAAAGGGTCTTTCTATCCTCTACAGATATGATCTCGCCGACAGTCGCCTTGTAAATGTCCTCGATGATCTTCATGTCTTGATGGTGGGAGTACTCGGTGTCTATGACCTCCTGAACAATGTGCCTACGCTTTGTTAGGCGTTCAGTCTCGGGGTTAGGAGATGGGGGCATTGTTGATGGAGGTGGGCCATAGTCGACCGACGGCCGAACAGAGGATGATTGGAACGAGGACATCGATTGTGAAGGAGGTAAGGGCACCATCTCCGGTTTCATGGATTCCATCGACGGACGTGTAGGTGTCGAGAAGTTCCTGTGGCGTTCGTCTTGTGCCCTCGATCGCACCGAGACTGGGCTGGCCGGATGACTTGTAAAGGTAGGTCCGGGAGAAGCGTCTGTGAGGATGACCTCAAACGGCAAATCTTGTGCACTTGCGTGTGGAGGTGGAGGAGGTGCATGTTCCGGCAACGGAGGCTGGGGTCTTGCGGTGTCCACAGAAGAATTGGACATGGTAAGTCCAAGTCCGGTGCCCATTGGTATCTCTGGAAGCCGAAGTCTGTCTGAAGATCTGCTGCTGCGAGATGAAGGCAACGCCTGATTTAGTGAACCAATCGACAGCTGGCCAGTACTTGATCGAGGTGAGTAGCCATAGTCCTTGGGAGGAGGGGGAGGGCGATAGTCGTCATCGTCCTCATTGGCTGCTCCAGATGTAGTGTCGGGCAGAGCTGGGGTGGTAGTGCCCACATATTCGGAAGCGGGCGTACCGAGATCATATTGAGATGCAGGAGTGTTGACCATGATGCTAGAAGGTGAGAAAGACTGCAAGTAAGACGTGTCGTTGAGAGCATCCTGAGAAGCTCTGGGAAGACTCGCGGCAGACCGTCTATAGGTGGTGCTGTAAACGATTGCCGTGCCACGAATCTCCTCTTCTGGTGTCTCCATGTTTGTGCGATCAGAAGGATTGTATGAATTGGGGGACAAGTAGTCGGTCACTGACTTTCTTGGCTGAGGAGAGCTAGCCTGTTCCCGCAGTATGCTGTCCAGAAGAAATCCCACAGAGTCTGCATCGTTGGCTTCAGCCTTGGAAAGACTAGGAGAAAGCGGCACAACGTGTTGCTGGAAGTCGTGGAGCATCTCAGGCGATACAGAGCCGACCTGCTGGTACTGGCTGGTAATGCGGTCTACGGCCTCACGGGCTTGGCCATGCTCATTCCAGTCTGGGATTATGGCTAACGCTGAGGCTCGGCCCGCACGTTTTGACTGACGTGGCGTTTTGTCTTCGTCAGGGATAAGATTTGTCGAGGTTGTGGCTCTGGCAAAATCTGATTTCTTTGGTGTCTCAGGATCTGCCTCTTCCAAATGTGGAACGTGCGGTAGTTGACCGAGCCAGGGCGAAGAGAGTCCGACCTGCGCAACGTCGCTAGCAAAGCTATCTTCATCCGAATCTGGAATGCGGTGAGGCACAGAAGCGTGCTGATTGAGGTTTGACGGTGACGATTCGAGCTGCTTAGGAGCCTGATAAGGTGCTGGAGAAGATGGCAGATCAGAAGACCAATCCTCTGCCTGCGTTGCAGGTACAGCATCGTCTTGAAGCACAATGTGTAATGAAGCACGATCCCCATTTTCCGAAGGGGTGAATGAAGAACCTTCTTCGAAATCTGTATGCGAGGCGCTCGATACGCTTCTCTCCCGCATCTTCATAACCTGGCTAAGAAGCGTTCCCGGTGCCATCTCTCCAGCCGCAGATTCATCGCAACTGTCCGCCACAGCCTCCTCCCCATCTTCGTCGTCGACCTTGTCAACGGTTCTGTCTGGCGGACTAGAATTGAACTCGGAAACAGCAGGCTCTTCAGGGCTTTTGACCAGCTTGGCTGAGAAGGGAGAATCCTCGTAGTCAATGAACGCGCCAGGGATGTTGCGTGGAGTGGTTGGAGACAACAGACCAGAGTTTTCCAAGAGATCAGGATCGGTATGATCAGCCTCAGTTTGTTCAGTGTCTGTAAACTCGACGTCCGTATGCTCGAAGGATGAGTCCAGGTCGTGGCGGCCGTCACTAGCCGTGTCATTGACGTTACTTCCACGTCTTGATTCGCTACCGCTTAGACTGCTCCTTCCAGGTGCTTCAACCGACTTGTCGCTAAAGGCACGTTGTATCTTCTCCTTTCGCGCAGCAAGATTGATATTGTCCAGCTCGGGTATCTTTTTCTTTCTGAATCTCGTGGAGTCGTTGTTTTGCGAGGCAAGCGAAGACTCAAAGCGCTGACCAGATCTGGCACGCGAAGCGGTTGTCGAGGCGGAAGAAACGGGAGGCCTAGGGCGTGAACTTCTTAGCGGAGGAGACTTTAGAGGAGGGGGTGCATTGATGAAGGCCTGTAAACTTTTCCCTACGGGAGCCTGGTGCTGATGTATTGAAGAATCGTACTGTGTGTTGCCAGGAGTGGGCAGGCCTAAAAGATTCGAACCGAAAGAAGAAGTACGTTGAGACGATGTATGACGAGAGCGAGGCGACGTGGGAGCAGGGAAATGATTGATTGACTGGCCCATCTGCGAAATATGGCGTGAAGTGGTAGGCGAAAGAGGTTCCACACTAGTGGAACGTCTGGAACTGCTGACAGGAATCCGCGAAGGACTGACCAACGAAGTTGAGGCATTGCGTGGCAGCGAACGATAGGAAACGGGGTGAATTGACAAGGCAGAGTCGGCTTCAGGTCCGATGAAATCGCTGCGAACACGCCTGTGGCCGGTGCTAGGACGCGAGCGATTTGAGTGTAGAGGTAGAGGTAAATGGTACTCGGCGTTCGAAAGCGATCGTTTGTGAAGTGTGGAGGACTGTGCCGAGGAGGAACTCAAGCTACCATCAGAACCTCGACGGGGTGCTAGCGAGAAGAGGCTGTCATGAGCCGTGTCAGGGGAAGCATAGTTTCGGGTACGGGGTTGGTCCGAAGGAAGTGAGGTGGGTGGACGAATCTTGCTACGGCGAGTGGGACTCTTCAAGGGCGAGATAGTGTCTTGTGGAGTGGCAGATCGAGTTCGAGAAGAGGAAGCGTTGCGATTCCTGGTGGGCGAGCGCGGCGGGCGCTGGAGACGAGAGCGTGGTGCGCCTTGTGGGGGTTGTACAGGTTTCTGGTCTTTCTGCTGATTGAAACGATTGACCAGATCTTTGATAGATCGTTGGGATGTAGCGGTGGAAAGTGAGCGCGGCGCATCAAGACGAGCGGAACTTGTCGCAGCTGCGACAGGGTTGGATGCCGCACGTGTGGTTTCGGACGGCGGTGGATCCATCGCGTCGTAATTTGAGGTGGTTGACCGGGGCAGAAACGGGGGCAGTTGCTACAGCGGCGCCAGGTGCATTGCTTTCTGCTCAGCGGATGCTCATGGCAGGATGGCAGCACAAGAAGCGTGTGCAGACGTGTGCGTAGTCGTGTGCGGTGGATAATACGGCGTTTGTTTGCTCTGGTGTTGCGTTCGTAAAGCCTTCACGGCCTGCTAGACGATGATGTAGTCTACCGCGTGGGCGGCGTCACTCGCGTTTGCTTGAGTAGGCGGACGGAGGGTTGGTGTTTGGTAATTCTTGTCCCTTAGTCTCGTCGGTGGTCGTTGGCAGAAAGTATAACTTGTCGGAGGTTGCACGACGACGGTCGTCAGTCGTCCGGCTTTAGACGAATTACAGAAGGCAAGAACGGCTGCTCTTGCCTGATGCCAGCGCACTTGCCTTCACTCTGTCACCACAAACGGCTGCTTGGCCGCCCCGAAAGCACTGGGAACTACCGCCATGTCATCTAAACACTGTCCACCCGTGCGCCCCCAGTGCTGTCATCTAACAAAATCAATCAATTTTCATTTCTTTGTACCATGCGCCCGAGACATCTTGGACTACTGCCCCAACATCCATCCACATCTTGTGTCTCGACCAGCTCGACTGCCTCAGCCTCTACCAAGCAGTCTTGCTCCATCTGATCCACCCCGTCTGTTACAACTTCCGCGTTTCACTTCCTCTGCCAAACTCTGGCCTGTTTGCTCTACCCCGTCTCGGGCAATCCTGGACCTTCAGACTTTGTGCAACACAGACAATCATTTGCTCGTGCTGGCTTGCTTCTTGACTTTCTTGCTTGTTTTCGATACAGGTCATCTAGCAAGGGTGATTCGTTCTGTACTCCGGTGGCTTCGACCAAATCTCGTCCGCGCGAAGCTGAGCACTTGCGTGTCGACTTTCATGACTCGAAGTTAAAATGTTTAACGTTTCTATAGTCCCTGCGGCAAGCCACTAGTGTTGGAGACCAGCCTGATGCGTGGAGGGACACTCGCCTTGATCCGCCGTCGGGGATTTGGCCCTAGCCTGTCTCGCAACACGGTGTGTTTTTTGACAACTATTTCGCTGTCTAAATAGGTAGAGCAGAATGCCAACGCACCGTGTAAAATCCAGTGTCAAGATCAAAGCTGTTGGATTATTTGGACTAATTCTACTCGAATGTAATCGACTCTAGAAAACGCCATTCTTCTCGTCTCGAGCCTCCTGCATACATCATTTCCTTTCTGCGCCGCCAGCTTCTCCAGCCTCCATCATTTTTAGCTCGTTCTCAATCTTTCTGTGCGCAAACGTAAAGCGTGGGTACAGGAATGGACGAAGATCGTAGCGGTTATCGTCAGGTGCATATTGCTCGGCGTAATATGCTGGTGTAATGGTCGTCATCTTGTGTCTGTTCACGGCGTAGTAATACATGAAGTCGCGGACCTTCTTGTATACCTCGCGAGGAGTGTGCTGATCCTGCCAGTCTACGCACAACTTCTCCCACATCGAGTGGACTCCGAATTTGCGGACCTTTCTGAGATAGCCATAGACCGATAGTTCTTTGTATGTCATTCCCATGTCGACTTCATCGGACTGGACATAGTCGCTTGTGATGGGTTCCAACTCAGCAGTGGGAGTCGCGTCAATGAATTCTTGCAGGATCGGCAGCTCGAATGCATGTTCTGCCCATGCTATGAAGCGAATCAAGTCTGTCTTGCTGATGCCACCAATGGGATTGATGTCTGCGCTGCTGCAGTCGTATTTGGTGAGGTAACCACGAAGTGCTTCATCCACATTGGCTGATCCAAGAACTAACAAGCCTCCTGAACGTCCCTGAGTGGTAGGTAGAAGTTGACCGAATGCATACGACAGAATCATCCTCGTGCGGCTCTGGAAGTTCTGTAAAGCAAGGTTTTCTGCCTGACTTCCTCCATGTACCTTGAACTTGGGTTCAAAGTTGAGAGTGGTAGAGACAAGGTGTTTGACGGCATTAAAAACTTCATCGATGTTGCAATCAATGTGGTGAGCACCTATTGCCTTAGCGAGTTGCTCAGCACGACTACGGGTTTCTTTGCTGGATTGCTCCTTCATTCCCATAAAGGCAGAAGAGAACACTCTACCGCAGAAGTCCTGAGCTGACATTTTGGTTACATCGTCATTGGAACAGAGACGGGATGCGTCTCTGATGACCTGTTCGTCACCTTCCTTGATGGCAGCTACAACCAGTCTGCACATAGAAAACACGATAGTGGCAGTTGCACAAGAATCGATGCCGCCACTGAGAGGTACGAAGTAGCCTGCGGCTCCAGATCTTCGTAGATAGTCCCAGAGCCAACAAGCGGGACCAAGAGCAATCTCTTCTTCTGGCTTGTGATAGTGAGGTTCGATCATCTTTGCAATTCGAAGGTTGAGATTGGACTGACTCTTCTGAGTCATGGCGAAGTCGATCTTGACACGCTCGAATTCGTGAGCCTTCATTGCCTGCATGCCTCTGCTACGAGATTGGCGTGCGGACCAGATGTCATCAAGGTCAACAGTAGATGTGATGACTTCGACGTCACGGAGAGAGAATTGACTTCCTTGAGCGACCGTCTGTCCATTGATGGCAATAAGGGAACAACCATCGTAGTACAAGCGATCGCCATCGCAACCTCTTTGATTCGAGTACATGTAGACTCCACCTGACTTGGACGCATTCGTGATCAGGTTGATGCGCGTGTCGAGCTTACGCAATTCATGGTGAGAACCGCTAGAGTTGAGAATGATCTCGGCTCCATTGAGAGAATATTGTATGTGAGGCGAGTCGGGTGTCCATAGCTCTTCGCAAAGTTCGGAAGCGAATGTAGCATCCAAGGTCTGGAAGATGATGTCTCCGATGGGTACTTCGGTCTGACCAGTGATTTCCTGGATCTCGAGCGGCAACGTATAGGTATCGACACGGTATCTGGTCCAAGGAGTAAAGTAACGCATCTCTCGGTAGTTTCCATCATTGCAGAGGTCAATTTTGGGTCTGATAGCCAGAATTTTACCATTCAATGCAAGCACTCTAGCATTGTGAGGAACATCGTTGTGACGAACAGGCAGACCCAGATCGATGATAATGTCCTGAGCTTCGGGAGACTTTATAATCTCGGCCGCGACCTCCCAGGAATGCGAGAAAGTATCAAGCTCCTGGAAGTGATCAAGTAAACCGTAGCCTGGAATGCAGAGCTCTGGAGTGAGTATCAACTTGGAGCCGGCTGCCTTGGCCCGACGGATAGCTTCTAGGATGCGATCCCGGTTGCCATCGAAATCAAGTGCCCATTGGTTCAATTGACAAGTTGAGATAGTAGCCAAGCGACCCATGGTGTGAGAATTCTGTGTTGTGTAGACAAATGTCGCGGTGGGATAGCTCTGTAGGAGCTGTGACTCTTGACGTTGTGATTTACTCAGTGAAAGCCGCAAATTTCACGTCATGGCTTTGACTTGAAAATCACCATATCTTTATTCACTTGTAAAATACGCTCTCCGAGGTGTATTATTTCATCTCACTATCTAACCAAGACCCTCCTAAGTCAAGAGTTGATCCTCACGATTACCAGGCTGAATGGCTTTTCGACTTGTGCTTCTTGGACGAGAGTCGTTGGCTTCCTCGGCCGGATGTACCACCTCAGTGCTCCGGCTTGGCCCAAGAACATCGGACAGATAATTGCAGATCGAAGAACCAAAAAAAGACATGTTCCTCGGAGCAAAATCATGATTGTGCCAAGAACTTCCCGGTAATAGGCATTGATGCCGATGTGCTGAAGACCATGGTGAAGGCAAGAGTGTCTGAATGCTGTCGCGGCTTTTTCGAAAGACGCGATAGAGGCTGGGAGGTCAAATCGGCTAGAGTGGTCGAAATGCATGTTTCTTGCATGCTTCAAACCTTACCGATGCATCAAGTTGACAAAGCCGTTTCAGCCCACCAATTTTTCTACGATTGGTGGAGGTTGGCTTGCAGCGTTTGCACAAAAGTGACAGCTGTGCGACATGATGCGCAACAAAAGGCTTGACTTCGGCGTTCATTAATTGTCACACAAGAAGAGGATCGGGATGGACAGAACCGATCAGAAAAGTAGAGCTCTGAGCTCTGAGCCGCAAACACCAGCAACTGCCCCGCGTATGGGAAGTTGGACAAAGCTAGAGGCAACTTTGCGCGATAAAGAGTGCCAAGTCCAGGACCGAGGCGCGGATCAATTGGCAAAGAACAGGATAAAGTTCATGCAAGGCGAGCGGGATAGATGGTAAAATGGCCGGGGGTGTCACGTCGTCGAGCTCTCAGACACGGAGACCCTAGACTGGTTGGTATGATTGCTTTTATATTGTGATAGCAATGAAAGGGGGGAGACCGGTGACAGCGAACAGTTTCATTACAAGAACTAGAGATGGCAAGAGCCCAAGACAGGTAGAAAAAGATGAGGGCGGAGATGAGAACAGATGAGGTTTAGGTTAGCGTGAATGGTGGTTGCCACGGGCCGGCAAGAAACAGCGCGCGCGCGGCTTCCACGCCGCCGGATTGTTCCTGCCCTCTTGCTGTATTTATGTCTGTTGGCCCCAGCGACCATTCTCTTCCTTCCTCTCCGTCCCAATCAATTCCCCATCGCATTTCTGCCTCTTGCAAAAAGACGACAGCAAAACATTGACTCTTAATCACCAAGTAAGCATCTCTTGATCCGAGCGCTTGCACATCCTCCATGTCGGTTACATTGCTCGCATGCATGGACGCGCAATCCTCCATCTGCTCCCCCAGAGCTGTCGCATCTAACGCTTGAGCCTGTGTAGATCTTCGTTGCAAACATGCTCTACTCCACCATCTTCTTCGCCGCCTCGGCCTTCACTGGCCTTGCTGCTGCTCAGGTCCAGTCTGGCAACTACACCATTGACCCCAACTCTGTCGATTCCACCACCAGATCCAGCTGGTGCCGTGCCGAGTTCAACACCTGCAATGTTCTTTGCGGCAGCGGTGGTTTTAAGACCAACTCTTGCGACGCGGTTCGTACCATCTCGTTTGCAGTTCCGAGCATAGTGCTGACTTTGTCTATAGAACTCTCTCACATACAGCTGCGTTTGCAACAACGGTCTTACTCCCAACATGTCTCAGTACGAAAGCTCTCTTCCCGACTACGAATGCCAGACATACAGGGGTCAGTGCCTTGCAAACAACGCCGGCAACAGCACCGCCCAGGACCAGTGCAAGCAGATCACTTGCGCCAGCATGACTGCCTCCAACCTCGTCACTTCGTCTACCATGGCCTCGAGCTCGAGCTCTGCTGCATCCAGCGCTTCCAGCACCGCTGCTAGCGCTACTTCCGCTGTGGCTAGTGGCTCCCAGACCGCAGCCTCCAGCGCCGCCAGCGCTACCCACACTGGTGCTGCCAACGCTCTTACCATCGGCAACGGTGCTCTTATTGGCTCCTTGTTCGGTGTCTTCGCCTACGCTCTTTAAAAAGGGCCAGTGGTCTTGACACGGATTGTGCGACAGCAATGGATACCCCGACGAGTAGTAATCACGGCACATTATACGAATGGTACCGGGCATGAGAGCAGGCGTTTTTAATCACCATTACCAGCGACGGAGTTGTTCTTTTGGGACCAAAGGGTTGTTATATTCTATGCATCTACAGCGATGCCTCTTGTTACTCAGTAGTTAATGATTCAATGAACACCATTGATCCGATATTGCAATTCCAGACTTGCAATCGTTGTGATGAATTCGTTTATCGAATGGAAGTAATAAACATGGTTGAGCCAATTAAATCCGAGCACGAGCACAGAGCAGCATGAAGCCGGGGAAGAGGTGGGCAATGTCGCACAGAAAGCTGGAGCACGAGATAAGGGTGTCGGTGAAGAACCTTAAAGAATGCATGTGATATTGAAGTCAGAGAGTGTTGATGGTTTAGCAGCTTCAACGAGAAGATGGTAGTTATGGAGTGCATCTGAGAAACGAAGTGTCAATAAAGGCATCTAGATCTGTCTCCTGCGGCGACGATCTTGACCAACAGGCCGGCACGCTCGATCAACGACGAGTGACGTCTTGTGGAGATGTGCTATCTGGTTGCGAAAAAAGTTCCTAGCCCTTTCGTACGGCAAAAGCACTGAGATCTCTGTGCTACTACGTGTCAGCTAGCCCCCAACGAACAGCTGTGAGGTCCACCCGAGTGCGAATGCCACCGATATTTATTGCAAGAGCCCCATTGTCGTGTTTGCGTCGCTCCTTCATCACCTCTAATCACCGCTTCCCCAGTTGGAATCTCGCTCTCCCTCTCGCCTCCAACTTTCCCTTCCAATCTCCTACAGCCACATTCCTACGACCACGAACCATGGCAACTCTCGGCGCATATCAGAAAAAGCACAAGGTCGCCATTGTCGGCTCTGGCAACTGGTACGTGAACGCTGCCTAGCTATCTTGACACTCACTCCACATCATACCTGGATTCAGACACACTGACATCTTCAGGGGTACTACCATCGCCAAGGTTGTCGCAGAGAACACCAAAGCCAACAGCGACCTGTTCGAGCAAGATGTCCAGATGTGGGTCTACGAAGAGGAGGTTTCCATCCCGAAAGAGTCGGAACACTACAAGGGCGACGACAAGCCCCAGAAGTTGACCCACATCATCAACGACGTCCACGAGAACGTCAAGTACCTGCCCAAGGTTGCTCTCCCTAAGAACATCATCGCCAATGCCTCGCTTGAAGACACCGTCAAAGACGCCAGCATCCTCGTTTTCAACCTCCCTCACCAGTTCATCGAGAAGACTTGCGACACGTTGCAGGGCAAGATTCTGCCTTATGCTCGTGGTATCTCTTGCATCAAGGGTGTCGAAGTCTCGGACAAGGGCATTGAACTCTTTTCTGAATGGATTGGCCGCAAGCTGAACATCTACTGTGGTGCCTTGTCAGGCGCCAACATTGCCACTGAGGTTGCTCTCGAGAAGTTTTCCGAAACCACTGTCGCATACGATCCCCCAACCATGGACAGCCAGCAACCCACTCCCAAGGGCTCCCCTCGTTCTTCCGAGATCGACCTGTCTGAGCTGAGCGGCAAGCAAGATCAACACCAGAAGATCAAGCTTTATCCTCTGCCTACCGAGTACCCTCCTCTCAGTCACGACAATGTGAAGAAAATCTTCCACCGCCCCTACTTCCATGTCCGCATGGTCTCGGATGTCGCTGGTGTCTCGCTTGGTGGTGCACTCAAGAATATTGTTGCTCTAGGTGCTGGGTTCGTTGATGGTTTGGGCTGGGGAGACAACGCCAAAGCTGCCGTCATGCGTGTCGGTATTCTGGAACAGGTCAAGTTTGGCAAAATGTTCTTTGCTGACTCTGTCCGTACCGAAACATTCACTGAGGAGAGCTGTGGTGTAGCAGATTTGATTACCAGCTGCAGTGGTGGTCGTAACTTCCGTTGTGCAAAGATGAGTGTCGAACGTGGCATGACTATCAACGAAGTCGAGGAGCAAGAACTAAATGGACAAAAGCTGCAAGGAACCAGCACTGCAGCTGATGTCAACAACTTCCTAAAGAAGCAGGGGCTCGAAGACGAGTTCCCCCTCTTTACTGCCATCTACAGTAAGTTCAGCAGTCCAGCATCAATATGCTACACGATTAGCCACTGCTAACACAGATTAGATATCCTCCAAGGCAAGGACAAGGCGGAGAATATTCCTGAGCGCATTGAATCGAAAAAGTACCCATGAAGCGACGACCCTTTTATGTTATCTCACGACCAAGGTTGACTGGCTATTAGGAGTTATTCGGGGCAAACCAGACCAAGACTATAGGTTATCTTAGGTAATGTTCCCATCGTGTATTAGAGCAAGCATTTGTGTACAATTAGCAGGCAGGGTGTTCAAGATGGTGATGGCCACTGCTCAGTATATGGATCTCCGAAGTTCGGCTTTCATATCTCGAAGATACATTGACGGTTTCGCTGAGTAATTAGAAATTGCAGTATTCGTCAAGCTCACCTGTCGCATCTGCAATCTGGTAATGCTGATTAGCATGCAGTGATACAGTCGACTATTTGGGTAGAGAAGGTACGAGCGGAAGCCTCGGCGACGCTATCGCGGCTTCCGAACCATCTTGGTATTACTGACATCATCCCGGGTCCGGCCAAAAACAACAAAGCGATGATGGAGCAGAATACTCAGCCAAGAGTCAAGGATCAATTCGGATAGATAGATTATTCGATCTGCCTGCCGTTTTTTCCTGTCTTTTTCGTCTGCTATACCCAAGGTCGTACTCTACTGTATCATGCTGGCATTCAGAAACACATCTCTGCCGCGAACACTTGGTGTGACTCGACAGCATGAGTCAACTGCTATCGCTGCTGTCTTGAGTAGACATGGCCAGGAATCCGTCTCGAGAAGGACCAATGCCGGTCAATTGACTTCAAGGACACAGACACGATTTCTCACAAGGGGCATTGAGAGTAGCAAGGGAGGTGTGTCATCGTCTTTCCAAATGTTGTCAGAAACATCTTTTAACATTTCATCCTAGATCGTGAACGTGTTGTTGTACTAGGCTCTGGTGAGTGTTTCCTCTGTTGCTTGAATACCTGGGACTGCAACTCATGTCCATCGCAGGCTGGGCTGGCTATACTCTCGCTCGAGACCTCGACCCCAAGAAATATCAAGTCGTCGTCGTATCACCTCGCTCCTATTTTGTCTTCACGCCTCTACTCGCCTCAACCTCAACCGGCACTCTCGAATTCCGTACAGCTCTTGAACCTGTCCGCTCTCGTCGCACCAAAGTAGAATTCTTACAAGGCTGGGCTGATTCTGTGGATTTTGCGTCCAAGACTTTGAAAGTGGAAGAAGCTGTTGAGAACCCATGGCAGGCTATGGCTCTGACGGGCGATGGCCGCGAAGATCAGAATGCAAAGCAACTAGAGAAGGAGAGGGGCGTCAAGGCGAAGAAGGGCAAAGTGTTTGAGATGAATTATGATAAGTTGGTTGTGGCAGTCGGGTGCTACTCACAGACTTTTGGAACACCTGGTGTCAAGGAGCATGCCTATTTCCTGAAAGATGTTGGTGATGCCAGGAAAATCCGAAACAGAATGCTTTCTTGTAGGTTTGTATCAGAATCAAGCTGTTCTCGATATCACTGACCACCACTACAGGCTTCGAAACAGCTTCACTACCAACCACCAGCGAAGAGATGAGAAGGCAGCTTCTCAACTTTGCCGTCGTAGGAGGTGGCCCAACTGGAATTGAGTTCTCGGCCGAGCTCCACGATCTCATCAGTGAAGATATGGCCAAGCTCTACCCTGAGCTGATGCAATACTACAAGATCACCGTCTACGATGTTGCCGACAAGGTTCTTAGCATGTTCGATGACAAGCTCGCCAAATACGCTATCGAACGCTTCACTCGTGAAGGCATTGACGTCAAGACATCTCATCACGTCAAATCGCTTCGCAGAGGTACACCTGGAGATCTTAAGGAAGACGGCGGTGATCAAGTCGTCAAGGACGAATCAAGCTGCTACACCCTGGATCTGAAAGAAGAAGGCGAGATAGGCGTTGGAATGGTAGTCTGGAGTACTGGACTCATGATGAACCCCTTCGTCTCAAAGTCTCTGTCAAGGCCTTACGATATACCCATCGACAGCGCTGTCGTCGAAACACCTTCGAATGAAAAGAGCTGGAACATCTCTAGGCATCCACGCAGCGGAGGCATCATGACAAATGACCGTCTTCGCGTGATCATGCAACCGTCCACCGAAGCAAAAGAAGGCGAGAAGGTCGATGGCAGAGCAGTCATCAAAGACGTCTACGCTATTGGCGACTGTGCAATCATGGAAAACTCCGCTTACCCTGCTACCGCCCAAGTTGCTAACCAAAAAGCTCGCTGGCTGGCCAAACAACTCAACCGCGACTCCATCGACAACAACGCCTTTACCTACAAAGACCTTGGGGTAATGGCCTACGTTGGAAACTGGCAGGCTATCATGCAATCGTCGGGCGGAGACATAAGTGGAAGAGTTGCCTGGTTAATTTGGCGTGGTGCATACTTGGCAAAGAGTGTCAGTTGGAGAAACAGGATTTTGATCCCTACTTACTGGTTTGTCAACTGGCTATTCGGCAGAGACATATCGAGGTTCTGAGCATATATATACATATATGTATAGACTAACAAGTTGTCTTCGTTCTTTTCTGACATTCTTAGTCTGCTTTGTGGATTCACTTTCCCGATCTGGCAACTCGCTTTGCCAAGCCAAGCTTCAAATGCTTAGCAACGTGAACATCAAGCACCACATGCAACAGAACAAACGACTCTTTTTCTTTTTGGAGGAAGCAGGCACCTAAAGACTGTTGTAGTACAACAGACATCAGTGCCTGCTTCAGCTTATGGGTAATACAATGAGAACATCCAGAAGTATCACGAAGGACAGAAGTTTGAGAAAGTTGAAAGTGAAGCCTCTTCTCGAGGTAATGTATTTGTACAGTTAATCCATCTAAGGTAATGTTTCGTTAAAACATGCTAGGTAATGAAGTGATTACATTATAAGTGCGTGCTTTTTGTCTTTCGTTATGCTGGACTTGAAGTGTAAGGAAAAGTGTCCAACAACAATAGTAACCTTCTAATACGTATCAGAGACGATGCGCTTAGCAGGCACGAACGTAGAGGCCGAGAGGAGAGGGGTTGTAGTCCTCGAACAGGCTCAAATCAAGGCCGCCAGTGGATGTAACCTCGAAGGAAACTCTGGTGCCAGCAGGGCAGGCATCCTGGCTGAGAGTGTAGGAAGAACCACGCTTCAGAGCATCGACAGAGCCGATCTGCTTGGCAACAGCAGGGGCGTTGGCGTAGGTGGTGGACTCGTTAGCGACACCGTTCAAGACAGCAATGGTGAAACCACCCTTGTCGTTGAAGGAGTAGCTGGAAGTCTCGAGCTGGTCAAGCTGAGGGAAGAGGAAGACAGTCGAGCAAGTCTTGCCAGCGTAGGAGGCGGGAATGTCAAAGTTGAAGATGGTGGAAACCTTGGAGTTGATGGTAGCGTTGTACTGAGTGCCGTAGGCCTTGTTAGGGTTGGCAGCATCAACGGGGACAATCAAGTGAGGGAACTGGTAAGCACCGTTGATATCGGCAGGGCAGCCAGAAGCAGCAGGAGTTCCGCTGGGAACAACGGTTGAGCCTGCAGCAGAGGTAACGCTGGGCTTGGCAGAGATGACAGAGGTCATGCCGGTGCTGGTGCAGTCCGAAACGGTAGAACCGCAGTTGGTGACAGTGATCAAGGTGGTGGAGAAGATGGTGACAGTCTCACCGTCATCAGCAACGGATGTAGCTGCCTTGGTAGTGACGGGCATAAGGGTGGTTCCGGGAGCAGAGCTGACGGCAGAGCTGCCAGCAGAGCTAACGGGAAGAGATGCAATCACTGAGCTAGCGGCGGAGGATGCAGATGAGACGGCGGAAGAGACCGAGGGGGCAACCGAGGCGACTGAGGAAGCAACAGATGAGAGCTTGCTCGAGACGACCGATGAAGGTACACCACCAGTGGGAACAGCGTTGGTGATCGAGAGAGTGGTGCTGTCAGCAGCAGAGGTGGGCATAGTGGCACTGGCGACCGAGCTGGTAGGAGCGGCCGAGCTGCTGGTGGCGACGTTGGGGCATGAGAGATCGTACTTGGGAGTCTCGCCGGATTGAAGGACACTGAAGTCAGGAGAAGCAGAGTCCTGGAGAATGTACCACCAAGTAGGGATGTTGCGGCTGAGCAACTCGCAGGCAACAGACTTCCAGTAGGTCTCAGCGTTGTCAACGCTGGGGACGGCCTGGTTCTCGGTAGCACCAGAAGTGGGCCAGCCAGTCTCGGTAATCCAGATAGGCTTGCCGTTGGCAACAGCCTCGACGGCGTTGTACTTATCGAAGAAGAGAGAGTTGGCGTTTGAGACCGAGTTGGCCTCGGTGTTCTCGTAGTAAGGGTATTCATCGAGACCAATGAAGTCGACGGCAGCAATAACGGCAGAGTTGGAGGAGTTGGTGTATCCAGTCCAGGTGTCGACATGGCCTACAGGCTTGGAACCAAGCACAGTGCCAGAGATGGCAGATCTAACCTGACCAATGTAGTCGACAAGGACTGAAGGGGACTGGCCAGTACCGGCGTTGGAGGCAATACCAGCAGGGGTCTCGCGGTAAAGGTCTTCACTACCGACTGAGATACCAACAACGAGGTCAGCGAATGAAGAACCATACTGGCTGATGGCGTTCTTGAGAGCAGTGAGCTCGTTGTCGAAAGCATCCTGAGTCTCGGATGCCCAAAGACCAAGAAGAAGGGTGGTGTTGGTAGCAATGGCAGCAGGAACAGCACTAATAACAGTATTGGCTGTGCCATCCTGGATCATGGTGTAAAGACGGGCAGAGTTCCATCCACTGGTGGTGTCAAGACCTTGCTGGGTACGGAATGAAGCCTCGAAAGTCTCCAAAGTGTTGCCTTGAGATCCATAGTTGAAACCGCGAGTAGCAGCCAGGACGGACGCGGCGCCACCGACGAGCGAAAGAATAGCGGATCTCATGTTGGTAATGAATATCCTAAGAAAGAGATGTGTATGATGAGGAAAGGAAACAGAGGTGGAATTGAAGAAGGAAGCGAGCAGTTTTGTACCCAGTGGGCCTCTGTGACGACAACATAAAAAAGTATACGATGTACATCGATCCTGCCGTGCTTCCGCCAAAGAACGTGAAGTGTCTTGTGGGGAAATAATGGGTTAGTCGCATGACGGTGCAAACTCAAGCTAGTCTTGGGTGGTGGATGGGGGCCGAAAATAGCACCATGACGCCTCGCTCTGCAGGTACGCCATCATCGCGTGGAGGGCTCAGTCACCAGAATTGAGGAAAACTCAGATCCGCGCGGCCAATGGACAGACACAAAACGGAAGAACCTTTGTTGGGCCGCTGGTGTCCGCCAAAGGTTGTCGTGTTCTCAACCCCAGTCGGGCAAAGCGGGATACGTCGTGCCCAAGAGAAGGGTGTCCAAGAGGTCGATCTTATGGAATAGCGTGATGGGAAGGATCGTATTCGCGTCAATGGTGTCTCTCATAATAGTCTTGTGGAGCTATATATGGACAACGTCCTCCTGACATGTCCAGCAAATGCTTCGGTATACAGTAGAAGCCACAATCACATGGTGGTAAAGGTGGCAAGGTACGCTGAGCATATTCTCTGCTGTGCGACTGCAAGGTTCATCCACGTTCCCGTAGTCTTCGATGACGATGCAGCTCAGCCGCCGTGTGGCGGCGGCATGGCTGCCGGTCGAAGTTGTAGCGTTGGACACGTCGTTTCCGTCCCCGTTTGTTGATCAGGAACGCTCTTGCCTTCTTTAGCCAAAGGTGGGGAACAATATTTGCTTGGCGCCGGAAAAGTCTTGTCTCTCCAAATCCTGTCCATCACCGAGCATCGGTGAAAAGAGAGAAGTTGTTGTTCCGGAAGAAAGTGTTTATTTGCTATTCATGGCGAATCATTATGAAGCCTTGGGCTTGGGTCATCGCCAATTTGATGGGAGTTTGACCGCTCAAGACATCAAGCAGGCATATCGCAAAGCGTTGCTCGAACATCACCCAGACAAAGCGCAAGCCGGAGACGCTTCTCGAACCGTGGATTCCATCACAGTCGCCTACAAAACTCTGTCTGAGCCCGAGGCCAAAACCAATTATGATCGTGAGCTACGTTTGCAGCATGCGCGCAACAGAAGCGACGACAAAATCTTCCATACCGGACTTGATATTGTAGATCTGGATGACTTGGACTACGATGAGAAGACTGGTGAGTGGTGGAGAAGTTGCAGATGTGGCCAGGATCGTGGCTTTGTTATCACCGAAGACGAGCTGGAGAATGAGTCGCGCTACGGAGAACTCATCACGGGCTGCAAGGGCTGCAGTCTGTGGCTCAAAGTCTTGTTCGGAGTTGAGGACGAAGAGCAAGATGTCAAAAGTGTTGCTTGAGCTTGCACATGAGCTTCTGCTTTTTTGATTCTTGTCTACGTGACACAGACTTGTGGTGCCTTGCATTGGTGCACGAAAACAACTGCATCCGATGGAGATTGATGCAGAGTCGAATGGCCCGACTTACAATTGCTGTGGAAACGGTGATTTAGTGACTGAGTAGGAGGCGACCTGCTTCCACGCTTTGACAAGCAGTCGTGCTTGAACCATCTTCAATGTTGCAATGCTTGAAGCCGGTGTCAGCGAAACCTTCCTGCCAACGCTTCGCAACAAAGCCGTCATCGCAATGCACGAAATTTTTCTGTCACGACCTGTTCAGACATCAGCCATGCGATATTGGCTCTCCTCACCATTTGTCCGGGATATGTTTAGGCAATTGTTTCATCTTCGGATTCATATCGACAACCAAGTGCGTCCTATCGACAGCCTCTTCTTGCTCAAGCCGAGATTCTTTTGATACAAAGCAGACAAAGAGATCGGGAGACTTGCGATGTCAATGCCGCAGCAGACTCCTTTGTATCCCTCGTCCCGCATCCGGCTCAGCAAGAACTCGTCAGCTAAAAAATCCAAAGCCCTGAGTTGAAGCGACGACGACATGCCTTTCTCCAGCCTTGTCTGAAGTGACAGTTGGCATCCCTTCAGCATCAATCATGGCTTCCTATAGCGTTCCGGATCCTCCCCCAGTGGTTCCTCCTGGCTTTGATCCCAGCAATTATGTTGCAAGGTTGAATCGCGTAACAAACCGATTTGGTATACAACCTCGCTCAACAGGCAGTTACTCCCAACTTGGACTTCTCTCGACAGACCCAATTGGCGGTCACATGGATTTGAAAGTCGGACCGCCCAGCCGAGCCCCAGACTGGCATCCTCTGTTAGAAAAATGGGGTCTTCAGGTCTTGGAAGCGGCAGGGTTCCTTAACAGTACAGCCTATCGTGGAGCAGGAGAAGGACAGATGCCATTAGGTCGCCTTACCGCTGTTCTAGGTCATGGGCCGATACATCCTCTTCTGAGGGAAGATATGTGGCATGGACTTCGAGCCGGCGAATATGCCCTCATGGAACCTGCGATACGTCTGGCTTCCGCTATCTTGGACGATCCTCAAACCCTATGCTTCTTTGCCGGACTGACAATCCCCAGCGACAAGATGCCATTTATTCATCTCCAACATATTGGTCGATGTCCGATATATGGACCTAGCCAACCACTTGATGCGGCTGCGCTGGCAGACGTATACGGCAAAATCACGGATATGCGCGGATACATGCGATGGACATTGCAAGATATGCAAACCATGCTTGGTGATCGCCGCGCCTTTGGCCTTACGAAGCCGTGGGTGGAAAGTAATGGCAAAGTTGCGGAAGGTGCGAGGGGGCCTGGGTATGTGATAGTACTTGCTCCGGTTGGACACGGCTGACACTGTCTGATAGAACTAGGGCCAGCGTTATTCACATCAGTCGAGGATACGTCGACGCAATGCGAATGTACTTCAATAGTGATCCGATGCTGGCCGAGCTCGGGAGATTCATCAACGAGACACAGTACCTTGCTTCAGTACCTCTTGGAGACAAGATTTGTATCAATGAAGACTCGGCAATTGCGCGCAGTACAATTCTTTTTGCAGATACCCTGATCCATGAACTCACACATGCAATCAGCGGTGCCTACTTCAACATCATTCCAATGGCAACACCGGGTATGCCAAGGCACAGTCACGTTTACGAGCCCTTCTTCGCAGGCGATCGTTGCAACGAAACTGGACACGCCATCTCATCATACATATTCCGTGGAAACACCATAGGTATAAATCAGTGGAATATCCCTCAAGACTATTCGTCTCTTTGGCTACAGATGCACATTGGTCCATTAGGACTATACTGGCCTGACAAGTGGGATAAGTGGATGATCGATTATGGAACGAATGATTCTTGCAGACCGCGAGCTGTGGATCCTGTCGAGTATAATGTTCCGCAACGTTTGTTTCCGGTTCCTCAAGCACACGTCAATAAGATGTTTTCTCGTCAGCTGTGGCAGGATGAAGTACATCGATTCGGCATCGACGCCATTCGTATGCCACAGTTGGACAACTGGTCAGCGGAATGGACCCCCGCGGGAAAGGAGAAGGGCATCTGGGGCTTAGGCCGTGACAGGTGGAATGATGGGCCGGGTCCAGCTGCTCCATCTCCTAGTATTCACAGCGATGATGGAGGCGTTCCGCTGTGATGTGTCTACGTATCTAACAAAACTTATCCTCCTCATGCATGTACTTACTCTTTGTTTGTCTGTTCGCAACACATGCTGATGATGCACATCTCGAGGAGTTCATTCAGGGTTTCATCTCATCATGCGTCAGGGTCACACCCGTTACAAGCCTTGCACGATTCAATAGTTCATCTTTCGCGACATGACCACAGATATTTTCATTTTATCAGTGCCATAGCACTACTTGGGTACTCGCCCGAAGGTTGGGCTTTTGAGGACCTCGCTACTTTTTTTGAGGTGGTCAATGAGTATACCAATTTCTTGCTTCTTCAAGATCACAGCTTCAGCTGATGGACATCAACATTGCCACTAACGAGGCACGTCCACATAAGGGGCTAGAATCAGTGTGAATATCGAACCTTTACAGTCCCTAGATGTTGAATCGTGGTTCTGATCTTCATAGAAGAATGATAAAGAACGAAAACTGCACGAGCATCAGATGAGCAGGGTGACACCTACCGAATCAAGAGATCGCCGTTCTCGTCAAAATACGCAACTTGCGAATCACTGGTGCACGACACCAATACGAGTTTATGATGTAGGTACAGGAGTGCACAATGGTTTCATGAGATAAGAGCCGTTGAATAGAATGCCCCTCTATGGGTAATCTGATGTTAAGACCGCACTCTCATGAGCTGAATTGTCTCTATGCCTCACGATGCTAGATGGCTGACGCAGAATTAGAGTAATTAAGCACACGGAGAGCACAAGTATGCTTAGGGCCATCCAGTCATCAGCAGCGAACACTTGATTTGACAACATCATCCTTCGACAATGCCTTTCTCGTACTGCAGTTTATCATCGCTCGTACAAGCTTAGTCTACTAACATGCGGACCTTCAACAAGTCCTTCTTAATGATCTCGTCCTTCTTGTCCAGCAACTCCTTCATGTCCCATGTCACGCTAACATATCTACCAGCCAGCCACTCCCTCTTCTCGTTGACGAGCCAAGCGACAGTATCAGCAGCTAGTTCTGGTTTGTCAGACAGCATGTGGTGAGAGGACTCAGGCATCCGGCCGGCAAGCTCGGTCATTACACCTCCCCTGTAAAGCGAAGGTACAATTAGCAAGAGATCAAACCTTGGTTATGAGAACACCACGACTTAGCTAAACGAATACACTCAGCTCTGCGGGATGTCGTCCCAAATGGTATTCCATCGAAGAAAACACATTTTAGAGAATGCTCGTGCAGGCTGAGACAAACGCCAGCACTAGTCATGGTGTCTGTATCTTCGGTTTACTTACGGGTGTATTCCGTAACACAAAATTTTTTGGTCAGCATATTCCTGTGAAATGAACTCTCCCAGTCTCAGCAGTGCGAGTTTGGTGACTTGGTATGAGCTGGCACCGGTCATGATCATGTGAGCGCCGATAGAGCTGGTATTGATGATAGTCTTGTCACCATCCTTGGTGTCCAGAAGGAGGGGAATGAAGGCACGAGCAACCAGGTAAGGACCCTTGATGTTGACTTCCTGAGTTCTCCACCATTCGTCAGGATCGCTCTCTGCCACTTTCTTGAACTCTTCAAGATATCCGGCATTGTTGAACAAAAAGTCCAGACCACCAAACTCGCTCTTGACAGTCTTGGCTGCTTGCTCGGTACTCGACCTGTCTGTTACATCCAACTTGATGCTGACGACCTTGGGTGCAGGGTGACCCGCGTCCTTGGCCGCCTTCTCAACCTCGGTTGCGAGGTCTGAGAGCGAGCTGCGAGCACCGAGCGCGATACTGGAAGCACCGGCACGAGCAAAGGAGAGAGCTGTCTCCTTACCGATGCCCTTTGAGGCGCCAGTCAGAAACACACGCTTGCCCTTCAGGTTCTGAGATTTTGTCGAGATGAAGTCGTAAGTGTCATTGTGGATTGTAGGAGTAAATTTGAAGCCTGCCATGAACTCGAGTCAGATTTGTCTTTGTGTACTTGGCCATCCGAGTATTCCGTACCAGCATGATGAAGCATAGATTCGGACATTCTGACGGATCTGGTTGGATACTTGAGCAGCAAGAAGTGTAAAGAATCTCTCAATAAATTTGCCAGAAGAAAAAGAGTTGATTCGAAAAAAAGGCACGAGTTGGGTTGATATATTTGTGATTGATGTTGATTAAGCAATCGGCGTTACGTGGTGGCAGCTCCGTAACTCCGGCTGACATCATGGTTTCGCAGGTGCTTGACACATTTCACCATTTCACACTGAGGAGTCATGGTGAGCGATTGCATAGAGTATGAGAGCTGCTTCAATTCGAGTATCGTACAGAACATGCAATGGTCTCAGATAGTCGTTCTTACATCTGATTCGCGAGATTTCAGCCAGATCTTTCTCAACCTACCTCTAGGACTACATCTCAACATCACCGGACTTGATTGTATCCACTGCAGTAGACCATTCCCGAACTAGCCTCTCACAGCAGCATGAGCTGGCGCCCACTGTGTATCATGTATATCGTCGAATTCATTAATCCTCCTCTTGCGGTTGTTCAACAGCCGAACATCTTTGTGGTGCTGACGTTGATGCGACTCCACTTGAAGCCCGTGACCAAGCTCTTAGCAAACTGGAACGGCCAGTAGACGTGATAAAGCCACCAAGCTGGGAGCGGGTCCCAGATCTCGTAGGTGCCGTCTTTCCAAAAGAATAGATGTTCAAGAAAAGTGCCAAAGTGTTCGAAAGCCTCGACAAAACTGTTACCATGCAGTTTCAAGAGCGAGAGAGCAGGCAGAATCACGAAGGTCGCCAGGTCGTGACCAATCCAGTAGTACTTTCCAGGGTTGTGAGGGTATACGGGTGGCGTGGGGGAAGCTCCATTGGTGCCTTCCTTACTAGGGGTAGAAGGCTCTTCGAGAAGAGACATGTAGCCCTTCTCGATCATCTCTGGTGTATTGTTGAACAGAGCGACTGCGGTATGTGCACGAGGATTACATTCAATGGGATAGAGCGTGACCACCATGTTAGGATCTCTCTGTGCACGCTCAGCATCTTTTCGATCCACCAAGAAGTCGAAAGAGAGATGGCCTGTGAAGTTCTCGGGGTCGCTTGCCGCATACTCTTGTGTGAAGCGCAGCATACTACGGCTAAGTGAAGAATCTGGAGAAAGTGCTTCGTAATGCATCAAGAGCTCGGCAGAAGGACAAGCGGTGAAAGCCTTGACTTCACCACGAACCACCAAAGCATGAGTGCAGTACTCAGGGCCATCAATGAATTGTTGCAGAATCCAGGGACGGCTCTCTGAGATCTGAAGGCGGGAGATGTGTGCCTTTGTCGCAGAGACCGAATCGAATGGCAGCAGAGTCATGTCACCTCGGACGGAATCGTCCGTTCCAATGAACTTCATGATGAACTTCTTGCCTGAGGGTCGCACATCTTCTAGGACCCTCAAAGCAGCGGTCTTGGATGTAATGGTATGAGTCTCGGGGACTGTGAGTCCAAGAGATTTGGTGTATTCGGTGAAAGAGTGCTTTTCGTGCAGCTTCTGTGTCGTAGCTACATTGTACTGCACTGCCTTACACTTTGTGAGCAGTTCGACCATCTCCTTGGCCTGTCCATCCTCAACAGCACTCGCTACACCAGAACAGCTGACCCACAGGTCGACCTTTTCCTTCCGGACGATGTCCAGAATACTTTGGCAATATCTGGATGAGCCTTCTCTGGTGCCATCAGGCTTCGCAAGACGGTGGAAAGCCTTTATCGAGCGTGACACGTGCCCGCAAGTGATTGGCAAGAATGGCGGCTCGAAATCCGCCCCAATAACGTTGTGACCAGCGATAAAGAATAGGCGAGCGAGGACAAGGCCTTTCGTCATGCCTACACCAGTCACTAACACTGTGCGGGGCTCGAAGTAGCGCGTGTAGGTAGACCGCACTCGGGCGCGGTGCGAAGTCGCTGGAAAGGCGACAAGGATGCGAACCGCATAGCTGAAGAAAAGGATGAAGGTATCGAGTGGGAGAAAAAAGAAGCTCAGAGCAAGCAGCTTCACGTTCTGCAGTGCATGCGCAAAGCGCGACGACTCAGCAGTAAGCATGGTGCCTGCGCAAGGGGACGAGTGAGAGATGGCTCGAGGGAGAAGCTCCAAGCAGCGCAGCACTCGCAGGAGGTTAGCGAAAGGATTGAACCTGCATGTCGTTGTCACGACTAGATCATGGCATTTGTCGGCCCATGCAAGCCATGTTTTGTTGATCACATAGCTTCGCGATAGCTCGGTGGATAGCTCTCCCGTTTTCACATGCTTTCCGCTAGCTACTCGTTGCCAAACGTCATAGATCTGAACACCTCGGAAATGTCTTGGGTTGCGGCTGAACCCTAGACATGATACAAAAGATCTTGGTTGTGGATAGTTGAGTACGATCGCGTCAGTGCTTCCTTCAGGAAGATGACAGAAGAGTCAAGATTGCCGATCGTTGGGACGAGAGAGAAGGCAGCAGAAACGGCAGTTCAACGAAGCTCGAGAGGAAGCAGCTCTGGCTTGGAGGGGAAAATTCCAAGAGGGTCTCAGCTTGACTTGCATATTTTCACAATTCTTTGTTTACTATTTATGCAAATCTGCATGTGAAAGTTGAAGAACAACTTTTTACTTGTGATACAGTCGGGTATCTCTTGTAGTTCGCTAATTCTATACATTCCACTTCAACTACCTACGCTCTCCACCAGACTCATATGCTAGGACGTATGGCGCGTATATACATTATATCGTTGTGGTCGACCCGCAGGTTTCGCTCCCGCAAGATCGGGTTTTATGAAGCACGGGCTTTATCTAGGAGGACTCTTCGCCAGTGCAACGAGTAATTTCAACACCGTCCTGCGTGTTTGTCAATGCTGTTTCTTCAAGAGCTGCGGCAAAGTGTTCAACATACCGGTACACCTGAGGGCTCGTAGCTGTTGATGAGCTTGCTCTCATAGATCAGGTTGGGGTTGCCTCTGGACTGTTGCAGCTTCTCCTCTGACTGTCTGTTCGCATACTGTTTGGCAGTTCTGTCGGCGAATCTAGCATCTGGGTTGCTCTCGTCCGAAGACTGCTCGGCAGCCTTGCGCTTCTCAGCAACACTGCTGCGAACGTACTCGAGGTATGGTGGGTTGCCGGGCTTGATGACGTTATCGGCGGCCAGCACGGTTCCAGGAGTTACAAGCTTGAGTTCTTCACAAAGCTTCAGATCGGTCTTGTAGGCGGGCTTGTAGTGGTCGAGGAACATCATATCGATGTGTTTGAGGGTACCCTCGGTGTGCATTCTCTTGATTGAGACAGCGCTAGAGCCAATAATGACCTTGACGAAATCACCTAGACCAGCCAAGTCGACCAGCGAGGAAATGACTGCACCAAAGACGGGATCTCTTTCGAGACTGAAGTAACGCTTGCCACCAGCCTTGCGGACAGCGTCGGCGTAGAGAACGCAGGAGTAACCAATGTAGCCTCCCAACTCAACCTGGATGTAACGTAAGTCCTCCAAACTTGTCGTGATCACTCGATGAACAGTACCATAGTCTCTGGCTTGACCTCCGAGATCAATTCGGTAACAATCTTGCCCTTGTCTTCTCCCACGTTCATGAGGTACTTCTTCGTCCTGGCGAACTCATCAATGGCAGCCAGGACCTTCTGAGGATTGCCGCGAATCTCCTCGATATCTGGCTTGCCATAGACAAAGTGCAGGAGCTCGAGTTCACGGCCGTCGTCAAAGAAGACTTCCTCCTGCTCGGCGTAGGCCTTGCTTTGATCAAATTCAGACATTGTAGTGTTTCTTTCGGTGGTTTTCGAGGTTTACGGGGTTCGAGGGTTCAGTTGACGAATGTCCAGAGCAATTGCACAAAGCAGATGATTACAATTCACTCGGGATCCAAGCGAAGCAGTACGTGGCAGGAGCTCCAAAAGCTGAGCTATCTGGGTGACGCGACGAGCCCCACTATCTGTTGATGAATCAGAGAAGATCGCTCGCGACGACGCGATCTGACGAGCTAAGAGGAGGGGTAATTCTGCAACCAGCTGCTAGACTCCCAAAACGGATAGTCCAATCATCATGCAAGCGTCACCGAAAGAGGAAGCACTGACGCAAAACTCAGATCTGCCCCTCACCTGAGCCCCGCATCAGCATATCCAGGAAGCATGATCGTTGTAATCTCAGCCAGCTCGACCGCGCTGGCAGGATAGATTTAGTCGCAGAAGATCCACTCTAGCTGCGCAGTCTCGCGAGCTTCATGCCAATGCTATCAGAGACATGCAATCTATCGATGAGCACCACATGGACTTCCCTCCTCTACGCTTCCACGGCCTGGGCGACATTTTGAGCCGCAAGACGGGAACCCCAGAAAATGTCTCAATAAAAGCTCCGAGTCTAAAAGCCTGATGTCAGGAACTCATCAGATCTGTTGTGGGTCACTAAACTGAACATGGTTTAGACGGATCTCATGCCCACGACATGATATCCACGGCCCAAGCCTAACACGGCAACTGAGCTGCTAGTCTACGATGCTCATTGGGCGTTTGCCATGGCCGCTGGGATCCAATTCCATGGCAGCAGAAGCCTCATGGGCTTGCATTTTGCAGACACGGATGACAGGCTTCTGAACCAGACGGCGCAAGCGGCGGTGCAAGTCATGATGCTAGTCTCTGTGCCGGCCAAACGGGGCTGCCCTTTGACGCACGCCCATCGTGGCAGAGGTGCATCGGGGCGATTCGTCTGGAGCCTTCGTACCTGAATCTGAGTTAGCGTCAATCTGCTCAGAGGTTTGTTGACGTGATGCACTTGAGCTTCCAGTGCCGTGCTCCAAGATATCCGCCGATCTCGTGGTTGACGAGGATATATGAAAACCCCTCTTCCTCGATCATCCCCTCTTCCCACTCACCTTTCTTCTTTCAAACTCATCAATCCTCATCCTCTATTCAACTTATCCCCCCTTGCGTTTGTTCAACACGCACACAACACATCAATCATGTCTGACTTGACCGCTACCGTCCAGGAGACCAAGGCTGGTTTCCACGTCGCTGGCTATGAGAAGATCGAGTACGACTTCGAGTTCATGGATGGTGTCTTTGACCCCAAGAACAGCCAACTTGCCGACTGCTACCAGCGCTGGGGCAGAGCCCTGGCCGTCATGGACGCCAACATCTTCGATGTCTACGGAGACCAGATCCAGAAGTACTTCGACCACTACAAGCTCGAGCTTTCCATCCACAAGACCATGATTGGCGAGAAAGCCAAGTCCATGGACACCCTCTTGAGCATCGTTGACTCGATGAACAAGTTTGGTGTCTACCGCAAGGAGCCCGTTCTGGTCGTTGGTGGTGGATTGGTCACCGACGTTGCCGGGTAATACACACATAATGATCCACCGCCATAGATCTATAAGGCACTCTGGCCAATATCTCCTAAGCGGTCAATCCCGACTTTTGAACATGTTACTAACCGTCTACAGTTTTGCTTGTGCCGCCTACCGCAGAAACACCAACTACATTCGTGTTCCTACCACTGTCATTGGTCTCATTGACGCTTCCGTCTCGATCAAGGTCGCCGTCAACTACGGTAACTACAAGAACCGTCTGGGTGCCTACCACGCTCCCATGAACACCTTCCTTGACTTTGGCTTCCTCCGTACCCTTCCCGATGCTCAGATCCGCAACGGCTTCGCAGAGTTGATCAAGATCTCCACCTGTGCCCACCTTGACACCTTCAACTTGCTCGACAAGTACGGTGAGCAGCTCATCTCCACTGGCTTCGGTCGCCGTGATGGTGCTCCCCAGGAGGTCCGCGATGCTGCCGACAAGATCAACCGTAACGGCATCCACGAGATGTTGAAGCTTGAGACCCCCAACCTCCACGAGATTGGTCTTGACAGAGTCATTGCCTACGGTCACACGTGAGTCAATTCATATCTTACACACAATACATTTTGCTGACAACACCTAAGCTGGTCTCCTCTTCACGAGCTGATCCCTGACCCACCTCTTCGCCACGGTCACGCCATCTCAGTTGACATGGCTTACTCTGCCACTCTTGCCAACATGAGAGGTATCCTCAGCGACGAGGAACACAAGAGACTTCTCAACCTCTTCTCTCGTGTCGGTCTCTCCATGGACGATGACCAGTTCACCGAGGAGATCCTCGACCAGGCCACCAAGGCTATTCTTAAGGTAAGCTAAGGTCGTTGCAACTCACGAAGAATTTTCCACTAACAACATTTCCATAGACCCGTGACGGCAAGCTTCGTGCTGCAGTCCCCAGCCCTCTTGGCTCATGCATCTTCCTTAACGACGTCGAGGCAAGCGAGATGAACGCTGCTTTGAAGAAGCACAAGGAAATTATGAAGTCCTACCCTCGCCAGGGTAAGGGACTCGAAGCCCACGTTGATTCCTCTGATACTGGCTACACAGTCAATCAGAAGACCGTTGAGTCAAACGCTACCAACTCTGCCAGCAAGTCTGTCATCAACGATGATGTTAAGGATGGTGTCAACCCCGCTGGCAAGAAGACCGCCGAGAAGATGGCCAGCGGCCCCGAGGGTGTCAACGGCGTCTCCAACCCCACCACCAACGGTGCCACTAGCCTTGGTCAGGGCGGCGAGTGCTGCTAGATCCATTCTCCTTGAATTGGGTTGTTCTCCTTTGAAGAAAAAAAGCTTTTGATACCACGGCCTTGAATGGTTGAAACAAAAAAAGGCCTCACCTTTTCTGGCGCAACGAAGGCGCTCTTGTAATAATATTGCATAGATGAACCACTCTGAATAAGAGTCGGCAAGCTAAATAGCTACGAATATATTGATGATTTTTTGACAATTGATTGTTCTTCCCTCGCTCATGAGTGTTCGCAGTGAATGTCGGGCACGTGCTTTCTGCGCAAAGATCTTGACGTCTAAAGCCTCGGATCATCACTTTCATGCTTTGCTCGAACATACCCTGGTCGTTCGGAAGTTCCAAAGGGAATTGAGCGATGAAACAGCGGAACTGTCTTCTTCTAGAGACCCTCGTAGCCGAGATGATGTCGGGGCATGGCTATACAGGTACAAAGCGTTTACATATGATCAAGACAAATTACTGTACTCTATGCTAGAAATATTGACCGCTTGACACAGCATCATGGGAATCAGAAACTCACTGCAATCGATTGCAATTGCAAGCGATGTACGACCTGTAATCAAAATAGCAAGTAGGGATAGCTGATGCCACAAGGTTATTGGAAGATCGACATGCCTTGTTTTCCAGGCGCGAACCCCGTCACATGCGACCTAGCCTACTCGAGTATCAGTGGTTGCGTCTGCTGGTCAAGAGTAGCTGCGTGATTGAAGATCAAGAGTCGATGAGCGTAGAACTAGCTAGCTGTCCCTCTATCACTACTTGCGGCAGCAATACACAACCTCTGATTCGCATTGTGCTGTGCCTCTGTACTAATGTGTGCTTTGACTCACGGACCATCTAAAGTATCCTATATTGCTGGTTCAATATGGTTAGATACAACAATTTGGTCGTGAGCCGCGTGTCACACTGCGGCAATGGTCGCAACAGGGTCTTGTGAAGTTCGTTTGTTCAAAAGACTGTCTCGTACGTGGTACGAGTAGATGTACGCGAGGACCAAAGAGTGCTTGGCTCACGCTGAATCAGCGGCAGAATAATTTGACAGCATCTGAGAGCGTCTTAGAGCTGAGTTGAAACTTACCACGATCCCAGCTCCACAAACCCGGAATGTGACGACTTCCGCCAGACAGGTGGCAAGACGTGCAAAAGATCAAAAGAAGGTTGCGACGCAAGAGCAGTTCGAGCGGCACGACCACAGACGGTGAACGCTCGATGAACGCCAGCCGCACGGCAATCGGGAACTTGGCTTTATCAGGGATCGGCCGAGAGCGGGCTGCCGATCCAAGTATCTTTGTAAGTCGAGTCGCTCTGCGAAATGAGATGACTCGAACAAGCAATGTATAGAGGCACACGCGAGGCACGAAATGTGACGAGAAGGCCAATGACAACAGCAGCATGGGCAGCCGGCGGAACGGATGCGCAGATTGTGCAGAACCGCTTCCCAGGTTCGTCGGGTAGAGGTCGATTTGGTTCATATAAAGACAAGATACCTCGGAAGGGTGAAGATCATTGCCTGTTCCTGTGAGGAGCAATGGCCCTTTGTGGGCGACGCATGGGTCGCAGATGGCTCTTATTGCACATAAGGCTCGACCATGGCAAAGTCAGGGTGGTGTTAAAGTGCTTAAGTTGGGATGGTGGGCAGAGTTGGCGACGGGAGGACGGGAAGGAACAAGGGTGATGAGCTATTGTTTGATGACCCAAGGGAGGGCGAAAGGTTCTGATGTTCATAGAGGGTTGGGCAAGCATATTACTAGTAATCATGGTTTCCTTCTACGATTAAACAGAGCCACGCAGAAAAAAAGCTTGAGAGCGTGCCATGTGCTGAGAGCGTTGTCGTCGTTGCTGGTGAGAGTGCTTTCACAACGGCGAGCAGAGATATAGGAGCAGGGGCATCTGTGCAGCGCGCAGGATGCCTGGAGCAGGAGGAGGAGGAGTCCAACTGCTTCTGCAGCTCGAGCAGGAGCAGAAGGCACAACGACTCTCGCCGCAGCACTACCTGTATCCCCGGCCTGAGCAGACACAGACACAGGCACAACATTACCAGAGCCAACAGTTCCTCAGCCCACAGGCGCACCCGCCGCCATCCATCCCGCTACCGCCGTTGCCCGCTATGACGAAGATACGAGGAGCCGACCCGGCTGATGAAGCGCCGTCGGACAGGGAGCGGAGGGGTGCAGATGCAGCAGCCATGGGTGTTTCAGGCGACCTACGGGCGCGCGCAGCTACCGGCATCCCTCGATCTGTCACCTCGTCGCCGTCAATTCCTACCCTGCGTACCCAAATATCCTCACTGTCACCGTCGCCGTCGCCGTCGCCATCGCCCTCACGAGTCCCGACTCCCAACTTGCGCAAAGCCGTCAGCATCGAAGCCTTTCCGCGCCCTCCTGGCAGTGCCATCGCCAGCCCCCTTGGGCCATTGGCCTCGTCAAGCCCTCGGAACTCGTCGCAGTCGTCAACTTCTCTAGCGCCCAATTCTCATTCTTCTTCCATATCGCGTCTGCCCCTGTCGCCCTTAGCACCCCCAGCCGGACTACGCAAGCCACAGTCCAAGCCATCTCTTCGCAATCTACGCTCCAAGACATCTACCACCTCCCTCACCACCGCCGCTGCCGCTGCCGCCAGCGCTGTCCGTAATTCCAAGAGCGAGAGCCTACTTAGCATACCTTCCCCTCCCGGGAGCCGCTCATCCTCGGCACCTGTGTCCCCAGCCACTCCCTTGACGCCCAACACTGTCGCGGCTGACTCGACAATGTCCGAAGCAACAAATGGCGATAAGGACAAAGAAGCAAAGGGGAACATTACCGTCAGCGTTCGCGTGCGGCCCGATGCTGCCGCAGATACACAGCCTGATGGAGAATGGCTGGTCGACGGTCGACGCTCCCTGATAACTTATGAAAGTGGAGAGTATCGCTATGGTGCGTCATTCGTATCCTATTGACAAAGCGAGTGCTAACTCCGTCCTTCGCAGACAATGTCTTTTCACCGCATGACCAAAATGCCCGCGTATACGAATCAGCTGCCAAACGCCTGGTACGGCGTGTTATGGAAGGCTACCATGGGACCGTCTTCGCATACGGAATGACCGGCACTGGTAAAACTTTCTCCATGCAAGGCACTGCAATGTCTCCTGGTGTTATCCCTCTCGCCATTACCGATATCTTCTCCTACATCCGCCAGAATCCTGCCCGCGAGTTTCTGCTGCGTGTCAGTTATCTTGAAATCTACAACGAAAAATTCTACGACTTGCTTAATCCGGACTCGAATGAAGAAATCAAACTGCGAGAAGACCCCCGGCGTGGTGTCTATGCGACTCCACTGAAGGAAGAGATCGTACAGAGCCCTAATCAGCTGCTCAGAGTCATTGCGCGTGGTGATCAGCAAAGGCGTGTGGCAGGCACTCAATTCAACGCCCGCTCCTCACGTTCGCATGCTGTTGTTCAGATTGTGGTAGAGTCGCGTGAACGCTCTGCCGTCCCAGTTGGCGACCCGAGGCGCGACAAATTGCTGCCCGGAAGTGTCTTGGTGTCGACCCTTTCCTTGATCGATTTGGCCGGCTCCGAAAAGGCTGCCGAAAGCAAAGAACGCCGGACCGAAGGAGGCCATATCAACAAGTCCTTGCTTACCCTAGGCACAGTCATTGCTCGTCTGTCCGGGGACAAGGAGATCGCGGAAAAGGATCAGAAACATCTTCCTTATCGAGACAGCAAGCTCACACGCCTTCTGCAGCCCGCCCTCTCAGGAAACTCGCTAGTATCTATCCTTTGTACCGTGCAGCTCTCATCAGCATCTAGTAGCGCTGCTGCGACCTCATCACACACAACCGAGACCCTGAATACACTCAAGTTTGCAAGCAGGGCTAAAAACAACCTTGTCAGTCATGCGAAACGCAACGAATCGAATCCTTCTGATGGCGCCGATCCACGGAGTCGAGCTTTACTGGATAGGTACAAGCTAGAGATTATCGAACTAAGAGCTCAACTGGAAGAACAAAGCAAAATAAAAAATGAGGCCGAGAAGTCCGAAAAAGCGGAGGTTGAAGAAGAGCGGTGGAGAGAAAGAGAACGTGAAAGTGCCGAACGCCACGAGGAGCAAATGCTGGAAATGCAGCTTGCCAGAACTGCTCTGAAAGAACGCATCGCCCATCTCAACCGACTCATTTTGAGCTCCAAGTCTCTGGGAGTGAACTCGGGACGCTTCTCCACTGCTAGTTCGAGCATGCCAGTCCTCCAGAGAACGAGTACACACAGCACTCTGGATCGGCCCAAGAGTCGAAGGCCGGGCAGCAGCGGGAGTCAGACTACCTCGAGTCGCATCCAGTCTGGCTCCACCACAGCGGGTATGCTTCCCATAGCACGGACTTCGCAAATCGAGCTGGCCTCTGCGTCAGAAAACGAAGGCGATGATGAGGAGATGGCAGCTGATGAGGACGCCTTAGACCCTGGGAGTGCCTCCTCGGCCCGTCGAATCAGTGCTTTACAAGCCGATCTCGCAGACAAGGATCGATATATTGCAACCCTGGAGAAGAGGTTGTTGCAGAATCGTAACAACTCGTACAGCAGAGCGAACAGTGCAAAGTCGCCTTTACAGAGTCGTGTGCCATCACGAGACGGCCAAAACACAGATGCTATTGTCAAAGAGAAAGATCAAGAGATTGAGCGACTCCGACAAAAGCTTGAAGATCAAACTCGTATGGTGTCTGCACTGAGAAACGCTGCCAGAAAGCGTGATATGCTGGACACCTCTGGGGCTCTGTCACAACACCCAGCCTTCCGACAGAGTCCCACAACATCACCAGAGAAAAGAGAGACACGTACACCATACCGCAGCATGAGTCGCCCAGAGCTCTTCCGAAGTGCAAGCGGCCCTGCCAGTGCTGTCGAAAAGACGTCACCGCTTGATTCATCACCTTCCGGGGTCCAAAACTTCTCCCGCCTGTCAAAGAACAACGCTTCTATGCCTTCAGCTGATGCGGAAGGAGGCGCAGCGGCCGAGAACAACGGATCGGCCGTCGAGCCGTCTAGCAACGTGGCAAGAGTCACGAGCACTAGCAACGTGCCAGGCACCCGACGGACTGTGGACGAGATGACGAAGCTTTTGGATGAGATGATTCAGGATAAGGTCAACACTGGCCATGTGATTCGCGGTGACAGAGGCAGCTTGCGAGTAAAGCGCGACACTGTTCTCTCTCATGACGCCGAAGCAAGCGCAGCAGCCTTGCACTACGAGAAACTGCAGTTCACATGATGAGCTTAGGTTGCCTAATCGCGATCTCCTTCTGATTGGATGCAGATCTGTGAAAGGGACAGATGTCTCTCTTTGTATTCAATTATGGGTGCTCACTTGGAAAGGAATCTGGTCCGGCCGGGAAAAACCCAGAGGTGGGTTGGGAATTGTGATGTGTTAGCGAATCGTTACGGGTTTTTCTTCTTTTGATACCCCATTAATCAGGCATGCAAGACGATGGAACGCCTTCTTCATCGTTTCTTTCTTTTCTTCTTCTCTCGCCATGCTCATTGCTCAAGAGCGGCCATGTGTTGAGAATCTATGTTTTTAATCCTCGGGTCAAATTCCCTAGGACCCTTTGATGGAAGGCCTCGACGGTAGCCCTACGACTTTTAGAACGGCCAAAGACCAGACATGGCACTATACCAGATGAAGAAAGATGGTCGAAGTACAATGAATCTCGAAACAAGGAGTTGTTTTCAGCAAAATGTCATCAAACACTGACAAGAGATGTCAAAGTAATTCTCGGTCCATAGCGGGACATCGTTGACCCCCAAAGGTCACATAGCCACCAAATAGAAGCTCGATGCCTGGCAGCACGGTAAGTGACGTTGTTGGACTTGTAGGGCCATCCACATGATGTTATGACGGTTGGCCGAACGGCACTACACTATCTGGCGCCCAAAAGAGCTTGAATGTTAGGCCTTCCATCTGGAGATCAATGTCTCCATACTGACGTGCGGGTTAGGTGGCTATCGCAGACTCGAAGTAGAGCCATGCGGATATTGTGGTGTGCCTGATCGCGCAATGTGAGCTTTCGTTCATCTCGGATATGGTTTGAATTATATTAGGGAAACGTTGAGTGGGATTCTGCAGGCATGTCATCCGAGGAGTATTGAAGCTTGACCGAATTGCTGGAAATCGGTTTGAAGATTGAGACATTACTGCACACCTTTTGGACTGTCTTGATGCGGGAAAGTGTTTTGGATTGCAAGAGAGGTCGCTTAGCGCGCTTCGCTCCTTCCCTTGGCGAGACCGGCAAAAAGGCATTTGTTTGGGAAGGCCTTGCTGTCATGTCTGAAAGTTGACTGGTTTGCCGGCGGCAGTTGTGCTCTTGCCACAAAAGTTCCCCCTTCTAGAAGCACTGTGGAACGTTTAATGCCCCTCCTTGTCAATCTCGCAACCTGACCCACGCGCCGCTTCCAAAGAAGCACAACCTGCTTGACAGCATGGGCCTTTCTTCCCTCGTGGCTTTTTGCCTGTGTGTGCTTTGTGGCATCACGGCAACGTTGCACCATTCGTGTACGCCATGTGCAGATGTTGCCCCGTGTCTTCTTGATCGGTGAAGCAGCCAAAGGTAACTTAGAGTGCAAGTAATATCGGCCGCTAGTTTTGACTGTGGTGTGGTTGTGATTGCTGGGCGGACCAAAAAGAGGGGTCCAGTTTTTCCAGAGGTCGGTCCTCGCTGCCCAATCACGCTTGGTCGATACCCAGCAACAGATCATCCTCTGAGGACGACTTGGAGATCGTGGAGCGTCAACAACCTTGAAAGATTGCGACGGAGCACACGAGGGCATGTTCAATCACCGATCTTTACGTGCTCAAGTCGAAACCAAAATCTTCAATTGCCATACCCTTGAGCTAAGATGTGTTCTGCTCGTAACGAAGGTCTTCGCTCGGCATGGCAGTGAACATGAGGTCTAGCAGCACCCGGGCGCCGTTTACTGTCTTGCTGACCTTGTTCCCTTCTTCCTTCCTTCCTCGTCAAGCCTCTCCCGGTGCCGCCATCAGCCTTGCCCGCACAAGCCGTTATGCATAGGAAACGTGACCTTCCGAGTCATGATGAAACAACCTTATCCACCGAGGCTTCTCTCCCTTCCATTGACCACACGACGGCGCTGTATCAGAGCCAGGGTACAGTCTTTGCTGCCCGAGATCGCCGAGTTTCAACTTGAATAAGAAACCCGATGGCATGGTGGTTGGAAGAATTATCAGGGGTAGAAGCCGGAGGCATCGCGTGGATGTACGTGTTTCCAGGGATCGACGTTTGGACGTTGCGAAAAGAAAATCGACGCTCGGCCCACATTTTGGCTTTTGCTCAGTAGAACTGTTTGTTGCCATAATCACACGCAGCAACCACCTGGTCGTGACCGACAGCGGATGGGTCGTATTAGGACTGGCGGTGGACATGAGAAACCATGGCTAAGTCACTGGGCATCCCTCGGCCTGGTCCGACGAGCCGTGGTAGCCCAGCTGTCCGTCGGGCAGCACCAAGCATCCAAAACATGGAACCTGCGTTTTTGATCCCAGACCGTCTTGTGCGAAGCTTTTCGGCGTTGCCCTCTCTGGCAGACGTGCGGTGCTTGCTCGCGCTTCTCGTGCACTGCGACGCTGACGCCCATCTCTGAGGCGTGCCTGGAGTTGTGCACACACCACACCCGTCCCCTGCTCATTTCAGTGGGTGGTGCACCGTAACAAGACAGATCCCTCTGCTTTCCTTCACTGTTGTGATGACGAAGGCGCCCGCAATTGCAGCGATTGGCACATGTGGGAGGGGCTCCCTGTTCTGTTTATATCAGCTAAGCACTTTCCTCCACTGCCGTAAAAACACTTTTTTTTCTTCCAACAAGCCATTGATCCACAATCCGAATCCCCACTGCTTCGACCCCCCTTTGCAGCACAAATAGTGGCGGTATGTCATCGGTTATGATTGCTCGGCTTTGTTCAGAACCCTCTCTCAATCCTGCATTCCGACTGCCCGACACTTCTTCCTCCCAACCTGGTGCTTCGGTTAAGACGACCAAAAAATATTCTCCTACATCGACCCCCATCATGTACACTGCTCGTAGTCCGCTGGAGGACTCTTTCAACATCCAGCACTCACAGCCAACCTCTCGACCAGCTCTGAACAGACGCCCCACTCTGCTCCAACAATCTGGCTTGTATGTTCATCAAGACAATTGCTTCACTCACCGCCTAAAGCTCAAAGTTAATCTTATCATATCAGGTACACACCTGCTTCACCAGAAGCTTCACGAGGAACCCGTTCATACTTTTCCTCAGGCCTGCAAAATGATCGTTCGTGGCCTTCATCACCATGGCCGACGACGAACCCGAGAGATTCGGGATCTTCGGTGGGCTCCTCGAGAATGTCTTCAGCCGGAGGACTGGCAGTTGGCTCTCAAAGATCACCAAACCTACCCGGTTTCCCTCTCCCTCCATCGCCAGACTACTACAACTCATCCATCTCATCAAACCCTTACACGACAGCACCACCCCCAGGATTTAATACAGCAGATTTAACCAACGCCCAACAGCTGCAACAGCTTCAACAACTCCAGCAACAACAGATCCAGCAGCAGCAAATGCAACAGCAGCAATCTGGAATGCTTCATCCTAACTATAATTCAGCCGCCATGGGAAATGATGGAGGTGCGATGCTACCTGGTAGCTCGCATCGTCGCTCATCAGGCCGTGACGAGTTCGATGGACCTCATCAACTACTAGCCAAACCAACCAACTCACACCTCGAGACCTCCGAATCAGAATTGATCCAGCTGCCTGTATCTCTATATGCTGAAGAGCAGGACTCGATACTGACACGCGTCAACGACCGTCTTTCCCAATGCGCGTACGACTTTGTAGCCAAATACCAATTCCCCATTCCCCTGGAACCCGACAAGAGACCTGTCCGCGTCCCTGCCGATCGCGAGTGGACCGAATGGTGCTACCTGCTCAAGCGTCTGGCCACCAAACGCCGTGTCCCTGCCCGTGTGCTCTACAACGGACAAATTAAGCAGTTGGTGACAGTGCTGGAGAACTCGCTCGAGATGAGACATGCAGCAAAGCATCAAAGCAGACCTCTCAAGGATGATCGCAACGTACTGCAGCTTATCTCTGCAGGCTTGCAGGTTTCAAAGATGCTCAAGGATCCCGACGCCATGAGGTACCTTGATGAGTTGTACGTTGCTGCCGAGCGCCTGATTGAGAGCAGACGTGGCAACCAATCTTCTTGAGTGCGCTGTTTTTCCAAGTACGGACGTACTCTGTTGTCAGAGTGGCGTCTAGCTGCAAGCCTTTTCCTTATGAGAGCTTTCACTGCTGTAACATATGACATGTCATCAGAGGCTTGAGCAAACGACCACAGGGCGCAAGGACCGCTCTTGCAGTAGACCATTCGGGACATGTCCCTGGTCACACAATCGAATGGATGTTGGGCCCTGTTCACGTTTCAGCCTCCTGTCAGCCACCGACACCATGCTCTCGGTATCGGATCGACAGTTTCTCTTTCACGATCGACGCCTTCCAAGGCCGATCTCTTTGTTTCATCTTCACTGTACACGGCCTCTTTCTGAACCCAAAGCGACGACTGGTCATTTTTCACCTCTCTTCTTCTACTTTCCCTTTTTGGACGATGGCTTGGCTTGATGGAAGAACAGCTCGCGCGTCACGCATGGTGATCTGTATCCCTGATTTTGCAGCATTTCAAGATTTTGTTTTGGTTCACTGTTGTATTTATTGTGTTTTGGTCGGCGCTCCGGCAAGGTGGGCAATGGTTGCATAGCATTTATGGGTGTGTATCATGATCTTCGGCGCGAAAAGAAAAAGAGAAGGAGCATCCTGTACAAAGAGTCTCAAGTTTATAGTTAAGCTTTTGCGACAGTTATGTAGATGAGCGAGATGAATATAAGCGATCCAAAACATCTGAAAACGTCATCTTCTAGTTTCAGCTGAGCGAAAAGTATCATAGACATTGGAACACAGCAGGTAAAAGCATAAATTACTCTCAAGTCTCAAAAACTATCACTCCCTCTACTGATACCTCTCATCAATATGTCCTCATCTTCAGAGGGCGGTACAAACTCAGAACCGCTGGTAAGACTTGGACCACTCGAGCCTGCCATGGGGTCGTCTGGATCGTATCCCTCTTCCTCCTCTTCTCCCTCCTCTTCACCACTCTCGTCGTCGTCGTCGTCGTCTTCTTCTTCTTCTTCTTCTTCCTCCTCCTCTCCTTCTTCCTCTTCTTCCTCGTACTCTTCGTCCCCAGGATAAACTCTGCTCGCATGCGGGATATGATGATCGTGGTCGTCCACGCTCGGTTGCTCGTCATCCTCATCATCATCCGAAGAATCCTCGTCACTCGAACCTGGCACCGGAAGACCCCCAATCATCCTCTTCATCTTCTTCTCCGCCGGCGATGAGGATGGTACGTTCTCGAAAAAGTCGTTCATTTGATACTCTTCGTTTGGCGACCAGTGCAACCATGATGGATGTAGATCGAAATCATCACAAGTTGGTGCTGTAGCCATATCCTCCCACCTATCTTTGTTTTCGTAGAACCACTCGATGATATCCTGCGGTGAGGGTCGATCTTTTGGGTCGATGTATAACATTTCCTCAAGTATACTTCGAAGTCCCATACTATAATCTTGCGCTAGATCGTCGAGCGAATGCATTGATTTTACGGCCAAGTCTAGGTCTTCGTCTTCGTAGTTTATTTCGTCTGGTCGATGAAGTCTCATCAGAGTCACGATTGTCATTGCGACTTGCCAGACCTGTTGTGACCGAGTCAGCTGTCTGATACTTCAAATCAATTTTGCCTGTTGTTACAGGCTCGGCCCTCATTACTCACGTTCGTGGCAGTGGTGAGCTCCCATCCTAGTTCAGTACACACAAACATATCCATCTCTGGCGGAATGTAACCAGGTGTTACATGATCATACCATCCCCCCGGATTGTCCGGATCGGTTGTAAACGTAACGTGTGCGGAACCAAAGTCGCCCACCTATTTCAAGTGGTGAGAAAGTTGTTGTGAGATCATGTATGTGACAAAAGTACTTACCTTGCAAACTGGATATCTTGGAAACTCAAAAGGATCTGGACTTGTCAGGAAGACTATGACTGAGTCAGTGATTTGAACTGGTATCGTTGACGATTTACTGACTGTTTTCCGGTTTGATGTCTCTGCGCCAGAGATTAGTCATGGTTATCCAATCAGACTACAAGCATTACTCACTTATGAACCACAAAATCGCCCTTGTTCTTACGAACAGGTATGTTACTCATGCGATGTAAAGCGACAGCCATCTGCTTCAGATAGTACCAGACAAATGGCTCAGGAATGACCTTTCCACCCGAGACTGCGATCGACTTTGGATTGTGGTCATTCACAGAGTCATCTCCACTTCCAATGTCAGAATCATACTTCGGATTAGGATGGCGACTATTACAGAGGTTAGCAATCACGTACCAGATGTATGTGCGCTTGAAACTCACTATTTCTGATTCTGTGCTTTCATTAGCTTGTGGAGGTCTCCTCCATCGCAGTACTCCATATAAGTCCTGTTGGTCTTCCATTGGTGATTGATAGAATGGCCAAGGTACTCGACGATATACCGCTCCCATCTCTCAGGTGTAGGCAAGCTCAACAGTTTGTTCACTATCGACTCTCGAGGGTCGATTCCGACTCTGCCTCGTTCCCAAAAGTTTTCATCAGCCCACATTTCCAATTTCTGGAAGCTGTCTTTGACCACGACTCTCTCAGTGATTCTGTTTTGGTTATCGACTTTGACAAATAGTCGGGCACAACCCTGGCCACCCTTCCCAAGTCTACCCTCGACACCAACCCAGCCTCCATCTAGGCTTTTGACGTTCTGGAACAAATCCGCCACCTCGTCCTTCTTTTTTGTCGACGCTAAGATCATAGGGACCGCGGACTTAGGAAATTTCAACAAGGCCTTTCTGATCTTTTCAGAAAGCTTGTCAAGTTTCAATTCTGGATACGTCGCATACTTGGAGAACTTTAATAAGGCGTTCCTGATCCTTTCATCAAGTTTGTCGGGAGACAGCTCTGGAGGCGTAGCTACCGGTTCAGGTAAAGGTGAGGACTCAGTCGTCTTGGGCATTGCATAGATTGGGGCTGCGGGATTGTGATATCCCGGGTGGTAAGTCCCGCTGTCATCGTACGCAAGCTCAGCAGGGAAGTCGTTGTCCTCATAGTCGAGGTTATCAAGTACAATTTGGGGTGCTTCGGTTTCGTCAACCTCCTCTCCTTCGGTGTCGCCAGGGTTAAGCACGTCGTCATTGTCTTCCGGGACGTCAGATTCAGGCTGCGCTTCAAACATCCCATCATCGTTGTCGTGTCCATCCTCGAGGCGAGGTTTCTTTGCGCCGACTTCTGCCGATTCTTCATCTTCCAGAGGTCGTTTGGGTGCCATTTTGAGTTCTGTCAGGCGGGATTAATGGTAAACGAAAAACGAAAAGTACGGACCTTGCTAGAACGAAATCTACTTGATACTCTATCATTTATTCATTGATCGCTAGGCGATCTTTGTCTGAGCCGCTTTCGGTTTACTTGTTGGTCGTCGCATTTTCTTTGATGGTTCGAGTTTCAAGAACCTGGCTGCTTTCGGCCATGATAATGAATTAACGTTGATAAAGACACGTCGTCTAGAGTATAGTGCATTGACGAGGGCCATTGTTGCTAATCTGTGATATGGCAGCGGAATGGTGCTTTCTATGAGACCAATTGATGGTTTGTACCAGCAAATGGTGAGAAAGCACGACCATCGGTGCACGTCGAGAAAGAGCCCGAGGTTCCACATTCCTCGGCGCCTGATCGAACTGCGCGGCCATGGGTTCTATGTCTGTATAAGTAATCTATCATACAACGATCTATTAAAAACGTATCAGAGAATCATGGGCTGGACTATTGAACAGACGATGGATCAGGATCCAAAATCTTGATTGGCATACCCAAGACTACAGCTTGGCTTTTTGACCCTTCTTGGCCTCTTCGTCAGCTTGTGCCTTCAACACTCGTCGCAAAATCTTTCCACTGATGCTCTTGGGGATCTGATCGACAAACTTGACACCACCCCTCAGCTTCTTGTGATTTGCGACCTTTGCCCCAATCCAGTTGACAATATCGTCCTCGAGAGCTTTGCCAGCTTCGACACCCTTACGTGGTACAACATATGCTCTAGGAACTTCTGTCGCAATGTCTTCTCTGTAAATGCCGATGACTGCAACATCATCGATCTTGTCATGTGCAACGAGATAGCCCTCAAGCTCTGCCGGCGGAACCTGGAAGCCCTGCAAAATCAACGTTAGATTGTCGTTCGTGTTTGAGCTGTTGATGCATCTTACCTTGTACTTGATCAATTCCTTGACTCGATCGGTGATGAAAAAGTTGTTGTTCTTGTCTTGGTAACCAACATCGCCAGTCTTGAAGTAGCCATCGGACGTCAAGGCGTTCGCTGTACCCTCGGGATTGTTCAAATAACCCTGGAATACATTGGGCCCTTTCAGCCACAGTTCACCGACTTCTCCGGCTGGTACTTCCTTCTCTTCTGGCGACATGTATTTGGCGGTCATGTTTGGCAGCAAAATGCCGACACTACCGACAGTGGACTGCCAGTCCTCCCATCTCTGCGTGTGAGTAGTTGGCGAGGTTTCACTCAAGCCGTAACCTTGCTTGATCTTGAGCTTTTTACGATCATAGACGGCATTCACAAGCTCTTTGGTCAGAGGGGCAGCACCTGAGTTCATCATGCGTATTGAGCTCAAATCATACTTGTCGACGACAGGATGCTTGCTCAAATGCAAGACTACCGGAGGGGCGACATAGCTGAAAGTGATTTTTTCCTCCTGTGTGATGCGGCAGAAGTCTTCAATATCGAACTTGGGCATGACTACCACGCGACAACCTTTGTAGAAACTGGCGTGCAAAATGACGGTTAAACCGTAGATGTGGAAGAAGGGAAGGAAAGAAAGAATTCTGTCCTTCTGGTCCAAGTTGTTTTCTGCTGCAGAAACTTGGAGCGTGTTTGCAACAATGTTCTTGTGGCTCAGCATGACACCCTTGGGGAGACCTGTAGTGCCGCTGGAATAGACCAAGAAAGCCAGATCCTTGTTGGAGTCGACCTTTGTACGTCGGTAGCGGTTGGTGCCGGCAGTGTTGCGGATTGAAGTAAAGTGCTTGACCATCATGTCGGGATCTTTCTGGTCGCCGATCAGAATGATGCGGTCTTCGGGTAGTCCGACCTTCTTTGCGGCGGCGCGAGCAGTCTCAATAACGGGCCATTGGGTGACCAGAGCCTTTGCGCCCGAGTCTTTCAGCTGGAAGGCCAATTCATCTGCACTGTAGCCGGGATTGGCGGGAGAGACAGTGGCTCCTGCCCAGTGGGCACCCCACATGACAATGGGTGTGTCAATGCAGTTTGGCGTATACAGGGCAAGGACATCACCCTTTTGCCAATCCCATGCGCCCTTGAGGCCTTTGCCAAAATCGATAGCGGCAGTGCGAGTCTGAGCGTAGGTATAAGTGCGCTTGGTATAGGGATCTTGATAAACAACTAGATGTGTGTCAGATGTCAGACAACAAAGGTGAGGGGTGGTGTGAGATGAATACCATGGTCATCCGGGTAGGGTTTATCTTTCCGTTCAAACATAAAGTCCCACAGACCGACGTCTGGGATCTGAATGCGTGGGTATGGGGACTCGGTGGGCATCTTGATGTGTTATGTTGAGATGAAAGGATGAGGGAACGAGATGAAGGCAGAAAGGAAGAAGACGAGAACAGAAAGGAAGATGGGAGACTTGATATTCACAGACCTGGACGGACGGGAGAGACAATCTTCAACTACCTACATAAGCGCGTGCCGAAGCCGAATAGCCAGGACGATGCGCAAGGAATAAGAGGCTTGTTTCTGGAGCATCGTCACTGCCATAGTGATCAGCCCCGCAAGAGTGACAGCCGGGGAGATGATTTGTGGAGAAGCCGAGAGGCTCGCCCGACCGAACGCTTGTTTGTACCGCGGTACACTGCTTTGGCAGTCCGAACGAAGCCGAGCGGCCAAAAGGGGCAACGTGCCAAGCATACCATCTTATGCTTCGGATGGTGTCACCATCAAGAATAAAATAATCTGGCACACCTGCAAACATGGCATCATTAGTATCGCCCACTCGCCATATTGCCAGGGCCTTTGCACCCACAACCCGCCTCACTCAGCGACGATGGGCACAGGTGCACGACATTCGCTTTTTGGCCACGCACCAGAAGCCCGACCAGCGAGTCCTTGACAAGTACAAGGCCAAGCTCGAGCAAAAGGCCAAGCAGGAGGGCCACGCCGACGTCGACAAGCTCAAGTCGGCCTACAAGGACAAGATTGTTGAGCTTCGCCAGAAGGCCATCGTTCCTGGCGCAAACGCCCCTCTGGACGCCGCCACCACCTCGACTCCCCCGGCACCCAATGCTCCCTTTCAGCCCCCACCGCCGCCTCAGCCTCAGACACAACAAGCCGGCTCGCCAAAGTCATCTGCATCTGCATCTGCTGAGCAAAAGGCCGGCATCAAGACGCTAGATTCCTTCATCGACGTTGCAAAGACAAAAGAACTGCCTCAGAAAGAAATCGAATACATCTGGAGACTGCGCCACGCCAGCTCTCCCAGCTCTCTTTGCGCCGTCGTGCCCACTCCAACATACCACCAGATCGTCGAGACTGCCCGCAAGCATCCTCAGTTCGTCCTGCCATTGCCCAAAGAGGGCCAAGGCGCCGAAATCCACTTCTTGCAGTGGACCTTCCCCTCGCCCACCACCTGCACTGTGCTCTTCACCGCTCTGGCCGAGTTCAAGCTGAAAGGCGAGTTTGCACAACCTCACACCACAGTCACCCACCATCTGGATCTGGCCGACGAAAAGGGCCTTGTCCTGCTCGAGGGTACCGTAATCGAGGACAAACAAATCACCGTCGAGGAGGGCAAATGGCTGTTGATGTGTCTACAAAAGTTTTACGGAAAGTCTGCTGAGCAGAGTCCTCGCAGAAAGTTGATGGAGCAGTTCAGCCAGGGAGACAGCAGCTTCAAGATTGAAGAGCTCTTGGAGGAGGCCGAGAAGATCTAGAGTGTCCCCACAAGCAAAATCACAAATGTACAATACGAATCTAACAACATCAACCTCGACATTGGTTGGACGTGACGAATTTATGTGGCCGGTTTGGTGTGAGCATGGGTTGCAGATGTTGAGGTATTACTGTATTGCTGTTCAGGAGAGCTGAGTCTTGTGCTGACTGCTCACCCTAGGACATTATAAGATTTAGCAGCGAGATGATCCAACAAAACAAGGAATGACATTGTCCCGCCTCGCAGATCAATCTGGGTGACGGTACTAGTCTCTTACCACTTCGTGTCAGAATCAAGATTAATCTAGCGGAGCAAGACGTGACGCAAATCAGCACATTAGGATTGCGGCATTCCCCTTCCTCTAGCAATTCTCACCGGTCATTGCAGATCATCTGCATCACGAACGTCCTTCACCAAAGAAGCCCAAGAAAGGCCTGACCATACCATCATCATCTCACGTACTCAACCTGCCGACCTCCTGGCGTCTGTCGTCGGTACCTCCTCCAAAGTGTCCACCAGTGGGAGATCGCTTCTCTGTTCTTATCTGGCTCTTCGGCTTGCGGCACCCTTTGAATGCCTTTGTTGATCTCATCGGGAGCCTTAAGCTGGATTCCAAGTGGCTTGTTAGAGTTGAGTACAGAAGTGTCTTGGAGTGATTTCTCTATGAATCCTATGCTGTCGTAAGAGGTGTCCGACATATCAAACTGTACTGGCTATGAAGTGCAAGTCAGCGACGATCATGACACGGCTTAGCAGCGGAAGGAAGGCTACTTTTAATGCTGGTAGAAATACTCCAGCGCTAGCAAGAGCTCATATGGGCTCGTCACTACCTTATCACAGTCGATAGAAGCATCTGCGCGTTGAATTTCGTGGGTCAAGTAAAATTTCAACGCCAATCGACATTATTCAATGTTCGAAACTTACATTGAGCGCCAGGCAGACCTGTACATGAGCGGCATAATGCCCATGCTGAATACATTAACGAAGCACGTAACGTTATTCGCCATATCACGGTCTCTTGTCAGGCGATCCTTGGCTTCCTTTTCCCTCTGGGCTTGCTTTTGTTTCCTCTCTTTCTTCGTCTTCTCGTCTTCATTGTTTTGACCCTCGTTGACGCTCTGAGGGTACATGAGCGATACCATATGGTCCAGAACGAATTTTGCAGCAGTACGCTCGTTTGTCGTTCTTTTTGCTTTCATCCCTCTATCTTTCAAGAACAGCTAGCCGGATGGAGTATCCGGCGATAGCGCTTGAGTTTGCAGGTTCTTGAACTCTGTCGCCAAGAGCAGATAGTTGTGAAGGTGTTGAGCCTTAAGGAGTAGCTTGGGCTTCTCCTCCTCCCACAGGGTTTTGCACCGTAACACAGTTGTCGTTGCTGGTGAGTCCGACTGCCTGATTTGGCTGTCTGATGCCACTGATTTGACCAAATCCATATTGATATGGTCATCAATGATACTCTCAGCCATATCAAGAGCATCGTTGGCTCCGACATGCGAGAATGTACGGGTAAGAACCTTCAGAAGATTCTTTTTTGTCTCTGGCGACAACTTCTCCGCGATTATGTGCCATGTTGATTGCCAGTTGTTTCCGTGCTTGCTGGGAGTCATACGACACATTTGGATATCATCGGGGGACGTATCGCGTGGCTCGGGTGTTCGTGGTGGCTGCATTCCTTTGCTTCTCGTCACAGGTCGCTCCTCTTCCTCGACCAACTCTGCTTGCTCTGATCCCTGCTTCTTTTTCTTCTTTTCTTCTTTTTTTCTGCGCTTTTCCTCAAGCTCCTGCTTCTCCTCTGGTGTCTTCTCGGCCTTGGGATTGACCACATGCTTTCGCCATAAGGGATATCCAGCTGCTTCACGCAGTAGCTCCACAGCGTGAAAACTAAAAGAGTTATCGTAGCTCTTGCTAGCTTCGTATGTGGCGTTGCCGAGGCGGGCGAGCTTTCGGATGACTTCTTGCATTCTAAGGTACTATTCCAAGACCGTCTCTCCATGGGCTACGTAACCGGAGATCTCGATGAAGGCCTATGATGCCTGTTAGTGCGGTTCCTCAAATCAAGCTTGGAGTCATACATCGTTTGGAGATTTACCTCGACTGCCAGAAGGCTGTTTCGAAGGAAATTGTGTCGAAGGAGATTGTGTCGAAGGAGATTGTGTCGAAGGAGATTGTGTCGAAGGAGGCTGTTCGTAGTCATCCGTCCTACGGCGTTTGTTTGAGTTCACCCCAACAACAACGACGGTGGTTACTGCCGCCAAGAGCTTACTAGACCCGTCACTGCCTCATCATGGTTGCACGTGCAAGTCCGTGGCAGAGCAAGAGCGTTGATGACAAGAGAATAAACTTAGCAAGCACGAACTGAAGAATCGCTGCTTGCCTTCTGGATTCAGCCTTCTTCTGCAGCTAATTTTGCACTGACACCCTCGACATCATATCTTCCACGGCCTTGCGCAGTTCAATCTGTGCTTGTCGAAACAGAGGCGAGATATATGGTACACTTAAATCTATAGTCATCTTGAAAGTCTGATCTCAGAGGTTGTATCTGCTAGATATAGCAATCTGGAGGTGAAGAGGAGTCGGACTGGAAGCAAGGATGAAAGCGAGAAGTCTATCAAATTTCCGATCTTGTCATGGAAAATCAGTGACGACGGAGAAGGTTTTGTCGTCGTTGTCCTCGCCGTTTGCTGCTGTTCTGGCGACGCTTTTAGACAAAACATCTCACTACGTCTTGCATGCGCCGCCCTTGAGTACCCAGCAGTCCGAAAACGAGGTGGCTTGCAACGTAAGTTTTGATGCAACAATTCACCCTCTAAGCTTCAAAATTGATCAAAAATTGTAGCGCTGTTCCTAGCCATGTCCGACACATCTGGCGACAGCTCTGTTGGAGTCAAATGAGATGCTGTCGAAGTTGTGATTCCTGATCAAAACAACGACCATCTTGAAGACCAGGCGAGCAACCAAGACTATGACGGCAGCAGATCTGAATGCTCAAGCGACAACAAAGGCGATGGCGGCCTTCTCATCAAAGAAACTCCTTTCTTCAAGTGCCTGAGCTACGACGAAATCTTTGCTATGAAGCAAAAACGCATGGTGTTCATGCTTGGCTGCAGGCTCTCTGGTGACTCTCAATGTGTCCCTCAGGCTGCCCCTGAAGGGTCAGAGGTGCAAGCTCCTGAGGGACAATAGCCATGACTGCAAGCGAACTCGCACAGCCCACTGTACTGAGCCGCATTCTGGCCAGCGATTGGGAAACCCAGAGTATTAGATGTAGCAGGAGAGTTGATTTGACTTCCTCTTTTAGTGCAGGTACAAGCATTACTAGGGCAGAATCCATAGTTGCACGAGAAGCTGCAAAGTCCGGCCAGGTTTCCGCTTCCGCTACCACCAGTACAGAAAGATTCATCGCCATTGGCTGCCTTTGACGGATCAGAAGTGCAAGCGCCCGAAGGGCAATAGCCGTGGCTGCAGGCGTACTCACAAAGACCACTGTAGAGAGCAATATCCTGGCCGGCCACAGGGAAACCAAGAGTGTTCGATGCAGTAGGGGCATTGATTTGACGTCCTTTCCGAGTACATGTACAAGCACTTGAAGGACAGAATCCATAGTTGCAGGAAAAACTGCAGAGTCCAGCCAGGTTCCCCTCTCCAGTTCCTGCAACGCAGAACGAGTTGCTGCCATTAGTAGATGTAGAAGCAGGGGCTGTGGTAGAAGTTTTGAGCGTAGAGGAAGACGCAGTGGATACACCACCGGGTCCAGATCCAGAGCCCGTAGCACTAGCACTGCCAACCCATGCGTTCCAGTTCTCGATGTTATCGGTGCAGCTGTCAGTAATCGATTCTCCATTCATCTGCATGATGAGCTTGCCATTTCTGGAGATCTTGACAGACACAGCTCCGCGGCCTTTGAATGGGACGCTACCATGGTAGATGCCTGAACCGCCGCTCGGAATGTTTTTCCAAGTTCCAGCCTGTGTCGTACTGCCAATAGTGACAGTAACATCGGCGTGAGATGTAAGTAAGGCAGAGAAGAAGACTTTATCTTGTGCGACTTGAGCTGGTGGATATTCCTGCTGACCCTGGCTTGCTGAGTTGCCAGTGGTGCCTCCACCTGCGCATGCTGCACCTGGTGATTTTCTATACCATGACACAAGACCCTCAGCTGAGATAGACGCCTTCCCATTTTTGTACGTGTCAATGACGTAAGGGAGGAAGAGTCGCCAGCCATCGTGAAGCATGTCTTGAGCGTAATTATAAGGCGCATTACCATTGCCAGAGCCAAACAGACCCCATTGCCTATCGTCCAAAGGGCCAATATAGTGCGACTCGCCCCAGTCATTCCAAGTCAGGATCTCGACGAAATCAGGTTGGACAATCATGACCTGGTTCCAGCGATCGAACCATAGATCATCACCACGCCATAACCAATTCTTGCCATAACCGGGTAGATTTGTGAAGAACCAAGGGGAGACAGGCATCATGTAGGGCTTGCCATTGAGAGCATCTTTGTACGAGTTGTCTGGCGCCAGAGTCATGTCATTTGGGCCGGAAGGCCATGCTTGCCAGCTGAACAACCCATCCGCAACACCACGACTGATGGCAGCTTGGGCACCCAGTGACGACCAGTCGGGAATGAAGAAGCACCCAGTCTGAGACTTGATCGCGTTCCAATCACCAGAGCTTCCAGGGCCTTCGAAAGTAGACACAAATGGCTTGCCGTTGTACTTATAGTATGCATTATTAGAATGATACTGAGTGATTAGGTTGGTCACGTCCTGTTGAGCGAATGCGCCTTGTGCAGCGTAGTCAAAAGAGAAGAAGAGCTTGAAGCCAAGCGAGTTGGCTGCTGAGAATGCATTGGCGATTTGGCTAGCATAGCCGCCATTGTTCGCAATATTCAGAGCGAATGCATCAATGTGGGAGTCTTGGGCTAGACGGATGTCTCTCTGCCAGTCTGATGTAGTCCAAGAGTTGACATTTCCCACCTACAAGGCATAAATTTTAGCATCGAAAGCGAGGTTCTCATCGAAGAAACGTACCATGAAATGAGCGAAGACTGCTTTTGCTTGCACATGGCACGCACTCATGAGAGCGACCAATACGGGAAGAAGCAACATGACATCCAAAGGTTCGCTTCTTCAGTACGGGGCTCAAAGAGACTGGACAGGGGAACAGTGTCTCTTGTATACGCCATCCTCGCGAAGGATCCGAACTAAGGTCAGTGAATCGCCATGGCGGTGCTTGACGCCTTGACAGCACTATGAAGCATGACCGTTACTCTTTCTATCGACCGTTATTGACCTACTCTTTTGCTCTGCAAATCACGAGCCGTCTGACCTACGAAATTGATTGTAGTTCGTCGCTCTGAAAGTCTCGTATTCGACGAACATGAAACAGGGGCGTATATTGGTAAAACGGACTATTCAATTTGGCCCAGCAGAAAGTCAAGGTGAAGTTTGCCATTTCCAGCATTCATCCAATCACACGCCCAAACTCGAATGTCGCGTCCCGATTCGCGCGCTTGGCAGAATTGTGGTTCGACCTTCGAGATATTCCTTGAGCTGAAAGATCGTCACCATTGCAGACGGCATATCAATCAGACCACCAATGGACAAGAGTGTATCGAAGACTTAAGTAGAAGCCCAATGTGTGAATGTAAGTACCAGAAAGGGGTCTCAGCGCGAAAGCTCAAGAATTTGGCTGTGCCGCTGCCTTGCGAAGCGAAGTCAAGGCAAACACCTGTGAAAAACGATGTCGTCTAAGTGATGCCTACAGAGCACTCCAAAACCGCCATGGAAATATAAACCGCAAAAGCTAGCATGTTCAACACGTACGGCCACAGTCAGCTGAAAACTGGGCATCCCGTCCGCTCTGCCATACATAAGCAGTTGAACGGCAGATTAGTACTACGGTGGGTGACCACGTGGGAATCCCTGCTGCTGTACGTTTTGCATCTTTTGGTCGCTCTTTTGGTCGCTCTTTTGCGAGCGACTTGTTCTTATTCCATATTTCTGCTTCATACATCCTCCGGGCACACGGTGCTCTTCCATTCACGTTTCTTTAGTTGAAGCAACAGACTCATTGTGGCACAAGTTGCACGTAATCTCGACTCGCTTTCTTTTGATTTTAGTATCTAGCTGAATACATACACATGAACACAAGCTAGAAAGCTCAGGAAGACCAATGCTTCGGAATCTTTTACATTTAAGCTCGGCGTCTTACGCCAGCCGACCAGAGTCCGACCAAATCTAAGCTGCCTCTTCCAGGAAGAATGTCTTCATGGCCCTGGGCTCGATCTGAGCAGTGAACCTGCCTCCTTCGAAGGTGAACTGCTCAGCCTGGGTAACGTTGTGTTCGTTGTCAGTCAAGTACGCGGTCGCTATGGACACATTTGTGGCGGACAGCTGTACGTCCAACGTGTATGTGTAATGCGCAGCGTTGATGACAGGAATGGCAATGGTGCCGTTCTTGTTCTGCCATGCAGTGACATAGACCTCTTCAACACTGCTATCGGTGAACAAGCGCACAGCACCAGGGCGTGCGAAACGGAAGTAACCAGCAAAAGCCCACAGGCGAGCGGAGACTTCATAACCGGTGCCATTGACCTGGACAAGGGCGGCATCTGTAGGCCCAGTCCAAGAACACCACCAGTGATTCCAGCCACTCACTCCATTACGGAATGCATTATGCATGTAGATAGCCCATTGGAAGCCCTCGAAGTTGTTTCCTGTAACATCCCAGGTCCTGGTCCAGGTATTGCCACCATCACTCCATTCAGTCTCGATGGTAGGTTGTCCGGCAAGAAGATCGTCAAAAGGTCTCTTGATATCGGACTGGTAGTTGTGATACGTGTTGACATCGAAAAGAGTCTTTCCACCAAGGCGGCCAAGTTCGTACAGAAGGTCACGCTGTTGGCGAGCACCGGTTGAGTCACAGCAGGACACAGCCAGGCTGGGGAAAGCCTTCTTGACCATCGGGTACAAGATGCTCAGGAAGTCATAGGCCTGGTAACCATCAGACAACATCGCAGAGTAGGTGACGGGGTTGAAGTCGGGTTCGTTGTAGGCACCCAACAGAGAAACCTTGATGCCACGTTGTTGATAAAGCTTAACGTATTCGATCAGGTAGTTGGCATAGGCCTCACGCCAGTCATAGGTACAGTTCGAGCGTCTGACACCACAGATGAAACCACCGCCAGCTTCCTGCCCAGTCGTCTTGAAGCAGCCTGGAGCCGACCAAGCATCTGCGTACAGATAGAGATCCGGGTTATACCTGAGCGCATTTTGAGCCAAAGTCAACTGACAGCTGTCGTTGTTGCCAGGGAAGGTATAGTTGAATGGGCCGGCGGGAGTAGCGGGACAGGTAGGAAGTATGGTCGCGCCGGGAGAAGATCCAATTAGGTTGCGGAGTATGGACAAAGCACCGATGTTTTCGTCGAAAAGTGTCCTGACGACCGTATCCTGGTCGGCTGCCGAGAGAGTGTTGGTAGTACAGGCCGCGCCGAATGCACCTGAGCATCCACCGCCAATCATGGTTTGATAGCGCTGCTCGGCATTGACGCTGATGGTTGCATCGAAGGATAAGGAAGCATTTGAGTAGGTAGGGCTGTGGTAAGGGCCCCAATATTTGGCTGATACAGTGCTCGCAAGAGCGGTCAACGTAAACGAGTGTTTCATCTTGATATGATTCTCTGCCCAAGAAGAAAGACTAATGAGGATGCAAGATATATTGTGAGCAAGGTTGCCTCAAGAACTTATACTTATACCACCACGGATGTTCTGGCAAAATCGCTCTTAACCATCTTCGGCGCTCCTAATGCCCCGCCTCGATCACACGGGAAGGATGAAGTGTTCCAGTAAGGTGCATACATTGTTAGCCGGAATCCCTAGAAGTCAGAACAGGCATACGATTGAGCAATTCATGGCCAGCCGCATGAGACTGCAGGAAGCGAAGGCGGGAATCGGCATGTCGACCACCACTTGGATCTAGTGCTCTGCTAGTCGTCCTGCGGACCTGGATATCTCCGCATGGCAGTAGGACGTACTCGTGAATATGGAGTAAGTACTTCTGGCTAAATGTGCTGTGCCTGATTTGAGAACAACCTATGTCGATCATGGCGGGGAGCATGTACCAGCCATCTCCATGACTTTCGCGGGACGGCTAAACCAAGCATCAACCCCAAGGTCGCTAGTGAGCCGCAGTGCGGAGCCGTTCTGCAGGTGCTCCAATAGTCGAGGATGACAGAAGAAAGCTCATTGCAAGCATCAACATATCTTGGTCGGTCAAGCCTAGCTGCCGATGGCGCTGCAGATACTGACAGCGTTCTGAGAGGCGTAAAATGAAGTGAGGTAGGGAAGGGCCTCTAGAACAGGCAGGCGAGATTTCACGAATCGGCTTGAGATGCACGACTCCATATCAAGACGACAAGACATTCAATTTTCAAGAATTGGTGATGAATGAGGGGAGTTGTTCGCTTGATTCCACAAGATTGTGGAGAAGCTGTTTGACTGTCTCCGAACAAACTGCGCTGAACCGAGCTTGCAAGTTTAACCGCAACCCCATGCACCAGCCAGGGTCGGCGACTTTTCTTCTGACGACTTTTGTTTACTTCTTTCTTCAAAGCACAGCAGATGCAAGCAACTCACGGAGAGACAAGCGACCAGGACTACAAAACAGTGCCTTCCTCTTTCGTTTGCCATTTGATCCGGCCTAGCCCAATTTAGCTAGTCGTTGCTCTTCTTGCGAGAAAGGCGAGAACTTCTATACATTTTCTCGTCCCTCAAATTCCCACGGAAGAACTTTACCAACATCTTATATACCACTAAGCAATCCTATGAATTGTGCTTTTCGTACACTTTCTTTCAAGCGCATCTTATACGGAATAGTTCTCCGGCTGAATATGCAGTAAAATCATCCCTTGTGAAGTCAAGAACGCGATCTAGTGTAGGCACTTTTCTCACACATTGGCCAACACGAACAGAGTTCGATATCGAAGTTGTCTTGTATGTTCCCTTCAGCCTCTGAACTGATCAACTGTTCTATTCCACTCCTGCAATTTTTTCCAGCACAACGCTTTTGCCGTGGCCTTCATTCATGATCGTCCATGCTTAGCAATCATTACAACCACGTCTGCCGTCTGAAGAAGTCGTACAACCTCCATCTTCGTTGGTTAGCTATGTAAACGTTGACTCGTTCCCTCCTCGGAGGCTATCCATCGTATGGTATCGTTTCTCCGGTGAACCGCATCTAGATTCATTGTTGCTTGAGCATACATCGTAGTTCAAGATTCGCAGTGCTCGAGAAGTCGTGTTGATATCGTAGACGAACGAGCTACGGGACACGTACTTTCATCCCATCACAGACACGTCTTTGTGTACCTCTTGGCCACGTATCAGTGGTTTGGTAGCAGAGGTGACACTGGCGGCTGGATATGAGCACCGGATCCCTGGCATAAAAGACACCTGAACTTGTCTTTGTTGATACTGGGAACAACCATTATGGTCTGTGGAAAGTGCCCACCTTCTTACCTCTATGATACGCCTCCAGCATGTTTGAAGCAGAACGTGTTTTCAGTGGTTTATCAGATCCAACACTCACACACGCTCAGCATCCGGAATCAGAAACGCGTGGGGCTCTCCAATAGCAGTACTACCCAAGCTTTGTGATACGCAATCTGTATCCTTACCTAAGACTACCGATCTGTGCGTGCATTTGACGTTGCCTCTTCAACTGTGGAGTGACAAAGTTTGGATTCTTCGACATCTCCTCCTCGTTATCATCATTCTCATCTCCAACTGTCTTTGAAAGATCCCACCCAATCAACCCGTTATTCTGAGAGATCTTCAACATCTGTCCTCTATCCTCCAAGTTCATATTGCATATGCTTTTGTGCACAGGCCAATCCACCTTCTGATGCATAGGACAGCAATAAGCTGCTGTACCGCATCTACCACATCGTTGTAGGGGCTTGACATCTTTGTGAACATCACAAGTGGTGCAGTGACCAATGTTTGGAGCATCGTAGAGCCAGTGGGGGTTCATGGGGATGCCGTCGCCGAAGGGATCCATCAATGCATACTCAACATATAGCTGATGTTGCATCTTCTTGCCCGTGAACCAGCGTTGCTTGAGAATCAAGTCCCTAACAAACTCTCTAGCCAGTGCGTCGATTTGCGCAGGGTCTGTGAGATCATTATCGCCGAGCATACTTTCAGCAGGATTAGGCACCCAAGCTCCTCTCTGAGGTCCATCGGGAGCAATGTTGTACGTCAACATGAGGGTCCACTTGTCGCCTTCAGCATCCAGTTTTCCCATGGTGATTTGGTTTTCCACGCGTCCGATTTCGATCTTCATCTCGTCTTGAATAGTCAGGGTCCATGTGAAGGAGAACCAGGCGTCGATATCGATGAATGCGTTGAGAGCGTCCGGGCACCAACGGAAAAGTACAGTCGTGATGCCAACAGCAGTGGTCAAGTTGCTGGTGTCGGTGTGCTCGGTGAATTTGCCATCCATGTCGTTGACCATCTTGATGGGCGCTGCATCCAGCTGGACACGCGCATCTGTGAAGCCTGGGACCCTAACATCATCCAGAGGGATGAATTTCGTGCCCATCGTTGTGACTTGTGTGATGACAAAAATCTAATAAAAAGGAGTGCGGACTATCAGATGAAAAGATGAAAAACTTTATGGTTGCTGAGAATTAATATCGGTGGTGCGTCTTTTCACAGCCGGTTTGGTATTTTTGTTGGCTTTGTGGTTTCTTTTTTTCTTTTTTCTTTTTTTTTTGCTCAAGTCTTCGCTCCTTCTCTCAGCGAATTGATTGATCGGAGAGATTGTAGATGAGCGCCCTTCCCTGAGTTGGAATCAATCTTCAGAGCTCAAGATCATGCTGCACAAGTCTACATCACAGTCAGGAAATCATACAATGGTTTACAAGATCTAGAATTTCATTGGTCTTCGTATTTACAGGATGATATGGACGGTCGTTTGCACAAATGTAGGTTAGAAGCGGGAGCGAAGAATGCAAAGAAGAGAAGGGCTCGACGTAAAAGAATGCATAAATAGGGACGTCTTGTCAACACTTGCGCAAGAGCCCTCGAGAAAGAAGCGAAGATGTAAGAAGCAAGTGGTCTAGTAAACAGTGCACTGACTCTCTGCTCGCCTGAAAGCGTCTCCGAAGAAGCTTTGCATGGCGCTGTAATGAAAGAGGATGCCACCAAGAACAGCGAAATGCCAGAGGTTGTGGCTACCACCAAAGTAGTCGAAGAAGCCTGGTGCAAAACGCTCAGGCATCTTGGCGGCGTAGAGCATTGCACCAGTGAGGTATACAAACAGACTTTTGAAAATGGGTGCGTAGAAGTAGATGGCCCAGCTCGCACCACGAGTATAGATCAGTTGGATTACGGGCAGACCACCAGTAGCAGCAAGAGTCACGTAGAAAGCGACACGAGCCCATGCGAGATCATTTCGGTTGAAGGTTGGGTGCCAGGGAAGTATGACGCCTCCAACACCCAGCGCGGCTGTGAGCGACATATAAGTCCAGCGGCTGATAGGTTCGCAATAGAAAGCTGTGTACTCTGTAGTCATGATGGACGCAGCTACCAATAATGAAATACCGGTGTAATCGATGCAAGCAAATCTCTCCATAAGAGTTTGGTTGGAGATGGAGTTCATGGTGTGCCAAACAGTGCTGCAGACCAGGCACTTTGATGCAGCGAAGAAGAAGACAGCGGCGATAAAAATGTCCGACTTTGTCGACATGGAGAAATGTACCGAGGTAGGGTAGAAGTAGAATGCGATGGAGAGAACGACTAGGAGACCTAGGAAATGAGAATAGATGTTGACTGTCTCGTTGGAGAAAGACAGCCAAGAGCGCAAGCAGTCGAGCTTGGTCTCGCAGAAGCGGTAACCACGAGTAATATGCGGGTTGATCTTCCATGGGTCGGGCAGGTCGTGATAGCCAATGAGGCCCTGCTCCTTTGCGCGTTTGATGGCCTCATCTATTTTTGTCTTGACCGCGTCCTTGACAGCCTCCTTTGCACGACGAGCCTTGTCAATGCCTTCGTCAACCAGCTCGGTAGCAATGTGCATTCCCTCGTCCATCTTCCGCCTTCCAGAGTCCATGAGGTCCGAGGCAACTGCTCCTAGTCCAGCGTCACGCATAGCATAAGCGCGAGTCTCGAAGTCGACCAGGATCTTTTCCATCAAGCGGACACCCTCACGGACCTTGTGTTCCAATGTCTCTTTCTTTGCCAGGGCGCCTCTATAGCGCTCCTCTAGGAGGTCGACCATGATTTTCGCGCGGCGTCTACCAGCATCGATGACCTCGTCGGAAACATAGCTGCAGGATTCGTGAACAGCATGGAGAGTGCTGTATGCGCGATCAATGCCAGAGTCGAATTTAAGATGGCCGTATGAGTCAAGGAACTCCAGACGGCGGCCCAGTTCTTTGAGGAAACGGTCGACCAGTAATTGAATGTCATCGTTGTCTGCGGACCATGATTGAGGCTGGTAGGAAGAGTGACGGCGCTTCTTAAGGCCGTCTCTAGGGTTCAGGCGAGCGCTCGATGTTGAGCCCAGGGCGGGCTCTTCGTACGAATCGGTCATGGTGGTGGTGCAAGTGGCCGTAGCCATTGTGGATAGGGGACGAAGCAGTTCAGAAGAAAGGGCAGATTATGTTGTTGGCAAGACTACTCGGGTACCAAGGGAGAGAAAGAGAGAAGAGATTGTGGTTGGTGATCTTGACCTTTGGCGGGCGATTCAGGCGCAATCAGACTTTCGCCGGGGCAACCGAGTTCGGGGCAAGAAATGAAATGTCAAGCGTGGCAAACGGGAGCAGGTGGGGAAAGGTTGAGTGGAGGATGGGAATGAGATGCATGAAAGGGACGCGAGAGAAGGACAGTGACAAGTTCTAGTAGGTCATAGTCGTGCATGCGGGAAAAAAAGAGGCATGCCGTGACAGCCAAAGTACAGGCCCACGTAGGTGGAAAGCGAGACGTGAGTGGCATAACCATAAAATGGCTGGGTGACGACCCTCTTGGCTTTGTCCCACCTGCCCAAACAGTGCTGCTTATTAACACTCGGCATCTTCGTACCGAGTGTGCTCCATCGTCAACGAATACATTGCGTGTGCTGAGGGAAACTCTTTTGGCCTCTTGAGTAATTGCCTTTCTCGTAGCGCTTCGACTTAGCCAGGGTAGTCTGTCTTTCACCACGCAACCAACGAGGGGTTCGTTTGATGACACTCAAAGGGTGCTGCGCCAATTGAGTTTGATGAAATAGTCCCTTGGCCGGAGCGGGATACGAAGCTCAGTCGATTTTGCCCAGCGACTCAAGATCGATTCTTCACATGCAGAGCGCGAATCATCTCCGATTGCTCGCAGTGACCCTGTCTTGGTACATGTGAACATTCAACTGTCGACTCTCCACGCTCGCAAATCACATTCTACAACTCACAACACGCGCATCTATCATTCACCATGGCCGACCAATCACCCATGGATGCCCGCGCCTTCATTACTGATGAATTCCTTCAGTCCGTCTTGCATGCTGCCGCCGAGGCTCGCCAACAATGCCTGCACATGCTCGACTTCATCGACCAGAACCGCGCCGCTCAGCCTGACCCCGATGCTGAGATGCAACTCAGTCGCCAGCAGAAAATTCTTCATGCCAACCTGGCCAAACTACGCGGTCTCAATCGCCGCGCCGTTCTCGACACCCGCAACTTCAAACAGCAAACCCAAGAAGCAAAGTCCGAAATTGATTCCCTGCACCTCCACTTGCAGAACCTGTACTACGAACAGCGCCACCTCATTGGGGACATTGCTGCTTGCCAGGGCTACAAGTGTGTTGTCGTCTTGCTCTCGATCCATCTACTTTTCTAACATCTTCACAGTCACAAGTACCAGACCCTACCCTTGATTCCCGTCGACGAAATTCTTGCTGCCAACCCCGAACTTGCCGGCGCAGATGAACACGACCTCATGGTTGCTCGGATCAACCACGAACATGCCGAGCGCCAAACTCTGGAAGAGCAACGCCAAGGACTACTTAAGAAAAAGCAGAGTCTGATCGCCGACAACAACAAGAAGAAAGACGAGCTGGCTGCACTGGACAAGGAGATTGAAAAGTTCCTTGGCTCTGCTACTTTGGTCCAGCAAAAGTTCGACCAACACGACCAACAAATTCAAAAGGCTGCGGCTTCAGCTTGAACCCATGACTACCATTTCATTCGTCTAGATTATTAAGATACGCCCCAAGTGTCTCATCATGCCAGGTGCTTGTTGAAGAAGTCGATTCCCTGCTTGCACGATTCATCCATGGCCTTCTTGTCCTTTTCCGAGTTCCAGTCTCCGCGCAGAGCAAAGCCGTGGACCTGGTCTTCATAGACGCGAACCTCGGTGTCGATACCCTCGCTCTTCTTCTTGGCCATAAGCTCCTTGATCTGGTCAACCTCCTTGCTTCCAAGCAAGCTGTCGGAATCGCCAAGCGCAAAGGACGCAGGAACGGCGAGGCCTTCAAAGTCGCCAGGGATGGAAACGAGCGAAGGGTGGCAGCTGTAGACGGCGTCGACACCCATACCCTCGGCGCCACTGAAGTCCTTGTCTCCGGCCAGGATGGCATATCTACCACCCCAGCAGAAGCCGATGACGCCGACCTTGTTGGTGCCAGGAATCATGCGAACCTGCTTGATGAAGTTCTCGATCAGAGGGCGAGCGACGCTCTCGCGGTGCTTGAGCAGCCATGGGCCTAGTGTTGCTCCGGTCTTTGCCGTAGCAGCCGCTTTCTCGGTAAGTGAGCGAGAGTCGCGCTCGGTCTTCTGGGGCTCGACTGTCTGGAGGAAGTCAATGTCCAGCGAGTCACCTTCGTGGACATCGGGGATGTAGGCAGTGAAACCGTTGGCGGCGTACTGGTCTGCGAGCAGGCGAGTGTTCTTGAACTCCCAACCAAAGACTTTTTTGCATTAGCATGTCAGAGCACGACTCCAGGGGATGGGCAACTTACTGTCGACAAGGAAAATGACAGTCTTGGTCTTTGAGCCGTCTTTGGGCTCGGCAACATATGTCTGAAGACCGGCGATGGTTTGAACATGGCCCTTGGGAGTTCCCTCTTGGACCTTGCCGGTCAAGCAGCACGAAGACATTCCAACTCCGGTAGACATTGTGGCTGTATGTATCGTCTTTTGATGGATGAATTGATGTGCAGGTGAAGGGATGTTGTGACCGAGGAAAGATGGAGAGCTCTCTACTATTGAGTATTCTTGACATCCGTGTATCCGCCGACCACGCCAGCTAAAAAGAGGAGCTTGGATGCTGAAGGGGATGCGGGGCTTTGGTGACATCATGGTCAGTGACAAATTCCCATTCGGGTTGAGCATGGAGATTTAGCACCAAGTAATGGAGCTTTGGGTGCTAGCGGTATAGCTATCTCGTCGGTCCACAAAGTAAACAATTGAACGCTCGATGTAGACCAAGGCCAGTCCAGTCGTAGAATGCTAACTTCACGGCGAAGGCGTCGAGGAATTGCATAATCGCACAGACCAAGCAGGACTGCCTTCTCGACGGCTTTGGGCGCTTTCGACCATCAACCATCAACATGTGAAGACTAAACATTCGCTCGCTGCATCTCGCACGCGCACAACATCCAACACCCTCCACGCAGTCTACACATCACCACCATGTCGCTCTCCTTCGGCCTCAATACTAAATCCAAGGCGCCCGCCTCACCGCCGAAACCAAAGAGACGTCCTGCCGCCATGGACGTGCTAGGCGACGATTCCGACGACGACGCCCCGGCTGCAGCTGCTCCCAATCCCAATGTCTTTGAAGAAGAACTCACCGAATTTAATGCCTCAAAGCCGTCACGACCTTCTGCTGCGGCTCCGCCCAAGAAGAAGCCTCTCAACAAGCTAAAACCTGGCTCAATTCCTACCAAACCACCGACGAGAAAACCTCAAGGTGTAAATCCTGACGAGTACAGCGATCTCTCGGCTCAGCGCGAGAGCGCTGCCTATGCTGCTCAAGCAACCGAACTGGACCCTACCATCTACGACTATGATTCCTTCCACTCTGCTGCGACTTCGGCTGCTTCTGCTCGCAAAGCAGCGGCCAAGCAGGAGACTGTGAATCAAGGTCCGAAATATATGAACGCTCTCCTCACTGCTGCCGCCCAACGAAAACAAGACCAACAAGTCGCCCGTGAAAAGTTCCTACAGAAAGAGCGTGAGAATGAAGGCGACGAGTTTGCAGACAAGGAGAGTTTCGTCACTGGAGCCTACAAAGCACAACAAGAGGAGAACCAGGGCCTACGTGAGGAAGAAGAGAAGAAAGCCGCCGAGGAAGAAGAAAGAAAAAGAAAAATGGGCGGAGGCATGCAAGGTTTCTACCGCAATGTCATGGCCGATAGCGAGCGCAGGCATCAAGAAGCCCTCGAAGCAGCCGCCGAAATGGAGAAGCGCAAACTCGCTGGCGACGACATTTCAGACGACCCAGACACAAAACAAGAAAAGGATCGTGTTGCAGAACTGGCTGCAAAGGGCGTCAACGTCACCCTTAACGATGAAGGTCAAGTCGCAGATAAACGCCAACTGCTCACTGCTGGTCTCAACGTGCTTGCCTCTCCTGCTGCACCAACAAAGCCTTCTGCCACAATCCAGAAACAAGATGACTCGGCCCAGTGGAATAGGAAACGCGATAGTGGTGCGAGAGAAAGGCAGACCAGGATGATGGAGCAGCAACTGGAGGAAAGCAGAAAACGTGCCTTGGAAGCCGACAAAGAGGAACAGGAAAGGTTGGAAAAGGCCAGCAAGAGCAAGAAGACAGAGTCGGATATCAGCTCAGCGAGAGAAAGGTTTTTGGCCAGAAAGAGGGAAAAGGAGGAGGCAGCCAAAAATAAAGCTGCATAGATCGCGAAATAGGCAAATCGAAGGCTGTCAAATGTGCATACCGTGCGTAAACTGTCGCTAACGCCATCTTTGACCTCAGCTATCTTCCTAGATCCTAGTCCGTTCGATTTTGAGTATCACCGTAAAGATCAGTATATATCTTGCTGATACTTGCCACTGTCGTCTTGGGGACGGTCAAGTTGGGCTTAAGGTGGTTGCAAATGGTATAACCCTGGCAGTCAATGGTAGAGGACTTGTATCAACCATGAAGGCTCCACCCAACTAGTAACAAGTATAATCAATTGTAGGAGCAGTGCTGTCCGTTTCACACTCTTGACTTGAGTCCGAACTGTCACAGATCACAGCCTCCCAGTGTACGAAAAAATGGAACGCACGTGGTCATGAACATGCTTAACATCATGAGGAAACAGGAAAATTCCCACTGACAAGTGACAACCTATGAACTCTCAATGGATATGCCTTTTCTTCAAAAACATCTGTGCCTTTTTGTGGCATGCATCGGGCTTGTTGCCGCAGGCGGAGTATCGCGGTAGTCACAGACTTGAGTACACGGGGAGGAGAGATCCAGAGCATGACAACACACAAAGAAGCCTGAAAACAATTGACATAACTCATACATATTTGTTTGCTCACAGAATAAATTTCGAGCCTTTGGGCTTGGAAAGTAGAGTCAGAAACCCTTCATACCTTCTCGATCTTGTCGGTCTGGTATTCGATATTCTTCTCGTTCATCGCAGCATCGAAACCCTCTTCGAAGCCTTCCTTTGTGAACAGTCTGTCAACGTCTTCTAAAGCAAGGCCACGTGTTTCGGGGTAGAACAGGTACTGCAATTAAACGTTAGAGAACATGTCAGGAAGATGTGTAGTTGTGAGATCTTACCATGATAGGTACCCATGTTGCATTGAGCACGGCAAAGATAATGTAGGTTCTCCATCCAATGTTTCTGATGGCAGGAGGAGTGATGTAGACGACCAAGAAGTTTAGGATCCAGTTGGTGGCCGTGGAAATGGAAGAACCTCTTTGGCGGAGACGGAGAGGAAGGATCTCGGATGGATAGACCCAAACGGTGGCTTGGAAGCCGATGGTGAAGGCACCCTGGAAGATGAAGAGCATCGCTGCTGCACCAATACCGGCACCGTCTAGTTGAACGTCAGTTGAAGTAGCCTCAGAGATATCCTGATTGGGACTTACGGGCAATGGATGTATGGTGCTGTGTCTGGTAAACAAGGCCTGTTTGAACGGCCATGACCGCTGCCATCAAGCTAACCATGGACAACAGCAGAGGACGACGACCAACTCTGTCAATCAAGAACCAAGGAATGAAGGAAGCCAAGAAGAACCATGTGTTCAAGAATCCGGACATGAGACCAGAGAGATGACCATCGAAGCCAAGACTGTCCTTGAAGAGGGTACCAGAGTAGTAGATTAGTGCGTTGATACCACCCAACTGTTGGAATGCCTGAATGCTGCAAGCAATGAGGAATCTGCGTCTGCTCTGGATACTGTCATTCTTGAGAAGGTCACCCCAGGAGCCAGCACCAATAGACTTCTCGATGGCCACAGTGCGAACAATGTCGGTGTGAATGTTCTGAATCTCCTCGTGGCTCATTCTGTTCTTGTTGAGGCGGGCCAGAACTTCAAGAGCTTCTTCATTACGATCTCTGGCGGCGAGCCAACGAGGAGTCTCAGGGATGATCCAGATGATGAAAATCATGGGAATTAGGAAGATGACTTGGAGAATCGTAGGCACACGCCAGACGTAGCTAGTGCCCGATCCGTTGTCGGCAGTTGAGAAAGCATAGTCAATCCAATAGACCATCATGATACCTGGTAGTTGTCAGTATCATCGATAGAGTTGATGAAAGTTCCTTGATGTGGCTCACCAAAGTTCAGTGTCGAGAGCTGTGCGCAGACATATCTGCCGCGAGTTGCCTTAGGAGAGAACTCGGCTTGGATGACTGGTACTGTTGAGTTGATGAAGCCCATACCAATACCGCTGACAATTCTTGCAACAATCATGTGGGCAACGTGGTACGCAGTAGCTTGCAAGAGTGCGCCTGTGTTTATTAGCTCGCTGAATTGTTCACTGATGAAAGCGAAGCTACCCACCGACAATCATGATAATGACACCAATGAGGACCGACTTGCGTCTACCCAGCTTCTCACCAACGAAACTGGTCGTGACAGCTCCGATGAAACAACCGATTTCGTAGATCGCTACAATTAACGCAATGATATTGGTACCGTAGTTTGTCTTGAGGTTGATGCCAAAGGTCTCGGTGAAGGCAGCACCGTTGATGAAGCCACCCATCAAACCATTGTCAAAACCGATAAGAAGAAAACCAAGACAGGTCAGGGTAGTTACTGTGTAGAGAAGAGCATTGCCCTCGAGTTGAATCGCCATGGTGAAAAAACGGTTGAGTTGTCGATCTTGAGCTCTGTACGAGTTGTGGAGGTGAGAGAGCAGAATATATAGATCAGATCAAAGCCCGATGGCACTCTAATTCGGGAGGCTCTTCTAAGATCCGGACGAGCGCATGCGGGGCCTTAACACAGACAACCGTGTGGTATGGGGTTCTCTGGGGAAGGAGGACCTGGGGTTGGTTGGAGGTGAGCAAGGTTTTGCATCGCAACTTCCTACCGTTAAGCTTGTAGAGCATACCGTCGATCACCGCCAGAAGCCGGAAGTCTAGAACTCTATACCTCACAGACGCGCGGTCGTCTCTTTCAGCATCCAGCCGTCATTCACCGACGCACTTTGTTATGCTTTCATGTATGAACCCATGATCTGACGAGGTTCTGCACATTGAGCCGCCAAACGCCGTCAAAGCCCGTCGCCTATGCGTGACCATTGTCGATATTATTATTGTCAGCAGACCTCAGACGATTCAAAGAAGCTTTCGTATAGTGACACCCTCGATCGAGTCGGCGATATAGCAGAAGCCGACTGTTTTCAGCATTGTCGCATATCCTGGAGCTGCCGAGGTCCTTGCGAAGCCGAGATACAGCAACAGATAAGACTGCCTACAATAGTTGCGCCAGTAGAGTAGTGTCCAAGCAATGGCGAATACTGAACTCTTGAGAGTAAGACTTCCTATGTGTCCAAAGTCCTGGTCGTTGTGCTGACAGTGAACAGGAGTTGTCTCCGAGCGAGAAAGCTTTACAAGGGCAACATGACATAGCATCCACAACTGGACATGGATTTCTCATCTACGACAAATCATTCAGAGAAATTACTGGCTCTTCTCCAGCTTTGAGATGCGTAGTCGAAGATGACTTGCCCTTTGCACATGAAGCTGGTGTATACCTGCCTGACCAGGATTCGCTGTTTGTCACCAGTAACAGGTGCAAGTGGAATCAGACCGATGATGCTTCCATCATGATCCACAAGCTCGAAAGAGAGAGTGACGGCAGGTGGACGAAGAAAAGGGTCGAGACCGATGTCACCATGGCAAACGGAGGTGTCAATTATCAGACCGGTATACTTTTCTGCTCTCAAGGAGACCACTCGTCCAAGGGCGGTCTCGTATTCATGGAAGCCGCGGCCCCTTACAAGGTCCAGACGCTCGTGAACAGCTATCATGGGCGAAGGTTCAACTCAGTCAACGATGTCGTGATCAAATCGGACGGGTCAGTGTGGTTCACCGACCCGATCTACGGCTCAGAGCAAGGATTCTGCCCGAAGCCGCAGTTGCCAAATCAGCTGTATCGCTTCGAACCAGAGACCGGAAACATCAGGGCAGTCGCCGATGGATTCGGGCGACCGAATGGACTGTGTTTCTCTCCTGATGAACAGACACTCTATGTAACGGATACAGAGTGGATTCATGGTGACGGTACAACAGACGATACTCGCGTGTCTTCGATGTAAGTTTGATCAAACACTTCCGAGTTTCACTATATTGACAGCCCGGTAGCTATGCCTTCGATGTGATTCGGCGTTCAGGGACGGATTTCTTGGCCAATCGTCGGCTTTTTGCGATGGCAGATACTGGCATTCCAGACGGCATCAAGTGCGATACAGTTGGGAACGTATATTCAGGATGTGGAGATGGCCTCAACGTCTGGAATGCTGGAGGCACTTTGATCGGCAAGGTTCTAGTACCTGGAGGTGTGGCAAACTTCTGCTTTGGCCGCAGTGGGGAATTGTTCTTGCTGAACGAGACCAAGTTTTGGGTCGCAAGCATAGCTTCTTCAGCCAAAGGTGCTTTGCTGGAGGGTATGGGGGTTGACTGTGACAAGCTTAGCAAGAGCAGCCGTTCTTCTGTCATATAACTTACATAGCTGGTCATCAGATCTAGTATTCTGTAGTGGAAATTCATGAGCGTTTCGTGAGTCCGAACAATGTTCCTAATTCTGATACTATTCAACATAGCATGACCGTCCATAAATTCATGGTATGGCAAGCTCAAGTGATTGTTACGACAGTGTTTAGTGAAACCGAAATGCTTTGATGAGAAAAATAGACTAGGACAGGATACACCAAACGCCGAGATGTGATACGCTATTACGTCGCACCTCCTATCGTAATCCGCCGCCAACCACAAGCGATTGACCCTGATAGTTGTAAGCTTTTGTAATACTGTACAATACACTAAAAGTTTACTTACCGTAGCAAATCCAGTCTTTGCATACATCAAGACAACGTTGGCTACCTCCTCTGTTTGGAAACATCAGCGACAAGAAACTGGGAGATGATGAGAAGAGTTCGGAGCTAACCTGGTGCACAGAGACGCTTCAGTGGGATGTTGTCGACGACTCCAGGAACGCTGTCGGCGGAAGGCAGGAGACCAGTACTTCCCACCATTGCAGGGCTCACGTCATTGACCGAGATGTTGTAAGGTGCCAGACGGGAAGAGAGGTTCTTCATCATTGATTGCAATCCACCCTTGGAAGCAGCATAATCTGGATCGGCATGTCAGACACAGCACGTTTGGCAAGGAAAGGCTGAACTTACGGCAACCGTTGATGCCAGCTCCGTAGGCTGCGATGCTCGAGATGAAGATCATTCTGCCCCATCTTTGATCTCTCATACCTTCGACAACACCCTTGACAAGCAGAAACGTAGCTCGAAGGTTGACATTCAGAGTGTGCTCGAACTCCTCGAGTGGGATCTCCCATACATTCTGGATTCTGACACCATATCCAGCATTGGAGACCAGAATGTCAATTGCTCGCCCGTGTTGTTTGACAACCTCTGGGCACAATGCTGTTGTCTCTTCAATGCTTGCGAGATCTGCTTTGTGGATAGTGATCTTGAGATCGGCATTTGCTGGCTGGCTCTTGAGTTCGTCGGCAAGTCTTTGGCATGATTTCAAGTTTGATGCGTAAGTGAGTGCGAGATGCACACCTTGAGCTGCAAGTTGTCGTGCACATGCGGCTCCAATACCTCCAGAAGCTCCGGTTATCAGGGCCAATCTTCCCTTGATCTCATTGTCGACCTCGACAGGCGGGTAGTCGTTAGTAGTATGCATGTTGGAATGCAAGCTGAATATTTTGGATGTTTGTTGATACCACTTCTTCTACAGTCGTCCTATGGGTCAGTCTTAAGAGCATTCACGTTTGCTACTGAGCACAGGAGGTCAAGCGTAGATCGCCGTCCATAGCCGAGTGATACCGTGGTGACCACCGTACACCTGCGAATAGAGAGTCGGCTCACGTCGACGACCCCGCTGTTCTCGCTATATTGAGACTTCCCGCCTAATGCCGACGGCGTCTGATCATCCCTCTCAGTCCGTCATATGCCGACATTGCTTGAATATGCCTCATGAACCGCATACCGTTTCATGTCTAACATGGGAAAAGCTTCGCATGACTTCTAGTTTGGTAAATGGCGGTCGGTCTAAAGAAGACGACAATGACATGAATGGAAGAAGTTTGAGTTGAGGGTCGGATGAACATCGGCTATCGGCGACTGCTCTCTCAACCTAGCCATCGACGAGACACTCCTTCCCTTTCTTGTGTGTACAGAAGATCAATGTGAAACACTCCTCCTGGTCGTGAATTCTACGTCAAACAGATATGACAAGAACGACGGCGGATACAGCTGATACTAGCATGGCGGCACCAATGCGACTTCGAGTTCTTCCCCTTTTGTGCTCATTCGTGGACGAATTGAGATGAATGTCGACCTCGAGAGCCAGACAAATCTTGACCTAGGCAATTCATGCAGGTTTCGATATCTCGGCAGTTAACATCGTCGCTGCGTCTGCCGCCAAAATTGATCCACCAATCTATAAAATTGATAGCTGCACATACGCGGCCATCCATAAACACCAGCGTTATAGATCAACGAGAGGGCTAATACGATGTCAAGTTCTGCCCTGTATTTGCGCATCGGAGTATTGTCACTCTTACTGGAGGAAATGCCCCGTGATCTGCGCCCAACAAGGGCTGTTCTCGCCTGCTTAGACGAAGTGTTTCAGATCATACGCTGCCCTATACAGACCTCCGCTATTCGCAATCACCAGATGTTTCGTCCAAAAGCCCTCGTCTAGCCCTTTACTCATGGCCAAAAACTAAAAGACTATAAAGATACTCACACCCATCTCATACTTCTGCAATTGATAATACAAACACTTTCATTGCTCCTTGACACATTCGAACTTACCACGCCGGTCGTGTTACTCTACGTTCTTTTCAGCATTCACTATGGTCAACCGCAACTTCCTTCTCAGCACCCTCGCTACTGCCGCAACTTGTGCCTTTGCTCAAGACTCTGGATCTGAGAACATCCGCTTTGGCAATGCATTCTCCCTCGGTGCCACCACAAACACCTACATCGTTGAGGCAGAAACAACTCTGTATCCTGGCAAGACTCAAAGCGGTGATACTCCTCGTCTGGCTCTCTGGCCTGGTATGGGTACTGATGAGGGCCAGCTCATCCAAGCCATCGTTCTAGCTTCTACCGATGCTCAGGGTACGGAGTGTGGTGGTAAATCTCATGTAGATGGAGAATGGTGCGCATTTGCCAGTGCGTTGCAGAACGACGTGCAACTCCAAGGCGCTACATTCCCTGTAAAGTCGAACCAGGGTGTCAAGATCCACTGCAAGCGAATCTATTCAGTTCTGTAGATCAAGCACTAACTCATGAAACAGACAAGTACGACGAGGCTTCAGGCAATACCACCCAAACCGTCAGCGTCGAAGGCAAGATCGTCTCAACCCTGTCGACCAGATCTGGCAAAGCCATTGGCTTCGGAACTGCCGAAGAAGCTCAAAATGAGTTCAAGGGTGTGGTGTATGAGCATTCGTACGTCAACACTACTGTCGTTCTTGCTGCTGCAGACGCTCATTTCGCTTCTACTCTGGGCAAGACTGGCGCAACTGGTAATCTCGTGACTAAAGACAACAAGACTTTCAAGGTCGACAAGATCACTATTGCAGAGTACAGCTTCCCTGCTAGTGTATAGACAATCGCCATGAGCGGAAATTGATTGCGAGCAGGTATGCAGGAGGATGTCGTGATATTATCAATATTATTGGATCGTTTGTCTACCATTCCCACTACCTTAGGCATCTGTTCATGTCTCATTCGACAACTACCCAAGACTTTTAGACGGACATCATTCATGCATCCACGTACCCAGCCACAAATGGAAGCCCAATGACAAGGGCAACTTCTGCTCAGAATGTGCAAAACTAAGGAAAACTCCATGATAATACATAGACCGACCAGACGCAAGTCCTGATATTCATGCTCGTAAACACAACATTAAGCAGTCTCGCCGACCTCGTCCTCGTCCTCCACGATTGCCGTATCGTCGTCACTGGGTCTTGGTTTGCCGAGTGCAATAGCAGGCAGACTCTGGGTCATGTGGTCAGGGACGTTGTCCTCACTACCCACATCGATTCCAGATCTGTTTGTCACCATACTGCCCTTGCGACTCTTACTCACAATACCAGGGAACAAGCGAGGCTCTGATGCATCGAGTGACGACATGGGCATGGGTGCCATGTCTGGAGGAATCGAGGTGGGTGCGGGACCACCAGCGGGCGAGCCGTGGCCGACCATGCTGGATGTACGGGTGTGCCTGTGGCCTGGAAGACTGACCATACTAGGCGACTGGGAGATGCGGGCAGCTTGGGCGTTGGGGATATAGTGGTGATGAGCAGCAGCTGGACCTGGCAGCTGGAAATTACTATTCTGTGCATTTCGAGAATGGAAGTATTCGGAATGGTTGAGGGGGTTTGTAGCCGAAGGGTTGGTCTGCATTGATTGAGCAGTGGGCGAGCCAGGTGCTGTGAGGTTGGCAGAGAAGGGATGGTTGGGCTTGAGATTTGACATAGACAACTTGCGCGATGGGTCGCTCGCTGCGGTATAGCGGTCAATCCTAAAGTGGAAAATCAGTAAACGTGGGCGAATCTCTGCCTTTGGGAAGATTAGCATACATGGCAAGTTCCTGCAACCAAGTCTCATGGCGGAATGCCTCGCGGATGTTTGGCACGTTGACCTTTGCCATGTCGTTTCCAGCAACTCCGGGAAGGTGGTAGTTGTGACCGAGCCAGCGCTGTTTGACAGAGTGCTCGAATCCACTCTGGAGGACCGAATGCTTGGCGAGCTCGCACATATCGACTGCACTGAGCTTGTAAATCTGAGCAGCCACTGCGTACTCTTCGATGAGGGGTTCCTTTGTGAAGGCAAACTGAAGGGGATCGTCGGTGGACAGGGAGACGTTCAAACCGCGGCGGAAGTATAGTAGGAAAGGGTTGCGCTCGTAAGCAAGGAACAGTGCGTTGTTGGACAAGGGCGACATTGCAACGCCAATCTGCTCCAGGTAGAAAATGTATTGCAACAAGGGTACCTTACGCAATAGAAGACCGTGGGAGATGCTGTGACAGCACAAAACAGCAGCCGCGAGATGGTCAGTGTCGCCAGCCTCACCACAATGAGGTCTCAGAAGGAAAGTATTGAAGCCACGCTGCTTGCGCCAGACGTTGAGCGACGACATATTCGCGAACAGATAGTAGATCCAGTACGAGTAGGGTGGGTTTTGTGCTGTGTTCCACTCTTTGGGAAGTGGGAATTTGCGGTAGATTCTACGCTCCGTCTTGCTCTCATCGTCGACTGAATCGAATCCAATGACTCGTTGCAGGAAGATGTGCAATTTGGGATGCGAGCTAGGGTCTTGTGTCACTTCGAAAAGAGGCTGGAAGACGTTTTGAATGACCTGCTCAAAGTTCTCCATCAGGTTGGAGTTCTTGTAGACGTCGTAGAGGCGGGGGATCTGGATCAGCCATCGCACGTTAGGCGAGTACAGCTTGTTATCCACAACCCAGGCCGCTAATTTGTCCCACTCCTCTAGATCACGACCATAGATGGAGATGCGCCATTCTACCATCTGGTACTTGCTAGCCTCAAGATCAGCAATGACCTCTTTCGTGATTTCGGCCAAGTATCTGCCATGAATATAGTTGTCCGTTTTCAGGAAAATGGTACGCAAACGTGACTCGCCGACAGGGTTATATTTGAGGTTGAATTTGTCGAAACGGTGGAAAGAGTCAGTGTGAGCGTGCATATCAAGCGTGTCGATAGAGAGGTCATATGCAGTCAAGTTGATACTTTCAAAGACCTCCCGCAAAGTCAGATGCTTGCCGTCACGGAACAGAACAACTTCGTTGGGACTTTTCTTCATCTTGCTTTTGATGAAACGGAGCAAATGCTTTTGGTTCATGCAAGCCGAGTGGTGTACGTGAGTGTCGACCTTACGAACATTGTAAAAGTCTCTGTGCGGCACAGCTTTGGTGTCTGCAATCTCCTGATACTCATTGAGCAGAATATACAAGTTGAACTTGCCCTCGAGGTATTGTAAACGACGGAAAGCAAAACTCTTACTAGGACCATCCGAGGAAACATTCAGGATGGCGTCGAGATCCATGTAGAACTCGCGAATGGTCGGAACATGGACAATGGGAGTGTCGAGCTCGGCGGCTTTGTTGTTCTCATAGACTTGGTAGACGCCGTTTGGATCCATACGGAAGGCCATCTCGCCAGGTCCAGGCACAGGCATCAGGTCGTCAAGTTCGAAGTCTTCACCAATGTTCTGGCCCATCTTACGAGGCCTCCTACGTGGAGTCTTGAGGTCTTGGCTTTCAGTCATGTTCTGCTCGTATTCCTGCCACGAAGGATCGGGATGAGGAGGATATATGGTCCAGCCGGGCTCATCTTTGGGATTGTCCGTGGCACCCTGTAGCGACAAACGCATGTATTTATGTCTCAGGTCCAAGACCTTTTGGATGTTGCTGTAGATGGCTGTCAGCTCAGCAGTGACCTTTGAGTCGTCTACAGCAAAGCCTCCAGAACCACTTCCCAGACCCACGCCAGCTCCTGCACCATGTAGACCTTGTTGCTCCAGGAAAGGCTTCTGCTCATGAGGCAGGTTGGGGTGATGTGTGTGGGCGCGAGCTTCCCGATCGGCCTGAATCAAGGGTGAAGGGGCGTCGTTTTGTTGGGAGAAAGAGTGGCGGGCGCTGTCGAAGTGGCCGAGGCCAGGAGTCTGAACTTCAGTGCTGGTCGGGAGCTTTGCGGCATTGGCGATGCCAACAGGCAGAGCAGATTTGTATGCAGCATCCTTTGCTTGCAAGCTGACGGTGCTCTTACTAGCTCTCAGCGGGTTAAGCGGAGAAGAAAAGGCAGTAGCATCGCCGGCAACGTGAGAACTGAGGGTACGAGGCTTGCCCATGGTTGGACTGTCGAGCTTCTCGGCGCGTTGTCGTTGGTAGAACTGCTTTGCCTCGGAATGGCTCATAGCCTTCTCGAGCGATGAGCTGTAGTGGGTTGTGCGACGTTGCTTGTCCCTAGGCAGCATGCCTTCAGGCTCTTCCTCGCGCTCCAGGAGCATGCTGGCTGTCATGTCGGCTCCCTTGTCTGAAAGAGTTCTAGACGCCACCATTGAGAGGCTAGGGTCGTCGTGGTGATCATCGGCTGCCATGTCGCTGTCGAATTCGCTTCTAGAGTCGACGCCGTATTCGCTGTCATCGTCGGACGCATCTTCAGGGCCAAAGGTGGGCGCGTAGGTGGGTGGCATGTTCAATGTGAGTAGCCGCTTGTGTGACCAATGTATCCAAGTCGGCGTTGAGGAATGGCTATAGCTTCCAATGCCAGGAGGAATGCTCAGGGTATATATAGTAGGAAAAGGAAGCGCTCCGTTGGTGATAAAGGAAAATAACTAGGTAGGACACTCAGGACAGCGCACGACACGAAACAAAGAAATTGAGGGCGCAACTGCCTTTACAGCAGAGTCTGCGTTGCCATTGATGATTCTCTACTCCACTTGAATCTCCATATTTTTCTTCATGTGACACCGCATCACACGTCCAAGCTTCAATTTGCTTGCTGGGGAAGCCCGGAGCTCAGAGTAATCATTTTCACACGGACATGTATCCACGATTGCTATGTTGCATGAGCACAGGATTCTGACATTCAAGTCAATCATTCTATTCAATAATACTCCGGCACCAAGGCTGTCATCACTGAGGCTGACGTATAACATTGCGTCTCTGATTCCCTGCTTATTCCCTGAAGCATCCTCAACTTGACAACAAAGCTGCAGATCATGGTCCGTATCTGACTCGATCCACGGGAAGATCTAACACGTTATCCATCGGTGCCATTCTGCATCTCAACGCTTCATGCACACTGCAGCAGTTTCTTAACCCTGGTGATGACTGCTCACTTGAAAATCATCCAATTGCTGTTTGTGACGTCGACTCGTGCTTGGGTTGGATGGCACGGTCAAGATGTCATGTAGCAGTATATATTTCATCTTTGCAAGCAATTTCTCAACAGTCCGGTGTGGTCTAACGGCTAGGATTTCTCGCTTTCACCGAGGAGGTCGGGGTTCGATTCCCCGCACCGGAAATTCTTCTTTTGCATCCCATGCATCACCTTTGGGTCTAAATGTCTGACGAGCCATGATGGCGTCCCGGTGCAATTTTTCTTCTCTTCTTTTTCTCTCCAATCTTTTCTCTAAGATTCACACCGAAATAAAGTTTCTTGCGGCGAAATGTAGAGGTTGCATCTCCACAGTTTTTGCAATTATCACCTAATATTCTCTGTAGAAGTTTACTAATTGCCATATTGAATCCACATGATCTACTTTACAGACGGGAGGCAGCTTCCGTCCTCCCGTATGCGCGCCGAGACTCTTCATTCCAGAAGCAACCGTCGAAGGATCGTGTCGAGGCACCACATTTACGGCCATCAGCGTATCAGTGATAACAACAAGGTAGGGCATGCCTGTTTCAGATGGGAGTATTCCACTAACATAATCACGCAACCACAAGGACAGATCTTGATATCAGTTATTCAGTAGCGATATAGTGTACTCTCGCTTGCACGATATGTTCCATGTCTGTGCCAGATAAATACGATTGGGTCCAAGCTTGACAGGTTCGTCTCTTTCATCTTCGCAATCATGAGTATTGTCACAGCGTCAGAACACGTCTTGACCTTTGCCAGGAATGTGGTATGGCAGCAGACACGACGGTAGGATCAGCAAAGTTGGGCCTTTTCCGAGATGGCTGCAGGATTTCACTCCTAGCGGGTCCTAATTTTGCAGAGTCGTGAGATGCAAGTTTCAATCTTCGTGAGTCGTCAGCAAGGGCAATTGCCGACTCGGGTCTGCCTTTTCCTTCGCGAATTTGATCCGTGTGTTTCCATGCTGCAACTTGACGAAACCAGAAGTAGTCTACCCCTGACTTTCAGCCTTGCCACATGGCTTTGCTCGGATTCAAGAAAGATAGTGACCACCTCTGCGGCTGGCGATGTTGTTTTCTGAGTGGCATGCAGATACCCAGACGCTTGGTCAGCCAGCGTTAGATACGCCAGATGGGTTGCTCGGTCGTGTCTCAGTCGTTACTTGCATGCGATGGTGGGGCCCACCTGTCAAGACACGAGCGCAACCAGAGCTCGGTGCAGTAGTTTCACCGCCCAGCGGGCAGATCGATTGTCAGAAATGGACATGACCAGCGTAGAAGCACGAGCGGCAATAATCCCAAGGCAATTCTACATTGCACCGAGGCCCTGGCAAAATGGGCTCGAGACAGATCCTTTTAGCTCCCCTGCATCTCTTGGTTCCTGGCTCATGCTTCGGAATCTCCACCACTCGTATTGCACCGAGGTGGGAATCACGGCCATGACGGATCCAAGTACCCTATTGACGTTCGTAAGATCCTAATCCTGACGACGAATATAGGTCGCGAGTGGCGTGCTTAGCAACAGCAGATTCATGGAATAGGCAGGATATCAGGTGAGGTGCTTGGACCCTGGCCGGCGGCAGACCCTCAAAATTGCCTGTCCGTGCGGAACAAGGCAATGACAGGCCCAAAGAGCTTTCTTTTAACCCTCCTTCAACCTGCATCATCGGTGCCATGTGCCAATCAGGGCTACGCTAAACAAGACGACGCTGGGTCTTTGATGCCTGCGGGGCCCGCCGTCCCGGGAATGCTGGCACCGTGCTGTCATGCGACAGTTCGTCTTGGTCAGTGAGAGCTGCCAATTTCGCGCTCCGGATATGTCCTCGGTCGAGTTGATAGCGCAATGATCAATTCTTTTCATGCTTGCCTGCCTCCCCTTGCTTCTTTTAAACCTGTTAGCTCCGTGACCTTGGTTCTATGCTGCTTCGTTGTATCTCAACTTCTTAGCTTCACGCGCCGTTCAGATCTGATCGTCGACACCCATCTTTCTTTACAGGTACACTAACAACTCTAATCACACCACGATCATGTATACAGACCCGCCAAGATCTATGGAGCGAGTAAGCCGTCGCGACATTTTCACATCGCTACCGGCTCGGGTCCAATGGTTGCATTCGTTCTTGGAATTTGGAACTGGTTAGTCGTGTCAGCAATATCTGCTTGTTCAGTCTAACACTTCCATGCTGTAGATGACGTCCAAGCTTTGATATCTGGACAGAAGTATATCAAAGCAGTCATTCCTGCTATTGTCAACATAGTGTACAAGAAGCTTCTCAAGTACGACATCACAGCCCGTGTCTTTACCACAAGGGATAGCAGAGATGAAGGCCCAGTTGAAAGCTGGCCCACAGAAGATAGTGCTCAGATTGAGCACAGGAAGATGGTATGTGTAGACTGTCAATACAAAGCATTCATCCCTGACTCCCTACAGTTCTTGAGGTGGTACCTCACGAAGCTCAACTCAGACTGCACACGAATGGACTACTGGGTAAGCATCTATCATTGCCATCTGTTGAACGTTGCTCATCATTTCTAGGAATATCTGGACAAAGTCGGGTAAGTTGCCATCAAGCCAGACAATACTGGCATATCCCGAACATGACCAGCATGGCTTACACTTCTACAACAGCCTGATGCATGTAGGCAGAGGTCGCCAAAACCCTCTACATGTCGACTATGTCTTCCTCGGCGCATGTCTGGGCTTCATCCAGGACTCACTCTTCGAAGCCATCCTCTCCCACCCACGCCTCGAGATGCACCGCAAGATTGCCATTGTCAAAGCACTGGGCAAAGTTATCTGGATTCAGAACGACCTCATTGAAAGATGGCACAATACCGATGGCGCCGAGTTCCTCCAAGAGGAAGCCGACGCACTTTTAGGAGAGATTCAAGAGGAGGACCGCGAGGGATACCTTCATGGCAAGAAGGTTCTCGGCGATGACGGCTCATCCATTTACACAACCCGTACTGGGAGCAGTAAGAGCTCTGACAGTGGAAAGACATCACTGGGCCGCCCCATCGAAGAAGCAACACACCTCGGCGACGGCATGAGCAGATGTCCATTCAGCGGCATGGCCCGCACAGTTTCAAATCCTGCAGATCTCGAGCGTCAGCGTGCAACCTCGACACGATCTCCCCGTGTGAATGGCACAGCGCCTGATGTTCTTCAACAGTATCACTCCCCGGGGACTCCTCGTATTCGCATAATTGATGGCAAAACAGTGCTGAAAGAAAACCTCGAGCCCCTTCCCAAAGTGTTCGAACCTAACAAGTAAGTCTATCTTTCTATTCTAATTTCTTGTCTGTCTATCATTGTCTTTGTCAACGCCCAAGATGCTGATGGTGAGCAGGTGATGAACCCTGGCCATGCCATCTGGAAAGACAAAACGTAGGGCGAACAACACCACAACCGCGCACGCATACTATGAAAGTGACAGAAGCTAAAACTTGTCAGCTTGGATCAAACAACACAAGATCAACCACGAAAAAGTCAGTTGCGCCGGCAGCCTTCCAACTGGACACTCGAGACCTTGAGGAACAGAAAGGAGGGTTATGCGCAGTTGTAATCGCAAAGTCGTGACAATGCGGAGTTGGGCAGGACTATTAGACCTTTTGAATTTGAGATACCAGAATCATAAATCACAGCATTTTGAGAAATTGACGAGTTAGGATGACATAGCTCCTTGAACCGTTTTCCGTTTGATTCTTATTCTTATTCAAACTCGATCTCTTACCTATGTAGATGTCTTATGCACCGACAGCTTTACAACTGAGCTCCCACAAACGATCTTCAGCCTCCTCATCATAAGCATGACTGCCATACTCAGGGCCACCGATCGGCGCATTATCTCCAGCTTTGACAGATTCGCCACAATCAGCGCAGTAGACGCCACCCTTGTCGTTGAAGTGAGGTGTCAAGGCAGCCCACACAGTAGTTGCGGCACCTTGCTCAGGACTTTTTGGGAGATATCCAAAAACATCCTCACCTCCGAATTCAGCGAAAGCGTCCTTGGTGCTGTGGCGCAGCAATTCAGTATCAATGATAACACCTGGATGGAGTGATACGGCGTGAAGGCCTCGGGATCCATAGAGACGATCGATGCTGTTGGCCATGTAAATGTTCGCGGTCTTGCTTTGGCCATAAGCTGCCCATGGATTGTATTCCGAGCCCTCGAATGCTATGTCATCGAAGCAGATGGGTGAGAAGGTATGACCATAGCTGGACAAGTTAATGACGCGGGAAGTATCGGTCGTTGTGGACGAGGAAAGCAGAAGAGGCTTCAAGAGTTGGAACAGCAGGAAATGGCCAAAGTGGTTGCTTGCCATGTGAGTTTCGAAGCCACTCGCGGTCTTGCCTTTGGGAACATTCATTACGCCTACAGTGATTGATGAGTTGGAATTTAAGGAGCAGGACGATGTGACAGAAAGTTACCTGCGTTGTTGATTAAGATGTTGAGTTGGTTGCTTCTAGTTATGAAATCTTCGGCTGCAGCGCGCACGCTGTCAAGGTCTTCAAGATCCAAGTGAACAAGCTCGACAGCTTGACCCTCAGATGCGTCCTTGGTAATGGCCTTGATGGCTTTCTGACCCTTTTGCTCGTCACGAACGGTGATGTAGATCTTGGCTCCTGTCAGGTACAAGGCTCTAGCCGTCTGGACCCCAAGTCCCGCACTACCGCCAGTAATCAAGATTGTCTTGTTGCCGAGCTTGCCCTCTAGGTCCAAGTCCTTGATGACTTGAGTAGCTGTGGGACGGGCATCGCCAGGTCCTGCTGGGTTTTGGTGTGATTCCAGATAAGGACGATATGCTTGAGAGGAAGGAGCCATGGTTCTTCCTGAGACTTGCTGTATCGTAGTATGTCTATATGCATATATATATATATATATATATGAGATTTGCTTGTTCAATCCGAGCGGATGGCTGGCTCCAGGATGGCACTGGTTTTATAATGGCTGGCTTGGCCATAAAATCGTCTTAGCTCCGGATGAGCCAACGGCGATACCAGTGCCCTGCAATATCCGTAGTCATACCTGATAAAGCCACTCATGACAGGGACTCCACGCTTACTTTGATGGTTGTACGGCCGGGCTAAAGTCGACATGGCACTCCAAAATCCGTACCGGACTTAAGATGGGCTGACCGGTCGCTCCCGTTCAATCACGACGGGTAGTGAGCATGAAGGATCCGAGACGGCCAATGTCATATATGACTACGACCGGCGAGGGGTGGTCAGTCAAGACTGATAGATTGACGCCAAGCTGGAGCGAGCGACGGAGCAGCGGGGGGTCGAAGTGCGTTAGGAGAGTCAGACGTGGGAGGAGTCGTCTCAGCTGGGAGAAAACGGCGAGCTTGTGGTTCGCTGAGACAGCCCCTGAGCGCGGGCTGCAAATGAAGTATCAATATTCAAAGCAAGAGTCTGCTGGTAGGTCGTTCCTTCTCGTGTCGCCAGAGTAGGTACAATACAGTATTGTTGTATTGTGTAGCGTGGTGTGATGCTGTTGACCATCCCTCGTGCGCCGCTGCCTGCAGCGCTGGCCGCCATCTCGACTGTCTTTCTTCTGACTTACCTCTACCTTCATGCCTCGGCGGATCCGAGTCCTCATCTTCTGTCCATCAAGGCCTCGACGCAGCAGCCAGCACAGCTTCCCCAGTGTCCGCCAGCATCAGCGATTAGCAACATTGTCTTGTCCATCAAGACTGGCGCCACCGAGGCTTTCGACAAGCTGCCCACTCAGCTGCTCACCATCTTGCAATGCGCCGACACTCTCCTACTCTTCTCCGACTTGGACCAAGACATCCACTCGCTGCACATCCACGATGTGCTTTCTCGTTATGATCCCGACTTCCTCGCACACCACCCCGACTTTGAGCTATATCGCAAGCAAAAAGAATACCAAGCCGAGGGCCGTGACATCCACACACTGAGCACAATGAAAGACTCCAATTCTGATTGGCGAACTGCTGGCCACAATGCAGCCTGGGCTCTTGACAAGTACAAGTTTCTGCATATGATTGAAAGAGCTTGGGAGCTACAACCGGACAAAGACTGGTATGTCTTTGCCGAGACCGACACCTATATTGTCTGGCGCAACCTCGTGCAATGGCTCCAGAGATTTGATCCAAGCGAGCCACTCTATCTCGGGCGGGGTGAACCTATGAAGAAAGAGGAAGGAGATGGCTTCTACTTTGCCCATGGCGGAAGTGGCTTTGTGCTGTCGCGTGCTGCCATGTATCACTTCTGCGTCACCAAAAAGGGCCTTGCTAGCCGATGGGACGCTAGGATTCCCGATCTATGGTTCGGTGATTACGTCGTAGCCAAAGCACTCAAGGAGGAGCTTGATCTCAATCTGACCTCGGCCGCGCCCATGTTTAGCGGCCACAAGCCCATGAGCTTGCCCATTGGTACTGGCATCTGGTGTCGTCCTGTCATTACTCAGCACCACTTGCGTTCCGAGGAGGTGCAAAATCTATGGATGCTGGAGGATGAGTTTTACACAAATCCATCTTCAAACACTCTACCACACATACGCTTTTCACATCTATTTAGAGATATACTGTCTGGTGTCATATTTCCAGAGCTGCGCTCTGAGTGGGATAACCTGTCGCAAGACAGTATCTACACGATTAAGCTCCCTCGCACAAAAGCTCAGGCACACAAGAAGCCAGATGAACGTACAGGCGAGCCTACTGTAGAGTCAGATCCAAATTCCTCGCCTGATGCATGCAACGCTGCTTGCGAGGCTGTGGAGACATGTTTCCAGTGGGCGCATCTGAACTTCACTACTGTTGAAAAAACAAAACAATTCAGTGGCGGAGTCTGTTATCTAAGCAGTGTCTTCCGCTTCGGTAATCAGAGACCAGAAGAGTCTTGGGTCGACGAGAAGAACGCGACAAATATTCACTTATGGAACTCTGGGTGGAAGACAGCTGCGATAGAAAGCTGGCTTGTGAGCGCACCAGATAGCTGTGAAGAAGTAGACTGGACTTGAGAGTCTGTAACTGTACACGCACAAATAAAGTTTGAGTTGTACAAAGCACAGTTTCTACTCGTGCTCTGATTAGATCCGCGATTCAACTTATCTTATCGCCAAGCTCGGCCGCCGAGCCTTGGAGAACTCAGCATTCGTGCGTGCTTTTGCAGCTTTTACGTATTCTCTCCTCACGATCTGGTTAGCACCTTCGCTCTCGTAGCATCGATTTGCTGCAAGGAATCTTCGGATGTCTGGAATGCTCAGCTGCTTAGACAAGCGCCCAGCTCATACATGCTTCGCTTGCTTATCAGCGTCATCTGATTAGATTGATAAGCCATCGAGTCTGCCCGTGGCATCAAACACCGGTAATCAAACTTAGAAGATGTTGAGCTCTTCTTCACCGCTGCTGGAAGGATACGATGCTGCAAATTCGCTGAACCAAAGGCCTTTCGCTTGTCGGAAGAGACCAGCACTGCATACTCGATCTCGAACAAATTGGACCTGGTTATCCGTGGCTTCTTCCATATTTAATTCGATAGCATTGCTTGGGCTGCTATATGGAGTGGGAGTATGCATAGCAACCATTCGGGGCACTCTAATGCCTAGCAATGAATATTGCCTCCATGCCGTCTCGGTCTCGTACAACTATCTCACTTTCTCTGGAGAAGGACACGGCACATATTATGGTCCAAAATGTATCAATCCTTTATGGACAATCTCTACATATGCTTCTGGGAAAACATTCTGCACGGATGACGAGATTGCTATTGGCTTCGAGAAGATCCGTAAAGAGTGTGAAAGTGACGGTCTTGCATTCCTGGACTGGCAGCAAGTTGTTGCCAATATCACACACGACGACATTGCGCAGATGAGAGTTGTCGAATTTGAAGAAGTGCCTGCTGGTACAAATATCACAAATCCAGTCAGGCTTTCTAAGTCTTTCTTCGGACGAGTCGGCAATACTCTTGTATGCATATCGCAATTGCTACTTCTTTCAAAGCAACTGACCCTAGCAGATGACTTGGGAGTATGAGATGAATTGGCATCATCAGTCCAGTGTCGCACTCTATGGATTTTGGGGTATCGCCCTTGGGGTTTCAACAATTGTACGTTTCCTCAAATCTACCAACATATCATTCCATGCGCCCTATGTACAATCGAGCACAGCGACGCAAATACTGCAATCAGCATGGATGTGGGTTCGAGTAAACCTGATAATCCCACCAGCTTTCGGATCACATCACCAACGTCTACTATACTGGTGCACTATCCCAACAAGGATGGAGAGTGCTGTTGTCCTAGCTTTCTATCTCTTGACGACATATCTTTCTGTGTCTCACTATCGTCTGATATCCAACAATATCTAGTAAGAGTAGTAACCATCTTTCTGAAACACGGGTGACTGACAGGTAATCAGCTGGAATGACAAGTCTCAACAACTCTGGCGATACGTCGCTGATCGTACAGGCATCATGGCTTACGCTACACTCCCGTTGATCTGGATTTTCGCTGGTAGAAATAATGTCTTCATGTGGGCGACAGGTCTGTCATATCGAACATTCAACATTTATCATAGACACATCGCTCGAGCTGGTACAATACTAGCAATCGTACATTCAGCTGTATACACCTGGCTGTTTGTCGAATTTGGTATTTCGATGACCCCTTAATCATCTAATACATGCTAACCATACATAGAGGGATGGAGTATGTTTAAGAGAGAATTCACACAGCTTTGGCTACTTCTTGGTGTAGTGGTAAGATATTGATTGTATGTGGGTTGTCACATCTCTCATAGGCTAACATCCTCAAGGCGACACTCACTATGTGTTTTCTTTTGTTATTCTCAGCATCATGGCTTCGCGTCAAGTTCTACGAGATCTTTCTAGTCCTTCATATTGTGCTCTCTGTGATCACCCTAGCGGGATGCTTCTTGTAAGTCTCGCCGCTTTGTTACTGACTTCAAGTGCTTACTGCAATAGACACACTTCCATTTTCGATAACAAATACGATACATATCTCTGGCCAATCGTAATCGTATGGTTTCTCGATCGTGTACTTAGGCTACTGCGCCTTATAGCTTGCAATATACATGTACACTTGAGCAAGCAAGTCATGCATCGCACACGTTCAGTTGCTTCATATAGCAAAGAGTCTGAGGTGATCAGACTTGACATAAGAACTAGCTCAATCCTGGCTCAACCTGCTGCTGGACAATGTTATTACCTCTATCAACCTAGCACTTGGCAAGGCTATGAGAACCATCCTTTCACGCTTGGAGCCTGGTATTCACAGTCTTCTGCATCAGAGGATACCGACACCTATCTGCTTCAACATGACGATCTACCAAACGAGTTTGATCAATCCGATTTCAGTTCGAAATATCAAGCTACTGTTCGAAGTCTGACCTTCTGGGTCCGTCCCTACGACGGTTGGACTAGACGACTGCGAGACGAGTGTCTCCTGGCACCCACACAAACCACTAAACCAACGATTCTCCTAGAGGGCCCTTATGGTCATCACTGCCCTGTATCATCTTTCGACTCTGTGCTGCTGATCGCTGGCGGTACCGGCATTGCTTCAGCGGTACCGTATATTCTGGAACATGTGGCACTGTCTAAAGCAGGCAGCTCGGATACCACACACATGCATTTACTCTGGACAGCGCGGCAAGCATCCTTTATCGGAGAAGTCTTTGCGCAAGAACTCCGTACCGTAGCTCAAAGGGATGATTTCTCGGCTGATCTGTTTTTCACACGACAAAGTGAAACACCCAAGCATGGAGAAGAACAACCCAGAGGCGAAGAACATGAAAACTTGAGGTCAGAACTGCAGTACGGACGACCAGATATTGCAGCTGCTATCGCCAAAGCTGCGACTAGAGCGAGGCTGACAGGGACGAAGGTGGCTGTATTGGTCTGCGGTCCACCTGCTATGGCTGATGAAGCAAGACTCGCTGTCCATCGTTCACTGAAACACGGCTGCAGCAATCTCGAATATTTTGAAGAATCTTTCGGCTGGTAGACTTCCTTATGAGCATTCATCGAGTGTTTGAAGTTGACTGCTTTGTGAGCTCACGCCTACCTCACTGTCCAAAACGGCTCTGGTCTATCGCTTACTTGGTTGACTAGAATAGACGGAGCAACCAATCTGACCACGTTCGTACTTTGATTCAAAGGCAAACAGTGCCCCAGATGTCCATGTTCTGTCTTGATGCTACTCGACTGTTTACGATGATCGGCTATTATGCCTTCAGTGCCCGCTCTATTGCAGTGGAGCCTTTCGCCTACAACTCAGACGGCACGATACCGCTTCTCACTATGACCAGCGCGGGAACCCCACAGATTGGAACCTTGAATACATGCACTTGTAACGAGGCGGAGACCATGGCTATCTCTTTTGGCATTCAAACTTAATGAGGGCGGGATTGCGATCGTCAATATCGAGAAAGGTGACTATGTCAAGGCTGCTGATGTCGCTTTTTGGTAATGGAGCAACCCTTCTCTGCTCGTGTTGCTTCAACCACCGATGGTAGCAAGATTGAGCTTCGTCTGGGTAGTTTGACCGGTACTCTGATTGGAACCTGCACTGTGCCTGGTACCAACGGATGGCAGTCTTGGCAAGATGGTGACTTATGCTGTCAGTGGAGCGACTGTAACCAAAGATCTACCTGAAGTTCACTGGTGGTAGTGGATATCTATTCTATGTTGACTATTGGCAATTTTCCTAGGTAGGACTGGCAAAATCGATGCGGTCGTAGTAGATGTGCTCGCAAACCAGAAAATAGCCGAATTACAATATTTATCGTCGATTTTCTAGATGCTGCACAAGCAAGACCATATATGGATCACGAACCTGTGTCGTAGCTCCATACGGCATACCTTTTCGGGTAAATTGGTCGTTTGCGACCGAGTTGTTGGTCGATGTTCAGGATGTTTTAGCAGTCGCGACGGGGCTTCCGGCGGGGGAACAATTTGAGGTTGCGACGGCAGCGATAGGAACTCGATGGAAACGTTGAGGTGGTGGTGTTATCCAGATTGTTTGTAGTGGTAAGATGGAAGGCAACGCTGAAGCTACGTTGCAACAAGCCTGCGCTCCACAACGGGCAGTGTCGACCGGCGGGGATGCTCAAGCTCCTTCAAAGAGGGGAAACGGGGCGCAGGCAATTCTCAGTCGGCCAGTGAATGTTTGCCAGCGTTTTTGAGGTAGCCGATAAGGCCAGTGAGAGAGACTTCAATATCTTTCTTGCGATGAGTCGTTTGCACCATGTTCTACTTATATTACGCGGGGTACCGAGCAGACCGCGCATCGCCTTAGCAACATTACTGTAGCAGGGCCACCATGTTCGCCAAACAGGACAACCATCTTGTTTTCAGCTATGATGCCGACAAACTCTGGATCGAGCCTTGGGGCAAGAACGCCCTCCGCATCCGGGCCACCCAGCTGAGCCACATGCCTTCGGAGAATTGGGCTCTCGAAGAACCATCGGGCCAATCTGCTGTGATTGAGATTGGAGAGAACTCGAGCTCCTTGACTAATGGTGAAATCAAAGCCGTAGTTACGGCCAACGGCAAATTGACTGTATACGGTCATGGCGGCAAGGTCATCCTGGACGAAGCTGTTCGAACCCGTCGCGATGTCTTGGACCCTAAGTGCAGCGCAATCGAAAGAGAAGCTCGTGAATTTCAAGCAATCCCGGCCACGAACGACTACCATATTGCCTGGCGCTTGGAATCTCTCGACAAGGATGAGAGGATATACGGGATGGGCCAGTATCAGCAACCTTACCTTGACCTCAAGGGCCTTGACCTCGAGCTCGCACATCGAAACTCACAGGCCAGTGTACCTTTTGCCGTCTCTTCTCTGGGGTATGGCATACTCTGGAACAACCCTGGCATCGGCAGAGCTGTGTTCGGCAAAAACATCATGTCCTTCGAGGCAATGAGTTCCACTGTCTTGGACTGTTGGCTTGTGGCGGGAAAAACTCCTGCGGAGATTGTTCAGGCCTATGCCGGAGTTACAGGAACTGTTCCAATGATGCCAGAGGTATATCTACAGGAACTCCTCGCTAGTCATGTTTTTTCACGGAGTGGTGCTGATCTGTATTAGTATGGTCTCGGTTTCTGGCAATGCAAGCTCCGCTATCAGACACAAGAAGAGCTCCTCGAAGTCGCTAGAGAATACAAATCCCGTCAATTGCCTATCGATCTCATTGTTATCGATTTCTTCCATTGGCCCTTGCAAGGAGAATGGAAGTTTGACCCCATCTACTGGCCAGACCCTGACGCTATGGTCAAGGAGTTGAAGCAGATGAACATTGAGCTGATGGTTTCGATTTGGCCTACCGTCGATCGACGATCTGAGAATTATCAAGAGATGGTGGAGAAGGGTTTGCTGATCAGATGCGACCGTGGCACGCGAATCTCCATGGATTTCGAGGGTAATACTGTTCATTTTGATGCGACCAACCCCGAGTCCAGAGCGTATGTCTGGAACAAAGCCAAGCAAAACTACTTCTCTAAGGGAATCAAGACTTTCTGGTTGGACGAAGCCGAACCAGAGTATTCCATCTACCATTTCGATAATTGGAGATACTGGCAAGGATCAAACGTGAGCATTGGCAACATCTACCCTCGAGAGTACGCTCGTGCGTTTTATGAGGGTCAAGAAGCTGAAGGACAGAAGAACATCGTCAATCTTCTGCGGTGCGCGTGGGCTGGCAGTCAAAAGTATGGTGCTCTGGTCTGGAGTGGCGATATTGCCTCATCCTGGTACAGCCTGAAGAACCAATTCGCTGCCGGACTCAACATGGGTATGGCAGGTATTAGCTGGTGGACAACTGACATTGGTGGCTTCCATGGTGGCAATCCAGATGACGAAGCTTTCCGTGAGTTGTTCACCAGATGGTTCCAGTACGGTACATTCTGTCCTGTCATGCGTCTGCATGGTGACCGTGAACCCCACCAACCTCAGCACGGCACCACCGGCGGCGCAACATGTCTGTCTGGAGCTCCGAACGAGGTCTGGTCCTACGGCCAGGAAGTATACGAGATCTGCAAGAAATATATGAAGATCAGAGAGGGCATGAGAGAGTACACACGAAGTCTCATGAGGGAAGCTCACGAGAAAGGTTCTCCGATCATCCGACCCATATTCTATGACTTCCCTGGGGATAAGAAGGCATGGTTGATTGAAGACCAGCAGATGTACGGACCCAAATATCTGGTGTCACCCATTTTCAATCTGGGTCAACGCAAGCGGACAGTCTATCTTCCTAGTGGTGCAACTTGGAAAGCTTTCGAGGGCGGTGAGGTTTATGATGGTGGTCGCGACGTCGAGGTTGATTGTCCCATAGACATGATGCCTGTTTTCGTAAAGCAATAGGCTCGATACTTTGGGAATTCTTGTCATTCTCCAGCGAGTCATCGACACGAATCTGCATTCACATAGCGACGATCGAGTATTGATAATCTTGGCCAAGCAAGTTGTTCTCTTCAGTGGATGACTCTCGCCATCTGGTTTTTGAAGGTGAGGACATGACATATAAAGTTTTCACTATGAGTAGGTGATTGTCAGAGAGGTACTCCATGTATGGGATCTGGTATCATAAGTGCGATCAAGGTTGAGCAGGGTGTCCTCCGCGACATAGGCGTCATGTTGGATTCCCGTTTAACTTTCAGATCAGCCGCTAATTACCCGAGTAGTTTACCCGTGGCGGTCGTCGTGCTCAAAACCTCGTCGTCATTAACACTGCCCTGATATAAGTCACCCGCAATGCCCGAAAACGAGCCCTATCCAGCCGCAGCCCGCGACGACTCACAACGAAGATGCTCGACTTGCAACATAGTCTTCCAGAGAACAACACACTTACGACGTCACATGTTGACACACACTCAAGATAAGAGATTCGTGTGTTCACAATGTGGCAAGAGCTTTGTTAGAAGGTGCGTCTTCTCTTGCCCCGTCGCTCGCTCCGTCAAGGTTATACAGCCTCCCCGTTTGCAGAGCATGTAGCGCGTATAACTTTAGAAACGCATGATAGTAATAGGAAACAAGGTGGTATCCACTGAGAGGCAACAAGGTCTCGACTCTGTGGACATGCCTCTGCTTCTGAAACAATTGTGCCATTTTATAGACTATATCTTTCTCTTAGCTATAGCCGGAGAAGTTACAGACTTCAGTATATGGGGAGGAGCCATAGATATATGATAGAGTTGACTTGACTCTTAGGGACACGCTTCACCGACATCAGATAACTCATCGCACAAATTCTCTTGCGAACCACTTGGGACCTGCTGATGTTCTCTCTCCTCGAGCCTGCAGAGCATGTGCTAGTGCTCGGGTGCGATGCTCGAGACAAAATCCTTGCGAGCGATGCCACTCAAGACGACTTCAATGTGTTTACGAGGAAGCAGAACAGAGAGCCGAGCCAGAGGTAAACCATGAAGCAAGCCTAGTATCGGCGCAACCTCGCGAAGAAGCTCTTAGTCTTTCCCAGAATCGCTTACCTGCACAAGCGCCCCCACTGAATGAGAGTAACACATCATTCTTACCGGCAACTACGGGCTCACAGGTTGCGCAATCGCAAGACAGGTCTCTAATCAATGCCAACTGGGTGGCCCAAGACCCTGCATCAGTGTCACACTACAACTTTCAGGATCAAAGGATGGTTGCACCATTGGTTGGAAGAGATCCACCCTCTCTACCAGCGACAAACTGGTTGCCATATACTAATGGCATGGACTTTGACTTTGACTTCTATATGACACAGGCACTGAACAACTTTTCTCCGGCCATGGACATGCAAACGAGCATTTGGTCCCCTAGTGTGAATCCCTTAGACAATGCCACGATCAACATCGGCACGAGTCCTGAAGCTGGAAGTAAGGGATCTGGCACCGAAGAATCTCCAGCCGGATCGATGTCTGTTACTAACTCCGTGGCTTCTTCAAAACGCCATGGGACCTTCTACGCGGACGGAGAAGTGAGTCGGCTGGCAAGGCATCGCAATGCCGAAGTCTTGCAGAACCAAGACCACGTAAGCAGGATGGGAAACGGACTCGAATTCAGTCCCATAGAATCGGGGCCATTGGTCACGCATGCTGCCTCTCGGTCTATCATCCCAACACAAACCTACAATTGCATACTAAAGCAATTTGATGAGCTATGCATGACTGACAATCCAGTTCTCTTCCTCGGAAAATTCCGGTCTGATCGATTTCCTTCTCGTCAAGCTCTGGAAACCTGTATCGAGTCCTATTTCGAAAATATCACTACCGTCTTTCAAGTTTTGCATAAGCCAACGGCGACATTCGATGGCGAGAACGACTGGATCCTTTGTCTGGCGCTGGCTGCTCTAGGCGCTGCCACTTCTTCGTCTGCATCGCTAGTGTCCAATGCTGAGGCTTTGAGGACATTCCTTCAGCGAGCCATAACTACGCGATATATGTTGATTGGACGCGCCAGGGACGCACCAGAGCTGTCTTTCATGCAAGCTTGTATCTTGTATGATGTTTTGGAGCTTCACCTACAGCACAGCATCAACGAAGAGGCGTTGGCAGGCACCCGATCATTTTCAGACTACTGCACCAATGTTAAAAGATCCCGATGGTTAAACCTGGATGAGCCGATTTGGGACGACACGTGGACTGAAGTTAATTGGAAGGCATGGGCGTATCGTGAGAGTCAGCGAAGAGTGGCATACTGTGCATGGCATCTTGATAGTTGGTATTTTTTGACATCTGGAAAGAACCTGTCGGCAAACTTTTCCCTCAATGATGTCCAGACACAGCTGCCTGTTCACGAAGCTCTGTGGTCGGCGACTTCGCTAGGGGAATGGATGAAACTCAAAGCAACACACAAGCAGCCGATGAGCTTGACCACCTTATTGAGATCAATCTACCAGCAACAGCCGCTTACTCAGGAGCTTGGTGACTTCGCACAGATTGTCGCTGTCCACGCAGTCTGCCGACGTACCATGGAGATAGGATACAATATTCTTGATCCGCTGAGCGGCCTCGACGCCGGCCAGCACCACCGGGGTGAGTCTGTCAGAGACATTTATTGGCTACCCTCGGATCCGGAGTACCAGAAGTGGCGCAACAAAGCTCTGGACTGCTTAGACACCTTACACTGGGGAACGCATGGTGTTATAGCCCGCCTTCAAGGTCTTGAGCCACCGGCGGTCTTACACTTGCACATGTCGCGATTGGTTCTGCTGGTCCCTTACCAGGACGTTTACGACCTCATGTGCGAAGTTGTCTCGTCACATGGTGACGATGCATCCTTCGCTCATGTTGGAAGCTCCCGCTCGCGACGAGAAGATCTTGTGGCGAAGATCTGGTTGTGGATCTCTAAAGATCATTATAAGTCCAGACTAGCTATTGTGCATGCTGGGGCCATGTTTTGGTATATTCGGCACCACGGCACAGGAAACATCCTCGAGCCGACCAGTCTTTTCGTAGCCAGCGTTATACTGTGGGCTTACGGATCCTTCGTACCGCTTTTACAAGCTTCAACCGATGAGCACCCGCCTGTGACATCTCGTGCAGACACAGAAGAAGAGTTCGACCCGACAATGATACAGATTGACCGACCTTGCGACGATGAGCTCATTCAGATATTCATTCGTCGTGGAAATTCCATGCAGCCGCACATGTTAGGCGTAGGGAATATCTGCCAACCTGGTGGAGCGCATAATGTGCTCAAAGTTGGTGCAAAGCTGATCAAGAACCGATGTTCGGCATGGCCAATTTCCAAGACATACGAAAACCTCCTGCTTCATTGTGCGCAAGTATCGGCAAGGAGTTCATAGAATGATCAAGTACAGGCATAGTCGAGGTATCACATACTGATGGATGAGTGTACATCTCTGCGAACCACAGGCGAGATGGAATGAGTTGTGAACGAGGCTCATCAAGCAGACTGGGCGATTCACGAGCTTCACGTGGGGTCTGACTCGTAAGACTTCCTCTAGAAGGCCAACAGATTGTGTTATGGAAAGTGACGTTGGCCGTTTCGACGAAGGAAAGACTGGTTTCGATACACCAGTCTATCGAGATTTTGCACTCTGCCATAGTTCGAAAGCAAAGAGTGGTCGTTAGTGAGTATGCAATTTATCTCGTCCGGCATGTCGGTTTTATCTCGACGCAACATTTCTGCACTGTTCTTGCCAACCAAAGGCCCTCCCTAATCTTGTACAAGAGGCACCACAGTGCTGCCAAGCGATCCCGACGGGGCAGCGTCGAAACATCCATCTCAAATAGAACGGTCCGGTGGCAATCATTAAGCTTTTTCAGAACTTCACCACCTGATAAACTTTGCACAGTCGCAGCCTCATGCCTTACCGAACTCCGCACAATCCTTCCATGTACTGAGTAGTTCTTCCCCATGGAGCACGGGATCTACGCCTAGTCGATCTGCATCTGTACAGCTATCGCCATGATCGGTGTGTAGTGATATACCACTCCCTGGGGATTCACAAGTTTCTGGTGAACGTTTCGTTCTTCTTCCTCGGTCACGACTCGATCGGATCACTTCCTGTCCGACAGATCTAGCATGGTAGAGAAGAAAGAGGACATGGTTGACATTGAGGATAAATCCGCCTCGTTTGTCGGGGACGAAAAAGATGCCCGTGGGATGGCTGCGGCTGCGACGGACGAGGAACATAACCTGACTTTGATACAAGCCTTGAAGAAGTATCCTCAGGCTTGCTTCTGGTCCGTCGCCATTTCCAGTGCCATCATTATGGAAGGATACGATATCGTCCTGATTTACTCCTTTTTCGGACAGCCAGCATTCGTCAAAAAGTACGGTGAGTACGATGCTGCGGCTGGAAAGTACACACTCTCGGCTGCATGGCAAGCAGGTCTCGGCAATGCCACGCAGATCGGCACTGTCATTGGTGCCTTCCTCAATGGTTATCTTACTCACAAATTCGGCTACCGCAAGGTCATGGTTGCATCTCTTCTTTCCCTTCTTGCATTTGTCTTTATCTCATTCTTTGCACCGACCGTTGAGGTCATCTTGATTGGCCAGATTCTTTGCGGGTGAGTGGGCAGTCAGTCAAAGTGATAATTGGAGTGTACTAAAGTGGCATATAGAATCCCCTGGGGCGTGTTTGCGACCATGGCGCCAGCATACGCAAGTGAGGTTTGCCCAACAGTGCTACGTGGTTACCTTACGGTCTATGTCAACCTTACTTGGGCCTTTGGCCAACTAGTAGGCGCAGGTGTACAATCCGCATTGTCCGGTAGCACAACAGAATGGGCATACAGGATACCTTTCGCAATTCAATGGGTCTGGCCTCTACCAATCGCTCTGTTGGCATACTGTGCTCCAGAATCGCCCTGGCATCTAATTCGTACTGGTAACAGTGAGGGTGCTCTACGGTCCATTGAGCGCTTGTCTCCAACCAAGACCGAGAGCGAGCATAAAGCCCAGCTTGCCATGATGCAGCACACGAACCAGCTGGAGATGGATATCAGCGCAGGTACATCCTACTGGGATTGCTTCAAGGGTATTGACCGTCGTCGTACCGAGATCGTATGCATGGTATGTGACGATTTAACAGCTCGACCACCACGACTCTCGCGCCTAACGCTCGCTAGGTTTTTGCTGCTCAGCCTTTCTGTGGTAGTGCCATGGGTGGAACCCCTACATTCTTTTTCATTCAAGCTGGCCTTCCCACGTCCATTTCGTTTAAGATGACTGTTGGTGGCCTTGGTATAGCTTCCGTCGGTACCATCATCTCGTGGTATCTATTATCCGCTTTTGGTCGCCGCACTCTGTATCTCTGGGGTCTGGGTCTGCTCGCCATCATACTCATGACTACCGGTACCATCAGCGCCGTAGATGCTACCAGTGTAGCTGGCAACTACGCGCAAGCTGCTATGATGCTCTTGTGGCTCTTGATCTACTACCTCACCGTCGGACCAATCTGCTATGCCATTGTTGGCGAGACCTCGACAACTCGTCTCAGAAATAAGAGTGTCTGTCTTGCTCGAATCGCATACTATATCGCCAACATCACTTGCGGTACCGTCAACCCCTACCTCTTGAATAGCACTGCACTGAACTGGAAAGGCAAGACTGCGTTCTTCTGGGCTGGAACAACGCTGATTTTCTTTCTTTGGACTTTTCTCAGACTTCCCGAGTGCAAGGGACGCACCTATGAAGAGCTGGACGTGCTGTTTGCCAATAAGATCAAGACGCGGGAGTTCAAAAAATTCAACGTCAACGTGTATGCCGAAGACGGAGAGACTCTTGTCAAGCAAGAGTAGATAGACTACATGTATGTCCATTACTTAACGGCCAAGACAATTATGACATTATGACATGTTGAGCGAGTGTGCCCTTTATTTGCTTTTCTACAGGCAGCCGCTTTTGCTGGATGTCGATCAAAGTTCAATCCAACAACGATAGTACTGAGGAGCAGGTGCATCAGTCTCCTTCACCAGAAACTTGAACTCATGACATAATATAACAAGATTACTAGCTTGTGCTCTCTAAATACTGGATTTCAATATCGCAGCGGTTGAAAATAGTTTTTAGGTGCATTGATTGCCGTATAAACAAGCCTAGCTGTAGACGGAATTCAAGTTGTCCTCCTCTTGTAAGTAAAAGTGTCAAGAAAAGTGAGCCATGAAACAATGGGCCAAAGGAGAAGGGTGGGAATGTGATTCAGGAACCAATAAAGCCGAGACCATATTCAGAGACTATGCAGACACGCGGTCTCCACTTGTCGTGATTCTGGCAGTGTATAACCCTCTCCGTCCGTCACCTTTTTGCGCGGCGAACGCAAAGTGGCTATTATCGAAGGCAGCATCGGCTCCACCGGGACCTCTGAGCCCGTCGTATCCCGTTCCGAAAAGGGTTCCTTGCTTCGTGAAGCCCGATGTAGGTGACGAGCTTGTCGCGTACGCCACATCGTAATTCGTGGTGGTGAAGCAATTGGATGAGTAAAAGAGATAGTATGTATCACCAGAGTGTATCATACTGGGGCCCTCGACGAGCGGGCCATCCTCAGGAGAGTCATTGGTGATCAGCTCGAAAGTATCGCCAACTTTGGTCACGCCGTCGCTTTCAACCTGTTGAATGAGGATGGGCGTAGACACAATGGGCTCAACTGTATTGCCACATAACCCGCCCCCTCCGAGTGAATTGGCATCGATCTTGTATACGACGTATCGGGTTCCATCCGCATCGCGGAATCCTGATGCGTCAATGGCACCTCCTTGGTCGGCAGGACAGGCGAAGCTTTCTTCGGATGGAAAGTAGGGACCGTCGATAGTGTCACTGATCGCAGTACCGATGCAATGAGGAGCACTATCGTAGTAGGTGGGAGCGCTGAAATACAGGAGGAATCGACCGTCATCCTACTTTCTGTCAGAACACGAGAGACAGTCAAGATTCCAAGGCATGTACCAAATGATTGATGTCTGGAGCCCAGACATGGTTCTTGGAAGCGTCCACCCAGCTCGGAAGATTGGGTAGCATGTCGTTGGCAGGCTGAAGTGTCCATGTCTCAAAATCGGTTGACTTCGCGAATTGAATGTGGGTACTTGTGTAATCATAGAGCGATTGTCCAGCAAAGGCGTACCAGGTATCGCCGACCCTGAGGATTGAGGGATCGGGGAAATCCGTTGTGATATGAGGACCGGACTCGGATCGTTTATATATCAAGGGAGCTGTGAATGAAGGTTGCAGGAGAGCTATAGACGCCAGAACGAGCGATATCTTTGATAAGGGGGTCATGTCAGTTGTAGGATATGTATGGTAACAATGTAATTAAGGATATCGGTCGAATGATAGAAAGGCTGGATGATGAGGATGAATGAAGAGCAGAATCTAGGACCAAGCTGCAAGCCATTGAGTTCGAGGCAAGAGCGATGCATGCCAGTTTTGTTAGAGCAATACTTGACCCTTTCCACTAACATGACGACGAAGCATGCAATGGTATTGGATAACGAAGACAGCACATTTCAGCACGCAAAAGCTGAATCTTAGTGTATACGAAATGCAGCCTAAGTGCTGGAGCTAGATCTGCGCCCGGATCGCGATGCTGAAGAGCAAATTGTTGGGCGTCGAATCACCAAGCTTCAGTATGAGCTCGTGATGCTGATCCTATTGACCGAAGGTAGCATACGTGTAAGACGGAGTGGCTTGCTGTCGAGCTGAGCGAGCTGACATGTATCTTCGCCTGCTACAAGAAACTTATGGCATGGCGTCAAGCAGTGTGTCCATCGCGTGCTTAGCAAGCGCGTGAGGAGGTCACAATAACGAGAGACGATCTCTGCACATTCAGTTGATTGATATCGAGGGCCAAGGTTATGATTTGCATGATGTGACTTGGATCGACGTACACCGCCATAGCGCAAGCATGTTGCGACATTGATAGAGAATGGAGTGCAGTCTTGTGTATTTGTCCGCAGCTCGAGAGTTGAAAGGGCATGCCTGGAAGCCCCGCATTGATCGGGCCCGCTTCTTCGCGGCCTTCCTGCCGCGAGAGAAGCCGAATCGGCATATGACGCTGAGCAATTCAGCCTGTGTGTGACACGAGAGCTTGGATTGCCGACTTCTCGCTCGCTGCATCTCTCCCCGATAGCGTAACACCAGCTCGAGGACCATCACTGCACCCTGGATTTCGCCGAGCGAGCTTGCACAACATAGCCACCCGCCAACCGCGTACACACAGTCAATCATGGGCATCTTCAAGACCTTGTCAAAGGTTGCCGCCTACGGCACAGTAGCAGGAGCTGGAGGATGGGCAGTCTGGACAAGAAACTCCAACTTTGTGCCTTTGTCACCTTCCGACTATATTTACAACACAACCTTCTATGCTCGGAACAACCCTGAGAGAAACCCTGCAACCGCCGACTTGTGTGTACGCAAGGTACCGCTGAGCCAGATCAGGCCCGAATACCTTGAGAAGGAAGGAAAGCTGGTCGAGAAGTTCTGCGCCGGTGTTTGGGGTGGCCTTGGTGAGTAGACGTGCTCCAATGCTATCACGACTTGACTAATCTGGCTCTTCAGGATACGCCTACCAGCGCCAATACCTCGAGAAGAAGTACCGTGATGCCGACACCGAGTCTCAGTTGTGGGACACCAAGGCTCTCTTAGAATCCGAATACCCCGTTGGCACACAAATCACAGATCACTTTGAGGTGCTCACCAAGACAGCCGAGTCAATCATTGTTCGCTGCGGTGACTCGCCTCGCAAGATGGAAGTCAGACCCAGCGATGGACTGTTCGAGATGAGAGCAGAAATCAAGAAGGACGAGGGCGTTGCTGAATTCCAGCTGAAGAGTGTCTTTTACCAGGGCCTCGGCAAGGCGACTGGTAAGCCCATGCCTGCGCACATCGAGTTCCTGCACAGACAATATACAAAGTTGTGGATGGAGACTGCGATCGGCAATGTCACACGATGAGGAGTTTGGCAAGGAAATTCGGATGCTTCAATCGACAAGAGCAATGAAAACGACGTCATGTAATCAGAAAAGTAAAAGGGCATGTATTGCTGTGCATATGTTGGGTGTTCAGAGGTAGTGAGGTGATTATTTAATGTCTTGAGAAAGAGCGACTGGTTGAGCAATGAGCACGTGAAAGCGCAAACAGAAACGCGTCATAGGCCAAAGCTCTCGAAGGTTGTTGCCTCAGGTCTCGACACGCCTCTTCCTGCCTTCGAACCATGACTTGGCCATGAGTTGAGAATCTGTCTGCTTCCTAGACGACCAATGCGACTACCACAAACACAACTCCGCAGGCAGCATGGCGCAAGGCCGCCCCCGCCGAAAGAACCCCGTCTTGTCGTCCTCGGACGATGAAGACGACCCCGTTCCGACAATCCATGAAGAAGAGGCGCCTGCACACGCTGAGGCAACCGAGACCAAGCATGTTAGACCATCGCGATCCAAAGCCAAAGCTTTAACCTCGACCTCGATCTCGACCACGACCAACGTCGCCCATTCTCCCACCAAACCACGACAGACTCGTCAGCCCAAGAAATCGGCCATCGAAGCACAACCCAAACGTGCAAACAAGTCCATCTTCTCCTTCTTCAATCCCTCCGTGCAGCGCCAGCAGGCCTCATCTCAAGACTCGCCAAGTCCACCAGCCTCGGCCAACCCTGACTTGAAAGAACTGGATATTGAGGATGACATTTCAGCCGACGATGCTACACTGTCGCAACCATCCCAGATTGCTCAAACTATACGCAAGAGAAAATTGATCAAGGATGACACTGCTGATACCAACCGAGATGGCCTTCCTGCGCCCTCACAGAAGTTTCGCAAAGTCTCTGGAGGAACTAGACTTTCTACAAACTCGACTTCTCATTCGATCGACACTAGGCCGTGGACCCAACGCTTTGCTCCTGTCGACTTGTCCGAGCTTGCTGTGCACAAAAGAAAAGTTACAGATGTTCGCAATCTTTTAGATTCCGCTCTGTCCGATCGCCCAAGGCCGAGATTGATCATTTTGAAAGGTGCCGCCGGGACTGCCAAAACAACCACCGTCAACCTTCTGGCAAAAGAGATGGGCATTGACATAATGGAGTGGAAGAGTCCAGTAGGCACCGACGCTGCGAGCAGTGCTTTCACGTCGTATTCGAGCCAGTTTGAGGATTTTGTTTTCAGAAGCGGCAAATTTGCCGGTCTTGACCTGGTTCGTAGCGATGGTACAGCCCAGCCAGCTCTTGCTACCACCGACAATCAGTCCAAACAGATCATGCTTGTCGAGGAATTTCCCAATACTTTTTCCAAATCTTCTCCTGCTCTGCAGATTTTCAGGGACACCATTTTGCAATACCTCGCCGCCCCGGCATCATCGAATCCTACACCCATGGTTATGGTCATTTCAGAGGCCCTGCTCTCAACCACAACTGCATCCGCTGACAGTTTCACTGCTCATCGCTTGCTCGGTCCTGCAATTCTAAACCACCCACAGACAGCCTCGATCGAGTTCAACGATATCGCTCCCACAATTCTGACGAAAGCCTTGGACGCGATTGTGACAAAAGAATCTCGAAAGTCAGGCAGGCGTTTTGCACCTGGTCCTGGTGTGCTCAAGCACTTGGCCGAGACTGGTGACGTTCGAAGTGCGGTCTCCTCCCTCGAATTTTTGTGTCTTGCTGGCGATGACAGCGGCGCTTGGTCATCGAAGGTCGCTTTCACAAAGCCCAAAAGTCGTGTGGAGGCTTCTTTGACTAAACAAGAACAAGAAGCTCTGAAGCTGATTAGCAACCGTGAGAGCAGTCTTGGGATCTTCCATGCCGTTGGTAGGGTTGTGTACAACAAGCGTGTTAACCCCACTAGCCCTGTGCCTCAGCCTCCGACATATTTTCCACAACATCGAAAGCCGAAAGTACCAGAGCACGATCCTAACAGTCTGATTGATGAAGTTGGCACCGACACATCAACGTTCGTTGGAGCACTACAAGAGAATTATGCCTTGTCTTGTTCATCCTCATCGAGCGAAGATGCCTTGGACTCACTCAATGGCTGCATAGATGCTCTATCCGACTTTGACATGCTATCTTGCGATCGCTTTGGTTTCGGCACACGGATGTCTTCCGGTTCTGCCCAGGACAACCTTCGGCAAGATGACATTTCCTTTCAGACTGCCATTCGTGGTGTTTTGTTCTGGCTGCCAACTCCAGTTAACCGGCTAGCAGGCTTGCCACGAGGAGCCAAGCGCGGTGATGAGTTCAAAATGTTCTTTCCCTCGGCTTCCAAGTTGTGGAAGGAAAAGGAGGAATTTGAGAGCACATTAGAGCGTGTGACGACGACAATTCACGACTTGGCAACTGGCTCGAGTTCGGGTTTGACCTCCGCAAGCACAGAAGGTGTGGCCGCATGGAAGCGCCAACAGGCAACAGACGCAGCTCCAGACGGTGATGCAGATCTAGACTTCACAACTGCGCCTCTTTCGAACACCCTTTTGAGCTCCAGTGCAAAAACCGAGCTGCTGCTTGAGCGGCTACCCTACGCCTCACAGATATTGCCTCGCCAGAAGGACATACCGGCATACCTCATCTCTAAGATCAATAGCCTGACTCGTATCTCTGCCCAGAACTCTGCATCCGTTACTCTTGACGACGCAGCTCTGGATGCAGTAGAGGATAATGAAGTCGGTCTTCAGCAGTCGGAATGGACTGATCGTCCAGATGCAGAGTCTGCTATCACGAGAACAGGCAAGAAACAGGATAGCCACAAAGGTAAACCTGAGGGTGGTGGACTGCACATACCAGTGGAGCACGCAGTAGAGAAGCTTGTGCTCAGCGATGATGATATTGAGGATTGATGCCCGTTCGCATGACAACCTGAATATTCTGTACAAGACAATGGATTGATTTTCGCCAAGGGTATATGCTTTTCCTTGTTTGTGATGTCGTCTAATTCGAAGTGTGCATACATAAGCTTGATTCACAACCTCTGACTGTGTTCACTGCCGTTACATTCGTTGTCATTTTGTATTCACAAATTCATACCCAAGATAGAGCAGGTTACATAGCTACATGTCAAATTTGTAAGGAGCCAGATCATGTCGATTCTCAGGCGGTAGCTCTTCTCTTCATACCAACCCAGCATTCGAGCGGCTTCCTCAAGAAACCCTCTCTGGTCTCGAGTGTCTTTTGGTAGAGTTCAAAGTCATAGTTGTGGAAGACAGTCGCGACGATCAAGGCCAGTTCCATCTCTGCAACGTTGCGGCCAACACAGGCACGAGGGCCATAGCTGAATGGGATAAAGGCTGCTTTTTGACTGGTTGTGTGTTAGTATATATGATCGGTTGCAGAAGAGGACATGCAGAACTTACGCTTCAGTCACCTTCTCCCATCTCTCAGGCTTAAAGTCATCGGCATCGGGGCCCCAGATCTCCTTGCTATGGTGCATGGTATACGCAGGAACGCTGAGGACTGTTTCGGCAGGGAAATGCCTGCCGCAGACTTCTGCACCTCCTGCAGGGACTACACGGGGCAGGCCCAGGGAGGAAGTGCTGTGGATACGCATGGTCTCTTTGATGACAGCATCCATGTAAGGCAGATCGCGAACTTGTTCGAATACAGGGACTTCAGTGCCGGCAGGGATGGCGGCATCGAGTTCTTGTTGTAGCTTCTTGACTACACTGGGGTTTGCAAGACAGTGGTATAGAAGAGCGCATGAAGTGTTTGAAGTGGTGTCGCTGCCAGCAATGAGTTGGGTCAGTGCCTCGGCGGTCAATTCCTGACGGCCGAGCTTGTTGCCATGTTCATCTTTGCCTTCCATCAAGCGAGCCAGGAGGTCTACACGGTCGACGCTCTCGGCATTGTCCAGACGTTGCTTGACGCGTGCGACGGCGATACCGGCGAGGTTCTGGACAGCCTGAACACCTTTGGTGAAGAAAGGATCGGGGAGGTAAGCAGCATAGGGCTTGATCCAAGGCCAGCAGCCAATAGTGCCCGAAACCTCACCTCTGCGGTTCAGGACCTCAATGGCAGGAGCGTACTTGGGAGGAGCATCAGGCGACTCGCGGATCTCGGCAATGTCGGCCTCCTTCTCGAGCATGCCAAAGGGAGCACCGAAAGCCAAGTCTCCGATAATGTCGAAGGCAGTGTAGTTGAACCAGTTCAAGGCGTCCATCTTGGCGTAACCACCATTGGCCTGTTTGGCCATCTTGTTCCATTTCTCGACGAGCAACTCGAGGTTGTGGTGCATGTACTGTTCGAACTGGCCAATGCTCTTTGCGCTAAAGGTGTGGGAGACGGTCTTTCTCTTTCTGGTGTGCTCGGCTCGGTCGCGTGTGTTGAAGAGACCGCGTTGGATGCTGACAAAGGCGTCGTAGTACTCGCTCTTGAGGAAGCCAGTGCCGTGGCCGTAGACGATGGGGATGGCGTCCGGGTCTGCAATTGAGACGTGGTGGGGCTGGATGCGGACGAATTTGCCGTACGTCTTGTGTGCTTGGTCGACAGCGAGGTATCGTATACCTCGTCGGCATTGGTACATGAGCCATAGGTTGGTGAAGGCGGCGGGGAAGGGCGAGGGGATATCGCGAATGGACCAGTTTCGTAGGTATGGCAAGAGGTAGAAGAGGACTGGTATGGCCAAGAGGGCATACGGTGTGAAAAGGAGCTCAACTACACCCATTGTGACCGAGTACTGAGAGATCAATAGAGTAGGACAGGAGGTCAAGTCAGACTTGGCTGAGCTTGGGAAGGTACGGGAGACTCGTCTACTTATACCATTCGAAAGGTCAGCAGCAGACCGAGCGGCATCGTGTGACGCTCGACCACCATCTGCTACTTGAACCTTCTTGTTGCGGCGTGCATCCTTGGCGCTCTATCCTCAGCATCCGAACGGTCATCAACATCCACATCTCTCCACAAGATCCCCTCGTTTGCCCGGATCCTTTGTGCCGTCCAATACTTCTTCGGATGCTGCACCAGCAAAAAGACCACAACATGGTCCTCATTCTGCGGAGGAGTCGCGGGGTTTGTCTGATATCGGATGTGCCCCGTGCACTCGGCAGAGCAGGTACGCTTCTTCGGCTCCTACTCCACCAATCTCGACTTCCCTTTCTATACCACAAACACCGAGTTTCGGTCAATTCACCACCCCCTTACTCAAATCAACCTGAATTCTTCGATTCCATGCCGACAAGCCGATTCGTCTGTTATGTCATACCCTTACATGCTCTCGCCCAGATCTAGAAGACAACCTCCTTGTATCCTCTAGGCACCTCTCTCTTGTTGTGTCCTGTGCCCTTCCAGTTGTTCACCCCCCAGCTGCCAAAGCTCGGCGTCCATCCTCCGAATCCGCCGTGTCCCCACGCACCACGAGGTCCACTCCAGCTACCTTTCCAGTATGTGGCTCTGCCCTGCACCTCCAACACACTGACACTGAGGTTGGGAAGCTCAAACTTGAAAGTCCCATCAGCAGAGGCTGTAACAGTCGTGTTTGTCGATGTCACCACTTCTGCCTTGCCAGGAGCGTTGTAACTATCATGACTTGGTGCTGTCAAAACCGTCAACGTGGCAGTGGCGCCTGCCGAGACGCCCTTGAACGACACTGATACGGGTACATTGCTTGTAGCGTTGTACACGGCTGTCTTGAGCATGTGAGATCCTGTCTGGTTGTTGTAACCAGCCACATAGTAAGCAGGTCCAAAGTTGCCGCCACTCGTGGGCAAAGTCTCGGTCACGATGTGGTTAGCCATTAGCTGGAGCATGTGCCAAGAAGTCGACAAGACGTCTTTGGTCGGGTCTGCAGTGAAGCTGATCATGTCTGGAGTCCATTGGTAACTGTTCAGGTTTTGCAATGTTGGGGCGTACGAGGCGCCAATGATCATGTCCGAATTACGTTCGGCTCCGAGAAGGAAGACGGCTTCAGCAACACTGCCCTCCCACGATGGGAAGGCCAGTCTCTGTCGGTTTGAGTTCCAGTCTACTGCAGCCATACTGGCGTTGTTACTCTCAATAACGGCATATTCGCCTGTGTCTCCGTCAGTTTTATTCACTAATCTGTTTGGTACTCAACTTACCAATCAAGATAGGGTGGCTTCTATTGTAGTGATCGAACAGGCTGAATTCATGGACAAAGTTGTCGGGTCTGGAATACTCGTGGTAGTCGAGAGATATATGGTCAGGGATGGGGTCAACAGTAGTCGTTGACGCAATGATGGTGATATCGGGGTAGACTGCCTTGATAGCGCTGGTGAACATTGGGAGACGGTAAGCAGAGTAACTGGAGTTTCCGCCGCCAAGGTTGTCTTCGTTACCGATCTGTGAAGAACGTCAGCAACCATTTGCGCTGGAAGTGGAGCAAGAGATCATGAGAAAATGGGACTTGAGACTTACCTCAACGTAGTTGATCTGGAATGGCTGAGGATAACCCAAGGATGCTCTCAGTGCTCCATACTTAGTACTGGTCGAACCCATCAGAAATTCAAGCTCATCGAGGGCAAACTGGATCCAAGGTTCGAGTTGATCCTGTGGAGTCACTGGTCCGCCAAGGTAGAATCCATCCCAAACAGCAAGAACAGGCTCGAGTTCGAGATCTTCGCACCAGTGAAGGTACTCAATCAAACCCAATCCATCGGTGTTCTCGTAACCCCAGGTGCCGGGTCTGCCAGGTCTGTCCTTGAGAGGACCGATGGTCTCGTTCCACTTCCAGAGGTATGGTGGGGTGTCGCCCTCAAGATTGTTGCCTGCATATTGTCAGCTCTGTCTGGTTCCAATGCCTGATAGTCAGACTGACCTCCAGGGAAACGAAGGAATTTTCCGTTCAATGCCGCCAGTGCTTCGGCGATATCAACGCGCAGACCATTAGGTCTGTTCTTGTAGGTTGGAGGGAAAAGACTGATCAGATTAAAGTCAAGCGATCCACCAGAGACACCAGACTTGTCGAAAGTGAGGTAGAACGAATTGTTCGAGTTTGGTGCAGCAGAGGTAGGGGTGAAGGTGTAGTTGTGCTGGACCCACTCGGTGGGAGAAGCGTGCGATTGCACCTGTGCAGTAGCGAATGTCTCGTTGTTGATGTCAGACTTCAGAGATGCGGTGAATTTGCCATTGTAGGATCCTTTGACCCAGAAGGAGCCGGTATATTGTTGGACCTGAACGCCAATGCCCCAGTATCCACTGCAATGCGTCAGAACTGGGTTTGATAATACACAGACAGTATAAAGCCCTTACGTATTTGAAAAACCAACTTCGTTACTTGTGGCATTGGCAATGGCAACGTTCATAGAGGTAGGAAGAGCACTGGAAAGAGGCTGAGATAAGTTCTTCAGTGACAAAGATGTACCTCCAACAGAGTCGTAGGCCAGGAGAGTAGATGGGTGCTCAGTGCTGCCTTGGAATGCTCTGTTACGAATGAGTTCGGCATAGATTCCGCCATCACCTGAATAGTTAATGTCCTTTGGAAATTAGTCTATAGTCAGAAAACGATAGCATGCTGGGTTGGGATACCTCGAACATCAACCCATACTGAAGAGGAGATGTAGCATTACCACCACTAGCAGCGACTGAGAGATCCAACGCATTGGCTGTAGCAACAAAAGCCGCCAGAGTAACACCTGAGAGCAACATCTTTTTTTTTCGAAGATCGGTGCTTTTGACCGTGTTTTCAATTGATGGTTGTCCTTGCCTTCTTATACTACGCCAGGACATCTCTGCCGATCATCTCTTCGGCAACATTTCCAGATCAACAGGCAACATTTTGGTGATCGATTGTATATTATCCTAGAACTGCGCTGGCAACTCCATGTCCCTCTTTGCCCACAGTCACGTCTTGCATGGCCGGAGGGCCGTGCATGCATATACTCTGCATCTCCTGGTGGATTGCGGAAACTCTGATGATCTCTCCGTACTATTCATCCTGGAGAATACGAGCTCACAATTCATGAAGAAACGCCTTTTGTGAAGAATGATTTTTGATGATGTCAATGATTCTTCCTCTTGATATGCCTGATCCCTTGCCACATACACAGTCCACTTTGTAGGTAGCTGTGGTTTGTTAGCATGTATGGATGCATGGATGTGGATATTGCATACACCCCGCTGCGGGGACGAATGCGGGGGGAGTGTGTGTTGATTTTGATGGGTGACGAGTGATGTATCGACCGTCTTGGACAATTCTGTACGGGGCCGGTGGGTTACGACCTGCGTTCGACGATTCATGCACTCCTCCAAGCCAATGAGTAAAACTTTCTGGTGCCATGCCTTGGAGCCAGCTGAGTATGATGTAGGCATCTTCACATATTTAGCCTAAAGCTGTTTACCTTCGCGTGATAATCCAGAGTCGATCATGCACCCCTCTCAGGACCAGATCAACAAGCATGCGGGACGGATCAGCGTCGTGCTTGCTATTTCAGTTACGGAAGGTGCCACACACTCTCGGCCGTCAGAACTGGATAAACACAAGCATCAAGACGGCAATGGCCAACATCATCTGATTTTGTAGTGTTTAACATCAAGCTAGCTATGACATTCTATTCACAGCCTAAAAACGGTCGGGAACGGATCAGTGTTCTCTCTGTGATAGCCACTCTCTCCACTTTGGTGCGCATCTTCTTCTCCAAGTCTTTCCGTACATACTCATGGGAATTGCGGCGAGCATGGAGCAGAGAACGCACAGACCGAAGAACAGGAAGGCATATCCGTAGCCAGCTGCCTCAATGAAAGGCTGCACGCTATAACTAATGGCAAAATTGATGCAGGACGAGCAAATAGCAAGAACCACAACCAATTCTCCACCAATTCCTGGGAAGCATTCCATAGCGTATGTTGTCGCAATGGAACAAGCCGAAACCTGGTGAGCAATCATAGAGCCTACTCCAAAGGCGATTGTCATCCAGTGTGCTCCTGCTTGTGCTCCAAATCCGTACAAGAAGTATCCGACGGCGGCATAGACGAAGGAGAAGCACAAAGTCCAGAGACGCATTTCAGGCTCCTTCACACCGCCATTTTTACGTGAGAGATGAATCACAATTCGGTCCGACAGAACTCCTGTAAGCCAGCCTACAAAGTTGCCAACCAGCGCAGCAAGGAAGACAAGACCGGTAGAAGAGGTACTCCAGTTGTACGGCGGTTCCGTCAAGATCTCCGAGATTGTATTGAAAGACACGATGCCAGCTGTCGATGATAAGAATACATGTCAGGAAAATGATGAAATTTAACTTACCTGTGCAACCGAATGCAAAGATGCAACCAGAGATGACGACATTTGGGAACAAGAACAGAGAAAACGGCCGACGCAGATATTGGAAATATGTCGTCCTATCTTCTGGGAAATAAACCCAGAGCTTTAACTTCTGCGCATAAGTCCGGCGAGGAAAGTCGCGCTGCTGAGTATTGTGACTCTCGGACTGTATGGTAGTGACTCGATTGAGATCTTTCTTGATGGTATCCTTGTCGTCAGTAGTAGAGTCAACGGGGCTCGCTCGACCCTCAGTGACTGGAAGTACTCCTTGAATCTTTTCGAAGATGAACCTCGGGAATAGCGTCTCTTCAAAGGTGAACATCAGAAGGACCAAAACACCCGCGTCGATCATCGCGACACAATACTGAGTCCATCTTGAGAGCATGTTAGTAGGTGGACTCGTGGTATTGGAAACATACTTACCTCCAGCCAAGATTATCCGAAATGATACCACCAGTTATGAGACCAAGAATACTGCCCAACTGTTGACCGAACAGGTAGAAAGACAGCATCATTCCCCGCTCATGAGCAAAGAACATGTCAAATACCGACAGCTGGATCACAGCTTGGTAGGCACTTGTACCGACGCCGTTCAGGATGTTCGACAAGAACCATTGTGCGGTTCCATTGACACGTCCCTGCCATACACCAGCCAAACAACATATGAGCGTGGTAAACAGAAACACGGGTCTTCGCCCCATTTTGTTGGCCGTGCTGATCCACCAGATATTGCAGAGGCCAAGAAGCAGATAGTTCAGTGCGCTTCCACCGTTCATGTTCACCAGCGAAACGCCAGTATCCTCGGATACAGTTGTCCATGCTGCACCGAGAGTGTTCTCTCCGAATGAAAATGCGCACGCGTACAGCGCAAGCAAGAAGAGCTGATACCACTTCTTCCATCGAGACCATGTGAGGGGGTCCGAGCCGCATTCTGTCGGGCGTGGGATAAGGACAATATCGGATTCGCCTTGATGAATAGCATCAACGTCGTGATTCACTGCGAGGGTCTTAGGAATGCTTGTGTGTGGTATGTGTATGTATCCTACCGTCGACAAGCTGTTCAGTACCAGGTACTTCGAGATCATAGTCCTGGCTCGTCATGATGAACTTTCAAGATACTATTGAAATGAATCAACTGCAGTGTTGCATGTATTGTGGTCGAGGAGACGCTACGTCTTTATAGAGTAGCTAAAAGTGTCAATTGTCAATGAGTGTCGCATGTGCAACATCTCCCGTTCCATGTACATAGGCTCGTCGTACTGATGTTCCTCTGATAGAGGAACGTTAGTGCGGAGAAGGTGAAGGTACAAGCGAGGCCAATAGGAGGTGCAGCTGTTTGCGCGATAAGCTTTAGCCCCAGGATTCAACACGTCTTGCGCGATTAGGTATGGCTGGCTGATCATGTATCTGGGGTAGAGATAGGCCACATTCGATATCATGAACGCCAGCGAGACTGAAGGTACAGCCGACGTGTGCACTCAAAGGATTGAGCATGTATACATCGGCTTGTATCAGGGTCAATGGTAGTCGGAGGCTATCGCATCTTGATACCAACAAGATATAGCATTGCAGCTCCAGATAGCCAGACGAGTCTGGTCGGCAATCGAGACCTGCCTATTTTAGACAGCGATATGGTAGTAGACCTGGCTCCAATTTGGCGGTTCAACATCACAAGATTATCCGGATCAAACCGACTCACCGCTGTATCTCGTCCTCAAGCAAGGCTCAAGCCACCACACAGCGGAGCAATGTAGCGTTCCCAGTCATTCTGACCCTTTTCAAGTCCTTCCGCTTGCACGTCAGAGATCTCATCATGGCTCCTGATTAGCCATACTCTTTCGATGACAGATCTCGTCTTGGCTATGTTGGCAATGGCATTAGATCCGCCTAAGCGATCCAAAGCATACAGAACAAAAGGTCTAGCGTAGTTTGGCACCTCGTCAGGTAGATCTTGCCTTTCAGCCCACTCGAGGTCTTCCATAGGATCGAGCTCGACAGCGGCGACAAAAAGAGGCCAGCTCAAACCAGCAAGTACACCATGCTCGAGGAGGACTGAGACAAGACGGAGGATTTGTTGTACATGTCCAACAACAAGAGGCATCGCTGGAGTTGCACCATTGAGAGCACAATGCAGATAAAGCTCAGCTGCCAGTCTCTTCAGTTCAGCAGATAACTGTAGTAGATCATCTTCTTCGCCGAACACCCTCTGCCTTAGGCTACAGAGTCGGCGCTCTAACGATGCTGCCTGGTACTGGAAGTCAGGTAGAAGACATATGCCTGGCTTTGATCGATGTTGGCGACTCAACTCAGTGATCTGGCACAAGATGGAAACAAGGCCAGCAGAGCAGCCAAGCCAGGCATCAGTTTCTTCGCCGTGTGATGTCCAAAAGTCACTGCCGAAAATTGGCTCCTCGCCACATGCCGTTCGTCCAATGACATCCTGAAAAGCGAAATACTTCTCAGAGAATTCGACAAGCTCATTGGACGATTGTCCGGCTTTTAGATAGAGTTGAGCATTTCTTCTGACTCGGATCAAATCTCGAGCTCCTTTCAAGTGGACGACCCAGCGTTTGTCGCACTCGTTAATGATCTCGTACTGACATAGGATCATCATGATGACCAGTGTTTCAGGATCCATGGCAACTTTCAAGGGGTCTTCAGTACCAAGTCTTCCACGCAACGTGCGAAGAACATTGTCTCCCAGTCTCAGTGAGGTTGAACGAAAAGCGATGTCCTTCTTTGATCTATGGCAGGCCGCGAGAGCAAGCAGAGCGTCCAAGACAGCAGGAGAAGACGTGATGGAAAATGGAAGAATGAGATTGGCAAATGGTGATTTGTTGACAGAACTCGGAACGGTGATTGGGCATATTCTTTCCAGGTAATAAGAAAGTAAATTTGAGTGCATCGGGCTAGGGAGATCAGGCAGCATCGGCAAGGCAGAAGGTATAGAGTGCTGACGAGGTAGAAAGGCAGGCTGTCTTGCAGAGAGCCATGGTGACAATGAAGCAGTACTCAAGGTGTCGTCCCTATCCTGGGTTCGAACGACATCCAAGACTGGCGTAGCTTCCAATGCAAGATTTTCCAAAGTGGTAAGCTGTTCGACGTTTCCTACCGTAGCATTGACGAAGCTGTACGAAGTAATCAGAGGAATTTGAATCCATGATACTTCATCCTCTGTGACATGGATACAAGGTGAAGAAGCATCTGCTTTCTCGGCAGCCTTCTTGCTCCACAAGCCAGCTCTACCAAATGCTCGTCCAGCACTGGCATAGTCTTGCTCCCACTTGAGCTTGATGCTAGTCTCGCAATCAAAACCTTTGGCACGACATTGGCCGCAGACGGGTTTCTGCTCGTCACAACGAACTTTGCGAGCGCGACATTTGTTGCAACCAGTTCTGTTGCGTTTTCGTGGTGGCTCTTGAGGATTCACGCGTTTGCGGGGCATCGCTGGTTTCTGAACTAGAGAAGGTGGGCCTCAAACATGATGGTGCCGCATTCGGTAGGACGATAGGGCGATTGTAATTCCAAGGAAGGTCCAAGTCAGGCTTTGTCTTGTGATGACTGGGGAAAGTTGGGGCAAGATAGGCGGTTGCGTGGCCGAGGGAAGCGCGAGTCACGCCGCTGCCAAGCGCTGGCTTGGACCTTCCCCTTCTCGAGACTTCCCCGCCCTCTCTTTTAGGTCAGCTCGATACCATTGTGTTTTTCGTCAAATCATTATTGTAGGTAGGTGCAGCGTATGATCTGGTAGGTTCCTTCTCGTTTGAATCAGTTGAGCCCCTTGACGTTTCTCTCTTCCTCCGAAGTATCTTCACACAATGTCTAGTCCGCTTTCCTTGAGTTCGACCGTCTTGATCGTCGGTGCAGGGACTTGGGGAGTTTCTACGGCTTTGCACCTGAAAAGGTCTGGTTGGTTCTCTGCCTACCTTGCATCTCATTCACGATGGATAGGTATTGACGTGCTTTTAGACGAGGATACAAGCACGTCACCCTTCTCGACCCCTACCCTGTACCGTCTCCCATATCCGCTGGCAACGATGTCAACAAGATTCTCGAGCTGGGCACTTTTGCTGCTGGCGCCGACTCGGACGAACGTTTCGTCGCAAACACCTTGATCAATGAAGCAACTAGAGGATGGCTCGAAGATCCTGTATTCAGGCCTTACTTTCACGAGACTGGCTGCATCATCGCTGCTACTTCAGAGGCCGGACGTGCTCACATGAACTCTGCCAGCGGTCCAAGTGAGGATGCAGGATGGCTACCCCTCAAGACGAAAGAAGATTTTCATGCAACTATGCCCAAAGGTGTTCTCACCGGAGACTTTCCTGGCTGGGAGGGCTGGTGGATGAAGAAAGGCTCTGGATGGATACACGCCAGAAAGTCTATGGAGAGTGCGGCCAGAGAAGCAGAACGTCTGGGAGCAGTCTTTGTAACTGGAGACGAAAAGGGCAAGGTCGAGAGCCTCATCTTCGAGGACGGTGATGTAAAAGGAGCTAAGACACAAGATGGGGTCGAACACAGAGCAGACCGTACCATACTTTGTGCCGGTGCAAACGCAGGAATCATCTTTGACATGAAGGACCAACTGCGACCCACAGCCTGGACTCTAGCCCATATCAAGATGACAAAGGAGGAGTTACAGCTGTACAAGAATCTGCCAGTCCTGTTCAACATCGAACGAGGTTTCTTTATGGAGCCCGACGAGGACAAGGGTGAGCTAAAGATGTGCGATGAACATCCCGGCTACTGTAACTGGACGGTTGATCCACAGAAGTAAGCCTTCACCGTCGCTAGCAATCTAGGAAGCTGACCTTTGCAGCTCTCAACGATCCAGTGTGCCTTTCGCAAAGCATCAGATCCCAAAAGAGGCAGAAGAAAGAGCTCGAGGCTTCCTTCGCGAGACGATGCCACATCTTGCTGATAGACCATTTAGCTTTGCACGTATCTGTTGGTGTGCAGATACTCCCAACCGTGCCTTTTTGATCTCTAAACATCCTGAGTATCCCAGCCTTGTGCTTGGATGTGGTGCCTCAGGTCATGGCTTCTGTCACATCCCAGTCATCGGTGGATTGTGAGTGCTTTCATACCGGCTGACTATGACGATGGCGTAGCTGACCCTATACATAGTATCACAGATGCCATGGAGGACAAACTAGAACCTCGTATGAAGCATAGCTTCCGTTGGCGTCCAGAGACGGCCGTAAATCGCAAATGGTACGTAGACCGAAGGTACAAACACCACAACTAGTACTGGCGTCTGTTCCAGCCTGCAGGAGCAGTCTCTGGAATGTGTCTTTCAATGAAACGCCATCCGGGACGGCGTCTCGTAGAGCTGAGGACATTCGTTCTGCTAAGTGTGGTGTTCTTATAACCAACATTTGATATCTTGCTAACTGCACCTTTGCTTCAAGGGATGATTTGCAAGATAGATTTGGGCCTGAAGGATCGAACAGGATGATGAACTTCGGAGACATCGTAGAATGGACGAATATTCAACCCGAGATAGCGGAAGCCAGGCTCTAGGCTCTCAGTTGGTCTACTCGATCATGATCCTATGCAATTTTATAGCCACGTGATAGATTAACATACATGGCTGAGATGAGAACTAGACGACCGCAATTCGAACAGACAACATAATTTGGAACTGACGACTATAGATTATACTAAGAGAAGCATGTACCTCATCCAATCGAGTGAGACCCTCGCTCATTCATCCATAATGTCTACTGCAAAGCACATCTATACTACTGCAAAGTGACCTCGCATTTGTGTCCCTTGGGCACAATGACAAAGTAATTCTCCAGATCCATACAATCTGCAGGCATACTCGGAGCAATACGCATCCCTTTACACTCGCGGAAGAGGAAGGCAGTAGCATATCTCAATTCCATCCATGCGAGGTTGATGCCGAGACAGCTGTAGGCACCTGCACCAAACGCACAGAATGTGCTCTTTGCTGCTGCACTCTGCTCCTTGCCCTCAAACCACCGAGAGGGGTCAAATCTAGGATGATCGTTAGCGAGCTACTATTGAATAGTGAATCGTAACACCTACTCTTGGGCGTTTGGCCAGAGGTTCTCATCTCTGTGCATGGTGTATGCTTGGGTGCTGACTGTGGTGCCGGAAGGAACAAAGTATCCGTCGAGTGTTACGCCGCCCTCAGGCACTACTCGAGGCAGACTACCTGGCACGGCACAGTACAATCGCAGTGTCTCGTTGATGACTGCATTGAGAAGGGGCAACTTCTCAAGGTCTGCATCAGTGAAGTCGTCACTCAGTTTGGCGACTTCCTCCTCTAGGGATGCGCGAAGCTGAGGTCGACAAAGAACTGCCCAAGAAAGGAAAGTCATGGTGTTGGCAGTCGTGCCTGAACCAGCAAAGATCAACGAGGTCGACTCGGTTCGAACATCCATATCGTCGACGTGTGCTTCACCTTTTTCGGCTTCAGCCATGATGGTCGCCATCAGATTCGAGTCTTGGCCGCCCTTCCGGGCATTCTCGACAGCTTTGGTGCCGTAGCCGAGAATGTATGAGCTCGAGTTGAAAGCCTCTTTGAGGGGCTTGAAAGGTATGCGGCTTCCGATGGCTCGGAGCCAAGGCATCTCAGCGCCAATTCCGTTGCCAATAAGGGCGGCTTCAAGCACTCGAATATATTCGGTTCTCTGAACAACATATCAGTATGCTAAAGATACTTTTGCTCGACGTTTGACTTACCTTGCCAAGCTCGAGCATACCAAACGATTCGCCAAAGCCAAGGACACCAACGATGTCTGTAGCCATGAATGTCCACCATTTGAGCAAATCCGCAACACCAGTTTGGGCATCGACCTTGATCTTCTCAACAGCAAGGAATGTCTTCTGGCGGACGGTGGGCTCCCAGTGTTCTCTAAGGTATGACTTGCTAAAACCACGAGCAAAGAGCTTCCTACGCTGACCGTGTTCGCGAGGGTTGCGCATAGTGAAGACGCTCAGACGCGGGAAGTTGGTCAGCTTTTCATACCATATGTCCTTGGTGAACTTGGACGAGACAGCATGAATTTGCTTGAATGCGGCTGGGTCTGCAACGGCAACCTCGTTTGGCGAAATACGCACAATGGGGCCATACTTCTTGTGTAGGTCATCGATGTAGAAGATGCGACGTCCTCCGGTAACAGCGAACTTCAGCTGCAAATTGGTATAGCGACTAATCCATGGACCTGGTACATTCTTTAATGGTGATGTTAACGAGATATACAAAGTCTGTCGTTGTTGGTTTGTTAGCAAACGTCCATGTCGCGTGTCCAACATAAATAACAATACCTGTACAATCCAAACCAAAATGGTTATACCGAATCCGAGCAGGATGAGTGAGCCTGACAGAGCAATCATGTTTGAACAGCTGGTGGAGATCAAATGAGACTCGCCTGAGGGAGGGACAGCACAGGACTACTTATCATGCACCTTCAGTTACCTCGTAACCTCGTAACTCACCCTCGCAGCTGTTGGCCACGAGATTCGATTGCCGAGCTATTCGCATTGATATCATCCTTGCGAGTAAGGAACCGAGGACCTGCATCACATCGCTACAACACGCATATATGAAAGCTAAATCCATGAAAGTCCGTAGATAGAGTATGAAAGTACCAGATTATGTAGCACGCGACTCGATTCGTAAAGAGCAAGTTGTCGGAAGTGCACGGCATGAGAAAGATCCGTGATGATCTGCATTCATTATCGTATGCAAGTAGCATGGTACACACTAAGGTGCAGGATGGTTGACAAAGGTGCTGAGAAAACGGTATAACCTTCGGACATTCGTGGGGGAATTGCGAGATAGGCGTTATACGAGGGTGAGGTGTCGACGATAGATCAGCTGGGAGGACGAGAGACTATTCAGAAATAATCCGACTGACACCCATGTCATTGGTCGTTAAGCTTCTGGTCAAGCACTTCGAGCGGGAAGTATAGTGGTTGGAAATCTCCCATAGGACAGAGAACCAACTAGGGTTTTGATATGACGACCAGAACAGGATGTAGCCCAGAGTTATCCGAGCATAATTCTAACCGCCTGTAGTTGTACAGCTGTACGCGTGTTGTCATCAGCTGTGACCTAGCAGAGGACGTAGATCATCCTTGTCGCGCGGACCGAGGTTGAGCAGCAGCAGCAGAAGCCTTGACAGAAGCGACCTGCAAGCTGAATACGAGCCTAAGCAATCGCTAATAACATGGTCTCGTGAGGAGAAGGTCTTTTGCATTTATCTAAGATGCCCAGGGCAGTGATCTTGCACCGCAGGTCTGCAAGCCGATAATGCAACATGAGGGGTTGTGGTTGCTCAGCTTGGTCGCGTTCGGCTGAAGTTTCCATTGACCGCCGAGCGACTTCCCTTGCCTTCTACCCTCGATGGCAAGCTTCTGGATGACATTGCAACCTCATTTTCCAGGAGTTCGGCTCTCCGCAGCAAACATGGGTTGCCCTAGGAGCAGAAGCAATCGTCACAACAAGCGTGTGATGTGTCAGCGATGAGATCCCTTGTCTAGACGTATAGCCGGACACGAATACGGTCAGCAACGATGGAGACACAATGTGCGGAATCTCCTTGGTGATGGAAACCCATAGCCTTTTAGAGCAAGTCATTTTGTGCATGGACGATGCTGAAGCTCAGCCCGTCGTTCCTGCCACTGAACGCAATGGAAGTTGAGCTGTTGTGACGGAAGGCACCACCTTCATCAGCTCATGCCGAAGAACCTGCGCTGGATTATATACTCATGCCTACGCTCACAGCCTCTGTCTAAGAACATACCATCTTCATCCAGCATCACTAAGCCCTGTTGAATCATTCACCATAAATACCAAGCACATCCAGAATGGCCGGACCCAGCCCAATCTCACCTCATGGCGCTCTTGGACCCATGTAAGGCGAGATGCTGCCCCGATAGATTGCATTGCACTAACTCGGCAGTCGTCAAAATGCCGGTCTCTTGTCCTTCCTTGCCGTTACCGGGGGACTCCTGTGGGTACTCAGATCCCGGTCCATGGCTCGCAAACCACTCGAAGAAAAACAGAAGAAGGCGGAAGAAGTCATCGACCGCCATCCCGACTTGACCATGGGACGAAGCAAATCAGAAAGAAATCCGTACACACGTTGATGAAGCTTGTTCAAACACCTAAGCCGGCGAGACGATCCTAACAACCTCTTGACACTCCTGAAACCGGGCATGGACTGGACAGACGACTTCTATAAGTAAAAGCATTAAGTTGATATAGAATAAAGTGGCTGCAGAGAAAGCATCAAAACAACCACCGTGGACTTCGTAGAAACATAAATTATGTCATGACTCGCTCCCCATAGCTCCGAGCCCATTGTAACCATCAGTACCCATGCTTTGCTGCAGCTCTCTAAACAAGATGTAGTGCAAAATGAAACCCAGCCCAGTAACGCCTCACCCAAGATTTCTATAACGAGATGCCGACACCTCATGACTCTTGCTTGAGACCATGTTTTTCGTAGTCCTTTGTGAGCATCTGATCTCTGGCCTCGAAATAGCCTTCCATTCTCCAGCGCCAACTCTCCATATAGGGCTTGAGGTCCGTGACCTCGGGCGACCACCACTTTTCGTGCAGACTCTTAACTCCGCCAAGAAGGTCATCAACCTTGGGATAGTGAATGTTCCATTCATTGCCAAGCTGAGTCCAAGGCATGTTGCCATTCTTGCGGTGTGCATAGTTCAGCAGGTTTTGCTCTGGGAATTGAGGATCGAAGCGGCCGTCTAGCTTGAGCAGTGACATGTAGTAGTCGAAGACTTCGCTCGAAGGCTTGAAAACGAAGAAACCAGCGTTGAGGTAAGCGATGTTGGGGAAGTCGTGGTGCTCATCGGTAGGAGGATAACCATGGTCACGGTTCATCTCAGGCACGCCAGCAAAGTTGTACTCGAGAGGCAAAACTCCTTCGTCCGACTTTATAGCAGCGGGTTGGGTCAAGGTGCCGCGAGTCTCAACGGCCGGATCGGCAAAGATGCCGTCAAGAGGCTCGACCAGAACAGTATCGCCGTCGAGGAAACAGATGCGCTCGAACTGAGTCAACTCCCACAAGCGCAGCTTGGTCATGACGTCCTGCCACGTGCTTGTTTCGGTCTTGACCCAGTCGGCCTTGATAAAGTCTGCCAGAACAACGACCGCACCATCCTTGCGCAATCTCTGTCTTTTTGCTTCCGACACATTCTCAGTGACCAAGACAACAAAGGGGATGGATCCGTCGCGGGATGAGGTCTCTGGTGCGTGTAACAGTTGATATGCGAGGAGGCGTGTAGCAATGAAGTAGTGGTCTTGTTCCCAATTCTCTTCTTGATTGGCTTCTCCAGCGAGGAAGGTCGCAAAGGCGTATTTGGATTTCACCTGGTCGAGTTCGGTAGGATGCCAGTTGTCGTGCGACAGTGACGGAGGCAAGACATCCTTGGCCGTGTCTGTGATGGTCTGGATGACGGCATCGCGATGTTCGTCGTACGTACGCGGGAGAGGAGTGAAGAAGACGGACAGAAAGACGGTGATTGTGATGAGCGGGATCCAGAAAGTCTTTGTATTGCGAAAGGTCGGAGTGCGGCGGAATTGGGGAAGAGGCGACGGCGGAGGGAGTAGATGTTCTTGGGCCATGTTGGCTGCTATGCGGAGCAGGTCGAGAATGCGAAAGTACCGATTTGGCTGCCGCAGCAGGCTCCTTAAGATACTTGAGCGAATGTGGTTGAACGAGCGTCGGGTCGATAAACGAGTGTCGAGTTTGGAATGCGAGGGAAACAGAGATTATTATGGCTTGTTGCAAGGAAATTGACCAACGGCGAAAAAAAGGGACAAGGTTGCAGAGGGATCAAATTATGACATAGCGGCCAGAGTACATACGAGCGTTGGCTGTCTCAATCCTCGATACGATCGCCAATACTAAACCAAAGGCAGCCTCTCAATCTCGAGTCTTGATTGCGCAAGGCGTTGGGGCGCTCGTTAGCACTGCCGATAAGGAAAGGTCACAGATGCCAGCCTGCCAGGAGTTAGCTGCCAAGCTGATATACGGGCTACACAGAGCCCTCCTTGCTGATTGCGACTCCTTCAGCGGTACGTTTCCAGCTGAGGTATCGTCAAAGGGTCACAATACGGGAGTTGGGGAAGAAGGTGGGTGTGCATGAACTGTCCCTGGCTGACTCCACCATCCTTCCAAGTTCCATCACCGAGTGTGCCGGTGCAGCATCGCGCAGTCTGCTTGTAATTGTGACAACTTGCAGTTTCATTGCATGCTACACATTGCTTCCTGATGAAAAGACTACTTCGATTTGTTATGATTGTTCAGAGAAACGAGTTTGAAAGCTGTCAAACGTTCGATCTCCCCCTCTGACATGTGCGCCTCGCATGGTTGTTGTTGTCTCGAACGCCACCGCCAAAAGGTCCTTCTGTTCAGCTCTTGGCACCGCCATCGAACCTTATACTTCTTTGACTTTGCTTTCCATTTCTATACATAGATATGGGCATCTGGTTGAGGCTGTGGAGCTTTCAGATGAGTTCACAGCTTGTTCCTCGAGTATTACCATCGTCAGATCAAGAGATGAAGGTGCTTGAACTCACTATTGTACAACGACAAACACTGCTTGAGCTTGTTCTAGGCAATGTCAGCAAGTCAGTCGGTGGCAGGAATCCTCCCGCCGTGCAATATGATATCCTCTCATCGTGCGCTGTCGGAATTCTGACAAACACTATCGCGACTCAGCCTCTGATATTCCTAACACTTGCTTACAAATGGAGTTCTCGTCGGAGCTGTAGAAGAGCCATGTTGTCGCTGATGACTATACATGATGCTTCGCATCGGAAGGATTGATATCTCCGCGTCTCCCGTGACGCGAAGGCTTGCAGACTGTATGCAGATCACCAGCTCCAGTCGCAAGCATAAAAGGTGCGCAGTCACCGCTCGCTCTCAATACTAACAATACAGCCATCACATCTACAGCATCAGTCACAATGTCCGGATCAGGGATCAAGACCGTGTTTGGCGGAGCTACTGTCGGCCGCAGCTTCAAGACTGCCGAAGACTGCCGCGATGTTTTTAAGATCCTCAAAGCTCATGGTGTCGACACAGTAGACACTGCTCAGCTTTACGGCGAGTCTGAGAAGATTCTCGGACAGGCACAGGCTGGCGAGCAATTCATCATCGACACCAAGACTCCCGGAGGCTTTGCTCCACAGAACAATACCCCAGACCTAATCATCAAGAACGGCCACGAAAGCTCGAAGATATTGGGACCCATCGATATCTTCTACATCCATTCCCCTTCCCAGAGTGAGCCCAATGCTGAGGTCCTTCAAGCCGTCAACGAACTCCACAAAGCCGGTATCTTCAAGAGATTCGGTCTCTCCAACTTCTTGGCCAACGATGTTGAGGCTGTGTACGAATACTGCGAGAAGAACGGCCTTGTCAAGCCGTCTGTCTACCAAGGCAACTACTCGCCCGTCGCTCGTCGCCAGGATACTGAGCTTTTGCCCACCCTCCGCAAACTGGGCATCTCCTTCTACGCTTACAGTCCATTGGCTGGTGGTTTCCTGACCAAGACAAAGCAAGAAGTCCTTGATGGCAAAGGCAGATTCGGCATGGAGATGATCGGCGCGCTCTACACCAACATGTACGCCAAACCTCAACTTCTGGACTCTCTCGTAGAATGGGAGAAGATCGCCAATGAGGCAGGTGTTTCACGCGCCGAACTAGCTTACCGCTGGGTCAAATACAACTCCGCCTTGAAACCTGAACACGGCGACGGACTCATCGTTGGTTCAAGCAGTCTCGAGCAATTGGAACAGACTCTGGAAGGTTTAAGTCATGGCCCTTTGCCTGCTGAGGTTGTCGCGAAAATTGACGCCAACTGGGAAAAAATTCGAGAATTCGCACCACTGGACAACGCTGATGGCATGAGGAAGGCCCAGACGGCTTAGTGCAGGCCAAGTTGAGTCACGCTATGTAGTTCCTACTCACATTACTTCCACATTCAGAGGAGGCCAGACTATTCGTAGCGCCATGTGCTGTTACGACCTTTCGTGATTGAAAAATGGAAGCAGAGGAGTTATACTTTCTTAGTCATAGGTTCAAGAACAGTTCTATGCTCCAAATCATCATGGGGAGTCTAAGAGAAGATCTGAATCATGCATAGGAATGTACTCCAGGAAGATGGCTGCTGCAAGATGGACACTGTGAGACAGGGCCCGCAGGGCAAGATGGAGTATGATTCAAAAAGAAAAAAAAAAAATTGTGAGACAGGGTTGGCCCACCGACAACCTCTTTCGTGACCATTGGAGCTACGTGTGCCTTGATCAGCCTTTGAAACTCGATCTCTCGATCTCTTGTGTACTCTCTGTGTTTCTCTGATGACGTGCCTTGATCTCGAGTGCTGCCGACGACGCAACAGATCACACATACCATATACGACTTCATATCAGACTGAAGGAGCTTGCAGTGACCATACTACGTAAACAATGTGGAATGTCGACTACGGGTAGAACAAATCCTCCAGCTCAACTTTGGTATAGGCTGCATGGTCATCTTTCTCCTACAAGTGCTAAGGATTAAATTATCGATCCAATTTTCTCCTGTGGTATCACTCGCAATGGCGATTTACATCGATTTAGCTATTCGAGATAAAGCTTAAGCACAACGGGGAAGTACACGTAAGTCGTAGTCAATGAGAACAGGATAAAATGGAAGAAAGATTGGCAAGACAGTTTTATTTTAGAAGCCATTGTTCTATGACAAGTCCTCTCTAACGAGGACTCACATGCCGACATCTAAATAGCCTCGACCAGGGCAGCCAGTACAATGCAGACAAGCAAAAACAAGAGGTGGTATCGTGCCCATTGCTAAAATCAGAAACGCCATGATGCTGTAAGAGAAAAAAATGCGTCCTCGCTCGCTTTCTGTGAACAGCCCTAAAACGCCGGGTTGGATGCGAGTGTGTGATGCAATGCATAAGCCATGACAAGAATAAAGAAAGAAGGGGAGTATAAGATTGACCATGAGTAGGCATCTTGAATATGGTACAGAAGAATCGAAAGTACTGCAATCAGGCATCTACCTCGGCCAACGACTGAGTTCCTAGACTCTGTTGTAGAAGGGCGGTGGAGGTAGATGATGCTGTTGGGTTTGCGAATACCACTGGTTGGCGGACGAAGGATGATCGAACCACTGGCTTTCGATGTAAGGCAGACGACCTTGTTGACGCTCCTGAGGACGTCCGAGTGGCTGATAATGCATTTGCTCGTGCTGCACATTCTGAGGCTGTTGCATGGCCCGAGAAGGTGGCGGAACAAGCAGAGTCGATACACCACGAACCGGGCGATACGGGCTATTACGTTGAGCCAGGAAGAAGGATGGTGACAACTGAGAGACATGAGTCTGGCCTGCAGCTTGGAAATGACCGTCGGTGGGAGAAGCGGCGGCGGAAGTGGGGAAAGGGCTTTGATGTCTGGATTGGATGACAGATTGGGGCACCGAAGCCATGGCAGCTGGTGTGGAAGCGTGCGAGACAGCAGGTGGGATAGCGGTTGCCGGAGTCCACGAAGTAGGAGGCTGGGTTACCTGACTGACGGGACGCTGCGAATAATTGAGTGGAGGCAGCTGAGGAAGTTGAAGCGGCATGTGCTGCGAAGACTGAGATTGAGGTTGCGGGAGTGCAAGGCTTGGCAGCGTGACCCTTGGAACAAATTGAGACTGGTTCTGAGCAGGTGGAGGGTATGCCGGGGCGGCTCGCTTGGCTGGTGGCTCAGTGTAGCTGTCGAGGCTTCTCTTCCGTGAGACCTGAGAGGACAGATCGGGAAGCGGGCCAAGAGAGGAGGGGTACTGAGGGAAAGATTGAGTGACGGGGTTAGTGGCACCATAGTAGGGAGGCGAGGCGTGGTTTGAGGTCGGCGGCGAAGGAAGGGTATGTGGTAGTTGAGGCATGGGTCTCGAAGCGCGGTCGAAGAAACTGGCAAAGCGGCCCAGCCTGGTCTGCCATTGTGCCCACTCCTCGGCTGAGGTAAACAGAGCATATTTCATGTTGCTCAAGAACTCAACTTCCATGATGTGTACTTCAGCCACCGAAATGCCCGAAACCTCGGCCCATGTCTTGTTTGTGTATGTGTTATCGTCCAAAAACTTGTTGCCGAGCATGAGTGCCACGGTGAGCAGACGGTACTCGCTGCCAGGCTTTCCTTTGACACTCGGATTGAGCTTCTTCAAGCGGTACACGAACAGGAGAGCGAGGATGATGACATTCTGTGTCACCTGGGTCGTCGAGAGAATGGTCGTCACCCACTTGCGGAAGCCTGTTGTGGGAATTGCCTCGGGTACCAGTGAATGCACGTTGTACGTCGTTGCAGGGTCATCAGCCCGGTCTAGTGTGCTAGAGCTCTCGAACCAGAACAAACATGTGATCTGATCTTGGTCAGTGGCCATGCTGAAACGCCCAAGTAACAAATATTCACTGACCTGTGCTGCCAACTCAGCAATACTCCCTTGGGTGTTGTTTACTGATCGTGGGATCTGGAGCGAGGGAGCGATCGCGCTCATGTGAGAATCCCGCTTCTGGTTCGGGGGGTCGATGAAGTGTACAGGGTGCGGTTGATAGACAGGACTCGGTGGTCTTGCAGCGCTGACATCAGGCTTCGGTAGGTGTACTTGGTTTTGGCTCTGACTTTGATTGTGGTCGTAGGTTGTTGGTTGATCGTATCTGCGATGTTCGTACTTGATGGGAGCAACAGATGATCTCTCTCCATAGTAGCTGTTGTGCTGAGGCTGCACATGGGCAGCAACACTATGCATGTCCGGTGGCGGTGTAAGAGGGCTCGTTGAAGGATATGGGACTTTAGCTGATCCAGTAGGAGAGCGAAGGAACTTGTGATGTGAATGGTCCAGGGATTGAGATGTCGAGGCCGAAGAGTCGACAAAAGGGTTGCGGAAATGAATGCCTGGCGGCGGATACATGGACAGCATGAGGCAGACGCAGAGGTGTGATGGAGATGAGAGAATTCGTGTTAGTTGGAGGGCAAGAGCAAGATCAGGACGAGCCAAAGAATTATTGCATGGCCCAGGGTTGCGTGAGAAAACAACAGGGCACGGTCAAGGCTCGTGCTATCCAGGTGGGGGAGGTGTGGAGAGTCAAGCAAGGAGGTTGAGTGCGAGATGAGATGTGAGAGAAGGTGAGGTCAGGTATGTAGACGGCAGGCAGTAGAGTAAGTTGGGATAGAACAGGCAGAAGGTATGACAGCAACGATGGACGGCAGATCTGGCACCAAGACGAAGGCAAGTCTGACCAAGCAAGCCAAAGGTTATTCCATGATGGTTATGACACTGCGGAGTTGGTGGAGGCCAGCTCGTCAAGCACCACCAGCAGCACAGGGTACATAACGGATGCACGCAGGCAGCCAGCAATAACGAAGAGCCTTCCGATGATCATGGCGGGAAGCCCGGCGGCGCTGGCAAACCACAACGTTCATGAGGATTGCCCGGCGTGAAGTGTGAATCAGTGGTCGGTAGGTTCCAGACATGGACCCAAGACCTTGACCGCAAAGAGGCGCAGATGCGAAAGGGAAAAAGAGGGTCAGTCAGGCCAAAACGTTGACATCAATCGCGGTCCAAGCACTGCTAGCTCGCCCGATGCTGGATTATTGGCCAGCAATTCATCAAGCCAAAGTTGCTGGGCTCGCCGGCTGCGTGCCCTCCGATCCCAGGGCAGTCCGCATTAGGCCGTCTATACCTAACTACTGTATCATCGTCGTGTCTCGTCAAAGGTGCGCACACACGCGCCCGCGTAGCTTGCGTAGCTTGCGTAGCTCGTACTGTAGTCTGTAGCCCCTGGGATGCTGAGAGATTACCATATCCATGACCCATCATCCTTAAGCCCGTCCGGCCCGATCAACACGAAGACGAGCAGGAGTCAAGATTGTGATACGATGCCACCGTCAATCATCACACACCCTTGCCGGAGTTGCTGTCGCTTGCTGCTGCTGCGATGCGCGCCGACGGATGTCGGCCTGACCAAGCAACGTAACGACCGCATCCATCCATCCCATCATCGATAATCCGAATCAAATATTGGCTGTGCCAGGTCCCGCCGCTCACGCGTCAAAATTAAGTTCAAGGATAAAACCATGTATGCAACAACTTGTCAGTAGTGACCTTCCATCCTTCGCCCTCCCGACCCATACAGGATTCGGCGTATATCTGCTCGAACACGGGTGTGCATGACCTCCGCGGCTTGTGCGGCTCGAGCATTTGTTTTGGCTCATCATGATCAAAGACAAGGGCACACTTGCACCGCCTTTCATTCGCCAGACCGTACGCCAACCTTGGCAGCCACAAAAGGGCCGGCAAATGGCAATCAAAAAAATCCTCTGACAGAAGAAGAAAACCTTGCAAGGAAGAAGAATCACGGTCCCCAAGCCATCGTTGCGTTAGCTGCGACTGGCGACGCAAACCGACGACGACGCTTGGCTGGCTCCGTCCGTCTCACACGGCCTTGGTACCACCTGCGCAGTGCGCAACAGCCAGCAAAAATATACTCGACACTCCAAACTGCTGCTGCCGGCTGGCGAGCTAATTTAATCGGACCAGTGCATATCTCAAAGCCTCCCCGCGCTTCGCCGTCTTGCATACAATCGACCCACACTCAGCCTAGGCAAGTTGCAACTAATAAGCGATACGATATCCGACTTGTCCGACCAGTGTGTTATGCACACATGTTTCTGGAATCCTCGTGCCTTGTCGACTTTAATAGGTATCACGCCGATGACACTGGCGTTTCTCCCCCTAAATGACTATTGCCGCCGGCGTTAGACTTTCGCCCTTTCTTCTACTCATGACCCACCATGTCTAAATTGAACAGATGGTCTCGAGTAAGCAGCAACATCATCCTGTTCTGGAATTTGTCCTCTAAAGCCGAGGATGTGGCACCCGTCCGCAGTTAGGAGGATTTACAGCTCTTGCTTGTCCATCCGTCACTGCCGTGAGCCGTGGCTCGTTTTGCGGTCGCCTCGATTCGCTTTCTTACCTGGTGCACAGTGCTTCAAGCAAGCGAACACTATCTTTGTCTTGTCACGCATGGTGCAGATGGCACAGCACAGGTGCAGTGATCATTATTGTTACAATTCTACTTTGCTCCAAACCGTTCGCTGGCTGTACCACACGCCAGGGCTTGGTAGTGCGAATCATTGCCTTTCCCAACCAAGCGAGGAATCTGGATCCATCTCCCGGGACCACACCTTCACCTCGTTCTCATCTGCCTTACCAAGCATGCTGCTTCAAAGCAATACAAAAAGCCTATTAAGCGGTGACGAGTCAAATATCGTTTCGATCGTTGTCCTTATTCGACCCGAAGGCGTCGCATCATGTCTGAGTATCTACCACTTGGCTTGAGCAGCATCGAACGGCTACTCGCCAGACTGCATCACGTCGCTAGAGTGTACCCTTAGCCCGTGAGTATCTCCCAGCAAGCAAGCAAGCATCGCACACACGCGCGGCTTGCACGAAACTTTAGGCGCCTTGCGTGACTGCCTTTGGATAATCGATATCAGGATCAACAGGCTCTAACATCAGCACGCCGTTGCAACTTGTTTGCAAGTCACAACTAGTGGTCGCATCAGCCCTGAAGAGTAAATGGACTATGTAGGCAATCAAGGTATGTCCTTGATCAGGTTTCTAGATTTTCACAGCTGCCCAACCTGAGTCGCATGTCTGAACGATGGATGGATAGTGCACCGGATCGTTGCAGGTAGTATCTGCACAGTAACCATCAGCAGTACCGCTTGTTGCAGCATGCTTGCCCTGTACCCACTCGGCGGAACGTCCGAGACAGCAGCTGACACGACTGACCTTGTCTGTTGGACAAGCCACGAAGGTGGAGCGGGACCACATCATCATCAAAGAACAAGCATGCCGCCCGTTTCGCGTCCCATGCCTGATATCGAGCGACGAGGATCTCATATTATTGCGACTCAGGAGCAACGATTATGAGCGAACCCCAAGACCGTATATCCGAAGGGCTAGCGAAAAGCACAGGTCTTTGCTCAGCCTGGACGGGCACCAGCGTGTGGAAACATGTGTGGGGTCGGGCACGCTATTCCAAATGAGTGAGTTTGATTGATCTCGAAGACCATCCTCACGAAACGCGTCCGCACGATGACCTCGGCGGTGGTCGGTTGATGGACCTATCGCGCACACATGCTTTTCTTGGAAGCGGTTTGGAACGTTGACCAGAGCTGTGCTAGAGATTCAAACCCGTGCGCTATTCATGTTACACGCATGATGTGACTCCTTGTTTCGTAAGTTGTGATGTGAAAAGTAAGATCAGATGCAGCAACAAGGAGGTCTCTCCATCATCTAATTCGTCATCAAAGAGAAGCGACAGCTGTGCATCAAAAGCAACCGTTAGCGAGCAAGGTGCGGGTCAGGGTAAATGGTCGGACAAATCAACCATCGATCTCTATTTTGTTTTCGACTCATGATGACAACCTTTTTCTTGGCTTCTTTGAATTACCGCTGTCGCCTGTGTTTGACTATTCAAATATTTTTCCAGCTGTGACTCTATGCAATCCAATCCAATCCGATGGCACAGAGACACGCACGGACGAGCAGCGGAACGGGTTCAACGGGGAGCGGTGGTGGAGCGCACCAGACAAGGAGCTCAAAGGCAAAACCAGTCACCACTAGAATCCTGAAGTCAAGATCCCTCACTCCCGAGGGCGGCCGCGAGTCGTCCATACAAAAAACCAATCAACGCTTGACGCTGCCCGTTTTGCTCGCTCGTCGCTAGTGCATTATTCGAGCAGAAGTTCGTACTCTTGTCTGAGCTCTTTTTGCTGGTTGTTTGTCCACCGTCTAATCTTGCTGCTCGATCAGATCATGTGGACTGGTGTACATTGACACGCTCACTCCATTCCTGCGTCTTATTACTGCTCTGTCCGCCTTGCCTGTGTTGTTGTTGCCATCTCCTTTCCGTGCCGCACAATCCCTCTGGCGGATGGGGCACATAACCACCAAAAAAAAACTTTGACATCGTTCGTACGCGATGGTGTGGATTCGGTGATATTTGCCAATAGATGATCATCTTCGAGCGTGTCCACAGCTGGCAAGAGGATTTTACGAAAACGACTTTTTGCTTAGGGATTTTCGTTTAGCGTGAAAAGCGCCTCGTACGAAAGCCAGCCCAGCCCTTTCAGCTTGGGGTTGGATTGTCACCAACTATCGAATTCAACAGACAGACACGATCTCGAGTACGAAAGGAGAAGTCGGCATCGAAAATAAAAATATGCCACAGGAATGACTCTGCCTCATGTGCAAACCTGAAGGGGTCGGCCGACTGGTCGGCAAGACCGTAGTCTGCAAGATCAGCGGAAAGCCCAGCCACATTTTCTTTCCACCACGATGGTGACGGACCTGACCAACGCGGGAAAGAGGTCTGCTGTGGAGCAGGAACTTTGTTCGCAAGTGCGGCGTCGAGAGATGGAGGCTTGTGCATTTGTTCGGAGATCAAACCCTCGTGCATGTCTCATCGTCTGATTCTACAAACAGCAAGCCGCGGCCGCCGTGAGATCACGTTGGGCAGTTTTGAAATATCTACTACCCCTTGCTTGTAGCCTTGTATTTGCTCCGAAGCACGTCCTAATTGACGACCGAATCAATACCAAGTAGAAAGTCAAAAAGCATCGACGACAGCAAGGGCGTGTCTCCGCCCTTGGCGGTCATGTAACTACCCGGGGTCCGGTAGCAGCATAGCTCCGTCACCCATGTCGATATACGAACTTGGTGAACATGCCTTTGCTCCTGTGACCCGGCTTGCTGGATGTGTTGTTTACGACTCTAATGTTGCTTGTTACTTCGGCAGGCTTGTATCGAGATGAAGAGGCGGCAGCCTACGCATCATGTGTCGCTACATTCTGCAACGCAACCAGGCCCAGACTTCGTCTGTGTGTCGTGGCTTCTCTCTTGACGCATCTCTTCGCTACAAACGATTTCTTGGTGTACCGTCCACGAAACCCTGCATGACCACAGCCGCACCCGCGAACGGGCGGAAAGTGGTTCATGTTTCTGGAATTACAGTGAAATGCTTTGCTTTTAAGCTTTGAATGAAATTCACAATCCAAAAAGCCACTGATCCCACGAATGCGGCGTTTTACGTTACTTCAGCTTGGCTGCAAGCCTCCCCCTGCAAGTGGATGATCATATTTACACTGGGATGCTGGGATCGGTGTTCAAGACTTGCCAACCAAGCAAACCATGATTGTCTCTGCCCCAAGAACATCGATCAGGGCTGAAAGAGAACATGGCGGCTGGATGATGAGTGACGCACTCGAAAAGGAAAGAGAAAAGCAATCATCTAACCAGATATAAAAAAAGCCAATCAAGCGAGATGGCGTTTTTCTCCGGCATCAGCGAATGCTTTTCCTTCGTGATGGTTCGATATGTGGGTATGGAGTGGAGATGCAGCAAATGATGGACGCAGATAGATCCAAAATTGTTCCTCCACACCTTCCATAAGCAAACGTGGTCACAGGGGAGAATCGATCTTTCTGTCCGCTGGTGCCGAATACGATCCGTTTGAGTGAGGTATCATCCATATCGCTTTTCCCGAGGAAACAGTTCAGGGTAAAGGGCTTGAGATGGCGAATTGATGACAACGCCTCATCAACCGGGTCCAAGAATCGCAAAAGGTACCTTGATAGGCGACGTGTGCATGAGAAGAACCATGTCTCGTGATGCTGCTTCTTCGGATGATGATCTCAAGAGAGGCTGTGGCACTGCGAATACCCGGCTTGAATCTCTACCATAACCTCAACCTGCTGTACCTTTTGCAGCATCTGGTCCATACATAGTAGTCAGATGTGCCGGCTGTTGGGCCCAGCGAGCTACGCCCACTAATATCTTAACAACATCTACGCTCATATCTGAGACTGTCTAAAGCGGTCACACACAAGAAAAGAACAGCGCCGAGTACGCGATTCAGGAGTCAGCAGCAAGGCTACTGTAGGGCGTGAGCAGTCATCGGTCTCTTTTCACCCGTCTCCTGTCTCTACACGCTACACACCGCCTGAATAGTCACTCCAATAAGATGTTAAGAATGTAGGTATTCCCACTTCTCGTTTATTAAACCCCTGCAAGGAGACCTTCTCAAGAAAGAAGCATGACTTTTTGCTCTCGCGGCGCTGCGGTCAGCGCAGTCAGCCATATTATTATTCCCGTTCAGCTGGACGTCCTCATGCATGCATGCATCCAGACGCTTGTTTCCTGTGCACATTTGTCTGTTCCCGTAAGCGACCGACAATCTAGTGCTTTTCTGCTGCCTTGCGCGAGAGATGCATGGACAGCCTACCTTATTAGCTGGATCCTAATATCGTACACACCGCGACTTTGAATGCGCTTGCGGTTTGCTCGATGTTCATGGATGTGGGCCTAGTCCATGATCTAAACATGCAGTCACGGGTGTCAGCACCACCTGAGCAAGACAAAAACAAGCACTTCAACGCTTATGTGGTATGTACATGTCGTTGAGCTGCTGCTCTGTCACGAAATATGAACATGCAATATCAGTGTCACGTTTGCATCATGAAAGGTCAAGCGAGAGAAAAGGGTCATGTTCGCTACCATGCAGCAAAGAAACGAGGTACCTTACATACCACTCCTTTATCCGTCATGTACACTGAGACTTGTGATTTATGATCACTCAATTCTTTGCCACTGCAAGAGTGATGGTAGTACCCGACTCGTCACATTTTACGAGCATGGAAGAAGTGTGAGCATCAGGGTAACCTTACAGCATGGCAAGTACGGAAATCATGTCGTTGCACGGAATCAAGCCCGTCTGCTTATTTGCGTAACACGAGGAGAACAAAAAATCCAAAAAGCTGGAAAGAAGGTATTGATACACGGGCGAAGAGTTTCTTCTGTTGATATTACACAAATCACCAGACCCTGTTCTCGCCCTTGATGACAGATTTGGCGCCTTTGGAAGTGACCTTCTTGTGGTCGACGCGACCTTGACCAGGAGTCTTGAAGAACAAACTGGGGCCCTGGCCTTCTTGCAGTGTGTGGCTCATGTAGCCTCTGTGTGCAGGATCTCTGTAGTATTCAATGTCCTTTCTGCTGGCCGGGTCGGGCAGTCTGTACTTGAACTCGGGGCGGGGTGTGAGAGAAGGGGCGCTCTGGATGCTGTAGATAGGGTCTGTCTCGCCCCTCAGAACGCGAGAGATGGAAGGCTTGGTGTAGTAGCGGGTAGTGACCTTGCCGCCAGCGGATTCGATGGCCTCGATGGCTGAAGCACTGGCGCGGCTGACGACGATCTCGACGGGGGTTGTGAGCTTGTCGGAGCTACGGGCGAGCAACTTGATGCCATCCTTGATACCGTGAACGCAACGCGACTTTGCCAGTTCTTTGAGAGTGATGGGTTCGTTTGGGTTGAGACGGCCTGCGTCAATCCATGCTTGGAGGCGGTTGATGTTGAGCGGTGTCATTTCAATCGAGTGCCTGGGTTCACGTATGAGCCATATGTTCGGTCTGGGCCTGCAATGTGAGAAGTGCTCACTGGTTCTCGAAACCTCTGACACCGTGGACAACCTCCTCAGGCGTTTGACCACCATTGAAGTTGCGCGGGACCTTTCCGTGGGCCTTCTGACCCTTGTGACCACGTCCTGATGTCTTGCCCTTGCCCGATGAAGGACCTCTTCCTCTTCTGATCTTCTTGTTGTAAGCGCCCGAGTTGTCTGAGAGCGATGAAAGAATCGAGGCGTTTCTTTGTTGCTGTGGTTGTTGTGCGCTACGAAGGAAAGGCAGCAGCAGCGATGCTACACTCGAGTGAGACGCTGAAGGTCGGCATAGCGATGCTCGCGAGAGGATATTGAGTCGTGGCGGCATGTTTGCTGTTGTATGTGTGTGATAGACCAAATAATCTTCTCTTGTCCCTTCTCGACGCCGCCAACTTCGCGACGCCCGTCGAACATTGGCTCTGACCAATCACGTGCCGTTTCTATCCAGGGTCCATCAGAACGAACCCAGAATCATCAGACTTGTCAAACAGCCAACTGACACAAAGGACAAGACTACTCTCAACTAGACTTCTATGGGTGTAGAAATTTGGTCTGTACTGTACATGCCATCCTGGAGCCAGCCAGCCAGCCATTGTTTTTTTCCCTGGCCATTTTCCTACTGCTATCAACCATCTTATTCCAGAACCAAGCTTCCTCCTGTGACTATTGTGCATAGCAGCGCCACTGCTGTCAAGATTCCCGCTCCAGCCTTGTCACCAGTCGTGATCTTGTCCGTGTTGATCGCAGGCATGCCGTTGCTGCCCGTCGTGCCACTGCTGCCTGTACCTGCACTGGGATCGCCCTTACTCGTTCCTCCCGTCGTCGCTCCCACAGGTGCTGCCAATTCCGTCGTGTCCATCATCATAGCTTGAATTGCTGCAAGAGCAGACATCTGTTCACCTACTCCTGACGTCCCATCCCACGTTGTCGTATTCCATTCACGCCCGCAATGTCTTCCTAGGGCACCTCCTGAGCACTGCCCGGCCGCACCTGTTGCGTCCTTGCGCAAGTACGTGAAGATGCGTTCGTAAAGCTCTGGAACCAATTGTGCTGTTACTACAAGCCATCGGGTGAGGAATGCCTTGAATGCTGGCTGATCGTTGTTGCAGTTGCCTAGCGGTTCACAGGTGATTTCAACCATAACTCCGCCCATGTTCTGAGGGAAGAACCTTTCTAGTGTGGCGTTGAGAAGACCTTCGATGCGATCCATATACTTTGCTTCGCCAGTCTGGATCGTTGTCAGTGTGACTTCTTGCATTCGGCTGAGACAACTCACATAGTTGTAGAGGTATGCACTTCCAGCAATGAAAACACCATAGTTGTATGTCCACTGCAGCTGACTGGCATCCGAGCAATTCTTCTGGGTACTGGATCCGTCGTTGATCTGCCATGTCTGCGTGTTAAGCAGTGGTGTTCCGGCATACCACTCCCATGTCTTGTCTGCCCAATCGACATATGTTTGGTTCTGCGTGTAACGCGCCAGGCGTGCAGCCAGCTGGTAGAAGCCTCCATTGGAGACGGCGTTCTTGTAGTCGTACCCAGCATTGAAGGTGAAGATCTGCCAGCGCAAGCCTCCTCCGCATGTTCCCGTGTCCCATCTTGATGCCTGCTCGTTGAATACAGCCTGCGCGAGTGCCAGCCACGACGGCTCACCAGTTCCCGGATCCTCGAATTTTAGCTCGGCTGCTGTCATGGCACTGAATGCCCAGAAGACTTGATCGTCGTTACCCTGGCCACCATCATGTCAGTCGGCCTGTCACGGCTTGGTGCGCAGATGCTCTTTTGGTAAACGTACAAGTGATTTTGACTGATTCCTTGGCATGTAGTCATTGTCGTCTCCGACTTGGTGCAACAAAGCCTGCTTGACTTCATCGTTGTATGTGGCGTCACCAGTGTAGTACCAATATTCAATCATCTCGCCAAACATGGCGCCTGCTTCCCACCAGTAGTACGGAGCTGGCAGGTTTCCAGGAACGTCTCCAGTACGGTTTCCAGTATAGTAAGACATCATGTCGTACGCGACCACACTCGCAGTTGACCTGATCGAGTCTGTTTGGTGTCAGACTTTGGTGACTTTGTGTCATGGTGTTACTGCCATCTTACCCGGACTAGTGATATCAAGTTGTAGTGCCGACCCCAGGTGTGCTGTCAAGCACAGAGCGCTGACAAGCCATGTCGAAAATACCGGTCTCATCTCTGGAGATTTGCGACCATGTGAATTTGAAAGAGCGACGTTGAAATCGAGTTGGAAGCAGTTGAAAGAAGAGTGCCAGCCTCACGATAAGTTGAGCGATAGACGAAAAGTGGTGGCGTCAAATGGCGGTACGAGCAGACCAGCCTTTGAAATTCCCGGACTGTATCTTTGTGACAGCGAACGAACGACTACTTGGAGCAGATCAAGGTGATGTGATGACGAAGGGTGCGTGTACAATTCCAAGTTGAAACAAGCTGGTGATTCTCTCTGCACAGCCCTCGATGATTGTCGGGTTGTCCAGCATTACTCCGGGGCCCGCTTTTTCATTTGGCCATGTTGAGAAGCGCTGACTGGCACCCGTCCCTCTAGGCTATGAGACATTTCTCATTGGCGGATTCGCAACTCGTCGAGTGATGCAAGTTCCTTGTTGATCCTGATTTTCTGGAAGTGACTGCGTTGCGCGTTGAGAGATGCTTCTTCTTTTTCGTCGGTCCGACCTTTAACTTTCAACCCCCAGCTTGACAATCCAAATATCAATAACCAACTGTGAATCGCTCCTGCACGGCAGAATCCAAAGGGTTACCACTGGATCAGCATCAACATGTCAACCTCTCGACCGCTGGGTGGGTGCCAATCGCACCAGCGTTGCTTAGCGAGCCTTAGCATGCTTGTGTGTTCTTGCTTTCGTGTGCATCACGATTCACGACCATGGCCACAGTTTTGCACCAAAACACGGGACGGACAGCCCTAGCAGCTTCCGTCGTCAATGTTCAGGAACGAAAACGCCATCGATCCGTCTCTTCTACAAAGTGGCGGGCCGCATTTAGAACATGCGTTCCTTTACTCAATGCGGTTAGTGATACTTGACGGTAGGTAATGACAGGGTGCCCCAGCAGACCATAGAAACATGACTCCGAATGCACGTACTGTCTAATTCTCAAGCTACAGTACTGTTCTGTCTGCTAGCTGTGTGTTTCGTATCTTGCAAGCTCTCCCAGGAGTGGAAATGCCTGTCGTTGTACTCAATTGTAGCTATCACCGGTCGATATTGACTTGTTCGCGCAATGCTATTAAAGTTGTATCGAAAAGCAATGTGCTACGTCTGATGATTCTCGGTAGCTACGAGCCTTGTCCACCTTCGCTGGCGAGACAACTTCGCTGGTCGAGTCCTAAGAGTTTCCGATTTCGAGAGGATTTGATAATAGGGGCACGGATATGTATTCCCTCTACTTATCTTGCTTAAAACTGGCGCTGTATTGTTCTAAGCCGACATACCATATTAAACTCCTTTCTGGTTTTCGCGGACAGAAAATTAGAACAGGCATATAAACCAATAAGATTGTAGGCTCTCCACGTACGGCCACAGTCAGCTGAAAACTGGGCATCCCGTCCGCTCTGCCATACATAAGCAGTTGAACGGCAGATTAGTACTACGGTGGGTGACCACGTGGGAATCCCTGCTGCTGTACGTTTTGTTCGATGGACATACTTTTTGCTCTCTTCTTTGACTGATGTCAATGAACCACGAGATGGGTGAGGTTTCATCAGGAATTGCTCTCAATTGTTAACTTATTAATGTCCTCTTCTATGCAATATATTCGGTCATGATATAAGCTCTGTTGCTTTGGTAGTTTCTCGTATACGCTACCTAACGTGGACAATGACAATCCGTCAAACCCAAAACTGTAAATGGTATATCGCCTTCCTGATATGATTTCCCTCCTGATGCACGCCACCGTGCTCCTAGATATCTCCAGACCAAACCAGTAAACCAACAAACTCCGCAAACCCCATAACAGTCTGGCTCGAAGGCGGTTAAAAGTCGTAAACAACATAAGAAATCCATGCACCCTCGAGGAGTGAAGCGAGGTGGCAGCACCCTCATTGCCACGTCCTGATGATTCGACCGAGCGTAAATCGTCCAGGTTCTTACTAACATCAAGACCAAGCACTTGATTCAAAGCCGGGGAGGAAACGGCCGGGTCGGATGCCACTGAGTAGATCGTGAATCATTCCATCGTTCTTGATGCCATCGATGCGCTGCCAGCTGTCGTCGCAACAACATGACTGATCAGGTGCGTTTGAGACATCTCGGATGATGGGCTCGTCGATACGTTCTCGACACTGATTATGCTGGTGGTCGTCCTCTTGCCATCGATAGCAACATTCAACACTGTCTTGGGCCTGTGTCTTGAATGGTCGTCTAATCAATTCATTGAGCTCGCGGGCGGTGCTGATAACGTCTTGGCCAAACTTGAGTCGACCGTTGGCGGTGGAGTTTAGAATGGCATAGAAGCGACTGAGGAGTGAGTGGAACTGCCCGGCGGCCACGTCTTTCTGGCCGCATACTCCAAGGAAGTCGAGACAAGCGGATGCAAGGTGCAAGTCATCCTGCAGCCTGGCGGCGAACCGTCCTTCCATGTGTTGCTCAAACAGCATTTCTGCCACATTGTGGAGTATGATTACACAGCTAGAATAGGCTTGGAAGCTATTCACTTGTCAGTATCATCCACATATCATATTCTCGGCATCTAGGACACTCACATGCACACCCAACATCTTTGGATAATGCCACCTTCGATCAACAACCTTTCGAACAGCTTCGCAGACTCCGTGGCAGCATGTTTTGCCTGTGCTATCAAGCCGTTGACTGTTGCTTCGTCTCCAACAAGTAGACTATTCTTGTCATGCATGCTCTGCAGAACGCGGCGCAGAAGCATGATCCGAGCTCCAAAGTAAAGGAAGTTGACGTAGTAAATGGTTCTGCGCAATTCAAAGGATACCTCGGGGTTATTCGCCAACTCGGTAAGACGCATATCGCGCGGCAGATTCTGATGCCAATGATTCAACTCTTTGGTGATCGTCTCGACCATAAGCGCGCTTAAACCATTGAAAGACAGACTGAGGCGTAGCATGTCGAACTTGATGACTGTGATTCTGACCATCTCGGTTGTGACCTTCTCTTCGAGATTGGCTTCGTCTTCGATTTCAAGGTTCTTCGCGTTCACGAGGTCTTTCGGCAGCTGTAATCCTGACACATACCCGAGAGTCGAAGACAGCCAGGCTTCGAGGAAGACAAGCACTCTCCAGGTTTTCCGAAGTTCCATCCAGTGACTCCGTTCCATGTTGGGTGGACAGACTTGTGGAATTGGCGGTCGCGTCAGAAGATTCAGTCCCATTGCTACAAAGACATTGTTAGGGTAGACGAAACACGATAGTGACCTGTTTAACTTACCAACGAACGTCATGGCAACTTTCTGTTTGTTCATGCAGTTGTATAAAGTGAGCATGACACAAGTTTTGGCAGCCCTATTCGCGTCGGAAGTAACAGCATCTTCCAAAAGATGCTTCGCAGCGCTGTAAATATTCTGTTGGGTGCCTTCTGGCAGATATTCCTTCTCCTTGATGTATTGGGAACCGATAGCTCCCACAGCACAGAGCTCGCAGGTGGCGAGGCGACGGGCTTGCTTGTCACTCTGGGCATCTGCTAAAATTTGGAATTGAGCCTCAATATGGCTGGGTGAAAAGACTTGGAACAGCTTGCCGGACTCGTTGTAGAAAGTGCTGGTACATTTCCGAAGGACATCGACGCTTGGTAGAGGTCTTTCACAATCAGAGAATGACTGGGAGTGGGTGTCGAGGGCAGGTGTATCGTCGACGGGCAATGATGGATCGGTATTGGTACTTGAGTTACAGCTTCGAGAACGAGAAGTGTGGGGAGTTAGTGTAGAGTCGTTGCCGTTGCTGGAGAGAGGGGATGGACCCGAGGATACGGATGAGTCGGACTTCTGGCGTTGTAGAGGCTGAGGCTGAGGCTCAGGGTCGGAGTGGGCCAGTGTGGACAAAAGTTGAGTTGAGGCGTCGGCAGTGCGGAGAGTATTCAGCATTTCTTGTGCTTGAGAGGGAGATGCTGCGCGCAAGGCTTCTATGAATTTCTGCATGCGATCCGACTCTGTCACGAGGGAGGCATTCTTCCTTTTGAGGGCAGTGAAGCGAGTCTCTCCGGGGTTCACGGTATATTCGCAAGAGTCAATGCCCTTGACGATACAACGCTGACAGCTCGGGCGTGCGCCATCACACTGTTTGGCAAACTCAGCACCAAGGCACCGTCTGAGGAGCGTTGACTTGTTTGGACAATACCTTTAGCTTCTTCAAGCGACATTCGCGACAGGCGGCATTGATGGTGCCACGCCTCGATCGGGTCGACTTCAAAGGATAATGATTCTGCAGAGGTTGCAGTACGGGAATATCGCTAGGCCTTGTAGGCTGAGGCGCCAGCGGCCGAGTAATCCCGAGCACTGGCGGCGACATGACTTGCAATAATGATGCTGTGATTGCAAGCAGGCAGACAAACGGGGGGGTAAAAGGCAGTCGAGGCGGCGAGCGATGTAAGTGAGGCGGAGGAGCCTCCGAACGATAATATCGATTGGCGATTAGCGAGGGGGTCTGGAAACAGCGCCACTTGCACCAGGGTTCGAGGGATCGAGGGGTGGAGAGATCTAAATGCCAAAACCAATTCCGAGACTGGGCCTGTTACTCGGAGAAGCAGCAGAGCACAACCAAGGACAAGAACAAGAACAAGAAGACAAAAGGAGAAAGCGACCAACAGACGGCCTAGAAGGCGGCCTAAGTTAGCAGCGGCACAGTGGCGAAAGAAAGCAAAAGCAACGGCGCCCGAGCTCAGCGCAACAATTCTCCTGCGTACCCCGCGAGACGTTCTAGTTCTAATGCTTCCAAATGGCAAAAAGGGACTAGGAAGGCAGCAGCAGCAACAGTCATTCGCACGAGCCGGTGACCTGATGCAGCGGCCGGTGGGCGGCGGCCGACGTCTCGTTTGCGGGCGCGGTCAGGGTCAGGGTCAGGGTCACTACGGTGACGACAGGCCATCTATGACTCGATTGTGCAATGATGTGGGGAAGGTCGAAGCTCAAAGCACCTTGATATCCTGCGCCTTCTGCCAATCTGCTTGATCAAAGAACTAAAACATTCAGCTAGCTGTGACTCGTCTGTCTCGGTACACACACTGCGGACAGCATGGCCACACGGAACGACCGCTACAACAAGCTCTCGCCCCAGGAGCGCCGCGCTGGAGAATCGGTATGCGCCTCGCCACCTTATGCTTTGTTCCACCAAAACAGCTCTAATCTGTGATGGACACAGGCTCTTAGCGACTTTGCCGACTATGTCCAAAAGCAGCAAGCCAAGCGCCGTCATCCCCAGGATCAGGACTCTGCCTATGGCACTCAGTCGGTCGTCACGACTGAAGAACATGCCGAGCTCGATATTCTGGACTCTCTCAACCTCAGTGATGAGCCCGCCACCCTCCCACTAAAACACCTTTTTCTTGACAAGTCTGACGATGCTGACGAGAGCCTGAGCCTCTTGACGGGCTTTGTCAACGGCCGACTCGAAGAAGGTCATGGAGAAGCCATGTTCGACCTTGGTCTGGAAGACAATGGAGATTCCATGAACTTTGACAAGAATGATTGGGACTTTGCTCTGGCTAGACTACACACTGTCACCGAATCATTAGGCGCCGACTACCAAATACTCATGACTAAAAATGTTGGCGGCGACAACGATGTTGATGTCAGTCCTAAAGAGAAGGCATGCAGCGGAAAGTTGATGATCAGGCGGCGGCCCAACTCAGTCGACAATGTCATCGAGACTCGAATAGCCGTCGTCGGCAACGTAGATGCTGGGAAAAGCACAATGTTGGGTGTTCTTGTCAAGGGAGGTCTCGATGATGGTCGTGGAAAGGCCCGTGTCAACCTGTTCCGTCACAAGCACGAGATTGAGAGTGGAAGGACGAGCTCGGTGGGCATGGAGATCATGGGATTTGACAGCAAGGGCGAGGTCGTCATGGCCTCCACTGCTGGTCGCAAACTCTCGTGGGAAGAGATTGGTAGCAGATCGGTAGGTACTGGTCTTGCTTATGACCGAAGCAGCTATTAACACCCTCCCAGGCGAAGGTCATCGGCTTCACCGATCTTGCTGGCCACGAACGTTACTTGCGCACCACAGTCTTCGGCATGCTCAGCAGTGAGCCCAACTACTGCTTACTCATGGTTGCTGCCAACAATGGCCTTATTGGCATGAGCAAGGAGCATTTGGGTATCGCTCTCGCCCTTAACGTACCAGTCATGGTGTGCATAACCAAGATCGACATCTGCCCGCCGCACATTCTACAGCAGACCATCACTCAGCTGACCAAGATCTTGAAGTCGCCTGGTGCAAGAAAAATACCCATATTCATCAAGAACAAGGAGGAATGCATAAACACCGCCACCCAGTTCATCAGTCAGCGCATCTGCCCTGTCTTCCAAGTCTCAAACGTCACCGGCGACTCGCTCGATCTTGTTCGCACCTTCCTCAACATCATTCCCCACCACGGCCACTACGATGCCGAAGCTCCCTTCGAATTCCACATCAACGACACCTTCTCGGTGCCATTCGTTGGCACAGTAGTTTCTGGTGTCGTCAAGTCTGGTGTTGTACACGCCGGCGATACTGTATTAGTTGGTCCTGACGGGCTCGGCAACTTCACGACGACTAGCATCAGGAGCATCGAAAGGAAACGGATAGGTGTTCCTGCCTGCAGCGCTGGTCAAAGTGCCAGTTTTGCCCTGAAGAAGGTTCGCAGAAAGGACGTACGCAAAGGCATGGTGTGTCTGCTCAAGAACGACGAGCAGCCACCTAAGGTCCACCGCGAGTTTATTGCCGAAGTTCTCATTCTCAGCCATGCAACAACCATAAAGACAAAATACCAGGCTATGCTGCATGTAGGCCCTATATCCCAAACGTGTGCTATAATCGACATCGATAGAGCATATATCAGAACTGGCGACCGCGCCACCGTAGCATTCCGGTTTGTTCAGCGTCCAGAGTTCCTCGCTGTGGGCGATCGTATACTGTTCAGAGAAGGCAGAACGAAAGGACTCGGTATCGTCAAGGCTGTCGGCTACGATCCAACTAAACCGCTCAACCCTGATGCTGGCAAACAGAAGGCGGCTACCACCACCGAGCCTGCAGTTGCCCCCGCACCTACCCCTGCGACTGCATAAGAGTAGACTCGGCCCTTTTTTTTTTTGGTTATTGGGAATTATTGAACTTCGGGGCTAGTTGTTACCGATCATTTGCAAGGCGTAGAGGTGCACTGTTCGTTCTTGTCGTCATCTGGTGGCATTATTCTAGACAAACTGTGCATACAAACCCAACAACTATTCTTTCCTTATCATGTTAAGTCCTTCGTTGCTTAGTCGACTATGGATACGATACATATGCAAGATTGTTGAACAGGCTTCATCGAATCTGTATGCTCTCAAATGACTAACGATACTGCCGGGCCAAAATCAGACGGTCGACATGGAAGCAATATGATGAACAGATGTCATTCTATAAAAAGTGAAGAAGTAAGTGAAGATAAAAGGCAAGCAAAAGCAGACGAGACAATATGCCCATCAAATCGGATATGCTCACATCACAAGCTAAGCACAATGCACAAAAGAAAAATTCAAATGAGCAGGAAAAAAGATTTATATTACTACAACACCCAAAACTTACCAAAGCTTACCAACACAACAGAAGCAGCTTACCCTGTCGAACTTGTTTACTTTCTGAAACAACGAGGACAATACCAACCAGCAGTCTCAGAGCGGCGAACATCTAGGTATGTCTGCAATTTCCTGAATCATAGCATTGTATTTGTTGCTTTGTTGAATTTTGGTCATGCTGAGTGTGTCGAACCACTTGAATTGTCACGGCTCTATTGCATGTGATAGAATCGAACTATCTACAAGGGTTGTTGGGCTCGAGACCTGGTACGACGTCCGTGAATCAAGCCAGTCGATGAGCTTGGGAAAGTTGCTCAAGCTCAGCACGTCCTGGCTGGATGTTTGACCAGTGACACGGCGCTTCTGATTTGATCCGAGCTCAGTGCGAAAGGTCTGGCATTTCTGCAAGCAATACTCATTGGTGCTATTTCCAGGATCTTGACCAGACTCTATGAGTCTCTAGAGGATCGTCTTCCACTGTGCGAATGTGATCAAGAGTCTCGTACACTGAATGAATAGTTGGAATCGACCAATCTCGAATCCAGCGGTGGATAAGGTATGGTTGGTATTCGTCTTGTTGGTTCTCAGTCATCTTTTGGTTGCTCGTTGGTGCCATCTTGCTTCTGAGGTACCACGGCTTGTGCAGTGCCATTCAAAGCACGCTTCCTATGACTTGACATGGCCTTCTTGTGTCTCTTGCTGTTGACATGGACGGTCCAGTCGCTCTCAGTAACTGATGTCGTGTGGCAGACCTCGCAGTGCTTGCGACTCCAGAGATCCGAGCGAGCGCTGGTATCGGGTTTCGAGGCTGTCAGCATCTCGGCTGCGAGCGGCGACAGACTCGAGGGGTCTGGGAGCGTTTGTTCCTTGAGGAAACTGTCGACCAACTTGAGCCCGGTTTCCGATACATCTTGCTCCCATTTTGGTAGATCAGAACCATCGAGCATAAAGAACGAGTTTTTGGCTCCAGCTGTATCGATGGCATTGTTGAGCTTGATGCGAATCCATCGAACTTGACGCTTTGCGTACTGCCGTGTACCAGCTTTGGTCTTCTCGATCGCTTGTGCAAGTAGCTTGTTTAGTTGTGTTGGGCTTGTGTCGCCTTTTCGTAAAGCAGCTTGGTAGTCCAAAAATTCTTTGTAGCCGATGGCGACCCATATGCCTCTAGTCGTGTCGATTGACTCACCACCAGCAATCCTGTTATCGTAAAAGTCTGACAGAGTAGACACCTCATCCAGGAGACCTTGTGTAACCATCTTGTCAACACGGGCATCAAGACGCTTCGAAAGGATATCTGATTGGGCACCGACCCAAAGTATAAGCGTCCTCATACGAAGAAGAGATTCGTCTTGTGCATCCTCCGATTGCGCCTCGTGGTCAGCAGCTTCGCGGCGTGTCCTTTGTTCTTCATAGATGTCCGAGGCTTTACGACCAGTCTGCAGCCAAATCTCGAGACTCCTTTGTATTTTGCGGCGGTCGTTGGGATGCCATCTGTCAGCCATTACTGGATCGACTTCTCTAAGCTTTGCAAGGAGGACTTCCGTAGGTTCCTCAAGAATGGCTGGCCTCTCTGCATATGAAACCGGTTCCTCGTCTTGAGATTTATTTGCGAGCGCGTCGTGGAAAAGTAAAGACTGTGTGTAGTAGTGTGTACCCCCGACCAGAATGGGCAATCGGCCTCGTGCTCGAATCTCGTTAATTCTGGCAAGCGCGTTCGAGACGAAGTTGCCCACAGTCCAGGTCTCTTCGTTCAAGCCTATACAGCCAAGGAGATGGTGAGGAATTCCACCACGTTCGTCTTCAGGCATTTTATTCGTGATGACTGGCAAGCCCTCATAGAGTTGCATGGCATCGCCATTGATGATTTCACCATTGAATTTACAAGCAATATTCACGGCCAACTATTTGAAGAATATGAGTGATGCGCTCCTTCCTTTTTTTTCTCTTTTTTTCTTTTTTCTTTTTCTCGAAAATCAGAAATGTCTAGACTCACCTCAGACTTTCCTGTGCCCGTAGCACCGACTACCGCGACCAGCGGCGCGCGCCCTAGAACTTTGGCCATGCTAGAGAATCGACAAACGGTTCTGCTCAACATCAAACCGATGTTGACATGTTGATTTGCGCTGTGAATCGAACAAAGATTTGAGGCGCCCTGGAAGTGTCAAAGCACGTGACCGTCATGACCAATCCACCTCACTTTCTTTCCATCTTCTGATTTCCATTTAATGATTCATCATACATTGCGGATACTCAACTCTACGTAAAATCAACATGGCACCTGCTGAACGTCCCGCACCAAAGGTGGATGTCAACAATCTGACATTCGCGTTCCCGGATGGCAGTACTGGCCTTCAGAAGGTCGCTCTGGAACTGCCCGCAAACAGCAGGACTCTGCTGATCGGTGGTATGTGATGCTGCCTACGATATGTATTGCTATCGTGGTCTGACAAAATCTGCAGCCAATGGTGCTGGAAAGACCACTTTACTTAGACTTCTGTCTGGAAAGCGTATGGCGCCGAAAGGAACTGTCAGTATCGCAGGCATTGATCCCTTTGCCGAAGGTCTCGAGGGTGTGACGTATCTTGGCATGGAATGGACCTTGAATTCTATCACCCGAACGGATATCGATGTGCCAACACTGCTGTCTTCTATAGGCGGTGATGCTTACCCTGAGAGAAGGGATGAGTTGGTCAAGATTCTAGATGTGGATCTGAAATGGCGTCTCCACGCCGTTTCTGATGGTGAAAGAAGACGTGTTCAATTGTGCATGGGTTTGATTAGACCATGGACTGTCCTCTTGTTGGACGAAATTACCGTGGATCTGGATCTTCTGTCCCGCTACAACTTCTTGCAGTTTTTGAAGAGAGAGACAGAGTCTCGCCCTTGCACAATTGTCTATGCAACACATATCCTGGACAACCTGGCCGACTGGCCTACTCATCTGGTCCACATGTCTCTAGGCAAAGTGAGACAGTGGGGCGCTATGGAGTCATTCAATGCTCAAAGTGCTGAAGGTGGTCGCACGGGTAACAGTCTTTTGGGAGAGCTTGTGTTGGAATGGCTGCGTGAGGATCTGGCAGAGCGTGGTCCACGCAACGGACAGCAGTCAGAGAGCAAGACATACGACACACACGAAGGAAAGGGTGGATATGGCCAATTGAAGGCACCTCCAAAGGAAGCATAGACTGCACCGCAACCGCGGGCGAGTACAAGATTGACGACAGAGAGGCCAATTCAACATAGAGGCGTGACAGACTATACATGGCATGGAACATACACTAAAGAATTATTTGAAGAGATGAAAGTGCTTTTAATTGTCAATGCGCTGTTGAAGCAATGATGAATAATAACGATCCGATTCTAGTTCATTGACCCTTCAACTCCTCGCTCGAAAACAATCCGATCTGCTAAACGCTGTGCTCGACAACCTTTTATCCAAAACGCCAGCTCCGCTTGCTTAATCAAAGCTTGACCATAAACTCGTTGCAATTGGGTATAATGTGCAGAATAAAAAGAGAGAAGAAAGAAAACGGCCCGCCATACGACCATGGCAATAAGCGAGAAGTGCTCATGAAAGGTGGAGCTGATCCACGTCCTCGTTGAGTTCAGATCCGTCGTAATTATCGATCTCAACGCGGTAACCAGGAGGGCTGGCGGGAATGTCCTCATAAAGAGGAGGCTGCTCGTCCTCCCAGGCGATGCCCATACCGCTACGCTCAGTGACGTTGATGTTGAACTGGGTGCGAAGAACTCTAGCAGCGCCAGTGGGAGTTGCTTGGTTGGGCTTCTTGTTGGGTGCCCATTCCTCGGCAATAACCAGCTCTAAGACCAGGACGTGGCTGATCTTGAGCCCTGAAGGGCTGTCGACATCGCATTGAGGCTTCAAGCCGCTATCGATGGAAGCAGTGAACTCGCCTTCAAGCTGACCGTCGGAGAAATCAGTCTTCCAGCCAGACTTGAGGTCGTCACTGCCGATGTCTCTGGTGTGCTCGTGCTGAATGCCTCTTCCCTCACCGCCGACCTTGCCCATGTGCTTTTGGCATGCTGGTGAGACAAACTTTTCTTGTTCCTCGATACGCCATGTCAACTTTCTGAGACGCCATCTTATTTGTGTGTCTTCTTTCTTGGTGGTAATGCCAGACATGCGGGCGTAGACGGGGAAATCACCAATGGGGTGAATGACCGAAGGTAGAGTGACGTTGAGTGTGAGGTTGGTAGGGGGGAAGATTCTGACAGAGTTCTTGTCGTTTCCGGGGCGAATGGCGCGGTTGATAACAACTGGACGAGTGTACTCTGCGACTTCGCCAGTGACGGTCTCGGCACGAGCAACAAGCTTGTAGTCGATGCTGGCAATGTGTCCATGAGCTGTGGTGGGGAGATGGCCAGGCATCAGGTAGCTGAAAGGGTAGTCGTGGGTGCCGTGAGCCAATTCGACATTGTCGCCCAGGAAGCTCCACTCCTTGAGGTCTTGGGACTTGGACGAGCACTCCTTGCAGTGGTCTACTACAGGACGCTTGGTGGTGGTAGTGGCTCTGAATGCGAGGGTGAATGACTTGATGGCAGCGGGAGCTGGACCATTGACAATGAGTTGCATGCGGCCAGAGAAGAGAGAACCCGAGGAATGCTGGGGGCTGTCGAGGAACAAGACCGGAGGAGACTCAACGACCATATCGAGCTTAATGTTTCTTACAGCTTGACGGCCCAGACTCGACTCGCGTTTGGCATCCTTGTCCTTCTTGTCGTGGGAGTGGCTCTTGCCAAAGTGGGGGCGTCTGAGGTGTTCCATGCTGTCGTTGCGCGAACCGTCCGATCGTACTGAAGATGCGCTGCGCTTCTTTTCGGGGACAGGTCTGAGAAGAGGAGATGGAAAGTCGAATCCCAGAATACGACCGGGCATGGTTGAGTGACCAGGTAGCTGGCTATCAAGGTCTTTTTTTCGGTAAGAACGAAGCCCTAATCCGGGGTACCTGCTGATCGACGCTTATATATCTCGCTGTGGAAGTCGTACCGTGGACAAAGGATGTCTGGGTGTTGCGCAGGTGAAGAATTGATCGAGGGAAACAAAGAGCAGAGACTCGTGTGGCCATCAGGACTTTTAGCACTTATTATGGAAACCGTAAATAGTCGGGGTCGAAAAACTCTGTCATCATGACTACTGAATTTCTGTGACTAAAGTTTGGTCGCGCGTGCGCTAAAATGACTTGGACCTCATGATCAGAAGCCACCAGCTTTCACCATCTCGTTTGGGCCCCTTCGGCTCCCCTTTCTCGAATCGGCTGACATTTGGACAAGACCGTCTTTGCTTCTCCAAATAACGCCCCCTATTGCTTTCTCCAGAACGAAGCACACCGCTGTGACTGCCAATGTACCCTTCAAGGTCTGTGAAACATGTGCGCACTCAGCTGCTTTCAACGGCCTTCGATGGAATCGATGGGCCCTTCGATAGGAAGGTGCCCTCTTGGCTGCCGTTGACACGTTTGGCCAAGACGTGATCAGACCGATCTGGACAGGAAGATTTAAGGTCTCTAGCTCAGGAGCAACCGTCAATCACACGTTTCGCATCATTATTCCCTTGGGGATCATTGCCGGTTTCCAGGCATTGTTGCACTCAAGACACTTTAACGAATTTCACGCATCTCCGGCGACATCGCTCTGGCTGGCTCGCACGAGAGGAACATTCGCATTGTACAGTACAGCACTTCGTACACTACCATTGAACTCTTGACAAGTTGACCTGACCAAGCCACACCCCACGTTCATGCGCTCCTCGTCGGACGCGGAGCCGCGCGCTTGCATTGCATGTGCATCGCGACATGACTCAGAGCTCTGCCGAACTCGCAATCCACTTCGGCCTACCGTAGTGGGCAATATCAATGTCGCAATATCAACACATCACACAAGGATTTAACTTGTGGTATGAATGAGCTGACGCATGCCATATCATTGCATGATGCGATCCCTGAGATTCATGCAGCTGGATACGAAACGCAGAACCCTGTTCTTCGTAGGTCGCCTAATTGACGCGAGTCGAATCATACATTTCTCGCACGTTCCTCGTTGACAAGAAGGAACACACGTGGAAACAAATTTTTTTTCCAAACCAAGATACAATTTCTTAAGATCACCGATCCGATGAGAACTTCTTCAGGGTCAAAAGAGTCCGTTAACGCCCTAGAAAGGGATTTTTTTCACCGCTCATTTCCACGCCTCTGCTTTGCTTTAGAGCCGACTCGCTTCTGAATTGCAGGACGTGCTTGCAAACTCTGGCGTGATTTGCGCAGACATTTTACACGATCTAGAAGCTGAGAAACGAAGGATCAGGAGAGTGTGGAGCTTTTCTGCCGAACAATTCAAGCATTGAGAAGTTTGAAGATCCCGACGATGTCGCCATGAGACTATTACATAAAAGTTGGCCAAGCTGCCTATAAACAAGCTGAGCCAAGCAACCACCACGGTGGATTGGGGACAACCGAACATTGTACTGGAGTCAACAGAATAAGACAAGCACGCCATGAAGCAGTTGGGGTAATACGATACACTCATGTCACGATGTCGCAGTTTCTGCTGGGTTGCAGTAGTATTCTTGTATCCGTATTAGGAACGTCAATGCGACCGAGAGACGCTTGTGAATTCCAAAGAGGCTCAAGACGGCCACCGGCGGCTTCCACGTGTTCTGGAAGGCGAATGCCATTCAAGGAAGGTCACAACATCAAAGATGAAAAATGCTGTCAATTGACCGAAATCCAAGCTGCAGCTGCGGTAAGGCGCCTTGATGTGATAATAGGGCGCAACAAAATCAGGGCCTTGTCTGCAGTCGCCACAGCCACAGGGCGTCGCCGCTACACGTGCTATGGTCCAAACCAATTTATGGATGCTGCAACAAACTCACCACAATGTCGGACAAACACGTGGGAGAGCATTGCATGCAATTGCGCTGCTGGTACAGCCTTCGAGGGTACAGTACGATGTTCAAGGAGTATGACAGTGCAGACAAACAACACGTGTGTCTATCCTCCTTGTCTTGTTCGCGGACTCTATATACTTGGATTAGTTGTTCCCATGCTACTCGGACATGACCTCCGCCACGATCCGCCCGAATCAACATGCTACGTGCTCTCAAGACAGGTCAGTTCTTCGCGAGTCATGACGAATCGACAGGTCATCTTTGAATGCTTGCGGTATTGGTGCATGTTTGCAGTGCACACATCAGCAGTTCGAGAGAATGTGATGATATACCAGGGTCAACGAATAGGAGTATCTCCCTATATCATATACATTATGCATACGCTCGAAAGCCGTGCAGAGCGTACTATCATTAACATTGCCTGCACTTTCCAGACTGACATTCATTCTGGACTGATATTGACTGGGTCATCTTGGTTACATTCAGATCAGGGTCACTGCTCTGACAGGATTGCTGTGGTCGTCAGCAGTGAGTGGTAACACCGTGATGACCTTGGAGAAGATTTAGTCAAGTATTACGACATTGTTAAGACGTTTCAAGGTTAGCATATGCCGTCTGCTTTCTCTATGATATTACAATCTCAAGCTCGCTAAAAACACATCGAAAGTTATGGAGTTGAGTAGAAGACACACACCAAACACCTGAGGCTCAGCCGGTGCTACTCTAGATCGACAATCACTCTTGACATGCTGCAAAACCATCCTCTTGCCAATTCTCCGGCCTGAAATGCAGAAACATGAAACGGTGAGCTGGAGACAAAAGAAGACACAAAACGTACAGCAGCAGGGATTCCCACGTGGTCACCCACCGTAGTACTAATCTGCCGTTCAACTGCTTATGTATGGCAGAGCGGACGGGATGCCCAGTTTTCAGCTGACTGTGGCCGTACGTGCTTGTTTCGCGATTTTCTACCACCATATTCACTTTGGCAAACCATTCACCAGCACTCGCAAATTGAATCTCATAATGCTGCTTGATCTTTCGACATGATGCCATCCCAACCTCAGCACCTCTAGCATAGGTCGTGAACCGTCGAGTGCTATGGAATAGTACCATCGCTTCCTCAGTCGAGCCTCCTACGTCGAAAGAGCATCAAGTCGAGTCAAGCTCATGAGTCTGTTCCGGCACAGGCAGTTCCTTGCGTATCGTATACTGCGGCATTTCTTGAACTTGGTGGTCGTATGGCAGCTCTGCAGCGTATGCACCACGCTCACTTATGGGTTCTTCTTTGTGTTGCATATTAGGAGAAGTGTCCGAAGCTCCTTGAGAAACGGGTTGGAAGGATTGTTGTCTCCGTCGTATTACAAGACAGATGATGGCAGCGATCAGGACCACACCAGCGACGACGCCGACGACGATGCCTGCTATTGCTCCGCCAGATATACCAGTCTTGTGCTGCGTGTTGGAGCTGTTTGGCACCGTCGTTGGAGATGTGGCATTGGAAGTGGATGGTTTGGAGTCGTTGAACGGCGTCCAATGCTTGGACCAAGACTGTGCGAACAAAGTCTGGTCATTAGAGATGTCGAGTGTTGTAGCGCCATTACTCATATTCTGAGGTTGGTAGCCGAGTCCTCGGTTGGAAGCTCCAGGACCTGGTGCCTGCGCGAGCCACATAGTGTTTGTTTGAGTGTTGTAGCCAAGGAAGGCGCCTTGGAGGAAAGCGCGGCCGAGACGCCACTGGTCCCCACGTGGCATATTGAAGGGAATGCATGGGAAATACTGCACAGCGGATGATACCACAGGAGATGTGAGTGTGAGATTCAGAAGTTTGAATGGGACCTTGATGGTAACGTTGGCGTCGTCACCAGGGGCCGGAGTAAAGTGAAAACCTAGGTAAGCTGGAGAGTTGATGATTGTCTCATAAGATGGATCAGATGTGTTCCAGAGGTAATACTGGGTAGCTTGATCAAAATAGATGGGAAGTTTTTCTGCAAGAGCTGAGCAGGTTTGAGCAGGGAGATGCAAGCCTGGAGGCATAGGATCCACCTTGACTATCAAGGAGTCTGGCTGCCCAAGAATGTTCATAAGGAGACCTGAAGCGTTGCCAAAGGAAAAAGGACTCGAGCCTGTTTCGACGTTGATTGATATGTCCAGCAGCATTGCGGAATAACCAGCGTAGCTCGTATATGGCCCAATAGCTCTTCCCTTGTCGTAGCCACCAAGAATGAGTGATCCACCATAGTCCAACGCCGCGGAGCCGATTTGCAAGCCATATGAATAGGATGGTATGATGGATTGGTTGTACAGTGCGCCAGCGACAATCCAGGGGTCTGGGCCGTCCTTGTTGTAGTTCACAGCTTGAGCGGCTTGATCGTTACCACTGTTCAGTGCAAAGAAACCAAGTTCCGGAGCTGCAGTCTTTTGGTTCGGGTAGTCGACGGAGAAAGCATCAATTGTAGCAAGGTCAACATTGTAGACCGTCTGTTGCTTCTCTGCAGAGCCGATGGTGACCGCTGCAGGATATACAGTCCCTGTAATGTTTATAGCAGAGGGGGCATCCCAGATGTTTGGAGGCGATGAACTTGGAACGGACGTGTCTGGGTCCCATTCCCCTCCAGTACCACATTGTGGGCCATAGGGTCGGCAAGCTGAGCTTGAAGGTATGTACGAAGCGTAATAACTGCCAATCAGAAGGTCTACCGAGACTTGTTCGGCGGCAATGTTACTGCTGTTCTGGTTGCCACCCACTTTGACAGTGATTGCATTCCACGGCCCATCTGGCCCATAAATTGTCGAACTCCAGTTGACTGCAAGATATTGTTGCGCTGTAGTGGTTCGGATCGCACACAGTAGCGTCGATACCGAGGCTACCACTTGCCATGGACGAGAAACTTGGAACATTGCGACTTGCTTCGTGACTGGAAGAAGACGAAAAAGAGGAACCGGGAGTGCCTAGAGCAGTGGAGGCATCGAGCTTACATGATCACTGCATACTGCCTTACACCAGATCCTTTGGCAACTTGAAAATAGAGCAAGGCTGAACTTTGACTGTACTGTGCCATGCGTGAGTGGCTCCTTTACATCGCATTCGGCGACCACTTCGGCGACTACTATATCTTGCGTCACACTCAATTTCGCGAACTCCTCTCATAGGATCCTTGTAATCCATACCGTGTGTGCGTTACAGTATGAGCGATAAGCCCACAAGAGGCTTGTAATAAAGCTTGTCTGCTTGTCAGCGAATCTGAGATGAGTCTCGGGGCGTTGATTGGTCAAATACTGAACAACTTGTTGTATGAGATTGCACTAGAGCATCCTGCAGGAGTTGCTCTCAATACTCAGCCTCGTGCGGCGTGGGTGCAACGCCAACGATTCGATGGATACCGCAGATTCATGCATTCCATGTGTTCCTGGCGGCTAAGCAGCTTGCAGACCTCGATCTCGGTTACTGGCTACCTCGTCGCCAGCTTTCATGATGTATCGTCCGAATGACACAGCAGTCACATTTCTGGCACAGTAAATAGGCTCCAAGAATTGAATGGTGAACGAAATAGATGCTGGCTGCAGGTGCAAATCCGCGGTGAAATGATTCGGACCGGGCTCTATTCTTGCGTTCGTAAGTTGCGATAATACTTCGTGACACCTAGCTTTGATCTCGACATTCTATGATGTTATTTCTATGATTGTTAGCTAGACAAATATACAACCATGATTTATTACCTTCGTCACACCAATGATCGATCTATGGCCGTGATTGTATTCAGGAAGACAATGGTGTGGGAAAACCTTTTTCTTGATTTCATCCATAGCAGTAACGTGAACAACAAACGCCATGGCGCCCGCCATATGCTAGTAAAGGTACATACGACATCCAAGAGGAGGTCTAGGTATAGGTATACAGTTGAAATGGTCTCATGGCCATGACCACGTCAAAATGGAAGAGGCCGGAAGAGTTGGAAGAGAGAAGCGTGAAATCAAAGGAGCCCTCTATTGGCGAGCGGGACCAAGGCTAGCGGCGGATTTGCCAGTCAAACGCTCATACTCGGCATCATCGATCTCTTGGACGTCCTCGCCAATCTCCTCGATCTGGCGGGGGCGAGCCGCGCGCATTGCTGTGTATTTTTGGCTAGTGTTGCGCTGGATCAATTCCTCAACAGAAATGGCAGGCTCTTGATCGATAGGGGGAGCGGTGTGGCGGGCCAAACCAGCGTAATCGTGCTGGACGGCAGCGGGCCACTCAGCAGCGAATTCAGCATCCAGAGGGTTGGTCCATCGGATAACTACTCCTTCGGTGGTGTATAGAGGTCCCTGCAGACCAGAGTTGCGTCCTTTTGACTTGGGACCGAGCTCAGGAGGAGGTTGGGAGAAGATCCTTGGAGGCTCAATAACCAGGGAGATGGAGTCGGGAGCGCTACCGCGAGCGTCTTGAGCCTCAGCTTGCACCATAGCCTTTTCCTTTGCTGATTCGATTGCGCGGGTTGCGGCCTGCATCTTCTCGTATCTAAGACGCATGCCCTTGAGGGCAACCAAGCTCTCACCGATCTGCTTACGCGATGGAGCATTAGGACCACCCTCTTGTTGCATTTGCTTCATCTTGTTGATGGTAGCCTCCTGATCCTTGATGGATTGCTCGAGCAAGGGCACACCACCATCCTCAGCCTCCTTTGCCAAAGCCAGCAGCTCTTCGCGAATGCGATTTTGGTTGTCCTCGTGCTTCTGTGCCATCTTCACACCCAGCTCTTCTTGGTGGCGCAATACCCAAGCAATGTCGGCGATCGAGTTGGCCTTTTGATCCATGATGAGGTGTCCGCGCATATTCTTTTCGGGCATCTTGCGAGCATCGGGGTTGGGGTGTTCCCAGTTGTGTTCGTGCAGCATTCGGAGTTCGCGCAGTTTACGGAAGGCGGCCAGACCTTGTGAGGGCGAGGGGAAGGTGGCAGTGAGCAGAGGACGCCACATATCCTTGCGCAAGGCGGAGGGGAGGGACTTCTTTCCAGCAAAAGTAAGCTGCTTGAGGACTTGGTTGTTCTGGGCGGCATTGTCAGAGGATGGTCTTGGTTCAGCAGATGTAGCAGTTGAAACGCACGTTCATGGAGCGCTCGAGCGAGTAAACGACCTGGTTGGTCCATATTTGGTGGTAGACAAACAGATGGCGACCATGGTCGGCTAGCCGTTGGGCCAGTCGGTCGGCTTTGGACGACATTGTGTGATATGCGATGAGACGAGGCCTTGGTAATAAATTCGAGTCGGTATGGAATTGAAGATGCGAAATCGACCCCCGGTCTTGGCGCCGCTTTCTCCGCTTCCCGCAGCAACAGCAGCAGCTGCTGCACCTGGTCATCATCATCACATGTCGAGACAACAGCACGGCGGAATGCCTTCCAATTGCACATATTTCTTTCAATGAGAGCACATAGCTACTATTGCTTCGTTCCGGTTCTACACAATGCCAGATGCCGACGCCAATGCTCGGCGCGGACGACCCTGGCTCATTCCCAGTGTATGCCTAATCCCCCGCACCTTGGACCAACACGCTCCTTCCCTGCTTCTACTTGACTAAGTAAACACAGAACAGGAAGCTGCGCCATCTGCAAGCCATTACCCTACGCAACCTCGCCCTGTCTCATGAAACTGCTCGTCCTCGCCGAGGCACAATTGACGACGATGGCCTTCCAGCCACCAAGAAGTCGCCAGCTAAGATGCTTGCCCTACGCGACGCCCATTCCAACATGATCCACTCAAAGTCTTCTGATGACCTCCGTCCAATCCACGAATCTGTCTCGTCACTGTCGTCTAGCCCGAATAAACAGCGCACCCCGCCTCGTCCTTCATTTGCCAAATTGCGCAGAAGAAGTACTCTAGAATGGGCTGCCTCGACCTCGCAACAACGTCAGAGACGCCTTGAAGATGTCTCTGCCCAAAGAATGGCCGACTTGTTCTACTCTATACACATTCCCAATCAACAAGGTCGGTCAGTGCTGCCATCCATATCCTATAAATACTCCAATTAACCCAAACAAGATCCCATCTATGTCAGCGAGGTGGCTGAGAAATCCATGAACCCTAACTTCAGGAACATTCAGCTTGACTCGACTGATCCTCAACTTCTGAGAGTGGACGAGCTGATTCTCAAATTCTGGGCTAAGAGCGAAGCCATGCCACAATACTGCTTGTTGGTAGACATGACATTGAGCATGCGTTCATTGCAATTCATTGGCAAGACTGTGGGTCTCTCCTACAACCTTCCGCTTTGCTTCCAATGTTGATCTTTGCCATCTAGCTGTCGAGCTTCCATCACCCATTTCCACCGAATTGTGTCATCTTCCACCTGACAGACGGCTTCTATACTGCATTCACCGATGCGAAAGTCGATGAGCCTCTGAATCCTTTCCAGGACGGTCCTGCAAAGATCACCAATTCCCGCACATTATCTACTTCATCCTTCGATGCTCTTTTACGCCTCTCCAAGCTCGACGACAGTGTTCAGGATGCTTTGGCTCTTCGAAAACAGCTTGCTTCCGAGTTGGAACAGACGTTGCAGGACAACAAGGCCTCACTAGACAACAAGACGCAGCTCGCCGAGACGACGGATTTTCTCAAAACCATCGACTTTGCCACTGCAACTGTAAAAAAGCAGTTGAAAGCACTCGAGCAGAAACGTGACCAGAAGCGCAAAGCTCTTCAGGACCGCAGGGATCTGCTGGCGCGTGACTCTGCGTTGCGGAAAGAGGTACTGTCGCAAGTCGAAACTGGCAAAGGCACCATCTCGGAGTTGACCGCTCAACACACCGGCGTGAAAAAGTCCATCACCCAACAACGCCGCCGTATAGCACATGATCTATCAAAGATCTACCCCATAGCGCCTGTGCCGAATCAGAGTTTAGCTTTCACCATCCGTGGCATGCACCTACCCAACTCCGAAGCATTGGACGCAGCGACTCCCGAGTCTCTAGCCGCGGCTCTGGGTCATGTCAGCCATGTTATCCAACTTCTCTCACTCTACCTAGGAGCCATTCTGCCATACCCTTGCCGACCACGCAGCAGCACATCCACAATCCTGGACCCTATTTCCATCCTCAATACCGCAAGTGCAACCTCCAAAGCCGTCTCTGACGAAACCGCTGCCCGAACATTTCCACTTTTCTTGAAAGGCGCTGTACGCTTCCGCTTCGAATATGGTGTATTCTTACTGAACAAGGACATCGAGATATTGTTGTCAACGCATCTTGGGGTCAGAGTGTTGGATATTAGACAGACGTTGCCGAATCTGCTGTACGTGTTTTACTGTGCCACAGCGGGTGACGAGGAATTACCTTCAAGAAGAGCAGGAGGCGTACGAGGGTTGATGAGGATGAAGGCACATGGACGAAATTCTGCAGAAGAAGAGAGATGGTGAACATGTAGCACAACTCTCCAATGCTTGGCCATTCCTGGAGGGGCTGACAAGTCGGACTGCGTTTGTCCACCATAGCAAGTGGTCCGGCTTTAAGCACCAGGCAAAGTATCCTTTGTGGTCTAGTCTGTTCAACCTCTGATTTGGCTCGGCATCTTGGATAGGCATAGCATGCGTGTGCAACGTAGCAGCATCATCATCTTTCTCGATGCTTGGTCCTTCCTCATATCAAACAATTCTGATACGCTCGCAACTTCACCGTGTCTTTCTTGTCAAATTCTGAAACAGCCGGCTCACCGACTAGAGCAGATATGGCGTCAAATATGGTTCGTATTAAAGCAGGGATGCGAAGCAAGGGTAGGAACTAGGTAGGCTTCATTAACGCTAGGTCGGCCATAACCTATATGCGAGTCATCAATTTCATTCTAGTCAAGAGCCAGTATTCGTCTGTTCAACCTCCTCCACAGATCATGGCAAGTATCACAAACCCAAAAACGCCATATAAATGCTCAAACCCAAGCCAAACTGCAATGCAGCTCTATCCGCAGCCTTCATATATCTCGTCATGCATTCATTCAGGTCCAGAAAAGCAGACCATCCATCATCTATCATGCTCCAGAAGCAGCTCCATAATCCTGAGTCTCTGTGCGAGAAAGCAGAGCGTCCCGCTCGTTCATATCGTCCGACCTGCCAACAGGCTCGCCAAAACTAGGTACCCAGCCGCGCATCCAGCCACTGACTCTACGCCAGCGCCAGTCCTCACGGCCAGATTCTTCTAGCACGACCACCTTCGAGTCTTCACTCTCGCCGTACATGAGGAACTGCACACCAACAGCGGCATCCATTATAAGCACACCGGCTGCACCGAGCCAGAATGGTAAAGCACGCATGAGCCAGTCATGACGCACATTGGGTGTGTCTTCGACCCAACCATGCAAGCCGTGAGCAGGTGCATCCGCCCAAAGATTGGGGTTTGTCAGCATGCTAGTACTGTAGAAGAGATTACCAAAGAAAGCGGCGATGAAGAGGTGAGCACTGAGGCCTGCTGTCGATTTCCTGGCCCAGTTCTTGTAAAGTTGTGGCAACCGGCTACCCAGATATAGCAGTGTCGACAACCAGGAAAGAACAGTACCAGCTGCTGCCAGGCTCGAGATCTTGCTAACAGGTTCGTGGTGGTGAGGATGGTGGCTGTTGGGTTTCAGTGGTGATGCTTGGGCAAGAGAGATCAAGCAGGCCAACAACAGCACAGTGCGAGGAGATGGCGATGGAAAAGAAGACGAAGCCTGGACACGGTTGATGGCACGTGGACTCCTGGATGATCCGTACTTCTCGTTGGCGTCTCCGAACACTGGCATACGCCACATGCTTGCCTTTCCGTTACCAGGCGTTTTGATATCCTGAGCCGAGCTCTTTCTCTCCGGACCGTCGATATTCTCGAACGTGTTCTCGCGACTCATCGCTGGCATGCCCTCGATGACCATCTCTTGACTTCGACCAGGATGATCGCTGCCGTCGCTGTCTGGCCACATTTGGCGAATTCTGTATCCGTGTCGTAGGCGCTCGTACCAGATCCACTGAGCGACAAGCAAGAAGTCTACGAGACAGTAATAACCTGCTACTATCATCTGCCATGTTGCCTGTTCTGTGAAGACGGCTCCGAGGAGATTGCTGACATCTCCCGCACACCACTCGACCAGGAAGAAGATGGACAGACCAGACGTGCTCTTGATAGTGTAGTTCTTGTATATTTGTGGCATCTGTGCGAACAGCCATGATACGATGGAAAGCGTGCCCAGCAGAGTCGATATGAAAGCTAGGTTTGTCGGCACACAAGTATGAAACGTACTCGAGAAGCGGTATAGAAAGTCGTTTGTCGGTGTGCAATGCTGTGGCAGCTCAGGCTGGAAGACGAGCGCCTGCCATGACATGATCGGAGGAGGGGGGATCTGACTTCGTTGAGGTGGTTGTGGGAAATTAGGGAGGCGTTCAAGTAGTGAATAGGATAAGAAGTATAACAGATGTAGGAAGGAAGAAGAAAGAGTCACGAGCAGGTGTAAAGATAGGTGATAGATGTGTAGGATGACTCAATGTGAATCCATAACGAAACCACAAGATACGGGCGATAGACGCTCACAAGACAAGTACGTTTGAGAGCGACACGCCAAAATCAATCAAACCTATCCATAGTTCAACGCTACCTGCTGATAATGGTTAAGGACCATCTGGATGCCCAGCAGAAGAGCGTATCACATGGCCAGACTTGCTGCTGTTCGCCGCGATAAGGCGTCTCGAAGCCAGAGATAAGCGTCATTCGCTCTCATCATTCGTGCGCACAATCTCGGCGTGTGTGTAGATATCTGATTAATTTCTTTTCCTCGGCCGCCTTAACCATTTAACAGCTAGATATCTGCTGGCTACTGCTGTTTGTCCGGATTGCACGTAGTTACAGGCAAAGGTTAATGAAACGAGGTGGAGGAGTTTGTCCAGAAATTGACAAACTGCTTGGTCAAACCCTCGTTCTCCGCTGTCCCCGCGCTCTTCTCTCCGCGATGATCTTTGTACATCGGCCTCCCACCATGTGGCCTAGCCCAAAGTTCGACTCAGCAGAGCAAGCCGGAACATCCTGACTAACATAACTACTTGTACTCCGTAGTCGCACACTCCTGTTGTTCTTCGTCAATGTCAGAACGCAAGCTCCATAACAGGCAGGTCTACCGCAGCGGTTATGTCATGCGGAAAAGTTTCCGTGGTAGCAGCGAGTGTGGGTCAAGTGTCGATGCCACCCAAAGCCAGCCGCTGCTGCGAGGACCGTTTCATTCAAGAATTTCCTCACAAATCACAGGAGCATGTCACACGGAAACCTTCTGCATACTATTATCAGACTCTCCCTACACGATTTATCCTGCGCCACGCTCCGGATGATCTCGAACCCAGAGGCGAGCTACGGAACGACTGCAAGGCTGGCGGTCACGAAGCCATGGCCGCCTACGGTAGGTGTTTTGTCCGATCTCCATGATGAACTGCCTTCCGCGGATGATCGCTTGAATGGCATTGTGTTATGTTCATGTACTCATGGGGAGCGTGATGTTTCCACCTCGACTTCCTAGATGCGTTAATATAGAGTGGTTCGCTGATCGCGCGTGCAGTGCAGATTCGAATCAGATTGCCAGGTAGTGTCTCCAATTATATTGCAGCTTTACGAGATCAAGCTTCATCGGCTGCTGTAGCTCAGTGGTAGAGCGTGGGATTGCAGTTTCTGCAGTTATCCTAAGGTCCGTTGTTCGACCCAGCGTAGCAGCTCTTCTTTTGCTTGGTGTTGAGGCCTTTTCTTGCATTCAGCTCGGCCCGCTTTGTGTCTTTTTTGAGAAATCAAGGACTCTATGCCAGAGAAAACTCATCAAACATCCCTACATGCCAATCCTAAACCTGCCGAGTAGTAACTTCACACGAGGTATTCCAATCGATCGAGAGGCCTTGGTGAACGCCTGATGGAGCTCATGTTGTGTCTTACCCTTCGGCCAACCTTCCCCGAATTGCTGACAAGTGTGCAACGAGCTGTCTCTCCATAATAATACACGACGTTGTGGCCGCCGGCGCCCCCCATTCCTGCAGGTAGTGCTGACCGAGGCAGCAGGTAGCACACCTAGTAACGCGATGGCCATGTCTGGTACGGGAGGCGCATGCAGCTGGTCGATTCAAAGGCCGACTTACCGATAGCCGTAGTTGAAGTCTTCACTAGAGCGCACTCTGTAGCGCTTGGAAGCAATTGGCTGGCTCTTCTCTCGGGGACAAACTCGCAGGCATGTCGGTCATACTGTGGAACCAAATGTTGCCTGAGCTCGTATCTCTCGTGCGTGCAGACAAACGGCCATTCACAGGCCTTTTCACTTTATTGGCATGATGCAAGCAATGCCATTATGTGACGCTGTGTAGCTGGCTGGTTGGGAGTCTACTCGACCTCAATTCAATCTATGTTGCCTCACAGTGCAGGAAGCGCCAGCATTTCCAAGCAGCGCAGGGTTCAAAAGTGCCATGCTCTCAACCGCTTGTACAAGTTCATGCGCCAAGGGCTTTGCCGGATGCTGAAATCCGATCACGGTAGGGCGTACGATGTTACGATCCCTATTATGCTCCATGCTGAGAGGACACGTACAACAGTCGTTGGCCGAGCAGTGATTGTGTCCTCTCGCAGCAAGGCTCACCCATGTGGAGCGTTTTCGATATAGCTGCAGAGCAGCAGGTTTATTCATTCTGCATGTCAAAATCCCTGAATAGGAAAGCCGGTTGAATTGTAGAAGGCACTTCCTTGCAGAGCTAGTGGGGTGATGATCTGCCACATCACTGGTCGCACAACGCGAAGTGGGATGCATTGCAGTAGCGAAGTGACTGGCTCCTGCGTTATTTCCTGGGGTCGAGCTCATGCACATTGCTGAGCCAGTTATTTGCCGACGGGTTGCCATCGAATGCACCGAGTATATCAGTATGCTTGCTATTGGCCTTGTAGGAATTGAGCAAATGCATATACTTTGAAGAATACTTGACATTTGAACGGTCATTCTCGCCGTACCAATGTAAGAGTGGATCCTGTGCAGAAGTAAAACTGCCTGAGCCGCTCATGCTTCTAAGCGTATGAACAGTAAGGAGTATATTAGACGGACGCATGTTCGCTAGAGAAGACGCCATCGCACCCCAAGTTCGGATCTTTTCATCATTGCGAGTCTGTCCTGAGAAGAAATGCAGGGACAGCAGAGACCCCAAGTGTAGAGGAAACATTAGTGCAGGTCCCAACCATAACTGCTCATATAGAGCAGTACGTTCCCACTGGAATTGGACAAGCCGTTCGACCCGTGGACAGAGGTATGGCGAGATGCAAGACAACATAACATGAGCCGTGCGAGGGCGTTTTATCCTCGAACCGCGTCGTTCGAATGCTGCACTCGCAGGTGTCATATCTGCTCGGAGGATTCGAGATCAAGCAGGCTTTCAGCCACCTCCACAGAGATCGGATCAACATCATGTTATGAAAATTGGCAAAAGATCTGCAAGTGGCTCCAAGCAAACATGAGCCATTTGCCAGCGAAAATCTGGTGTGGGGATGGCTCATGTTTGCTTGGACCCCCTTGCTGTACAATGACACCGCGACGGACGAATGAGATGTGATGTGTGTATAAAGGTGCATGCATTCAGAGGTAGGGCACGCTGACGAGCAGTGACAACCAGTCGAAGAAGGAAGGTGCTGCCCTAGGATGACGAGGCACACGGTGCTGCGCGTGGCTAATGGTGTCCCAATTGGTGCAAGTATAGACGCATGAATCGTGCAAAACCGTGCGCGTGACACTGCGCCCCCAGACGGCCCCATGTTCTCCATGTTTTTGGCGCTGAATTGGCTGCGCTTAACTTGCTGACGTCTCCTTTGAACACTCACATATAGCAAGCTACGATGCATTAGAGGCCGAGCCGAGCGACGATCTCTAACGAAGAATGACAGAAAGTCTTAACCATGGTTTGACAAAACACACGAAACCCAGCCACCAGATCAGAGACCTGCCTACATGAGCAGGTCCGGAGACTGCCGAGTAATGTTTTGCAAGTGGCATGTACCGGGCCACATCTCCGACTTTTGCATGACGTTTCGAAAAGTCGCGCTTGCCATTAGTCGTGGCTTAGGCTCATTTTGATCCGTGTCAAAGACGAGCGGCGACTTCGGCGTGAGTTTTGAAGCTCGCGCGCTGACCTAGATTGAACAACCTATTGTGATACTCGTACACACTGAGGATTGTACCTTAGTGCACCAGTGCGGGTCGACCACAGCATGGCCAGAGGCCTGTCTCGATGATCGCAAGTGCTGGTTCCCAAGTATCTTGCACCTGCATGAGGACCCTTCAGGGTTTTGCTGGCCTCGGCCCAGGATGAAAAACGGCTGATTTTTGAATGGTCTGGGGAGTACCATGCAGCGCGGGATTATGGTTTGGTAAGGACTCGGGAAAGCCGAATCCGAGTGTTATTGTGGGAATAGAGTAGCGATACAAGCAGCCTAGTCTCCTGTTCCAGGACCCATATAATAACGTGGTCAAGCGGTCAGCTGCTCAGGCATTGAGCACAAAAAGGCTGGTTCGTCATGGCTCCTGAAGCATCATCATAAACAGCCATCAGCATGGCCATCTAAACCAACGTCCGTCGTTCACATTGGGCCGGATCGGCGAGGTGGAAGTCGGACCGTGCCTCCAATCCAGAGGTTAGGCATGCGGGTTTCGGTTATGCGAAATCTGGAAGTAAAGAGCAGCGCTTTACGAGCAGGATCGATAATCAATATGCAGGCCCCGCGGGAGCACGAAAGGCAGCTCCACGGCAAGAATGAGGTCGTCGAGCGCCAGGCTCCGTCAGCGGATCTGGTCGAGCACACTAAGCCCGGCTGAGGCTAGAGGTTTTAGGGCGGACAGGGATAGCGGTTCGCACGGCGGCACAAGTCGCCAAGGCGCGTCCAAGCGCTTGCACATCATGCTACGCCGCTGAGCTCGTTGGCCATTTGCTGTACATGAAGGCTGCTGCTGCTGCTGCTGCTGCTAGCCAGGACTGCTGTTAGCTGTCGTCAGAGCTCCTGTTTTACCGTGAGCAATTGCCAGACCAGCACTCGACTGTCCCTCATATGTGCAGTGACTCCTGTGGCTCAAGACATTAGGAAGACCGAGTACATTGTCCAATATTACCGCCGCCGACCTCCTTGTCTTTCCCCAACTTGCCGACCCCAGACCCGCGAACCCGTCGCGCTTTCCCCAATTCGCTGCTCGTTCGAGGGGCATTCCACTTTCACCATCCACCTTCCCCTTCCTACTTCTCACCACTCTCGAACAAAGCTCTAGCGACTTTTGCATTGACCTGCTGCGTCGAGGCCATTCTGTGCTCCTTCACGCCCGAAGCCAAATTGGATCCCCCCGGCCTCTGGACAGGTCCCTGAGGTAGGCGTTCCCCCGTTACGCCGGTCGAACTCTAGCAGCGTCAGGCTCGAATCTACCAATCTATTCTTCCTACGCCCGGATCTGCTGTCCTTCCTCCAAAGTCCCGGCGCGCCCCACGCTTGAAGTCCAAACATAGCCTCTTTCTTTCTACCTGCCAGCTTCCACACGTATTCTATCCTGCCCAAGTCGTATACTGATTCAAGCTTAATCTCGGCTATACCGGACTCCCCACACCGCTCACTTGACTCGTTGCTTGTGTCATCTTTCCCTTGCGCCGCCCCCATACCTCCATCTTTCGGACTTTCGTCCTCTGCCTACAGTCTGGCGCCGCAAGTCTAGGACGACATCAACCCAACACATCTCATGCTCACTGAGCTTCCTACTATGGATCAATCGCCAGATGGTATCTCTCCAGGGAGCGCTGAACTGGCCGTCACCGGTAATGGTACAGCTGCCTGCTCGGCCCCGGCCGACACCTGCTAACATGACTGCAGCTCCTACCAACCAAGCCGCCAAAACACAGTCCAAATTCCCTCCCCCAAAGACGGACAAGCCCCGACCACATGTTTGTGGCACCTGCGGCCGTTCATTCGCGAGACTGGAGCATCTTAAACGCCACGAACGCTCGCATACCAAGGAGAAGCCTTTTGAGTGCCAGGAGTGCAAAAGATGTTTCGCCCGTCGAGACCTGCTTCTGCGACACCAACAGAAGCTGCACTTCACGAACAACCCGTCCAGTCGACCGAAGAACAACAGGCGCGAGAGTACTAGCGGACCCGTCAACGGAGGCCGTGTGAGAAAAGGTTCAATAGCCAATGCTGGTACTGCCACTACAAATGCAGGGGGCAGACCTCGAGCAAACACACTCGGCCATTTGGATCTGGGATCCCTCGGATTGATGGGAGTCGTTCCGGTTGATGCACAAAGGCCCACCCATGCCAGTATGGCTCACCACCGCATGAGCATGAACAATCAACAGCGCCCCTCAAACTTGGACCTCAATGGTACAAACAGTATGACACATCCCGGGATGAATCAACAAGATGGTTTCGACCTTTCTCGTGTTGATACCCATACTTCTCACATAGATTTTGGCGAACCCTTGACGCACATCCATACGGCGCCGGCATATACAAGCATGCAACCAAGCGAGCTGGAACAACTCTTCACCCCAGGAGGAAATACAGTAAATCCTGCTCAATTGCACTTTGCTGCTTCGACAGCATCGCAGCCTGTTAATCTCCAAAATTTCCACATGAACCAATTCGATCTGTTCGGTCAAGGCGATGATTTTGCGTGGATGAGAGACTGGGATTCAGCACAAATGCAATCGCATACCAACAACGAGGCCATCGATCAGTCATCGCCATCACAATTCAGTACTGCTAGCCAGAGTGGTTATTCCGAGACTGTAGCCGATAATCCTTTCCATATCAATCTCTCCCAAGCTGGCTGGAATCCGAACGACATGCAGGCTCTAATGACTCCCGGTGCGCTCAACCTGGACATCCTTAGTACAGGCCTGCCATCTATTGATCCTCCATTGAACACAATTTCGCCGCAAAACTTGCATGATCCGTCTTCAACAAACGATCCCAAGTTGGACACTCTCATGATGCACTCTGGCGTGTCTGACTCACTAAGTGGCATGCATTTCAACCAATTTCAGCAACCAACCCTTTCCAATTTTGATTCCGACAGCCCTAGCATCTCATCGTCATCAGTACCAGACAGTGCGAGGCAAAGCTCCGTGACCTCCATCTCCACAGATTCCATCACAGATGCCACTCGTCAAGCCTTGCTCCAGAGTCTCTCACAACAATCCGCCTTCAGTCACAGAAAGTTCTCGCAGCCATCCGTTAGTTCGCCTCTATCGCCCAGACCCCAAGGACCGAATCTCCCTTCTACTGCCGATTTGCAGCGTTACATCAATGCGTATATCCAGTACTTCCACTCCCACCTACCGTTCCTTCACATACCCACATTATCTTTTGACTCGCCCGAATACACGATGAATCTTCGAAGCGCCGGCTCTCAGGTCTCGGCCAGCCATACTGGCGTAGTTGGTGGTGGCGGCTGCCTCATCCTCGCCATGGCTGCAATCGGCGCCTTGTATGAGTACGATCACCAGGCCTCAAAAGAGTTGTTCGACTCAGCGAAGAAGATGATTCAACTCTATCTCGAAGAGCGCCGCAAGGCCGACATGTCTGCAGCTGTCAATGGCGGGCAATACTTCAGCACGGAAAATTCTTCGCACAACACACCATTGTGGTTGGTCCAAGCGATGCTGCTGAATGTCATTTACGGTCACTACTGTGGTGACAAGACTGCAGCTGATATTGCGAGCAACCACTGCGCAGCATTAGTCAGTCTCGCCCGTGCTGCGGAACTAGCACATCCAGCCAGCAGCCACGAAAATTTCGGGGATATCAAAGACGAGAAGCCAGATGTTAACATGGAAGATGGTTCTTCGCCATTGAATGGCCACACAACTATCCATCTTCAGTGGTTGAAGTGGAAAGAAGTAGAAGAGCGCAAAAGGACGCTTTTCGCTATCTTCATACTCTCCAGTTTGCTTGTGATCGCATACAATCAGACACCAGCCATCACCAACTCAGAGATTCTCCTTGCGCTACCTTGCGATGAGGAGCTCTGGACAGCAGATAGTGCTCGAGAGTGGGCTGCCAGAGGCGGTGCTCAAGCAGCCGAATCCAGTGCCACACCATTTTCTGCAGCATTGAGTGATCTATTGACAGCCAATCAAAGACAACAAAACATGTATATCTACAACAGATACAGCCCCAATGGTGACTCGAATGGAGTGGGTAGCCAGCTCCGACCAAGCACCTTTGGATGCCTGATCTTGATCAATGCTCTTCACAACTACATCTGGGAGACAAGAAGCAGGCATATTGGACGCCAGTGGACAGCTCAAGAAACCGAGTCTATGGTGGCTCACATCGAGCCGGCGTTGAATGCGTGGCAAGCTGCATGGAAGGCCAATGATCGTCATAAGCTGCAGCGACCGAATCCTTTCGGTTTAGGTCCTTTGGCCGCTGACAGTATCCCTCTACTGGACTTGGCCTTTGTAAGGCTTTTCGTCAACCTTGGACGTTCGAAAGAGGCTTTCTGGCAGCGCGACTTTGAAGCCATGTCAGAAGAGCTAGCCTGTGGAATCGATATTGCACAGACAGGTTCACCTGATCACACATCAAACGGCTCGTCTGCAGACTCGCCAGGCTTCTTGCAAGGTGCTTATTCACACGGTCAAGCACAATCGTCGGGACAAAGCTCCAAGCGCGAACGCCATCTGCGGAAGGCGGCCTTCTATGCCGCTGATTCGCTTGTCATCTCGTCCAAATGCAATTTGACGTTCGCAGATTCTTCTGCTCATGAGCTACCCATCCAATCAGCTATATGCTTCCTCGACTGTGCCCAAGTGCTGGCCGAATGGGAGACCACTGTCCAGGAGCGCATTGGTCGATATGTTGGCGTGCTGGGTCAGGCAGATGTAGATTACGGTCAAGTGCCTGCCGTCATGCTGCTCGACACTGAAGACGTGGAGCTCTTGACCAAGATGGAAAGCATTTGTACTGTGATGGAGGAGAAGATGGCCATGCAAGCCAAGATGCTCGCTCACGAAATGGACACTCTAGATCCTAATAATTCCATGGGCATTCCATCGCCACTAGAAAGGCTCAATGGATTGTCGAAGTGCGGACTCGGCAGTAGAATCTTGCGCATGACTGCGCAGATGCTTGAGAAGGCAGCTGTTTGGCCTGGTAAGCCTTTTCACTTTGACTGCCCTGATCGAACATGTTGAAGCTAACTGATGGATTAGTGACCCACGTAATGGCTAGTGCCCTAGAAACACAAGCAGCCCATGCAGATCGCCGTGCCGAGTCTTCTGTCACTGCTGTGGCCTAGAACCCTTCATATTTTTTCCGAAGGAACTTACGAACCCGACCCACGAAGCGACGAACACCCCTTCTCTTCTATTCATTCGCTCCTCACCATGGTCTTTTCGTTGTCGGAAACACTGCTGTAATCACATCATCATGTATGCAAATGGGAAAATATTTTTGGCGTTTATTGGGAATCAGGGGGCAAGAGATGAGACAAAAAGAAGAGAGGTATCTCTGTGAATATCTGGCTGAAAGAGAGAATACGAAGCGAAAAAGTGGCATTTTGGAAACAGAAAAATCCCATCATATCACAACACACTCGCTTGCATTGGGACTTGGGACTTGGGACTTCAGGGACAAGAAAAAGGCGAATTTATGGATGTCTGAAATTCCTTTTGGTATTCTTTTTCATTCATCTCATTCGTATTGATACGTTCTCTCTTACCTTTTGCCTCAACAGTGCCATCTCCATGTGGTGTGAGATTAAGCTACCGGCGACATGGTGAGGATTGTGGTCTTCAACCAACACTGCTGTTCCTGCTCATGATGTCCACTTACTTGCTTGGAAAATAAGATTTGAGCAGAGTCTTGCTAGAACAAACCAACTTACCATATCTACTTGATCGTAAAGTCTATGTCTTGTTCCTTGATCGAGATCCCATCAATTGTGTTCCGAGCCACAAGGGTTCTTTATTGGACGCGTTGATGCACTCACCGAAGCAATCGCCGCAGTCTCTTTCTTGTTAAAAGAACTTACTCGGGCAACGAACAGAGTCATGTGCATATACTCAACTTCTAGAACTGCAATATTGCGAAAATCATTGTTGAGGTCGCATGACCAAGTATCCGTCTGGGAGAACTCGAGTCATTCAAAGTCGACATGTGAAGCCTGAAGCCTGAAACTTGATGCCTGAAGCCTAGAGGCATGAATATGATGCTTCTTGTTGCCCGAGTGAATTGGTTGCTTCTGCCATGGCAAGACGGGTCTGCGCAGAAAACACGACAGGCGCAAAGTCACAGCAGAGCACACTCATGCCATCAAAGTGTCACGACAGCGAAAAGCAAGTGCAGGCTAGACCTTCCAGAGCACCTGAGTGGGCAGAGGCTTATCTATGAGCAAGCTTATCTCCTCCAAGCTCCGGTGCGCTCTTTGTTGTGACAGCATCGAGTTCATGGACGTCACCCGTCGATAGCGGTGACTCAGTCGCTCATCAGAGTAAAGGAGGTCAGGGGTAATAGAGAACTTGATGAAAAAGCAGAAGGGGAGAAGAGTCATCAGGGCCGTCTCAGTCTTGTTGCAGTCGTGACCAAAGTCGTGATCTTGTGCCAAAAGAGCGGGTCGCCGCGACGATCAACGTGCTGCTCTGATTGCGGCTTCAATCTGCATTCGCAAGTTGCAGCCCATCCTACTTTCCCTACAACACGCCAAACTCCCTCGTATCTTGTCAATATACACCACTTTACTATCGCCTTACCGCTTGCTGCCTCCTGCATTTATTTCTTTCGCGTGTCCATCCTTTGTCGATAACGAGTACCCCGTTCTGCGGAGTCACAACCCAGCACCGTTCGATACAGGCTTCGCTGCCGACTGACTCGACCGCCATCTGACCCAACCGGCCTTCGTCCTCGTCTTTGCCTTATTCGCTTCTGTTATCACCTTCCTGGTCACTCAGCCTCTCGTCTTCAGTCGTCGACGTGCACTTACCGTCGACCCCTCGTTGACCCTGTATACCTCGACGCCATACCCCGAATCGCCAGCGTTCGCCCCTCCGTCGAACACCGCTTCCCCTCCCGCAGTCATCTTCGCGTCGTTCACTCCGGATCACACAGATGCATTGCTAGCCGCCCTGCTCCAGGCCCTTCAGTCCGATCACTGCCCTGCCGAGTTATTACAACATGGCGACACATCGCTCCTCCGCAGGACATGGTCGTCGCGAGGCCCAGGTGATCGAGGTCCCTGTTGGTGACTTCATCCGCAAGAATGAGATTGGCAAGGGCAGTTTTGCTACTGTCTATCTCGCCTCTCACAGGGTATGCAACTCAGATCTTCTGTCTTGACATGATCCTCATTACTAATTTGAATAACAGAAGCGCAAGTCGTACGCTGCTATCAAGTCAGTCGTCACAGGAAAGCTGACGGGAAAGTTGAGAGAGAATCTCAACTCCGAGATCAACATCCTGAGGAAGTTACAACACCCTCACATCGTCGCCTTGTTTGAATGTGTCGACACTCCGCAGCATATCCATTTGGTCATGGAGTACTGTCAAATGTCGGATCTGGCTGCTTTCATGAAGGGTAGAGCCCGGATTGCTACACTGCCTGAGACGCACGACATCTTCGACAGATACCCGAATGCGCCTAACGGCGGTTTGCATGAAGTCCTGGCCCGTCACTTCCTCAAGCAAATTGCCAGTGCACTTCAGTACCTGCGCAAATACAACTTGATTCATCGCGACATCAAACCGCAGAACTTGTTGCTTAACCCGCCTCCAACGTATATGCAGAATCAAAAGCCAGAGGACGTGCCCTTGGCAGCAAGCGAGAATTCACTAATTCCTGCTGTCGGTGTGGCTTCTCTGCCCATGCTGAAGCTTGCTGACTTTGGTTTCGCTCGTCACCTTGCCAGTACTTCCCTGGCCGAAACTCTTTGTGGCTCTCCTTTGTATATGGCCCCGGAAATCTTGGCTTATCAGAAGTACGATGCAAAGGCAGATCTGTGGTCCGTAGGTACTGTGGCCTACGAGATGGTGGCTGGAAGGCCTCCTTTCAAAGCAACAAATCACGTTGAGCTGCTTCGCAAGATCGATCAAGCACAGGACGTGATTCAGTTTCCTGCTGGATTGGTTGTTTCTCGGGAGTTCAAGGACACAATCAAATCTCTTCTGAAAAGACAGCCTACACAGCGCGTCAGCTTCGACCGATTCTTTGGAAGTTCCACAATCATAGGCGACATCCCTGACCTTGTCGAAATGGACAGACCCCGTGTTGCCGATGCGTCTGACTCTGACATCGCCATGTCCGCGCTGAGTCTACGTCTGCAGCAGCAGTCCATAAACAGTCCCGAGCAAGAGATCGACAATGTTGGCAGCGGACAAGCTGTGCGTGATCCGTTTTTAGGCGTGACTAGAAAGCCTACGGTTGCGACTGCCTCGCCAAGCGTAGAGCCTACCAAGAGACCCGAGATGCCCATCAACCGTCGACAGACCGAAGCAGCTATCCCTCCCTTGACAACTCAAGTTGAAGCGAAGCGTCATGCTGGCCAGATGGAGCAAAAGAGGCCACCACTGGTCCCGACCGCAACTGCTCCCTCGCGCCAAGAGCTGCAGCACGTAGCCCCCATCAACCAAGGCAGAGCGAACAATCCACGCTATGTTCCATCCCCGGTCTCCTCGGCTCCACAGACCTCGCCCATGCATGACAAGATGTCTCGAGAGTCGCGCGATACGAACACAGCTCATGACTTGACATTTGAGAAAGAGTACGTTATGGTTGAGAAGAAGGCAGTTGAAGTGAATGCTTTTGCCGATGAGCTCGCGGACCGCAACAGACAGCCGGAGAACCACACGAACGGCATGGCTCGTCGTGCAACGGCTCCGGTCGTGCCTGGCGCAAATGTCGTATCGAACGTGCTGAAGACAGTTTCTGGTAGACAAACAGGCACACTTCATGGTCGTCGTCCTTCTTTCGAGCAACGCGGTCAAACTCCCACACCCACAGACTACCTATCGCGAGCTTTGAGCGCAGCCAAGAATCGCATTGGCCAGGCAATCAACGGACAGCCACAGGGTATATCGCCGCCTCAAGGATACGCTGGCTTTCCTGCGTCTTCAGCACCCCCTCTGCAACTGGCTATCGGCGATGGAAGAAACTCACCGAGCAACGTTGACGAGGACACTCGATTGCTTCAGATCGTGGAAGAAGGCGCAACTCGCAGTGATGTGGTGTACGGATTTGCAGAAGTCAAGTACAGACAATTGCTTCCCGCAACTCCTTCGGCAGAAGACAGAACCACGATTCGCCAGATCAGTGCCTTGGAACAACCTCTCCACACTGGCGAGGACGCTGATAACCAAGATCTCACCCAGGTCGCCATCGTGGCAGTCGCAGAGGAAGCATTTGTTCTGTACGTCAAGGCCTTGGCCATCCTGGTAAAGACTATCAATCTCGTGAAGTACTGGTGGGATCGCCAGCGCAAGATGGACACTCCACCAGGATCACTTCCATCGAGACTCGGCGAAGTCAAGCAAAGTTCCTTCGAGATGAACAAGAAGATGAACAACGTCGTCCAGTGGGCTCGCACACGCTTCAATGAAAGCCTCGAGAAGTCCGAATTAGTTGGGCGCCGTTTGATCGAAGCTCAGAAGCAGCTCCCAGCTAGTCACCCAGGACATCCAAGCAATCATGGCCAGTTACAATCTTCAGGATCCGGCAATGCCTTGACCGCGGCTGTTGATCACATTCAATTGACTAGCGGTGTCACAGCCGAGAAACTGATGTTTGATCGCGCCGTCGAGATGAGTCGTGCTGCTGCTGTCAACGAGCTTGTGGGAACCGATTTTGCCGGCTGCGAGCTCAGTTACATCACATCGGTCATGCTACTGGAAGCCGTCCTCGAGAATGATGATGAGCCCCTGCTCTCAAAAGCAAGTACGCACAAGGCTAGAGCAGGTAATGCAAACACCACTATCAACGGCATGGATTCCGAAGACCGCGATGCAGTTCTCAAGTGTAAGTTCTGCAAGAATGATCTGGCCCTAATTTGTACTGACTCTTTCTGTCTAGTGATTGAAAGCACTCGCGGCAGACTTGATTGTCTTCGCCGTAAAATCAAGCAACAGAATGCGGCGAAACAGAACAACCCAACATCCACTACCAGGCCTATGGCAAGAACATCTTCGTCGCCAGGCACAGCTATTGGCACATCGCCGAGATAGATAATTACCTCCACTAAAGACCGGCTCTTTATACGCAAGCTATGAATCATGAGAAGGAGTATATTTGGTGTCTCTTTTCTTTTTCTTTTTCTTTTTCCTTCTCTTACTTTTACACATATCCGGAGGTCGCAACGCAAGAGAGCCCGGGTCGATGACGGCGCAACATTCAGGTAATTGTTTCGTTCAGGGGATTTCTGCATCAGTTTCATCATGCTGGTTTCATGGCGTATGGTCAGGAATGCAGGTCGGGAGCCCACGGGGGCAAGCAGTAATTAGGCGCTTACACAACAAGTGACAATGGCACTCTTTGCTTGATAGGCATCAGAGGAGAAGGATATGCGGGTCAATGGAACAAGACGATTCGGGTCAGTATACTTAGCATAAAGACCTAAACACGAATTTGTTACAACATGTTCGAGAAGACTTGTTGACGAAGCTCGTGCTGTTGTCAAGACTTAGGCGGCAGAGGTTAAGTGAGGTACGCGGCCAACGCTCGTATAGAAATTGCGACGCGAGGTGTCTGGCTCGTGCCCTCAACCTTGTGATAATTCAGAGAGGAGATCAGTTGCGATAGACGCAGCGTGAAGAAGACGATGAAAAGGCTTCTGGATCTCAGGTTTGACAAGAGCCAAAATTGGTCAAAGGTATCTGCAAGCACGTTGACAGAAGAAGGGGAGGTACAAGCAGTGTTCCTGCCAAGGGTAGAATACGGTGTTTCACCTTAGAAGGCCTCCGTCGCTCGAGCCTCCACAAGCTCAATCTCTTGCCGTCAACAATAATCTTGCTCGGTGGCCTGTTGCTTCCTCAGAAGGCCTCTTGTCCTGTTCATTCTCTGCCTCGCTGGTTGGAATCACCAAAGACTGCGCGCTTGGTGTGATCGTTTGTCAACACGACCGTTTCTGGGGAAAGGCCCTTGATTTACACCGACAGCGACACCCTCCTTTGTTTCGTCTCGGTCGACTAGCTGTGGTCGACACAAGTCTGCCATGACGAGTTTCGCGAATTCTTTTTGGTCGTTAGACCAAAGTTATGCAGGAGGTATGGTCATCCCAGTTCTTCGCATGCTCGTGCTAACTCGGCGACAGGCTTGGGAGTCCTCTTTGGCAAGCTCCAACAGGGCGTGCAGGAGAATCAGCAGGTCCTGACGATTGCGCGCATGCGAGCCGAAGCTGAAGATCTATACGGTCAGCGCCTGGGTGATATCGATGCTGCTACTTTGAAGATCGAGGGAGGATTCCAGAAAGATGATGGCGCCAGTGTCAAGAAGGTGTGTCGCCGAGTGCTCTGTTCTAGACGTTTGCAGAATAGACGGCTAATGCAGACAGGCATTCGAGGGTATGCGTTCCGAAATGAGCGAGGCTGCCAAAAACCACCGCAAGATAGCATCCAACATCCGCGAGCTCGTTGTAAGCCCTTTCGCGCGCTGGTGCGACGCCCACGCTGCCCGAGTTCAGAACTCCCAAGATGACCTGCAAGCACGTATCAAAGCCCATGATCGACAAGCCGATCACGTCCGAACCTACCGCAGTCAATACTACAACAAGTGCCGTCGAGTCGAGGATTTGGACGAAGAAGAGAAGCTGGCCTTCCAGGACCCCCAAAGTGAGGCTGCTCAAAGTCCTAAGCCTGCCTCGCAAATCCCAGTCGTCAAACTGTCTGAACCTGAAGAGGAGGATGAACCTGAGCCTATCGATATCGGTGATCAGACATACACCCCTGATCAAGTTAAGAAGATCCTCAACCATATGCTCGAGACCATCAAGCTGGGCGAGGCCAAGGTTCCTATTCTCGGCACATACCACAACGTTTCGACTGGAGCCGACATCACCGATTACATCCAGAAGCACATGAACGGAACCAGCGTCAGTTATGCCGAGCGCATCGGTCAGGACATGGTCAGCCATGGCTTCCTCAGACTAATCGGTAATGTTGGAAGCACCTTCGCAAACAGCAGCCGTATGAACTATCAGTGGCGCCCCAAGGTCTTCCAAATAACAGGCCTTCCTGAGAGACGAGGCATGGGCAGATCTGCTACTGTATCGTCTGTCAGTTCGATTCCGGATTCGCCTGTTGGTGCTGTTGGCGAACTCTTTTCCGGATGGAACCCTCTGAGCAACGCTCACCCTGGCGAAACGCCTGCAGCAAAATTGCGCAGAGAAGCTCGCGAGGCCGACGAGCGCTACAAAGCTGCTGTGAGAAAACTTGATGCACTTCGTTGCAACCTTGAGGAAGCCATGGTTGATCACCTCAAATTTATGGAGCGTTGCGAGCTCGACCGCCTAAAAGCCATCAAGAGCGTGATACTGGATTTCTCTGGAGCCATCAGCAATGTCATTCCTAGCTTGCAGAGCACAGTGGACAACATGATGCTTTTCCAGGAAACTGTTCAACCGCTGGGCGACTTGCGCTACCTTCTGGAGAACTACAGGACAGGTCCATTCGTGCCCAAAGTCACCATCTACGAGAACTACTACAACAACGTTGACGAGCAAACTTTCGGCATTGACATCGAAGCCCGCGCTCGTGCTGACAGAAAGCGTGTCCCTCTGATCGTCACCACTCTGCTTACCTTCCTCGACAACCATTACCCTGAGCTTGAAGGTGACGAGGCCCGTCGCAGCATCTGGCTTGTGGACGTTCCTCTGGCTGCTACTCATCATCTGCGAAACATTCTCAACACTGGCAAAGACACGGTCTCTCAAGACACCCTGGATCGCTACGAAATTCCAATCGTCGCGTCGGTTCTGAAGCTCTATCTGCTTGAGCTTCCCGATTCTCTGGTTTCAGCTCATGTCTACGAGATCATCAAAACGATCTACACAAGCACCGCGCCTAACACTTCTGAAAGTGCACGCATCTCTGTAATTCAGAGCACGCTCGGCCAACTCAGACTTGCAAACATTGCCACTTTGGATGCTATCACGACGCACTTCACGCGTCTGATCGAGCTGACATCGGCTGAAGAAGGATATATCTCGGCTCTTGCTACTACACTTGCGCCCTGTATTCTTCGCCCCAAGCAAGGAAACACCCTCTCATTGAATGAGAAGTTCAACTACAGACTTGTCCGTGATTTGTTTGCTCACAAAGACACTATCTTTGGAGAGCTCAAGCGTCAGTCCTCATTGACACACACAAACTCTGGCGCCTCTAGACCTCGTGCTATTAGTACCGACGAGAGCAGACGTCGTGAGCACATGGAAGAGCGTCAGCGGGCCATTATTGCTGCAGCTGAGACTCGTGGCCGTGCGTCCAGTCCCTTCAAGTCCACATTTGCCGGTCCTCTTGGATCTATGCACAAGCGAGATCGCAGCTCAGGCGCCGAGACACGATTCCCTGTTACTCCCTCCGCCGCAAGTACTCCCTCCGCTGACGCTCGCCATGTGAACCGTGGCAGTCTAGAGGTTCCTGGTTCTCCAAGTCGCGCACCCGTCCTGCTGCAGTCACCACCCAAGGGTAATGGAAAATCTGATTCTCTCCCATCTTCCTCCGATTCAGCAGTTTCAGGAGATACCGCCGCTCCTGTCACCCGTCAACGCAGTGACACTACCAATTCGGTAATCATGACTCCTGGTGCTCAGACAGAAGCTCCTGATTATCTCGCCCACGCTCAAAGCCAGCAGCACGATGAAGAGGCTGGTAGTGATGCGGACTCTATAGCACCTGAACCGAGCTCAGGTATCAGCAACAACCGTCAATCTGTCGAGGTCGAAAAGCGCAACTCTCTCAATCGATCAATGGGACGTGTTGCTCGTAAGGGTACTGCAAGCAGTTTATCTCGTCAAAGTCTGATTGGCAAGCGGGAGAGTGTCGGTAGCGTAGGCACTTCATCGTCTGGCGCCGCAACCGCAGCTGCAGCTGCGCCCGCTGCCGATTTCGTTGACAGCCCTGTTGACGTTGCAGAGCGCCCAGAAGAGGCATTGAGCCACCGCGGTGTCGAGCTCGTTGACAAACCTATGGATGATGACTAGGAATGATCTCCAAAAACCTTGAAACGAACTGAAACGTGCACACGAGCGTTTTGCTGGGCCTCTTTTGTTGTCCTTGTTAGAAATGTTGTTTATTCTTCACTGATTTACCTTTCATGGTTTTGTCACCTTTCTCTTCTATTTCTCCACAGGATATCCACAGCGAGAGTTGTTCACATACCATAGGCGCGCTTGCTTTCTTGACCAGTCAATTAGATTTGCAATTCTTCATCTTCACATGTGCACTCCTTATGAGCAAATAAATGACTATGACGTAGCGAACGCGTGAACTTCGTGTTTGGAACACAGTCCATCAAGCACTTAAACATCTGCAAGCAACATCAATCTTGTCTTACCTACGTGCCAATCGAGTCCACCTTCTATTTCGACACAGCCTTCCAATAGGATAGGCGCCAGCCCTTGCCATGACATCTTCCACACTCGAGTGCAACGTCGAAGTCCGCGCATCGTCAATCGCAGGCAATGGACTTTTCGCAACCAAGGACATACCAACGGGATCCACGATATTGCTCAAGACACGTCCTATGATTGCCGAATTAGATTTGGAGCGACTGCAGGATACTTGCCACAACTGTTTCATGCGGTCACAAAAAGCTGTTCGGGCATGTGCTTTACATGCTACAGAGGCCGATCGCCTTGGTCGACATCCTGATTGTCCTAGTTGTCAAACTGAGGGCGAGGTTGTTGCCGTCAAAGCTTGTACGGGTTGTAAGAGGGTGAAGTACTGTAGTAAGGTATGTTCTGATTTTTTCATTGGTTTCCCAGACCCGAAGCACATTTTGAATATACTTCCTCAACGTGATTGAAACAACAATAGAACTCAGCTCATTTAAAGTCCTTTCATACAGGTTTGCCAGAAGCAGACTTGGACCAGATACCACAAGTTTGAATGTAAGATGATGAGAGACCCAAGACTTCCACCCATACCCTACTCTGTACGAGCGGCATTGCAATTAGCATTCCTTATTAACAGTGATGCTGTATCTGAGGAAGAGAAGGCAGGTATACATCGTCTTGAAGCTCATGATCCATCTACACTCGAAAGGTCTCAGGACGTCATGCAGTACGAGATGACTATAGCATCAGCAAGTGATCTCCTTGCCCGCGTAAATCCCAATCATCCCGAATTGTCCAGAATACCAAAATATGTCGGACAGGTATGTTGTCCTTAACTCCAAGGGTGGCGAGATGCTGAAGAGAGCAGATCCTTCGAAACTCGTTGACTCTGATCACACCTAATCTGGACCCTATCGGTGTAGCGACAGACCCCCTGGCATGCTCAGCAAATCACTCTTGCGACCCTAATGCAAGTGTTCTGTTCGACGCACCTAGACTCATGATGCGCTCCTTAGCGCCTATCAAAAAAGGTGAAGAAGTGTTTATCTCTTATGTCGACAACACAGATCCGTTCTATCGTCGACAAGCTCTCCTAAGGCTGCGATACCGTTTCGAGTGCAAATGCTCCAAATGCCAACTCGGAATCAACGGAAGGGAAAATGCTTGGGCAAAGCCATTGGCAAATCTTGCTCCTAAATGGTCGAGCCTCGCCAAGGTCATGGACAGTCGCGAGCACTATTCAGCCGAGCCAGCAAACTATGTGGGTGAGAGCAGAGCTGAGATGGACATGGCAATTATCCAGGGCTCAGTATACAGTGACTACGAACCCATTTGCCAACAAAAGGACAACAAACTCGCCATCGAAGCGCTTGAGAACATTATGCGAACTTGCAAGCAATCAGAAATGTGGCCCATCACCCGACAGCCATATGCGAACATCCGAGTGGACATCGCCGCTCGCATGCTTGACGAAAACCGAGTTGCCCTTGCTCTGTTCCAAATGGCAAAGACATACTTCCTCATCGACCCAATCTTGTATCCGCAAGACTTCCATCCCATCAGAGTGGTCCACACTTGGAACCTAGCGAAAACACTGGTGCAGGCATACTCTTCGCCCAACGACCCTAGCCAAACCGTCGATCCTGGCGTAGAACAGCTCTTCCAGATGGGCTTCGATTTCGTGGTCCCGGTCTGGAAACTCTTGAAGAAGCTCAGTGTGGATGTGGTTAAGAGTCACGGAGGAGATAGTCGTCTTACATCCATGGTACACGCTCTCACTGAACAAGTCAAAGATGGCATTGGTATGCAGAATTTGGTTCGGATCGAACGAGATCCTCTGGGTATGTGGAGGGAGTTTGAGAAGTGGGCATATTATTTGGAGTCCTAGGAGCTATTCGAGGAAGGTGAAAGGAGAGACGACCGAAGATGCCGAAATCCTAATGATAAATGGCTTGACTTTGATTTGTTGTGGCAGGGACCATGGAAGAGATATATATATATCATACTGTCCAAAAGCAAATCAAACAATTTTACGAAGAAGGAGCAACCCATCACACACCAAAAAAAAATCCCAATTCCCAACTCTGAAACTCCCTTTCCATCACCTAAAAGAACTTCTCAATCTGCTCCGACCCCTCTACTTTGCCCACCCAACCAGCCCTCTCACAAGTATAAACCTCTGCCTTCGGTTTATTAACATCTACCGCCTTCTCATCATCCAACACGCCAACCCTCACAACCATAATCCCCTGTTCCTCACTCATATCCCCTACTCTCCACAAACTGCTTCCACAGTCACCGCAGAACACTGTCGTTACAGTACGACCTGAGTCTGCTTTTGCAGAGTATTTCTTGGGAGTGCCAGTGAGGAGGGAAAAAGAAGAGGTGGGAATGACGATGTTGGTGCTGTAGGCCGAGCCGGAGATTTTGCGGCAGTCGGTGCAGTGGCATGCTACCTGTTTTTCATTAATTCGAGATTAGATGGTTTTTTCTTGGATGGCTTGGATTTGGGGGTCGGTGGGATGGATGGCTGAAGGGGGCTTACCTTGTTGATTGGTTCACCCTCGTAGGAAAAGGTGATTTTACCACAGTAGCAGGATCCTTTGCCCATTGTTGCGTTTGCAATCGATTTGCTGTTCGAGATATCGTTGTTGATGATACAGCTTCTTATGACGTTGGCCGGCAAGGTAGGCTCTGGTTTTTGGATTTTTCCTCGCGATATCGATCAACTCGCGTTTCTCGACGATCAAAGTAGGTTCTGAGAATACCAATTGGGTCCTTCCTTGGTCATATACACTACACGGAGTATATTCCTCCAGCAAGGCAGATTACAAATTGTAGGTAGCGGACGTTCGGATGAGGGGTGTCATGATATCACGGTCTAGACTCTCGCTCGAGTTGGAGATAAAGCTTGAAGCATCGCACGTGACTTTTGATATCGAGGTTACACAGCATCACATCCTGATAGTAGACAGAATTTGCTTGTCAGAATGGGTAGAAGAGTATCGGAGGCTGGTTGAGAGTTTGTTCTGTGCCTATAAGGTGCAATTCGCGTGTGTGAGGTGCAAATCTACTCCGTATCAGATATATACCATCGACAAATCGGAAGATCGAAGTTCGGCCGAAGTGTGTCACTGTGTGAAAACCTGCATCGTCTGCACTATTGGCCTTTGTGGTACGTGAGTAGCCAAAAGAAGGGCAGGGAAGTCATGGAGCGCATGTATTTTGTTGAAATCCGACTCAAGACCAGATAAGACTGGGCGAGTGTTCGGATTCATGGCATGACCAGGGTGATACGCGCAGCAACTTATGATGAGAGTTGACATACTCTAACGCATATTAACTACATGATGGCAAATGACAAAGTCAAACGCAAATGGAGTGTCATGGAGTGCTAGTATGTAGTGCGATGGTGAGCCAATGTTGGCTGGATCGAAGATAAGAGACGTAAAAAGAACTCGGAGTCAGGGTTTGCAGGAAGTGGGAACAACCAAGGCAAGAACCAAGAACACTTTTTGATTGGTCATGATTTGCACTTCTCGCTTTCGAGATAACGAATGACGGGTATCAAGAAGAATACGAAATCTCCAAACCAACCGAGCCGATGATGTTATCTCGTCTCTTCAAATTTAGATCCGCACCTATACTGACCAGCAGATCTTTGATGCGGCCTTCCCAAAGCACACCAATCTTGCCATGTTGATTGACTCTTGCCTTAAACACGCTGTCCACTTCCTGTGTGCTGTTTTGTTGAAGCAGGTCTTTGGTGATTTTGCTCTCCAACATTGGGTCTTGCGGTGGTGCTGGTGGCTCGTTGTCTTCAATGGGTATGGTGTCGCTGTTAATTTCTGCAGGCTTTCTTCGCCAGAGTTCGAGACCGAGTTGGACGTCAGACTCGTAGCTGTAGATGTTGAAATCGAAGCGAGAGCTCAAGGCCACATCGTGGCCAGCCTTGACGGCATAGCTGGAGGAAATATTGCCCATTAGAGGATTCATGGTCAAGGCCATGGTGTATGGGAAGCCAGTATGTGAAGGGAGTGTGGTGAAGCGGATGGCAGTAGACACGCCGCCAGACTTGTTAAGCGGCGAAAAATACAACTCTGCACCAGCGCTCAGACGACCGATTTGAGGATCAATGGGTACGACATTGCCATTCGGAGTTCTCGTGCGAGGGATGGTACGAGGATCGAGGCCAAAGTTGTACAGACCACGGATGCCCATCAAGCAGCTGTCTGTTGAAAAGAGATACTCGGTTGAGTACTTGGCATGGTCATTCTGTAGTTGGGCTAGGACAGAGCCGCCGTTGGGAAGAGCAGAGTCGGAGACACATGACAGACGGAGAAGGCGCGATGGCGATATACGTCGCAGGTACAAGGCCTCGAGAGTGGAGGTAGGCAGGTACAAACGACCATAGAGCAGAGTGTCCTTCTTGTCAATTCTCCTTCCAGCCTGCCATATTTCCCACAGGTACGTCTCGTCAGGCCGGCGTAGCTCGGGTAGGTGTCTGTAACCTCTGACCAAATTCCGCAAGTCTATAATGCTGCTTTGGGAAGGAATGCGCATGGGCAAGGACGAGTAGAGGAAGGAGATGGAGCCATCGACAAAACCTCTGTTGGAAAGAGTGTAAGACGTCGCAAAGCCAGGCGCTGACAGCGACGAGATGCGAAGGCGAAGGCCACGAGGAGTTTGAAAGTCGAGAAGGGCTCGAACAATGGTCAGCGCAACGGACGCGAACTAGATAGACATGATTATGGTTACCATTGGCCGTGGCCGTCAAGGTGCTGTAGGAATTATCATGATCCCACAGTGACGCCGAGTAAAAGGCATTTTGGACATAGTCCATGAACTCGATCATCTCCTCTATATCATGACTAGATCAGATGAACGACCAGAGAATATCTATTTGGTTCATGTCACGTCAACTTTGAGGTTGCTCGCAGGTCGAGGGTCGGCAGTCGGAGCTTTGAGAGCGTCTTTCCCCGCAAAAATGGCAGCTCCATCCTGATTTTTTTTGTAAGTCCAGTCGAGTCGCCAGCCAACATTTCACTCCCAGTCGCAAATCCCAGAACACCACAATCCCACATCACAACACGTCATGCCCAAGTCAAAGAGATCCAAGGTCGTCCACCTGACCCAAGTCCAGAAGAAGGACAAGGAGCTGCGCACAAAGCTCTTCGACAACGTCCGTGATGCCGCCGACAACTTCTCCCACATCTACGTCTTTGGCGTCGAAAATATGCGCAACACCTACCTCAAGGACGTCCGTACCCACTTTGCCGACTCGCGCATCTTCTTTGGCAAGACAAAGGTCATGGCTAAGGCCCTCGGCATGACCGACGCTGAGGAATACCAACCCGGTCTCTCAAAGTTGACCCCCTACATCGACGGCAGTGTTGGTCTTCTGCTCTCCAACCGCGACCCTGCAGAGGTCCTCGAGTACTTTGAGAACTACTCCGAGATCGACTACGCGCGCGCCGGTGTCAAGGCAACCAGAGACTTTACCGTTCCTGCTGGTGTCGTTTACTCGCGCGGCGGAGATTTGCCCATCGAAGAAGATGTTGCTCTGCCTCACAGTCTGGAGGTCACCGTCAGAAAATGGGGTATGCCCACAAAGCTCGACAAGGGCAAGGTTGTCCTCGACGGCGATTATGAGCTCTGCAAGGAGGGCCGCACCCTCAACAGTCACCAAACCGCTCTTCTCAAGCTTTTCGGTGTTGCCATGGCCGAGTTCAGAATCCAGGTCAAGGCCTACTGGAGCCAGGCTACAGCAGAAGTTACTCCTGTCGAGGACCCCAACACCATGGAGGAGTAAGGAGACTGAAAGAAAGAGATAAAAAAAGTGCCGCTAACGATGGGTTATATGGCTGGCAAGCTTGCATGAGCGAGGCGCTCTGGCGTTCAATGTGGTTGGTTGTTTTTGTTCTTCCATTTTCTGTACCTGGCATCTTACTTTTTGAAAACCAAAAAGTGATCCAAAATCATTGTATCCAAGATGGAAACGAAAGAGGTTCTGGCATGTGAAGGGGTTTCTAGATTGATATCCATGACCAAAAGAAAGTCTTCAAATTCACAAATCTTGTGCACGAAAACATCGAGCCAAACGGCACTTTTTCTGGAGTAAAGGAATGCATGTATTATTCTTGAGAAATACATTGATAATAAAAGACATTGACCATGAACGGAGGGTGGTATCAAGAGGACGTTCGTTGACTAGTGCTGCTAGATTCGTGCAACTCGCCTGCTGGAAGTACAAGGTAGAGACAAGGCACAAGTTCAAAAGAGAGCTCGAAAGGGACACCAGAGTATGATCATAAAGCCATGTCTTTTTGATTGCCCTCGAAATTTTGTTTTTGTTCGCGACACAACGTAGCCTCGAAGACGTTTTCCATTGCAAAGTTTTTCTTTTGTTGATGAAAAAATCGCCTATTGACCAACCCCCAGAAGCCCAGATCTTTTTATCAGTCCGAGAGGCCGTTCCGTGATGAGAGCATGATCAAGTGCTACTAAAAAAGTTTCCCCTCTCTCTGCGCCGAAGAAAAAGTACCATCATGAACCACTACAACGAATGCATTTATGACTCGGTGGTGATCTTGGCCTTGGCGTTGGTGACCTTGACACCGAGCTGCTTGGCGCGGGCGACAATGTCGATGCGCTTGCGGGCAGAGACGGCGTGGGAGATCCTGTAAGTGTACATGTTAGAACAGATGTCGCTTGATTTGCAAAGAGCGAAGACTTCATTGCTCGGTAGGAAGTGTGTCGTACTCAGCGGCGTAGGTGCGGTTGTGCATGAGGAGAAGGTCGAGCTCGCGGACGTTGTTGACGAGGAAAGCCTTGTGGCCGGAAGGCATCATGTGGCGGGTCTTCTTGTTGGAACCGTAACCGATCTTGGGCATGACAGCCTGGCCCTTGAAGCGACGGCGCATGGCATTGTCGATACCCTTGGGCTTTCTCCAGCTGGGGTCTACGCGCATGAAGCGGTCCGACTGGTGGCGGTTGAAGCGCGCAGTGCCTGCAAATCCATCACTGTCAGCGGCGGGCTCCCTGTTTCTCTTCTTCGACGGTCGTGTCTATCGTGGCGGCGCTCTCTGGGAGGATTGTGGTTGTGGAATTGTGTGCTCGTGGCTCTTCCTTGGACGGGCGGACGTACGCTTCTTGACGATAGGGACATGCTTCTTTGCGGCAGGCATCTTTACGAGAAATCGAGGTCAGTGATGCTGTTTGTGTAGCAGAGCGAGCGGGAGGTATATCGTACTGTGTCGGATTGGGCGAGTTGTCGTTGGTCGCTGGTCGAGTTCGTCGTTCAATCTCAGAGTGTGTGAATTTTCCACATCGCACTTTCCTCGCTTAGCGTTGTGGCCGGCCCCACTTATTTCCGCTTTGGGCAAGAACCCCTCTGCCCTTCCTTCCCTTCACCACCTATGTATGCTCAACATCTATTATTCTCTACTTAACAATTTTGGTGTAGCCAAACTGCTGATACAAGTCAATGAGCGTTTACTTGAGGTATCTTCGGCGTCAATTCTACAGGTTGAGATGACATTGTTCCTCATCGAGAATAATACAGTGCTTTGCATTAGGTTGACGACTGCATCTATCGACTATGCCATTACTGCACCGATTACTTCGCACAGGGTTGCTGATAAACACAAGAGAGTGATAGTAGCGATGCGAGCCACACCGAGTCATAAATATCATCATTAAGCTAACTGAAGACTAAAATAATATCATCATTGAATGTCTGTGATCCGGCCAACCATGGCTGTGTCCCCTCAAGAGTACAGAATATGCATCCAAACGCCTCGCTAAATAGACACCTTTTCTTTCAATGAATACTATCTCAGGTTGCAGTGACTGTCTGCAGTGTTTGAGAGAATCCCGATGACCTGCGCCGACCCTTACTACCCGCCGTCCGCATCTTATGTGGCGTTGATGCCTTCTTAACATTCGGTGGCGGCAATGGTGTTTGTTCCACTTTCATCTCTGGCGGTGGTTCAACAGACTGCTGCGGGCCGACTTTGCTCTCCTCAATTTTCACCAGAGGTTGTTCTGGGACTTGTTCGCTTTGTTGACTAGGTGTGGTGTCGATAAGGGATTCTTCTTGGTGCACCATCTGTGTATCTTGTGATACAGGTCCAGGAGCAGGAACATCGACGCGTTCGTAGAAGAGCATGAAAACACCGCCTTGTCCGAGGACATGGTCTTCACTGACTGCAGATACATCGTCATCACTGAGCCGCCACCACTTTGTAGGAGTAGGCTTCGACAAAATATCGTTATCGCTATCCTGAATATGTTCTGGGTGCTCGCGATAGCAGATGTAATGGCCGTTCTCATGACGACCGTAATGAGTAACAGCAGCTCGAAGGATGTACTCAGACCTCGCATCTTTGCCCGAGGATCCAATCATTGATCTTGAGGGGTTCATGCGCCATTCTTCTTGATCACCGGCATTTCTTGTGGTGCCTAGACACCACGGTCCCAGATTGAGTGTTTTGGGATATGTAACCTCGGCAAGGTTCTTGCTTTGAGCACCTGTGTACTCGTCGAAGACGCTTCGGTTCACATGTATCACTAAGCACTGCGGCGCTCTAGCAACTACAGCTTGACGAGTTTTGGTACTAGATACCCGGGACTTCTTGGGAATCTGACACTTCTTGTTGAGCGTATCATCTGAAACGTCTCCGTCTGCCAGCGCTTGCTCCACAGCCTGCAACCTCTGGAGAATCATAGCACGAAGCTCAGGAGGTAGAGTGACTGAGTGGTCAGTCGAGTTGTCCGATTCTGTCGTCATGTTCTCGAGCTGTGACTTGGTACGGAGTAATGTGCACCTTGCGCATTCCACGCCAGTGATCTCTTCCAGACTTGTGTATTCGTTCAAGCAATCTTCGATTCTGTAACGGTAGTTCCTGCCGAGTGGTACAGTGACACAGTTGAAAGGAATCATGGAAAGGCCTTCAGAGAAGCCACAACTAGTACAGGCGACACGTTGAGCAAGGAAACCATCGAGCGGATTGCGTTGTTGTGCGCCGAAAGTCTGATCTTTCGAGCCGGACGCCTTGACAGTATCCAGTGAGCCAACTTCATGCAGTCCTGAGGTGCCTGGTGCAATCTTGAATGCTTTCGTCGTCTCTTTTTCCATGTCATCCATGATCTTCGAGTAGTATTCCTGAGCATCCTGCTGCTGCCAACTACTCATAGACTTCAGCTTGGCGGGGGTCCAAATGCGGCAGCCGTTATTGGAAGAATCGTTCAGCTTTGCCATGAGGTCACGCAAGGAGCCGACAGTTGTTGAAGTATCCTCGGACTTGGTCGCGTCAGATTGTTCCAGGTAAGTAGTCAAAGACTGAAGAGCAGACAGTCCTTGCAAAACACTGTTCTGATAGCATGAATTGTCCCAGTTTCCAAGTCCTGGCGGGGCATCCGATTTGGAACCAAGACCACCGAGCCAACTGGCTCTCCTCAATGAGTTTGCGCCTGGAAGTATGGCAGCCGAACCGGACCCTAAACCGAAGATTCTTCTCATTGCTTCACTCTTGAAAATGTAGTTGTCGCCAGTAGATGGAGATGTTGTGGAACCTTCGTAGAGACCCGGGTTCCGTCGTTTGTCGACAGCAAGGACGAGAGCCGTAGGAGTGAGCAGGACTACTGCATTCCAGACAAGACCGGCGAGAGTTGATGGGAGGGCAAAAGTATAAGCGCAGTAGGCTACAGCTATACCAGCAGCGATCCAGGCGCCTTTCGGAGAGGCGAGCAGACGGTCGAGGGTCGAAGGTTGGTTGCGATACGAGTAGGAGGCGTGTGAATAAGTGTATGAGGCGCTCATGATGCGCCTGAGTCGTGTTTCAGTGCAGATGGCAGTGCGCGGTGATGATGAGGATGGTTCAGCATGGATTGTTGTCTTAACGACGAGGCAAGGCGGCGACAGAAGACAAGATTCGGTTGGATTCGATGCAAAAGTCAGCCAAAGAGCGACCTTCTGCTCATGATGCGACAAGCTCCAGGGTCCAGACTCCACCCGAGACGGTGCACCGAAGGCGGTGAGTCGTCATGACGCTGGCAGAAGTAACATTTTCTGAATTGTTTCATGTCGCATCAATAATCACAAGTACATACACAAACAACGCAATATGGCCAAAGCAACCAAAGCAAAGGCTCGTCGTGAGTAACTCCGCTCAAAATCGTGCCATCCTCGCTCTGACACGACGACAGCCATTTCTGCTCGCTCTCGCGCCGCCCGCCGTGAAGCATCACCAGGAATTGACCTCGACAAGTCCATCACTTCAGAAAAGACCACAAAAGAATCCACCGACTACTACCCTGGAGCGCACGATGCTGGAATTTCAAAAAAGAAAAAGCAAAAGCCTATGAGCCGCGCCCAGCGCATGCGTAAAGAGAAGGGTTTAGAGCGCGCCGAAATGAACATGGATGTTCTGCACACAAAGAAGGCCAAGAGTTTTGTCAGAGCGAGAAGAATCGACGACCGTAGAGTGCGTACTTTGCAACATATTCGGATACCATAACGAAGGCTGACCACACACAGGTGAACTGGGACAACATCAACGATAAGAACAATCGCTTCGTTCAGCCCAAGGCCGCCAAGGGTTCGAAAGCTGTCGATATGGATGCCAACTCTAGCGATGAAGAACACCCTGGCAGGCCGTCTGTCTTCGCTATGCCTGGTGATGAATGGGAAGACGAGGATGAGCAAGTAGAGCAGAACATGAATGCACCCAATGCTGCCGATCCTGTCAACAATGCTGCCAACAACGACGACGACGACGACGATGAGATCCTGTAGAGCTAGATGCTCCTGATCGAGATCCTCATCTTAATGCCATATTTCGAGCCTACTTTCAGGGAAGTCCCCTTTAGCAAGCTCTGGAAAAGCTCAAGTACTTCGTCCAACCAAAGCACGCTGCACCAGCGCCGTACATGGAGCGAGCTAGTACACGAGCATCTCGTGTCGCAAGGCAGCATGATGTTGTCAAAAGCGAGCAATGCTTGAATGCTGAATGATACCAAGCCCACGGCCAGGTCATCTCATCCTTGATGCTCGATACAAACATTTCGAAGCTGCTACAAACAAGCGTTGTGTTAAAGCTTGTACTGCGATGCCACTTTCATGATCAGATCCTTCAGACTTGTTTCCCTTGCGAGACAAGAGCTTAGCTTCGTCTCAATCTCAATACGAACCACCTTCTATACGATCTGAGAAATGCTGTTGGAATAACACATGTGACTTCGTTGTATAGAAGTGAGTGCCGAGCGCAAAGCCGCCATCCTGGTATTCGGGTTGTCGGCCTGCGACCCCAGACCGCGGCACATTCTGACCGTGCACCAACCGACGTAATCAGCGAGCAACCGCTGCAATCTCTATTATTGTTATTCTGATCTCACCTCTCATGCTCATGCTCCTGCTTACGTTCAGACCATGAGAGCATGTGCCTGACAATTCAATATAACATCGTAGCAGAGCCATTCGCTTGAGCTGTGCCGCTACCCACAATGTCCTCTTCTTCGCCGTCTTCGCAGAACCCGCCACCGACAGATGCGCCAAGTTCTAATGGCAATTCAGAAAAACCTCACGAGAATGAAGGTGCTGGAGAGCCTGAAAAGGCAAAAAAGCCTAGTTTGAAAGAAAGGGCCGCGAAACTATGGTCAAAAACTATGCTGGACGTGACGACGATGAAAATGATGGCAAAGTGAGTTTTCTACAATCAGGATGAGATTGCATAGACCTGACACAGTCTAGGGGCGCTCTTGCGCCGACCATCTGTTTGGCCGCATATGAGGCTACTGACTTTGCTGATATTTTTACCACCCTGGGATACCTCGTTGCTATTATGTCGATATTGAGTTTTCCAATTATGCCCAGAGCCAAGTTTCTACAAACCTGGTTCTTGAATATGCTGTCTGTCGCTTTCGCCGCATGTATTGCACTTCTAGCTATATATTGTACCGTCCAGGCTAGACTTCACACCGAGACGACTACACGTACAGGAGGGTCTGGCACAGCGGGAACACCTGCCCCGGGTGCACCCACATCCACTTACAACTCTTCAGCTGCAGCGGTCAGTGGTATTTGGCTATTCTTCGAGATCTGGATCATCAATACCATGCGAGCGAAGATGCCTCAGCTCAAGATTCCATGCGTCTCCGCAATCATCTTTGCAAATGTAAGCATGGTATATGCTCCTCAATTTGCAACCATGGCAGCAGGATTGTCTTTCGTCAAACGACTCCTCGAAGCGTTCTTTACAGGATTCGCCATTGGAGGAGCCGTTGCTCTGTTCGTCTTCCCAGTAACTATGCGAGCAGTTGTCTTCAAGGAGTTTACAGGATACATCATGCTGTTACGCAAGATGACCAAAGTTAACCTCGCGTATCTCCACAGTCTTGAGGAAGGAGATATGTTTTTCGGAAGGAGCGACACCAACATTCCAGAGAAGCCGAAACGAACCTCAGAAGCCCAAGCTATCAAGGATACGCTTGCAGGACTCTCTGCTTTGCACGGAAAACTTTCTCTTGATTTAACCTTCGCAAAAAGGGAGATCGCAATTGGACGACTTGGTCCTGACGACCTCCAAGATATTTTCAAACGATTGCGAGGAATGATGCTTCCCATCATTGGCTTAAGCAGTGTGATTGATGTGTTCGAAAGAATTGCCGAGGACAGGAATTGGAACCATCCTGCCCCAAACAAACCGCTCGAAGAACTCGACGACCCCAACGAGAGGAGCCGAATGGAGGCTGTCGCAGATTGGCATGCTATCTTCAAGACGATGCGTGAACCATTTGCCCGAATTGTCGGCGATATCGATGAAGGTTTCGAGCACGTACTGATCACCTTGCAACTCATCAAGCCGCCGAAAAGAGAGGCAGATTCTGAGTCTGGAGGTGATCGGCCCCACCCTGGAGAAAAGGACTTCCAGAATTACCACTTCAAACGAGTCAACGCATATCACAGCGAAAAGAGTAAACTTCTGAGACGCTGGTGTGAGCTGAGAGGCTTCTCACTGCCTGAAAACTTCTTCGAGAACGCACAGGACGCCGAATTCACCGCGCCTGATTGGTACCACAGTGTCAAGAACAACGATGAGCGCCAGAAGTACAGAGCTCGACTCTTCATCGTTCTGTACGTGGATTACCTGTTGGACTCGATAGCTATGACTGTTCATGATTTCGTCAAGTACGCTGATGCAAAAGTCGAAAGTGGTAAGCTGAGCCGCAAGAGGCTCATAGTACCTGGCATCAAGCGCTTGAGAAAATGGATCAAGTCAATTTGGAGCCAAAAGCAAGATGCTTACACAGACGAACATCATGGCATGGACCAAGGTGGAGACCAGCCTTCGAACGTATACCTCGGCGACGCTTACAGCAAGCGTAAAGACCCGGAGCACCTGCCTCCCAGTAACGCTTGGGAGAAGTTCGGCGATCGAGTCCGTGCCATCCCTCATTTCCTTCGCTCGCCAGCATCCTCGTTCGGATTCAGGGCCGCTTGTGCCACCATGTGTCTTGCCATCATCGCTTACTTGCACGATACTCAAACCTTTTACGTTAGACAGCGATTGTTCTGGGCTCAGATCATGGTAGGTTTGGCCATGTCTCCTTCTGCTGGAGATAGTATGTTCAGTTTTATGCTCCGCATTGTTGGCACTTTCTCCGCCATGGTGGCGAGCTTCATTATCTGGTACATCGTCGACGGACAAACTGCTGGAGTAATTGTCTTCTTCTGGTTCTTTTCCTCATGGGGCTTCTTCATTGTCCTGAAATTTCCTCGCTTCATTCCTGTTGGGTTAATCTTTTCTGTAACGTGCAGTCTGATCATCGGATATGAGTTGCAAGTCAGAAAGATTGGCGTGGAGGTTGCGACCACGAATGGCCAGGCATACTACCCTATCTATGAGCTGGCTCCTTATCGTCTTGCTACTGTCAGTGCAGGTATTTTCGTGGCCTGGGTGTGGACCATCTTCCCTTATCCCATTTCAGAACACTCGGAGCTTCGCAGAGACCTTGGTTCGTCTTTATACCTGCTTGCCAACTACTATTCAGTCGTAGTCGAGACTGTCAAATTGCGAGTCAGAGGCGACTTCCAAGAGTTGAATGCTTTCGACGAAGGACATAATCCAGCTAAGAAGCTCGAAAAGATCCGACAGACCGTGTTCTCCAAGTCTGTACTTTTGATACAAGGTCTACGTACACATTCAGGCTTCCTCCAGTACGAAGTGCCAATTGGTGGCCGGTTCCCTCGCCAAAACTACGACAGAATCATTAATCGCATCCAAGATATCGTCAACTTTGCCTCTTTGCTCAGCTATGCATCTCAGACCTTCTCTGACATGCGCAATCCAGGCAAAGATGGCTCGGAGTCACAGTGGCTGAACGACTTCCGCCGCTTGATGAAGGAAGCGGATATGACCAGCAAAGAGTTCACAACGCTGCTTTCGCTTCTCTCGGCTTCAGTGGCTAGCGGACAACCTCTACCACCGTACCTTCAACCTCCTGAACCATATCGTTTGAGCGCCAAGCTGGAGAGTCTAGACTCCAAGATTCTTTCCGTAAGACACATGGCCGAACCTGGCTTTGCGGCCTTTGCAGTCATGCAGATCTCGACAAAGTGTATCGGAGACGATATCAAGGCGTTGTTGGCTGACATCAAGGAGTTGGTCGGCGAGCTTGACTTCTCGTTCCATGTTGTTAGTACGCAAGATTCCGCGAGTAGTTCGCAGACATCGCAAGACACGTTGATCAGGGAGGAAAGTCAGAATCGACGAAAGGCTGATTAAGTTGATATGTCGTTACGGAATGTATATATTGAATTCTGCTTACTACCTTTTGATTCCTGTTGTATTGCTTTCCGTTTTACCTTCCTTCCTTCTTTTTCTTCCTGTGCTGGTGAATTGTGCTCGTGAGAGGAGGAAGTTGCAGACAATGAACTTTTGGTCTTTCCAAATACGCCCTCGTCTCAAGCTTCAGTCCAGCACAAGATGCATCAGAGCACGACTGGCGCCAACGAAGCGCAGATACGCCAGCTTCTTCTCATGCAAGAACATGTCTGTAGAGGAAGGAATACCGTACAGCTCTAACAAAGCACTCGTCTTCTCATCTGCGTTCCCCTTTATCAGTATTACACTGTGAATCAAAGCAGGGATATGCAACGTACCATCCAAATCCTTGATGTCTTGACCTGTGACAGGGACAGTGACCTCTTCTTCGGCCTTTCCATCTGGTAGTGGAAGCATCTCAAGTCCATCCTCAAGAGAGGAATGTTTGTGATTGATGGCGCGTTTCTCTCGACGAACACTACACACAGCGACAGTGTCAGTGATTGGTCTTTGAAGATCTTGTTGGAGTGAAAGCTGTAACGAAGACATACCATTCGACTTCATCTTCCTCACCATTCTTGAAGCCCCTTCTCAAGAACTCGCGCATGGCTTCGCAATCTCTTGAGATACGTTCTGCGAAGCCAAGCATACCTAGAACAGCAGTGCCAACATCGCTTCTTGCGTCGAAAGCTAAAGAGTTAAGATCTATCAACTCTGTGGGCATAGCAGTGTTTCTTCCTCCGGTAGGAACGGCATTGTAGTCGATAAGCTGCGGCGAAGACAACGGACCAATGTCGAAGTTCTGCATCGCCAGCTGAGGAGCAGCGGTAGGTAAGAGCATTTGCTGAGGTGCACTCGTGGGACCAGGGTTTGCAGTCTGCTGTTGTTGAGAGAACACGGGCTGGGTGTGACTTCTCTTGATTGGCATTCTTTCTCCTCCACCCACCGGGTATGGTGATTGCCTCTGCATTTGTCTCTTCTGAGCTGCAGCTGCTTTCTTCAGCCACTTTCTGTTCGAACCGCCGCTTCCCTGAGCAGTACTCATAGAGTCACCCAATGGCGTGCCACCACGATGGAATACCATAGCAGGAGGTGGTTGCACAATTTCGGACATCAGATCTTCAGGAGGGACGGAGACACTACGACGATGACCGAGCATTTGATGACGCATGGGCTCGTAAGAATGAGGAGATAAATACGAGTCGAAGATGACGGGGTTGGATGGCTGGGGGCTGAAGACAGTGTAGTCGAAGGGCGAGAGCGGTTGTTCGTGACTGAGTATAGGCGTGTTCTGAGGCGAGCTGAGGAGACGAGGGTCAATACCGCCATAAGGAGGTTTGTCTGAGAAGTCGCTGTACTGTTGAAGCGAGTAGTTGTCCATGTCGTTGGAGTGGAAGCCTTCGTCCATTGGTGCAGACATTTGCACTTGATCTTGAGTAGTTCGAAAAATTGATGGGATGGATGCAGGCCCGACATCATATATGAAGTTCACATGGAATGGTTCTCTGAATAAATTCTGGACTCTTGACTTTCTTTGTTCATATTGCTACCAGGTATACTTGAGACACGGCAGTCGTCAGATGTATCCGCGGTTGGCCAGGTCTCGAGACATGCAGCTGAGACTCGGAAGGCTGCACTGATTGTCCGAAACACATTTCCGTGTAGAACTGTAGTGTACTGTATGAATGCCCAACCACGCGAAAGAGCGGTCACCGTGATACATCCGTCTACAGGAGACTGAAATAATACTTGCTGTGGTAAAGTGCAGAGAGCGTTTCCCAACTAGCACATAAGCATCGATCGGCTATGCTTGGTCTCGCTTTTGTTCCCACTGTGATCGTTGGCTACAGAACCTACTATCTGATCTTTTTCACGACGACTGTTTGAGTGCTACTCTGGAAGTTGGCCGCGTGCTTCAGAACCATGTTCATGGCTGGTACTAGGAGGCGCCTACAGCTAATGTATGTTATCCATCATTCGGTTGATTGATCATCAGTCTATGCGGCTACGGTTCGCGAAAAAGAGTCCTGACGAAGCATGTAAACGAGTATCGATTCCACGAGAGTGGTCGTGGTTGTATCGACGTTTGATGTCAGAAAGGGCGGAGCCTCGGAGGACAGACGGTCCGTGCAAGACCCCCGATCGCAACCAGAGACGGTCAAGGAGCACTACCCACTTTACTCTACAACATTGACTACCTTCTCGAACACTCCCTTGACCTTTACATCTTGCCGTAAAGCTCTTTGTATCTCTCTTACCAGTAGCTCCGACAGATCCGCACACTCCAACCAAGATGGCAGACGAAGTAATCAAACAACAGGTAGTCAACCCTGAAGCAATTGCTAATATATCTCACTTAGGGTGCCTCATCCCGCGAACTCCTGCTCGAAGCATGCCGCCGCAACAACACCGATCTCCTCTCTTCGGTCCTGTCAGAGTTCAAGTCGAGTGACGAACTTGCCAACTTCCTCAACACTGCGACTGACGCTTTGGGCTGTGGTGCCTTGCACATTGGCGCACAGTATGGATCCTACGAGGTTCTGGATATGCTGCTGGACCAGGAAGGTGTGGAGATTGATGGAGTAGAGAAGAGAGAGGGAGACACGTGTCTGCACAAGGCTGTGAGATACGTCAACAGCTTGAGCAAGGATGAGTGGGAAGAAGGTCAGGCTATCGTCGACATCCTGTGCGATGCTGGTTGCGATCCCAGGTATGTGGTACAAGTGTCATTTGAGTGGACTACAAAGTTGACAAGTGTGTCCAGGATACGTAACAAGGCCAAGCTGCGCCCTATTGACCTCACCGACCCGCGCAACACCGAGCTCAGAAGTCTCTTGCAAAAGGCCGAGTTCACCATGCTGGCTGGCGATGATGTTGTGCAAGAGGACGACGACGATGCTGGTGCTGGTAGTGCCAGTGATAGCGACTAAACGCACACCTTCTCCTACTGTCAACATCATAGCACTGGAGCACAGGAGCATCAGGACAAGGAAACCACGAGCATGACCAGGCGTTTTGGGGGGTTTGATCCATCTTCTTTATTTGATCTGTGCATAAAAGCGGCCTATAGAAGGACAAGACTACGGCTCGGAGCCATTCGTGACATTGTGCCGTGCTCACATTCCTCCTTAGCCATTGATTACAGGTAAGGTGAGAATCGGATGTGCTTGTCGTGTTTATGCGCTTTGCTGAATTGCAGCAGATGGCTGGTCTTTATCGTGGCAGTCGTGATAATGCTTTGGAAGCGGCGCTGGGAGCTGCAAGAATACAGCAGGCGGTATAGTGTTCATTATGTGGAACGCATTCGTTCGAGAGTTTTGTGGATCACTCTTGGTCTCTCGTCTGTGATAAAGTCAGTCTGTGGAGAACATGCGACATGGCATTCGTGTGACGAACCTCTGGAGGAGGACCAACGGGTCTGACCATCTTCTCAATGAGCTTGACGCGCATCTCCTCACGAGTGCCCTCGCCCATAGCCAGGGTCATGTAGGAGAGCAGAGGCGGGTGACCGACGTAGGAAGCCAGACTGTCGCGTTGAATGTTGGAGGTCCACTCGAATCTGGTAGTGTCGGCGTGTCCGGTTCCGACGTATTTGTTCTGGAGCGCTTCCAGCTGCTGGGTGGTACGGAGCTTGTCTGCCATCTTTGAGTTTTGATGCGAACGATTGATGGACTTTCGCAGAGGTTCGTTCCTTCCTCGAGATATCGCGGTTTTGCCAAGATTGCCGGCCTTAGCTCCGCAATCTCCATCGCAATCAATCAACTTTCGCGTCACTCTGGCTGGAGAAGTCGCGATCCACGCGCGAGCTTCACCAATTGTTCGCATTCGAGTTGCTTTGAAATTCTACACATTAACCCAGAAGTCACAATGCCTCCTGCTCGAAAGCGTCGCGCTGTTAGTTCACAGGTCCAAATCAAGAAGGCTCAGGCTAACGCCCTCTTGACAGCCAGCCAACGAGGATCCAGACCACTCAGACTCAGACGCAGAAGTTAGACCACCACAACGACATAGAGTGTCCGATGCCGACGCAGACGACTATGCTGGCGGCGAAGCAAGCAACGCTCAAGGCGATGGCAATTTCGAAGCAATGGTGAAAAACATGGTCCGCTTCGCTTTGGCATGTGAATACTCCCGAACGCCTATCAGACGCGCCGATATCACTGCAAAAGTCCTTGGTACCAACGCTCGACAATTCAAAGCAGTCTTCAATGAAGCCCAAACCCAACTTCGAGGAACCTTTGGCATGGAGATGACCGAACTACCGCAAAAAGAGAAAGTCACCTTGGCCCAGCGCAGAGCGGCGCAGAAATCGCAGAATACACAAAAGAGCAGTAATTCTTGGATCTTGACATCAGTACTGCCTGAGAGATTCCGTCAACCTGAGATTCTGCCTCCATCACAAGCGCCGACGGCCGAACTCGAAGCTCAGTACACTGGACTATACACATTCGTCGTTTCGGTCATCTTCTTAAATGGAGGTATGCTACCGGACGCCAAGCTAGAACGCTTCCTCAAAAGAGTGAACGTCGAGGATGCAGCAGCGCAGAACAGTATCAACATCATGGCTACTGGAGGGGACAAGACGGAAAAGCTGCTCAAGCGCATGGAAAAAGACGGATATGTTATCAAGATTCGCGACAATTCAAGTGGAGAGGAGACGGTCGAATGGTATGTTGGGCCTCGTGGTAGGACAGAAATTGGCGATGCTGGAGTCAGAGGAATGGTGAAGCAGGTCTATGGCGAAGTGGAAGATGCAGCGGAACTTGAAAGAGCGCTGGAACGTAGTCTTGGTGCCAATGAGGTGCCCAAGAGAAGGGAGGAGCAGGCGGCGCAGTCTCAGAAGAAGGGACGACGCCGCAGGACAGAAGCACGAGACGAAGGTGACAGCAGCGATGGCGGCAGTGACTCGGATTGAGGATAGCCATCGACGACAGACAGGAGCATACCCATCGCACATTAATCGCTGCTAATAGATAATATCACGAGTTATGACAAAGCTATGCAAATATGCATACTTATGCTACCCCACACCAGACTAGGCTCGAAACGTCGTGACAAGCTCGAGGCTTCTCGATTTCACATGCTTGGATCCTGCCCACCTTCTCTGACACAAGAGATGTGATAACAACACATCATGTCGTCGGCCGGAGGAACAATAGACGTCGAGTCGACAGTAACCAATGATGTCGATGCGACCAAGGGTCCGGACATCGCGACAGGCAGCGATGTCATACAACCAACCCCGCCGCCCTCGAACCAAGTAAAAGTCTCGGCACAACACGATGCAATCGGCCACGACAGTTCTCATTTGTTGACCCATCCGGAACCTTCTTCTTTGAACTCGACTGCCGCAGCCCAGCAGATCTCTGAGAATCGCGAGCCTTCTTACGCAAGAGAAGAAGCGACAACATCTCAGATACGACAAGCACCCGAGCACTCGACAATTGCGTCCTTGAAGCACGAGCACAGCTCTCGTACACAATCTCCACTACGCGAATCGTCAGTTCCGGTACCGTCAACAGAAATGAGTGCCCCTACCGCACCTTCTGCGCCTCCAAAGCGCAGCCACAAGAAGAAGGGCGTAGCAGCAGCAGCTGTCACTAAGCGCAACACCACTGCCCCTGCTAAGAGAAGTCACAAGAAAAAGGTGGTCGCCTCATCAACTGGGACACCTGCGCAAAGCTCGCCAGCTCCTCGCTCCGTACTCGCTTCTTCGCCTGCAAGATCGTCGCCCGATGTTGACGGCAATGGCGACCAAGACATGTCCGGAGACGATGGTGAAGAAGAGGAGGGTGGTGCAATTTCCGACACGGACCTTTACTGCATCTGTCGCAAACCGGATACCGGAACTTTCATGATAGGCTGTGATGGTGGCTGTGACGACTGGTTCCACGGCAAATGCGTAAACATTTCGGAAAAGTGGAAGACGCTCATCGACAAATATATTTGCCCATTCTGCGAGGAAAGAGGTGTCGGCGAGACGACTTGGAAGAGAATGTGTCGTCGCAATGGTTGCGGCCTGCCTGCCCAGGTGTCCAATAACTCGAAATTCTGCTCGGAAAGATGCGGTCAACTCTTCTTCCAGGGGCTGATTGCAGAACGCACTCGACAAATAACCGATGGTGATCTGGGCGCCCGAGGCGGCCTCATCAGTGGCAACGAGGTCAAGTCTATGATCCAGGTGTGCCCCACTGTCGAAGCATTGCACAATTTCAACAATGGCTCGATCTCTCCAGTGCCTGGCTCCTCTCCCGGTGCTATGAGGGACGAAGGTGCTGAAGATGAGACGCTTCTCTCGCACGAATCCGCACTCAACGACATCGAACGCGAGCGCATCGACCAAATCACAAACCTGAGAGCCACCGCGCGCGCTCGCCACTCCCTCCTCAGAGACAAGCTCAAATTCGTCACCATGCTCAAAACCGTCGCTTCACGCCTCGCTGACCATAGAGCGGTCAAGCCCAAGGACCTCTGTGGCTACGACTTTCGTCTCTCCTGGAGCGAGGAAGAGTTCGATGTCTGGCGCTCTTCAGAAGCCGGGCAAGAAGCTCTTCGCATAGAAAGTCTACCTCTACCCTCAGACGAAGACCTGGACGGTGATACAGGCATGACTGGCTTCAACGACTCCGAGCCATCCACCTGTATGAAGAAGAAATGCAGCAGACACTACGACTGGGCCAGACTAGCCATAGACGACACCCGAGACGAGCTCGCCCAAAACACTCAGTTCAGGCAAGGCTTGGACAAGGAAGAAAAGGAAATCATCGAACGTGCTCGTCTCAGAGCCAGAGAGATCAAAGCTGGCGGTGTGGGTGGCACAGTCGAGTTTCATGGCTTGAGTGCTCCCAAGGAGAATAAAGAAGATAGAGAAATGGGTGTTGGACCTGTGGTTGAGGAACGCCATGTTCAGCCTTCTCAGGATGTTGAGATAGAAGAGCAAAAGACTGATGGGTTGGTGGATGCAGACGAAATGCCACAGCAGCAGGATGGCAACAACGATGACGACGAGGACAAGGAAGTTGACATGGTTGATGCCATTGCTGCTTCCATCTGATTGGTCGTTTTCTGTCAAGCAAGCATGGAGTATTGGCGTTACTGGAACATGAAAGGGAGACAAAAGCAGATATACCCCTGAGGGAATAAGGAAAACATGCATTTGAATGAAGGAGGAAAGCATCTACTCGTTGGAGCAAGCAAAGGAGTACAAGCATCAGCATGGACACTAGATAGTCAATGAAAGGATTCAGCAAGGACTTTTTTCGATTCTATTCAATTCTTTCTGCACGCCCTGGATATCTTTTCTACCAAAAATCTACAGGAACCACTCGAGCTCAATCTCCATTGCCGAGACAGGGAAGGGCAGCTCAAAGTTCTTGAGTACCGTCGGGTGCATGACACCAAAAGTACCGACTCTTTGCGGCTTGTCGCCGAACTTGACGTAAATGGCAGCCGAGTGACCAGCGAAGAAAGTCGGGTCTGTTTCCACATATGTTAGCTCTCATGATGATAGTCAAAGGGGTTTTGAAGTATACTCACCATCGACTTCCTCGATCCAGTAACCCTTGACGGCAGAGTCACTGAGACCTTCCTCCTTGGTGATGAAAGCACTCTTCAACATCAACATGATGCGGTCAAGCAGACCGTGAACAACCTCAAAGCCAGAGCTCTTGCCATACCAGCAAGCAGCAAAACGGCGTTCGTTTCTGCTCTTTCTCTCGCAAGACTCATCCTTGAGACCGACATCGCTGACCTCGAAGATCTTCATGGGCACAGAGTGATGCTTGTTCTCGCGGATGGTCTTGAGCAGACCTGGTAGCAAGCTGGTGCGCACAATCTGGTATTCTTGGGTCTTGGGGTTTTGGAGGCGGACAGCGAGGTTGTCGTCTTGGCGGTTCAGCCATGTGTAGTTTTCGTCGTATGAGCAGAGGATCAAGGGCATGACTTCTGACCAGCCGGCCATGGCGGTCTCAAAGCGGACAATGTCGGCAAGACGGTTGATGGGGAGAGCCGCGCCGACTGAGGTGGTTGCTGAAACAAAACGACGCTCAAGGTTGTTGAAACCGTAGGCGATTGCGGCGTCCTCCATGATATCGGCCTGGTGCAGGACGTCGGCACGGGTGATTGGTACGTCAACATCGAGGATATCCGGTGTTGATGAGGGCTTGGCATTGTAGCACATCTTCTTGAGCATATCGCAGATTTCCTGAGGTTGAAGCTTCAGTCCGCAGACAGAGTTGATGTAGCTGACTTCGGCCTGGGTGGTACGAGGGGTGAGGTTGGGTGCCTCACGAGTCTGACCGTTGTGCTCGGAGATAATCTTGACAGGCTCGACGGTGAAAGGCTCCTCACAGTATTGAGAGAACATGGAAACAATCATGTGGTTGACGATTTCTAGCTTGGTCTTGTCGGTGGCTGTGATGTCGATCAGAACGTTGGTTGTGTTGAGGGTGATCTTGGAGTGGTTTGAGTTGATGATTGGGGGCATGGAGAGTACGGTGCGGTTGCTATCGTAGATGATAGGGTAGACAGGCGAGTCGCGGATGATGTGCAGGTAACGTCCAAGGTGCTTGTCCTTCTCGTAAAATTCCATCATTTCCTTTCCGGTCATCTCCTTGGTCTGGTTCAGGGGCGCGAACTTGATGTCCTCTGGTTTTTGGGCCTCGTATGTGAAGGGACCCTTGATAGTGTCGAGATCATGGGTACCAATAGCGACAAGGGTACGTTGTCTGGCCAGGTTTTGGTGAAGCTTGTCCTGGAGAGCGATGAAAGAGTCGTAGCGAGCCTTGGTGAACTTGATGTTTCTGAGGACGGCGCATGAGAAGTAGGGTCTTATTTGTGATGTCTCTTCCTTGACGGTAACGGTCTGGAGTTCGCCGTCCTTGGGAGCGACGAGGCGGTAGTTGGGAGGAGGGATGTTTCCGAGGAAGACATTGAGGTTCATGGCAATACCCTCGAAGCAGAGCATGTCATAGCGATTGGCAGGGATCTCGATCTTGAGCTGGGGAGGCTCCTCGACGCCATCAACAATCGGGCGTTTTGAGTCGGTTGTCTGCGAAGGGCATCAGGAAGTGTCCAGGCAAGTATATATGTGGTAGTTGTCAAGCATACGTCTTCATCGAGTTCGATACCTGGCCAAGACAATCAGTAACATGTACTGTCAGAAGAAGAAGCAACAAGAATTACCAAACTCGAAACACAGCTCGTCAAACTCTTGGGTCGTGTAGCTGGACAAGGTGATTAGGATATTTTGTGGTAGAGCGGGGATTCAATGGAGGCATACGTCTTGCCCAGAGCCTTGAAGAGCTCGGCCTTGTCAACCGAAATAGTAGGCATTTTGCAGAGAAGTGCTGTGGTGTGCGTACAGATTTCTTCTCAAAGCAACGAATAATTGGTATGCGGGTGAATCATCGGGCAGTCTGACGGCGCTTGGTGGGACACTGCGAATCTCGAGACTTGGCATGACCGAAACTCCAGACGTCGAGAGCAGCAGCAGCAGCAGCCGCCAGCGACAACCAAGCAAACAGCCTCCTCCGTCACGCAACATTTCCAAACTCACACACACCCTCCTACCACCGCCTTTGTCAATTCGACAAGCTTCTTACCGCAATACTCGCTGGACCAGCTGTCGCCCCTGTAACCAGGTACGCTCCACCGCCAGACGAATCCTCCGACACGTCTGCTGGCCCCCTCTCTAATTACACCATCAACGCCGCACCGCAACAGCGACAGCTCCTCGACCCAACCACCACAACACCTACTGACACGTCCAAGCAATTCTTCCGCGGGCTGTACGTCTGCCCACGACGCTCTTTCCCCTAATTCAAAGCTCCAATCCCACAACATGGATGCGCAACAGAACGACGAGCTCTACCCCATCGCCGTCCTCATCGACGAGCTCAAGGTCCGCCAATCCTCGCTTTTGTCGTACGAAATCCTCTTTTCTAACGCCCAACATAGCACGACGATGTCTTGCTCAGACTGAACGCAATCCGCCGCCTGTCTACCATTGCTCTTGCTCTTGGCCCTGAGCGCACCAGAGATGAGCTTATACCTTTCCTTGACGGTACTGTCATCAGTCCACGTCCGCACGCCTGACAAAACAATCGCTGACCCTGTACAAAAGAATCTGTCGAGGACGAAGACGAGGTCCTGACCGCCCTGAGCGACGAGCTCGGTGGTTTTGTCGAGTATGTTGGTGGCCCAGAGTACGCTCACGTGCTGCTATCTCCTCTTGAGAACCTCGCCGCTATCGAAGAGCTGCTTGTCAGAGACAAGGTCGGTTCCCCCCATCGCTCTTCACCGCGACAACCTTACTAACCGCTTGACAGGCTGTTGAGTCCTTGAACAAGATTTGTGAACAATTATCAACCGAGCAGATCGACCAATACTTCATCCCCCTGATCGGCAGACTCTCAAAAGCAGATTGGTTCACCGCAAAGATTTCTTCAACTGGCGTCTACAAGGTCGCATACACCAAGACCGACCCTCAAACACAAGAGTCCCTGAGACAAGGTTTCGCACAGCTCGTCCACGATGATACACCCATGGTTCGCAGACAGGCTGCCATCAACCTGGCCAAGTTCTTGCGCGTCATGCCACCGAACGTTGTCATCGACGAGATGATTCCTCTTTTCCAACACCTTGCTAGCGACGACCAAGACAGCGTTCGTCTTCTTACCGTTGAGATTCTGGTTGCCATCGCAGAAACCGTCCCTAAGGAGCAGCAGTCAAGCCACGGCGTTCTTCTCACTGCCCTAAGAAGCCTTTTCGAGGACAAGAGCTGGAGAGTTCGCTACATGGTCGCAGAGAAGTTCGAGAAGGTACGTCATTCCTCGATTTTGTCTTTCGCGACTGTCATGCTAATAAGTTTTATAGATCGCCAAGGCCGTCGACGACGAGGTTGTCAGCCGTGATCTTGTGCCTGCCTTCATCAAGCTCCTCAAAGACACCGAGGCTGAGGTGCGAACTGCTATTGCTGGTCAAATTCCTGGATTCTGCGCCCTTATCGAGAGAGATGTCCTGCTTCAGGAAGTCATGCCCGCAGTTGAGGAGCTTGTCTCAGATTCGTCGCAGCAAGTGCGTGCCTCGTTCGGAACCCAGATTAGTGGTCTGGCCCCCATTCTCGGCAAGCAGGAGACTACTGAGCACCTCTTGCCCATGTTCCTCCAGATGCTCAAGGACGAGTTCCCTGATGTCCGTTTGAACATCATCTCCAAGCTCGAGCTTGTCAACGACGTCATTGGCATTGACCTCCTTTCACAATCGCTTCTTCCTGCCATCGTTCAGCTCGCAGAGGACAAGCAGTGGCGCGTTAGACTGGCAATCATCCAACATCTTCCTCTTCTAGCATCTCAGCTCGGTGTCAAGTTCTTCGACGAGAAGCTCTCCAGCCTTTGCATGTCTTGGCTCGGTGACACCGTCTTCAGCATTCGCGAGGCCAGCACTCAGAATCTGAAGAAGCTTACAGACGTTTTCGGTGTGCAATGGGCCAATGAGGCTATCGTTCCCAAGGTTGTCGCTATGGGCGGCCACCCTAACTACTTGTACCGCATGACCACTTGCTTTGCAGTCTCGGTAGGTTGCTTCTGAGAACTACACGTGAAATTCTACTAACGATATCTAGACCCTCGCCCCCGCTTTGTCTCTTCCTGTCATCCAAGAGTCAATCTTCCCTATCTTGTCAAACCTCGTGAACGATCAGATTCCCAACATCAGATTCAACGTCGCAAAGTCATATGCAGTGTTGATCGACGTTCTCAAGCGTCTGCCCGACACTGAGTCAACAATCCTCTCGCTCGAAAAGACGGGCAAGGCTGGGTCTGGAAGCCCTCAAGGTGACCAGCTCATTCGGGAACAAATCATGCCTAATCTTGAAAAACTCATGACTGATGACGATGTCGATGTGCGCTTCTTCGCAAGCCAGGCGGCCAAGAGCTACAGCGACGCAATGCAATCATAATCACTGCCATTAGAAAGTACTCGATGTTGCGAGTACAGAAGAAAATACCATGGCACTGCCGGAAGCTGCAGTGTCAATTATACCTTACTTGTTAGAAATGAATACAAGAGTTGCATAAATGCTTGTCTTTTCATTGATTGAGGGTTGTTGAATTCCAGATGTTCGAGTCAAAGTCCAAGTCGTCTTCAGCTGGACAGTAAACAAAGCAATCGAAGAATGCTGTTGACATAACAAACATACCCCTCTCCGCGTGGCGTCGGCCACCTCCATAGGTTTCACCTACTCCTGAATTTCGAGCATGTCACATGTTTGAAGGCAACTGGGAAGTTCTAAACGCAGTGGTTCCTGAAAATCGAAAAAAGGACGTTGTTGTGTATCGTTGCTTGCCGCGACGTAGCGGACATGCAAGGCAGTTGAGTTTTCGCGGCGGTAGATTGCAGATGGATAGCCGTGATATATATCAGAATCAACGGTCTGCTCGCTTCTTTGTTTAAACTCGCGGCAGAAGGAGTGGAAAGCTTCAGGGTTTCACCTTCCCCAGCTGCCAGTTTTCCCCCTTTGTAGCGGTCAAATTCAAGTTACCAAACAACCAAATCGACGTCAGATGCCTTTCTGTTGGCTGAGGAGCAGATTGTCTCTTGCCCTAGAGAACCAGACAGACTATCGATTGCGGGCGATAGGCAGGCGTGTGCATTGATTGTGATTGTCTGTGCACACGATGCTCACCCACATGCATGCCTGGATCTGGCTGCCGAAATGAAGATGTCCTCTACATGCGAAGACACTAGTATAAGCCACCCCATGACTCAGCGGTAAAGACGCGCGTGTCGCATAATTTGTGACAACTCGGCACAAGCAGAGTTGGTGAGTTTGATATTGTTATTGTCAATCTACAGTATAGGGGCAGGTAGTGGCTTGCTCTCCCCGGCTGCTGTGCAAAGCCGAAGCTCAATTCAAAGTCGAACCAATGATACTGACAACCCTCAGAGACGGCAATCTAGAGATATGAACATCATTTGGAAGCTTCCAGCCAACGGTTTGTGTCGGTATCCCTTGCATCGTAGGTCATGAGCTTGGACGCTGGGACCTGCATTAGCCTTCGGAGACAGGAGGGCGTAATCTCCCAAACAATCCCCCGGCCGACGTCGATCACACATCTCACGAGCCTTATAAACCAAAGCATTGCTCGACCTCGAACTGCTTCTTCGTCCTCACCATCCAACTCATTACAATAATCAGACTTCGGTCGTTACACTCTTTAAACACCAACTATCACTACATTCTTTAATAACCAACTCACCACCACCTTTTTTCCAACCACCACGACTTTTTAGCCCTTTCAAAACCAAACCACCAAATCAATCAAAATGCGTTTCGCTGTTGTTGCCTCTGCTCTCTTCGCCGGCCTTGCCGTTGCCGCTCCTGCCGTCACTGAGACCGTCCACTCTACTGAGGTTGAGACCATCACCTCCTGCGGTGTAAGTTGGATCTGATATATCAATATCCACGATCTCTATACTAATTCTCCTCCAGCCTGAGGTCACAAACTGCCCTGCCAGAACTCAATCTAGCAGCGTTGTTGTCCCTACTTCGGCTCCCGTTGTTCCTACTTCGGCCCCTGTTGCTGCCGCTGTCCAGAACACCTCTGCTCCCGCAGTTCCTGAGCTCTCCACTGTCACCCTTTACTCCACCAAGGCTGTCACCATCTCCTCGTGCGCTCCTGAGGTCACAAACTGTCCTTTGAGAATGTCATCTTCTCTGGTTTCCGTCGGAACCACCGTTGTTCCCGCCGCCCAGGTCCCTACCTCTGCACCTTTCGCCATGTCTAACTCCACCATGCCCGTTGGTGCCATGGGAACTGCTGCTTCCACTGGCTTCGGCGCTTCTGCCACTGGTGCCATGCCCTCATCCTACACTGGTGCTGCTGGCAAGCTCAACGCCGGTATGGCCCTTGCCGGTGTTGCTGGTTTCGCCGCTCTCCTCATCTAAGCGCAGAAATGCACTTTTCTGCTTTTTGATGTCTTTTTAGCGATGATTCCAACACCACACACATTTTTTTTTGATACGGCATTTTCTGTTTCTAGCAGCATACCAGGATGGACATACGACTCGGCCCCACGGCATCGAGCGATGATTCTGTTCTGAGGTTTTCCTTTGTTTTCACACATGCGAATTGTTTGCACACGCACAGCAAGGCACATAATCAGGGTTTCTCTGTTGTTTCGAACTGCGATACTCCCTGTACAACTTCGCATTTGAAGGTCGTTTGGAGGGGTCTTTACAAATGGAAAAAAAAGTCAACTGGAATATCGTCTGTGCCTTCTTCACATGTGATTAGTGTCCATCTCCTTCGTTCTATTGTGAAGAAACTAGAGTAGCACTGACACGATTCCGTGTTCGTAGCTAATCAACCTCATAGCTATCAATTGAGCGCCGCCATCTGCCGGCACCGGAACATTCATCAGGAAGGTGCGAACGCCTCATCAAGGAAGTGGATATTGATTTGATGAGCTAGTCGATTCTTGATATCGATCAACTCAAGAATTGATGTTCACAACGCACCGGGTCAACATGCTCAGTATGGGTCAAGGGAAGCATCGAGAATCGATTTTGTTGTGTTCTTAGGGTATGCTAATGCGAACAAGCAGTCAGTTTTGTAGAGCATGCCCGACTAATTCCAAATTGTCCAAACCATCCTTACAGCATTGCAAGCGCATCGATCGAGCGAGCAACGAAACCATTCAAAAATTTAAGGTCCCGACAATCACTCGACATCTTCAGGCTTGATCTCAACATCATCGACAATCTGCACCTTGATACTGCCTTGACTCAGATCGGCACAGATGTGCATGGCGTCAACTGCCTCGTCAAGCGCAAACACATGTGACACCAATGGCTTCAGGTCCATCAATTTGCCCTTTACAGCCGCAATACCTGCAGGCCAGGTATCGGTATATCTGTTGATGAACTTGAGATTGATCTGTATTGTCTCGAGTCAGCAAATTTCACCTTCCCAAGGACAAAAAAAGGAAGGAAGAGAGGAAAGCACTTACCTCGCCAAGACTCATATGCATGAAAGGGATATTGTTGACCACAGGTCTACCAACTCCAATCACCATCACAGTACCTCCTCTGCGCACTGCAAATGCTGCAGTTACGATGCTGCTCTCTACACCTGTACACTCGAGCACGGTTTCCGGACATCCGTACTCTGACTCTCCAAATAGCTTTCTAATGCTCTTTGCATTGTCTTCCGGGCTTAAGTCTTTCTGGACTTGGTAAGTCTCGCACTCAGGAACCAGCTTTTTGGCAAAGGCGAGACGCTTGGGTTCTAAATCTGTGATGACCAAGGGATGTGCGCCAGACGCACGAGAAGAAAGAAGAGCGATCAGACCAATTGGACCAGCGCCACAAATCACAGCACCACGACCTAGAGTCAGTCCTGCACGACGAATGCCATGAAGTACAACAGAAAGAGGCTCGAGAAGTGCGCCTTCCGCAAAGCTAACGTCTTCTGGGATCCTGATTTGTATCAACATTTGCTTCCAAGACGGCAGGAGTCCAGAGAGGAAAGAGCTTACTTGTGCAACCATTTTGCAGCGTGCACCTTGAAGCGTTGGAGGGTGCCGTGGTAAGGCCACACACCAGAAAACTTGACATCTTCGCAAAGATTGTAACGACCTTCTCTGCAGAGCCAGCAGTTCTCGCAGGGCATGCCAGGTTCAACTGCTACCCTATCGCCTGTTTTGCCAAAGAACGTCAGCGTTTCTATCCAATCTTCCGTTTCTTCTTCCTTCCTGTTGCTATTTACTCGTTTGTTCTTTCCATTTTACATTCTGTCGCTGTTCCTCATTGTCCGCTCTTTCCTGTTCTGACACTTTCCTCCATTCGGCAAGTAGAAAGCTCCTCCTTCAAGAATCCAGATCGAAGCAAGAACAGCGATCAACGAAACGAAGAAAGCACTACTCACCAACAGCAAGACCCTCAACTCCCTCTCCGAGTTTGAGCACAACACCGGAAGCCTCATGTCCAAGGATACAATCACTTTCCACAACTAAAGGGCCAATACGTCCAGTCTTCCAAAAGTGGATATCTGATCTGTTTGCCATCGTCAGCATCAGCACTCACAAGACCAGCAGTTCCTTTCCGACAATTCGAAACAATCCGACTCTTCTTTCGTAAATCTTGTCCAACAATGCAACAATGACGAGGAGGCAGGCAGTAAACATAAACTCACCCGCAGATACCCGTGCACTTGATATGCAGCAATACCTCTCCGTGTCCTGGTTGCTCGATCGGTGCTTCAGCCATCTTGATCTGATGATCTGCCGTCACTTGTAGAGAAGGGTTGGTTTTGTGAATAGGAGCCATGATTGTAGAGAGACTATGTATCGTCGTCCTTTATAAGCTCTGGTAGATCGATCTTCTCTCTCCCGGGTCCAAGGCAGTCACAGAGACCCTGTCGACCTGTCGGTTGGATAAAAAGATGGGAAAGAGCTTTGCATCCTTCCAAGCTGTCTGCTCATCCATTTGGTCTTATGTAGCTACAATCATGATCATGGTGGTTCGGATCGCTCTGCATGGCGCTTCATATTACTGTTTTGAGAAAGCCCGCCGGATTACCAAGTGCGGGGGTTCGATTGACGGCAGCATCATGAACACCTCACTTGTCTTTTTTGGCTAATCTAAGAGCCAACGATCACCGTGCATGAACTACGATCTTCTTCTCGAAAGCTTCGACGTTTAAAAGCATATTGTTTCCATTGACTGCAAAGAAGGGGCTGCTAACATTGCCCTCCCGACTAATCTCGGTATCTCTCTCTCTCCTTTCAAAAGCACGCCTACTAAAGCACACTCTCCTCCAGTACCAAAGAAAATGGAATGACTGAACCAACGCGCCGACCGGAATTTCCCCTCTTGAGCGCCTGTTCATGATTTTGTTGCCCTTCAAGACTCCGTGAGTTGGGACCATCTGAAAACGCCTGAATGAACACCTACCAATTGAACAACAATCGAAGTATGTTGTCATTAAACACATGACTTGAGCTTCTTGTCAGTATTCTTGCACTGCTTGCGGCGCTTGGCAATCTTGACTGCGTCAGTTGTCGATGAAGGAGCCTTCTTGATCTTCGGCTCAACAACAGTCTTGACAGACAACTTCACCTTGCTGGCTGTCTGGATGGCCTTGCTGCGTTTCTCAACAGAGGTGGATCTCTTGAGAGCGTTGAAGCTAGAAAACTTCTTCTGAAGCTCTGCAAATCTCATCTTCATGGATGCCAAACTTTGAGAAAGTCCCGGCTTGGGCTTGATGATGTTATGCTTGGCAGTGGTAGACTTACGAAGAAGCCTTGTTCTGATCTTGAGAGCATTGTTGCGAGCTCTAATGAAGTGGCGTCTCTGAGGGATGGCGCTCTTGACGAAAGCACCGAGATCTGAAGTCTTGTTGTAGGCAAGACCACCAACATAGGACAAGCTATGAGACGTGTGATTCGATGCGGCACTGATAGCATCGCCTGTGGACTTTACACCTCCGAGGAGGTTGCTTCCAAGAGACCTGACGCAGTAGACCGACGTGTTGAAGACGGAGTGAACATCAGAGAAGACCTTGGCTTGGGCAAGCTTAGCCGCATTGTGAACTACAGTAACATCCTGCTGAACGCCCTTCGCGGCATTCTCGTAGGTGGCACGCTGAAGGAGACGATTGCCAAGATCAACCTTGACTGTCTCATTACGTAGAGGCAGGTGGGTTGAGAGCACGCTGATCTGAACCTGACCATAAGCATCAGTGGAAGGCAGCGAGATGGCCAGTACTCCATCAACGACCCGGGTGTTGTTGACGTTGGCCAGAGTTTTGCCGTTCTTGAAAACACCAATCTGGGCAGATTTCCAGTAAGCCTTGGGAAGGGAAACGAGGAGCTGATCCGACTTGGCGACGTGGACGTGAACAGTTGTGGGGAAGGCAAGAGCAGTAGTCTTAGAGTTGCCGATGATGCTTGCAGTGACTGGATAGTGGAGAACATCGCTTGCGTTAACGTTGGCAAGTCCGGAGCTGTTCAGAGCGGCTTGGAGCATAGATGTGCGGTGAGCCAACTCTGAGGCAGGGCTCTGCTGTTGAAGGAAGTAAACAGGCAAGCTGGCCGCGAAGAGAAGCACGAGCAGTGCGAAGAGGCTCTGGGCTGCTTTCTTGATGACCAGAGAATTGAGGAGGGACATCAATTTGTATGGTTCAGACAGCTTGGTGGACTGAACAAGGGACTCGTCCATCTTAGGCGCATCGAGCTCCTTGGCCATATCAGTGAGGTAGGCAAGGTGACGACTCAAGATCTCATATTCAAAAGCATGGAAAGCGCTCTCTGACAAGGGCACCTCCTTGATCATGACCTTTTCGTCTTCTTCAGCAGCCAGGGAAAGACGGAGACAGTGCTCGCCTTGAGCAGTTTGTGGAATGACACATGCCAGGTCGGTATCACCGAAAGAGATGTCGAATGACTCATCTTGGACCTCCACCATAGGTATCTTTTGGTCAGCCACCATCTTGGCGAAGATGACCCAGGCATTGTCGTAGTTGGCGCGATGAAGAACAACCAAGTCAGGTCTCGAGATGTTAAATCTAGACTTCGACCCGTCAGACTTCTCGATAGCAGGTCCGACGCCAGGGGTAACATCGAATGTGCTGGCGCGGTCGATCTGAACAGGCGAGGGAAGGTCAGATAGAGAGTGCAAGATGGCCTCATCAGACGGGGCGCAGGATGCTGCGTCCAACATGGCTTCCTCATCAGCTGAGTTGCCAGTCATGGCGCCATAGAACTTGGCCATGAGGTTGACAACGTCCATGTTGCTGTGAGTAGTATCACCCAAGTACACCAAACGTAGAGGGCGGTCAGGCAACTGATAAGGCTTCTCAGCGAGGGACAAGCCAACGACACGGGCGTGCTCAGGTGTGGTGTTTGGCTTGATGGCGGGCTCGGAAGTGATGTGAGGCATGCGCTGAGCCATGGTAGGGGTGTCGGGAATGATGGTTCTATCACTCATCGTGACATGCTCCATCTCTTCTGCGGAAGGTTCGGTCTCCTGATAGCGAGCACGAACAGCGAGAGCGGGAATCTCGTCGTAGTTGATCTCATCATACTCGGCATCACTGGCGTGTTCACTGATGGTGTCGCCGGAGATGTTCGATCCAACGTCGCTGACGCTGCGAGCATCAGACTCAGGTAAGCGGGTTGTCAGGGTAGGTAGGGAAGGGGTGAAGCCGTCTATGTCCACGCAGTCGTCGGAGTCGTAGGCCTCCTCGTGATCAACGAGGGGCTCAGTGTGAACAGTCATGGTGATCGAAGATGTTGCTTCACAGAGTGCGTCTTCTAGCAATGTCAGAATGCGATGCAGAGATGGCAGGATGAGGGAGGGAGGGTACAAGAAGTAGAATTAGGATGTGCAAGTGATGAAGACACAAAGTGTTGGCTGTCGTGTTGCGAGCAGAACGGTCTGCGTGTCAGTAGCAATTTCCACCTTTCACAGAAAGAGGTGTGGGTGATGTCGTCGTAGATCACGCCCAAAAGAAGAAGTCACGGTTTGTTCGGGCAGCTGGCAACCCGGTCAGAAACGAACGAGCTGACGAGCCAAGTTGGCAGTGAAGTGGAAGGGGTGTAGAAGAAAGAAACCTTCTGATGAGGACCCAGCTTATCTGAAGTCTCCCCGTTGAGTGGCAGAGGTAACAGCTTACCAGGCAGATTATTGGGCCGCTGCAGCCTGGGAGGAGGGGTAGACCAATCGGGTGGGCCTTGTCTTAACCTAGAGGGGGGCAGTTGCGTCGATATGAGTTCTTTCTGTTCTGCTTTAAGAGGTGACGCCTTGACAAGTTCAGCCAAAAGCCTGCAATACAAGTCTGCAGAGTTCTTGACGATAGGAAGGAAAGTACGATGTACTGTATTGCCCCGACAGAAGCAGAAATCAAGGTGGTGCAAACACCCCGCAGTCACGATAAGACAAGCTTTCAGAGCTGCACCATGATGGGCTGCCGCCTTGCATGTGACGAATAGATAGGCCTTTGAATATCTCAGCAAACACGGAACCGACTCTTGTTGAGCGACCATTCGTGCCTTAAACCATGTTTATGACTACAAGTCCGCTCACAAGATCGATCTACCATACTGCCTTGATTTCGCTCTGTCATAGTAAGCAAAGACATAACCACACGATTTGTACTTGGAAGAAAAACCGTTGATTCGTATCTGTATCGTTACTATATCATGTACGATCAAGAATCAAAGAAAAGCTGCTGAGAAAACTAGAGGTCAGCGGAGGCACAATATGACCGAAGTTGGGATCCAGGTTTTGTATCCACATATACCGTCCATTCAAACCGATCAGATAACGCCGTCCATGATCGCTGCAAAAACGACTCGCGCCTCTCATGCGTATACAACAGCCAATATTACATCCTCGATCATGCTGGCGGCCCGGGAGTGATCCAACCTCCCGCCACATCTACCCAGTTGGGTAGACAACTGCCTTCTTTGAGCTCGACCTCTGGGACCTCGGGATCGCATCTGCATCTGCAGCCAACACCGTTTTCCTTCTCTTCATCCCACTCCTCCCAGTATGCATCTTCTTCAATTCTCTTCTTTTCGTCTGTTGTTGTCATCTCAAGGTAAGGTTGGCGAGGTTCCTGGCGAGCCTTTGCGTTTGCTGGACAGTGAGCGATTGTTGTGTGGCGGTAGCCAATGTCGCGGAAGTAGTGGATCTGCGAGGGAGACAGGAGAACACCCGCTGCCAGCGAGTGGATAGGTGCATCACCCCACTATAAAAAGTTAGTATCATGCAGAGAGCTATGGTCCAAGAAGTGCGTCTTACTCTTTCCATCCAGAAGCCTCCACTGCGATCCATCATCTGGAAGAAGTCCTCGTACTCCTTGCTTCGGAACCAGTCAAGTCTGGCAATTTCAAAGTTACTCCAGAAATGGCACATGTTGTAAGTTTCGCCCTCCATGGACTCGGGATCTACATCGGGGATAGTGCCAGCGCCAGGTTCTGTCTTGAGAATGTCTTCAGGGAGAGGCTTCTTGTACTTAGGGTCGTCCTTAGGCAATTCGGCTGCCGGCTTCTCAGGCTTTGGCTCCAGGAACATCTCCCAGAGACCAGTCGAGGTGATGTTGTTAACTCGCTTGTAGGCCGAGGCATATCTGAAGATATTGGGCACAGTCTCCTTGAGCTCCTTGACTGCAATAGTAAATCCATAGGTCTTGTTGTTGCGCTCCATATGGATGAAAGGATCGCTGAGAAATGTCAGTAAACCACGTTCAGAGGCCTGTGCTGTAGCAAAACATACTAGGTGATGTCGCAGAAGTACTTGATCTCGGGCTCAACACGCCAGTACCAGTCGTACTTCTGTAGAAGTTCGTGCTTGTAGAAGAAGCTGTGGATGTCAGTACAGTTTCAGGCCTTGGGAACAGATTGCAGGCATACCCGGAGTAGAATCTACACATGTGGTGATAACTCTCCATACCACCGTACATGATGGCGGCATCACCCTGTTTTCTGATGCCCTCCTTGGCCACGTTGTGGTCGACCCAGTCAGGGAAGCCCCACATGGTGGAATCGATCTTGCCGAATTCAACATTCGCGCTGACGTGCTTACGGACCTCGTCTTTGAAGGTCGAGTTGAAGTCGCCATCGTTCAGGAAGACGTATGGGTAGTGGAACCATCTGTTGAAATGTCTTTCAACCGACTTGAGTGACTGAATCACACCCTCGAGTTCCTTGTTGCGAGCGAGGACGACGAAAGCTGCGTTGGCGCGCGGTTGGTTGGTCTCGAGGGCAGGGTCTTGACAACCTGTGACGAAGACCTTATCGTGCTTCTCACTGATTTTTCTGCAAGACGAAGTGTTAGCGCAGATATGTCAAGTAACAGGAGAAAGTAGCGTACCTGATGGAGGGGGGAGCGCCAGCGGGCATGAGTATCCTGCCGGCCTCGGTAGGGTGCCGCACGAAGAGCAGCAGTATTAATATTACAATCAAGCAGGGGAACAGCAGGACCAGGCCCAGAGGTATTGAGATGCGCGAGTTCTCTCTTAGGCGTATGCGTCTGCGGAAGAAGGCTAACCTCGGGGTCATCTTCTCTGCACTCTTGGACAAATCGTCGTATGAAGGCATCCTTTGCGCTGTGGGTAGTCGCTTGCGAACATCCTGTAGGAAGTTCATGTTGTATGGAGGCGGCAGTGGGTGCTACGCAGACGCGAAGCTATAGCAAGCGACGAGCAAGGATTTCGGGTCGGGGATTGAATTGACGATGAGGTATGCGGCGTTGCAAAGCTGTTCCAGACGAGTAATGAGCGACCGACAGAGCGTGTCAAGGTGGAGCGGACGTCGCTGTTCAAGGAGACGCCGACAGGTGTGCGTTGACTGGACGCATATGAAGGATACTCGAGGCCGAAACGAGATTTCGACGGGTCGTGATTGGCGACTTGTCGCAGTGTGTGATGAAAGGCAAGGATCAAGTTAGGGGCTCAGTGGCTGGCTCAGAAAGGGTCTCGCTACGGATAGAACTAGGCCGAGCTGTTCGCGTGCTGTCTTTTTTATGCGCCTATATCGACTTCAATCCGTGTCTATGGAGGCTTCTAAAGGTGTGCCTTGTCGGCGGACTGCTCGAGAGACGTCTGACAATCGTAAATGCCTGTCAAAGTTGCTGTAGCTGCCACCTGTGTCCAACTCGTCGTGATTGCTTGTTCCTTCTAATTACGCAACCTAGCCCTTGGCACCCCCGAGTGTTTTGTGCAATCGCTGGTCCACGCTCGCCCATCTCCACCATTCTCAATTATCAGCATCCGAGCTCCTCTTTCCTCTCGAGCCAAGCAGTCCAAATCTTGCTGTGTGCATCCTCATCGTGTTGAAAGGTATCTAACGCATGTAGCTGGGGAAATTCATGATTTCATGATGCAACTATGGAATTGGACTGTTTCCGCTAAGAAGCAACAAATATGGACTCTCTATAGACAGTATTTGTCTGCGGATGAGATTGTGCCTTCTCATAGCGTCTACCTTACTATATGTTGTCGTCGGAATATGACGAAATTCAAGTACTTTTGAACACGAAGATGATAAATTGTTGTCACACCAATCACATCCCCGAGTGATCAAGTATTCGAGCAAGTTGATATTGGAAATGGAGTCTTGGAAATACAGACTGCGTCGACGCCTCAGACGAAAGGTGTACAATTTTTATATCTCTCGCCGACACCGATTTTGATTCCGAACTCATCCAAGTTCATATATTCGGGACGCTATAAGCTCTCTGCATACAATCATGATTTCAAAAAAAGGTATACCCTTGTCGTTTTCTGGATTGGCGAAGAAAGACTTCTAGGGTCAGGGTCATCCCACTTCAAACCGAAACTCCAAACACGAGCATCTACGACCTTTCCGTCCACTGATACCAACACACAACAATCATGAGCAACATCAAATCAAAAGACATTTCCTACGACAAATCGGCCTCACAGCCAGCATTTCTGCAGCGCCTACGCGATCAAAACAGCGCAATCTCTGCTTCCGGCCGCCACGAACAACCTGTTGCCCGCGCGCAGCGAGCAAAAAAGTCTGGCGATGATGATGACGACGCGCCAACTTACGTGGTAGAGGGAAGCTCTGAAACGCTGACAAAAGCCGAGTATGAAAAACTCGCTACTGGCGGTGGCGAACAAAGTGATGCAAAGTCGAAGTTTGCCGATGTCAAGGATATGGTGACTGGAGAATTGACAGGAGACTCGCCAAAGGCTTCGGGGGCATTGCCTGATGAGAGTGATGCACCTGCTCGAGCATCTGCGACTGTCGATGCAGGAAAAGCGACCAAGAAGCGCAAGGTGGCTAAAGTGGTGGGAGGTGATGATGATGAAGAAGATGAAGCAAACACCAAAGACACAAGCAAAGACGAAAGCAAACCAAAAAAGGTCAAGAAAAAGGGCAAGCCGATAAAGCTTTCTTTTGGCGACGAGGAATGAAAAAGTTGTTTTTGATGGCTATGTACAAATATCTACAATGGCGGCAGCTCCTCACGGTCGATGGGACACACGAGTCTGAACTTCATCCAACCCTCTAAACAACTAGAGTGGAAGATGTGTCTACAGGGTGTAACCATGTACCTTCTGCGCTCCAAAACCAAAGATCCAGTCGAAAGGCCCTCAGAAGCAGACTCCCCATTCAACACAGGCACCTCAATCTCATGCATACAAATGGCACAATCGAAGACACGCTTGCCTTTGTCCTTGGCCTCCTTTTCTTGCTCGGGTGAAGGCATCGAAGTGGTCGCTCCAATAGGCAGATTGTTGGCCTCCTCGTCGTCCCGAAGGATTGGGTGGTAGTCATAGGCGGGTGGCACCCAGTTGCCGCTCACGAACCAGCGAGGACCTATGATCTCCTGACTCAACAGCAACAACACTTGGATCCATACCCAGGCAGCTAGTATCCCAAGATCAATCAAATCAACAGCAGCGAAAAGCACGTTCTGCCCATAACCATAGAAGTAAGCAAACGGCAGAAGCCGCAGAAATGATTGACCAGCCACAAAGTCCCATCGCAAAGCGTGTCGACAATTGCGCATGCAGTTACGGTGGACTTGCGGCACCCAAAAGGATAAATAGCAGAATGCCAAGATTGTGAAGTAGCCTCGTCGAAGCGCTGGCGGCCATGAAGTTGCGTTGAGTGAGAGGAACAATGTTGCTAGAAGCAGGAAGTAGAAGCGAGTGTAGAGAGAACCAAATCCGGGGGCACGTTGACCAGCCTCTACGCCTGTAGCCGCAGCATTGGGAGTATCCTCTTCAGCCTGCATGTCTTGATCAGAAGGAATGAAGACTGGTGTGGCTCCTGTGTCAACTGGTCGTGTTGCTGTCACAGGTTGAGGTAGAGTTTCTGCACCTGCAGGAGTAATGACTGGCAGCTGTGATAGTGCCAGTGGTTGAGCGGGTGTACTCTCTGTAGCGCCTGCCGGGGTTGAAGTAGGAGCTGCAGTTGTGGCAGCAGTTTGCTGTCGTCGTTGTCGTTCCTGTCTTTCCCTGCGTTCCCTCTCCGGTGCCTGTACAGCCCATATGTCCATCAAGAACCTCATGCCAAAGAAACTAACGCTCATGAAGGCCAAGAAAGCAGTGGCAATCACGGGCACCCAGAGAGCCTGGATGAACAGACTGATCAAGCAGAGAACCATCGTGGTGAAGCCGTCTCCAAGTGACAACATGCTGATTGTATAGAAGCTGATCCTGCTCCTTGTAGAAGGGGTACTCGCGTCTCGCATTTGCCGCAAGAAAAAGAACAACTGGCCACCAATAACGGCAGCGAAAAGCAGTAGATGGCTTCTTGCCCGCTCATACTCGACCTCGATTTTGAGACCGCGGAGATGGTTTGCTTCTTGTGGTGCAATATCTGGCGGACCTTTTGATTCGAGCACAAAGCCACAATCTGGCGAGAAAGCCACCATGGAAAACGCTATCTGCTGAGGAGAAGGGATGGATGCACCAGTCGGGAATCGAATCTCCTGTTCGATGAAGGATAAAAGAGTTTCCTGATCAGGGCCAGGCTTGACCCCAGGTACTGGAACCAAGTGCTGCTGCAGGTAGACAACCAAGTCACACGTAGGAGCTATCAGAGAGTCCGAAGTGCCTTCAGGAGTTGGCGCCCAAGGTGTGAAGCTTTGGAGAAGACCGTCTTCTTGCTTGTCGATAGACATCCCTATCGTGTGATTGAGCAACTCTTGAGCGAAGCGAAAGTTGTGGTCCGAGAGAGCCATATGTGGTAGACCGAATATTCCAGCAAACTTGTCCGTAGTGGTAGCTAGTATGATATGCCCGGTCTCGAGGAAGTGGACGCCAAACAGCTTGCTATCCCAAGAGTCGCCCGCCTCTTCGTCTCCAACCGAGATCTGAGCCTTGACCTCCCTAGCCACTCTCTTATCCCCATGCCAAAGCAGTGTGTCTTGTGTATCCGCCTCTTCGAACCAGACTTCGAGCGACCCAGACTTTGCAGTGACATTCTTGCTAAAAGAATGGATCGGGATAGGACCAAAAGGACCAATGGACGAGTACTCGGACATGTTCAGCCTGGGCGGCACCACCGATGTTTGTATGGGCGAGCGAATCCATTCGCCGTACAAAGTTCCAGTCACATTCTGATATAGTGGTAGTGGTGGTTGGTCGTCATTTTTGCCATCAAGACGCGCCAGATTATCATGACCCAAGGCATGTGCAGACTGTTGCCTGGCTCGCTCCTTGACAAGAGGTAGTGCTTGCCATACGAACGTGTCGTTCTCCCGAAACCCGCTGATATTCAGCCATCTGTCCTGCGTGGGATCGAAGTCCCCAAACCGTGTTTGATTGAGCACAGTCAAGTCATGGCGTTCGGCAGCGACGATGTGTTCGAGGCGCGAGCGAGCGCGTACAAGGGGTTCCTGTCCAGGTGGCGGCGAGAAGAAGATGAACAGAAGAATGACCAGTGCGACAATGGCTCTCGGATCGGCCATTACTTAGGTTGTGTTCCATCCATCCATTCTACCTTGGTGAACAACTCGCCTATGACGCTCTTGTCGTTGTCAATTCGTGTCAGCTCGGACCCTGCTCGCGTGCCTCGGCTCACCACTACAAATGCATCACGACTTAGTCTTTTCTGTGGACAATCTCAAGTCTTGAAGAACAGGACAATACTCAAAAGGCAATCTGAGGATAGAATAGCATTACTGTTGCAAGTATGAGGGGTATTGAACTATAGAAGAGAAGAGAAGTGCACAATTCAAAAGCTGAACGGTACTAGCGAATTCCTTTTGGTTCCCAAAAATGAAAGATGAACGGATGCCTGCTCCTTGCGCCCTTTTGCGCCTTTCCCAGTGTTGGAGTCGATTGCCTTTGCCCATTGATACGGCAACTAGACGCCATGACCGCCGAGATGGCCAGGCGCAGGTCCGTCCAAATCGACCCGCATCACTCTGCTTCGAATATCACCGCTCTCCCTGACGAGGTTGCCGAAGTACTTTCTCGCAACTTCGCTTTCGCTTTGAAGTTTGATTTTCTCCTTGCGTTCGTCGAGAAGCTGCTCTACACTTCGCTGAAGACCCTCACGAAGCTTGTCAGCAGGGAACTTGAGTGCTCTCCTAACCTCGGACGAGATTCGTGTAGCGTTGGCGTGCGTGTAGTCTAGCTCTGCAAGCTGAGCCGAGAGCTTCTGTGAGAGTCGTCGGGGCAGCGAATGAGGAATTGAGCTCAAAGCATAGGAAGCACCAAGGGCAATTGCAAGGACAATGCCGGGGATCATCAGTCTGCGCAAGTTGTTGGGACCGATAACCTTTGCAGCACCGAGAACACCATCGACCCAACCAACACCACCGAACACACGGCCACCGACAACTCCAGCAATTGTGACAGCCATACTTGCTCCTGCAACCTTCTCTTGGCGTTCCCATAGACTTGCCAAATCAAAGAAGTCTGACATCTCAACGTCAACGTCAACTTGTCGTGTCAAGGCATCCCTGCGCGAACGGAACATGTATTCCGATTTGAAGGTCAGGTCCTCATAATCGTCGCCGAGGTGGAGAACTCCGAGATTCTTGATGCCCTCGACTCCCTTTGACGTGTGGTCTCTAGCGGCTTCCTCGCAGTCATGGACTGAGCGTGTAATCTGTTCTAGCATAGCTGACTTCAGCTCATCTGCGTACTCGTAGACGCTGAATAGACCAGGGTATTCGACGCCCAGGTTTTGCTCTCCGACACGAGCAATTGTGTTATTGATGGTGTCGCGGGATGCCTTGTAAATCTCCGATGCAGTCTCATCGATAGTGAAATCAACACCTTCCCCAGCCTCAGAGCGAGCCTTCTTGGACTTCTCGTACACGGGCTCAAGCTCTTTGAGTTCCCTAGTAACGCGGTCGAGCTCGTTCTGAGCAACCTCCTTGTTCACAGTAGCAAGGTTTCCGAGATCGCCGAGAACGTTAAGCAGGTAGGTCTTTGCAGGAGCAAGCTTGGAACGTGCTCTCTTCTCGAGCACAAAGCGACGCAAAGATGCCTCGAGTTCGTTGAAATCGTCGATCTTTTCTTGTTCTTTGCCCTTGCCTTTATCTTTCTTGTCAGAAGGCTCATCGTCGTTGCTAGGATCGCCACCAGGGCCACCGCTGCTTGAGCTGGACCCACTTCCTGAGCCACCAGGACCGTCCGGACCGCCAGCAGGAGCAACGGGAATAGCGTTGCTTGAAACAAAATGGACGAGCTCAGAAGACTCCTTGAAAGTGGCAGGGCTGAGGTGATTGACTTGCTTTAAGATCATTTCCTGACATCTCTTCTTGTCGCGAATGTTATCGTAACCATTGACAACCATGAACATATAGGCCTTTTCGCGGGCGGCGTTGAAGATGAATTCCTTGGCTGAGAGCGTGAAATGGTTAGCAGCAGAGACAACGAAGACGACGACATCAATCTCCTCCTGTCGAGCAAAGACTGCAGTGGTCTTGAGCGAATCGTTGTTCAGACCAGGTGCATCAATCAGAGCGATGTCGACCACACCGTTGTTGAGCAGTGATTGGTCTACTGAGCGAACATCCCTGATGTATACCTTGCACTGTGACCATTTTTCGTTGTCGATTACAATATCTTCAAGATGTTCCAGACCGAAGACAGCATAAGTGCTTTCGTCGTGGCGATTGTACTCGATACCATTTGGAATAGCGTGAACTTCTTCAACACCTCCGTTCTCGCGACAGTCCAGTACTTCACAGAAGATACTAGTGCATGGCTGTTGATCCTCAGGAAGGACTTTGCGTCTTAGGAGAGCATTGCAGAAGGTGGACTTTCCCGCGTTGAGATCACCAGTAATCAAAACTTTGCTGGAAGTGTCCTCGATGCGATCTCTTAGCGAAAACAGGTGTCGGACGCTGTTGTTGATCTGGCCGTCAAGAAGCGAGGCTATTGACTGCTTTTCCAAAGAGTGAACCAGCTCGGTTTGATGTACGCCCTCCATCTTCAATTCGATCTTGAGAACCGAAAACTGTTGAGACAGCTGTGGTGTCACCAGCCTGGGTTCTGCAGCTGGAGCACGAGCAGCAGCTCCGCTAGACTCAGGCTCCATCATGTCTTCGCCTATGGTAGTACCAGCGCGACGAGGGGCTGGTCGTCTGGATATCTCAGGAGCATGGTGGTTGTCGAAACCGGATTGAGTATGGACGAGACCAGGTCGAGGGTCTGGATGGAAGCGAGGTGCGGGAGCTGGACGTTGGACGGAAGGATAGTGGGCAGGCCATTTTGAATTCATCTCTTGTAACTTCTTCAGAGTGTCGACAGTCTCGGAGATGGCACGGCCGAGTGCGGTACGGTTCTGGTTGTATTGGAGTTGGTGTACATGGCTGGTGATGGCGCGTCTTTCGTTGTCGGCTATGGTATGGTCAGAATTTTGTGTTTGTCTTGAGTTGTACAGGCGATGCTCACAAGTAGCGCTTTGACCTGTGGCCAGATTCATAGGATCTTGGTCAAAAGTGGGATCAAAGGTGGCGCCGTCAGCGATGCTTCCCCCATAGCCAGAGTCGTTGTCCAGCATGGCGGCAAGGCGAGCGGCATGTTCAGAAGTCGAGCCGTTCCCGACGGTCATGTACTGAGGGCGACCAGGGTGGCGGCGCATAGGTGAAGGCGAGCTGTTCGAGGGTGTGGCACGGCCACTGCCAGAGGGAGAGCCTGAGCTCATGATGTGCTGGTGTTGTGTAGGGTGGCGCTCAGCACATTCCAGGTCTGAGGAGTTTCAAAAGATTGGCGTGGGATAGTAAAAAGTCGCAGGTCGTCGTCGTTGGTAGGTGGTGTGACAAGCAGCACGAGAGACTGTAAAAGTGTCAAAAGAACAAGATTGGCGAAAGTATGAGTAGTCTGACGAAAGGTTTGGCCGTTCATGCCGTTTCGGCACGAAATCGTCTGGAGTTAATTAGCGCGTCCGAATCCCCCGCCATGTCGACTCTGACATCAACCTTGTTTGTGGAAGCCTAACAAGCGCATCACTGCAATCTCTCTTGTTCACACACACATACACGTCCTCATACGTCTCTTCAGGCGCCTCTTCGTCACCATGAATGTGGGTTCTCAAGCGTTCAGACTCGTCCTCATCACTCAGCCCAATGACTAATGTTTCTCTAGGTTGTAGAATGGGCCTTTGGCAAACGCATGACGCCCGCTGAGAAGATGCGGAAACACCAGCGCTCGTTAGAGAAAGCTCAGCGCGAACTCGATCGCGAACGCACCAAGTTGGAGAACCAGGAGAAAAAGCTAGTCCAGGACATCAAGAAGAATGCGAAGAATGGCCAGATGGGCGCAGTCAAGATTCAGGCCAAGGACCTGGTCAGGACGAGGCGATACATCCAGAAGTTCTACCAGATGCGCACCCAGCTGCAGGCTATCTCGTTACGTATCCAGGTACGCCTGACCCGACCCTCGCATGCCGCCCTAGGCTAACACCGACTATAGACTGTGCGCAGCAACGAGCAGATGATGCAATCTATGAAGGGTGCCACCAAGCTTCTCGGTGGTATGAATAGACAGATGAACCTTCCAGCCCTTCAACGCATCGCTATGGAGTTCGAGCGCGAGAACGACATTATGGATCAACGACAGGAGATGATGGACGACGCCATCGACGATGTGACGGGGTTGGAAGACGAGGAAGAAGGCGAAGAAGTTGTCAACCAGGTCTTGGATGAGATTGGTATTGATCTCGGTCAAGCTGTGAGTTGTGTTTCTTGCCATTTGCCTAAGCACGTGCTAACACATACTCAGATGGGCGAGACACCTACGGGCTTGCAGAGCACTGCCGCTGAACAAGGCAAAGTGGCACAGGCCATTGGTGGTGACCCTGGTGATGATGATCTCCAGGCTAGGTTGGACAGTTTACGACGATGAGATCTGCTAAAGAATGGCGTTGGTTATATCTGTTTCCAGGGCAAGCGTACGGCGTTCCGGACAATGTTGATAGGTGCCTGTGGCCCCGTCTCTACATGGCGATGAGGACGCTATCTACTCACGAAACCTAAGAAGCTTTGTTGCTACATGTTGAAGGAGAGCAAGAGGCTGGATGCACAAAGCATGCATAGCTTACGACATGTGAATAGTTACGAAATGTTTACCCAGCTCGCCCGGTTTGCGGGGAAATGCCTGAGATTAATGACAGGTAGATCCGCATTCCCTTATACGCTAAGCAGGTGCGATCAGATATTGTAGATTCAAAGCAGTGAACGACTCAAGGGAATTTATCTCGCAGTCATCCAGAACAAGATCCGATATCGTCGTCTACGGACTCAGCGGCAGTGAGAGTTTCCGAGTGACCGACATTGGAGTTGGTTAGCGCCAAGAGCTCCTTCCAGAATCAGCTGTGACCTCATTTGACAGCCCCCAAGCCCATCCGAAGAACCGCACCCCCTCACGTTCTCCAATTGACAACCTAAGAATCTCCCATCATCCTGACACGGCGTACCACAAGACTTGCATTTGAAACAAGTAAGTCTCACTGCCTATTTCGCTTGTCCGAATCTCCGCGCTGCGGCTTCCTGCTTCCCACTGCACCTGGAGCTGCATGTCGGCAGACCAAAGCTTCCACATGGAACATGCTTGCTGGACACCATGCTGATGCTGTGCTGCAGAAAAAGGCCCTATTACCCACACTTTGTTCAGTCCGTCATTCGCTGCTTCTGAAAGCATCCTACCTTCGACCTTCGTGTGGCGCTAGTCACGTCCTCACTTCAATCTGGCATCTGGCAAGAGTCGCAGAAGCTTCTCCACTCAGGGAGGCCTGCTGAACAGAATGTTTGGATCTTCACCCAAGGAGGGCGACGCAATGCCCAAGACCGCCGAACCAAGCTCTGTTCCTTCCACCGAGCCCTCGTCCATGGATGCCGGCACTAGCGCAGACCGTAAAGATGTTAGCCCCTCTGGCACCTCTGGCAAGAGGAGAAGTAGCGGATTCGCTGGCGCGCGCAACGTCTTCTCAAACGCCAAGCAGTCTTTGAAGGACCAGTTCCATAGCTCTTCTCCTGAAGCACGCGAGAAGCCGCAGACTCCTATGCAAAAGCTTGGTAGAACCGATCCTGCTTTGAGCGTTCCTCAAGGTGCACTGAACAACTCCGCTGGAGAGTCTGAGCCCGGTCCGCGATCTACCTTCAGAGTCGGTGTCACTGAAGATAAGAACAAGAAATGCCGAAGAACAATGGAAGACACACATGCCTATCTATACAACTTCCTCTGCACTCCAGCTCCCGCTCTCGGTTCAGACACAGCCCAAAAGAGCATATCTTCCACCAACTCGAACAACTCCCAGGAGGTTGTCGAGACCGACAATGGCTACTTTGCTATTTTCGATGGACACGCTGGCAACTTCGCTGCCGACTGGTGCGGCAAGAAGATTCACTGCCTTCTCGAGGACATCATCCGCAAGCATCCGAACACTCCTATTCCTGAGCTTCTTGACATGACCTTCACTACCGCCGATCAGCAGCTGGAGAAGCTACCTTTAAAGAACAGTGGCTGCACCGCAATCACTGCAGTGCTTCGTTGGGAGGATAGAATACCCAATTCCCAGTCTGCTACTGGCTCCACCGCAATTGCACCTGCCACCGCTGCCGCTATCAAGGGCAACTCGGAGTCAAGTACAGCCAATGCTGACTCAACACAATCATCTGCAGCAAAACTTCGTGAGGCAGCTTCGCGCCAGCGCGTCCTTTACACTGCCAATGTTGGAGATGCCCGTATCGTTCTCTGCCGAAATGGCAAGGCTCTCCGTCTCTCCTACGATCACAAGGGTAGTGATGAGAATGAAGGCAAGAGAATCGCAGGTGCAGGAGGTCTTATCCTGAACAACCGTGTCAATGGTGTTTTGGCCGTTACCCGTGCTTTGGGTGATGCATACATGAAGGATTTGATTACCGGTCATCCCTACACCACCGAGACGGTCATCCAACCCGATATTGACGAGTTCTTGATCCTGGCATGCGATGGCGTAAGTTGATTTCCTATCCTCTAGGCTATAGCGCTACGCTAACGAAAGAAACAGTTGTGGGATGTCTGCTCAGATCAAGAAGCAGTCGATCTTATCCGCAACATCAAAGATCCTCAAGCTGCGTCCAAGACACTTGTCGACTATGCACTTAACCGTTTCTCAACAGACAACCTGACCGTGATGATCGTCCGCTTCGACAACCAGGCAGTGCAGCAGACAGTAGAACGCAAAGTGGAACCTATCGGTGTTGATGGCGATCCTGCCGCACAAAGAGGCGGTGTAAGCGAAGCCGATGCGATAATTGCTGAGCAACGTCAGAAGCTTGCAGACAGCGGCGAGCTCCTCGACCGCGTCCCTAGTGATATCCACGAGGAGGAGGAACAAGTGGATCCTGGACCAGAGCTCAATCTCGAAGCAGTTGAAGCTGCACGTAAGGACCGCAAGCCTCAACCGCCCGCCGAGGAGGTCGCTCGCGCGCAACAGTCTTAGTTACGAGTATTGGCCATCAGGGACAAATAGAAAATCGGGACGTAGCATTAATCGACACAGCTTCTCTTTAAGAGCCACCTTCTTGTCGCCTATTTGAACAAGACATGCTGGTCATGGGTGGGTTGGTGAGCACGCAGGCGTACAGGATGAGAGCGTTGAAATTTTTGATCGCGCGTGCATGAGGCGACAAGGGCAGTTTACAAGGTAGTAAGGTTGTTAAGTTTTTCGAAGAAGTCTGTCCAAGAACATGATCCTATTTTCTGATCCATGTGCTTTGTCCTATCCACCTATAAGATGTGCCTATAAGAAATGTCTTGGCGTTGGCGGAGAGCGGGCATGATTGCTAGCGCATTTGTTCTCAAACTTTTTTAATGATCGCGACGGACTCGATCTCTCCAACTTGCGCATAGTGTTTCTCGACTTGACAACTTCCTGGCAGTAGGAGCGTCTCGCTGTTCCTTTCAATATCTCAGTCACGATTTTCCTACTGCGCGAACTCACAAAATGCTTCTCTGTTCGTGACCTGTATTGAGCCTACAGCAACATACTGACTTGTACGCAGTTTGCCCCAGTTGCTCGAACCTCTTGACCATCACACCTATCCCTGCGGACCACCTCCCTCTGAACGAGCAGCACTTTGCCAATGTCAATCGATTCGAATGCCGAACATGTCCTTACCAAATGATTCTGGACAAGCGCTACTTTGAGCGCAAGATGATGAAGAGCAAGGAAGTCGAAGATGTTCTGGGAGGTGCCGACAGCTGGAAGAACGTCGACAAGACAGAAGTCAACTGCAGAGAAGAAAAGTGCGACAACCGCGAGGCATACTTCAGACAGGTTCAGATCAGAAGTGCTGATGAGCCTATGACTACTTTCTACAAGGTATGTTGGGCTTTACTGTGTCAGGCCCAGCACTAGCTAATCTTTGGACAGTGTACAAAATGTGCTACTGAATGGCGCGAGAACTGAGCTTCTCGTCTCCCAAGAAAGGCCGCGCAATCATCTGCGCAGCATTCTGCAGCAACATTCCTCTTTAGCGATCTTTCAGCGCGGCGTTTGTGGATACAGGCTCGGCATCAAGCTATGTCAAGGCCTTGGCTGGTATTTAAGAGACACGATTATTGGTAGATACCCTTTTGAATCAGGAGTTCATGTGCTTCGACAAAAGAGGAAAATGCGAGTCCGTTGGAATTATGGGTATCATGGCTATCGTTGTAGAAAACAGGATCAGGGAAGGAAGAGTGCCGTTGAAAGACGCCGTTTGTCCACTATCAGTCGCGGCGGAGACCATCGGTGCTGGCTTGAAGGCCTTCCTCTGCCATTCTGGCAACGGTTTCAGGGATCAGAATATCCTTTCTGAATCTCTCTTGCTGGAGGAGCTCGAGTGCTCGGATAGTAGGACCCGGATAGCTGGAGAGGGATACGTGAACACCTGTGTCACGTGGTGAGGTTGAAGATGGACTTACGACAAGTATTTGATGTACTTCGGTTCTGCAAAGTACTGGAGATAGGAGAGATATGCAATGAACTCTGGATCATCCAGTAGCTTCTGTGTTGCCAAATGATTGAGATAGAGAGGGTTGGACAAGCACTGGACAAACTGCAGACAAGTCGTCAATAATTAGAATAGTGATGTGAGCCGTACACTTTGACTCGGTGTGGTTTTTGCAGAGTCGCTAGGTCTGGCCAATGACTATTCGTTGTAGACTTACCTCGAGCTCCAGTTCGAAGCGTGTATATCCTCCGTAATTTGAGTCGGCCATGTTGTCAAGGCGTCACGCGCTACAGCGCGGGAGACGAAAGATGAAAGAGCTAGCGGTAGACCTGGACGTTGGCGAATATTTGAAAGTAATTAGTTCGTCTTCGCTGGAATTTTAATTCTCAGAAAGTGTGGTCTGGTTTAGGTCTCGAGTAGCCATGGATTGTTCCTTCCCTTTCTCACAATGTCTTGGCGTCAGTGCGACTTAGAGTGCACATGCTTCCTCCTTTTAAGCCCTATTGTCACTGCTACACTTGTTCCTTTGATGAAGCACCTTTGATCACTTCTTCCAATGATTGCATTCAATGTTGTTTCCGGAAACCACGATTATGAGATTGTATCAACCAGCAATTCTACTATGCAAAAGCACTCTATTATCTAGTATACCATCAACATCTTACCTTGTAGAGACAATCCATCTTTCGATTTCACCTCGTCCGCCACCTTTCACTAGATTGGAAGAAGAACGAGGCAGACTAAATGACCACAGATCACGCTTTGTGGCCGAACAATAATCTCACAGCCCTGCCCTCCCCATCTTTTCTAAAGCCTTCCTAGCAATGTTGACCTGTGTCTGCCTCTCCCGAGTATGATTCTTTGGATTCCATCCTTTGGTGTCTGCAATTCTGATAGGACTACTCCACGCACGCACAAGCAGGTCATAAGCAGGATCCAACGGCCTGCTGTCGACAACACCAGCAGCCGCTCACAATTGGCCATCAAGACTCCTTAGCCAGGGATGAAGAATATTCACAAATTGACCAACGGTAACAAAGTGACCTTCTTCAGCAACTATCTCGAGTTGAGGCCCGGGACCAGGGCGGTGTTCACCACAGCAGTACTCTACACGACCTTGAGCATCGAAACGAGGTGGTCCGGCTTGTTCGTCGAATTGGTCCGGAAAAGCGTGGGGCTCATGCCAATAAATCCAAGCGCTGGTATAGTCGTCAAGACTCTCGACTGAAACAATTATTGACGAGACTGGTGGGCAAGTCAAAGCTTCACCGCAGACAGGATGGGTTGGCGAATATGGTTCTTCGCTTGAAGTCAAATCTGTCGGGTCGCTGAGGATGAAGACCGAGTGAGATATTTCGTCGGTTCGGAGGATCCAGCGAATACGTAGGAAGGCAGGTGAAGGGAATGGTGTTGAGTTTGTGGCCACGACTTTCGTAGCTTGGCTATACGGTTGCCATTCTCCCGCTAGGAGCTCTATGTCGATTTTTTCGCATTGAAGCAGCTTGGTGAGGGTTCTCGTATCGTTGTTGAGTAGGCTGGGGTTGTCTTGATGGCTGCCAGAGTGGTCCGAGAGATGGCTCGGTCCCTAATCTATTCAAGCATTCGAAGCCTTTTACAATCCTCTATATTACTTGCCAAGACGCTATTAGCCTTCCAAGCACTTGAGACGAACGAAGAAGGGGCCGAGAGCATCAGGCCCCCGAGGTCGACAACACCTCGTCTTCACTCTCCTGCTTCGTATATGTTAGGCTCTCAGTAACAGAACTCACGGTCGTAATGCGCTAACTTGCGCTTGAGGGTCATAAGGCCAGTCCCAGACGCTGAAGATTTCTTCTGGCCTATCAACAGGCCCTCTTGTGGGAAAGCATGCAAGCGTCATCGCGCTTAATCTTTTCTGTGGTCATGAGCATGCCATCCCTGTCGCGACGTAGGATGGGAGGCTTGCCAAGGACTGCTTGTACAGTATATCAATGAGTTCTTTTGACCAGTTATGTGGCTTTATGCCGGATGGCAGTGAGCTATCCACCATCTTAGTTAGTATTCTCCTTGAGGGCGGAACATAGTTAGGCACTGCTCAATGTCGTGTAATGGACATTCACTTCTTGGAGCCGAGCTGACGGTAATGAGACACCTCGATATTTGGCCTGTCACCTGTACCTCTCTTCTGCGTAAGTACTACTCAAAATTCTTGAGATTGTTTATCAGGTTCTGGTTTACGGAGAGTGTGTCATCCATGAAAAGGAGCGATCGGCAGCCACGTATACGGTACAATTCGTTCTGTGGACATGGGTGACCATCCCGACACTGAGTGTTCAAAGTCGAGTTTACTGCCGCGAATTTAAGTCGGCTGTATTGCGAAGCGTCACGCGCACAGCGCGGGTGACTAGTTTTCGAAGAGCGAGCGGTACTCGAGGGAAATGCTTGCGAAATCCCCCACCAGCAAGCCGGTCTCTCGGAAGGTTCTATGAAAGCGCGGTTTGACTCAAGTGCTGGTCAAATTAGACTTTTCAGCCCCCCTGACGGCCAGCTGGTGATGCGATGATGGGTGCTCCTCGATCGATAGGGGAACACAATCGATTGCAACGGAAGGCAGGGCATGTGGCTGTAGGACAGTTCAGCGACAGTAGCTGATGGCAGCCGGGTGAGACTTGGAGTTGGATAGCCAACGGCAGTTTATCGAAAAAAGGATACGAACATCGCAGTGATCAACAGGAGCGCCAATGCGGAGTAATAAGCGCAGACCCTTGTGGCTCGAGCCCCCCTCTCAATCTTAGTAAACAACTAGGTACCGTCTCTACTCGTGCTCTCTTCCTGCCAAAACCATCACCAACATCTCTCCTGTCTCCAGCAGTTGCTAGTCTACAGTGCGCTGCATCTCCAGTCTTGCACAAACCGCACCATCCTTGGACACGGCTCAACGACAGTAGCGCCGACATCGTGGTCCCGCACAAACAACCGTCGATCCATTCCTCATTCTTGGGCTCGCTTACATAGCACTCTGCATCTTCAATCTCGACGACGCCTAAGTCTCTCCTTGACCGATCTCCGTTTGACCTGAGCAATCATGTCGCTTGCTCCAGCGGCCATGCCTGGTAAGCGCCCCCTGGTGTTGCGTTTCAAGCCTGTTTCAATATCAAAATATCCCGCCCCTATGCCCAACAATCCCTCATCGTCGTCGTCTCGTTGCTGATGTCGCATCTCGTTCAATCAGGCCAACGCGCTCCTTCTCCTGGTGCCGGCTCCAACTTTGCTTCCAACAACCCATTCCGCCGTGCTGCCTCTCCTCTGCCTTCTCCCGACCACAGAATGTCGAACAATCCATTCCTCGACCCTCCAGCCCCGCAGCGACAGGCTCCTTCGGACGCTTTTACTGAGGACATTTTTGTATGTGCCGCCTGTTATCTGCACCTTGCCCCGCCATCTATCAGTCTCCCGTTCTCAATTTTGTCGCACCAAACTCCGGCACTTCATTCTCTTGCCTCTGCCACGTTATCCAGAATTTCATCTCGAGCAATTGTTCTGAAGCGAAATTGATTCCGTACTAATCGTGTATCACAGAAGGATCTCTCGTTGCTCGACAAGCCGAGCTCAGGAGGTAAACACAAATCACTTATGAGTCAATGAATCTAGCTAACATTCTTGTCAGCTCCCCCTGCACCTCGCAGCAATGGAGTCTCTCGTACAGGTACTATGCCAACTCAGCACCGACCCGCACGCTCACAGGAAGACGAACCGCGCCGACGCGGCCCCGCTCCTCCGCGAGGTCCACCACGTCCTTCCAAGGAAAACGCACTAGACATTTTTGCCAGCCCTCCCAAGACCGAGAGCCGACGCCCTCGTCGCAACTCTGAATCCTCAATCCTGGACAGCAAGGACGAAGACAGGAGAAGAAGAGAGCGACGCAGAGAGCGTGAAGAACGTCGCGAAAAGGAGGGAAGAACCAAGGACGGAAAATCGAGATCGACCAGGAAGCCCCAGGGACTTGATATCATTGACAAGCTCGATGTCACCGGCATTTACGGTCAAGGACGTAAGTGACATGTTTGCGAAATTCAGTCTCGCAATGCAAAACTAACAGAATCTCGACAGTTTTCCACCACGACGGACCTTTCGATGCATGCAACCCCCACCGCAACCGTAAGAAGGATGTTCGTGCTCCTATGCAAGCATTCCCTGCAGACTCGGCCAACAACGCTCTGGGTGGATCTGGTCCTTTGAACAAGAATATCGACCTCGACAGGTTTCATGGACGTGGCGAGGATGCCTTCAATGATTATTCTCAATCTCGCGTTCAAGCACCGACTAAGCAATTGCAATCATTCAATCCTTCCGACCGCGTCGAACAGATCCATGCCCCGGAGACAGGCGGCCTAGGAACCTCGACTTTCCTTGAGGGCGCTCCCGCTTCGAGGAAGGACCTTCAACGCCGAGAGTCTGAGACCGAATCTTCTGCTTTCCCAGGAGGCGGTCTGACTCGCAAGAAGTCACTTGCTGTGCGTCTTCGAGGACTCTCGCAAAACCGCAACAACATGCCTTCACCCGACGGAAACTACGGCGCCATGTCTCCGAACAGCCCTGGTCAGGTGCAAAGTGCAGGTGGTAGAACCCGTATTGCAGCTAGCAGCAAGGAGACCAACCCCTTCTTCTCCGATTACAATGATGCATACGAGAAGAAGGGCGCAACCATTCGCTACGCCGAAGAGACAAAGGAAGGCCGTGCAAGAGCACCGAGCTCACCTCACCGAAACGGTCTTACTAGAAGTATTACTGCAGACAGTGTGCCGTCCGCCACACATGACGTACCTGAGAAGAGCAGCGGAGGCGGATTCCTCAACCGCATGAAGAGTTTGAAGGGAGGACGCAGAGCGAGACCCGAGAGGAGGGGTTCTTGAGGTGGACAAAGATGTTGTCCTTTCTTGGATAACAGCGTGTTCTTCCAACCTGCGCCATTATACGTCTGAAGCAGAATTATGCCAGGCCCGAGATCTCCAGACATGTCTTCCTTTTGTTTTTCTCTTTTTCTTCTTTCATCTCATCATCGACAGCCATCCGATACCAAAGCCGCTGGTCGAAGGTCTATTCCTATAGTTCTGCTTTTTGTGTTTCGATGGCAAGGAAAGCTGGTTACGCGAATCAAGTGCAAATCATTGTGTCCTTGACAAAAGTAATCAGAGGGGGTTATGGGTATGGATGGATTGATGGATAGAGGCGTTTATTCAAGGATTATGCTTTTTTTTCTTTTCTTTTTTCTTAGCAGAGGAAAACAATCAAAGTCAGCAAATAACCAATTTCTCATTGTCTAAATACTGCAAGTGTGTAAATCTGACAGATCGGGATGGAAGTCGCGATATCAAGTCAGCAAACAGTCTTGAAGCAGTTTCACTCTCTTTAGATTCTCAAACGACACCTTCCAAATATCCTCCGAGGCAACCACAAACCGGCCGATCAAACCCAATATACCGAAACTCAAGAATGGCAGTGAAACCAGTTTTGGCATCTGGTTTGATTACCCAGGACTCGATAGGTTTGTTTGGAGAGAGAGCAAGGGTACGACTGCGAGTGGGTACCAGTTGCTGCGCTTCGATTGATGATGCGTTGAGTGGAGGATTGGTGTATGGACAAGATGGCATCTACAACATCAGTGGCGCGACGGGAACTCGAGCAGCTGAGACGGTATGTTTGATCCTCATTAGAATGCTTCACACAGTTTTCAAGAATTTTCTTTCCAAGTGGAACAGCAAACCGGAGTGAAGTTTGGTATCATGACAGGGTCACCTTCACGCGCCTCCAAAATATCAACATTTTATCGCTCCAGTACAGGCTGACATCAATATCTCACCAGATCACCCTCCAAATCCTCATTACCCATCTCCTCGCGTCATCAACTCACACAGCAACGCTCATCGACGCATCCGGCAACTTTGACGTTCTAAACCTATAAGGAGTAACAGAAGGATTAAACGAGTTGATTGAAGACTTGGAAGGGAGGAATATCCCCAAGAATACGATTGGGGATAGTCAAGAAGAGGAAGAGGAAGTGATGTTGCTAGGCAATGAGGTCGAGCAGGAGAAGAAGGAAGAGCAGCAGACGGCAGGGTTGGTTCTGATTAACAATCTGAGTCAAGTGTTGGGGCTATTGCTGAAGAATAACTATGCTCAAGGTATGATTGATTGCTGATGGGCAGAGTGGAGAAGCTTATGAGAATCACAGGACAAGCTACACTGGCGACGCTGGTCAGAAGGCTGCGAAATATGGCACAAGCACACAATCTCTGTGTCATACTGTTGAGCTGGAGTGTCTCATATGGAAATGATCAGGAGCGTGTCTCTATCTTTGAAGCCATCAAAGCCAGACCAGGACTAGGCAAATCACTGGGTTACTTGGTGGATACACAGATTCTCGTCGATGCCATCCCGAGGACAGCAAAATCGAAAGGAAACGGAGACCTGGTAAATGTGCTCGAAGTGATATACAGCAGAGGAAGCCACCAAGCAGGGAAATTTGGCGTGTTCGATGTCACTGCTGATGGAGAGATACAACCTGCATTCTAAGCTTTTCACAGCCAATGGAATACGACGTGATGAACAAAAAAAAAGAGAATAGAACGTGAATTTCGAAATAGTGGTGGTATAGTTGTTGTTGTTGTGTTTCTTTAGTTGGTCTTGACGTGAGGGAGCAGAGCAGCGGGCTTCATGTCCTTCTCCTCGAGCGAGCCCTCAATCAGACCCAGACTCCTTATTTGACCGGCCGAAGGGGCGTCGTCTCTGGGGTTTGCGGCGAGGTGCTTGCGGTATGCGGATTGGAGAGCGTGGACACGAGCGGCCTGGTTGCGCTGTGTGTCAGAAAAGGGCCTTGTCGGGTGTGTAGGTGGGGCAATTGTACCTCTTTGCGGTGGTGTAGGCACTCGTAGTAGTCCTCGAGCATGGGAGCGCACTTCTTCTTGCCTGAGCCGTCCTCGGAGTTTGTGTTGACGACGTAGCAGGCGAGCATCTCCTGCCAGAAGGGAAAGCAGCGGCCGGGGCCTGTTGTCGTCCAAGTCGTCAGCGGTTCAATTCTTGGTTCAATGCAGAGGATACCCAAGATATACCTCCAGTCAAGCCGTAACCAGACGACATGTTGTGTTTTGTGAGATGTGATTGATTGAACTCGGGATGCTGCTCTTCCGACGCGACCACTGACTGCTTGCGACTGCCCGCGGTCGTCGCTGACCACTGCCAAGACCAGTTGCTGGCGGAGCGGAGTGAGCGGAACCGACCCAATTCCCTCCTCCCTCTCCACATCCGAGGCGCGCATCATCTGGAACCTGCGTCGCACCTTGCATCATCAACTCACCCACGCCAACAAAAAAAATGTCACAATCCGTGAGCCCTCGCGACAAAGCTGCCAAAGTCGCAACAACCAAATACGCAACCTACGAACCCCATCAAATCCCCTACTCAGCACACTACGAAAACGCTCTCTACCATATCCTCGAATACCCACCCCGCACACGCGACGGCATCTTCATCATCCCAAACGACTCGTCCGAGCAACCGAAACAAGGCATCTCCGTGCGCGAAAGAGACATAGATCCAGCTTCCTTGCCGCAAATCTCGTTGCAGCAGCTTCCGCTTTCTGTGCATGATCCTAGGCGTGTGTTTGCGAGTCCCATACCAGGACTTAGATTGACCCATCCTGGTGGGTATTTGGAGGGTGGTCCTGGTCCCTCGCCTGAGGAGCAGAAAATCTGGGCTAGAGAGTTTGTCGAGAGGGAAGGTGTGGTGGGTGAGGAGGCCTTGGATATGGCCGTGCAACATCACATGCAGCAGAATATGGAGTTGGCAAAAGAGCGCATGCGCGCCCGCTACGATGCCCTACAGCAGAACACAAGAATCGAAAAGGAGATCAAGACGTTGATGGACCAGAGGGAGATGGAAGTCAAGATTGAGACACGCATGAAGGAGGATGCAAGGAAGAGAAGGGAGAATCGCGAACACAAGAGGAAGATGCCTGCTGTGTGATTACTCGGACTACGCTACACTAGATCTTGGGTGCCCTAAAGCCTACGAAAGGAATTCTGGTGCGCAGTAGGAGACTGCTCGACACCACTGAAACCGAACTCAACGCCATGGCCAAACTGGCCCATACTGGATCCAGTCGAACGTGCGTTCCTCCACTGGTAATTGCATACAACGCTCCTGCCGCAACGGGCAGCGCAATCAAGTTGTACACCAACGCCCACGCAAAGTTGAGCACGACCCGACGGAACACTCCACGCGACAGTTCCAGAAGTCTGACCAATGCATGCAAGTCGGATGTCACGAGCACAAACGATGCCGTAGACAGGGCAACATCTGACCCTGACCCCACGGCGATGCTGACGTCCGCAGTAGCGAGAGCCGGAGAGTCGTTGATGCCATCGCCACACATGGCTACTGTAGCCCTCTGCTTGCGCGATCCGATCCAACCTCGCGAGCGTCGGGGTACAAGTGTCTGCTGCAGGTACTTAATCTTATCTGCTTTTTGTTCTGGCATAACTCCAGCCATGACATTTTCTGCGGGTATTCCTACCGCTGCTCCCACGCTGTTTGCTGTAGTTGCGTTGTCGCCTGAGATCATGAATACTTCGAGCCCTTGCTTCTGCAGCCACTTGACTATGGTGGCTGCTTCGGGTCGAAGTGGGTCTGCGACGGCAAAGGCTGCAACCAGAGTGAAAGCCGTTCCTGGGGACGATGATGTGGATAGAAGAGCAATAGACTTGCCCTGTTGCTTCCAGCTTTCGATCAGATCTCTGCTTTTCGAGTCGAGCTGTACATCAAAGTCTGCCATTAGTGCTTCGTTACCGATAATTGCTGTGACTTGTGTGCCCAACTTTGCGTTCTTGAAGAATCCTTTAAGACCTTTGCCAGGGAGTTCCTCAACATCAGTGACTTGCATGTCTTCGCCAGTCAAGACTTGAGCTTTGTTGTACTCGACAATGGCTCTAGCGACAGGATGACTGCTATTTTCCTCGAGCACTCTCGCCATAGCCAAGGCAGCCTCTCTCGTGTCTTGGCCATCAAAGACTTTACAGTCAGAAACAGCCGGCGCGGACCCCTGCGTTAATGTGCCAGTCTTGTCAAACACGACACAGTCGAGCATACTGGCCTCCTGAAATGCCTCTCCACCTCCCTTGACAAGAATACCATGTTTGGCAGCCAACCCACCACCCACGAACAGGGCAGTAGGTGCAGCAAGACCAATGCCACAAGGACAAGCCACCACAAACACGGCAATCGAGAACTGCAGTGACCAAAAAGGCCACCCGCCAATCTCTGAGTCTAGCCACGAAGATGGCAAGGCGCCCGAAAGGCCCAGAGAAAGCCAGATTATCCATGTGGAGATGCCGATCAGGATGATCAGAGGCACAAAGCGTGAGGTTAGAATATCTGCTATGCGTTCGACCGGAGCGCGTTTGGTTTGTCCCTCCCGCACTACCTTGATAATTTGGTCGAGCATTGAGGAACCCGAGATGGAAGTCAGTCGCACATCGACAGGAGATCCCTTGTTGATGGTACCGGAGAAGACCTGATCGCCTGTTTGCTTGGATACGAGCCTGGATTCTCCCGTCAGACTGGCCTCGTCGAATTTAGTCTCGCCATCGACGATAATGCCGTCGAATGGCGGAGAACTGCCTTGGAGAACTCTAACCACATCCCCGACCTCAAGCAGTTCGGTCGGTGTCTTGTCTATGTTCATGGAGTTGTTGCCCTCCGAGGTAGTGACCAAGAGAGCAGTGTTAGGCCTTAATGATCCCAGAGCAGCAACGGCATCGCCAGTCTTCGCCTTGCTCCAAGCCTCTAGCCCTCTACCGCCCAGCAAGAATAAAGTCAAGAAAACCACAGAGTCAAAGTAATAAGCCTGTCCTTGTCCCATTGTTTTCTTGCTATTCGTTGCATTGATAGCAAGAGCGGCGATTGAAGCAAAGTATGCAATTGACGTGCCCAGACTGATCAACATGTTCATGTTGCCGAACCTGAATAGACGATGGCTCAGAGGCGTGCGTGACGAAGGTTTCCACATGAGGTATATGCCTTGGAGACTTCGAATGTGGAAGATATCGGCAGCGAAGAAGTAGATGATGGTACCCATGATGAACAAGGCCCAGTCTGCTCTGCTCACCGTACCTGCCCAGATGTTTTGCATAAGGTACTCGCGACCTGCATTGTCGTGGTTGACGAGCGTCATGTACACGATGCCAATAATGAAGGTTGGAACTGCTGTAATGAGACATAGAACAAAGCGAAGGAGGATTTTCCTGCGTTCGGCTGCCTGTATCTCTCTCGATCGCTGTTCAATGGTTGGAGGGGTGAAAACCGAGGCTTGGACTTCTGTGTCTAGACCATTGATGACTTCCAGGATATGTCTTAGCGTCAGAGTTGGTGGTTGGGGCCGATAGCTGAGTCTGAGTAGTGGATTCACCATGCTGCACTCTTCGTCGATCGTCACCTCGGCGCCAAATTTGTTCGAGAGTGCCTGTATAACACGAGGTGCACAATGGTGACAGTACATGCCTGTCATTCGCAAGACAACTTTTCGTTGCGAACTCTGCTCTTGTGTTGTCTCAATGCTGTTAACTTCTTCGGTCGAAGCGTCAAAACCCAAGTCGTCGATAATTTCGATGATATCTTTCACTCTTTCTTTGTCTCCTCTGAATGACAATGTTGCACTGTTGGAGATCAGGTTTACCTGAACGCTCTGGATCCATTCAGGCTGCTCAAGTCCAGTGGTAAGAGATTTCACACAAGCAGCACACGTCATGCCTGTGATCGCAAATGTTGCTTTCCATGTCTGTTCGTTGGTAGTTTGTTTGACACCCAAGCCATCCACTTCGTTCAAGGCAACATCATATCCAGCATCTTCGATTGATTCGGAGATGACTTTTTCGTTGCTTCGACCTAAAAAGACGACCGTGGCTGAATTGCTGAGCAGGTTGACGTTGACATCCTGTACGAAGGAGTGTTGGGAGATGGCCTGCGAGACATTGGTAACGCATGCACTACATGTCATTCCCTCGACTGAGAAAGTAGCACGAAACAGCTCAGGTATAGCAGATTCCACAGAATCAAGCTTTTCTGTAACCTCTGCGCCGTCCTCTTTCTCATAAGACACCGAAACTCCTCTCTCGAGGCTGGAAACATCGGGAAAAGGCTGTGCCTTCTCCATCAAGGCATCCAAAGACCCGCGATCATGCTGCATTTCGTTGAGACATAGCGCACACTGCTCCAGATGTCTTTTTCTCTTTTTGCTGTTCTCCACCTCCACATCTTTGTCCTTCCATGCAGTTTTCCATCGCTGAACTGCTTGCTCCAAGCCCCAGTCTTCATTGATGTCAGTACCCTCATGTTGCCAAGGTCTGAATGTAGGTTCCCGATTTGCTGGTGCAACACTGTAGACTTCGAAGCCTGCTTTTTCTAGGCTTGAGGTAATGGTGGTGTGGGAGATGGACGAATCATGGCGAACCGTGACCGAGTGCTGAATTATCGAGTGCGAGATTGAGGAGGCTTGGATATTTAGGTCGTCTTCCAGACAAAATTGAATGTTCGTGATACATGAAGGACAGTGTAGATTTGATATGAAAAATGTGGTGGTTGTTGTTGTGCCCTCTTCAATTGTATGAGGTTGCGCCATCATGAATTGAAATGGCAAAAATCAAGATAGTGACGGGTAAGAGATATGTGAAGATTACCCATGTCACAGGGGTACTCTTGCCTTCTTAAATATCGAACCTACTCTTGTTTTTGCCATGTCATGGTTTTCTCGCACAAAACGCGCATCTGAAGGAGGAGCGACGCACAAACAGCGCAAGAGGCAAATCTCGGAAATAAGGTTTAGTCATCCATAAACGTCCCTCTTTTGAGTACACAACCTTGATGGAACACTCCCACAGTGCTTAGAAAACATATATAGCTGTAGAATCACACAGACTATTTAGAAATAAGGCAAGCCCCACTGAGACACACCTCGTGTCCTTGCTGAATTTCTCCTGGCTCAGGAAATAGTCATTGTGCAACCTTACAGCATAACTACTACTTCATGCTATATTAGGAAGAGGTTAAGGAGGATAGGAAAGCCAGACTCTAGAAGACTTAGAGAAGGTCTTGTGTCCGTTGTACTACTCTGCCTGCTATTTTTTTTTTGGAGTTGGAGGTTTCCAAAAGGAATCATCTCAATATTCAGAAGACTATACACGACTAAGGAAAATAGAGTAAGTGCTAGTCACTTTACTAGGTAACGACACAAGGAAATATTCATCATCTACACTCCGGTCTCAGAGTCCGACTCGGCATCAAATACACTGTTCCATCGTAACAACTCAGCTGGGATGTCCTGTCCAACAAGAGGAGCCTCTCTCAGTCTCCAGTTGATACACGATCCAGTGAATGCTAGCGCAGCCAACAACGCCCACAAAGTCGCGTTGATAGCGACTACGGAGTATGCGTTCGAGAGATAATAGCTCAAGCCACTCACGCCGACCGCAAGCGCTTTAAAGAGATTGGACAGGCCAAGAAGACCAATGCTGGTGCCAGCGGACGCTGCGTTAGGGGCTGCAGAGAATGCAAGTAAGATGGCCAGCACCATTGCCAATTCTGCAGCCAGTTCTTTGGCGATTACGGCCACTGTGCTGAACATAGCCCATGAGGTTCCTGGTGCTCCGGATACGGTAGCAAGCATAGCGAAGAACGGAATCAATACGTAGATAGCAGGAAAGGTGACAGAGATCTGGCGGTAAGCTGACAATGCAGACACTTTGGCCGAGAATCTTGGCAAGGCGTAGAACACTCCCATAGCGGCCACAATCTTCACGATGGTGATAATCGTGTTCAAAAGACCACAAGGAAGGCCCATGCCACCCACGTTGGCAGGTGAGTCAGCAAGATGCGGGAGTAGCACCTCAAATGTTGATGAGTGCAAAGAAAGAATAGAAAAGGAAGCCAAAAGGGTTAAGAAAGAGGGCGCTTGCAGAAAGTCGTCAATACAGATCCTTGAGGATTGTTCGTCGAGGTCCACAACAGATACAGACAACAATGCCTCGCTGTTGTCGACTGTGCGTCCAAGCAAAGTTGTCTCTTCACTCTTACAGCTGACTGCCACATGACGATCCAGAGTCTGGGAAATTGTAAGCATATGAAAATATGAGGTGACTTGAAAATGTACGCACCTCATGCAAGCAAATAATTTCGACCAGGAAGATGACAAGAATCAAGCTAGCACACGCAATCTGACCGTTCAGAGCAGGCCACTGCGACCAAATTCCAACAGGAGCATGCTCGCCAATTTGTCTGACAATCGACTGTAAAAGTGGACCAATACCTCCACAAACAGATATGAGAGGCAAACGGGATACATTTTGTAAGGCTCTGTTAGATGACATACTGAGGTCAGCAAGCATCGCAAGAGCAGCCGTAAAGACTGCAGAACCCATGCATCCAGACAGGAAACGCAGAGTGACCCAGCCGGGAAGGTTGGTAGCAAAGCCCATAGACAGACAGCACGCCAATGTGCCACCCAGACCAAGCATACCTGTCATCTTCCGTCCGGCCTTGTCTGCTACTGAGCCCCAGAAGACACTGCATGTGCTTCCAAAGAAATATGCGCACTCCAGAAGACTCCTGATATACGCAGAGCTGTAATCCGAACAAGCAGACGATGAAGCATCCAGAAGTAATGGTATTTGTGCTGAGAGAGATGCCGCCATGATTGCCTCGGAAAGAAGAAGCAGGTACACCAATGTTCTTTGGCGTGAGCTGCCTTTTCTTGAAGGCTCAAATTCTTCCTCTACGACCCAAGCTCTTTTCTCATCATACCGTACAAATCCGGAGACAGGACCAGTGGATTGGATTCTGCTGTGCGATCTAGACATGTCGCAGAACAGAATACGATGAGACGAATGAATAGGGAAGCTGTAGCAGATACAATGATGGACAAGGGTTAGTCAAAAAGAGTGTCTAGACGTGGGCCAGCCACAGATCAACAAAGGAATGAATAGGTAGGCGAAGACAAGGAAGAATTGGTCGCGACGGAGCAAAAGATGAAGAAGAGCGACAGATGTCGTCGCGAATCACGCTTTCATGCTGAGACGTTGGCGCCCTCAGGGGCCCACAGAATCGCGCTCGCGGTGACTCGAGGATATAAATAGCGATCATCATTCTCGAGTCATATCGTGACGGCGAGGTACAATGGCAAGATGAAATTCGATGTTATGTTAGATAATAGTCAGTAACTTGGAGATGTTGTTCTATTAGCGTCGCCTTCCATGCACTTGAGTCTGGTATTCATTGGACTGCAGGATTGACGATAGGGACTAGGGGAGTGTGTCCCTAAGGAGCAAAAGCATTTTTCGAGACCCCTCAAGAAGCTCTGCAGTATATTCAATCAATAAAGCGACTTTCGTTGGACGCCCTCTCTATTCTTTGAATATCAATAGTGTCGTGTGCCAGATAAAGAAGGAAGTCGATACAGGGCGGCCCAAGGCGTCATTTCGACCGTTGACGGCACGAGCAGCGCATCGCATCATCGCGAAGCCAGTCCAACTCATTGCCACAATCCAAACCACCTGTCGGAAACACACCAAGTAGGTGAAGGGGAACACAAGAGTTAGAAGAGGATGGATTCTGATACCAGACGTCAACGCAGAAGTCGCTGATGTCTGGAACACCGCGACGGCAGAAGAATCATGGCCAATTCAAGCCGTGACCGAGACCGACAACTTCTGCGAGATCTCAACCGTCTAGACCGCCGACGAGAAGCAGAAGCCACAGATCGCTCGACCGAAGATGAAACGAGGAGGCAGAGACTGCAGAGGGTGCTTGCGAGACTGTCTCGCCTGGAAAACTCGAGGCCGACATCATATGGCATCCCGCCTACAGAGCACCAGTCCCTGTACGACTGGGCTCCTACCCGTACCAACGAAGATCAGCTCGAGTCTGACCAAGCTGCCTCGCGCCGTCGTGCCTTGTATCGTCGCCATGACCTAAGAAGTACTGCCATTATGCAAAATGCTCGTACCAGCGTGCTCTCACCCAGTGCAACACAACAGCTTAACGAAGACACCAACGACACCCATGACGCCCGGAGCGCATACCGACGAACGTACCTGGCTGATAGCCCTGCTGCACAAGAATCGCTGTCTTCGACATCTGGGTCACGACCATCACCTCTACTCGAGTCTGCTGTCAGATATCTTGACGATGTGCGCGATTGCTCGTCATACGACGAGTCGCTTTCTGCGGCTTTGGACCATGGCCTCTTCACTCCTGAGTGCTATGATAACCTGATAACAGATACGGGAAGCTGCCTGCGTCCACAACTTTCCTCGTGGCTCTCACCAGGGGCCATTTTTCGAGGTACCCAACATACCACCACATCTGCAAAGACATCTTCCGTGCGCTCGCCCCCAGCATTCGATGCCACTCGACCGTGGCTGTCCCATACTCCAAATCCATACTCTCGCTCACTTGCCCCTTCTTTGTCCGGCAATCCCTTCTCTTATCTTTCGTTACCCCCGCGAGATGTTCAGGATCGATGGCCAGTCAAGGTCACGATTCAGGCGGTAGATTTGACCAATATGACTATGGCTGGTATCATGGAGGCCTTTGACGTGCCCAACACATCACATCCATCTGTCGAAACATGCACGCCGGCACCCCCCATCACAACATACTTGGAAGGACAGATAATTGACCTGAATGTTTACACTTTTCTTACGCCCGCCAACGCACCAAATACAGGCGGCATTACATTTCCTCCAACGACAGCTCAAACAGATGCGTCGTACTGGCGAAACCTACCACCCTTCAACAGCATGAAGTCGGACGAAGACGTTGCTCGAGCAATGCTGGATCGAGCGCAGATGGACGATATCATGTCTGACTGGATTTTTATGCGCTGGAAGGAGCGTTGCTTTATACATTCTGAAACAGATCTTTGCCATAGACATGCCGACCATCCGACTGCTGGTGAAGGGGACGACAACGATTTGAATCACGGGTTGACGATCAGTGGATTTTATTATGTTAGTTTAAGGAGGAGCGATGGGAACATTGATGGGCTTTATTTTGATACCAAGACGAGTCCATACCAACATTTGAGGCTCTCCGCAAGAAGTAGAGGGACGCTCGGGTCATGGCAATTCAAATGAGCATAGTTGATGATACGACAGACGAATATCAAATCCGTTGGAGACCAGACACTGGCCCCAGGTTACTCTTGGATTGAGAGCTGCAAGTACAGCATGACATTTACAGATTACAACACGAGGAGAGCAAGCTTTGAATGTGTGTTTGGAGAATTTTTGTCATTCCATTTTGAACTTGTATGCCATTTGCCGTTTCCTCAACACCTTTGCCCGATCCTCCGTTCTGTTTCATTGACGTGATTGATGTTGTTCGGGGAGCTCGATGTTTTCAAAAGAAAGACGCGGCGTAAAGCGCAATGAAGCGTTTACTGCTCGGTCTGGAAGTAGTTGAGGAGGATGGAGCGCTCCTGCGACTCCTCACCCCAGTCCTTGACGACGACGCAAGAGCAGTTGACGACCTTGCGGGCGTTACCCTCACGGTCAATCTGGCCTGTAGAAACATTGTTAGCATACTGTTTGATTGTCGATCTAGAAGCAAGAACTTACAGAGACCGGCCCACTCGCCGAGCTGCTTGCCATCAGGGACCTTGATGAGAGGGATCTTGTGCTCGCCGCAAAGGGCAACGATGAGCTTCTTGTAGGCCTCCTCCTCGCATGCCTCGTTGAGAACGCACATGTGAGCCTGGCGACGGTCAAGAGCCTTGGAGGCCTCACGGAGACCACGGGCAAGTCCGTCGTGGATCAGAGAGATCTTGAGAACACCCTTGAGGGCGTCAAGGACGGACATGGAGCCGGACTGGGCGGACTCATCGGCGCCAACTTCGACCTCCTCGGCGGCGGCGACGGGGCTGGTGGGCTCTTCTACATCCGACTGTGGTGCGCAGAAGTGTTAGTGATCTTTTCTTGTTGCGAATTGTCCACGGAAGATAGCCAGATGCGCGCAAGCAAAGCGACGCAGCACAACTCCTGTCCCGCTTCCTTCAATCGTTAGTGCATACCATTTTGAAAAGATATAACGACGCTGTCGGGTGATCCTCGAAGAGTCGATATGTGTGGGTGGTTAAAGAGTATGGATTTCGCAACGAGACTTTCTCTTGTGGCCGCGCATTTTCGGTCTGTGCGCCATCTCGGCTGCGCGACGCCAAGAGTTCACTTCTCACGTGACATGCTACTAATGTATGCTTGACGACAGCAAAATAGTGATATATTAGCCTACTCGTATTCAGTGATACATGGTGGAGTGCTTGGGGTATGTTCAATCTTCGAAGGCACCGATGCGATGCAGTGGTTCATCAGCTTAGGCTGAGCATACGACAATCACAACAAGCTTCTTCCGACATGTCTACATCAAATCTCCTGATTATTACCTGGTCAGACCGGAATGTTCGATCCACGGCCAACATGACCTATTCCCATGGCTTGGTCTTAAGTCACGGAACTATATGTAGACTCAGATGGAGATCGAAATGAAAGTTTGATTTAGTGCTGTGTGCAGCAATAATGCAAGATATCGACAAGTAAAAGAGATGACTACGCTTTGAAGGAAAGACACAACGCCATTCGCTTGCTAGGACGCTAGGAGACAGAGAAAAGCAACAGAGATGAAGAAATTGAAAAGGAAAAGCAGACATTCTCGAAATCCCACAAAAGAAACAAGAGAATCGAAGGAGCTATCTTGATATTGCTCCTCTGCGTGTATGCTCGTGGTTGGGTATATGCATGGTTCGCACTCGGTCTCTACATGACAATACAGCATGCGGCACTCTTCTTTTTCTTACCGTCCTCCTTCTCGTTGAGGTCCGGTACTCTTTGCACACCAGCGTTTACCGAGCTGATCGTCTGAGGCTGATTTGCTGGTGGCTTGGGCGATTTCGGAGGAGCGATTGGCGGTGCAATCTTTGGAGTAATGGTGTATCCACCACTTGGACCCTTAGCACTTCCAGTTTGGCTTCTAGAATCACTCTTGATAGTGTTGAGCGGCCATGGTGGCGGAATGGTATTCGAGTTTTGCTGTCCAGGTGTAGAGATATTCGCCTTTTTAGCTGACTCGGGTGAAGGTAAGGCTCCCATTTTGGCCAGTTCTTCATCACTCAAAGAGTCTATGTTTAGTGGGTAAGACTGATCAGCCTCATCTGCACTATCCTGTCCACCTTGCATTGCGCGCTTGGCGTGAGTAGGAAGCATCTGCTGGTCCGGTGGTAGCATGGGATCAGGCTTGTACATGGTGGCAACCCAAGGCGCTTCTCCCTCTGGTCGATTGTGCAACGAGGTCGGCCGAGATCTGGTAGAGCCAGATGTGGGCCTTCTGACTGGACTGTCCTTGGGCGAAGTGTTTCTAGCTTTTGAAGCGGTACGTGGAATGGTCTTTCGGCCCACGGAACCTCCTGCTACAGCCTTGTTCATTGCTTTAGCCCTGGTTGCAGCGGTCAAGGATTGCGTTGTGCGTTGACTCAGTGAAGGCGATTCGGTAGCACTGGGCGAGTCTTGCATGTGGGAGCTGCGAGGCCTTGGCTTCGAGGGCATCGCAGATCGTGTGCTTGCGGGCTCAGTAACCATAGCAGGGTTTCCCAGACTTCGGCTGCGATGTCTGCTGCTTGCACTATCTCCAAGAGGACTACTCATGCTGCGAGGTAGTGGAGAGTCGCGTTCGACGACGGTCTGTGAAACAGGTGCAGGGCTGGCTCTTGCAACAGGGATGCGAGATACAGTAGGTCTTGGAAGACTTCTACTAAACATATTGCGGTCTACCCGAGGCTCTTCCTGCAACCTTTCCTCGTAGTCGTCAGAATCCTGGTCCTGGTTCGCGCCTGCTTCAGTTTGTTCCTCAAATCCAGGCACCTTGGGGATGTCACTTTCACCAGTAAAGGCAAGCTGACTCGTTTGAGCACGTGAGGCAGCATTGCGACTCGCCGATCGACTTGCAGAACGGCTGTCAGAACGACTCTGGCGACGATGACTTGTTCGAGGTACGCCAAAGCCAGCGGCGGCCAGCTCCTGGCTTTCAATTCGAGCAAGTTTGTCACGATGGATCCAGGCTGATCTTTCAGGATCGGTGTCGATAGCACTTTCAGACTCGGCACGAGGTATCGCAAGAGGTGCTGAAGGTCGATTATGAGATGTTGACGGTCGGCGTATGTGAGACACCGGGCCCTTCTGAGGGCTTGAGCCTCGTGAATTGCTGCTTCCCTTTCTCATGCTTCTTCCACTATCGCGTTTGATCTGGTCCAATTGGTACGCGTCGACATCGAGTGTAGCGGTGTGCTGAGAAGGCCGGCGGGAGTTGTAGTTTGAGGGATCGCGAGGGGTCTGGTTGGGGTCGAACGAGTACGAGGAATCAAAAGCTAGAGGGAGATTCTGTAGCAGGCAATTAGCTAACCATTCTGGCGCATACTTCCTCGAGGACATTCGAACTCACTTCGTGGCCAACAGGTACTGACTGCTCCCAACGCGGGGTAGACTGGTATGCAGTTGCCATTTCGCAAGGCGTATTGTTGTTATTGTCGTTACTACTATGAAGAGCCGCGCAAACGGTGGATGCACAACAGGTCCAGCCTGTTCATGACCTTCTGAACTGTACAACCAGCGTCTGCTGTTCCACCAATATACGCCTTGCTCGACACGTCGTCTTGAGTTGGAGAATGTTTCGAGATTGGAAAGATAAGTGGGCCAGAGCGACTTGAAAGCGACCGGTCTTTCGGGTAGGTTTGTTTAGGCAGGAAACGGCTCTAAACAAGGAGATCGCTATGGAAAGAGCGGATCGTTGCGATTAAGGGGACGAGGGGTCGTGGCCAGAATGGATGTATGCACTTGATCGTCACGAACTTGTTTACAAAGGTCGAAAGAATATTCCAGACATCAGAGACAGAACCTGTCAAGACACAAAAGTGTCTCTGCAGCCGAAGAAATTGAGCGACATGTCCATCCTTGTTCTCATGGTCGACGACCGACAGGCCGCCGCTCCGCGCAACCGTGCGCTTGGTGGCCTTTTGACACCCGAGGGTCCTTCTCAAGTTTTCCCTGCAGCACCAGCCACAAATCGGCGCCAATTCTCTGTCACGATCTCTAAATCGCCCTGCCAACATCATGACGACTATAAGTTTTGCTTCTTCTGCTGAACCAAAGCATCACCCGGATTGCTGTATGGCCATTTCGCAGCCCTTGCTCCACAATTTAGCCAATGTCCTGCCCCAAGGCCCAGCCATCTCTGTCCTTAGCATCGGTAGCGGCACCGGCCTCCTCGAAAGTCTGCTTTCCGAATCTCTTGATGATTCTTACGATATATGCGGTGTAGAAGTTTCTCCTAAAGTCAACAAATATCTGCCTGAACAAGATATGTTCTTCGTGGGCGGTACTTGGGACCTTTGTCCACAAGCAGGTAAATCTCATGTCTGGGTCTTTACATACCCTCGGGAGCCCAAGTTGATTGTGCAATATCTCGAAGTACACGACCATGCCAACCTTTCCAAAATCATCTGGCTTGGTCCCAAGATGGATTGGCAGGACTACGAAGGCGTCTTTGCTTCATCAAGATTTAGTCATCTTACTGTGCTGGAAGATTGTGGAGCAGCAACCTACGAAACGGTCGTTGTTGCGGAACCTCGAGTGAGTGAGGTGTAGCTGAAGCCTGACCTTGGCTGGCAGGTCCTCTCGACCATTGTGCTCGGTATATAAGAGTATGCCTCCTGATGACAGCATCACTAGCCAGTGGTCCTCCACTTTGGGACATTCGGCTTTGAGATATAGAATCTCCCAGACGCATGACAATCTTTGTCTAAACTGCGTTCCGCACGAGCTCATGGCCATACCTGCACAGTTGACAGTTGACCACATGACAAGAGCTCATAAAGCAAGCCAGACGTGCATACATGTGCTCAAAGCATGAAAACGCTCCTGACGCTGGCGATGCCACGTTGATTATGCCCATAATCGACCATATAATGCTCGCCTGGCTCCTGAGTTTCGTCAACAACTTTCGAGGTTGCTCGTTGCACTTTTGGACTGTGCTATCCAGATTCGCCAAAGATTGGTTTGCTGTAATGACACCAATGGAGACTGATAGCATGCAACGCTATCCCTCAGCGCTTCAACACAAAGAATTGCGAGATGTATGGAACCACGCCTCCTTCCTTGTTCATATTGCCTATGATCTGGACTGGGCTGTGCGTCAATTCGAGTTGTTGGAAAGGGCAGCACCAAATTGTCTGATCAAAGCAATTCTGTTACTCAACATCGGCATAATCTCTTGCCTTGTGGCAGAATACCGATCCGCCGAGACAGCTTTTCAGAAAGTCCTTCCGTTGCATCCTTTTCTTGCTCCACTTGCTCACTACCTTCTTGGTGTCGTGCGATTCGAACTTGCAGACTACGAGCAGGCGCAGATAAGCTTCAAGCTCTGTGCTTACATTCTCGAGCAGACAGATCACAACCGCCCATATCATCACCTTGGACTCGATTTCACCCTGTCGTACCGTTTAGTTGCAGAGAACGAGGAGATCGCCGCTTATGAGTGGACACTCAAACAAAAGGGGCGGTACGGGTTCAGGCTGCTGAATAGGATGCCAGCATCGTTGGTCTTCAGCAGCACCGTTCTGAATGACAAGGTCGAGCTTTGTTGCGACAGGACAACCAGATTGCAGACTCCTCGCTCAGCAGTTTCTAGTAGCGTTTTCAGCACGCCTTCAGACAGTGTCTTGTCTACTGCTAAAACCTTCGACAGTCCTGCTTCGGGACCAGCCCTGGACCTCGGGACGCATACATCTCCGGTCATACCTTGGCGACCTTTCAGAAAGCCAATGGTACCACGAGCAGCGCAGGCCGAAACATCGAACTTTCGGTCTCTGGCACACTTTCTGAAGTATACTGGGCCAGAAGCTTCCCAAGCAACCCGAGCAACGGAGGTTGTAAACACTCCAGAAATTGCATTTCCGGCCATAGGTCATGCAAGTATTCCTACCAGACGCACCGGATCAGTACGACAAGCTCTACTTCAAGTTTCTGAACAGGCAGACATGAGTAGCCTTCTTCGAAAAGCATCTACTCTGACACTCAAGAAGTAAGTCTACGGATCAAGTGCTAACCCCAGAACACCTAATTAACATCTCTCCAGGACGAGCTCGATCCGCCAAATGACAAAGACTGTCTTCAACACGCCAATTGACCAACTTGGTGCAGTCAACGTGGATCAGAGTCGTGGCATCGAAAGAGGGAGAGTAATTGTAGGACCACAGCATCAACCAGCCATGAGCACAATCACGCATACTTCTAATCCTACTGCTCATAGAGCAGTGCTTGGAACAATTACAGAAGACAGCGGGGAGACGTATGGACAACAGCAGGCCGATGGAAGAGTTAGCTTGGATTCGCATCTGATCTTTAGCCATGGAAGACTGATGATGTGATGAAATTTCTGTTTGCGGACATGACGCATATTGACGACCATCTTTGCAGATAGGTTGATATGTCTTGTTGTTTTGATATGAATGCATACTATACCTCATCTCTCCTAGTCGCAATCTGAAACATTCGAAAACATCATATATTTCGATAGTTGATCGCTTGTAGGTTGGTTGGAAACACAATGTTGACAACGCTGCATAGTTGTGCAACGGAAAGAACTAGTCTTCATTTGGCATGGTGCGTTAGGCATAAAGCGCGTTGGTTCGCGTCCTCCATCAAAGCAACCTGCATCTCTAGATGAAACTATGGTCTTCGAAAACAAGAACCATGCAGCGATTTCTTGTCGAGCCAATACAGCAATTCGCTGGCACAAATACAAGAATCAAGAAACCCACTGTGCGTACAAAATCTTGGAAACATCGCAACCACCAGAGCTGATCGTTCAATCAGGAAATTGCTTTCTTCTCTTACGACTCTGAGCATAAACTCAAGCCGCTCGACAATGAATCATTGAAATACTACTATCCACCATTCTTCAATATTCCTGGTCATCATGACAACAGGTTTCCTGTAGATTTGTCGAAAGGATATGATTCTTTTCGGCAAAGAGATGACAGTGGTGACGAGCATTTGGATGGTCTTCTAGACACTCTTGTCGAGACTGAGAAACGCAATGGCAAAAAGATTGAAGTTGACTTGGTGACGTGGAGGGGCATGATGACCAGAGTCGGTTCTGAAATCAACACTTGTGTCTCGAGCATGGATTGACTGTATGCTCAGATCTTGACAGCGCCATACGAGATGGAAGATGGTTTCGAGATGAATGCAACATGCTTTCAAGTGCGCAATTTCTCCGAACAAACACGATTCGATAACTTTGCTAATACACGTTGAAGGGCACAATGTAGGCAATATTACCAAACGGTATCAACGATATTGCAGGGACTGACTATATTGTCTGCATCAGATACATCGAGGAGAACCATGCATACAAGGCTGCATCTAGGGAAGCGCAAAAGGCCCGCTTCTCACGGAGTAGAGGTCCACCACAAGACATGGCTATGTACTGGGGTACAATTGCCCTATCTCCTCTCAGTTGGTCTATGCTGATACAAATTACAACAGGCTACAAGTTCGAGACATTGTCACTGTTGAACAAGCCCTGGGGAGAAACAACAAGAGAAGAGATCGAGGGCAGAGAAGACGAAGTTGTCGACAACTATGCCCAATACTGCAGCATCTGCAGAACGGAGATTGGCGGTGCATCAATGGTCATCGGTGGGGAGGTAGATGGAGGTATGGAACATTCGCTTGCCTTCTCACGAACAGAACTGAAATGATACAGTACTCGGATACAAGCCTGACGATCCGCAAGCACCTGCTAGATGGGTAGAGCTCAAGACATCCAAACAACCAGAGCATGAGCGCGATCGATGGGTCCTCGACAAGAAACTCCTCAAGTTCTGGGCCCAGTCATTTCTGCTGAAGTTTGTGAACCACCGGACCTTTCATCTAATTATGTGACTGACCACGCTATAGTGTACCCAAAATCATCATCGGCTTTCGCTCACGAGATGGAAAACTGCTAAACATCGAAGAATTGAGTACGCAGCAGATTCCGTCCAAGATCCAGCAACAAGGGACATACAAGTGGAACGGCAATATCTGCATCAACTTTACAGGCCAATTCCTTGATTTTCTCAAGCAGACGATTGTCGGCGATGGCGTGTGGAGAGTTCGAAGAGAAGCCAAGAGCACAGCAATTGAGGTCTTCAAGGTCGAAGAGACGGGCACAGGCAATATTCTCACACAAAACTTCATCGACCATCGAAACAAGCTGCTCGCAGGAGAGATCGCCACAGCATTGAAGGATCGTGGAGCTGCTTAGAACCGAAATCCCAGCAACAGCATTGTACTATAATTCATAGCCATCCAGGATAATCTGTTGCTCTTGTTGTCACCCATACTCGAGTAACTATATCAGTCTTGATGGAAGTGGTATTGGAAGTCAATGGTAGAGTCTGGGGAGTTGTGGGCATGTGAAAGAGCATTCTCGAAGCTTCCCCAGACGTGCACCTCACGTCATTGGACTGACCGAGCCACGCACTCATAGCAACCACCCAACAATCAAGAATGGAAGTTTGCTTTTCCCTCACACTCGCACAAAAAAGACTTTCACTCGCTCGTCAGCTACTAGACTAATTTACGACACAAACCCAACATACATACCCATTGCATACAATGGTTGCTGAAACAAAGCTATACGATTCGCTAGGCATCGCGCCTACCGCGACCCCCGACGAAATCAAAAAAGCCTACCGCAAGGCTGCCTTGAAATATCACCCCGACAAGAACAAGGACAACCCGCAAGCCTCGGAAAAGTTCAAAGAGGTCTCGCAAGCCTATGAAATTCTTTCCGATGCCGACAAGCGCAAGACCTACGACCAATTTGGTCTCGAATTCCTGCTAAGAGGTGGTGCTCCTCCGCCAGATGATGCTGGCGGTGCTGGTGGCTTTGGTGGTATGCCCGGTGGTTTCGGAGGCTTCCCTGGTGCGGCTGGAGGGCCTGGCGGTACAAAGTTCCACTTCTCGACTGGTGGTGGTATGCCTGGTGGCTTCTCCTTCAGCAATCCTGAGAGCATCTTCTCAGAGTTCCTCAGAAACGGTGCTGGTGGAGGCATGGGAGGCGGCATGGGCGACGAAGACGATTTCTTCTCGTCGTTCGGCGCCGGCGGCATGCCCGGTGGCTTTGGAGGCTCATTCGGCGGACGCCCTGGAGCAGGTGGTCGTGCCCGTCCTAGCATGAACGGCGGTATGCCCAGACGACAACAAACACCCGAAGTCACTGTTGTCGAAAAGCCATTGCCTGTCACCCTCGAGGATCTGTTCACTGGCTGCACCAAGAAGATGAAGATTAAGAGAAAGACATTCGACGAGCAGACCGGCAAGCAGTCGGTACAAGACCGCATTCTTGAGGTGCCGATCAAGAAGGGTCTCAAGCCCGGCAGCAAGATCAAGTTTGCTGGAGTAGGAGATCAGGTCGAGGGAGGTGTCCAAGACCTGCACTTTGTTGTTGAAGAGGTAAGAGCAACCCATCCACAATCTATCTTGGCAAACAATCACTAACAACCATCACAGAAAGATCATCCCCTCTACAAGCGCGAAGGCGACGACATCATCCACAACGTCGACATCACATTGAAAGAAGCCTTGACCGGCTGGTCCAGAACCGTAAAGACCATCGACGGCAAGCAAATCGGCGTCAGCTCTGGCGGTCCTACACCGCCCACCTACAAAGACCGCTACCCCAACCTGGGCATGCCCAAGAGCAAGAAGCCCGACGAAAGAGGCGACTTCATCGTCGGCGTCAAGATTCAGTTCCCCACAAGTTTGTCCCCTCAGCAGAAGAGCCAACTCAAGGAGATTCTGTGAGCAGGGATGATTTGACAAGTTTTGAGCGATAGCGTTTTCCCTTCTACCTCTTTTATCCTTTTTCTTGTTTTGTTTATTATAAAGCGTTTCTTTTTTTTTGTGGTTGAAAGCGAAAGCATTTGGGGAGGCTGGCCTTTTCTTGAGATGATGAAATGCGGTGATAGAACGAATTAATGAAGTCTACTTTATGCAAGCATTCTTGACGACTGGCTACTTTCTTTGATGATACCTGTATTCTCTCCTCTCGTAAAGCTATATCATCGTGAAGATGTATCATCAAAAAGATGGACTATGGTACACATGCAGCTATATCACTTTGCCAAAAGTTTTTGGTCAAGTGTAAAAATAAAACAGCAAAGCACCGTAGGCAGGAATCGAACCTGCGACTTCCTGATCCATGAGAAGAGAGTTTTAGGGACTTAGGTAAGCGAGTATTAGGTATTTAGGTAGGCGAATTAGGAGCTTAGGATACTGGATCAGGTGTGCTACCACTGCACCACCACGGCTTTCTTGGCATTGCTGGAGGGGACGGGAGGGTGGTTGTATATAAAGGTAGAGAGAAAAGTGGATCGGTGTGATTGTATGAGGGAGTTTCTCTGGTCAGAAGGCTGATTGGGTGACCAGTGCTCAGCCTATCAATGTGAACAGCACACCTTTCAGAAGAATCACGATTGTGTGGCACCTGTGGACTTGCGACGAGACTAGTAGAGAGAAGTATTGTCTTCCGTCAAATCACATTGCATTAATGAGTGTTTGAATAACTAAAATCGAATCTGCACATCACCATTCGCATCCAATCCGCAATCGAAGACCATTCTTCGAGACACAGAACCTTTGCATTACTCGAGGCCTCTCCTCCATGTTACGCTCTTCGTCTTGCTCTAGAGAGGCCCTTCCTGACCCCAAGCAGGGAAAGCAGGGGCAGTAGTTCCATCGCAAGAGTACTGAACAATAAAGTCAGAGTTCTGAGTGTCGGCGTCGAGGATAACTGTTCCATCAGGCGCAGTGATGGAAAAGCCAAAGACGACAGGTCCTCCCTGCTGGCCAAAGACAATACGGAAGGGAAGATATTGTCCAGTGGTGAGGGGCAAGGTGGCTTTGGCACTGTTGCCTGGTGCACTGCAGCATACAGCTTTGGCATCATAGTTGTTCAAGTTATAACCTCTGATCGTATCGGCTCCAAGGTACAAGAAAGTAATGTCATCAAACTGTATACTGTGAATCCACAATCTCAAGGGCTAAAGGCTACAATTCCAAGCTGAAAAGGTTCATGCTGCAAGAGCACCCAGTTAAGTCTAGTGTGACAATTGGTCTCGCCTCTCATTTTATAGCCTTAGCCTATGTTGGTGGTGTCCTACCGTACTCGTAGACACAAGAACAAGTCGAGAGCCCAGCTGCGATCTCAGCTGAGTAACTCTGGCCGAAAACGTGATGTTGAAAGAAGCATATGAGGTGATGGCGAATGGATGTTAATGACATGAGGATGGCTATCGATGTCATCAAAGCCTATCGTAGGTAACTATCGCTCTTTCCTTCGGAAAGCCCCATTGTGGCGCAACTGGGTCGATGTGTATTTTGTGCAAGATTTATGCAGACTTGTCCTCAAATTCAACTTCGACTCGTTCAACCGTCCGATATCGACCTTCTCTCTTTATTTTCCTTTTATGATCTGACCAATATACTGTTTCAAGAAGATATCTGGTCGTTTACTGCGATCGCACATCAACCGTTCCACTTTTAGAATAAGGACCAAAGACCGAGCCATAACACATCGAAAACAAAGGACACCAGATAAACAAAAGCAACAAGCAGACCTAAAATGTCAACGCCAAACCTCCACTTCCTCTTTCTCCTTTCCGACTCTGCACTACCTCTAGGTTCATTCGCTTTCTCCAGCGGACTGGAATCTTATCTCGCGCACCATAAACCGCCTTTTTCATCTTCAACCACAACACCACCACTAGACTTCCACTACTTCCTACACTGCAGTATCAGGAATCTGGCTTCTACTTCTCTACCTTATGTGTTGGCTGCATATACCACACCAGAAAAGGTCGAAACCCTAGACAATGATTTCGACGCTAGCACGTCGTGTACGGTGGGAAGGAGAGCGAGTGTAGCACAAGGGAAAGCGCTACTAGGTCTTTGGGAAAGAGCTTTTGCTGCTTCTTGTGTTGCCTCTTCTGCAACGGATGCAGCGATTGCGGCAATGACTTCCTTTGCTGCTGCATTCAAGGTGGCGAAACCTGATGCTTGGGGTTTGAAGCTGAATGCGCATTTTGCTCCTCTGTTTGGTGTGTTGTGCAGGTCACTGGCGTTGTCGCAAGAGGAAACGGCATACCTTTTTCTATGCAACCATGCTAAGAGTGTCTTGTCTGCGGCAGTGAGAGCGGGTGTCATGGGTCCGTATCTCAGTCATGGCGTCCTGGCATCTGAGCAGCTGCAGAGTGTCATCAGAGGTTGTGCCGTGGGAGAAAAGGACACCAAGGTCGAAGATGCTGGTCTTAGTATCCCTGTCACGGATTTGTGGATGGGAAGGCACGAGCTGTTGTATTCGAGGATTTTCAATTCTTGAAGAAACAGGCATTCGAAGGAAATGAAGATCAAGATGAATAACTTATCTTGACTATTCAAGCCTGGGTTCTGAAAGCTATCTAATAATGAGAGGAATACGTAGAAGAGGAAGGTGGAGCTATTCCTTAAAATCGATCAGGTCGGCTTCTCCTTCTGAGCCCTTGATACCTGTCATTGCATCATCACTGACTGTCTCAGTAATCTTGGAACCGTCATTGCCGAACCTGTACAACGAAGGAGCCGCATGTGCCTTCTCAACCATCTCGACTCCTGAGATGTTATCGGAGTCTTGTTGTACCTCCTCTTGCTCAAGGCGAATCTCGTGAACAGGGGAACTGTGACCTTCGTGCATAGCCACGTCTTTGCTGTCCTGCACATTAATTGGTATGCGACCGTACTCCACGTTGGCATCGTAGGGGGGTGGCTCATAACCAGGTGGGCCCTCATCGAAGTTGACGGCAGTACTGTCTGCTGAATCACGGCGTTGTTGGACGCCTTCATAGGCGGGATACACGTTGACGTGGCCGAAACCGCTCGTCTCCAGCTCTGAGTTGAAGTTTTCATCGTCGTAATGGATGAATTCATCGAGGGCGGAGGTGAGTTCAATCTCGTGCTCATCCGAGATGGCGTAGTCGCTGGCGTATACTAAGAGAGCTTGGTTGTGCTCGAGCTCCACGGCTCGGATAACGTCGTCTTGTGTTGATTTGGTCTTGATAACCTTGGCTCCATGCATTTGCACATCATACTCGATACGCCACCACTGCATGCCTTCTGGCGCATCTTCATCGTCGACCATAGCGGTATCGGAGGGATCGCGAGGACGGAGGAGATATGTCACATGAGTCTTGGTCGAGACACCCCTAAGAGAATATCTGTGCTTGAGGCTGTCTTTCGGCAGTCCGGTTTCCTGCGAAAGTTCTGCCAGTGCCTTGCGGGCCTTTTCCTTCTCCTGTTCGAGAGCTATTGCCTGTTAGCCTTGTTGACAATCACAAACCAAATTCTGCACATACCTTGGAGTTTCACCATGAGCTCCTTGTAGAGTGCGTCCAGCTTCTCGGCTATGGCGCCATGGTGCTCCTGTGGCAGGGGAATGTCAGTGTCTCCTCCGGCGCCAGCACCTTCTCTCTCCTCGAGCAGGTTCTTTCTGGTCTCGCCCGAGAAGTAATCCTGTGCGTGCTTCATCAGCTGACTAGTATCCAAATTTCCTTTCTGGGCGTGCTGATAGTTGTTCAGTTTGAATTGGACCGCCTCGATGCTTTCGATCTTCTTCTTGCCCTGAATCATCTGCCTGCGAACATCTCTTGTAAGATCAGCGTTCTCTTTGAGGTATTTGTCGACATAGAGTACAGGAGGAATGACGACATTCAGTGTTTCTTTTGAACTGTCGTTGTGCATCAGGCGTATCGGTAGGACGTGTGCGCAGTGATCAATGAAGTTGTCGTAGACAGTCGACTCATCGCCTTCGGTATCCCAGAGAGTGTCATCCATGATAGAGGCCAGCTCCAAGCTCGAGGCACCAGGGCCAGAGCTGATGAACAAGGGTAACGAATAGAGATCCGGTGTGGTCATACCCTCAGGGTTCGTTGTGCCAACTAACGAGTGGAAGACGAAGCTATCAAGGTCTGGAGTTCCATTCATGGCATGCATGGAAGCATTTTCCCAGGCCTCGATAACTTTGTCGAGGATACATCCGCTGTTGGGTTGGACTTCAGCCAGGCGGACGAGTGTTTCAACACTGCCGTAAGATCTCAAGCTGTCGTCTAGCAGAGCCATCAAGCGCTGCATCTCGGCGAGGATCTCATCCTGATTGGTGGTAGCGGGCTCCATAGGTGCGCCATCGACAGTACTGACGATCTTGGGCAAGCGGATGCCATGACCCTTCCACCACTCAGAGTCCGAGCCGTAGGAGGAGTAAGTCTTGTGTGGTGCCAATAGAGCTTTGCGTGCCAGCGGGATAGAGTGTGCAATGGTAAGTAAACTGGGGAGATAATCGCCCGATGGAAGCGGCTTCAAGAATCTTGGTTCCTCATTTTCGTTCTTGCGTTCGTGTGGTTCAAGATCCGGAATGATCTCGCTAGCTTGTTGAGGCTCCATGCTGACAGTGGTCATCGACCACTTTGAAGGGTCGTAATGATCATCCATCGCAGGCTTGAAGTTTGTGTTTGGTAAAGTGATGCCAGTCTGTTGTGATGCTTCGATGGCTTTTTGCAGATCGGCGTCTTCATCATCTTTGTTGGAAGGTTGTTTGAGGGAAGGCGCGGGTGAGTTGCCCCTGGTCGGAGCTGCGCTGTGTCCTAACGGACGCAGGTTCTGATCGGTGTATGCTTAAGATTGTCAGTATGCCTCACCAAAACATCTCCTTGACCAGGTATCGCACAGTAGTTCTGAGGGCCGAATGCAGCAGTGCCGTCACGGCCGGCATTGAAATCATTCTCGTTCCAGGTAATGCTTTGCTGAAATGAGTTAACATACGGCGCTGTAAAAGGCGTGCTAACACTGTCACAACTCATATCAAATCCGCATACCACGGTGACATGAAATGCTTTTGTAAGCCATCAAAATTCACAGTACTCTTTAGACCAAAAGTGGCCGTAGAAACACCTTGCGATAGCGGCTCTCCACGGATAACACTCTCGTCTGAGAAGTATGGTGTCTTTATACGACTTCAACGTGACAGTCTTTGGCACACAGGCAGGAATACTCAAACAACATACCTCGGCTTTGGAGAGATCTTCGTTGTCTAATATGGCGTTCAGAGCAGCGTCGGCGTCGTTGTTTTTGACCTTCAACCATCTGCGCGCCTCGTCATCTGTGCAGCCTGAGATGCCTGTCAACAGTTGAACAGACTCCGTATTTGAGTCGGCCATGGCGTCTAAGAAGAAGAATATAGGTGCGCTTTGCGACTTTACAGGAGGTTCATATGTTAGAGAAACGCGACTGTTTGCTTGCTTGCTGGCCCGGTGAATTGACCACGCTACGTCATCAGCCATTCACTCTATACCGTTTCATTCTTCGATGGTGCTATTCATTGTTCTATACATTGAGCATGGAATTCACTGATGACCTGCGCCAACTAGAAAAAGAAGTGAATAAAAAGGAAGTCCTCTGTATATTGGTCTAATAGAAACTGTGTAGTAAAAATTCGAAAAAAAGCAGTTGAGAAATGCGCCATAAACCAGCCAGTGACCTCGTGTATCACTGACCATCTCCCTGAGTAGTTAAAATCATAGCCCTGCTAGTGTGATTCCTTCCCTGAACGCCGCGCTGGTGGTATCGAATAAAGCAAAGTGTCGTAGAAAATGCAGCCCATGATGAGTGCCTCATGTTCAATCGTCGCTATCACTGGCCACCTCCTGCTCATCATCCTCGTCATCCTCGTCAAAGGTCATCTCTGCATCGCTGTCGTTGTCAAAGTCATCCTCGACTTCTGAATCGCTCCAGCTGAACAAGTTGTCTTCGACTTCGGGCTTGTAGGTAGCGTGTTGTGTGGGCATGACGAAGCCTTCGGGAATGTCGGCTTTGCTAGCCTCGACGTCTTGACGGGCTCTTTGCTTGTATGCTTCAGGGTTGTTGCGAAGCATGACTCCGGCATCGACGTTGGCAGGTGAGGAAGGTTCGGCATCGTCGAGGAGTGATAGGATACTGATGAGCACGGACTCGACACGTTGAGCAGGCGACCAGCGTTCAGCAGCCAGTTCGCCTGACATCTCGTCTTCGCCGGGTGGGTGCAGGATGGAGATACAGAGCTTGCCATCGGGATAGACATTCGGGTGGAACATGGGACGGGTGAACTTGAACTCTGGAATCTTGGTCAGCACTGCGACGAGGTGCAAGAGGAGAGAGAGGGAATGTCGCATACCAGGAGGGCTGTAAGGGTAGTTCTTTGGGAATGTCATCTTGGCCTTGAAGTAGGCACCATTGTAGACCGAGTCCGGATTGATGACGATGAGAGCGACATGCCAGGAGAAGATGTTCTCGTTGATGAGCTGAACGTTACAATGTCAGTCTCGTAGTTGCATACCACTAGCGCACAGGGAACACGTACCTCAATGTTGGTCCAGGATTCCTTGGAGAGAGCCTTGAACTCGTTCATTAGGACCTTGTCCGCCATGATGTACGATGTGGAGGGGTTGTGGAGGGGCTGTCGGTCTCGAGTATGCCTGGTTGTAAAGAGGATGGAGGGCGAGCGACTAAATGGCGATAAGGAAAAGGTATCGTGTGTGAAGTGGAGAGAAGAAGTCACAGTCAGAGATTGTGTCTCGGTGACTGGAAAGTCAAAGAAAGCGCGAGTTGGTGAGTCTTCCGCTTTGGGAACCTAGTTTGGTGAGAGTGAAAGCGTCGCCAACACGGCAAATCCAGGAATGAAGCTCGGTCTGGCCACGATGTAGCTATGTATAACTCTATTGTTCAAATTGCCTTTCATTCCTCTTCATAGAGCAGGATATTGTTCTATGCCGCAGACTGCTTATTCAGGTTTCTTGTAAACTGCCACCTTCTGCGTGACCGATACCACGTCATGCGTAACGGCCATATCATGCTTTATCGAACTCGATCATCCGGCTGTTTATTGAAATACCATCACAAGGCCAAGTCAGGGAAATCAAAATCAAGTGAATGGTAATAAAACGTGATTTTGTTCATTGCAAATGAGGATCCGACTTTCCCGCTGGCATATGCTGCAATCGCCGTCACTGATATTCAACGCCTGAACACCGTGCCCAAACGCCGCCTTTCCTGTCCACACGCGTACGTACTATACACTGTAATGCGCTTTACTTTTGATTCCGTCTCTTCCGCCTAGAAGTCGAGTTTGGGAGATTTACTCGCTGTCAGAGCTGTCGGCCTTGCTCTTACTCTTTCTCTTCTCCTTCTTCTCGGCCTTCTTCTTCTTACGCTCGGCCTTCTCCTCTGCTGTCTCGCCTTCGCGCTTGCGCTTCTTGTCCTTCTTCGAGCCAGCGTCCTCCATGGTTGCGTCCTTGACATCTGAGCCATCACCAGCAACAGCGGGGGCGGCCATAACCTCATCGGTAGAGGTGGTGTCCTTGGATTGACCAGTGATACCCTCCTTGACAAGGGCGGCCTCAGTAGCGACCTTCTCGGCACCAGTGGTTGACTCGCCGTTGACAGTCAGGTTGAAGTCCTTGTACTCAGCGTTCCACTTGGCGGGGGTGGCCTCGTTGGGGCGGCCGTACTTGTCGAGCTTGCCGCTCTCCTTCATCTTCTTCTTCTCGGTAGCGACAGGTCCCATGCCCCAGCGGCGAGGGTAGAGGTCACGCTCCATGATGCAACGCTTGACCTTGGCAACAACACCGTGATCGCAAGTAGAGAGCTCGACGGTCGACATCTGGGCGATGGCAATGGCAATGGCCTCACCCTTGGTGGTAATCAGAACGATCTCCTCGTGAACCTCAATGCCAGATTCTATGAATTGTTAGCAAAAATTATGATGTTGGACGTGAAAAGACAAGACGTACCGTATCTCAACAGACCAGGAATCATGAGCTTTGCACCGTAGCAGACAGCGTTGACGGCAGAGTCCTTGACGACAACACGCTTGTAGGTGGTGAGCAGAGACTCGAGGGGGCTGATGACTTGACGGAGGTAGCTCTCGTCGCGCTGGTTGTCGTAGAGGTATTGGGCGTCAAGGACATCGTGAAGGGTGACGAGGTTCTTCTGCTCGTCCATAGCACCAGATCGCACACGTCTCAGCTCCTGCATGTGAGCACCGACACCCAACAGAAGACCAAGGTGGACACAGAGTGTACGGATGTAGGTACCAGCCTCGCAAGAAACCCAGAAGACACCGAGCTGTCTCTCGTTGTCAAACTCGTAAAGCTTGCTCTCGTGAATGGTTCTGATACGAAGCTGTCTCTTGACGGCGGAAATGAGAGGAGGACGCTGGAAGAGAGCACCAGTGAGGGTCTCGAGGGCGCGAGCGAATTGTGCCTCGCCACCGGGGAGCTTGTTGTGCAGTCTGATAACACAGACATACTCCTTACCGGCACCCTGCTGAGACTTGACCAGGCGGGTGGCGCGGTCAATGCAGACAATCAAACATCCAGTGACCTTAGGATCAAGAGTACCAGAGTGACCAGTACGCTCGCAACGGAGAATGCGCTTGATCCAGGCGACGACTTCGTGCGAAGAAGGGTTGGAGGGCTTGTCGAGGTTGATAACACCGCTGGAGATGTACGACTTGAGATCACGCTTGAGGGGAGTTGCGCCGGCAGGGATGGGGGTGAAGTGACCAGTGCGAACAAGGACTGCGCGCAGGCGGGTTAGTTGTGAGAATCACAGATGTGGAAAAGCTCTACGACGTACGCTGGTCCCAGTTCTTCAGAAGCAGCGGCCAGGCACTGGTGTCGATTTTGGGGGTAATGTTCTCGGGCTTGATTGTGTAATCAGCCTCGTCGGCCTTAACGAGCGCCATTTTGTTTGTGTAGTCTTGTTGGAAAAGATTGAAACTGCTGTCCTCCCAAGACGTCAATGTCGCTGTCCTCCAAAGACTTCAATTTTTTCGCAAGAAAGCTTCTTCATCGAGCCTGTGCGGAGCGCCTTGGCACGCTTTTCTACAGGCTCGCCGGCATTTTGCCGTTGCATCATCAGAAGGAAAAATCATTTTTCGGCATCTTCACAACTTTGGTTGTCGTGAGCCAGGTCTTCGTGATCGCGGTTATTTCTGGTTGTTAGGCTGGGACTCGTTTGCATCGTTTGCTTGCCGAGTCCGATTGTCACGTCGACACATCAGTATACTGACCGCATGCTGGGACTCAGGCCGCTGAGGGATGAGCCCAAAGCGTCTAGCTTCATAAACTGGACCGACCAAGCAGAACTCTATCTATCCCCCAACATGCCGGTTTGGCGCAGGGGTAACGCGTCGCACTTGTAATGCGAAGATCGCTTGTTCGATTCAGGCAATCGGCATAACCAATTCCTCTGGATAGATTTCTTTTTTGCATCTTTTTTCCATCGACTACTAAGATCCTCGATGGGATGCTCTTTTGATTCTTTCTCGCTCGATCAGTGTTATCATCACTTTTAGATGATTGGTCTCGAATGTGCAGCGTGGGTGAAAGTGGATGGCATGGCCTGGTGAGGCTACTTTGTTTTGCTGGATGATCATTCAATACTCGAAACATCGATCGATTGTGTACGGAGAGGGCAACTACACAGCTACAAGCCAATTTGGACTGCCCAGACAGATGAGAGATTATATTTTGTGTTCCAAAGGTCAAGTCCAACTTGTATTGATTGAGCGGTGGATCCTCCGGTCGAGTACAATAATTCGGGACAGGGTCACACCATGCACAGACGGTCTTGACCATTTGCATCATCGAGAATATTCGACCATATACTTTATCGCAGGAAGGAAGCTCGTGATTGCTGTGTCGACTATTCAAAGATTGCTAGAAGAAACAGAAGAAGCCCTCGAAGATCATGTGAACGTAGAACGCCATGCCTACTAGGATGTCTTTGATGCACAATTGCACTGTGTGAGAACCAAAAGGACCAATTGCATAAGTAGATTCTGTGTCTGCGACCGGTATTAGTATCTGAGTCTGACTAAACTACAGGCTAAGTTGAGCTTACAAGAGGATCATGTGTCATATGTATCCACAAAGGATCGAGAAAAACCAGCGTTCATACGGGAAACACAGGAGTTGAGTAAAGATGAATCAGGCCTTGTTACAGCGTTCATTCGGCAGAGTCATCAGCCGATGAAGAACTGCTCCAAGAAAACCAGCTGGGCAGAGGAAAGGGGTACTTGAGCTGTCACGACAGAATGAGTCCCATGTTAAGTTTCCACGTCTGACAAGCACAACTGGGTCTCTTACCCAACATGCCAACCAATTTCTGGAACCTCTTGCCGGGAACCTCCATCTCTGGATCCTTGGCGCCTTCATACCAACTTTCGCCCTTCTCCTTGCCTGCAATCAGCCAGATGTCAGAGTTGATAGGGAATGACCAGCTCAGCAAGAATCTGGGAAGCTGAACCTTGCACAGTGCGTCTTTCTGGTGCTGACTTAGTCCGTGAAGGAGGAAGCATAAAGCATCTGATGGGGTCAGAGAGATGATAAGAGACTTCTGAGTCCAGATGTGCTTGAAAGCAAGGCGGGAGATCAGGCGATTGATCAAGAGAAGGTTGTATGGGTAATTTGTTACTGTGTAGCGCTTGCGTCGAGAGACGAACGGGAACAGACTACGCGTCAGACAGGTTGCCGTTGGCGCCAGGTTGACAGTCATTGGCTCCGTAGTGACGCAGTAGAGAATGATCAGATCGAGGAGCTCGATCGGTAGATACAACAACTGCATGGTGGAAGAGATGGATGTAGCAATCGATGGCTCGACGATCGATAATGGGCGGTTCAAGGTCGCTATTCTGTCCGTGTAGACCGCACTGCAAGTATCCAACGTAAAGTGACTGATGGGTTGTAGGGAGTGAACGATCGCATTGAGACGCAGTGAGATTAGGGAGCGAGCGGTCATCTCAAATAGGCAAGAATGATGGATCCAGGAGTTCCTAAATCAAGAATGAAACCAGGCAGTTGCCAATGAATTGAACATAGAAGATTATACCATGAACATTCTACACTAGCCCCACAATACGCAAGTGCTTTCGGATGACGGTCATTCGGTGCGACTTTGGGCCCAGGACTTACAAAGTTCTAAATGGACAGGAGAGCGTCAGAATAAGAGTCAAGCTCGATGGCACATGGTCTTCTGACGCCTCGAGGCCATGTTACTAAGTGCCACGACGTCGATTGCAACCTCGGCGACGAGGAGGTGACGTTTTGTACAGCATAGAATGTCAACAAACCTTGGCCATAGACAGGCAGGTGACGACTATTAATATTTTGGGATGATGTCTAACTTCCAAATCTCATTTGAGCCTGGGCATACTTGTACAGGCCGCGAATGAAGACCTGGTATCCGACACCATTATTGTCAGGAACATGGCTGATTATCAATATGTCAGCATTTGAATATCTTGTGCAGCAACGGGATCCTCGTTCCGTCAAAGACTGTGACTTACAAAATCTCGGTGAGTCTCAACTGCCACGGGGGATAGCCTTTGAGATGGACACTATCAGCGAATAACATCAATAGATCAGGCTCGCCCATGACGCTCTCGGTGAGTTCGGCATCAACCAAATCCATGGAAATATCCTTGGGAGCAAGTTTTCCCTTCTGGCTCATCTCAGCCAGTGTCTTTGTCAGGTCGACGAGGGTACCACGGCCGTCGGAGGCTGACAAAAGCAGGATAGAAAGATGAGGAGGCGATTTCGAAGAGTTGGTGTCAGAGTTAGATTTGGGCGAAGCAGGCGGCGAGAAAGATTGCATGTGAGGAGCGCCCAGCGAAAGGGTTGGCTTGTTTGGGTTGTCATGACCAAAATAAGCAGCCAGAGTACGCGAGATACGGCGGTGTACGAGTGGCAGGGACTGCTTGAGGAGGCCTAGAAGCGGTTAGACTGAGGACGTGGCCAGGAAGGGCGGACCGTGGTACCGGTTGGTTCGTAGATACTCAGCAGGGGCACACCTGCGCAGGCGGACCAAGCAGCGACCTCACAAACATTGTGGATCAAAGCTTCCAGGCTCGAGTTGTCGTGTGTGTTGTCATCTACCTCGAGAATGATTGACAGGTGCTTGGGCAGCTTCTTGAGGCGGTGGACATCCTTCTGGATGTACTCTGGGGTGCGATGGTGGTAGTACAGAACGGCAAAGACGCGGTCGATTAGGTTGTGGTATGCGACGCGGAAGCGGTGGTAGACGGAGAAGGCGAAATGGATGAGGTTGTACAGCAAGAGGTGCAAGGCCGCCTTGATCAGCTGGCGTAGCGGCTGCGATCGCTGGTGCTTGCGAGGTGAGGCATCGGGCAGATACGGTTGCAACAGTCGCTCGCGTTCTTGTGCCGACAGTGGCCGTCCATCAGGGCCAATGTTGCTACGAAAGGCCTCTTGTTTCAGTGGTCCAACCATTGTGTTTGACTCCCAATCGGAAGTTGCTCGATTGACCAGAATAATTCAGGGCAGGAGCGACGTCAGCCTCTCCGCGCTCCGCTGTTGCTTGAACTTCACGCTTGGCCCAGCCCACGCGTCTCCACCCCTCGCTCCTTCCCGCCCCGCTGTCATGTCATTGAGCACTTGACATACTGCATAGACACAGTCGCATTGACATGTTCTGTTCAAGAGGCCGGTAGCGCGAGCAAGACGACTGCAATGCCTTCCGTTGCCGACAACGCCTCCATCTTCTCGGGCGTCTCGGCTGCCCCTTCTCGATTCGGTGCTTCGCGACAGCCTCAATTTACTCTCGACACCTTCTCTAGCCAGGATTTCATAGTCAAGGACTTTATCGAAGCTCTTTCAGACGCTGCTATCCCCCCGAGTCGCCGTACCGGTCCCAATGCTGTCGCCTTTGATCCTAAGCCCCTGATTCGTACCTTCGAACAGGCCCTGAACAGACTCAAGCTCTTGAGTGAGGACCTTGAGCTGCAAGAGAATGAATTGTCCGCTGGTGTAAGGAGAGCAGAAGCTGTGCACAACACGAATGTCCAAGCTAGAGAAAGGGAGCTCGAACGTGCAGTCGACTCCTTCCACCGCTTAGAGAGGAGTCTAGACAATGGTGAGCAAGGAGGAAATGCCGCCGTGCGGATAGGAGAGAGGCTGGACGAGTTGGATCGCCAGAGTCAGCGCGCTCAAGACGCAAAGTTCATATTGCAGTGCTGGATCGATGTGTCCGAGCGTCGTGATCTCTCTAGCCTTGATGATGTCAGGAGACTACAAGGTGGTGAGGGCAAGTTGCGCTGCGCCCATATTGCTCGCCAATTGCTCAAGATCAGCCAACGACTGGACTCATCAAATTCGATCTCCAATGGTGACGGCGTCAACGGTCACGACACCCCTACTGAGCTGATTGAGAAGTTCCTCGAATCGCTAGAGAAGGATCTTCTCAAACAATTTGACGACTTCTACAGACGTCAGAACTTCGACGGCATGAGAGAATGTGCCGTCGCTCTGAAAGACTTTGGCGATGGTGCTAGTGTCATGGGTCTCTTCGTCAATCAGCATCAGTTCTTTATTGATCGCAGCCAGCTCATTACTGAAGATCTAGCAGCCGATCCAGAAACTTGGGAACGTCTTGCCGACCCGGACACAGAACCACCAGGTGTTGAGCCTAGCTTGCAGAGCTTGGTGGATGAAGTGAAACTTGTCGTTCAGGAAGAAAGCTTTATCATCAAGAAAGCCTTCCCCTTCCACGAAGAAGTCTTGGTGCGCTTTCTACAAAGAATCTTCCAGCAATCTATTCAACAGAAACTTGAAATGGTGCTCGACAAGGCAGATTCCATTTCTTCCCTAGCTTTCCTCCGATCATTGCAGGCCAGCAGAAGCTATATCCACGCCTTGGTCGAAGACCTGAAGGCACACGGCTTGACCGAGCACCCAGAGCCTGCCTCTGCGCAGACTGCCGCTGTGCTTGACCAGCAACTGGAAGATCTGTTTGTGCCCTACTTCTCTGGTTCGTCATACATTGAGCGCGAGAAGAGAAGTTTGGAAGAGCTTTACTCCTCTCTCCTGTTCAAGTTCACAACATACCACACACGCCGACGAAAGATGCCCACCTCATATCTTGGCTCACTCTCAGCGCGTAGCAGAGAATTGATCTCATCAACACGCGACACGTATCTCGAAAGACTTGAGAACTCGGACATCCCAGCTTCTCAAAAGTCCACTCTGCTACGAATCGCTGGCCTCAACCCTACAGCCACTCATACACAAAACAGAAATGATGTCGACGTATCAGAGGAAGATGGCGCGCTAAGCCTACCATTCATCAAACGCATGCTCAAATGGTTGGCCGAGAGTGTAGGCCGCGGCCTCGAACTGGCTAATGGCCACGAAACTCCAAAAGACGTGCGCGAACTGCTAAACCTGCTCATCGCAAACATGGGCGAGATATACCTAGAAACAGCGCTGGACGCTGTAACCGAATCGGCCACAGCAGCCGAGAGCAGCACAAAGACAGAACCTGACTTCGGCCACCTTGTCGACCTCCGTGTTGCAGTCAGTATCCTTCACCTACTGCTCGCCACAATCCAGACACTGCTTCTTCCTCTAGTAGCCAGCAACCTGACTATCCGTCGCGACCTCGACAAAACAACAAACTCCTTCATCGACCGTTGCGAATCAAAAATCGACACCATCCTGCAGAAAACCATCGACGCAACTCTATCCTATTCCTCACGCATCCTTTCCCAGCAAAAGAAAACAGACTTCCGCCCTCGCGATGACGCTCTCCTCCAACTCGACCAACTCCAAACACCCACCTGTCTCGCCCTCTTCAACTTCCTCACCAAAGTTCACAATCGAGCAGACACAGCTCTCAGCGGCAAAGTTCTCGAAAACTTCCTTTTGGAACTGGCTCTAGGCATTCGCGCCCTGCTCCTCGCTCATTTCCGCACATATCCTGTGTCTCTCACTGGCGGTTTGATCGTCTCGAAAGATATGGCTAAATACATTGAATTGCTTAAATCTTGGAAGAGTTTGCCTAAGCCGTTCATTGAGAGTTTGGATGTTTTGACCGAGATTGCGAATTTGTTTGTTATTGGGCCTGAGGCGTTGAGAGATAGGATCAAGGGGTTGGATGTCGACAAGACTGGAGCAGCTAATGGAAATGCTGGTGGTGGTAGTATTGAAAAGGCGGATTTGAAGCCGTTTATTCTTATGAGAGAGGATGCTAGGAGTATTGGTGTGCAGAGTGTCTTGGGCTTGTAGTTGCGAATGATGATGCCTTAAGATTGGTAGATCGATTACGCGATGAGCATCTTATCCAACATTGCGATCCCCAGATTTCTTTTTCCCTCTTTTGTTTTGCTCCCTGCTTGCCCACTTTCTTCGTGAGTACTGTACTGTGTGCATGCTTTGAAAGCGTCATTTTCGTTAGAACAAAACCGACCATACCTTTGAAGAAATGTGATGCTGTAAGAAGCTCAAGAAACGTGGACCAACAGAGAAGCGAGTGAAAAAAATAACTATAAGTTTGCAATTTGTGGTATCTTGGGGTATCATCTTGCTATGTACGGTAACAGGCAGCACTTGTTCAAGTTGCTCTCACATCTCGAGAAACAGTGCTGTAGAAAAGGAAAAGAAAACAAAAAAAAAGGGGAAAACAAGAAGATAAGCAACCAAATAACAGCACCAAAACGAGTGAAGAATTGGGTCAGAGAAAACGAACCCACCCAGTAAAGCAAAACTCCCGGATCCCGTGTATCGATCCGCATGAAGCAAAGGCATTAAAACAGCGAGCCGACTCGGGAAGCAGCAAAAAGAGAAAAAAAGAGACTCAGCAATCAGGCAGCTCCTCGATTGGCTGCGGATTGTTCTCCTCGACCCTCCTTTCCATTCTCGCCCAGATGCCATTCCAGTCTGTCTTGGTGACACTCTCCTCTTCTTTGAAATCCTCAAACATCAAAGGATTGCCAGTTTGACATCTGATGACCCTATCCGCCCAAGCTATGAATCTGACCAGATTTTTCGAGTCTTCGTTGTCCTTGCGGGCGATGCTGGTCAATCCTCCGCGTTCGTCGACCATGCGGCGGAGTATGGGTTGATGTTCAGCAGCGGCAGCTCCGTGACCGCTACAACCCTCGAAGAGCGCTACCATGTTCACAGTCAAGATTGCGGCGTCGCTGTATGCGCGTTTGGGATCTTGAAGAACCTGGTTGATGCATTCGACGGTACGTGCTGATAGCCACCGTGGTATTCCTGGATTCACAAGACCTGGGGGCATCATAACAGAAGCGGTGGCGAGAACAGAGTAGAACAGACAGGGTTCCGAGCCGGCGAGACGAAGAGGCATTTGGTTGAACTCTAGCTTTTGGTCTGTCGTCCAGCCAGTCAAGATTTCGTCGAGTTGAACTAGCATGTTGGAGCGGTCTGTGGCTCAAGGTCAGTCTGGTATTCGGTATTCCTTCTGATCGAGCATGTACTGCTACACATACAATTATGAAGAAGGCGGCCGTAGAAAGGCTGCCATTTGACGGGGAACACGCTGAACGAGTCACTGCCGGCATCAACGTTCTTCCACATGGGATAATCTTCGTTCAAAACGAGCTCGAGGAAGGACGTGGACGCTCTAGGTGATGATCGTTGTGGTGACCTTGTTGCAGAGGCTTCAGTGTTCTCTTCATGGCACGTGTTTGTCGGCTGGACCGGTGTGGAGGGGTGTGAAGCCTCAGAGTTTGTTGCAGACATATTGTCGTATTGTCTCCAATTGGCACCTATTGACAAAGGTTGCGAGGTTTGAATGGTTGCAAGAGGTGGTAGTCGCGGAGAAGGTAGTGGACTGGTTTGTGGTACAGGGCGAGGGAGATCGGCTCCTGACACGATCTGTGGCGGGTGCATTGTCACTGGCGATGCAGCTGGCCGAAATAGCGGCACATATGATGGTTGTGCTACGGAGTCATGCTGAACAGGGTCTGACCTCATGTGCCAGTGCGAGGGCTCGAGAGTAGAAGGATAACCTGAAGCAGCACTTGGGGCTACTTGTACCGGAGGGCTTGTTCGCACGTGTTGGGCTCGTACAGGAGCGGGTTGGCCTAGTTGCTGGAAGGGAAGGGAGGGTGACGAGGATGTAGTTGTCGCAGAAGCACGAGCAGGGCCTCCGACAAAAGAGCTGGGAGCTCGAGGACCGGCGAATGGTATCAACTGACCGCCTCGCTTAGCATGTTGTTGTGGCGGGAGCTGTGTAGGCAGGGTCGGTGGGCTTGTAGAGGCTTCAGCTGCAGGTCCGGCTACAGTTCCAGCTTGGTCCACTACAGGCTGGGCTGCAGGCGGCGGTATATACGTTTGCTGGTGGTGTTGGACGCGTCCAGCATTGTTGCCTTGGTGCGAGGTCTTGCGGCGCTTCTTGGGGGTTGTGTCCTTGTTTGGGGCGACGTCGACGTCCTTGTTTGCAGCTTGTGCTTGCTTTCGACTCCTCTGCGACCAGCCAACCCTTGCGGCATGCGACCTGACATACTTTTTGTTTTCGCGTCCAGAAGAGCCGGATTCAAAGACAAAGTTGAGGCCGCCACTTTCATTGTTTGGCGACTGCATTGACGGCAAAGCTGACGGCGCAAAGACTTTTCTGCACTCGACATTCACCTCTTGTCTCGGGCATCAGACGTGCATACAGAGGGCGTGGGTTTGCCCTGTCCTTGATCCAAAGTGGGAATTGCAAGGTAGAAGAAGATGTTGTCGGCAACAACGGCGAGCAGTTCGACGGCCCGGTCGAGATCGCTTGGTGGTAGATTTATCAGCATGCAATGATGCGTACTGTGTCATGGCCGCCCTGTCACTGCTCTAGTTTGGGAAACTGCACTCCCACCCTCGGCTACACATCCCGACTTCTCCTGCGACAGCTCTGAAGCTCTGCTCGCGGCAACGGGCGACTTACCGTGGGAGGAGCGACCTGGCGAGGCGAACCGTTTTCCCGAGGAGCCCTACTCCGAACAAGCCATTTTTGACTTCTGCATCGAGGGAACCTCCCGTTTTGCATCGCTGTTTTGCCTTTTCCGTTCACTGTAAATACAGATCTGGTCCCCGAACACCTTGCAATCCTATTTCGCGCAATGCTTCAGTTGCTGTACGATCCTGTACGAGTATACAAGGTCCCTCGTTTACGATGCGATTGCCATCGTAGTCATGTGCTCCGGAGATCTTTCGCTGCCCAGCCATATCGACAAACGGATCAGGCAAGATATGCATAACTAAGCATACAACCCTATAACGCATCCTGGCAAATTCCGATTTCTTTCACCGCGAGTCTTGCGAGAGAACAGCGAGCTATAAAATTATTAATGTTATTAAAGTCATCAAAATCGTGATATATACATCTGGAGAAGTTCTAGGCTCACTGGCCTGTTTCCAGTAATTCTCCTCTTACAACAACCAACGCCGTCCAAATGCAAAGTCGTCCCTGAGGAAAAGATCCGAACACAACTTAGGCGACCACCATGTCTCGAGCGCTGCCTATCGTTCTGAAAGATCCAGGCATTGATGATCTTCGTCGGGGAATACCGGGTCTGACCACCGACTCGACTCTCTCGTTGAATGTGCGTTGTAGTTGACCATGCTGAGTCTCTAGGAACTTCTTGACAAAGTACGCAAAAGTCTTGCTGCACTTTGCGTCACTTGTGATCGAGATGGCTCGTGAACCATCTGGCTTCCTGACCAGACGCCACTTGTTGACGGAAGTAAAGCCACCAGGTGCTTGAATTGTGATGTCGCAGCCGTCTTCGAGAGGCTTGAAGAATGCTGTGTACCAAACGCCTCCGCTCCAAAGCTTCTTGGGCACGAACGCCAGACTGTCTTCGACCTTATATTCTTGTGGAATTGCTGATGGGTCCGAAACGAGTTTGATGCCCTTGCAGTCGGGGTTCAAGTGCATGATGAGATTCATATCGTGCAACAGCCTTAGCGCAGTGTTGTCGGAAGCTGCTCTAGAGAGGGGCTGCTCCGAAGAGTACGAGAAGGACGAGTCGAACATTGTTGTGATTGTGTATAAGAGCAATTATTCGGTCGAAAAATGTCCGGTAAGGGCCAAGTCGGAAGAGATGAAGTGAAGGTATGCTGACAACGCAAGAACAACGCGAGATATGGAAAGTGATTACAGAAAGGAAAACCAGCCTCTGACATCTCTATGTTTTCAACATGCGTAATACCAGCAACAAAAGAATGACTTACGTCACCATCGAAGTGAAACGCTGAAGACAGGCCGAGACTTCCGAGCAAGCCATGATACCAAAACCTTCCGGGTCGTGATTTTTGTGACGGCTGGGGATTAACTTTGTCAGGGCGAACGGGGAAATGTCATCCAACGAAGCCGATTGTGCTGTATCGTAATGCCTGAAGCGTAGGGGAAGAACGTCTGCGGCGTCCTCAAAAACTCGTCAGCGAAATGCACGCTCTATTGAACGGTATGCATGATAGGAAATGGCATGATTCAATTCAGGAGAGGCATCGTAGTCATGATGCAAGGGACATTCAAATGCGCGCCGACAGCACGACTAATGCTCTCGAGGCACGAGTAGTCGAGAACGGAAAGTACATGAATAATGCCCATTGACTCAAGAAGGCACAAGCTCTCAATCCTCGATGACAAATATCTTGGTCTGTGGCTTGGCAATGTCACTGCCACTTCAAGCCACCACACTCATCGATCCGTTGTTATCCTAATAACCACATCTTTAGCTGGTTTCACAAGCTCTCTCAAAACTTTAGAGCTATGTGTGATCATCAGGACAGTGTGTCCTTTGTCCGTAAACTCTTGCTCAATCACCTGAGACGAGAGGCTCTCGTATTCGTCATCAAGGTTCGCCGTGGGCTCGTCAAGCAGTATAATGGGCTTTCGTCCTTGTCGGGCTTGATACCTGGCTCTGAGAATGGAACGTACAAGAGATAACAGTTGCGTCTGTCCTGCAGATAGTGGTGAGAAGCATGAGAGCGGTAGTGCAAGCACGCGGCCGTCTTCATTGTCTGGATCATTGCAGCTGGAATCAGCATCCTGAAAATGAGACCATAAATGTAGCTGCTGCAGTGCTTGCGTGATCTCTTCAGTCGAATGATGATCCATCGGGTCGACGTTTCTGCGTAGACTCATGTCTGGTTGAAGGAATGCATCCTGTGGCACGGCGATGAAACAGCGTTCGCGAACGATTGAAGGAGCAGCTTGTGCTATCTCTACCCCATCAACTTGGAGAGAACCTTGTTGGACTGGGCACAGTCTCAAAAGCGCCATAAAGAGGGTACTCTTCCCGCTGTTACCTGAAATCAGAAGGTACAGAAAACCGTACTCATACTTGACTTACCTGCCTGTCTCACCACAGATGAAGACCTTTGCACCAGCTTGTACACTGAGGTCGACATTGCTCAGGATTACTTGATTACTGCAGAAGCTGTCAGCAAATTACGTCTCATCATCGAGCCTGATCTATTTACCCGTGACACACACGCACGCCTCGTAAAGAGAGCGAGCCGGCACAGGGCCAATTGCACGGCACCATAGTCTCAATCGCAAGGTTTTCCTCATTTGGCACACGATCCTCTAGCTCCTTGAGACGCGCAGCAGCGCCGACTGACACTTCGAATGTTGTCCAAGATTCTATCAGCCGGAGTAGAGTAGTGTTTGTGACCAAGACTATGTTGAGGGAGATTCCAACATCGGCACTCTCGGCAGAGCAGAATACTGCAAGACTGATAACAACTATCGCGACCACGGCAACAGCCAAGTCCAGGACAACATTAAGCCATCGTTGAAGACACAGAAAGAGATAGAATGCGCGCTGTGAGAGGTCGAGGCTTCTTGTGTTGCGGGTCAGGTATTGTTGTTGCCAGCCAAAGGCTCTGATGGTGAATAGGCCTTCAACAGTTTCCAAGAAGCTTGAATATACGGCAGATCTAGACTCAAGATCCAGATACCTGAGTTGACTTGCAGCACGAAGATATACTTTCTGAATGATGTAGACGAGGAAGCAATAGATGGGCAAGGCAAACAACAATAACCTCTGGCTCGCTAGCAGAAGTGAGCATTGCATCAGAAGCTTGAACATCTGTGTACACAGCGCAGCCAATGCCGAAGGAAGATCTCGATCTATCACCTGTATGTCTTGACCAAACCTGTTCACGATTACTCCTGTATCGTTGTCGAGAAAGAAAGATAATGGAGCTCCTAGGATCGTCCTCAGGAGATTAGTATGCAGCACAGCCCCAGATCTTGGAGCCAGCTTGATGAAGTTGACCCAAAGCATACTGCTAGTCGAGGCCCAGGCAACAGTAGAGCATAGCAAGTACCCAAGCATGTAAAAGGTGTAATTTGTGGCTCCTGCTTGCGTCCACCATTTAATCCAGTAATGCGGGAATGCAGAAAAAAAGGAATACAACGCGGTGCAACTCAAGAGTGCGAGCATGTTCACCACGCCGACTGACCGAAGATAGTATCGGTAGGCCGATGGATCGCCGGATCTCGTGTCAATATCAAGTTCGTCATCGTTGACAGCAAGCTTGCTCTCCTCGACAGACATTAACTCTGATTTCTGCTGATAGTCAGTTTTCGCCTCGTCGCCGTCCACGAAAGAATCTTCTAAGAATGAACCTGCGTGCGTACGAAAACTGCTCCAGTCACCATCAAACTCAATACGACCGTGTTTCAAGAGCAGAATCCTGTCGGCGAGAGAGTACGCAGCAGGAGCACTCGTAATGAGAAACACCATCGTATGCGAGTTTCGAAGTAGACCACCTGGACCCAACAGATTGACAATCACGCGCTCCTGCGTGCGGTGGTCAAGAGCTGATAAAGGGTCATCGAGAACAAGAATCTGGTGTCGTTGGTATACAGCACGAGCCAATGCTACTCTTTGACGCTGGCCTCCTGAAAATCTTGCATGGCCACTTCCGGCATGTTTTGCAGCCGGACTAAGCAGAATACTGTCGTCTATGCAGCAAGCATCGAGAACTTGCTGATACCAGTTGTCATGATGCACACCAGTCGTCCGAGAGAAGCCCGTGATCGTTTCAGGAATACATTGCCCAGGGAGCCATGGTAGCTGGGTACAAAGCCCAATCCTTGTGCTGACGACAGAAATGGAACCCTTAGAAGCTTTCACTTCTCCGGCAATAGCTAGGCCTAGCAAACTTTTACCTGCTCCTGTGGGACCAGTGCAGACAACGATAGAGCCATGCCTGATGCTCAAATCGATGCCTTCCAGAATCGGCGTCGTGGAGCCTGAGAACTTCAACTCGACATCCCTGAACTTGACTGCTACTCCAAAAGCACAGCTAGCGTCTATCAAGGTTGGTGCTTCTTCGTTCTGAAGATGCCTTCGAGCATCTTGATAGTGCGGTTTGTTAACAAAATCCTGTATTCTCTGGAAACTGGCTAAAGAGGCAATTGCCCTAGGCACAATCGTCATGATCATGTTCGCGGGATGAGTGACCAAGAGCAAGATGGCTAATGTGGTATAGGCTGTTTCTGCATCAAGTTTGGACCTGCTCATAGCAGCGAACAGGATGATGGTGATTGCAGGCGTGAAGAGGCCGAGTGCGTTTGCTGTTATTATTAGACATGGTCATCTCAGAAGTCCGTGGCACGGTTGTGATAACACACCACTTGCGTTCGCGAGCACAGCCACCCAGCGCATATCTTTTGAGGCATCAATTTCCGTTTGTCTCAAACAGCTGATCTGGTCTCTGACCACATTTCCTAGACCAAGCATCTTGATGATTTTTATTCTCACAACCACAGAGACGATTCTGTTGATACGATCTTGGGTAGCTTTGTTCCACGCAAGTTGCTTGAGACGCAGACTCCGTGCTACATATCGGGTCATGTGGGAGCAGCCTACACCATTTCAGTTGGAAATATGAATGGAAACGTACCTTCACTTACCATATATTATAGGCAGAGGGACAAGACAGAACCATCCGATCTGTTGCGACAATAACACCATACCAACGATGACCTCCAGAACTTGAGCCCAGGCCTCATGAAACATCTCGCTGGTCTTTGCGAGAGCATCGACATCGGTACTCATCAAAGTGGCGGCGCTGTAGTCATTGTACGCAACAGCGGGCGCACTAAGAGTCTTCTCATATATTAGTTCAACAAGTGTGGCTCGGGTCATGACTTTGAGACGATTGAGCTTGTGCTGGTATCTCGACGAAACTATCTTCTAAAGCGTCAGTCTTGCTGATTTATGATTACAGACACATTTGACTTACAGCTTGCCCAACATAGACTATTGATGCAAAAATGACAATCGTGCATGAGAGCTGATATGATCGTCCACCTAACGCGTTGGTGGCCAAAAGTTGCAAGATTCTGCTCATGAGCAGAGGCTGAGCATAGCGAAATGCGATCAGCATGAACCGCGTGATTGCGATGGTTGCAAACTCTGGCATAAGGCATTGCGCCAGAACAGACGGAAATGTCAAACGACTTTCCGGCTTCTCTACGAAGACATGTTAATGGTGTACTTGCACATTCAATTGACTTATTCACCTCTCTGGCCGAAAAGACGCAGAACCTTTTGGCGCAAAACCGAAGGATTAAATTGACGAGGGTTCAGGGGCAGTGTTTCAAGAACGAACTTGGAGTCTTTCCCAGCAAATAGTATCGGATGAATCCAAGCGAAGGTTGCTTTGCTCCAAGGTCCAGCTGTTTCTTCAGGTGCAATGTCTAGATAAGCTTCGAGCAAGAAGTTCCTCTTGCTTCGAGATTCAGCTATGAGAGCACCTGCCTCCAAGATTGTTCGTAGCACCTGCACTGTCATAGAGGTGTTGCCACGGATCATCAACAACGCGGAAGCATCCAAAGCAGTGCATATGGACAAGTAGATGATCAGCAAATCTGACGGGCTCACTGATCGGTAATGTTCTCTAGGTGATAAGATAGCGAAACCAACGATTGCAACAAGATGGACATATTCATCCAGAGTGCCAAACTCGATCGGCAGAGACATAGACAGGCCTACGATAGAGGATTGAAAGGCCAGCAAGGCCAAGTTAAAAGCCTTATGATCGGTAAGTCAACTATGTCCTTGGTTTTACTCCTAGTAGCTCAACGACTCACGAATTTGATGCTCTCTTGTTGGTTTGGGGCAACCTTGATAGTAGACTTTTGCAATTGATACCATCTCAGAGAACCGGTGACAATGAAACATAAGGATGCCGCGATGCACAAGGTAGGGATCCATTGAAAAGGATCCAAGAGAGTATTGTCGCTCGCGACAAACATATTATCGAAAGGCATCGTGGCTGACATTCTGCAGTGCTGGTCGACGATACATATTTGTTTTTGAAGATGGGATGACAGTCAACAAATTCACGCCTTCAGAGACGACACAGAAAGCCAAGATGGTTGGATCAACTAATCGATAGTATCATATGCAGACCTGCCTAACGCGGCACTGTGCCTTGATATCTGGAGATAGGTAAGGCGCCAAGGTCAGCCACGGCATGGCAGCATTCTCAGCGATCGAAACAAGACTCAACACGGGTGTGTATGAACGGCACCATGTTCAGCTTACAATAATAATTGTGGTCACCTCCAGGAGGAGCCAAGTGAAGGTTGCGGCGTTGCGGGCAGCGAAAGGTCCAGCCCGAGGGACAAAAGTCGATGTGACTGACGCAAGACCAATTGTAGCTTCCACCCGTCCAACAAGACAATACACCAGTTCCAACCAACGCCGCCATGTCAGACCTGCCTGTACCTAGTGAGGTACCCGACGAGGAAGAAGAAGCGCTACAAAGATTTCTCGGGACGACGTCGTTTGGCAAACAATCAAAAGGTGCCCAAGCCGACTACAGATTTGAGCAGAGCAAAAGGCAACAACCCGTAATTTCGCAACCTGATAAGAAGGCCAATGATTCTGAGGACTCGGACTCGGATGACGACTCGGACGACGATGACGATGAAGATGAATACCCTGTATCGCACGAGATGGTCTTCAAGACACACGACCGCGCCGTCACATCCATCACCCTAGACGCGTCGGGAGGACGAATGGTCACTGGCTCCAACGATTGCACCCTCAAGTTCCACGATTTTGCATCCCTCACTCCTTCGACCATCCGCGCCTTCAAGTCCGTTGATCCCTCGTCCGTCAAAGGCTCTGCCTCAACCGAAACTCACCCCGTTAATCACGTCTCTTTCAACCCTATCTCGCCCAGTACAATCCTCGCCATTACCGCTCATCCACAACCCCGTATATTAGACCGCAATGGAGAGACCCTTGCCGAGTTTGTAAAAGGCGACATGTACCTGCGCGACATGCATCACACCAAAGGTCACATATCCGAAGTCACTTGCGGTGTCTGGCATCCTCAAGATCGCGACATTTGCGCAACCGGAGGAACAGACTCAACCGTTCGCATCTGGGACGTGAACAATCCTAGGCAACAGAGGAACGTCATCGTCCACAAGTCGCGAGCTGCTGGTTCAGCCGGAAGGACACGAATCACTGCTCTCTCATGGGCTGCCAGTCCTCAATCTAATCTCCTCGTTGCTGCTGCCCTCGATGGCAGCCTGGTCATGTGGGATGGTAACGGCCCCTATACCAGACCTGCTGCTGAGATTCGCGATGCACATACCAAAGACACTTGGACTAGCAGCCTGCAAATCAGCTCGACTGGTCAACTTGTCCTGACGCGTGGAGGTGATGATACCATCAAACTTTGGGATACCAGAAAGTTCAAGCAGCCGCTAAGGACTGTTGAGTTCCCTTCAATGTCTAGCCAATACCCTACTTCAAATATTTGCTGGTCGCCATCAGGTACTGAAGTGCTCACAGGTTCTGCGAATGGCGATCTCCATATCCTGAACCCTGCGACACTGAAGTCCGAGTTGGTGACTCCAGTGACGCCAGGCTCTGCCCTGATCAGCGTCTACTGGCACAAAGAGTTGAACCAGATTATAACCGGATCGGCTAACGGAGAGACACATGTTCTCTACAACCCAGATATATCACAAGGTGGTGCGAAGACTGTCATGCTCAAGGCCCCCAAGCGTCGTCACATTGATGATGACCCTAATCTGACCATGGATCTGTCTCACGGTATTGGTGGGGACGCTGTCATTCTGCCCGGAGGTTCCGCTCCATCCGCTGCTTCCTTCGCATCAAGACACCCTACAATTGGTCTGACAGCTTCTGGTAAATCAAGAGATCCCAGGCGGCCACATATCCCCAACACTACGCCATTTGCAAAGAGCAATGCAGATGAAGCTTACATTAGGGAACACATTCCTCTCAGCGGCATGCGCGAGGAAGATCCAAGAGAGGCGCTTCTCAAGTATGCTGATAAGGCCAAGAATGATCCCATGTTCACAAATGCATGGGCTACCACGCAACCAAAAACGATATACGCCGAGCTGAGCGACGAAGAAGAGGATGGACCTGACAAGAAGAAAGTTAGGCGATGAGCAGTGATACGCGATATCACTAATCCCTGACTGTCACGACGATACCAAAAATAAATATGATACCCAATCCGTACAATGCAACTTACTCTCTGAAGCATAACTTTGACAAAATGCGTGACTGCTGCATACCAAAACCCTGCCCAGACGGCCCGATAACGCCATGAGGCTTTCGCAGGCTTATCGGCATGGCCCCACTTATCTTTTGTGTTGACAGCGCCCAACAGACCATACAGATTGCTGGGAGTTGCCATGTGATGAATGTTTTATCTTGACAATATTCTACTTATCAGCACAAGTCTCTGACGACCAAAAACTTTACATCCTTCTCACCAATTCTCGTCCCATCGACAGATCTTACAACAACGCTTCTGCGGACCTGACGATCCCTGACGACTTCCGCCAAGGCAGCTTCCAAACCCCAGCCACAGGACAGCCACTAAGGTCAACCGGACCGACAACTTCGTGAGGACGCTTCGAGGAGGCACGATGAACAAGAACGCCATGGAAGGGCAGGTAGTCTTTCTCACCGGAGCCGGATCCGGAATTGGAAGGGCAACAGCACTCAAGCTCAGCAAATTAGGAGCACGTCTGGCACTCAGCGACATCAACATAGAAGCCTGTCGAGAAACAGCCAAGCAATGCGCTGGAGGTCCTCACCAAGTCACACTGTTGAATGTAGCAGAGTACAAGCGATGCATCGAGACCATCAAGGACGCAATAGGCTACTTTGGCCGTATCGACCATGTGTTCAACTGTGCGGGTATTAATCCTACCGCTCGTTATTTGGTCGACTGCTCTGAGGATTACTTCGACAAGCTGGTTTCTGTGAACCTCAAGGGCGTGTACAACGTCACCAAGGCCACGATTCCTTACCTGCGATCTGGTAGTGCTATCGTCAATGTCTCTTCTATCTGTGGCATTCACCCTCACAAGCAAATGGCCATCTACTGCGCTACCAAATACGCCATTATCGGGTTCTCAAAGTCTATGGCGCTTGAGCTGGGTCCCAAGGGCATCCGCGTCAATGTTGTTGCTCCTGGATACATCGAGACACCCACAAATGCTAGCGTTGTGGCTGGTGAAGAAGCTCTGAAGAAGACCACTGAGCAGATAGCCATTGGTCGTATGGGCAAAGCTAGCGAGATTGCTGACGTTGTGGCTTTCCTCATGAGTGATGAGAGCAAGTACATGAACGGATCTGTTGTTGAGGTCAATGGCGGTACTGGATAGACGACACATTATGAGTTTTTTTTTTCGGCAGAGCATTATTATGCTATTTGACTTGAGCAGGAGCTACAGGAGTTGGGGGGTAAAGAGGGAAAGCAAGTTTTAACAGCATAGGAGTATCACAGGACGAAGAGCGACGTAAAAAGTTCTGTAATGTGTGTTTTGTTGTCAGTTCATTATGAAGAGTATTCAATCCTTATGTTCTTTGAATCTCAGAATCTTGGAATATCGATGCTCAAGCTCATCGAGCTATAGCAGGTGTCACCCACTTCCAACGATCCTTCCTCGCTGACATTCTCGCTCGCCGAGGAAAGAATCAACAATTCCTCGCTCCTCACCTTCCTCATCACCAGCATCTTCAAGCTATATCTTTACCCCCAGACCAGTTCCATCAAACCAACAAGCAGCAATGCTCTAGTGGTCAAGACACCTCACTTCTACGGTCTTGCAAACACAAGCGTACCGAAACACCCGAGGATGTGTGTATGTTTGACGTACTAATTAGGGTGAAGTAGGTGTCGAGGAGATCGTGAGTTCGAAATCCACTCGCTGCAACACGTCTTTCTTGCTGATATAATAGGTTCTTTAACTTCCTTGACCCGAGCTATTCGTGCAAACAACGACAAGAAGCAGGGTTAACTTCAATTCTGCTCAAGTCCGCTTTTGGACAGATTGCTTTTATGCGTCTGTTCGCCCTGGCAAATTGAATTGATGAACAGAGCATGAAAATAAACACTCTCGTCGTTTACACTGTCTCCCTCGATCTACCGGTGTAACGACTGCCAAATACAGGCAATGCTACATTCACGACTTGCGTCTCGAGTCTGTTGAAAGAATCTCGCAATGCTATTATTACATAGAATGTCTAGTTGTGGTTCTCTTCTGAACATCAAGGAAACCGCCATGTTGAACCTGCCATGTCTTTTCGCCATTGATTGGTCCACCCAACCCGCAAAGCACAACTCAGCCGAGAAACCAGAACACAAACGTACCTGCTTTTAACCATAACCACACTGTTGGAACAGAGACCTACCTTCGTGTGTCATTTTCAGCGAACTTGGGTAGGAGAAAGGAAAGGCAAGGGAAATGTATTTAGTAACACGGGATGTTATGCTTTGTTGCGATCGATGAAAATCTGTCGGCATGGTTAGTTCAAGTATCATTGTCGCGGTGGGATAGTGTCTGTCAAGTCAGTTAGTACGAAGATATTCGCTAGAAGCGCGATAAATTTCCCAGAGGGAAAAAAAGAAGAACAACCCCCGAAATCTGCCGTTTTTGTTGTTTTATATATTACAGAAAGACATGGTAAGAAAAAAAGATATCCTCAACTCCTGCAGTCATAGTGAATGAGTGTGCCCTCCATGTATATGTGTGCTTGTGTTACAAAATACGGCCGTGCAAGATATGCTTTCAATCAAAAACTATTCCGATGATCTCCTTTTTTTGTGGTCCTGTCTTGATGCTTCCTCAGATAGGCTCGTCACGGGGTTCAATCAGAATCTCGTTGACGGCAACGTGAGCGGGCTGCTTAAGCGCATAGACAATCGAGTTGGCGACATCTTCAGGGTCGAGAATCTGGGCGCCAGAAGGTTCTCCGTACTTCGCAACGGCCTCCTTGTCGCTGGACATAGTGAGGAGGTCGGTCTGTGTGTTTCCAGGCTGGACACCAGTGACGCGGAGACCCTTGCCTGCGGTCTCGAGACGCAAGGCTTGCAGGGTGAATTCGACAAAGACCTTACTGGCCGAGTAGACACCAAGCCCAGGGAAGCATTTGCGACCAGCGTCTGATGAAATGGCAACAATGTGGCCAGCACCACGTTCAAGCATGCCAGGAACGGTGGAGGACAAGCAGTTCAACAGACCCTTGCAGTTGACATCGACGGTTTGTTCCCACTCATCGACCTTAGCGTTGGCCATCATGGTGAAGTACATGACACCAGCGCATGAAACGAGGATATCGACCGGGCCCAACTCCTCTTCAGTAGCCTGAATAAGAGCTTGGACCTGCTGACGGTTTGTGACATCGGTTTGGCGAACGATGACTTTGCCTTCGCGGACGGTGAGTCTGCGCTTGAGTGCTTCCAGAGCATCTGTGCGACGGGCAGCAAGAGCAATGTGACAACCTTCTCTTGCGAGGGCAACAGCGACAGCAGCGCCAATTCCAGATGAAGCTCCAGTGACAACGGCAACACGTCCGCTCAAGGGTCCCCTGCGTGGCATGTGTGCAGCCCCACCAAGAGAGCTCAAACCTGAAGGAGGGCGGGGTAGCCATCCTCTAGCAAACCAGTGGCGAGTGTACGTCTCGAGGAGAACAGCATCAACCTTAGGACGTTCGACGACAGAGCGGAAAGGTCTAGTGGCCTCGTTGTTAAGAACAACGATACCTCTGAGGAATTCGACGCTGGGCATACCACTGCGAAGAATGTCGACAGTGAAGTTGCCATCACCGCCTCTAACATTTCCTCGCTTTTCAGTCCACATAGTAACCCACTCCTCCCAGTCAAGGGGCTTTGTTGGGTAGCCAAGCTTCTCTAAATCTTCGAAAACGGAGCTCATGTCAACAGGAGTGGGATCACCAAGATGGAAGACAAGCTGCTTAGCTTGAGATTGGTTGGCAAGGTGGATAATGGCTTTGCTGACAAAGTCAACAGGAGTCATCTCAGCGCGCCATCCCTCGACATCGGGATGGAAGCCAAGATGAATTGACTCAACGATCAGAGCAGATACCAGATCCCAGGCGTTAGCAGAACCGGTCAAACTGTGACCACTGATTGTACCTGCACGCAGGATCTTGACTGGTAGGCCACGGCGACTAGCCTCGTGAACAAGCTGTTCGGCAACCCACTTGGTCTGGCCATAACCATCGAGAAGCTTGTCTTGGACAGAGTCGACGTCAAGCATAGCAAACTCAGGCCAGCCATGCTTGGAAGGAGGTAAGACACCGTTGGTCGAGACATACTGAACGGTGGCACCACTCTGGGAAGCAAGGCGCAGGATCTCTCTGGTACCCTCGATGTTGGCGCCACGCAGAGAGGCATAAGGATAGACCAGGTTGACAGTAGCTCCAGCGTGAACAATGACATTGACTCTAGAAACCACGTCGTTCCAGAGGTTCGGATCAAGGCCGAGGCGCTCACGAGAGAGGTTACCAGGCAGCATTTCAACACGTTCCATGATCGAATCACGCCACAAGCCCAAGTCAAGAAGATGTCTCCTCAGTCTTGCGATACCAGCAGAGTAATCGCTACCTTCAGGGTTGTTGAAGCGCACAAGACAAATGATTTGAGCTGATGTGTTCTCCAAGAGATCGTTCAGAAGGAAAGCGCCCAAGAAACCAGTCGCACCAGTCAGAAGAACAGTGTTAGCTTTGTTCAAAGGGCAAAACTTGGCTCCATTGGCCTGAATGTCGTTGTCAAGGGTTGAATCCTTGCGCAGTACGGCAGGCAGATCTGCTTGCACCGCAGCAGCATGTCCATCTCGGACGCCACGAACAGTCTCGACGTGACCAGCAAGAGTAGGCGGATCTGCGAGACGAGCGACAGGAACCCGGAAGCCGAAAGTCTTCGAAAGCTTCGCGGCCAAGTTTGCGAGCGAAAGGGAGTGACCACCCAAATCGAAGAAATTGCTCGAAGGCGAGATGATGCTTCGGGGCATGTTCAAGATGGCGGCCCAGACCTCCGCGACATCGTTGACGCCGATTGGATCTTGTGCCTGAGCAGCCTTAGTTCCATTGGCGGGTGGGGTTGTGACGGGTGCTGGCAGCTTCTTGAGATCGACCTTTCCAGACACTTCGTGCAGAGGCAATTCGTCAAGCACAACCCATAATGAGGGAAGCATGTACTGTGCTAGAGCCTCAGAAAGTGCTTTGCGAGCTTCGGGGCTGTGCCCCGATTCAAGAATCTCAGGAAACTTGCGGTCTTTGGTCTCGTTCTTGTCGCGCACGATGTAAGCCACCAATTGTCTGTCAAGACCCTCTCCATGGGCGATGACTGCGCACTGACTGACAGCGAGATGGGTAACAATAGACTTCTCAACCTTGGCAGGTACGACAGAGTAGCCGCGTAACTTGATCATGGATCCAACACGACCAGTGATTTCAAGAAGGCCCGAAGGAAGCATACGTGCCAGGTCTCCGGTTCTATACATAAGAGCTCCCTCAGTCGAGTCATACTCGTCTCTCAGGAAAGCTTTAGCGGTAGTCTCGGGCAGGTTGAGGTAGCCGCGAGCCAAAAGTTTACCGCCGAAGAAGAGCTCTCCACTAACACCGTCCTCTACTCTGTTGCCAGCCTCATCGACAATGTAGGTATGTTCGGGGTCGAGAGATGGGCCGACTGGACAGTAGAGGGCAGCCTCATCAAGATGCTCGAGCATCTCGCCAATGTTACCACAAGCAATCTCATGTGTCTCACAAGCACTGTAGCAATTAAGTAGGCGCACTTTGGGCAAAGCTTTCAAAGCATTGCGAGCGAGATCGGTAGTGACGACTTCGCCATTGAGCCATAGGACACGGAGGTCAGGGAGACGTTCGGCTATGTCAGGGTGACGCGAGAGAACAGTGGCCAGGAGAGTGGGAGTCATCAAAGTCTCGGTGATTTTCTTGGTTGCAAGCAATTCAACAAGGGCATGAGGATCATAGCTGACCTCATCAGGAACGGCGACGACAGTGGCTCCACGTAATAGAGGACGCAAGATTTCCCAGATGAAAAAGACATTGCATGCAACACGGTCGCCTGGCTGCTGATCCGAGACGGCGAATCTCAAGTCATATGATAGCACGGGTGCTCTGTGAGGGTTGGCGATACCCTTGGGCTTTCCAGTGGTACCTGACGAATAAGCAACAAAAGCAAGGCGCTCAAGATCATCGTCAGCGGGCAGAGGCGCTGGCTCTTTGTGATCGCCATTGATTTCTTGTGCTTCCTCATTAAGAGCAATGACTGGAACACCTTGCTGGATCTTGCCAACCTCAGAGCTGTGGGTAACAACGACAGCGGGTTTGGCGTCGTCAATGACGTCGGCCAATAGATCCGGAGGGTATGCGAGTTCGAGAACGAGGAATGCTCCTCCAGCACGTAGTGAAGCAAGACAGGCAATCACATAGTCGGCACTGCGTGGAAGTAGCACACCAACTAGTGTGTCACGACTGACGCCGTAGTTGCGGAGACGTTGAGAAAGAGCCTCAACAACCTGGTCGAGCTCGGCGTATGAGTATGTGTTTGACTCGTCCTCAAGGGCAATGGCATCAGGCGTCTCTTTCACTTGTTTCGTGAAGAGGGCCGACAAATCTTTGCCAGTATCAATAACAGGCATGATGCCGCCTTGTGGGGGTGTATGAATCAAGAGGGGAAGGGGTTTGTGCGGAGGAACTGTTGGTATGTCCTGTGGTTGCCCTCCGAACTTTTGGCAAACTGGCAGTTTGGCGGCCACTTCCATCCCCATCCACCCGCTTCCTCGAAATCACGACATCGAGTCTGTGAGAGCTTATCCCCAGACTAACTGGACTTTGTGCCGTTGTGCAGCAGATCTTCAGCCAGTGACAAGCCACATAAGCGAGGTTAATTTTTCGAAGGAACCGGATTTTAACCATGAAATAAACGCCGCGGTGCTTCGAGATTCTCCAAGAATCTACCTAGTCATCCGAAACAGGGAATTCTCAGCGCCGAAGCTCACGAAAATTAGTTAACCTGCTTCCTCGTCGTGTGCTAAAGTATGCAACTTGTGCAGCTACAAAGATGCACAATATCACTAGCAAGCCGGACAGTGGCTAGTAAAAAGCAACAAATCGTTGGCTTTCTGTGGACATACCTGCTCCTATAAACAATTGTGTCTTTTCATGATATTCGTTCTGCTCTCTACTACATTTGGGATACGACAACGTTCACAAACTGTAGTACAAAGGGAGGTTACAGCCTTGATTGAATGTTCACGAATTACCAAGTATACAGTCGTTCATAAATGTGTGTATGTGTAGACTTCCCTAAGTCTCCAGATGGTATGTACTGTAATGAATCTGACAAAAGAAAAGTGCTCGAAAGTAAATTGGCCTGGTCAATCCCACCTGTTACCAAAAATCCAGTATGCTTCCGCTTTAATATGATTCCCAATGTTGTGTGTCTTTCTGATCCACCCCTTCTCTTGATGACACTGTGCCTCCATCTTCCAGTCTTCTGTCCGCATCTGCTTCTGGTGATGGAGCCGCGTGCTCCACTCGAACATGAAATTCTTGCTTTCTTCGAACCACGAAACCATTTGCTTTGTTGATCGGGTCTTCGTCATGGTCAGAGCCGTCAGATGAACAATGGTCTGCTTCGATCTGTGTGTGGAGGTTGTTGTGGTGTGGTGGGCCGGTGTTCTCCAGGATGCCCATTTCCATATCTTCAGAGCGACCGGTGAAAGCATTGATCTTTGACTGGGTCAGAGTCTTGTCATCACCTGTTCTGGTCACGCGAGATCGTCCTCCTGAACGAGTTCCGGTGCTGGTGCTTGCCATGACAGCACCGTGTGGGTTGTTCTGTGCTCGAGCAACTTTGGAGATGAGTTCTGACATAGTCATCTCGATGTTGAGTTTTACGATCTGAGGAAAAGCGTTAGCATCATCGTACACAAGACGTTGGCCTGTAACAGAAGGTAATGATAGAGGCTTACATATGCGAGCGGATGAAACTGCACTATTTTGGCATTAGTCCTCGTAGGTCTGTGGTAGAGCAATTTTGGATAACTTACTGTATACAAAAGAGTTCTTCAAGGACATCATAGCAATGATGAGGACATCCATTGCCAAAGAGAAGCCAATGATGTACAAATTGAATCTGACCAAGCTCTCGTACTTCTTAAGACCGGGCTTGACAAGATTACGACGAACGACGCGAACGAAGAGGAAGTTGAGCATAGCATCCACGATCAGGTAGATGACCTTCTCGCATCGGTCCCATACGTCGTTGATTTTGATGTACCTCTCGCTGATCTGCAGTCTTGCTGGCACCTGTCAACGAGTCAGACATTGTCATCTGTTGAAACATCACTCAGCTCCTTACCCAGATACAATACACCGAGATATTGATGAGTGTGATGAAGGCAGCGACACCATACTTGAGATTTCTCGCCTTCTTGCGGTCTAGCATGAGCACAGCAACACGGTTGATGATAATCTGCAGCAGGAACTGAACTTGCAGGGCCCAAAGCGTCAAGATCGAAAAGTAGAAAGCGAAACTGTTTACGAGTCAGCGAGATGGTAAAACAGACTACCCATGTTTGCATTCATACCTTGGAGCAATGATGCCTCTCAGATACAGCCAACAGATAATACTGAAAGAAAGGCAGACGGCAACCTCAGCCCAGATCATCCACACATAAGCATTACTCTTCAACACGCCGTAACGTCGAAACATAGCCGTGGTTTGCTTCATGGCTTTCCATGTTGTTAGAAAACCGAATCCCAATGTGAAGCTATCGTCGAGTCAGTTTTGGCACCCTGTCAAGATGCTTTTCGGTTTGACTTACCCCCAGCATAGTGATGCGATGGTCAAGTCATCCAGGGTCACCTTCTGCAATTCGTAATGGTCTGACAAAAAGGTCCTCATCGTGCTAGATCCAAACGACAAAGGGAAAAATCGAGAACAAGATCCCGCCGTAGCTGGGGTAGTATCAGAATATGTACATTGTGTTTGATTGTTTCCTCAAGCCAAGGAAAATATCTCTTCCGCCTGCAGCGCAGACTGAAAACAATGCTCATTGAAAAGATGGTGGAAGCGCTAACGGCCGATGATACTGAAGATCTACTTACGCACATGCGAAGGAGCATAGAGTTCGGGAGAGGCGTCAAGGTGTGAAAAGTTACCCAAGCCATAGTCTTACACTGTGCCCTGCCTTGTGTCTAGAAAGCACATCTTCGCACCCATTGCGAGCTGGGCTAAGGCTGAAACAAGAATGAAAGGTAGGGCCAGAAGCAAAACAAGGTGCATTTATCGGACCGGCTAGGGAACGTTTCCGGGAGGCGGTAGATGGATCATTCACGGACGACCAACGAACGACACCCACGTCAACGATACCTTATAGTGGAGACGTTCAACAGTATGTCTTTAGTGATGCGAACGATCGGTGGTCCATGGGATAATGGATAATTGAAGGGTGCGCAAGCGGCTAAAAGGATCGGGTAGTGGTTTCAAAGATCAAGAATACCAGGATGTTGACAAAAGCTTGAATTGGAGGAGCACCAGACGGACAAGGAAGTTGTGACCAGGGTGGGTAACTCATGCGTAGAACCCCAGATCCATCCCAGATCGACGGGACATCTTGATCCAGTAGGAGCTTCATGGCGACTGGGAGATTGTCGTTCAAGGCTCGCAAGCGGGACCGAGTTCCTCGAGTACCGAGAACCAATAACCCGACGATCTGGTAGGGCAGCAATCCGCGGGAAGCTCGTTTCAGGGCATACGAGCCGATAGTGAGGCAATGCTTCAAACGTTGATCTATAAAGACTTCGAGGAAGGCACTAACACAGGCCAGCCTTCGGTTGACTTTTTGCACACGAAGCTTTGTCGTCCACGAGGGAAACATGTTCGGTTGAGGCCGAGAACCACAGCCCGTCAATAGCCGCGACCGTTGATGTTTGAAACGTCGTTTCTCTGGGCCAAAGCCGCGCTGAAAAGTCTACAGCAATACCTGGTGAACGTCTATCCGTGGATGAGCAGTGTGCTCTCTCATTCGTGATTATGATGGCATTGGTGCATACTGGTACCTGGCGGAAACGTGGAGGCATGCAGCTGCAGACGACCATTGAACACAAAAATAATACTTTCGACTCAGACCCTGGAATAGCATCATTGTCCATCACATTCTGGATCTCTGTGCCACAGCAGCCATGATGAGTGATCAGTCATCCGTGATGGAGACGAATTAGCGAAGGGTTCATTACCACTTCTTGAGCGTGCCGCTGTAGTCTTCGCTAGGCCTACGCCGGTGTTCATGGCTGACCGTGATTACCCACGATCAGTAGGTAGTGGCTCGTAGTCTCGTAGACAAACAACCTACCTATGTGCCAAAAATTTTCGCAATTGCAATTGCCAGTATAAGGAAATGCATAGTTGCAAGTCTAGAGTAAGTCTAGCCGCGGAGATACTCGAAGATATCCCTGTGTAAACCACAATCTTTGCAAAAGCATTGTGCAGCTACGCTGGACTAGCACTTGATAATGAATCATGAGCCTAAAGCTGAGCATGAGTTTCATCCCTGCACGATGGCTGGAGGTAAACCACTTGACTCGGTATTGATTATCAGGAGCCGAAAGCCAATAGCCACGACTCTTGCCATGCATATACGACCCGATAGTTTCAACCACAAAGCAAAAATTCCTTTTCTTTAGGAAAAAGGATATGCGAAAGGTCATTGACCTTCCCTTCATGAGCTGAAGGAAACGTCACCCATGACCCTCTTTCTCTCTCCACTAGACAGACGGTTTTCGTTTTCATGGAGCCATCACGAAGAGGCGTCTCAAATCGAAAATGCTTTTAAAGTCAGTGTTATGCGCTTTTCGCGCTTGCGTTGTTCATGAAGAAGAAAAGAAGAGTCGGAAGACGCAGCAGAGATTTAGGTGAGAAAGCGGAGCAGGCCTGTGCGCATCTGCTTAGTAAGCATCGAATCTGCTGTCTGGCTGACAGGGGCACCCTGCCTGATCGTTTCTTTGACATACACCAACCAGTGGTGGGCTCTGGGAGGTATGTACACCAGCTTGCTATGTCTTTTGGAATGGGATGTATCTTCCGTGCATTTTTCATGGCTCTCCTATGCCGTGAAAACGACTTCTGAAGGAACATGGTATGCACGAAATCTCGCACCAGCAAACGGTTAGGCCAGCACCTTTTCTCAACAGATACCTTAGCGAAGACACAGTCAATTTACCATCAGCACGATGAACAACCAGCATAAGCTATACCAAGACCATACGGAAGCCAATATTGACACCAAGATTGCTCTGTGCTCTAGACTTGTCAATGAAGAAACGGACGACGATAAACCCATGGTCAACAAAGAAAAACGGCCGTGCACTTTCACATGCATGAATGCCAAGGCAGATTTTCTATGACGATTTTCGACGAGAGAATGGCTTGCGTGTGCCGTGGTTCTCGAGTTCAGTCAAGGCACTTTCAACAATGCTGAGTCGGTAGCAGATAGTAGACGATGGGTCACTATGTAGCTCGCAATGCATTTGCTGCCATCTTTACAGCGCGGGCGAGCGCTGCGTCGACTGCGAGTCTCAGCACCAGCCGGCTATGGCGCGTCGCTGGAGCTCCTGCCGCATCTGATGCCAGCCCTTTGATACGATGTTATAGCACCTCGCTCGAGCACAGGCACCCGATGGGCCTTGTTCACACTATCTCCTCGATACGACATGCAACAGCATCGCGCAATATCGTCCAAGAATGCGCCCAGGCGCTGAAGCGGCACTCTCATACCTCACGTAACAACCACTTCCCCTCGACCCTACGGCATCGACACCTCGAGGACTCGTTCCAGAAGGCTACCTACAGGTCTAAAAGTGACAATGCCCACCCTGATCCCGAGAAGAATAAGGACAATCAAGACAAGACGCAGGAACAGCCGCCATCCGTGAAATCACAAGATGCCCCTCCTCCCAACACAACCCACCATCACTATCATCTCATGGACCGCCTGCCGCACTTGCACCGCCCAACCAAAGACGAACTGCTAGCCGCAGCTACCAGTTTCTGGCAGAGACTTGGTATCCGTTTCAAGTGGTTCTCTATCCGAAGTGCCCGTCCTTTCAACACCGATGACATTAGTGCTTTCGTATCGTGGATACTGTTCGGCCACATCCTCTGGATCATACTTGGTACCACTACCTTCGTCTCGCTCGCCATCTTGTTCATGAACACCGTCTTTGCTCAAGAGACTCTTGCTGGCTGGGTCGGCAACTACTTGACCCAGTCTTCTGGTGTCAAGGTCGTTTTCGAGTCCGCCATTGTACCGCGCTGGAACGATGGCGTCATCTCATTCAAGAACGTCTTCGTGTCGCGCCGTCCAGGTCAGGGAAGTTCCAACGTCACAAAGGGCTCTTCCGCAAATGCTGCCGCCGCCGCAGCTGCCGCCTCTGCAGACAAGTCCGACCGCAAAGACCAGAAAGATGAGGACACCAACTATACACAATATGACGTCTCGATAGATACGGTAAACGTCACTCTATCATTTACCAAGTGGTTCAACGGCAAGGGCCTGCTAAGGGACGTCGAGATCAAGGGCGTACGAGGAGTAGTCGATCGTACGTCAATATTGCCTGGCGATCCGACCATCGACCCGAAGTCGTATAGACATGAACACACAACCGGAGACTTTGAGATTGACTCTTTCAAGGTGTCAGATGTTCTTCTGACTGTCTACCAGCCGAACGACTTCCGCCCATTTTCGGTATCCATATTCTCGTGCGACCTTCCGCGCTTCCGCAAACAGTGGCTGTTCTATGACTTGATGTCTGCCAACATGATATCTGGCTCTTTCGACGACTCTTTGTTTACGATCCATCCTCGTCAAACACATAGCCATACCGGCCTGAGCATCAATGAGGAAGATGGCGATCACTCTGCCTGGAAGAAGCACAGCCGTCTACGCATCGATGGTCTGAATATCGATCATCTCAACAGAGGTGTTGAAGGTCCCTTCTCTTGGATTCACGAGGGAAATGTCGACATTGTTGCAGACATCATGTTCCCAGCAGATCAAGATGGCTCAATCGCAAAGGTCATGTCCGATTTCTATGATCGCATGGAAGCGACTGTGGCGCACAATTACCTCCATACCACTCATCAACACGACACCAGTGATCATCACGACGAGCAAGAAATGAAAGATGAGAACGAGGAGGACAAACGCTTTATCGTCATGGACCTTCGCGTACATCTGAACGATGTTCGAGCTGCTGTGCCCATCTTCACCAGAGACCTGTCATACGTCAATAACGCACTCATCCGCCCTATCGTAGCGTACATCAACTCCAAGCGAACATTTATACCTATCAATTGTCGTGTGGTCAAGCGAGTCAGCGAGTTTGACGGTAGCTGGACGGTGTTCGACAGCGGACTTCTGGACGATCTATCGAGAGAGGTGAGCAATCACTTGAATTATGTACTTGATCTAAGCTGACATGCCATAGACATATGAGGCCTTTGCCCGTGATATTGTCGACGACGGAGCCCGCACTCGACGACTGAAAAAGGTTGGTCTCTGGACCATTCAGCTGGCGGCACAAGCTCTGTTCATTGGACTTGCTGGCCAGCTCGTGTAACATACATCTCTCACCTACACTCTATGTAACAACAGCATTGGGAAAAGGACTTATCTGGCGTTCAAAGGGGTAGTCGTCTTTGAGGTAAAGCATCGGCTTTACAGTATACCTGCATGGGCGTTTAAAGGACTGTCACAAGCATCATTCAGTTATTGTTGAATTCACGATTACGATTTATCATTTTTTTTTTCCAGAACCCCCGTGTCCGAACGCCTTCACATAACGGCAGGCAGCTTGGCACCGGGCCAGGTGCAAGAACAGTTCCCACCCCATCTACTCCCACTGTAGGAAGAGCAGAGTATACACCGTAAAAAGGCACAATTCTTTACAGAAGCAGAGGCGTGTCCACAGAGAGCCGATAAGATGTCGCTTCCCAACAGGCACTATCCTGTCTTCTCCCAGTATTGTGCATTTTTATAGCTGTTCGCGTCACAACGGGGAGGTCATATGCAACTTCAGCCCAGGCGCAAGTCCAGCGGTTTTCAGCTTCAGCCCTTGCTTCAGAGAGAAATTGCCACACTTCATAAACCTATTTCAAAAATGTCACCAACACTTTCTGTTCTCTTCGTCGTCCAGTTCGCCGTGTGGTCACGATACAAAATTTTGCTCCCGCGATGTCGAAGTTGAGCGTCTCATCGCCAAAAGTGCTGGGTCTGCTCGCCCTCCTCTTCCTAGCTTCCTGTCTCGTAACCCTTTCTTTTCGCTCTTCTCCTTCAGGATATTACGCTCGACAAGGGACGCGACTGTCTCACCATGGATCCAAAAAGGTTACGCCCAATGTAGCCTTTGTGACCTTCCTCGGTGCATTCACTGGCGACATAGACCCTAACAAGCCTGAAAACGACGACGATGATGGATACTACGTGTCCACACGCGTACTGGGCTATCAGTTGATGCATTCAGTCACTGCAGGCACCAACGCCTCTATCCCTTTCGTCGTCATCGTCACCGATGAAACCCACCCACGCAAACGAGCCCGACTGGAAAAAGACGGCGCCATTGTAATCGAAGTCGAGCGCATCTCACCCGGCTGGGCTATTCCAGGCGACCCGCGTTGGAAAGACATGATGACCAAATTGCGGCTTTTCGAACTTACCCAGTACTCCAAGATTTGCTATATCGATTCTGATCATTTGGTTACTGAGAGGCTTGATGGGATCTTCTATGATGAAGCTACGATTACGCAACATACATCCCAAGAACCGAATAACCAGAAGGAGGATGAGGCAGCAATGCCTAGGACGTACATGATGGCTGCGCATGCCGATTACTGGGGCTATGATCATCCATACCCACCTCCCACGGATGAAACATACATGAACTTTGGCTTTGCAGTGTTCTCACCTTCAGTCGCGCTGTTCAAGTATTACCTCTCCGTGTTGGCTGTACCGGGACGTTTCGACATGGGCATGCAAGAGCAGAGTTTGATCAATTACGCACATAGGCGTGATGGAAACATGCCCTGGAAACCGCTATGGCATGGCTGGAATGTAAACTGGCCAACGGAGAAAGATTGGAAAGCCGGGGCAAAGAGTTTCCATGCCAAGTATTGGGATACTGATCCTAGTCATGATAAATTGCTGAAGTCGATTTGGAGAGAACAGAGAGCGGAGATGGAAGGCTTTTATCGTGGCAGAGATGGTGGGAAGTGACAGGTCCATGGTTCTTGCTTCCTGTTGGTCGGGTTGTGTCTCGCATTCTCAGAATCTTGAGATCTTCAGTGCTGGTGACCAAGTAGATAAAGTCACAATGCAAAGAATATTCTTCAAAGCGAAGTTCATCGTAATTGTAGAGGACAGAGCGCTAGGTCAATGCACACTTCGTGTCTCTTTAACTCGGCACTCTGCCGCAGCGGCTCGAGTAGACTCGATAGAGTGACCATTATGCTGACGAATGCTTGTGGAGCATGCTACCATGGTAGAACGGACAGGGGCCAGGGGCGAAACATCTATCTCCAGGCTTGATCTCCTGCATGGTGTAATGTGGAAGGTACGACTGGCGAGCACCTATCGAGGCAGCTAACGAAGTGATGGTTTGAGGCGACATAATTTACGCGCCGAGTAAAGCTCCTTGACCAGTCTGGGCCCGAGTCATAGTTTACTGGCTAGTAGAGATATCGAGCAAAGGTAGTATCCAAGCAAGTTGAACTTTGCAGACCGCAATCTGACATGCGAGCGGATCTCACACCGACTGAAACTTGCATATAGCCCACTACAAATGAGCAACATATGGTGTAATTCTTGCGAATTGAGGTGGAGATTGATGTCTCTCGGTTCCCAAGTACACACAACGCCAAGGGGATATGACAGACCAGCTAGGGGATTGCAAGAGTGTGTTCACGAGCGATATTTGGCCGAATCGATTGCTGCCTTGAGCCAAAGATATCTCGTTACAAGTTTAGGGGTAGAACACGTATACAAGGTTTTGAGGGATACGTTTCTCGAGGAGCTCAGGAGGTGGGTCTTTCGTGTTGTTGCTGCGTGTGAGAAACTGCTTTCGGTCGTAACATGGAAATACTGCCGTATACCGTACTGGACACTCTGTTCTGGATCAGACTCAGATGATGTTCATTTCTGATTGATTTGCCGATTCTCAAAGAATGGATCTCATCTCAGCAAGCGTCAAGCCGGCAGCTCGGCGCGAGACATGGGCGGCTGCTCTCTCGGCCTCTTGCAAGAGCCGAATAAAGAGACTGGTATACGATATGCTTGACGTAGAGAAAGACCGTTTGCCATGATGCAAAGGTCAAAAATAGCTGGATACGTAAGGCAAAAGAAGACCAAAATGGTATGTTCGTTGATCGTAAAAGTCGTGATGGACGACAGAGTCGTCAGCGATGCTGAAAATAGAAGAAAGCTTGCCGTCTTGGCTGAGGCTCAAGCTCTGGACGCGAGCAGCCGAACGGATTCAAAGGCGCATCTCTAGGTCAACCTAAGAGAAAGACAAGAAACGCCTGAGTAACCGGAATCTCAAGACAGAATCAGGGGAGACACGAGGAGAAAAGGAAAGACTACTGGCAGTTCTTGCAAACTGTCTGCGCGTCGTCATGTCGATTGCGCGGTTGCCTCGTGGGCAGCGAGTCAACGACGAACCTCGATTGCGGATGGCTGGCGCCGGTAGATAAGGTTCAGTTTGCCGGGTGACGGCAGGGCTGGGACCCTGTCACCGCTTGCATTGACCCAACCACCTCCTTTTACTCTGTATGCTGTGAAACCCGAAGCGCTCTGCTGCAAGCCACTGTTCCTGACTGGTTCAAAGGATCTATTCAGCTATGCATGGTCAGAAGCAAGATGAGACAATTGTCAGCCAGCAATGACTGAAGCAGCGGGTATGTATGTAGGTCTCTCCAGATCTTCCACGGTGACGACCAACCTGCCAGCCAACGAACGGACGAAACGGTGGCAGCAGGTGGCGCAGGCACGCTAGTGAGTATCAGAATCTGTGCTTTGCTATAATACGAATAGTCCACCTTCACTCAGCCTTTGGCGCTGGGCTGGTCTTCGAGTACATAATAGAACACCGTTCCTCCTTGTTACAGCATTCCTCATCTCACATATCGATTCTGTTTGTCTGTGCATAATTCAACCCACATTCCTCTCATTCACAAACAATCACATTCACATCCTCCACCTCATAAGGCCAAGGCCGAACACAGATCACCCTCTCTTTATCATCAAGAGACGTTGCATCGACACCACCGACAACATGCACTTCATCAGAAACTCTGCCCTAGCTGGGCTTGCTGTCATTCCCTTTGCCTTCGCCCAGACCTACACCACCTGCAACCCCCTGGACAAGACATGCCCTAACGATACTGGACTTGACTCGGCTAGCTTTGCTTGCGACTTCACCAAGGGCAAGTCGGCTCTTGCTAGTTGGAGTGCTGCCACCGGAACTGCGCTTACCTACGATGGGACCAAGGGTGCTCAATTCGTCATCAGCGGCAAGAACCAGGCACCTACCATCTCATCTGACTTCTACATCTTCTTCGGACGTGTTGACGTTACCATGCAAGCAGCTCCTGGTGTTGGAATCGTGAGCAGTATGGTCCTCGAGTCCGACGATCTGGATGAGATTGACTGGGAATGGCTCGGCGGCGACGGCACCCAGGCACAAACCAATTACTTTGGCAAGGGCAACACCACCTCATATGATCGTGGTACCTACCAGAGTGTTTCATCACCTCAGACAATCATGCACACCTACAGCTTCGATTGGACCGAGGAGAAGATTGACTGGCTCATCGACGGTGTTATCGTCCGCACCCTCATGTACGCCGACGCCGTAGGTGGCAAGAACTTCCCTCAGACCCCTATGCGCCTCAAGTTGGGCAACTGGGTCGCTGGCGACCCAGCCACCAACGCTCCTGGCACGATCGAGTGGGCTGGCGGTGATACAGACTTCTCTCAAGCTCCTTTCACTATGTACGTCAAGACTGTCAGCATCACCAACTACAACCCGGCCAAGGAGTACGAGTATACCGACAAAACTGGCAGCTATGAGAGCATCAAGCTGGTTGACGGCTCTTCTGGATCATCCTCGTCCTCAGCCTCTGGCAGCAGCAGCTCGTCCTCCAAAACCGCAACTCAACTCAAGTCCACTGCCGTCATCTCAAACAGCATGAACACTGTCGCGCCCACCTCTTCCATCAGCGTTAAGAAGGCTCAGGCTGGGGACAGCGCTGCCATTGTCGCAAGCTCCAACTCTTCTTCGACTGCATCCACTTTGAAGTCGGTCATCAGCAGTGTCAGCGCCAGCGCCACCTCGGCTGCTGCATCTGCATCTGCATCTGCATCCAAGAGCTCATCCCATAGCTCTTCTGCTTCTGCTTCTGCTACCTCGAGCCAGCCCGCACAGCAGAGCACCAACGCTGGTGTTTCCAACACTGTTGCTACTGGCCTTTTCTCGGTTGTTGGAGCCGCAGCGGCCTTCTTCATCCTCTAAGGTCTGGAACCTTTGTTTTACATTTTGCATAGCGACGGACCTTATTTTGTCTTCTTTCTGGCAGGTCCAGGTATACCCATTTCCCTCTAATCAAGGCGGCTTTTTCGAGATTCTAGAAGATTGTATTAAAAAGGAGATTAGCTAGCAACTTTGATAGATACCACAATTGAGTAAAGAGACTCGAAGTCTCTGTGTTTTCCAAATCATTCCTGTTGATCCTCATACTGAGTAGGCGGATAGGAGGTGCACACGAGTAGCAAGATGACAAGCGTGGGTTGGGTAGCGGTCAAGGACGGAGATTTGTTTGGCACGAGCGGAGGGTCGGGCCATGATTCGCCGAATGGGATTGAGTTTGTGCCTTCTCATCATCGTGCATGCATGTGAAGATGGCCCCGTCGTCGACTTTCTCCTCGCAATCGCTGGTTGCGTGCTCTCCTTCTCAATTAGCTCGCACTCAGGATACTGTTATGGCTAGAGACGACCGATAGACATACAGCGACAACCACGCCGTTTTTCTCCTCTCCCCTCTCACAGGTCTCAGACCCCGCGGACTTGACGCCGCCATGTTGCTCGATTTCTTCCATCTGGGCGCTCTGGACAAGGTTAATGGCGGATGGTCTTCCATCATAGGCATCGTAACCGCAATCGTGGGCAATATCCTCATCTCCTTCGCCTTAAACACCCAGCGATATGCCCACATCCGTCTCAATCGTCAGTACCGCCAGGAAGAGGAAGAAAAGAGGAGGAACAAGCGCAGTCGCAATCGTGACTCCCAACAGGAGCGGATAGCTGAGGAAAGAGAAACGGATAACCTCAATGGCAGCGGCAGTCATGCTGAGCCTTCAGAGTCGGATCCGCTGCTTCCTTCGTCAGCCTCGACGTCTTCCGAGTCCACAATCCGCCCAGGTAAGCGCTCGTCTGCCTCAGGGCCAAAGTCTTATCTCAAATCTCCTATCTGGTGGCTTGGAATCGCCCTCATGACACTCGGCGAGGCTGGAAACTTCCTCGCCTACGGCTTCGCTCCTGCTTCGGTCGTGTCGCCTCTAGGTGTCGTGGCTCTGGTCTCAAACTGCTTGATTGCGCCTTTGTTGCTGCACGAGCAGTTCAGAATAAGAGATGGGTTTGGCGTTATAGTTGCCATCGGTGGCTGTGTTACAGTGGTTCTCAGCGCCAGCGGCAACAACCCAAAGCTGGGCCCCGACAAGATCTGGGAACTGATCTCGACTTGGGAGTTCAAGACCTATTTTGGAATTACGGTCTTCTTGATGCTGGTCTTGATGTCTGTGAGCTCTAGGTATGGACACAAGTCTGTTCTCATTGACCTCGGTCTTGTTGGCTTGTTCGGTAAGTGTGTTCTGCTTTCTAAATGTTGCAGTGTCTAATGCTGTTTTTTGCAGGTGGTTATACGGCCCTATCGACCAAGGGTGTCGCATCGTTGCTCTCGAACACCATTTGGCGTGCCATCACCTTTCCTATCACATACCTCTTGGTCGCAGTCCTGGTGTCTACCGCCGTCTTGCAGATCAAGTATCTCAACCGCGCTCTGCAGCACTTCGACTCAACACAGGTCATTCCCGTGCAGTTCGTGCTCTTTACACTGTCGGTCATCATTGGAAGTGCCATCCTCTACCGCGACTTCGAACGAACGACGACCGACGATGCCGTCAAGTTCTTCGCAGGATGTGCCCTGACTTTCTCAGGAGTCTGGCTGATCACATCGGGACGTGGAAAGAGTAGGCAGCAAGATGAGGAGGAAGGATCAGAGGACGTAGAAGCGATTGATCTGGTAGACGAAGAACACCAACAGCCCGAGATCCGCGAGCGACTGGGTAGCGACGCACGTCGTGGCTCTCTGCGACCGAGAACATCTCGATCAGAAGCTCCCTCTCTCGTCATCACCTCGGACGATGCTCCCACCCAACACTTCAGCTTTGAAGCTGGTTCGCCACTGAACGATAATCCATGGGCGCTACCCGCACCTGCAAACATCTCAGCCATTCATCCACGCTCAGACGCTAGTGTCGCCGCCGAGCAAAGACTTCAGCATCCACCACCCATGCACGCCACAACCTCTACTCCCATTCTTCCCACCATGTCGTCTCAAAAGCTAACTCCACGACGACCAACCACGCCCAATCGAGGTATTAGTAACCCTTCGATCAATGACAGCCCGAATGCATTGTCGCCCTCACGGCAACGCCATCGTGAAATCGACCCTAGCGAGATTACACCTGGGCGTCTAAACACATTGACGCAGATCCTACCTGGCCCTCTCACGGCTCCGCTCTCATCTTCGCTGTCTGTGATCGTAGCGGACAGTCTGCGGAAGGGTATCGTAGAAACGTCAACATCGACTGGTCGTCGCAGACCCTCTGGAAGGGGATCTCGCACAGAAGCCATGGAAGCGTTGAACGAAGGCACTAGTGCGCCTTTGCAGAGACCTGGGTCTTCGAGGACAAGAGACCGGAGTTTGAGTGCTACGTTGAGCGACATGTTCCACGGGGGTCGAAGGGGGTCACGGAGCGGGACATTGCAAGAAGTTCCTGATGAAGAGGATGCTGTCGTGTAGAGGTTTGGTGGAAGTCATGATGACTGTAAATAATTTCTCTGGTTGTTCTGGATATGTTGATGAAGCATGGCGTTGTTGGTGTAAATAATCTCAAATGGACAAAACCAAGAATCAAAAAGTGACCCTGTCCAGATTTTCGACCACCACCTCCTAGTGGCCCGTGCTCAGCAACTTTTCGAGAAGTCGAAACATGGACGTTGGCGTCGCGCGAGCAGCTCGCAAGAACAGGCCTGTCCACACGACACGACACCATGTCGCTCACACATTCGCTGGAGCGCCTGTGGAGGCCGCTAGCCACACGGGCAACGACCTCCCTCGCCTCGTCACAATGCCGCCGCCACGCCTCGACAGACATTGCCGACACCATCACCGAACTCGAAGGTGGTTCTTCTCTTCGCAACCTCGACAATGCCGACATTGACAACTTTGCCTCTACCTACGACCCCGTCGGTCGCGCCAGCAAGCGTAACCGTCAACTGCCCGCCAGCAGATACAAGTTCCGTCCGCCCAAGTACTACCGCGGTCCTCTGCACCCACACCAACCGCCGCCAAACTCTGATCCTGCATCGAGATTGTTTGTTCCTGGACCCTTTTCTGCACCTAGACTCGAGCAAACCTATCAATCTACGTTTGAAAGCGATCTCATGACTCTGGCGTATACGCATTACCCTCCCGGATACAAGGCACCACCAAAGGCAGCCCGTTTGCGTGCTTGGGAAGGCGCTTCCCCATACTACAAGAACCGTCCTCTCAGAGGCCCTCGAGGAAGTGATGTATTGCGTTTGTTGCGCAAACCAATCACCTTCCGCAACGTGCCCAAACTCGAGAAGATCACCGTGCACACCATGGTCAAAGGCGCCCTCGACGACTCAGCACACTTGCACGTTGCAGGTATGGTCATGCAAGCAATCTCAAACGTTCGTGTGACAACCCACAAGACTCGCAAAAACGTTGCTGGGTTTGGACTCAGGGCGGGTCAGTATGTGTCTGTCACTGCAGAGCTTCGCGGAGAGGACATGCAGCATTTCTTGGCCAAGGTTATTGATATCGTCATGCCCAAGATCAAGGAGTGGAAGGGTGTCAAGGGTAGTTCCGGTGATTCGAGTGGTAACTTGACGTTTGGATTTACGCCCGAGGAGACGGCTTTGTTCCCGGAGATTGAGGTCAACTATGACATGTAAGTTGGGTGTTACTGACAGGGGGAAATAGAGAATCAGATACTGACTGTGTGTTTCAAAAGGTACCCTCCCAAGATGATTCCTGGCTTCCACGTTACCGTCCACACCACCGCCACAAACGACAGAGACGGCAGACTGTTGCTCAGTGCCCTCGGTATCCCCTTCTACGGCAAGCAGATCAACTAGAAGACCGTGTCGCAGTAGCCTCTCCTTTCCGTTCACACTCATATCTTGTACAAATACACGGCGTTTCTCTTTGCATGGTTTGGGAACAGGGATTTTGAAAAGAGGAACATGTAAGAAGGATCAATGAATGTATAAAATCATCACTGCAACAATTCTCAACACTGAGTACGAGTCGTGGAAGAACTGGAAATAACAGTCCCAATCACAAGTATCGATTAATGATGGCATAGCAATATCCTCTCCGCTCTAACGAGAGCAGCCAATTGACCAATCTCACTGCCCAGACTCTTAGGTTATAAACACAGGCAGCATACTTCTCGCGTACTCTATGGGCAAAGGCATGCCCGGCTGTACCACATGAAGCCTCTGCCAGCACATGGCTCGCAGCATCATCGCCAACCAAGCGTCCTCGACCTGCATCTCGCTAGGTCTCGTCACCGAATCCATCTTCTCACCCAACTCTTCGCCTGTAGCTGTAGAGAGCGCTTCCAACATTTCACCTGTAACGTCCCATTCCAACCTCAATGCACGCGCCATCTCCGGAAGGGCAGCAAACATGCGCTTCATCTTGTCACCGTCTGTAGCGGAAGCCTCGATGCGTGTTGAGTAGATCAAGTGTTGCGCGACAAGGACATGGTATCTGCCAGCACGGACGATTGGATTGGCCTGCAGCATCGACTCGCACTCACTCATGGCATCAAAAATTGCCCTCGCGTCATATGCCTCAGATGTCACCAGGTCGCTTTTGAACGTGAGTTTGGGTATCTCCCAACTGAAGCTATTGTCTCGCTGAGCTGTCGGGTGATTGAAGCGAGCCTCCAGACCTGAATAGAGATGAAGGAGCCTATGAGACTCTACTGAAACAGTGCTTCCTCGGCGGCTCAACAGCGCAGTGAGCTCGTCTCGATAAGGTCTGAAGATCGTATGGGTCATACCACGAGCCGATGTGTTGGGCCAGGGGATGATAGGTCGAGCATCAGAAGAGACGCCTAAGAAGGGAGTAAGGAATGCAACGATATCATTGACAGGTTCCATCCAGTCCTTGTCTCCCAGATCGCTTCGAGCGCGAAGAGTAGCAATGATACTGTCGGCAGCTGACGAGTCGGAGAAGAGCGTAGGTAATGTGGATGAGACATCAGCTAGGGTGCCAATGTGCAGTATCAGATGAGGCAGTCCGCGATGAAGGTTGAGCATGTCGATGTGGCCAATTCTTCCAAACAGCAAGTTATCTGCTTGACTTAACGGTGAGGTGTTATAAAGATGTTTCTGACCAAGAATGTCCGAATCCAGCTCAGGGTCTTGGAGGTAGTGAATGACAATGCCCATGCCTCGAATAACGGTCGAAGTGATGACTTGATGATTGCCTTCAGCTTGTAACGTGCCGATGTTGGGTTCGAATTGCTTCCAGCTCATTCCCAGCCGGCGAGTAGTTGCTGCTAGGCCTGAAAGCGTTGTGATGGCCAGTGGTCGTAAAACATCGTCTGGCACAAAGTCCCAACTGCGACAAGCCTTTTCGACGTGTGCGCACCGGATTGAGTCGATACAAGCCATGCGTTTGGCATCATGTAGACTGACATGAGCGATGCGTTGCCTCATAAACTGGTCATGTAGGCCCAAGTGGTGCATCAGATGGACCCATCCTGCCAGCTCGGCATTCCAGTCTTTTTGCTTATCTGGTGGATTGGGGTCGAAGGTAGTGAGCTCCGGCTGGTCGCAGAAAGGTCGGATGATTCGAGTGCCATCTTCGCTCCTGACAGGCAGGCCATACTCAATGAAAGGAACACAATAGAGGACTTCGAATCGGAATTCTCTCCATCGCCAGCGTAATCGAGACTTTCTTCCCTAAGGGCCCATTACGCCGGGTCCACAACGTCTGTAACCATCTGCGGTACCGAGGTACTGCTGTAAGGTTTGGAAGATTGTTGCAAGTAGAGCAAGTAGTCCGATGGTCAGCGCAACCATGGTCGATATGTCCATCTTCTTGCCAGAAGCTTCAAGTGCCGATTCAGGAGCATCACCCCCGTGGCGCTTTTCGAAAAGGGTCACCGAAAAGGCGAAGGGAGCCATGATGGAAAAGATAGCGAGGTATGGATATTTGGATGAATTTGGTCCGTTGTTGGTTCAGAAAGCTAGGCAGGAGAACAAGTTTGATTGTTGATCAGCGTTGCCTGAAATGGAGAAGGAATCTGGCTCCCGTTTGAGGAAGTGTCGAACAAGCACCTTAAGTATTGCGCTTGCTTCTTTAGACAAGTCATTTGCGCCTAATCTGAACTAACCACCATCATGCTTCAGAACGGGATCGGTCCCTATACCTGGCATCGACGGTCGACGCATTTTTCTGCCAGTGCACAGAGATGATCTTAATGGCGTGTGGGCACTCCATTGATGTGACAAGCTTTCTAGTGTTAGTCATACAGTACATATAGAACACCTCAGTCCAACAGCAGTACTCTGTCCCAAGAGCAGACCAAGTAACAAAAGAAGCTTTCATTTATTGCCAGATGAGGAAAAAGAGAAAAACGTCGGATATTTACACAAGTCCCATGTGAAGCGCTACAGCATGATGCCCCAGCCTCTCGTTAAGTATAAACGCCCCATGAATGTGATAGAAAAAGGAAACCCAAAGAAGCAGTAGCAGCAGCATTTTGATACAAGCGTCGCCAACTGTTTACTTGCGGTACCACATTCTGGTGATCTTGGTGTGTCTCATCTTCTTCTGCAGCTGGAAGATACCGAACATGAGGGCTTCGGCGGTAGGCGGGCAGCCGGGGACGTAGATGTCGACGGGGACGATGCGGTCACAGCCGCGGGTGACCGAGTAGGAGTAGTGGTAGTAACCGCCACCGTTGGCGCATGAGCCCATGGAGATGACCCAGCGGGGGTCGGGCATCTGATCGTAGACCTGGCGGAGGGCAGGAGCCATCTTGTTGGTGAGGGTACCGGCGACAATCATGACATCGGATTGACGGGGCGAGGCACGGAAAATGATACCCATACGATCCTGATCGTAACGGGGGGTGGACAAGTGCATCATCTCGACGGCGCAGCAAGCGAGACCGAAGGTCAAGGGCCACAGCGAACCCTGGCGGGCCCAGTTGGCGATCTGGTCAAGAGTGGTCCTATTGGCATGCGGTCAGCAACTGACTCGGCTTCTCTTCTCGTCTCAATACACGTACAAAGCGTATTGCATGACGCCCTGCTTGCCCTCCTGGCTGGGGAGAGGGACGTTCGTGGGCATGCCCTTCTTCATGGGTGGCGGGGTGCCGGGGTTGCCCTTGACGAGGCCGGGTCTCTCCATGGTTGCTGACTTTGTCGACGAGCTGTGGATGAGGGCGACGGGTGCGGCGCGAGTGAAGGGAACGAGGGCGGCGGTAGGCTTGGCTATACATGATTGTCTTAGTCGGGGCGTGTCTCTGTCGGTGGCATTGAAATTCACGTACCGCGCAGGCCCAGGGCCATTGTCGAGCGGGTGGCGGCGAACATTGTGACTGTCGTAGGATATGTGTATAGAAGGTGTCGAGAGAAGCAGCGACGCAGAGTGGAGATTTTGACCTGTCGCTGTCGTTGCGGGTAGGTGGTGGCGGAAGGACGAGATGGCTTTCGATGATGCCTCTTTGGAAGTTGCGATCTGATGTATTAGGAAGTCGCGCCCGCTGATTGGCTCTTGCCGTACGCTTATTCCGACTCGCTGAGCTTGACCTCCAACCTCTATCGATTCTCCTTTTGTTTATTCTACCAAGTCGAATAATTAAACATGGCCACAATTAAAACTCCTGCAATTGCCTGCATAGGTGTAATAGGCAGACAAGTATGTTAAAATTCTCCTATGATTTTTACTGTTGATAATTTATCTCCCATCTGCATCCTCTTTTTTCTAACATATCCAAAGAACAATCCTCTCCACATTTCCATATTCCCCGCAGAGGGCGACAAGGAAGAACGCAGCAAACTCGACTTCTCTTTCATGCTTTCTACCTGTCTTGATATCTTCGAAGCTCGTCTACCTGAAAAGAATGTTGGCCAGGACTTTGGTCTTCTCCAAGCCATCGACGAACGCCTGGCCATGTATGGCTGGCTCACAAACACTGGTGTGAAACTGGTCATCATTGTCGACATGGAAGGCCGTCAATCTCCTGCCAATGATACCAGAACTCCTCCTGTTCTTGGGCTGAAGAATTCTGATCTTACTCCCGTGAGTTATACTATTTGGTTCACTATAGAGCTTAAATGCTGATCACTTGCTATGATAACAGGCTTTTCAAGCATTGCAAAAGGCATATATCAATCTGTTGAGGAACCCTTTCTATATGCCTGAGGATCATGCTCCCAATGCCAATGCCCATCAATCAAATGCGTCGACTCAGATCACCAGCCGTAACTTCATCAACGAAGTTAATCGTATAGGACGACTATGGGCTCCTGCTATTGCTTCTCGCTGATTTGGTTGTACACCAACCGCAGAGACGAAAAGCAGAGCACGTAGGATGCTCGACATATCTGAGCCAATTTCCACCGCCGCCGCTCGAGTCTAGGTGACGACTATAACAAAAGGCTTACCGCGTGCCGCCACTTTGGTTGAATTGGCACAAGACGATCCCGGAGCACCCGGACTAGAGGAATGGTCGCCGATGCAAAGTCCATTTACAACAACGTGGCCACTGGGCAAATGTACCGATTTGTTCCAGTCACGAGACGTGTACAACGACAGTCGCAACACTCGAGACATGGACACAAGGTAACTCGTGTGGAGTGGCAGGGACTGAAAGCATGGATCCTTGACAGAATGTCGAAAATGAAACGGCAAGCGAGAATCGTATGGCGATGAAATGAGCTAGAGAAAACAAAATGCATTTTGTGTCCAAGTCCGAGTATCAAACTCAAGACCTACATGCAGAAAATGAGAAAATTGGCTGAAGAAACCACAAGAAACAAATCGACCCCTAATAACGCGCGCAAGAAGGATATCCTGAGCCCCCTTGATGCATGGTCATATGCTGCTGTAAGGAAAGTAAAGACGTCTAAAAATCGTTTGGGGGCGAGGACACCATGAACTCTCTGTTTACCAATCCTTCTTGATGTCGAAAGACCACTCGAACTTCAAGTGAGTCTGCTCGTCGTCATCGATGAACTTGGAGACGGCGTTGTAGTGGCCACGAGCCATCATACCCGAAGGTGCGGTCTCTGCCTCGACTATTTTGACAATATCAGTCCAAATGCATAAGAGACCTGTAGGGTAGTCATAGACTTACACTTCTTCTCGTACTCAGGCTTGTCAGTGGTGTTGGGAGAGTAAGAACCGATCATCTCCTGCATCTTGTTCGAGATACCCATGCGCTTGACGACCTGGACGTACTTCATGCCCGACAGAATCTGGTGCTGGACTCTGAAGCGGGCCTTCATGCGGAAGGTGGCACCCTCCTTGATGGTGAAGGGCTTGGACTTGAGTGACTCGAGAGCACCGGGAGTGGACAGGTCGATGATGATGTCGGGACGGCCCTCAACCTAGATAACAGTCAAAAGTCAACCGGATCGTTCAGTATTGCATTTTCCATCGACCCATCTTACCTCAAGACCAAGAGAGACAATGATGACTTTGCGAGGGTCGCTAGCATCGCCAATGGTGGTTCCTGAGCCGATGCCCAGGCTCTCCTTCCACTTTCTCAAGCTCTCGTCGTTTTGATCTGTTAAGTCATGTAATGTTAGTGACCGAAATTTCCTTGCTTTATGAAAGAGTGATAAAAAAATAAATCGCAAGAACAATCGAGACAGAAAATCGCGTAGCCTAGCCGCTTATCGGATTCCCATCCAGCGATACAGGCGGCGAAACCCAGGTTTTCCACGGCCCTTGCCTTGTTTACGAAGGGCTTCTTTCTGCTCCTCGGTGGCCTGTTTGCTAGTACGAGTTTCCTGGGTGTTGTCTGGTTCAATTCGGCTGGGGGATACATTTCCAGAAGACCTGTCGCTTTGCATGGCGTGATCTATCACGGATTTGATTTGCTCAATCTGTTCCCAAATTGCAGGTCGATTGGGCATGTTGCGGCCATCAATTGTCATCCAGAGCTCGGCCTCCCGATACTTCACACGGTATACTGGCGAATTGTGAAGCCACCAACCAACTTGGACCGTTGGGGGAGGCGACAAGTCTTCGGAGCCATTACGCTCAAGGACTGCCTTGAAGTGGTCGGCAGTCTGTTCTTCGACCTGTCGTGTCGGTATACGAGTGAGAGGCACTTCGTAGTCTTCGTAATCTGGCTGCAACATTCCTCGCCGATGAATGGCTTCCAGTTGGTGTATGATCGCAGGCTCTCCAGGTAGTTCCTGTCCATATTGATCCATAAAGACCATTTCGCCATGACAGATGACAAGATGCACAGGGTCATCTTTTCGTTCTAGTGCATGCCAGGTGAAAACGTCGCATTGAGAAGCATCCAGTGTAGATGAATAGTATCGCAAAACTTGCCGAGCCCATTTTCGCTCATCATCCGTGGATGGAAGCAGAGCATTTGGTGTTGAAGTTCGAACGTACGACTGTTTTCGAGGTATCTTTGAATCTCGATCGCGGCCACCAGAGTACTTGCTTAAGACACCTTTGTCGTGGGAGTCCCACATACTGTCGTGTTTATGAAGGGTCTGCAATCCATGAACTAGAGACCTTCGTCGATCATTCAACACAGTAAGCCTCGAGGGTTTGAACTCTTCATCTCCTGGCATGGCTCGAACAAAGACAGGTGGCTCACTCTCATCTCGTGAAGTTGCTCGAGAAGAGCTTTTGGAAGGTGGCTTAGAAAAGACATCAACAGCATTTTCTAGAGCCGCCCGAACAGATGATCTCCGAGCTCTGCGCTGGTTTTCGGCATCGATGTGTTGTTGCTTCTGTTCGTCCGATAGCTTCCTCGCATCGATCCACGGCTGCCTGCGGTTGCTGGAACGATCGATAGAAAAAGCTTTACGAGGTTCGGACGGCCTCCTCTGGTCCCGTTCATCCTGTCCGGAGAGCTCGGGTTGTGTATCCAATGGACAGACTCCCTTGTTGGGCGTTTCCAAATCGACGAACTGAATGCTCATCATATAATTGACTCTCTCGAGCTAGTACATATGCAAATCCTGGCAAAAGAGTGCGCAAAAGTTGCCCAGGACGTCCAGGGGCCAGGGGTCATATGATAAATCCTCTCCGCCGCAAGTGGAGACATAGTTGTAAAGGCAACACACGCTTAAGAGGCGCAGACATGTCATGATGAAAAATGAACTCAAAGGTACTCACCGAGCTGTTGATATTCCTCCAAAGTTTTCTTCTCTCCAACCTTGAAACCAGCAGTGGTCTCAGGGCGGAGCTCGTCATCGTGGAAGTCAGTTGCGCCAGACATTGTTGCTGAAGGGATAGGGGTTATTCTAGGTATGTAGATAGGAAGAGAGAATAGAGGTGAGATAGGTCGACAGGTGAGTGAATGTACAAGGTAAGATGTTCAGTCAGGGAGGGAGCTTAGGCTGTCTTAGGGTGCCGTTTGTGGAGAAAAGGGCCTCGAATTTACACGTCAGACCCGGCCGTCTCACCGCCTCAGGTCAGGGTCAAAACACCGAGAATCACGCGGAAACGTAGAAGCAGGTCAATGCAGTTTGAGAAATAGATTAAGTCTAGTCCTGATTTTGCCTTAGAAGAAAAAACTAGTTAGACAAAGACAGAGAGTTTGGTGCATCGTGTATCCATCTGGCAAGCGTGTTTGTTTATTATGGCTCGCAATTGACGCGGGGCTTTGCAAGGTGGCTCGAAGCTCCCTGAAATATCCATCGGCTCTTTTCATCTATATCGACACAGCATGTTGGACAGGTATCCAAAAGCATAGGGACTGAGCTTTCGTGTCTCTTCATAGTGCATGGGCTTGTCTTATGGCTGGTAATTTGCAGGATTCGGATAGCATAACAGGCCTAAATACGTGCACGCTTGTGTAGCAGGATCGGTATGCGTACATAACCTTAGAGAAAGTTGCAGAGAAGCACGGCCGTGCTTAGAGTATAGTCAGACAGGTCAGGTTGTCGTAGACTCGTAGTCGGTGAGTAGACTGTTTTCTCTTGCATGCCGCAACTTGGGCTTGTTTGTGTTGTAATTTCCCATGTTTCTTCGCAGCGGAGAGCTGCTCAAGACACCTTGTCTGGTCTCTCACCATGGAGGAGAAGCAAGACAGAGTAAGCAAGCTAGTGACGAGAAACGAAGCTGTCTTAAGCGGTGTTGGCTGTGATGTCGGTGAAAGTTAAAAAGCAAACCCCCACGCTTGGCAATATTGCGTAGGTAGTGCAGTGCATTCCCGTCGCGTCTCTGACCATTTTTGACCTCAACACCTTCGTCCACTTTATTCCTCGAGCTCTCACGCCATCTCGCCCGAATACGCGACCGAATTCTCTTTGTCGCTCACGTCGCATACAGACACAACCCGTATCAATAAATCTCGCGCGACCACAAAAACCAGCTAGCCGACGCGCTTGACCTCTACCATGGACGCGGAACGCGCTTTGCCCGAGAAGAGAAACCCTCTCGTTGAGGAGAAACACACTCCGCAGAGTATGTCGAGAGCTTCACATGGCGTGATGGCCACATGGCTGATGGAGAAACAGTTGAGATCCTTGTTGAAAGACGCCGATTGGGACAGACAGAGCTCACAGTGAAGGCTGGCCAGATTGGCACTTCCAATGCGACAAAGCCTTCCAACCTGGGCATGTTCGACTATGCCCACCTGCGCGTACCTCTTCCCAAGGATCTGCAAGGCAGTGGCATCTTCGCTCCGTCGCGCCGCAATCAGTCGTACCCAGAAGCTTACTTCTTGATGGTGAGGGGAATGGGAAACACGCGCAAATTGGCGCAGCTTTGCTGACCAAGCATTGACAGAGACGTTCTAACGACGGTTACATTAGCGCAACTGGCATGTACAAGGCCGCCTTCCCATGGTCAACGCTGGAAGAGGAAGAAATCGAGAAAAAGTACATCAAATCGCTCCCTGAGACTGACAGCGAGGAGATTGCTGGCAACGTGTGGATTCCCCCCACATCAGCCCTGACTCTGGCCGATGCCTACGGCATGCGCACCTGGATTGAAGCATTGCTCGACCCCGAGCCCATCGCAAAGGGAACTCACGACCCCAACAAGAAGATCGCTACACCACCTCGATTCGTCATTCCTACCTCGGAAGCCACTACTCTCCCTCCCCCGACAGAAACTACTTCTCGCCGCCGCACTCTCCGTTCGGCTTCCCCTGCAAAGGCTCCACCCACACCCAGCCGTAAGATCGCAACTCCCAGGAGGACCCGACGTGCAAAGCCTGCAGCATCAAGTGCACTCGCACCCACTGCTGAGAGTGCCGAGGAGTCTGCTGCACCAGAAACTTCGGTTGAACCCGAGTCTGCCAAGTTTGACTCGATAATTGCTTCTAGCGAAGCAGCAGCTAAGGCTGACGCAGAGGCTGCGCTTGAAGACGAGATCCCTGTGTCTGTGAGCGTCCGCTCTGATGACACCGTCAAGGTCGACATCGAGACCACTACCGTGCCTGGTGTCAACGGGGCCAGTCCTACAGAGAGCGTGCGTGCCGTTGTTAACGTGCCAGCAAGCCACCCAGACCTCGCACAGCCCAGCGATCCTCAAGCATATCTCGACATGGCCAAGGAATCTATTGTTGCCGCACACAAGCTAACAGCCAGCCGCACTCCTGGCAAGAAGCGCAAGGCTATCGAGGCTTTTGAGGACGACGAATCAGTTACCGAGTTCCCCGAATTTGACACAGTTGGGTCAACTGCTGCAGTTACGCCCATAGAAGTTGACGAGCGTCCGGCAAAGAGGCAACGTATAACTGAGATTGAGCTTCGTAAGGAGAAGATCAAGAAGAGGGCAACGTTGGGTATATTGACCACCATGGCTATGGGGTATGTTTGCATCTGCTTTGTTCTATTATGAATGTTTGACTAACTTTATTTCGCAGTGTTGCGGTGCCATTCTTGGGAACCTACTTCCAGCTTCTTTGAGATTGATTGCTCCAAGGATCAGCTGCCCTTGTGATGTCTTTCATGTCTTTGAAATTAATCTGCTTCTCTATCCGTTTTTGGCGTCCCTCCGGATTTCTAATTCAACCTTTCAACCTTGTTTGCCCACTGTTATGTGGCCTTTATTCGATCTGAGGACCCCTTTTTTATCTGTTGATGGTACGTAGAAAAGAGAAGGAAAGTGAAAGATCCAGAGATGTTCTCAAGGAAGGAGGTATTCGCCGATTGTGCCGGCCGTTTCTTGCGCGTGCGCTGGTTTTGTTCTTCGGAGATAGCAGTACATGTGAATGGCATCTTTTTTGACATTGCACCATCTGAGCGTCACAGTCAGGGTCGCGTTTGCTATGTTGCAGATATCGTAGAGCCTAGGCAACGGCCTTGCCTGAGTCGAGTGCTTTCTGGTGTTCAAGAACGATTTAGTGCTTCGACTGTAGACTGCCGGCGCGAGGTAATCGTAGGTGAGTTACAGGGCTTCCGTCCAGATTTGCCAGCATAGTATGCTGTGGTTTGCGTTAAATCCTCAAATGATGCCTCAGACCAAGACACCTTTAAATTCAGCTCGTCCTCCTACTCCAGCACCTTGTAGCTGTTCCCATTGCACCAGAACGCGATCAACCACCCAGCATAGCAATCTTCCACTCAAACTGAGCTTCTTGACCCTCGCCCAGCTCTCAACATAGATGGTGCGCATCTCTCCTGTGCCGTAACTGCCTTGCAAGCCGAAGAATCGCAATAAAACTGAGGCAAAGACCAGAATTGTGGCAGTAGCAGGACCATTGGTAAGGATCAGATCCGGATATCCATATTGCTTGTCAGAAGAAGGCGTTAGGACCTTGAAACAATCCCACAAACACAAGAGACAGCTCCAAGGCGCAGAGATCAAACTCTGGTGTATCTTTCTTGCTCTCCTGACTTGCACAATCCTGTACGTGCCTTTCTTGTCACCCATCTCTTGCTCGAACTCCTTGGCAAAGGATGCGGAGAAGTTATCGCCGGACGAGATCAGCCAGGTGCGGCGAGTAAATTTGGGGCAGGTTGCGCTACGGCGGAGCATCGAAATCATTTCTGCCGTATGGCCGCCGCTGCCGAGGACTATCAGAAGGTGGGCAGGTGTGCCGTGTTTGCGAGGTGTTGGTGGGGCGCGTCGGTGAGGAGCCAGGGACAGGATGCGCAGAGTTGTGAATTGGATAGCGAAGAGGGCGAATGTGGCCAGGATCGCGAGCACGGAAGTATTGAGTAAAGCCATGGCTGTTGGCTTGATGATGTCGAGTCTTTGAGTTGGCGGCCGATGGATAATAAAGAAGGGAGTTCGCTGTCGTCAATGCGATCGCAAGTAGAACAGGTGTCGGTTCCTGTACGTTTTAGCCCTTATATATTCTTCATGTTTGCGTAATGATGCCTTTGGTCGAACTGCTGGTTGTGAAAGGAGGTTGAACGCGACTGCCAAACACTCGCTGTGGAGCCTTGACATGTGAAAGACGTCGGCGTTCGGACAACCTCCTCCCGAGCCTGCGTACACATTTCGCTGTTGACCACCAATTTCATCTTCTTTTTACCAATATCGAGGTCGACGCCTCCAGCATGGAAGTGGTTATGGTCTAGTTGTGGTAGAAAAAAAAAACCAGATACTAACCCAAATGATAACGAGCTCTACGAATGCCACAAGTGTTACTTTACTGGGCCCGAGGCAATGCCTGAAGGTTACGAGGACATCAAAGAACCGACGCATACAGCTCTGAGGGCGCGGAAGATCGAGCTCGATGGACTTGATCCTGTACCACAACAAAAAAGAAGAATAGGAAGCCCACGACAACTGAGTTACTATGATCTTTTCATTACCTCTCATACGCCGGAGTTACAGACTAACAACACTCATGCAACATCAACCTCTCTTTGGTCATGCGATGTCCCTGTCTCTCAATTCACAAAAGGTGGAAACAGTATCGGGATCTTGGTCGCATGATATCCGGAGACGTCTGAAGGATAATCAACTGCAAAACACCTTCCTAGTTCTAAAGGACCATGAGGGCACCAACCGATACCGAGATGGCCGAGAACATGACAAATGCCAGAACATCGCCACCTCTGCCGCTCGACATAGTAGAAGATGCACCCTACAGTTTCAGTTAGTCATGAAGCTGAGACGATACAGTACCGAGTACTACTCACAGATGTGCTGGACGACGAAGCACCATTTGCCGAGCCAGAGGCCTTTGATGATCCAGCAGCCGAAGCAGTAGACGAAGCGGGAGCGGAAGCAGGTGTGGCAGCGGATAGCTTCTCAACACCAGCAGTCAGCACCACAGGCACCATGCCCAACTCGCTGAGAGTCGTGGTGGTCTCAATAGATGTGCTTGTGGAAGTGATATCCTGGACGTTGATCTCCATGTTGAAAGTGACTTGGCAAACAGCAGAGGCAGTTCCACTGATATCGCAGCTTTCGGAGACAGAGGCCTCAACGCCCATGGTTTCCGTGGCGAACTGGTATTCGAGGTGCGATGGACCAACAGTGAGGGTTGCCTATGCCTCCGCATCAGTAAAACTGTGTATAGTATCAAACAGGATAGTAACTTGGAGATTGCTTACAGCAAGGGACAAAGTGCCGCAAACAGCAGTTTCCGTGCATACGAGTTCATAGACGGTATCGCTGGGGCCTGCGGAGACGACTGATCCAGCAAACTGCTGTCCGTCGTTCTGCGAACCACCCAGGAAAAGCGAGGTAGTCAAGGTGTCTTTTGCAAGAGCACCGACAGCAGAAGCAGCCAAGAGAGCGATAGAAGAACGCATCGTGATGATCAATTGATGATTTGCGGTCGTGCAGTGAGTATTCAAAGATGTCGATGTTTGATCTACAAAAGTCAAGAGAAAGTTTGCTTATGGAGAGAAAGAGGAAATCACTGCACATATATAATTGCAGGTTCTCTCGAAGGATTTGCTCCTGCTTCAATTAGAATAGTAGCCACACCAACATGCACTAATTTACGAGCTTCAGCCTCTCTTGTCTCGGCATGCCGCAGTATAGATGCCTGAATCTCGCTTTATTACAAGCCACCGAACACATACCAAGACCAGACTAAAAGAAACCATGGGATCAAAAGTCGTTGTGGTTGTGGTTTGACCGGTTCATGGGGACGAACCCTGAGACAGGGGGCCGCAATCTGGCACATGCAGGCACAAGGACAGTGATCGACAGGCGCTTTGTCAATCAAACAACCTCGAATCAGGCAACTTCTAGGCACCAAGCGAAGGATTCGAGAACCACTTTCCATATTCTACTCGTAGATCTCACATCCGAGGTCGGCACATCTCATTGCTTGGGAGACGTCACATCACAATGCTGCAAGAACTATTGACCGCATACATGGACAGAGCAACTACTTCATACCCCTGCATAAACTGTGAGACGTACCTTACAAAATGTATAGCCAAAGAAATGGCATGTTTCGCGCTTTGCGCTCTTCTCAGTCAAATGCAGTGAATTGAAACACGAGACGAGTCTAACCCTTAGCAGACACCGCCACAAAAGCGGTCTCTCTATGTGACCAAGGTAGAAACACTTCATGTATCTTTGATGCGCCTCTCATGGAGTCGAGATATGTCAAAAATGAAACTCGCTAATCAAGATGCAGTAGAAATTAAAAAACAAGAAATTGGTATCATGTACGTTCCGCTTGCCCAAGCCGTAATGCCAAAAGAGCTCGTACGTCCGTCACGTACTGCAATCCTTCGAGAAGAGGCACCAGATGCAAAAGGTCATTATCCGTAGGATCGCTTATCCAGCCTTCTATGGGAATCGCATTGTCTGAGGAATGATGGTCAGGAACAGATTCATGATGTCGGGCAGGAAATTGATTTGACTCACCTTCATGAAAAATATAGCTCATCGGGCTGTTATCGAGAATCATGACCTTACTCAGGTCGGGCTCTACTTGTGTCAAATCCTTTATGTATGCACCATTGCGGAATGTGCAATGTTGACGATAGTATCTGCCGCTGAAGTATTTACGTTCGCGTTCAACCCAATCAATGACAGGATCGGCGTATTCTTGTACAGATGCCGTGAACACTATCAGATTATACCATTTGCAAACCTGATGATGACAGAGTCAGTAGACGAAGGTAGATATTCGAGGAGCACCAAATCTCACCTTGCGCAAAAAGTCATGGCAATATGGACGCTCATGCACATAGTATAATATGGGTACTTGAGGACCAAGCACCATACCATTTCCTCCAATGGGTCCTTGGAGCTTGACTTCGACCATATGACCAGTACTCATTCTTCCACCCTTGGCCATACTGTGAATCAAAGTCTCGTCCAAGTCGATGATAAGTGTCTTCTTGGGTGGGTCGGGATTATAAGTCATGACATAGGAGGGTTGACGCCTGGGTACGAGAGGTCTAGGAGGAGCAGGAGCGCGGGGATATCTGAGTTTTGTAGCAGCCGAGTTTGTTGGGGACTTCAGAGAGTTCGCAACAGCAGCGACCTTGTCTTGGTCCGACTTTTCGGCATCCGAAGTGTTGCGTTGGCGTCTACGGCGCAGAGCATCTTCGTTGTTGTGAAGCTTGATACGAATTGAGCGTTTAGCGGGAGCTATTTCATCCTTGTCGGCAGCAGACTTGGAGCGAGTATTGGCGGCAGGACCTTGGTCAAAAGATGCAAAAGCGTCTCGTTCGGAGTCAGAAGCAACAGAGGAGGTGGTCGAATCGACGGAGGTGCCTCGTGGACGTGTCTGTGGCTTGGTGGATGATGTGTGAGGGGCAGGTTCTCGAGGCTCGGGCGAGAACAAGCGGCGCATGGATCGCATTGGTATGAGGAGAGAGAATTTGCCGTTTGAGTCGTAGAAGGCAGCGCCCAAATATCGGAACGGAGCCAAGATGAAGTCAAGAATGAGCTTGAGTGCTGTGATGAGCATCGAGGCTACACGAGACGGAAGGAGCCATGGCGATGAGGACGAGGCAGCAGGCGCCGACGTGGAGAACTTTGTGGATTTGTGCAAGTCGTCGAAATAGGAAGGATCGGGTTTCTTTGACGAAGAAGCGTGGTCGGCATCGTTGTTGGCGGTGCTTCCTGTGCGCGAACGCGATGGAGTAGGTGGGAGGCTGGGTGTGGGCGGAGGACTCAGTCCCGACAGGATGTTGAGCGCGTTCATAGCAGGGCCATACCCCCAAGAGTCACAGGTCAAGTCATGTACTGACTATCACACAAGAGGTAGATGATGATGCTGATGGTGACTGCTCACGTTTGCTTCCAACCGTCAAGCCCATCACGTCGCTGCTTCCAAAACGTGGGGTGACGCTGGCGCTTTGAGATTCATGGCAACTTTTTGGCCATCTCCTTCTTGGCATCTACCGTCCCTGGTCGACACGTCCTCTTGGTTCCACCACGACAAGAAGACTGCTCGTCGCCATGTCAGAAAAGAACCATGAAGGCCGCGTCGCTCACAACTCGGTCCCCTTGGTTCTCTCCCTCATTACTCTACCTGTTACCATAGGTATCTGGTTCAATGCCGTCTCGAGTCAGGTCCGCGAGCCATACCTTGTATGTTCACCATCTTGTACTACCTTCCTCTATATTAGTTCTAACAATTTCATCAAGGACGAGGTCTTCCATGTTGGCCAAGTTCAACAATACTGTCGTGGTAATTACTGGCACTGGGATCCCAAAATAACCACTCCACCTGGTCTTTATATCCTCTCTGTTTTATTCTATAAAATCACTGGTCGATGTGATCTGGACGCTCTGAGATTTGTCAATGCTCTTTCTCTTTTTGCTATCTTTTTCTTCCTTCTTCACACTGCTCCTCCTGTTTCGCCGCGCTCTGCCAAACAGTTGCCCTCCCAAAAGTCTACCCCTTTACTTCCTTTGGCCACTCTGTGTCCACAACAGATTCATTCCGCTCTCAATGTCTGCCTCTTCCCGCCTCTGTTTTTCTTTTGTGCCCTTTACTACACCGACGTCGCTTCCACTTTGAGTGTCCTCTTTTTCACAAGGCATCTACTGGAGAACAATTCTCGCGGTCCGAGTTCCTTCTTCCAGGCTTGCATATCCATCGTCTTGGCCATCATATCCCTCTCATTTCGTCAGACCAACATCTTCTGGGTTGGAATTTTCCCTATCGTCTTGTTAGCACTCGGCGCACTGCACCAAGATGTTCAGAGTGAAAGACCACCCGACGGCAAGTCTGTTGTGCTGCAGGCGTGGGGCGATGCTACTTTGTATGACCCTCAAATGCGCGATTCTATCCTGGACGGTCAGTTGACACATATCATTCCGTCTTTGTTTTGGATCCTGACATGATATAGACTTCTGGCTCACCTGCATTTCTACGGTGACGTTAGCGTTGCGTGCTTTGTACTTCCCTCGTACACTGCTCAAAGTCGTGAGGCTTGTGTGGCCTTATTTGCTTGTTGTTGGACTCTTCGTTTCTTTTGTTCTCTGGAACGGCGGAGTTGTGCTTGGTACGTCTCCAAAGATCGGATCACCGTTACCAGACTAATCTTTCATTTGGCAGGCGACAAGTCAAACCATGTTGCCACGATACATCTGCCGCAGATGCTGTACATCTGGGCTTACACCAGCTTCTTCTCTTTTGGTCTTACCTATCCATTCGTTGCACAAGGATTACTCTCCGTCTTTGCGTCTCTTCCAATTGCGGCTATTTTGGAGCCGCTTCTGATCTTCAGCAGACGCAAGTTCCTGCCTCGATCTGCGGTGGTTATTGGCTTCGTAGCAGTCATCGCTGTGACCGTGAAGTTCAACACCATTGTACATCCGTTCACTCTTGCCGATAACAGACACTTCACCTTCTATGTCTTCCGCTATCTGCTCTTACACCCCGCCATCAAATATCTCGCCATCCCAATCTACATGTCATGCGCATGGTCTGTTCTCCAAACCCTTGGTGCGCCCGCCCAACTCTTCGAGATCAAGGAAGACGAAAAGGACGATGGTAAAGGCATTGCATCAAAGAAGAATCAGACCGATTGCGAAAGCGACGAGCGAGGCCAGCTTCTTCGTTTGAACGATGCACCTTTTGGAGAGGGCTGCACCATCAGCTTTGTTATGGTATGGATTGGTGTGTCTGCCTTGCAACTCATCACCGCTCCTCTAGTGGAACCCCGATACTTCATTCTGCCATGGATAATGTGGCGGTTACGCGTTCCGCAAGCACAGCCTGGCGCCTCACTCATGGCGAGACCAACACACAAGAATTGGAAACAGTGGTGGAATAAAGAAAGACAAAGACGTAACATTGATCGCCAGAGCTGGGCAAACTGGTTCTATGTTGTCTTGTGGGCAGAGCACGATCACAGGCTCTATCTTGAGACGCTATGGTTTATCATTATCAATACGGGAGTGGGTTACGTTTTCTTGAACTGGGGCTTTGAGTGGCCGTCGGAACCTGGAAAGACACAGAGGTTTATGTGGTAGTGGCACGCTGTCGTTCTTCTTAAATCTAAGCTCACAAATGTAAATATATCACTATGGACAGATGCGAACAAGATACACAATGTGTCAGTCTGTGATCATATGCTGCTAAACAATGCCTTCATTTCCCACCTCATCTGGCCTTCTTGTATCTTGCATTGGCTAGCCCTCGACGGAAGAGTAAGGAGCAATTCTCACAGAACACATGGGGTCGTCGTATCCAGAAGAGGACCATATTTTGTATCGAGACAAAAAGCGTCCACACTGGTCGAACGATGTGTGCTTTGAGTTTGGAATGGTCGACAAGGGGTCAAAGTGTATTATTCCTTCTGATTCAAACCTTGTTGTTCGTGTTTACTGTGTCGTTCCGACTGAATCTCTGTTGTTAAGCTTCAAGGATCTTGGAAACAGCGGGTTGTAATTCGATTATCAGGGGCACAACATCTGCTCAGCCGATTATTGTTGTGCTTCAAGCTATGCGGTTGAAGAACATTTCACTGGGAGTTTCGGTGCCGCGGAGCTGAGGACGAATGAATAGAGTAAAGGCAGGTTTTCTATATCCGACCCCTCCAAGCTGGCAAGCGATCTAAAAATAGTATCGACAGGACGAAACATAATTATGTACATTTGGCAAGGGCCATGACCATCAAGGCCAACTGGCTTATGCCTTCAACGACGGGTCGAGTGGTGTGCCGGACCGTGACCCTTTCTTCGTCGGTGGCCCATCATCGTCTGTTAAACCTAGCGCGGCGCGTACGCGTGCGCCGCCTCTCTTGCGCAATTCGCCCGTTACTCCTCGTAAGCATTCGGGTACCTCCTTGCCCATCTTGAGATAGTACAGCTTTAGGTTGCGGGCTTTGTCCTTGAGTTGTATCTGGTTCCTGTCCTTGAGCACCTCGCTCATACTACCACCGCGACCATAGAGACTGAGGATTTGTGACCAGTGAGGACCTTTGACTTCAGCCAGACCGGCCATCAGCGCGTCCTCTTCTTCTTGTTTCCAAGGCTGCCGCTGAGTAGCGCTCGCACCAGTCTTCGGCTTGGATCGTGCTTTTGGCGAAGATCTAGATTGGCCAATCTCTGATGTTTCTTGGTCTGGTTGTGGTGGTGAGCGCTGTTGCTGTGCACCGTTGTGATCTCCATGACCACTGTTTGGGTCTTGTGCGCCAACTGTCGGGCTACTCAAGCTTCCGAATCTACCCGGTGTTCCGCGGCCTCTGATTGATGGTGATATTACTCCAGGCTGGCTGACAGGAGTTCGTGCCTTAAGATTTGTTAGTCTATTGAGTTCTTCAAAACTCGGTTATGGTGATGACTTACAGGGTTGTTGATGATAGCCTCGACGTTTTTGCTGAGTGCTACAGCAAACTCGCGCAGGAAATCATGCCAGCCGTACTTCCGAGGAAGTGTACTGTACGCGTCATAGGGTGGTTCGTCGAACAGATACTGCTTCCTAGCGCGAGCCCTGTCGAGGAAGTCTTGTTCACTAGGGGCCAGGTTTGGAGCGTCTGGATGACGAGACAGGAGCTGGTCAGCCAAATCGTTAGGGAAGAGTTCATCCAGTAGCGAGTCTGACGGGCCGTCATTGTTCATGAGTGCTGCGATATAAGCCTGTGTCTTTAATTCGAGAAAGATGGTACCCTGCCACTTGAGCAGACGCTGGCCCGGGCAGACGAAGGTTTCCATGAAACGAGAGTCCAGGTCAAAAAAGCTGATGTCGTGGCCCTCGAGAATACTGGAAATGAAGATTGCACGGTTCGCTTTGCGTACGACTTCCTGCTGCGAAGCAGTGAAAGCAGGCAAGGTATGCATGTCAATAAAGACAGCATTCTTGGCGTAGACCTTACGCGTTTGGTCAAAGAGGGTCCGTCTTGTGAAGTAGGCTTGACTTCCTTCATGATCCCGGCCGGCGGTGAGCAAGAGGATGTCGTTTAATGAGCCCTTGGCGAGGTTGAGAATGATCTGCGTAGACTGCGGAGATGATTAGTGTTCGGGGTTATAGGTGGGTATATACAAGAGCAACGAACGAGATTGTCCAGAGTGGCTAGGCTCTGCAATTTGAGATGTTGGCTAGCATCAGCACCGTAGACACAAGGCTCCTCGGCTTGGTAATTCCAGTTTTCAAGCACAGCATTGCTCGGACTCGGGCGCGGCTGCCACCAGTCGGTATTGGTAGGATAGGAAGCATTTTGCACGTGATCGGCAGGCATAGTGTAGTATTGCTGAGGAGTTTGGGGAAGCGACTGTGGCTGGGGATGGGGCTGGAAAGCCGACTGCAAATGGGGCTGCGACGACAGCTGAGCGAGTGGTTGTTGTGCTTGTTGATGGTGTTGGTGCTGCTGGTGCTGGTGCTGGGCTGGCAGGCCCCAGTATGAGGGCTGCTGCTGGTACTGAGGGAGCGACTGCGAGACAATGTGCGAGTGTGTATGGACGGGCTCAAATTGCTGCGACCCGGGGTTCGGGTGGGTGGGTGCGAGGTGTGGGTGATATAGGGCAAAGTCGGTGTCCGGCAGTCTGTTGTACAGGGCCAGAGTCTGAGAGTCGTAGGCGGGCGCAATGTATGACGACTCGGGGTTCACGTCCGCGGTGGTATAGACCAGGTCGGGGCGGGCGCGTTTCTGCGACACGGGCAGGAATGATTCAGAGTCGAAGAAGCTGTTTGAGACGTCGTCTCGGAGGCGCTTAGTCCCATGGCCTTGGGCAAAGCCATGACTGAGGGCTGATGAGCGCGAGAGGCCATTAGCGATGGTTTGATCGGTGAAAGGAATCTCGCCCGTACTCATCCTTATGTTCTGGTCGGATCTCTGGGCCTGCGTCTAGGGCAACGAACTGACTACCGATGAGCCCTAACAAAGCCCTGCAGTCTTGCAATGTACTGACGACGGTTTTGAAGACGACAATAGATGTCTTGGTTTTTTGGGTGATGCTCTTTGCAGACTGGCTCGGAGGTGACTGTCTCCCCCTCGCACTACGCGCTTGGACAAAGTACTCACGCAGCGGCCTGTTCCTCGAGTCCATGTCTTGGCTCTCGTTTTTCACAACCATTGCAGATACAAACTACAACAATCTCAGTGTCTCGCAGCTGCATTATAGGGCAAGATTCTGTATTGCTCAAGTACAACCATAGTTCTTTTCTAACCCTAACAATGTGGGTAAGCCCTTGCTGTCACGCTCGCAAGGCACGAGGCAGGCAGGGCTAAACAGCCACAGCGCTGAGTCAGTGTCCTGCACGACTGCTCGGGTTTATGACACACCCCAGCCCACCTTCCTAAAGCATCACACACGCCAACTGACGTGCAGCTCGTCCTTCAACGATCCACTGACGTGCATACCGTACTCGTACTCATTCGCGAAACCCCAGACTATGGGCCTCGCCCTCAGTCCGTTTACTCGACATTGCTAGACCCGAACCCTAGTCAGCCTCTCTTCGTCATGGCGCTCAACTACATCACCTTCAACCAGGACCACAGCTTCCTGGCGGTCGCGACCACGGATGGCATGCGCGTCTACTCGACCAACCCCTTCGCCCTCGTCTTCCAAACCCCTCTTACCGAAAATGGCGCGTCCGGCGATATTGCAATCCTCGAGATGCTCTTCTCAACCTCGCTGGTCGCCATGGTCCTGTCACCGCGACTCCTGCGCATAGTCAATACAAAACGCCAGACCACCGTCTGCGAGCTCACCTTTCCTGCCAGAGTCGGTGCTGTCAGACTGAATCGCAAGCGGCTCCTCGTCGTCATGGACGACCTCATGTTCGTCTATGATGTGTCGTCCATGAAAGTCCTCAAGGAAATCGTCACTCCCTCGAATCCTTACGCCATCTGCGCCCTGTCTCCCGACTCGACAAACAATTACATTGCATATCCCATGCGCAAAAAAGAATACACTTCGCAACCTGCTCCAAATCACGTACCTCCGTCTGGCCCTCGAGTTACAGAACCAATGAGTGGAGAGGTCATGCTCTACAATGCTAATGACATGCAAGAAGTAAAGGTCATTACTGCCCATCAGACTCCTCTGTCATGTATAGCAATGAACAAGGAAGGTACACTGTTAGCTACCGCTTCGGAAAAGGGCACTGTCATCAGGGTATTTGCCATTCCCTCGGCTCAGAAGGTCTACCAATTTCGCAGGGGCAGTATGCCAGCTCGCATTCACTGCATGTCATTCAATGAAGCAAGCACATTATTGTGCGTTTCTAGCGCTACCGAGACCATTCACATCTTCCGCCTCTCTGCCGACAATGCCGTACCAGATTCAGGACTAGAAGCACCTTCTGATGCTCCTACAACGCCGCAACGCTACCAACGGCAACGTAGCGAAAGTCCTTACGACTCGTCTGATCCCTCGTCAAGTTCCATCCTTGGCGATTCTCCCGCAGATCCATCTGCTAAACCGCTGCGATCTCCAGGTTGGATGTCTATGATGCGGCGAACCTCTCAGAACGTCTCCACAACATTAGTATCGCGTGCTGCAGGATACTTGCCCAATGCCGTTACCGAGATCTGGGAGCCAGCTCGAGACTTTGCCTGGGTCAAGATACCCAAGGGCCGCAATGGTGTGCCTGTCAAAAGCGTTGTCGCCATGGGCGAGGCAGCTCCCGAGGTCATGGTCGCCACTAGCGAAGGCGACTTTTTGATATACAACATTGACCTAGAGAACGGCGGCGAAGGGCGACTAGTCAGACAACATTCCGTGCGGGAACGCAGTGAGACACATAGTGGTTTCAACACCGATTAGAATCCTGGTAACGGAAGATGATTCTGGGTGGACGACATTGTCAATCGAGGCTGACGTGTATCCGACCATCACCTTTGACCTTCTTCATATAGCTTCCTTTTCTTCCGAATCCTCTTCCTCGTTTTAGAGGCAGAGGAATGTTATTGCTGCACTTTTTACAGCGACTGGCGTTTGTTTGGCTAGGCACTCGGATGGTTGCATCTGGGAATGGCGTTCTCTTTTTTTCTTACTAGTCTCTCGTCCTTCAGCGGACGAATGCTGACTGCTCTACAAAGTCTCCACTACCAATTTAACAATCTTTTTAATGTTATTCTTTTCAATCCGCTGTATCTTGTTCTCCTCCTTCGGTGCTGAGGCGTGTGTAGCAGCCGTTCGATTTTCCTGTTTTGGATGTCACCCTGTCTTTCACTTTCAATACCGCTTATCACACCATCGTCGCCTTCGTTAAATCTACATCTTGGTTCGTTACGTTGTTTTGAGAACGTGTTATGAGTGGGTTCGATCGTGTGGAAATTTATCGAAATAGAGCTCCTGGCGGTCACTTCCCTCGTGTCGACCGATCATCACCATACTGACACATATCACTACACTCCAGGCCTTTTTCCAAACCTCCTAAAATCATACAAGTACCTTCCAGACACCGAGAACACCGTCTTTTGACATTGGTAGGTATAAGTAGACCTGCTCTTCCATATCATCCGCCCCAAACCCCAGCAATCCACTCCCTAGCACCTGGATCCCTAGCCCAAGCAGCAACCGCAGCAGCCAACGCCAAACCAACAGGCAAAGCCATCTCCTTAGCATTCCTTACCACAACCTGTGCAGCAGTTTCCTCCGTGACAGGGTTGATAGGATTATGATCGAAGATATGCCGACGCTCACCAACAGCAGGTGATGCAGGAGATTGGGCAGCACTGCGGCGCGCGGATTTCGGAGTCATGGGGTCAGCAATGTTAAAGCTCGAGGTAAACATGTCTTCGAGGCCTGTGCCCTTCTCTGCGGCTTCCATGTCGGATTGTAAGGTCCATTTTGCTGGGTGCAGCTCAAAATGGTCTTTTGTCCTGTTTCTGTCCAAGCTAGAGATGTAGGACGCGGGTTTGCGTGGAGAGTCTTCGTCATCGTGGTCATCTGTCACATTAGGCTTTTTCGACAGAGAAGGCACGCTGGCGGATGAAAGTCCCATCTTCTTGAAAAAGTCGCGCTGTTGCGAGAGAGGAGTTGGTTTAAATTGTGGCGGTGCTGGAGGATTCCGTAGGCGATGTGCAGGCGACATGGGCGCTGGTGGTAGGCGACCGGTAAAGGGAGATTTCTCACCAGTTGCCATACTTGCAGCTGGACGCAAGAAGGGTGGGAGTGCTGAAGCTGCTGGGGCCTGAGCAGTATGAGTAGGTCGGATGGGCGAAGATTGGTTGATGGGTTCCCAATCCATCGAATCTTCCATATCCTGAGCAGGGCCAGGAGATGGCGATGGCCGAGAGAATTGAGACAAAAGTGGTGATGCAGCTCGTGTGGCTGATCGAGTGACGCGATGGGAGCCCAAATTCTCGACGAGAAATGGCTGCCGCGAAGGAGACATGGTAGGAAGATGAGGTGAGGCCTGACTGACAAAGTCGTCAGCTGGGAGATGGAAGCTCCCTGGCTCGATCAGAGGCTCCGTACTAGCCTTCCATGAGACTCTGGGAGCGGACGAGTAGATGACGGTGCGCAAAGAAGCGACGGTGCTCAGGAGAATGAACAGGACAGCACAACCGTGCATGCCCTTTGTGATATCACTGGCCGAGCCCTCGATCCAGGGCCCGCTCAAGTACCACCAAGCAGTAGCTCTCAGAGCGAGGATTACAAATTGGTAACGGTAAAAGTCGGCCAGTCCAACTGCATGATGAGTTCGATAAGGGAACCTTAGGCGATCTTTGAAAGTTGGATTCCACCATAGAAGCCAGAAGCTCAGATATAAAGATTTCTTGACAAGGTCGACAAAGAGATGAGCGCAACCCGCTGGTAGGAAGTGTAGGCGAAAGCCATTTACTGAACAACCGACAAGCATGAGAGGAGTCAAGCCGGCGACCTCCTCATTGTCTCCAGGAATGCCCAAGAAAGCCAGAGCGTGCCAGTAAGCCTGAAAGAGAGCACTTCCCCACCAGGCCATAGCGGCGACGCTTAAGGCAGATATGGCGAGAGAGGATGAAGTGGGAAGGTTGTTGAAGGCATGAGCTTTTGAACGTTCAAGATTCCGCGTGAGAAAATCGGCCTTTGCGACGTAGTTTGTCCTCTTGAGATGTTGTTCGATTCTCGGGGCGCATTTCAGGCAAACTTGGGGAAAGCGACGCTCGAGGTCTTTGCGATATTGCGGGTACTCGGCTTCGTATTTTTGATATTGTGGATGGTTCTCGGCGGGGAGGTACTCGGCGAGGAGGGTAGTGACCATTTGCTGATTCTTGAGACATGTTTTGCAGAAGAGGTTGGACGACTCGGGCTGGACGGGCGAAGTGGGTCGCTGAGGAGGATGGGCAAAGGAAGCAGGTTGTTTAGGATTTGGAGTAGCCGGGGGATCAGTGATGTCTCCATTCTATAGCAAAAGTCAGAGTTGGCGATTCGTAGGTGGATGGTGGTTGGCGTACCGAGTCGAGGTGGTTTGTGGCTTCGCAGCTGGTGCAAGTGAATTGTCGCGTGCGTCCGTCCTTGACATGGGGTGATCGCATGCCACAGTAGAAGCATTCCAGACGTGGAGCGAGGAGACTCGGCATGGCGAGGTCGAGTAATGGCGATGAGGAAAGAACGAGGGTGTTTCGTATATCGTGTATCGTGTTTCGTAGTATGAATCGAGCAGGCGCGTAAGTTCAGCTTCACGTGGGAAATGGCGACATGGCGGACCCTGCAATCTGATCGGATGTAGGGTGACTTTTTCGAAATTGTACAAGAGTTGATGTTCAGATTGTTTATGTCTTTTCGAACTCGAAGGCTCGGCTAGCAACTGCCCGCATGCTAAATAGCAACCCGCTTCGGGAGTGACGCGCACAGGCCACCAAAGTCCGCAACTTCTACAGAGACTCTGGACTTTGTCGACGCCGACATATCATTTGTATATCCCACCGTCGCAATGCAGAAGGTGGTCCAGCGAAGGATAGCCGCCGAGCGTCAGGCCCTGCGCCGCGCTGCGAAGCAGACTGAGAAGGCCGACAATGCAAAGGAATGGGGCGCACGATGGCAGATGCAGTCTCGCCGCAAGCAAGAATCCATCTACTTCAAGGAAGAGAAGTTCCGCAGACGCGAGGAATATGAAGTCGGCCCCCTCCTCGCTCCCAGACGCGATACTGGCTACCTCAAGGATAACTACGGCACCATCGACCCCAGCGTCATTCAGACCGCAAAGCTCCACTGGACCATGTACAAGCACTTCAAGTGCCCTTTTGCTGTCGGCGATAGAGTCCTAGTCACAAAGGGAAAAGATATTGGCAAGATCGGAACCATTGCTGAAACTCAACCCGATACTGGTTTCGTACGCATGCAGGACTTGCGCAAGGTATCCCCACCAAAAAACACCTGCTACTTTTCCCACCAATGCTAACAACTCTTCAAGGCCGACTTCTTCGTTCCCGAATATGTGCGCAAGGAAAACAATGACAGTCGCCACATTCAACCACAAGCAGTGCCTGTTCCTTGGGACGACCTTAAACTCGTCTTTCCTCTTCGCGACCAGACCACCGGTCACTTCGAAGACGTCGTTCTGGACAAGGTCGATCTGCGCAACGCTGGATGGGTAGAGCGCAAGAACGGTCATCGTGAATACATTCAGGGCCAACGCTTCCTTCCTGGTGTCAAGACCCCACTTCCCTGGCCCAAGACTGAGGAAAAGGACAAACCAGAAGGCTACGACGACGACACCCTTCGTATCACTGTCGACGAGGCCACCCACCGCCCCTACTTGCTCCAACCACCCATGCCTCCATCTGTCATTGATGAGCTGAGAAACAAGTACTCCATCTTCCGTACCCGCCACGAGCCAGCATACATTGCCGCAAAGGAGGCCCAAGACCGCGCCGCAAAGCACAAGGAGAACCTCGCCCGTTTGGTTTCCACTCCTCTTGCCGAACTGAAGGAGCTAAGGCGACAGGAGAGACTCGCCAACCCTCCCGAGCTGTCCGAGGAACAACTTGCAAGAATTGGAGAGGTCATGGCTCAGGAGAAGCAGAACGCCATCAACAAGCTCTCTCAGCAATAAATTTGTTGTTGCTTGTATTATGGTTTACATGTGGTTTGCATCGATGTGGCGTTTTGGTTTCTTCTCCTGTAAAATTACCACCCCCTTGTCACTTTGACCTTTTTCTTCAGTATATGCCTTTAGATATCCAGGCAAAAAGAACTTCAATTTTCTCCCGAAATTTATCTCTGCCTTATGAATTCAGTTGCAATCTGTTCGTAGGTGCAGAACTCAACCTCGTCTCCAAAAGATTTGACCCAAGTCAGGAATCTCTGAATCATTCCGATTACGTGCGCCATTCCGCTAGTGTCTGGATGAAGGACGAGAGCGAAGATTGTCATATCTTCCCTGCCATCTTCAACTTCGCTCTTCAGCCACTCGAAACGATCCATCCACATGCGTTCGATCAAGCGAACGTCGACGAAGCCTTGTGAATTCGGCACATTGGGGAAGAATTGCATGGGTGTCATGTCCTGTACACTTATCAGTCACAAAGAGTCAGAAAGTCAGGGTAGAAAGCAACAACCTCCATATACCAATTGCACGGAATTTCAACCAGCGTAGACTTATCCAACTTCATAAAGTCCTTGGAAGGCTTCATCCAACTACTTGCCTCCTTGTCGGGAGAAAACTCGATCGTGTCGAGTTTGTCCACGTTCTTGGGTAACAAGTATGGCGCGCTGTCCACATGCGCCAGACTTGAGTCCCAAAGAAAGCCGTGCTCTTGCAACAACCTCACTGTACGTTCTTGGATTTGATACAATGGTGCTCTGTACCCTCTAGGTTTCCTGCCTGCCAGCTCCTCTGCCAGCTTCATCGTCTTGACCAACACATCTCTTTCCTGTTGTGCCGTCATTTGTGTGCTTCCTTCGTGAGAATAACCGTGTAGTGCGATTTCAGCTCCTGACTCGACGATCGCCTTTGTTTGTTCAGGGAACGTTTCCATCGAGTGGCCGGGGATGCACCAAGTTATTCTATCAGATATACCGAGACGGGAGAATACTTTGAGGAGCCGAGGAACACCAACGTAGCCGCTGAAGTAGCCGGATGAGATGTCGGCCATGTTGTTATCGGGGTGTTGAGATGTGCCCAGCCAGCCGGAAATTGCATCAAAGTCAATAGAAAGGGCGATTTTGATCTTTTGCTTGGGTCCAGTCGTGCTGGATATGGGGGCAGAAGAGGCCATGTTGAAGAAGATTGAAGTTCAGAGTTGATAGTGCTCTGAAATGAGAGCAAAAGTTGGACGGCACTTACACTTTATAACTTTACTATAGAGATACCTACTTGCTTTTGGCACAAGGCTGATGATATATGTATCAGGACCAAAGGGGAAGGTGCAACCAGGCGGACGACCATTCTACTGCTGGAGTCTGACAAAGAAGCGTGTCATGGAATCATGATTGTCATCAGAACCCGTAGCAAAGCTTTTTGGGAGAAATTGTCTCGAGCAACATGATAGCATACATCGCGTGACCATGTATGCAGGAGAAAAGGAAGCTGGAAGTCTGCGCGCAGGAGTGCTTGGTTGACTGGAAGCGGAGTGCCAAGCTTTGGTTCAGCCAAAATTTCGACAACGACAGGAAGTCGACGAGATCAGAGCGCACCGCTTCGAACGCAACACACATCTCCATACCGCAAAAATGGCAGAGACTGCAGTGTAAGGCCGAAATGCTCGTCTGCAATTTCCACGGACCCCATACTGACACTGACGCAGTAACGAGACAATCCTGCGCGAGGTGCGCGTCGACGCTCTGGTATGCGACCCAACCATGGCCAAAGGATGAAAGAGAGGACAAGAGTTGACAAGACGGACAGGTCGTCATGCGCATTATCAAGCACAGCTCGCAGGTTTTCCCCAGCATCGCAACTGGATCTCTGGTCGGTCTGGACATCGAGGGCCAACTGCAGGTCACCAACTCTTTCAACATGCCTCAGGTCGACGGCGGCGTTGCTGTAGGCGATGCCAACGATGCACAACTCGCTGCCCAGATTGCCGCTCCCCGCGCAAAGGCCAACATCGCATACCAGGCTGAGATGATCCGCATGCTTCGCGAAGTTAACGTTGACGCTCAGAGCGTTGGTTGGTACATGAGCGCCAGCATGGGCAACTTTGTCAGCCTTGCCGCCATCGAGAACCAGTTCTACTACCAGAAGGAGCCCAACGAGCGCACCGTCACCCTGGTTCACGACGTCAGCCGCAGCTCCCAGGGCAGTCTCAACCTCCGCGCCTACCGCCTTTCTCCCCAGTTCATCGCCGCTTACAAGGAGGGCAAGTTCACCACTGAGAGGTGAGGATACCAAGAAATACAGGAACCCGAACCGTCATGCTGATTTGTGATATCCAGCCTGCAAAAGAGCGGTCTCCGTTACCAGGACATCTTCACCGAGCTGCCCGTTGTTGTCTACAACTCGCACCTTCTCACCTCTTTCCTCCACCAACTCCCTACCCCTCCTCCCAGCAAGGCCTTGAACTTCCCTCCCAGCCTCGCCACTCTCGAGCAAGACCCCTCGCTCACCACTCTCCCCCTGGCACCTAACTTCGACTCGCTTGACCTTTCAATCGACCCCTTCCTCGAGAAGACCTGCGACCTCCTTTTGGACAGCATAGAGACCCACCACACCGAGCTCAACAACTACCAATTCTACCAGCGTTCGCTCGCCCGTGAGCAGGCCAAGATCACCCAATGGCAAACGAAGCGCAAGGCCGAGAACGCCAGCCGTGCCGCCACAAAGCAGCCTCTTCTGCCCGAGGATGAGTGGCAGAAGCTTTTCAAGCTCCCTCAGGAGCCCTCAAGACTCGAGACTCTTGTCAACAGCCGTCAAGTCGAACAATACGCCCGCCAGGTCGATGCCTTCACCGCCTCCATCTCCGCAAAGATGTTTGCCGTCAAGTCAAACCTCGTCCCCAGCGACGATTAGGTTGTTGTTACGTTCTGGTGGTTGTAGATAAACGGAGCATCCTCAAAAGAGAGACGGCAACTCAAAAAAGCATTTCTTCTGCGAAAGATATCCGGGCATTGATGTGTGGGCATGATTTTGGTTCTTTGTGGGCGACAAAAAGAAACAGGCGTTTTACGGAGCGAAATTCCAAAAGAAGATCATCAATCTGTGTGACACAAAAAAGCGCGGATACTTTGGGCATTTCTGTAGGCTTTTTAAGACACGACGCAGGCACATGAGAGATTAATGAATTCTTTTCTAACTTCAGTCAATCTTCTGACGAAACGATATGAGATGTCTTGTAGCACGAGGACCCGCGGAATTGCCAAGTTGAATATTTCTGAGCAGGGGCAACAACATGACTGCTTGACTGGGACATAGCAGCACATGCACTTCTCGTCAATACCGTAAAAATACAAAAGGCAGGTTCATCGTTATTCGTCATTTCCTTCAACCATGTTTCAATCCATCCAGATATGCCACCAATCTCTTCTTGATGATGACACCTACCAGTTTTCCAGTACCTTCTTCGATCACCATCAAATGCCGCAGTCCCAGTTTTCCAAACAGCTCGACCGCATACTCCATTGGTGCCTTTGCACAGACAACCATAGGGGTACGGTCTACAAAAGTCGAGAGATCGAAATCACCCTCTTCGGCATTGCCTAGTAATCGCACCTCGCTGTCTTTGGGGTACAGTCCTCCCAGTTCTCTCAATCCGAAGCTGAGTTCGCCTTCTGCTAGATATCCTTGTAGGATATGGTTGTTCTGAACAAGCACAAGACCAGCATCCATGAGGCCTCTGCTTTCGAGCTGGACGAGCTTTTCCTCTAGGATTTCTCTTCTGACTTTGTTGCTTGCAGGCACATGAAGCGTGATTTGTTCCATGGTGTGTGCTGGAGGAATCAGTTGTTCGACCAGGACGTTTTCCATCTGGATGTAGCCTAGACTGTGATCGAGGTCTAAGAAAGGGTGGCCCAAGACGTTTTGAGCGAGGTCGTAGACGCCTTCTTTGCCCAGGGCGTCGGCTACCCATTTGGCGACTAGGATTGCTACCATGTGGGGGAGTACGTAGTCCAACTCGCCTGTGAGTTCGAACATGATAACGCAGAGGGATAGAGTCATTCTGCTCACGCCAGCTAGGAATGCGGCCGCACCGACCATGGCGAAGATGCCAGGAGAAATGTCGCTAATGTACTGACCTAGCAGACGACCGAACAGTGCTCCTGCATCCAGAGCAGGAATGATCACTCCAGATGGAACTTTGATGCCAAAGGTAATGATGGTAAGTGCGAGTTTGGCCAATGTGCCATAGATCAACCAGCCCATATAAGCCCAGCGATCATCTGTACGAGCCTCATTCTGACACACCCAAGACTCTGCAGAGTCTTCGGTTCTGCAGTCTACGAGTAATGTCTTGATGATCATATCGCCAGGCTCGCGGATCAGTGGGTTGGGGTATTGGAGTAGTGCTGTGGCGAGAACAATCAAGAAGACTTCGAAGACTGGATGGTTCTTGATGATGGCGTATTTGCGGAAGGATTTGCTCCAGAGGTAGTTTAATCTGCAGAAGACACCACCAAAGATGCCGCCTGCGATGCCTGTTAAGAAGTTGTTAGTACGTGCGGACTTTAGCGTTGCAGCCATAACTCACCAAGTACGACAAACACCAAGTAGTGCACCGCACCATAACTCGTGCCATAATTGGTCTCAAACAAGACCAACTTGCCAGTGCCTGTTGGATTGAGCTCCTTCAACACCATGGCGGCAACAGCGCTGCAGAGAAATGCTCTCCACAGCACCTTTCTCGGAAAGTAAGTACTGATTTCCTCATAGCTGAACAACACACCGCCGATGGGTGCACCAAAAGCTACAGATAGACCAGCTGCGCAAGCCGCACTCAGCATCTCTCTCATTTTGCGTCCATTGTCGCGGTACTTTGGGAATAAGGAGGCCACGAGGTATCCCACGCAAGTGGAGATGTGTACAAATGGTCCTTCCTTTCCAAGACACATGCCTATATTGCCATGGTATGTCAGTAACCAGAGAGAAGACTTCAACCAGCATCCAGCTGAGGCTTGCAAAAGGAGGAGATGATGCTTACCTGTGGAAACAGCAAACACAGCACCAATCGCCTTCACCACCAGAACTTTCAAAGACAAGAAATTCGGAATCACAAATCCACCAAGGATAGTCTTGATCTCTGGGATACCAGATCCAGCAGCCATATACATTGTTTTTCCAGCAGGCTGAGCAGTTCCATCCTTATCTTCTGCATCAGGAGCACCAGCAGTAGGCAATTCACTCTTCGTAGTCATCGTCACACTAGCACTGACAAGACCAAACAGCAAAGCAAAAGCAACGTAAATTGCAAAAGCAGCTGTGTATTTGTCGTTCCAGGTTTTGAATTCGGCGCATTCGGTGACGGGCTCAGAGGCTGAGGTTGCAGAGGCACAGCAGGCTTCGCGGGTGAGGAAAGGATTTGTGCTGCAGTGGCCTAGCTTCCAGTCACTGACTGTTGCGGCGGCGATGTCGACGAGGTAGGCTACGCAGGCTGTCAAGGCTCCGATCATTGCTGCTGCTATCCAGCCAGAGGATGAGTCGAAGAGAGCGAGTGCTTTGCCTTTGAGGTTCTTTTTGTTGTGGATATCGCGAAGACGATAGGAATCTTTGACCTATCATTGTATAAGCTTCTTTGATTTTTGCAGCAAAAGAAGAAACACTCACAAGATCATGTAACCAGTCTATGGTAGTATAGTCATTGTAGGCCAGTCTCTCGCCTACCGTACTACCAGCCATAGCCTGCTCTTCAACACTAACATGGCTCTTGACAATCGAACTCGCTGCATCGTCCTTCTGTATCAATCTGCTGAGTCGACGATCTGGAGCTTGCTCAACATCAATCAGAGGAGTATCCTCGTCAGCCATCTCATGCGACATTTTCTCCTTTCTCACAGAACCAAGGATAACGAAGAATATAGAAAGCCGCCAGCCAGAATTCAAAAAATGGACCTACCGCTCTTCTTGTAATGGTAACCTACTGTTCGGTTCTAAGGAGTCGCGATAATGCAAAGAGGCGTCATCGCACAAAAGCATACACTGTTTTGTCTCTGGATTCTATGGTTCAGGGAGTGGTACGGGAATGCGTTATCAGCATATCAGCGGAATGTCAGTGGCCGAGGGCGCCACAAGATAAGGGACGCAGAACGTGCGGCCAGACGTTGTGAGACCGAGGACGCGAGATGATCAACGAGTCAGCAAGATACATACCGTACCGTTCCAGTTCTTTTGTAACTGGCTCTGGCAGAGCGTGATTTTGTTGGTGATAAGGGTGCGGCATGCTGTCGCTGGTGGTGGATGTGGGGTGGGCGACTCTTGACCACATGGAGAAATCGCATGAAGACATTCAGATTGAGCCATGCGTTTTGACAAATATTCGTATTATCGACAAATCGTAGCAAATCGTCGTAGAGACTATATGCTGGCTAGGGGAAGTCTAGATGCGTGTTTAAGTTGACTTCTTATCTTGGACGCCCTTCTTCACGCCCTCGACGAAGGCTTCGACGGCTTCACCGCCACCGAGAGGTACACTACCGCCCTTGACCATACCGCCATTCTCGACCCTGACACCGAGAGCCTCAGAGACCATGGGAAGACCTCCATCTCTCAGTGCGAAAGTTAAGCTACCCAGACTCTGGTTCAATTGAGGTGAGCGAAGTACGCGCTGTAGCAGCTCACGCTTCTGCTCGGTTGCCATGGCTTCGATTGCAGCGCGAGCGGTTTCCTCACTGGGCTCAGCAGATGAAGTGGTGGCACCAGATTCCTGGGCCAGCAAGAAAAGCGAGGGAGGCAGGTGCATACAGAGTGCATCAATCTGCTCGGGCGAAGTTGATGACAGCCAGGGAATGGTGTTGTTGGTTGAGAGAAGCTCGGAGAGAGTGGTGAAGGGTCGGTCGTATGACTGTTGCTGTTGTTGATGCTGCTGGGTACCGAGTGAGGACCCTTGAAGAGATCTGAGGAAGTTTTGAACAGCATCGTTGGCATCGCCAGGAGGAGCACTACAGACGCACAGAGCATATCAGCCTACAAGTTCCTGGATGTGTTGGAGAACAGCCGCAATAACATAAATGCTTGTCTGATGGTATCTCAGATATATGCTATCCTCGCAATGCAGATATACCCGTGCCCATGCAATTTTGATGGTATTAGTCCCCTGCAACGCCTAGTGTTGCCTTTCAATGGCTCTAGCACAACCAAAACCAGAATCGTGAAATGAAAAGAGAAAACCTACGCTCTGCCGCCATCAGCACCACCTTCGCGGCTGGCTTCGCCTTCTTCTCTGGGGTCAGCGCCAGTGGCATCTGCACCAGCACCGCCACTGCCCTGTCTGTGATGTTCGGGTTGTGCATCCTCCATGTCAACGTCGTCGCCGCCTTCGTCATCGTCATCATCATCACCTCCTCTCAGACGCTGAATCTCGAAGCCGACATCGACCTCTTCGCCAGCGAGGATATTGTTGATGATTTCGCCGTAGCGCTTGTCTCTTGAGCTGAACCAGCTTGCATCGCCACTAGGGTGTTGTGATTTGGATTGGAGCCAGAAGAAGTGGCGTTGCGAGGATGATGAGAACTTGAGCATGTAGATACGACCGTTGGTAGGAGATTTTGTGTCGGATGATGATGTGTTGCCAGTGTAAGGGGTGAAGGTAGCATCGCCAGGGAACATGATCAGGTCGAGCTCTGGGGATGTGGGAGGGGCGGAACGCGGGCGCCAGCAGAAGTGTACGAGCTCTGTGAGAATTCAGTTGGTATGGGTCAGAGATCTGGAAAGCAGAGTCGTGATACCATCTTCTTCATAGAGGTAAAGGTAGCCAGGAGTGGCATCAGGCTTGACCTTTTTGCCCTGCGATGCGCATTAGCTGTGCATCTCGAAACAATCCTGAAGAGGGTGTGCATACATTTAGGTCGCACTGGCCAGCCTTGAACGTAATGAGAGAGTCGGTAGCCATGATAATTGTGTGTGTGTGTCGATGGCTTAAAGAGTGGATGTGATGGTGGTTGGACACAACAATGTTGCAGTGTTTGGTGGACTGCTAGAGAGAGATGGACTCGCGATGACGCTGGCCGTGTTGCTTGATCGCTGGAGCTTCACTTCCGTCGGCCTTGCTAAACACCGATCCTGCCAAGCGCTTTCTCTCTACCGACCGATACCTTGAAGAACTGAAGGAACCTATTTTCGAAATAACATACAAGTTGGCATTCATTCAAGCGTAGATCATACAAACATGTTCAACCAAAAGATCAGTACAGAAGACTCCCCAATGAGCCCGAAATCATGGGCAGTATCAGCCATTCCTCGGAGGCAGAGTCTTGAGCCGCGCCTGTCACTTGCTAGACATACCACATCACATCACAGAATGGCCGAGCGACTGTTCGATTTTCACAAGTCATCTTCTGTACTTGCACATAAAGATAGGCAGTGATGGCAAGGCAAAGAACAAGACGACTTTATCGATGGAGATGGTCGTCGTGCACGGACGATGACAGGCAGGGCTTGGCGCACAGTCTCGCTTCGCTTGCCGCAATTTTGGTGAATCACAACGCACCGAGTTTGAATTCCGTTTTGTGAAGACGAGACACGACAAACCAACGACACCACCCTTACTGTCGCCAAACCCGCCAAAATGTCCGCCCAGCAGACCAAGAAGTTCCAACAGGGTGAACGTGTCATCCCTGCTGCCGCAGAGAAGGCCCCCAAGTACTACCAGGCCGAGGACGACAGCCAGGCTAAGAAGGTATGCAACACATGCGACCGCCGACCGCCAGAACCCACCGAGAGAAAGAGCAGAAAGAGTTGGATATCATCAGGGAATACACCATTGCGCGCACACCAAACATACGGCCATTTCTGCGCTCTTCTCTCGACCCGACCATCTGCGTACACATCCAAAGGGAATACAGTCCGCTGACAAGTCCCTCCTCTTCAGGTCCGCAAGAACCAGCGCCCTTGCAAGCCCCGCGCTTCCCTCCAGCCCGGTACCGTCTTGATCCTCCTCGCTGGCCGTTTCCGTGGCAAGCGCGTTGTTCTCCTCAAGAACCTCGCCCAGGGTGTTCTCCTCGTCACCGGCCCCTTCAAGGTCAACGGTGTCCCTCTCAGACGCGTCAACGCTCGCTACGTTATCGCAACAAGCACCAAGGTCGACATCTCCGGCATTGACTCGTCGGTTGTTGAGAAGGTTGGTGGCGACGCCTACTTCGCCAGAGAGAAGAAGTCGAAGGCCAAGGGTGAGGAGGCCTTCTTCAAGCAGGGCGAGAAGCCCGAGGTACGATTACTCCATCAAAAGCCGGATTGCGACATGCCAAATACTGATACACTCCCACAGGCCAAGAAGGTCGCCTCCGGCCGCGCCGAGGACCAGAAGACCGTCGACCGTGCCATCCTTGCCAGCCTCAAGAAGGAGCCTTTCCTCATCTCCTACCTCGGCTCCACCTTCAGCCTCAGATCGGGCGACAAGCCCCACGAGATGGTCTTCTAAGCGATTTGGCACGACACACAAATGGACTTTGGTTGCGGTCAATGAATGGAACGGGCGCGTGGTGAGCAAGAGCAATATTACTGCGGCGCTTTGAATGTTACACCAAAAATCGGACATGGGCTTGTTCTTTTTTCTCCCCGCTACAAGGCACTGCGACTTTCTTATAAAAACATGAAAATCATTGCTCAAAAGCTTCCAAAATATCATGTCCGAGGCGCGCATAGTGCCGCAACGACTCATTTTTTCTAGTTCACAACCCTTTCCCAGTTCCATACTCAGCACGTCACTTGTCTACAGTCGATCGATCGAATAGAGCCTCGCCAGGCGCACGCATATCCAGCCTTCCTTGAAACTTCCTCTCGAATCTCTTAGCAGTCACCACAAGCGCCTTTGGAAACCAATCTACGTCCTTATCACCCTCCATCATGTCGACTAGCGCCTCTGCAAACTTGAGACACATGACCATGCCATGACCATTGAAGCTGGCACAGACAAACATGCCTGGCATCTCAGGCATTGCTCCCACATACGGCAATCCATCTGCACTCGCGCCCATCACTCCTGACCATTCCTTGACGATCCTGCCTTGCCTTGCATCTTCACCCCAGTTCTCGCCAAAGTAGCCTGCTGTGCAATCGTAAAGGTAGGTTGAGATCTCCGCATTCAAGTCTGTATCAAGAATGTTTCCATATTCAGATGCACCAGCATTGGCTAGTCTTCCCAGCCCGCCGCCAATGACTATAGTGCCAGCATCCGAAGTGCCTGGCGGTCGAGTGATCATGTACTCGTATCCCTGAGCATAGATGAAAGAGTAAGTCGTATCCAAGCCTGGCAACTTGGACCCCGGTCGTTGTGCTGTGATCTGTCCGCGCAGAGGAACAATGATGCCCTGCATCTGCGGCAACAGATGCGCGGTATATCCGTTAGTCGCTAAGATTAGATTGGCGGTCTCGACGCTGCCTCTTGATGTCTTTGCTGTCCATCTCGGTGCCTCCCGGTCGAAGTCCTTCGCTGACTCGATGCCTTCGACTGGGGTGTTGGTCTGCAGGTTAACGCCTCTCTGGAGGCAATGCTTCAGCACTCCCATGGTGAAGCGATATGCACTGATGCTTCCCGCTTCATATACAAACGCTCCCAGAGCATCGGGAGTATGATACTTCGCCTTCGTCTCTTCCGCTGATAAGATCTTGTACTTTGCTGCTGGGTCATCAGGTCCCATGGTCTCTTGCATTCTGGCAATGGCTTCTTTGCCTCGCGCGAGGGTGGCCGCATCATATATGATGTCTACCGTATCGCAGGGCGTAGATGCACAGTCAATATGCAGATCCCGAGCCAAGGCATGGGTTTCTCTGATATTAGCGTACTCGAGACGAGCAATCTTAATGGCATCTTCGAGGCCATGTTCGGCTTCGTGCTCGAGGAAGCTGCGATAGCTTGCTGCCTTTGTGTGACCGCCTGAGATTGATTGCCATCAGTGTATCATACAGACCAGCATCATAGACTGTCTAGAGCTTACCGTTCCGACCTGTTGCTCCACTACATGCTTGTCTTGCTTCTAGCATCACGATGGAGCTGTTTGGTTTGTTCCTGATCAGATTATAGGCAGTAGATGCACCACTGATACCACTACCGATAATGACATAGTCTGCATATTTTGGTAATTCTTTTGTGGTTTGCAGGTTTGCTATTTCAACGGGCGGGTCTTGCCAATAGGATGTGGTTGGGTTTGGTAGAGGTAGGTCGACAGGGATGCGGGCTCTCTCTTCCATCTCGAGAACAAATTTGGAGTCTAGCTGAGGGAACTGGTTGATGTTGGATTGATTTTGAGAGGAAAAGCTATGATTTATATACATATATCGACCTTCATGTCTTGTTCGGGCAGGTTGATGCGATGTTGAAGATAAGGAAAGCGGAGTTGACACAGCCTCGAATCTTGTCAACTCGATCAATTTCACAATGCACGGATGCCACTGACTCTTTGAACGCCTATTCAAAAGATACGAGGAGAACTTGTCTTTTTCAGCTGCTGTTTCAATCATCAAGACACTGTTGTTGCTGGGAAGGGACGAGGAGCCATGGAAGAACTTCGGGCGTTGGGTTGGACCTTCGAGCGAGACTTGCGACGCAGCAATTTTCTCCCAACATCACAGCCCAGGCACAATTTCTCGACACTGGAAGCAAGAGCATAGGAACTAGAAGAGCAAGAACGAGGATCGGAAGAGAATAATACACGAGCCAGACGAAGTGCCAGTATCTACCAGCAAATGGTCCGAGCCCGATGATCATAATGAATACAACAATATGGATACGCTCTCGGAGCGAGTCATCAACGACAATATGCCTCTCAATACCCGGCCCGCGGTTGATGATATGAAAGGAGTGTTGGGCGGAGCAAGAAAAGACTGAGGTCACCCATCTAGGGTACCAACACCGACATGGCATCTAGATGAGTAGAGGGTCGGCCTCTTCCTTCTTGTCCTTCTTGCCCTTCTTCTTGCTGCCTCCGCTAGGGGCGCCATCGTTGTTGCCAGGAGTCTTCTTCTGGTGAACGATGAAGCGGGTGTAGCACTCTTCTCTGTCCCACTCGAAACCAGCGAGGTAGGGGTTCTCTCCCATGTCATCGTCATCCTATACACAGTGGTGGTTAGATGCCATATCACGCGCGAGTAGGGGTAGGTGAGATCAGATCATACCTTCTTCTTGAACTGCTTGTAAATGGCATCTACCGCATCCTTTATTGTCACTCCCTTGAGGTTTCGGGCAGTGACGTTAAGCCCTAGTGGGAAGTGAAGGTCGATCTTCTTAACTGGCGGCGTCACGAGTAACTTCTTTAACACATCCTTGTCTTCGATTGTGTTTGGGTTCTTGTTTAGCTTCCTGGTTCTCATCAGCATCTGGAAGCAATACTCACAACGTTCCAAGGCGATATTGAAAAGAGCTCAAGGCCACATCGACATATCAGGACAGACTTACCATCCAAGTTTCTGCGTTTCCGGCGCTATCTCCAGGTCGACCTTCTCTTGTTCTGTAAAGGAGTCAGAGACATGCGAGAACTGATAAGAAGTTATCAAGCTCCAACTTACCTAGATCTTCTATCCTGAAAACACCTGAAACGGTACTGCTGGTTCTACGATGCTTGATCTGCTTCTCATGGCCAGGCTCGTAAGTGGTGTCAGAGACAGCAGAGTCGAGTCTGGTCAGAGGGTGTTCAATCTCGGCTGACATGGTTGGGACTGGTGGTGTTTAAGCTTATGATAAGCTTGAAAGCTGATGCAGTATGGTAGGCAATTGATTGAGAGTGTTATAAGACCGACTTGACGAATACAAGGCAATCTTGAGGAGAGAAAGAAGGAGAGCAGAAGCTGAGGGAGTCGACAGCTGAAATACCTAGACAGCAGTCGTCGTGCGGGGTTGTCTGACGAGATCACCACATATCGTCCTTGCTCAAGCTCTGAGCCAAGCTGGGATAGCTGTACGGAGCTCGAAAGAGATCATCCCACTTGGAAATGGGCACGAGATCAAGCCGCTCTCTCAGGCATGTTTAAACGTCCCGAATCGACCAATCCTGGGGTATCACGCTAGCGGGCTCAGGATGCGGGGAAAACCTTATGTTACATTTGTACCTTTGAAACACGCATCAAAAGCAATCATTGAAAGATCTCCAGGGGAGATTGGACGATTGATTCAATTCTGGAGGGACGACTTGGTGGAAACGTGAATTCGTGGAGTTGTTCGAGGCTTCGCGAGTTGGGCACGCGAGCTTTCCCAGCGAAGCTTCGAATTGAATCACGCCGCATCACGCCAACCTGGAGAGCAACTGACAAACCCCGGAAGTACGGAGTCGAGAGATGTGCGCTGACGAGGCACTAAATCTCGCAACATAACGGGGCGACGACTATCAAAGGTACTTTGAGAATTGGGAGGCATGTGACCCTCTCACGGCCGCAACTCGAAAGCAAACACAAGGCAAACGTTCCCCTCCTCGGTACCACGAACCTCCATCACTACTCGGCATGTATCGAGACCATGCTTACAAGATCTTCGCGGTCGTTAAGTAGACTTCCTGCTGCACTCGTGAAGCGTCCGATGATAGCATCAAGACTTCCAGCACCAGTTTCATACAGAATGTTCTGTCCAAACGCATCCGAGCAGTTGTGCAACACAAGCATAGTGCCCGCACATGGTGGATTGTAGCAGTCGGATGGGTCCTCCTTGCTGTACAGCTCTTGTTTTGTCATCACCCGCACTTCTGGTGCAGCCGATAGTGCCGTTCGCATCCACAACCCCCATTGTCCTGGAACCTCAGGAAGTTGGAAGACCCGCATCTTTCGAGGTTTTGTTGTCTACAAATAATGTTTCAGCCCTGCAGCATAGATGCATGCCATCAGACCATCTTCGCTGCCAAACTCTTCAATGAAGATTTTAGGTGCTGAGAATGTGTAGATATAACCTTGGTGCTTGCAGATCCTCTCGAGAGCATCCATCTCATTTCGGAATTGATGATACGCAGTCACGACCAGAAGCTCAAGCGAAAGCAATGGAATATCTCTCTTAGATGTCGCTGTCAACCAAAACAAACTATTTCTGACTTGTTCTAAGACATTTCTGCAGTCGGCTTCCAGGACCTTTTTGGCGAGGAACGACTTGGCTTGTGTCCGCGACATGGCTTTGGCGCTGCCCACTTCGATGCTTGGAAGCTCACCATCCAGGACCAAGCTGTATACCATGAGCCGTCGCAAAGCATCATCGTATCTGTTTCGAACATCATCAGACTGCTTCTCCTCGGTGGAGGGAATGCTGAAATCCGCGATAAGAGTCGTCTTACTCTTCGTCAAGGAGGCCAGTTTCATCATCACCTCGTCCGTCTCAAAGTCTTGGTGTATCATGTTACTTATCAAGACTTGTCGACCGCGCCTGAAATTGCCGCTTGGAAGGTACGGCGTGAAGGTGTGGCCTTTGTTGTAGCCTCTTTCACCATGCAACCAGGCCAACTCTAGAGAGGTGACAAAGGTATGCATGGCGCCTTCCATGTTTGTGATTTTGTCGCCCTTTTGGAACTTTATTGCAAGAGCTGTTCTCTTCTTGCAGCGCATCAAAAACTCAATCATGGCCGGCGGTACGAATTCCGAACATGCTATCCATGGAGGCGAAAGTTCTTTGCTGTTAGCAATCCAGTAATTGCGCGGCAATTTTGCTTTTGGTACTGGTGTTTCTACCAAATTGTCGCTTGAGATATCTGCCGCAAGAGATTGAAACGGATCCTTAATCTCCATTGGCCTGCTCCTTTTGTGTATGTGCTCATCAAGGTTGTTCTTTGCAAGTCTCACGCTTGGACGGCGGACTCGTGATTGTGATCGAGACGACCTGGTTGTTGGTGGTGGACTAGGTGTGGATTTCCTTCCTCTCTTTCCTGAGGATTTGACTGGCGTTTTCTTGGCACCAATTTCGGCGGTCGTCTGCTTTTCAGCATCTTTCGACGGGCTACCACGAAGTCGAGCCATTTTTACGAAAGGGAGGTCGAATGACTGACCGGAAACGAATTTGGTGCGGACGGAGAACGGAAGATAAAGGCGTGTGAACTTGTCTGAAATCTGTCTTGTGGAATGTCAATTGGTTCCCCCTAGCAACAAAAATTCCGAGACAAGCAACACGTTCTCATTCAAAGTCTTGCGATCACACCTTACCCAGCCCGAGGTATATCGTTCTCTGTGAACTATCAGAATGCACAGTTGCGCTGTGAATACGAATTTGGCCACGGAGACAGCCTTCAAGATGTTCTCTCTGTGGAGACCACATTCTTCGCGAAACTAGCGTGCATTTCTATAGCTACACTGTGACAGTCTTTACCACTGCTGAGAGACTCTTAAGAATGACCGACAATCTTTCTCGGTTGATAGAGCTCCTCAAGGTATTGTTCTTCCTCGTCCGTAAGGCTCTTGTCATTGGCACCCAGCGCCTCGTCCATACGTTCAACGCTCGAGAAACCGATGATGGGACTAGAGACACGCTTGTTGATCCAAGCCAGCGCAACATGGGCCATCTTCCAGCCCTTCTTCTCGGCAATTTCTTGTACTCGCCCAATCGTCTTGACATCAATTTCTGAGGTTCCAGCCAAGCCCTCGGCCTCCTTGGAAGATCTCGTTGTGCTTCCGGCCGCTGATGCAGGGCGAGCGAGATGTCCACGACAAAGAGGAGCCCACTAGAGCTCCGTTAGCAAGTTCTCGACAAATCAGTATCAAGTTGACTTACAGGGATGAGACCAACGCCAGTCGCATCGCAATACTTGTTCATCTCGCGTTCTTCTTCACGATACAGCAGGCTGTACTGGTTTTGCATGCTGATAAACTTGGTCCAACCATTCTTGTCGGCACAAGCCTGCATCATGCAGAACTGGTATGTCCACATTGAGCTTGCGCCAATATAACGAACTTTGCCAGAGCGGACCAGGTCGTGCAAGGCCTCCATAGTCTCCTCGATAGGAGTGTTGGGGTCGAAGCGATGGATCTGGAGCAAGTCGAGATACTCCAGGTCTAGACGCTTGAGTGACTTGTTGACAGCGTTGAAGATGGCAGTTCTCGAGAGTCCTCCTTGATTGACGTAGTCAGGCGATTCTGAGATCTTTTGGCCGTATGTCATGGTTTTAATTCCAGGTTCTTCTCCAACATAGGCAAAACACTTGCTCAAGATGACGATCTTCTCTCTTGGGATCTGATACTTTTTGATAGCTTTTCCGATGATCGTTTCACTGGCGCCGTTGCTATAGATATTCGCTGTGTCCCACGTGTGTATGCCCTTGTCATAAGCAGCCTTGAGAAGTGGCAGTGATGCTTCTTCATCCAGGACCCATGGCTGCCATGCTGGGTCTCCAAACGACATGGCACCCAAAATGGGCACAGAAACTCGTAGTCCGCTCTTGCCGAGGCGCCTGTAGACAGCTTTGGTATTCTCGATCTTCTCGAGCACAGGATCTTTTTGGTCAGACATGTTGATGGTGCGAGTGTGTTTCCTTCTTTCTGAGAGGCTTCGACGAGAGAAATACAAGCCCTTCGCAAGGGACAATCGCTAGTATTTGTACTCAAGTGGATGGCGGCTAAATAGAGGAGGGGCTCCATGGAGTTGCGGACATAAGGCTATGTCCGTATACCGGAGATAGCGGGGCTTTTCTGGTAATACTGATCACAAGGATGGAGACTTCGACTGACCATGGAGAATCTGCCAGATTTGTGTGATGGAGTGAAAGATTGCTCAAGTACACTGAACTGAATCTCGTCTTTACGAAACTTTCGTGCTTTCCCGTGGATCGAAGATTCACGAGATTACCGACTCCACACGTAATGAATGAGAGGTCAAAAAGATGCCAAGTTGTAACCTCGTGCGTTGAGTGCTACAGACGGAAGAAGAAAGTGCGTTTCCATCAGGAGTTTGCTCGAATGCGTGAGACACTGACACTTCTGTAGTGCGATCGCAAGAGACCATGCAATAATTGTCTTACACGCCGTGTGCCAGAGTGTTGCACATACGAACACAATGTGAGGTCAGAAATCCTTGGCATATCCCAAATCGCCATTTTCAACCTTCTAGAATCAGAGATAGCCAAGTGTCCGGTTTTGATGCTGATTGATCAAGCAGCACTAGAGACAATGTTCATATCGGGAGCTCCAGGACTGGTTCGATATCAGCCGCTCAAAATAGTGAAAGTCAGCTTGCCTGGGGCGCAGATGAATCACCAATATCGGGTAGCCATGTCGACCAATCTGAGTTGTGGACAACTCATACTCTGGCCCAAGACGTGATACAGGTAAGACTCACACCGGTTCACTACATGATGTTTACCTCTCACCTTTGTAGACGCTCGGTGGTGAGGGTCAGCGAGCCACCTCTCTGGCTCAGACTCCATGGCACACCCAATCATCAAATTATCAAGCTCTGGTGTCGCAATTACCGCCCATTTCGAGTATCAGGAATATCGTTGAGTATTACTTTGAACACATGAACTGGTCGTATGAGATAGTGCAGCAGTACTATTGTAAAAGTCTGCTAACGCAATGGGTCGAGGCGTCCGAAACTACTGCTTCCATCAATCTCGGCCTTCTGTCGAGAGACTTACAATACTTTCCTGCGCTGGTCTTCCAAATCATGGCGCTAACACTCATGTACATACCTCTCAGCGAGGCTGCAAAGTTTCTACACGTAACGGACGGGCAGAGTCTCGATACTCAGTCAAACCACTATGGCGATCTAGGAATGAAGCTCATGGATCTGCTTGGCCGGCGGAATCCTTCTGTGGTTGGTGTTCAGCATGACCTTGTCAGATTCGCTTGGCTCAAGAACTTCGGCTGTGGTAAAAATTCGCTTAGAAGCCTCCAAGATGCGGTGAGGTAAGATCTCACGAGCTCAGAAGATCCAATCTACAAATCTCTCTTCTACTAACCTCTTCTCGAAAGACAAGCACAAGAACTTGGTCTCCATCAGCAAAAGGTCATCCGCCAGCGTAATGGACCTATGGAAGAGACGCTGCGATCATTCTGGTATGATGAACACCTTAGAAGACTATGGGTTCTTATCTTCGCTTGGGACAGGTAAGTACTAGCAGCCACTGCAAATTATCGATAGCTCGATCATCTCATAATGTAGGGTCAATGCCTCGCTCAATGGTCATCCGGTATTGGTAGATGGTTTAAGCTGCAACATAAAAGTCCCTCTGGACTGTGTGTTCCCCAAAGATCCAGCTAAAACTATCCCAATGTCGCTTGGCATAGCTGGAGGTGACACTCCATCACCGTTCTCCGTTCATATCTTCCGATACACACTTGCTTGCGTAATACAGAAGATTCGTACTAGCAACCAAGGTGTCAAGGACTATTCCATCGTCCGTCGATATCATGAGCGTATGGTGGAGACTCTGGACGATCTGCCCTCTATACTGCGTCCTGTTCATCTACAGCCTGATCTTTCGTGGGATTCGGAATACAGGTTCTTGCAGTATCAGAGAGAAGACGTTTCAACTACGTTGAACATCTTTCTTCTGGCTCTGCATCGTCCGTACATTCATACACATTCCGAAAGTCGCTGTGCTGCCCTTGATGCATCCCTCTCAATACTCGAGAGCCAAGAACGGTTGTTCGCTCGAGCCGACAAGCGGCACAGAAAGTACTTTGGGCATGCTTTCTACACGGTGAGCGCAGCTATTCTCGTCACGATGATCGTCGCACGCCATCCGTCCCAGGATCAGAACATCCGCGCCAGGATCAGAAGAACTCTTGCGCAAGCCATCGAGCAGCTGTCACAGATCAGAAATATCAATTCCATCGCAGGGTCCGCTCTCCCATTGATTCTTGCGTGCTACGAAAAGATGGAAACTGCACTCCGAGAAGCCGACACGACAGTCGTTCTACCGACAGCACCAACACAAACTCCGGTTGCTTCCTTGAATGAACTGCCAGACTTCTCCGCATCACTCGACACAACTTCAGGATTTCCTCTTGAAGCTCATGAAGTGGCTCGTGACCAACCGATGATTGATGCGAACTCCGTAGACATAAACTTTACGGCAGACGGAAGCTCTCATGCAATTCCGTACCAGGACAAGGGCCTTGAGAACACATCAGACTACGACGTGTCGTACTGGATTAATAACATACAAAACATTTCAGGCTTTGCTACAAACATCCAGGAGGAGCTCAGATGGGATGCTTTGTTTGGCTAGATATACTGCCATAGCAAGATCACAAAATCTGTTTGATGTGTCCTCACTTGTCTAGTTCCATTTTTATGCATATTCACAAAACTTAAACAACGGTCTGAGTGAGAAAGATCGAAGTATGCTGCGCAGTGGGCAAGCACGATGGATAGCTTACCCAAGCCTTTATGCAAGATATAAAATGTCTGTGCGAATTTTATACAAGGCTCTGACTACAGTTTTGGTGCTGACTCGCGGACCGACCGCGGCCGAATCGATGCCTGTAGCCTACAGGATGTAGGTAACGTCGTCCACTGGGGCCTGTCAGGCTCGTGGAGTGTCGGCCGACCGACTCACCCAGCATGTCCCCAAAATCGCTCAGTCATTTGGCTGATGCAATGTTTTCGCGAACACATTCGGAAATCACAGAGCTCAAGGTTGCTCTAGTACCACTGTAGCGCGATAAGGTTCTGCGTGTACAATAGTCTCCGAGTGTGGATGCCCAATCTCGTGGCGGCCGACGTGCGAGCATGTTTGAAGCTGATCCTGAACATGTCGGCCGACATCTTCAGCTTGCTTACGACACTGATAACAAACCACAGAAAGAACATAAGATGGTCCTTCGTTCATCAATAAGTGACCCTCGTCACCATAGCATTTTCTCGCGCTTCTTCGTCAAACAATTCTATCCTTCCTTCGAACTTATCGGCCAATATGTGCGCCCCCAATGACAACAAAGGCAATCAAGTCATGGAACAGTTAGTAGAATCTTACGCCCAGCTATTCAAGAATGGCCAGCGCTCTCCTGTGCTTCGCCGACCGGATCAGTATGGTATGCAATACGAGGACATCTGGTTCCCCTCTTTGGATGGTACCATCTTGCAAGGGTGGTTCATTCCCGCCGTCAACTCAAAGAAGGTCATCATCGCAAATCATCCCATGACCTGCAATCGTTATGGATACCCTGGACATCTCGAGGGCTACGAAGGGTTCGGGGGTTTTGAAGTGAACTTCCTCCCTGACTACAAGGCTCTCCACGACGCTGGGTATAACATCATCTGCTACGACTTGCGTAACCACGGACTCAGCGATCAAGGAACTGGCGGTATGTGTGGAGCGCTCGGCTATTACGAGGCTAGAGATGTTGTCGGATCGATCAACTATGCTCGCTCCCGCCCCGAGACCAAGGACAACGAGATTGGTCTTTTGAGTCGTTGCATGGGTGGAAATGCCACTATTCATGCAATGACGCTCTTTCCTAAGTACTTCGAAGGCATCAAAGCATTGATCCTTCTTCAAGCTGTGTCCGGACACGCCTTCGTAGAAAAGGGTGCTATCAATGCAGGACTCGATGTTCAAGCCACTGTCACTGCTTTCGATAAACGTATCTACGAACTCACTGGCTTCCGATTGGAGGAGCTGACACCAATCCCGTTGGCGAAGAATGTCGCCATGCCAACACTTTTCGCCCAGGTGCGCAAAGATGTCCTGATTGATGCAGAAAAGGATACTCAGGCCATATTTGATGCCTTGAGCAGCAAAGAGAAAGAGATGATTTGGATTGAAGGTACCACACGCCGATTTGATGGTTACAACTACTTCGCTGAGAAACCCAGTGAGATGATTCAGTGGTTCAACAAGTACGTGTAGAACAATGAACAGGTTGCCACTCTTTGTAATTGGCATGAATAACCTTCCAGGATACCTCTATCTCCCTTCTCCAATTCTTACTAAATAGATTCTTGAGCCTGATCTGCTTGTCAAGATCATAATGCGTCCATGCTCATATAGTAATATGGATTAGGCTCCTTCATCGGCTGTTGTGGACGAAGGTCCGACGTATCGATTTTTGGCGCTCTGGCTTGCTCCAGACTTGAGTCAGACCTTGTTACGATAGTAGAGTGCCGTTCTCCTTCGATTTACCATAATCCTTTTTATGCTTCCTGATTGCTGTTTGCATAAGTGGTCGTCTGTTTTTGCTTGACCTGTCGGGGTGTGAACTACACAATTACGAAACAAGCCATAACCATCCTTAATCGGATCTATTCATGTACTTATGTTGCTCGTAACGAAACTCGAGGTCCTGAGATGTTTTCAAAGTCTCACTACTGCGTTGAGTGGTATTTAGACAGGTGTTGTGAGCATCGACATTGTGTGGCAGGGTCATACCACCAGCGTGATTCGATGCTCAAGCCACGTGAGCAATCGGCCCAAACGCTGACGTTGACAACGCAGCGAGCGCCTGATAGCACCAATGCCCACAAATGCACTGTTGCCATCATCCGTCACCATCTTGAAAGCTTCAAACACCTCAGCCGTCTCTGCTACATCCAGTTTCATCAAGTCCCTACATTTTGCGAGCATAGCCGTACATAAACAATGACAAAGCAGGGCCAAACGTTGATGATGACCTTGAAGTGTAGTGCGATGACCAGCGACAGTCGTGTACTTATTGCGATCGTCTGTCTATAACATCACAAAGACTAGCATGTTCGAGCTCTCCAGGCATCATCAGCGAAAGGAAGACAGGTGAGCCATACACCCTCAGTAACGATCTGTGGAATGATGGCGGGACGAGAAAGTCCGGCACGGGTTCCACTGCACTTCAGAGCAGCCGACACCGCTAGACGCCATGCATGCATACATGATCGACGACCTTGCAGTCGGGATGGAACGTTCCACATTGCATGTTGTTGTTTTCTAGGTTAGCGGAGCAATACTGCGGTTATTACCCTCCTCGGCTTTTCTCTCTTCCTTTTTGTGCCGCAATTAATTGTCTGACCGACGATACGATCTGTGAATGACGGCAAAGTCGCTTTTTGATCTGCTAAATTTCCTTTCCGCGGCATGTAAGTGGAGGAGATCAAGAAAAGAAGAACGTATACATTGACCAAGAAGTCTACGAGTCATGTTGGAGGGCCCCATCACCATCAAGCTCTGACCCTCGGATCGATCCAACTTGACTGCTCTGCCAAGTTCGACCTCATCTCGTAACCGACATTCTGGAAGAGACGACCCGGTGCAAGCCAAAGTAACATGCATCACTAATCTGGCTGGTGACAGGTCGTAATTGATAGATAACAGGCGGACATGTGGAATGATAATTGCAAGGAATTGATTGGTATCCGTGAGGAATGATTGTTTAACCAAGGACCAGGTAGGTGCATCCAAGTGCCGGAAGTAAAAAATATCGCTGGAACGGCAGGTACGCCCGGTTGATGGCTCTTCCGCTCCGCTCTGGTCAACGTTGGGCTCGCACTCCGTCTCTCATGTATCTGATCCGTTTGTTTCTGGTCGATACCTCTCAGGCTCTGTCTTGCTGATCCTTTGACTGGTCTTTGACTGGCTCATAATCCTCTCTAATAAACGGAGAAGGTGCGAACGGGCTCGTTCACCGAGCTTAGTCTGAACAGCATGCATCTGATGGACTTGATTTTGATGCAGGTCTGAGGCAAAACACACCGCACTTACCACATGATGTTAGCTTTGACTTCTGTGTCACGTCGTACAGGAACATTGGTCAACCTCTGACCCCGTGAAGTGATCTGGACAAACACGCAGAATGAGATTGCGCAAGATCGATGAGGCGAAGAAGAACGCAGACGATCGATCCTGTTGTATCCTGGTTCATGGAAGTCTTGAATTCTGGGACAATGACAAAATTCAGATGAGAAAATACAGGGGAAAACTTTTGATTTTTGGTGTAGTGTATTGAGCTTCAAGCGCATATACACTTCTCCCAGGAGTTCAAGACGAAAAAAAAGAAAAACAAAAGATGAAAAGGGCACGTCTGCGCTTGTACTGGAGTGAAAACGCCGTATCCTGTCCTGTGATCCTTCAACATTGTCCAGCAGTGCTCTTGAAGAAACTCCTGAGAAAAGACAAACAGAAACCAGTGTGCTGTGCTCCAGTGATTCGAAAGATATGCGAAAAGTTAACATCTACAGGATTGAGATGCAGAAGGAGAGAGTGTGCTCTGATGTGGTTCACTTCCTGCTGCTGGACTTTGTCTTGTAGCCATATCGCGGCGCCGGTGGTTTACAGTCACCTAACGATAAATGTCAGTGTCTGTCGAGTTTGGATTGTTGAGTTTTCGAAAGGATCAAAGTTCTTACCGCATGGTTCCTCGAATCTGTATTCTCTACACGGACGGCGTCAGCAGAGGTCGAAAGCTATATAGGTTGTGGTGGAACTTACACGGCAACAACATTGGGTGGACAACGTTTGTGTGACTCCTGATATCTGACGCACCAGGCACGCACAGTGTATCGTAGGTGGCCACAGCAGTATTCGACTTTGGTGTAATCGCACATGATGTTTGATTGGAGAACAGATTGATGACAGATGTGAGATCAAGTCAAATAGCTTGATGAGGAGATCAATGTGTTTGTAAGCTCGAGTTGGCTGAGAGTGATAATAAGGCAAGGTGAGATCGAGGGAACGAGGCAAGTTGATATACAGTGCTCAAATCTGTTCGAGTAGAGCTCATTCAAATCAGCCGAACAGCTGTATGCTGCCAGCCTTTCCCAAAAACCGGGACAAGTTTGTTTCTTGGTCCAGTTTCAAATCACAAAATTACATGGGATCAAAGCAAGCAAAGATGAGAAGAGTGGTAGCAAGCAGAAATTTCCACCGACCTGTTCTTGATGGACATTTCGAAACACCTCATTCTTTTCGTTGTACCACCGACGTGCCCCGATCAAGCGAGAAGCAAGAAGGGAAAGCAATACCCTTCCCCTGCTCGCTGATGCAAGAACTAGCCTGGTAAGCCATTCCTCCGACAGCGTGTTCCAATCACATACTTGACAGATCTACCCTTGACGCATCGTTCAACATTAACCGGTGGGTAGGAACGTTATTTCGACGCGCCAATGCAAAGCAAATCATGTATCCTTGACCGCTGCACCGAAACCCGGGCCTGGAGATCTTTGCTGCATGAAACATGCTTTTTGGCAAAGAGAGCAAGCATGGCGTTGCTTGGGAGGCGTGCATGATGGCGTATTAGATCGACCTACCGTTTTTCGTGCCGTACCGCTGAACCAACGACGGATGCTTGACAAGTTAATCGAAGATGTGTCGTGTCGGTCTGCCGACTGTCATCTTGAGCCTTGGTCCGTACAGAAACCTCAGGAACAGGTGCGCGGACATGTGTCAACTGACATCGATGGATGCGGCTTGAGTGACACCATCAGATGTTTTGCATGTTTTGCATGTGTTGACGTAGCAGTCGTACGATAGCTGAATTGTCATGTGGTGAAACTCGGGCTTTGGCAGCAGCATATGCTCGGACCAGAATTCTCAGTGGGACAAGTTGTCTGTTCATTGAGCCTGTGAGATGAACAGAGTATGCGGGATGATATTTGACATTGTTGGAAGTATATGAGAAATTGAGATGATTCCACTCCAGAATCGCGAGTTGCAGCTGTTGGCGTTTTTTTAAGGTTCGAGAGGAGGTTTGCCCGTTCTTCCCCCCAAGGTCTGCGGAAGAGGCGCTCGGAATGGGCGGGATTATCCTAAAGTTTCTTTAGAACCAGCCACCTTGCAGGCAATGGCGATATCGGCAATAAGTGGCCAGTAAGGCCAAAGAAGATGGTTGTCCGTTTCCAAAGCTGTCCATCGATGTGCTAAGGCAATTTTTCAGCTCAGCTGATTTTCGAGTATCTTAGGAAGCAAATGATTTCGATGTGCTAAGGCAATCGTTCAGCTCGGCTAGCAACAGACTTGTCACACAAGATATGCGAATAGAAACAAGACAATCTAGTTCCTTCTAATTTATCTCCTTTATACTGTAAGGCTTTGACAAATCATCATGTGTATGTAACTCCATAACTTCCCTTCGACAATGCGAACCCATGACAAGGGTATCGAACAGTATGCCAAATCCGAAGCAAATCCTTCCAAAATTCGAAAAAAATATTATGTGTCGTTCCTCCTCATTACGTGTGGTCATCAAGTGATGCAGTTTTTATGTCTCGGTGACCTCATCAACATCGAGCCAACCACGGCACATGCTGACAGCACGATCCCACTTCTTGAACATCTTTTCGCTCTCCTCGGGAGTGACTTCGGGCTCAAAGACCATGCGGTTCTTTTGGTTGATGGCCTTGAGCTCGCTGAACTCCTTCCAGATGTCGACGGCGAAACCAGCGGCGATTGCGGCTCCCAGGGCGGTGGTTTCGCGCATAGCGGGGCGGTTGACAGGGATACCGATGATGTTTGCTTGTGTCTGGTATGGAAATCAGTCATTTGTATCTCTGGTTGTAATGTTCTTTCAAAGCTTACCTGCATGCAAATGTTCGAGTTACTCATACCACCATCGACGGCCAAGTCCGACAGGGCATGTCCACTGTCCTTCTCCATGGCGTCGAGGATAGCCTTTGTCTGGAAGCAAGTGGCTTCTAGAGTGGCTCGTGCAATGTGACCTCTTTGTGTGTGCTGGGTGATACCGAAAATGGTACCCTTTGCATCATCGATCCAGTATGGTGCAAAGAGACCAGAGAAGGCAGTGACGAAGACGAGGCCGCCATTGTCGTCGACAGTGGAAGCGAGTTCTGACACCTTTTCGGCGTGGGCAATGAAACCCATGTTGTTCATCAAGAACTTAACACCAGAACCAGCGACGGCTACGGAACCCTCGAGAGCGTATACTGGCTTTCTGTTGCGACCGAAATCGTATGCCACGGTCGCGAGCAAACCGTGAGTAGAGATGGTGGGCTTCTCGCCAACATTGTAGAGCAGGAAACAACCGGTACCTATTCGACGTGTTAGCATGGTCAGACAACAATGATGAGGAAGTTGCATACCATATGTGTTCTTAGCAGAGCCAGGAGTGAAGCCTTGCTGACCGACCAGCGCCGAAGACTGGTCACCAAGACAGCCAGCAATCTTCATACCCTTCAGAATGCCCTTGGCCAGAGAACCGTAAGCATCTGCACAAGACGAAGGAACAATCTTGGGCAGCCTGAGCTTGTTGCGGTCAAGATCGAAGAAGCTTAAAAGGTTGTCATCGTATTGACAGGTGTGAAGGTTCATGAACATGGTTCTTGAAGCGTTTGTAGAATCTGTGACGAAGATGTTCTTCTCTTTTCCTCCGTTGAGGTTGTAGATCAACCAGGTGTCGACGGTACCGAAGCACAGGCGACCCTCGTCGTAGGCCTGTTGCACCTCGGGAACATGGCGCAACATCCAGACGAGCTTCAGGCACGATGGGTATGTGGAGAGCGGGATACCACAGATTTCGGACAAATTTTGGTCACCCTTGCGCTCCTTGAACTCACGGACAAGACCCTTGGTTCTAGTATCAGGCCAAGCGATGGCATTGTGCAAGGGCTGTCCAGTCTCTGCATCCCAAACCAGAGTGGTCTCTCTCTGGTTGGTGAGACCAATTGCCTTGATATCCGAGACCTTGTGGCCCTTTTCGAGGAACTTCTTGGTAGCCTCCTCGATACAGGTTTCTACTGAAGCGACGAGTTCCCAAGGGTCATGCTCGTGCCAACTACCAAGTGTATTAGTATTACTGCTGCTGCTGCAGATGCAACAAAGAAGACTTACCCAGATTCGGGATACTTCTGCTCGAATTCAATTTGGTGCATTGCCACAGGCTCACCAACTCCGTCGAAAATGATGAATCTTGATGAAGTGGTACCCTGATCAATTGCACCAATAAAGTGCTCATGCAGTACATTTTCGTGACTTGTAGTGAATCTGTTTAATGGTGGTCTTTGAGCTCCAGATTTCGACTCGGTTCTGACTTTGGGCTTTGCATCAGTGGCAGCAGATGCCTTTTTCAAAGTAGGATCTGCCGGCTGCTCAGAAATCTGGTCGACATTGGGGTTTCCGCTTAGACTACCCATTGTGATGTGAGAATGGCTTGTTCGTCGACTGAGAGGCGACGAAACAGTCTTTTAGTATTGAATAAGTACGCGAAAATAAAAATGCGTAGACGTCGGTTTCGATGCAGCGTGAAACCAGAATTTGTCTCTGACGGATGAATGAAATTCGCTCGGTAAGCGAAAAAAGACGGAATAATTCGAGGGGGTATCAGAGGGTACAGCTATGAGCTGGATTGCAGAAGAGAGAAAGAGAGATGTGAGGGAACCAGAGTTAAGTGTTTTTCAGACATGGACGTGCTGTTGACGCTGGGCAGAATGACTTCACACCCTTCAACTTGCAAGTGAACCCCACCACATCCCCACCTAACATTTCCGTTTCTCGGGCTTGGGCTACAGCCTCTTTCTTCGGACCATTGCTCGGTGAAATCATTCCCACGGGGATGCTCTCCACTGTAGCGGTTCAGCCGCATACTGTCCACGAGCTCGAGGCTCTCTGTCTTGCAATGTCATCTGCGTTTAGTCGTTTTGTCTGTCCTCAATCATCTACGCAACGCCTCTGCGACAAGCAAAATATTTTCTTCCGAGTTCTTGTCGCGTGCTTGGAAATAAAGACATCAGAGCGACGATCTTCAAATGCACGGCCGGCAAGACCCAAACTTGAAAAAGTTCTGAGTGCCGATCAGTTTGCAGCCACGGCGAAATCGAGATCGGCTCCGGTCTGTGAGCATTTGAGAGTCACGAGTATTGCTTGGCATGCAGGCCTCGTCAGCTCCAACTGTGGAAACTGCTCCTTCGACACTGATTTTCATACGAGAACACTCGGATCAATTCGCATTGCCATCTCCACGAACGAGGAGATATCCGAGTCAACAGTCAAACTCTGAATGTCCTCCTGATAGCGCAACCCCCAGTCTGCTGATCAATCCTCTGTAGCAAATTAGAGGCCTCACCTGGCCTTAACATCTCGACACACTTTCAAGAGCCTATTTTTACCCATAGTTCTGGTCCTAAGTCTCGGAGAGGCCAATCCAACATGGTCATGTGGTTCATCAATTGCGCATTGCATTGGCTTGCTGATTAATAACTAGTCGTTCGAGGTACATACATTAAGAAAGCAAAAGGTCTTGTCTTCGTGCATTGCTCTAGGCATGCGACTTCTTGGTAGTGTGAGGTGAGAGCCGACGGTGTTTGGATTTCTACTCCTCATCATCGTCCTCCTCGTCCTTGCTCGCAACCTTGGCGCGTTTGGCAGCCTCTTCTTCGGAGAGTTGCTGTGCCTGAGCATCACGAAGCGCGCGAACTCTGTCGGCGGGGCCGGGCAGTTTGTTGATGCGGTCTGCGATCTGGCCTCTACCGATCAACGACAGGACAATACTGGCGCCTACAATGAATGTCAAAACGAAGCGGTAGACAGCGTACCACGGAGGGGCCCAGCCTCTCTTGCTGGCGCGACTGTCAGTGTAGTAGAGGAAGTTGAAAGCGACGAATTGGGTAATCAAAGCGTATTCAACCGGGAGAAGGATTGTGGGCCATGCAACTGCGGGGGTCCAAACGCCGATTGCATAGCGCTTGTAGCCCTTGTGTCCACCGTACCCAGCAAACTCCAGACCCCAGTGGATAGCACCGAGGAAGGAGATGATCTGCAAAAGGGAGTTAAGATAATAATTGGAATGCGAGTTGGCGAGTCAAACTTACAACGGCGCCGTATCCGACCTGCAGAGGCTCGAGAACGTGTAGAGCTGCCTCGGCAGTGTGCTCGCTCATCAACAAGCCAGACCCAGTGTTGTGCGCGTGATTGATCTCCCAGGCGCAATAGACCGTGGATAGAGAAGTTCCGAGGTAAGGAAGGACACCAGCCATTCCCAGGTTGTAGGCTTCACGAGGGACCTCTTGAAGTGAGAAGGTATCCTTGATGGTTTTCTGGAGCAGGCATTAGTGTGTGCTGACCTGATGGTGTTGTGGTTCGCGGCTTACCATATCGTTCTTGACACCGGCCATCATGTCGGCGTCTTTGTGCGGGTCCTCGGCCATACCGACCTCACCGAAGACGGGGTGAGTGGACGACGAGATGCTAACATTCTCGGGATCCGCCTGGAGCTTCTCATTGCCCAATTTTGTTTCCACCTCTTTGTTGATTTTGTCCATTGGCGCCTGCTGGGAAGCATAGCGTGCCAGGGCAAGAGTCATGGGTTTGCCAATTGCGAGCGGACGGGTTGCTTGCGAGATGTTGCATAGCTTGGAGGAGAATTGGGAGCTACGAGGAACCGAGGCTCCAAGGCCACTGAGGGCGCGAAGTTGACGAGCAGCACCGGCACGGAACATGTTGTGGGTGGAGAAGTGAGAGAGAGAGAGAGCAAAGATGCAAGAGGACCGCAGAAGGAGTAGGTAGAGAAGCTGTCGGGAAACACCTCCGGAGCAGCTTTGAAGGTAGGCACGACCAAGCTCTTGTGCCTATCATATGCTCGCAGCTCTTGCGTAGCTGGTGGAGCTTCTCTTACAACGTCATTATTGTACCTTCCCCGATCCGCTCTAATTGCTGATTCAATCCAGTACAGGAACGAAACGCCATGGTTGAAAGTTTGTACAAGAGCATAGGCTGTATAGCTATTTAATCGATGAGGATTCATCTTCAGATCTTGAGCCGCATATCTAGAAAGCTCTATTGTCTACAGACACTGTGGTGGTACTCGAATGAAGCTGGAAAACTGTAATTACGTCATGGGGGGCACCTTCCTTTCCACGTTCCGCGTCGTGCGTGGGCGGGCACGATCAGCGGCGTTGTTTCCAAGAAAGTGGCACTGCCAACAAATCGACAGCTTGCAGGGAGTGGCCTTCTCCACGATTCTTCAAACTCTGTGTTCTGTGCTCACGAACTGTTACGACGACCAGAATCTCGCTTGTGATTTGCGTCTTTCTCAAGTCTCAACACTGTGACGACTCGGTTGTTAGCTGTTTAAGGACGACTGCCCGCCTGGCGCCCAACAGCCTGCAATCAAGGTACTCTCGTCAAGTACCTGTTCACTTACGACTTGCCGCCTACCAAGCGACTTCATGACCTGATGACCTGTCTACGATAATTACCTTTAGTACTCTCTGTTCGTCCTACGCTTCTAATCGAGACATCTGCCTGAAGGCACCCATCCGCCGCCATGTTGGAAGGCCTCGTCTCGAACCTGCTCAACAGGTTCTTGGGCATGTATGTCCAGAACTTTGATCCAAAGCAGCTCAACGTAGGCATCTGGTCTGGCGACGTCAAACTACGCGACCTCGAGCTTCGCCGAGAAGCCCTCGACCAACTTCACCTCCCCATCAACGTCGTCGAAGGCCACCTAGGTTCTTTGACCCTCTCGATCCCATGGTCCAACCTTCGAGGCAAGCCTGTACAAGTCAAGATCGAAGATGTATATCTGCTGGCCGCTCCGAGAGAAGATGAGGACTACAATCCTGAAGATCAGGACAAGCGCGACCATGCTGTCAAGATGGAAAAGCTCGACAGCGCAGAGCTACTCAAAGAAAGAAGTGCAGAAGGCATGAGCCAAGAAGAGCAACAGAAGAACCAAAGTTTTACGGCCAGTCTGGTTACTGCTATTGTCGACAACTTGCAGATTTCAGTCAAAAATGTCCACATTCGTTATGAAGACTCCATCTCGGATCCTGGCCATCCTTTTGCTGCTGGTCTCACGCTGCAAGAATTGAGTGCCGTCAGCACAGATGAGAACTGGAAGCCTACCTTTATCCAGAGCACTGCCGCTGGCTCGACTCACAAGCTCGCCACTCTCGGTGCCCTCGCTATTTACTGGGACACGGATGCTAAGCTCCTGGGATCTGGCAAGGGTTCACAAACCTCAGAAGAGCAAGGAATAGACCACACTACAATCATTGACAAGTTCAGAGATATGATTGCAAAGAAGGACGATACCGAGTTTGGCGCGCACCAATACATCCTGAAGCCAGTAACTGGTCGTGCGGGTCTCGAAATCGATAAGACCGGCAAGCTTGATCGTCCCAAGATGAAGGCTCGCCTCTTGTTCAACGAACTCGGCTTTGTCATCGACGACGACCAATATCGTGATGCTCTCATGTTAGTGGATCTCTTCCATTACTTTATCCGCCATCAGGAGTACCGCAAGTTCCAACCCAAATCGTCTCCTAAAGAAGATCCGCGAGCCTGGCTTCGATTCGCGACCAAGTCCGTGTATGACAAGATCCATGAACGCAACCGTCGTTGGACTTGGGCTTATTTCAAGGAACGTCGTGATGATCGCATCAAATACATTGATCTGTTCAAGAAGAAGAAGAAGGAAGAAAAGCTTTCCCCAGAAGAGGTTACCGAACTAGATCAACTTGAACGCAAGCTAAGCTACGAAGATCTTCGATTCTGGAGATCTCTTGCCCGTAACCAGTTGCGCAAGGAAAATGTTGGTGTCAAGAAAGCTCCACAGAAGCAGACATGGACCTCTTGGGTCTGGGGAAGCAAAAAGACTGAGGAGCATCCTGGTGATGAGACTCAGCTGACAGAAGAACAACGCAAGGAGTTGTACGATGCGATCGACTTTGATGAGAAGAAGCAAATTGCCGACGCTGTAGATATGCCAAAAGAAGCCATCAAACTTCAGGTCGATATGAGCCTTCAAGAAGGTAGCTTTACGCTCAAGCGCGATCCTCATGGCAAGGCTACGGAAATGCTTCAACTGGTCTTCCAAGGCTTCGATACCAAATTCCTGCAGCGCACTGATTCTATGCTTGCTGAAGTCAGTCTTGAGACCATGAAGCTCTTTGATGGCACAACCGAAGGAAATCTATTTCCTCAGATGCTCAACATCAAGAGTTCAATCCCAGACGACAAAAGAATTGAGGAAGTCAAGGACGACGATGCTGCAGCTGGTGACGAGGAAGATGAGCCACCTCTAGATCCCTTCTTTGCTTTGACTTTTGAGAACAACCCGCTCGATGGCCATGCCGATACCGACCTGACTGTTAAACTCAAGGCTATGGAATTCGTATACAATCCGAAATTTGTTGTCGAAGTCGCCAACTTTTTCAAGCCCCCGGAGCGTCACATGGAGTCGATCGGTGCACTCATGGAATCTGCCAGTGCCACGGTTGAAGGGTTGAGACAGCAGACTCGTGCGGGTCTCGAGTATGCTCTTCAAGAGCACAAGACCATTGACGCCAAACTCGACCTCCAGGCCCCTCTCATCATCATTCCCGACTCTGTCACCAAGAAAGAATCGCTTTGCATGATTCTCGATGCTGGTTACATTAGTGTACGAAGCGAATTGATAGACAAAGATACTTTGAACGAAGTGCAGTCAAAGCAGAAGCAACAGTACACCGATGAGGACTACAAACGTCTCGAGCAATTGATGTACGACAAATTCCTTGTCAAACTACAATCGACCCAACTTTTGCTTGGACCATCTATTGAAGAGACGAAGAAGCAGCTCGACGAAAACAACACATCAAGACATCTGCACGTGGTCGATCGAATCAACATCGATTTCACAGTGGAGACATGCATTGTTCCCAAAGCTCCTGGTCTGACCAAGTTCAGAATCGGAGGTCACCTACCCGTGCTGCATGCTTCTATCTCCGACTCCAAGTACAAGAGTCTGATGAAGTTGATCGATGTCGCAATCCCCAAATTTGGCACAGATGAAGATAGTACCAAAAAGCCTGTCCAAGCCGTACAGAAACAAGCTCAGCGACCTAGACAAAAGAGCATCGTTGATACGGATGTAACAGGAAGATCACGATCCAAGTCTTTCCAGTTCTCTGCCCAGGAACATGAACTTGTCATGGAAGAAGAAACTGACAACGAAGACGAGGAGTTCAAGGATGCCAAACAGACTACCAAGGAGCCAACGAAGGATATTAACCAACGCAATTTCGAATTCAAGTTCAAGGTCGATAAGCTTCAAGGTTCGCTGTATCGTTCTGATCCGGACGGCAAGAAGCAAGATCAATTGCTTGTTGATCTCATTGCTGAAAACTTTGATCTACTCTTCTATCAGCGTCCGTTCGACATGGTGGCCGAAGTCAGTCTACGTACTCTGGCCGTTGAAGACCATGTCGAGGAGAATCCTTCTCCTGAGTTTAAGAATCTCATATCTTCAGAGGATCAAGACACCAACGAGCAACAAAACCTCTTTTCGCTCAAGTTCATCAAGGTCAACCCTGAGCATCCGGATTTCATGTCAACGTACGAAGGTATAGCTACCAATCTTGATGTATCCGTGTCGACGATCAATCTACTAGTGACTCGCAAGACGCTTTTGACTTTGCTCGACTTTGTAATGATCACCTTCACCAACCCAGGAGAACCCCAAGCAAATCAGTCACAATCGATCGAGTCGACTGAGGCCGAGGAAATCGGTGCACAGCCCACAGGGGACAAGATTCGTATCAAAGCTCAGCTGAAGCGCATTGCCATCATCCTCAATAATGATGGCATCCGCCTAGCCACTTTGAGTTTGACGTCTGCCGAAGTTGGCATATTCTTGATGGGCAAGACCATGAGAGTTGGCGCTAGACTTGGTAATCTGTCTCTCCTTGACGATGTCAACCAAGGTGTTTCTGAGAAATCGTCTCTCCGCCAACTGGTATCTATCCAGGGTGACGAGCTTGCTGATTTCCGTTACGAAACCTTTGACAGCACTTCAGAAGCATATCCTGGTTACGACACTTCCATCTACCTTAGATCTGGTTCTCTGAAGGTGAACTTTGTAACTGAACCGTTCCGCAAGATTATGGAATTTGGTGTCAAGTTCGGCAAGATGCAGGCCATCATGAATGCTGCCAGACAGGCTGCTGCAAACCAGGCCAACAATATCCAAGAGCGTGCTAGCAAGATGCACTTTGATATTCGCATCAAGACGCCAATCGTAGCTTTCCCTCGAATGGTTATTACCGATTCTCCTGAGCGTGATGTTCTCACAGCTTACCTAGGAGAGCTCTATGCCAGCAACGAATTCCTCCCCTTGGACGACTCCGAAGATTCGGATACTGCCAATAAATTGACAGCTGGTGTACACAACACTCGTTTGACTTCCACGTTCAACTATCCAAACGATCAAGTTGAGGAACTTGATCTCATCGATAAGGTCGATCTCGACTTCAGAATCACCAGTGCAGACCATAAGCCCGGGTACAAGCGACCAGATACAGAAATCGAAGGCAGCATGTCGAATGTCAACCTGCGCATCACCGAAGCCCAGCTCAAGTTTATTCTTGAACTTTCTCGCTCAATCCCCGAGGCTTTCGCTACTGACCCAGATGACGAGATCGAAGAGCATGTCAAGGAAGAGTTGCCGGCTACTACG